TTGGACAAAAAACAAGGACACCAGCCAGGAATACCAGAGCAAAACAGCAGCCAGTAGGCTTGGTCTTTATTGAAGACTGTTGTGACAGGACTGCCACCTGCCACAAGGTGGAACAAGATGGAAGCCATGAACAAAAAAGCCCCCAAACTTTTATTAGCTGCTAATCCCCATGTTACACCCCCCCCAAACTGCATCACTCATACATCACGGTTACATCGTGAAAGGGGAGGTCTGGTGGCAGAAATCTGAGCATCCTGGACCCTGCCCCATGGTTCTCCTTGCCCTCCACCAAACCCATCAAGTGTAACAAAATACCGTAGATCTTTACATTTCCCTGTTTCCCAGCCAAGTTAATCACACCCTTTTGTCTTCATCTGGGTTTGTTATTTCTGGAATGGCTACCTGTCTGGCACTCAGGTATCAGGATGCCAGGAATTATCACTTGGGCAGAGGGGCTGCTGAGTAGCTGAGCTCACATGTCTATATGAATTTCTGAAGTTTTCCAGTGAGCCAGTATATGTACATTTATCAGTGAATTGTTACATTTGGCATCGTGCAGCAAAGGCCCTTTGAATGGATAGGAAGAAACTGTGATGAAGTGTTTTGTGGGAACAAATCAAAAAAGCCGCAAAAGTGATTGTGCTGGTTTTGGTAGTGGGCTGTATGTGCATATCTACTGCCACCCGGGAAGAATGGCAGATGAAGTTGATGGACTATATGGAATTGGCGGAAATGACTGGCAGAATCCGAGACCGGGGAGAAGAGTCGGTGGAAGAAGATTGGAAAAAATTTAAAGACTATTTACAGAAATACTGTAAAATCAATGAATGTTAGAAAAATGTTGGAATGAAGTTACATGGCTTTAGTAGAAATGTTATAAGGAATTAAGTATAAATAGATTAATAGAGTATTAAAGGAAAAAATAAGGTTAGAATGAGTTAAGATAATTATAGGATAGTAAACAGAGGAAGATGGAAAGGAATTGCTGAAATAATTAATAGAAGTGGAATACAAAAAGGGAGGTGTGAGGAGGTCATGGAAATAAGTGAATGAAAGATGGGATAATGAAATTGTCTGATTTATTTTATTCTTTTTGTTTTGTTTGGTTAGTTTAATGTATTGTATTGTATTGTATTGTTGTTGTTTTTTAGTGTTTAAATTTTTTGGAAAAGTAATAAAGATTATTTTTTTAAAAAAGAGTATGTGCATACCTACTGGAGGGGCACCCCCCCCAACCTATATGTAAATTCCTGCAACACCACAAATATGTGAAGACCAGATAACGTTGCTAGGTGATTTTCAGGAAAACCTCCCTCTGGCAGGCAACTCTCCCCTTCAAGGTCTCCAGGCAGGGAGCCCTGTTTGGATTAGTGCAAGGAACCTCGGAAGGGAGGGGGGTGTCTATAAAAAGTATGAACAAAGGCTATTTAGCACGACTTCACCATCACACTGGTGAGTGTGTCTCGGCCGCTCTGTTTTACTCAGCTGAATAAACAAGTGATTATGGGAATATCCTCTGTCTATGGCATTTATTAGGGACGCGGGTGGCGCTGTGGGTTAAACCACAGAGCCTAGGGCTTGCTGATTGGAAGGTCGGCGGTTCGAATCCCCGCGACGGGGTGAGCTCCCGTTGCTCAGTCCCTGCTCCTGCCAACCTAGCAGTTTGAAAGCACATCAAAATGCGAGTAGATAAATAGGTATCACTCCGGTGGGAAGGTAAACAGTGTTTCCGTGTACTGCTCTGGTTCGCCAGAAGTGGCTTAGTCATGCTGGCCACATGACCCAGAAGCTGTCTGCAGACAAATGACAGCTACCCTCGGCCAGTAAAGCAAGATGAGTGCCGCAACCCCAGAGTCATCCACGACTGGACTTAACTGTCAGGGGTCCCTGTACCTTTACGGCATATATTAACTTTTCAGTGACCAAGGCAGCTTGGGCCCGATTAGCAGACCCCAACACTATCTTTGACATTCTTCAGATTGTTTTATTTATGGTTTATTGATTTAATATGCGCCTAGGGCTTGCCTTCTGATCAGCAGACCTTCTGATCAGCAAGCCCAAGAGGCTCAGTGGTTTAGACCACAGCACCACCCGCCTCCTATGATTAAACTAATGCACCTGCTACAGGATTGGTCCTACCATTAGGCAAAGGGAAGCAGCCTCCTTAAGTGGAAGAGGCTGGGGGATGGAGGGCAAGAGCAACAGCAAAGAGGAGTTGGAGCTATGTGCCCCATGTAGCCTGCCCTGCAGTCCCTGAGATAACCTGCTGCCCCCAGGTGTGGGAAAGGACACTGTCCTGTTGCCCAAATTGAAGGAAGATTCAGCTACCTGTATGGGCAACTTTGCAGCGCTGCAGGTGGCACTGTGGGTTAAACCACAGGGCCTAGGACTTGCAGATCAGAAGGTCAGCTGTTGGAATCCCTGCGAGGGGATGAGCTCCCGTTGCTCGGTCCCTGGTCCTGCCAACCTAGCAGTTCGAAAGCATGTCAAAGTGCAAGTAGATAAATAGGTACCACTGTGGCGGGAAGGTAAACGGCGTTTCCTTGCGCTGCTCTGGTTCACCAGAAGCGGCTTAGTCATGCTGGCCACATGACCTGGAAGCTGTATGCCGGCTCCCTCGGCCAATAAAGCGAGATGAGCGCCGCAACCCCAGTCGGCCACGACTGGGCCTAATGGTCAGGGGTCCCTTTACCTTTACCTTTAGCTAAGGTTGTGTATCCACAGCACTGACCAGAGGAAGAAAGACCTCTGGGAGGAGCACAGAAAGAAGAAATGCCATAGTGAGCACAACCAGTCGCCTTCATCTGCCCCAGCTGCAACAAAACATGTCTCTCCCATATTGGTCTCTACAGCCACAGCAGGCGCTGTAACCTTCCAGCAGTTTGACTTCACCCCCAAAGGCGCACTCTTCCTTAGTCTCCCGAAATAGATGGATGTCAGCGACAGGAGATAAAACACATATAAAGAGTGAATGTTAAACATGTACGTCGGTTATCAGTTTCATTATGAAATGATTGACCACAGTGCTATAAAGTGCTTAGTATTTTTCCTCACAATAAATGTGGTGGTTTGCTCGCTAGAAACGAGAGCCTGTTTTTATTTCACCCTTGAGTTAGTTTGCCACTGGCAATGGAAATAATCTATTTTAAGCTTCTCAAATGCACTCATCATGTCCTGCCCATGGACTTTCTGTAGGCATCTGACTGACTACTGTGAGAGCAGAAAGCTGGACTTGATGGGGCTTAGGTCTAATCTTATGTTCTTTGTAAATGCACACACACAGATGCAATTCCTAGCACCCTTGTTGTTGTTGTTGTTTAGTCGTTTAGTCGTGTCCGACTCTTCGTGACCCCATGGACCAGAGCACACCAGGCACTTCTGTCTTCCACTGCCTCCCACAGTTTGGTCAAACTCATGCTGGTAGCTTCGAGAACACTCTCCAACCATCTCGTCCTCTGTCGTCCCCTTCTCCTTGTGCCCTCCATCTTTCCCAACATCAGGGTCTTTTCCAGGGAGTCTTCTCTTCTCAGGAGGTGGCCAAAGTATTGGAGCCTCAGCTTCAGGATCTGTCCTTCCAGTGAGCACTCAGGGCTGATTTCCTTCAGAATGGATAGGTTTGATCTTCTTGCAGTCCATGGGACTCTCAGGAGTCTCCTCCAGCACCATAATTCAAAAGCATCAATTCTTTGGCGATCAGCTTTCTTTATGGTCCAGCTCTCACTTCCATACATTACTACTGGGAAAACCATAACTTTTACTATACAGACCTAGCACCCTTTACAAACTACAATTCCCAAGATCCTTGCTGGGGGGAACCATATACTTTAAATGTGTGATCCGATGTGACTAAGAAAAAACCAGGGAATCAGTTCAACACTGTTGCAGACCCTCTAAGTATCCCTATTTTTGTAGAGCATTCCTGGATTTAAAGAAGCTGTCCCAGTTTCTGATTTGATCCCGGAATGTCCCTCTTTTCCTTAGGACGTCCATATTTTCATTGGAGAAACGTTGGAGGGTATGGAGTTATGCGACCCCTGAGCCAAGGAGGTAAGTAACTAGACAACCTTTAAAAGACATCTGAAGGCAGCCCTGTATAGGAAACGTTTTTCAAAATGTTTAATGTTTTATGATTTTTTTTATATGTTGGAAGCTGCCCAGAGTGACTGGGGCAATCCAGTCAGATGGGCGAGGTATAAATAATAAAATTATTTATTATTATTATTATTACTATTATTATTATGGAATAGGACGTCCCTGTTTTCATTGGTGAAATGTTGGAGGGTATGGGTCGTGCACATCAGGTGATGACATCCCACTCTGGTTTGTACAGCAACCTGCAAATGTGACTTGAAAAGTGGGACAAGTTGGGGGGGGGCGACGACACACACACAACCTTGCTGAATCCAGCCACTAATGTGTAGATCGGGATGCGGGTGGCGCTGTGGGTTAAACCACAGAGTCTGGGACTTGCCGATCAGAAGGTCGGCAGTTTGAATCCCCGCGACGGGGTGAGCTCCCGTTGCTCAGTCCCTGCTCCTGCCAACCTAGCAGTTCGAAAGCATGTCAAAGTTCAAGTAGATAAATAGGTACCACTCTGGCAGGAAGGTAAACGGCGTTTCCGTGCGCTGCTCTGGTTCGCCAGAAGTGGCTCAGTCATGCTGGCCACATGACCCGGAAGCTGTACGCCGGCTCCCTTGGCCAATAAAGCGAGATGAGCGCCGCAACCCCAGAGTCTGCCACGAATGGACCTAATGGTCAGGGCTCCCTTTAATGTGTACATAGCGTCTGAAATGGTCTCAGTCCCAGGCGCACACCATCGCAGATTGCTCCCTTTGCAAGGCTGCAGCCTCACACCAAAAGGTTTGCTGTACCAGTCCTCAAGTTTAACATGTATGGTCAAAGGATGTTTTGAACTGCAAACTTCCGCTACCAGCCAGGCCTAGAGTAATCCCTGTAGGCAACAGCACATGTTTTGCTCATGAAGATGTCAGAGAGGTGTGGTAAACTGGAAGGAAAAGGCTGAGCTCTGTACCACTGAGCCACTCCTGGAAACTTAGAAGATGACCTCCAGATCACCTTACAGTTCTTCCTTTGGATAGCTCTCTGTTCCATCCTCTTCTTAGGATCCTTTCTACTCTGCCAGCTTGTGTGTTCCTTTCCTCTAGAATCAGGTACTTTTATTTTTATTTTGCTCTGCCAAAGAGTGTTACTCTGCCACCACATCCTGCCCATCCAACCTAGATTATAAGCGACATGATTCTGGCATATTAATGTATATGTAAGGCTTGCTCATTACACAGTGGAAGACAGATGACGGGGGGAAATATCATCCATACTGGGCATTCTTCACAGGTCTTTTTTGTTTGCTTGTAGTTAGCTTGAAAGAAGAAGCTGAGAATCTTCTCTTCAGGGCTGATACTGACATCACATCCTTTCCACTCAGCAGGTCTTGCAGCCATCAAACTCGCCTCTGCTCACTTCTGCTTTCACTGAAGAAAAGAGAAAATGACCAGATTTTTTTCTCTCCTGTGGCCCGTCGGCCTGATACTATGTGAGTATGATACCACGGCTGTGGGTCTTTTTTACTTAAGCCACAATTGGTTAGAGGGATGGACTTTGGATGTGATTCAGGGCTGCAGTTTGTCCAGCAAGACTTTTGGATTTGTTTTCTGTGACTACATGGTTTCCATGCTGTATAGCAAAAATTGCCCAAAATTACTGTAACTTTCCAAAGCAGCCTGCTATATCTATGCAGTATGTTATGGGATGGTGAAGGAGGAGGCTGCTGTTGAGAAAAATAAATCTACAGTCATGTGGAGTTTGTTGCATGGTTCTTTTAATTTTTGAAGTTAGGAAAAAGAACTTTTTTTATAAAAAAAAATAAAAAACCCCACACCTTTTATTTGATAGAAGTATCAAAACACCTATGTGAAAACACAGACTTTTCTTATTTAGAACATTGCAAAAAAGTGCAGTATAAAACAAAAAAACCAAATCAGATATCAAATGATACATTCTTAACTAAACATGAGAGAAAAAGCAGAAAATAAAATGATTACACACCATAATATATGAATAATAGTAGTAGTAATAATAATAATAATAATTTATTTATACCCCGCCCATCTGGCTGAGTTTCTCCAGCCACTCTGGGGAATAATCCTTGAACAATCCTTGAATAGTAAGAAAAGGTAATAATCAGAAAGAGGATTGCTTCAGCTTGCCAACAGGGCCATATAAATGAGAATAACGCATAGCGCAGAACACATTTTGAAATGTTGTATTCCAACGGTTTATTAAATTGGCTTCATCTCTCAAAAATGTATTTGGTGCACATCCTTCCACATTCCATTTATAATGTGAGCTTAATATGAAAGGCCGTCTCCATGCTCCTGTAATCCCATTGCCATTTGTCAGAATATTTAGAGGATTTAGCACATGTTTGTGAGATAAAATATATGTATTTTAGGCCTGAAGGTTATCCTTTATATGGCGCTCAACCATTAAAATCAATCATGACCAAGGATTACAAGGAGTTATTTATATACAGTACAGTGGTACCTCGGGTTAAATACTTAATTCGTTCCGGAGGTCCGTTCTTAACCTGAAACTGTTCTTAACCTGAGGTACCACTTTAGCTAATGGGGCCTCCCGCTGCTGCTGCGCAATTTCTGTTCTCATCCTGAAGCAAAGTTCTTAACCCGAGGTTATTTCTAGGTTAGCGGAGTCTGTAACCTGAAGCATATGTAACCTGAAGCGTATGTAACCCGAGGTACCACTGTACATGAATTAACACAATCAAAGCTACTTGGAAATGTAAGGAATTCTGTTAATTTTACCAAGGAAAGGGCATCCCATGATTTTTTGCAAATATTCTTGTTTCAAAGGTATCTTCTTATGTTTCCAGTGACACACATAACCAAATGTGTGTTTGATATTACTGCACTTTGGTATAAAGTTTAGAAGATAAGCAAAAGGATCCATAACTACATTGTTCGGAAAGGACCACGTGGCTCTTGCCCAAACATTTCCCAAAATGACAATATTTCATTTTACCAATGCGAATCTAATGTGCAACCCGAAATAAAACAGAAACCCAAGCACAGGAATTTGCAAAAAGGGAACTGATTAACCAGAAAAGAGAACCAAATAGACCGGGTGCATTAAAGAGCAAATACAGTTAATAAAAGAAAAGCAACAGGAGCAAATCCCTGGCTTAATGACAACCATCAGCCCCTTTGCCATATGCACAATATATTAAGAAGACAGTGTTGTTGTTTTTCAGGAGTGTATATGATGATAATTATATTAATCTTCTTACAGCTTATAGTGTGGTGGTTTGTTTGATTTTTCTGTTATTTGTTTGTTTGATTGATTGTATGTTTGTTTACTTGTGTGTACGTCTGTTTTTCAGAAATGTATTTATTTTAAATTAATAAAGATTTTTTTTTAAAAAAAAGTCTATGCTTCACAGTCTTTGCTGTCATTCCGTAAACAGTAAATAACAAAGCAGTTTCTTTGCTCTCCAGGCTGCTGGTGGCCCCAAGCCAACAGTATGGTGCGAATGAAGTTGACCGGTAACGTTCCCCAAGCCTCCAAAACTCCAGTGGAACTGAAATGTGAGACCAGCAAGATGGATGTTGGGGTGTACTGGGTCCGTCAAAACCCGGACCTCAGCACTCACTTCATCCTATATATGCCTCCAAGGTCTAGAAGCCCACAAGAAACAGTGAGAGGCTACACAGCATCAAAATTTTCTGACTATTACCAGCTAAGAATTGTCAGCTTCGGGAAGGAGTATGAGGGCATCTACTTTTGCTTATTGTTCAACAACCAGGTGGTCTACTTCAGTTCAGGACTCAAAGTCTACCTGCCAAGTAAGTCTCATTCCAAGTGTTTAACGCCCACGGTCAGTGGTCTGAGTTTGGTACACATTCCCTGCCACACCAGCTGTTTCCCCTGCCCCCTTTTGAGAGGCATTTTCCAGAATGTTGCTATTTTGGGGAGGGGGTGGGTGGGATTCAAGCACATCCTGGCAATTTCAAGGTGTGCAGTTACAGTTGGCTGGGAGGTTTTGTGCAACAAACCCGCTTCGCCAAAAGATCGTGCTATATGTGATAAGGGAAATGTCAGGAAAATGATGATAATAATAAATAAATAATACATTTTTATTTATACCTGCCGGCCAAGACTGGGCTCAGGGCAGCTAACACTGAATATAAATACAGTAAAATAAACATTTTTAAAAACAAATAAACCAAAAAACCAAACAAAAGAACAATTGATTAAAATGTAAGTTAGAATACAGTTTAAACTGCAGCTTAAAATGTAGCCTCGTTTTAGTGGTAGCCTATAGATCAAAGCCATAAGGGGAGAAAATGTCAAATACAGTGATACCTCGGGTTAAGTACTTAATTCGTTCCGGAGGTCCGTTCTTAACCTGAAACTGTTCTTAACCTGAAGCACCACTTTAGCTAATGGGGCCTCCTGCTGCTGCCACGCCACTGGAGCACAATTTCTGTTCTCATCCTGAAGCAAAGTTCTTAACCTGAAGCACTGTTTCTGGGTTAGTGGAGTCTGTAACCTGAAGCGTATGTAACCTGAAGCGTATGTAACCCAAGGTACCACTGAATTCACCAAGGCCAATTATCCATGCTGGTTCTACATGGGCCAGCAAAAAGAGCCGAGGGAAAATTTATATACAAATCCCATATAAGGGGTTCCATCAAAATAAATAAATGAGAGGGGGGGTTAGACTGAGTCCAGCCCAAAGGCCAGGCGGAACAGCTCCGTCTTGCAGGCCCTGCGGAAAGATGTCAAATCCCGCAGGGCACTGATCTCCTGCGGTAGGGCTAAATCCTCTAAATATTCTGACAAATGGCAATGGGGTTATAGGAGCCTTTCTAATTAGCCTTCCTGCAAACAAATCAGACTGAAGGCCCATTAAATAGCCAATGTCATCTAATCTCCCTACATACAAATCAGATTCCAGGTTGTCTGGAATCACCTTTGGTGTCTCCTATTTTAGAAAGCCTTGCCTCTCTAATCTTCTCACCCTTGGCTATTTATCGCCTTTCATCTGGATAATCTTGTTTTTTGTTTTTTTTATATTTTTTATTCATTTTCCAATACAAAATTATACAATTCATACATCTTAATTACATCCCATTTCTCATTTTTTACTTCCCTCAACCTGTCTGAAACTCTTTCATAATTTTACTTCTTCCACATTTCTAACATTTTAATAATATTCTAATGTTTTTTTCTCACAGAGCTTCATTGAGACTTACAAACATTATCTGATTATCACTTAATTTTTGCATATACTCTAGAAATTTCTTCCAGTCTTCTGTAAATCTCTGATCTCGTCGATTTCGGATCCTTCCAGTCAGTCCATCATTTTCATTCTCCATTCTTCTATCATAGGTAGCTCCTCTTGTTTCCATTTCTGGGCCATCAATATTCTTGCTGCTGTTACTGCATATAAAAATAACTTCTTTTCTTTCTTATTTATCTCATTACCTGTAATTCCTAATAAAAACGCTTCTGGTTTCATAACAAATGTATATTTCAACATTTTCTTCAATTCATTATATATCATTTCCCAAAAGCTTTTAACTTTCTTACAATCCCACCACATATGATAGAATGTACCTTCCTTTTCTTTACATTTCCAACATTTATTATCTAATTTATACATCCTCGCTAATTTCACTGGTGTCACATACCATCGATACATCATTTTCATCACATTTTCTTTTATTGTTGTGCATGCAGTAAATCTTAATCCTTCTTTCCATAATTTCTCCCAATCCTCCATTTATATATTGTATCCAAAATCTTTGGCCCAGTCAATCATCACCGATTTTACCTCTTCATCCTTTGTACACCATTCTAGTAATATCTTATACATTCTCGCCAAAATTTTGAAATCGTTATTCAAAATTTCTTTTTGGAATTTTGATTCTTTATCATCAAACCCCCTTTGGGTCAAGTCTTTTTTAAACATTTCATAAATTCATCTGGATAATCTTGAAGAGTTTTCCCGTTTCTTTCAGCTCTGCTCCCAAGGTTGCTTTCCTTTCCACCTGATACTACAGAATTGAGCCATTTCTGTCTGATTTCTGAATTTGGTAAGGTGGGCAGCAAAGATAGGTCCCCCTCCTTCCTTCAAGAAAAGTTCTAGTCTGGTCTAATATTATGAATAATAATTTACCACTTATATTCCGCTCACCCCAACCACTCTGAGGAGCTTCCAGCACAATAAAAGCACAGCAAAACGTCAAACATCGAAAACTTCCCTGTACAGGGTTGCCCTCAAATGTCTTTGGGAAGTTGTGTAGTTATTTATCGGTTTGACATCTGATGGGAGGGCATTCCACAGGGCTGGCGCCACTACCGAGAAGGCCCTCTGCCTGGTTCCCTGACACTTCACTTCTCACAGTGAGGGAACCACCAGAAGGCCCTCAGAGCTGGACCTCAGTGTCCGGGCTAAACAATGTGGATGGAGGGCCGAGACCATTTGGGTCTTTAAAGGTCAGCATCAACACTTTGCATTGTGCTCAGAAACGTACTGGGAGCCAATGTAGATCTTTTAGGACTGGTGTTATGTGGTCCAGGAGGCTGCTCCCAGTTACCATTCTAGCAACTGCGTTCTGGATTAGTTGTAGTTTCTGAGTCACCTTCAAAGGCAGCCCCACATAGAGCGCATTGCAGTAGTCCAAGCGGGAGATAACCAGAGCATGTACCACTCTGGCAAGACAGTCTGCGGGCAGGTAGGGTTTCAGCCAGTGTGCCAGATGGAGCAGGTAGACAGCAGCCATGGGCATAGAATTAACCTGTGCCTCCATGGACAGACATCACCTGAAATTTACACTTCTCTGAATTTTGCATGAAAATGAAAATGCATGTGCTAAGATAAAATGTGTTGGCTATTTGCAGATTAGTTACGCTGCAGAAGGCGTGCTGGGGAGACCACACATTCAAGAAACGCAAAGTAACTTTTGCTACGTTTTAATAACAAAAACAAAAACTCCTTTTACACTAAATTACAATATATCAATAAGCATAACCCATCCACCAGGGTACTGAAAGAGCTACATGCTGCTCTTTATATACCATACCCAACAGCTTAATTACCACAACTTAACAGCACCTGCTATACTGCGTCACAGCTGTAAAACTAGGTCACCTTATTTGCTCTGGCCTTTAAAGAAATACACATCCTGTGGAACAATAATGAACCTTCAAATTTAAAGAGACCATTCAACAAAATGTGCATAAAAGTGCATATATTGGTGAAACTAACATACAGTGGTACCTCAGTTTACGAACTTAATCTGTTCCGGAAGTCCGTTCTTAAACCAAAACCATTCTTAAACTGATGTGCGCTTTCCCTAAAGAGGCCTTCCGCTACCACTGCCCTTTCACTATTCAGCTTCCATTCTTAGACTGAGGTAAAGTTCGCAAACTGGGACACTACTTCCGGTTTTGCGGAGTTCGGAAACCAAATAGTTCGTAAAGAGGGCTGTTCTTAAACTGAGGTACCACTGTACAGTGGTACCTCAGGTTACAGACACTTCAGGTTACAGACTCTGCTAACCCAGAAATAGTGCTTCAGGTTAAGAACTTTGCTTCAGGATGAGAACAGAAATCGTGCTCTGGCGGTGCGGCAGCAGCAGGAGGCCCCATTAGCTAAAGTGGTGCTTCAGGTTAAGAACAGTTTCAGGTTAAGTACGGACCTCCGGAACGAATTAAGTACTTAACCCGAGATACCACTGTACATGTGTTAGACTAGGGGAAACTGATTTACATGAATGTGTATATTGGGAGAAGTTTGTACAAAAATGATGGTGAATTTTCATGAGCGCCTTTTAAAAATACACACGTAGCAACAGATGTACAAACGACGAGGAAAGAACTTAAGAGTGGAAAAATGAGAAACTGGGAGAAACTGAAATTGACAGATTCATCCATCTATAGTCCTTAGGCAGTAGGGTTGCCACCTGCCCTCTTTAGGATTGTCCCATATTTGAATGTAAAATGCTGCGTCCTGTATTGACGCAGTTTTGTCCTGTATTTCAGGTCCCCCCACCGTCCAAATGCATGTGTTTGAAATGGAGTATGAAAGGTCATGTATTTAAGCTCTGCAAAGCAACATACATTTTTACAAATTGTGTGTGTGTGTGTGTGTGTGTGTGTGTTTGCGTGTGACAGATTTCAGTCCTGTTAGGCTGCAATGGACTGTAATGGATTGCTCTGAAGTCACTTTAGCACCAGATTAAAATAATAATAATCACCCCCAACCGCCCACTATTTTGCCAGAACAAAGGTGGCAACCCTATTAGGAAGGGATTGTGGAGCCCCCTTCCCAACCAAGCCCCGAGCCATTGTAAACATGCAGGAAAAGTCTTCATCTTTGTTTTCTTTACAGAGGCTACCACCATCGCACCCCAGGTTTCAACTCCCAGTGAAGGACTTACAACAACCATGCGACTTCCACATTCCACAGCCTCAGGTATGTTTCCTTCTCCCTGCAACTCATTTGGGTCATAACTGGCCCCAAAACAAGAAGAAGTGATTGAGAGTGAGGCCCCGAGATGTTGCTGGACCACCAACTTCCATCATCAATCCGAACTGGCCATACTGGCAGGGGCTGATGGGAGGGGAAGTCCAACAGGGCACCGCCATTTTGGCTACCCTGGTATGTAAAAAGATATAAGGCCACATTTATAACCAGAGCCATATACCGCTTGGGGCATGGTCCAAAAAGAGAAGGAAGCAGGGAGATTGCTGAAGCTACCGTATTTTTCGCTCTATAGGACGCACCGGACCATAGGAGGGGGAGAACGGGGGGGGGGGAATCTCCCTCTCTCTGCTCAGCGCCCCTTCAGCGAAGTGGCAGGAGAAACGGAGCCCCTTCCATTTCTCCTCCCACTTCGCTGAAGGGGCGTTGCGCAGCTCTCCCTCTCTGCTGAAGCCAGGAGAGTCTTGCTCTCCCGGCTTCAGCAAAAGGAACCCAAAGCCTTCAGAGCACAGCGCGAGTTCCCACTGCGCTCCAAAGGCTTCAGGCGGCTATCCCTGAAGCCTGGAGAGCGAGAGAGGTCGGTGCGCACTGACCTCTCTCGCTCTCCAGGCTTCAGCAAAAGCAACGCGTAGCCTCCGGAGTACGGAGGGAGCGCACCCTCTGCGCTTCGGAGGCTTCGCGTTGCTATCGCTAAAGCCAAGGAGCCTGCATTTGCTCCATAGGACACACACACACATTTCCCCTTAATTTTTGGAGGGGGGAAAGTATGTCCTATAGAGCGAAAAATACGGTAACTAAGCAGGTCTGGTTAGATTCCCCGGATGCGAGAGACCATCTAGTGAGCCTTGAGGTCCCCTGTGGGAGAAAGTTGGGTGGAGATGCCGAAAATTCCAACGGATCAGAAAAGAACATTTATGTATGCAACCACAGCTGCTTGGATGTTAATGGCCCAGAGAAAGAAGACAAAGTCCCTACCAGAGAAGCATGGCAGATTAAGTTGATGGATTATGCCGAAATGGCAAAAATGACCGGAAGAATCGGAAACCAGAAAGACCAAAAATTTAAATAAGGAATGGGGGGAATTTATAATATATTTTTTTTTTGGGAAAAAAAATTGTAAACAGCTAAAATCGTTAGTAGGATTGGAATGACACTAGTAGTTTAATGTTGAATTTTGAATATAATGGAGATGTAAAAGATTTGGATTATTATAAAAGATGCAGGAGAAAATGGACCCACAAAGGGGAGGAGGGAAGTTCAGCAGGTGCTTTGGAATATTGTTTTTATGTTGTTTGTTGGATAATTGACTGTAAAACTTTAATCTGAAAAACTAAATAGTTTTGTTTTTAAAAAGGAAGAAAGGTGGGTGGGATGCAAATGTAGGCTTGGATCCAGACCACGTTAATAGATCTTAAAGGTAAAGGGACCCCTGACCATTAGGTCCAGTCGTGGCCAACTCTGGGGTTGCGGTGCTCATCTCGCTTTATTGGCCGAGGGAGCCGGCGTACAGCTTCCAGGTCATGTGGCCGGCATGACTAAGCCACTTCTGGCCAAGCAGAGCAGTGCACGGAGACGCCGTTTACCTTCCCGCCAGAGCGGTACCTATTTATCTACTTGTATTTCGTGCTTTCGAACTGCTAGGTTGGCAGGAGCAGGGACTGAGCAACGGGAGCTCACCCCATCGCAGGGATTCGAACCGCCAACCTTCCGATCAGCAAGCCCCAGGCTCTGTAGTTTAACCCACAGCGCCACCTGTGTCCCTTTAATAGATCTTAGGTACTGATAAAATTGTGAGGAGTTATGGTATTTTGCTCATAATTCATTGACAGCTTAGGCTCAGTATTGTTTCTCGAAACTGGCCTCTCAGCAGAGTCAACACGCACAGCGCAGCTTTCAGCGTGTAGGAAACCAAAGCACAAAGAAGACCACTAAATCCACACAGCATTCCAGACGTCAAGTAGAATGGTTTACTACTGGCATATTGAAGCTTAATTGTTGCAAATGAGTCCATAAACGTCCACCAGAGCCCTGGTGAAGGCAAACCTTAGAGTGAATCTTTCACTCTCCTTTTTTAATATACATAAATTTATTTATTTGGTTTTTCAGATTAGTCCAGATGGAAAGTGTGACTGAGGGAGTGATAAGAGTCCACAGACTCTCCTCTTAAATTCAGTTTCACTTCTTGCCGTTTCCCATGGAAACTGTGTAGGTCAAATGAAATCATTTCTTTGACCTTGCAGGTGGCCGGCAACTCCCAAGAACTCGCCTCATGTAGATAATTAAGATAGATAACTGTTTTCTGAGAACCAGTGACCTAATTTTACAGCAATCCCGAACAAAAAAACCCTCAGGTTTCATTTATTTCAGTGGGAACTACATAAATTTATTTATTTGGTTTTTCAGATTACATTTTTACAGTCACATATAGAACATACAACATAAAAACAAGATCCCAAGGAATCTCCTGAACTTCCCTCCTCCCCTTTGTGGGTCCTATTGTTAATCATTTCCTCCTGCATCTTTTATGATAATCCAAATCTTTTACATCTCCATTGTGTCCAAAATTCACACTTAAGCTACATGTGATATTCCAATTCTACTAACGATTTTAACTGTTTACAATGGTTTTTAAGATTTCCCCCATTCCTTATTAAAATGTTGGTCTTCCTGATTTCTAATTCTTCCAGTCATTTTAGCCATTTTGGTATAATCCATCAACTTTATCGAGAATCTTTTGCTCTCAGTCGTGAAACAGTCTTAGTCCAGATGGAAAGTGTGACTAAGAGAGTGATAAGAGTCACAGTCCACAGACTCTCCTCTTAAATTCAGTTTCACTTCTTCCCGTTTCCCATGGAAACTGTGTAGGTCAAACAACATCATTTCTTTGACCTTGCAGGTGGCGAGCAACTCCCAAGAACTCGCCTCGTGTAGATAATTAAGATAGATAACCATTTTCTGAGAACAAATGACCTAGTTTTACAGCAATCCCGAACAAAAAAATAACTCAGGTTTCATTTATTTCAGTGGGAACTACATAAATTTATTTATTTGGTTTTTCAGATTACATTTTTACAGTCACATATAGAACATACAACATAAAAACAAGATTCCGAGGAATCTCCTGGACTTCCCTCCTCCCATTTGTGGGTCCTATTGTTAATCATTTCCTCCCGCCATCTACTATGATAATCTAAATCTTTCACATTTCCATTGTGTCCAAAATTTGCCCTTAAGCTACAAGTGATATTCCAATTCTACTAACGATTTTAACTGTTCACAATGGTTTTTAAGATTTCCCCATTCCTTATTAAAACGTTGGTCTTCCTGATTTCTGATTCTTCTAGTCATTTTAGCCATTTCGGTATAAACTGTGTAGGTCAAATGACATCATTTCTTTGACCTTGCAGGTGGCGGGCAATTCCCAAGAACTCGCCTCATGTAGATAATTAACACAGATAACCGTTTTCTGAGAACAAATGACCTTGTTTTACAGCAATCCCCAACAAAAAAACAACTCAGGTTTCATATATTTCAGTGGGACCTAATTTAGTCCGAATCCAACCTAAAGTAAATAGCCAGCCTCTGCAATAAACGCACAAATTGTTCTGCAGTGCTTTGAATCTTCTCTCTCGCTGCTTTTAATGTGAGAATTTCAGTAAAAGCATTGGGGCAAGTCAATCCCGCCAATGAAGTGAATGGAAAGAAAAACGAAACGCTGTTTTCTGCTAGAAATGATCTCAGCACAGTGATGCCTCTAATTTGGCGACACAAAAGCTATTTTTTAAGGACAATCACGAGGAGGTCAACTCAATGGACACAGCCTTCAAGGCTCACAGCTTAGCCGTGGGTTGGGTTTTTGTTTTTTGTTTTGGTACGTTACTTTATTTTCTGCCGTGTTGTTGTATTACGTTGTTATGAAATTGCATTTGCACTGTTGGATTTTGAGATGCCTCCCTGTTTTCTTCGTTGCACACTGCTTTGAGCACGATTTGGTAGAAAAGAGCATGTAAATAAATCATGGCCGGCTGGCTGGATGATGGCCAACTATTGCAACCCTGCTGCTCTGCTCCTCACTGCTACTGCTTTCAGTTGTCCAAGTGAGTGAGCATGAGGCATGAGACTGGCCACTATCAGAGACTTGAGGTTAGCCACTTAGTGGTTGGAAATGGGAGAGTTGATGGACCTTGGCTTGATCCAGCAAGGCATGTTATTGCAGTGATTTTCTCGTGCAGGTATAATTTCTTTGTAGGAAAAAGTGTGCACAGCATTGATAAACAGTCATGTGCACCAAACTCAGGTCATTATATCTTTCCATGTCTACACACATCCAAGTCCGGCAAGAATAGCCACTTAAATGCTGGCTTTCTTGTGAACTCAATTGCAAATATTGATTAGAAGTATCTTCTCTGGCGATCACTTGTAGCCAAGTAAGATTGTCTTCCATAAACATGGTCTTAACCGTGACTCCGTAAGTGACTCCACAGTGAGGGCATAGATTTCCGGGCAGGTGTTGATCATGGTGTTGTTGTTGTTTAGTCGTTTAGTCGTGTCCGACTCTTCGTGATCCCATGGACCAGAGCACGCCAGGCACTCCTGCCTTTCACTGCCTCCCGCAGTTTGGTCAGACTCATGTTTGTCGCTTCAAGAACACTATCCAACCATCTCGTCCTCTGTCGTCCACTTCTCCTTGTGCCCTCCATCTTTCCCAACATCAGGGTCTTTTCCAGGGAGTCTTCTCTTCTCTTGAGGTGGCCAAAGTCTTGGAGCCTCAGCTTCACGATCTGTCCTTCCAGTGAGCACTCAGGGCTGATTTCCTTCAGAATGGAGAGGTTTGATCTTCTTGCAGTCCATGGGACTCTCAAGAGTCTCCTCCAGCACCATAATTCAAAAGCATCAATTTTTCGGCGATCAGCCTTCTTTATGGTCCAGCTCTCACTTCCATACATCACTACTGGGAAAACCATGGCTTTAACTATATGGACCTTTGTTGGCAAGGTGATGTCTCTGCTTTTTAAGACGCTGTCTAGGTTTGCCATCGCCTTTCTCCCAAGAAGCAGGCGTCTTTTACCGTAATTTCATGACTGCTGTCACCATCTGCAGTGATCATGGAGCCCAAGAAAGTAAAATCTCTCACTGCCTCCATGGTGAGGGTTTGCCAAACCTCCTTAGCACCTTTCTCCCTTTCACCCTGAGTTCGAGCGTCTTCAAAGCCCATGACACCTTTGGCAAAGGCTGTTCTCCAATTGGAGCGCTCACAGGCCAGTGTTTTCCAGTTGTTGGTGTTTAGACTACATTTTTTTTAGATTTGCCATGAGAGAGTCTTTCAACCTCTTTTGTTGACCACCAGCATTACGCTTTCGATTTTTAAGTTTGGAATAGAGTAGTTGCTTTTGAAGACTATAATCAGGCATCCAAACAACATGACTAGTCCAACGAAGTTGAAGAATCATTGCTTCGATACTGGTGATCTTTGCTTCTTCCAGTACACTGGCATTAGTCCGCCTGTCTTCCCAAGTGAGGTGTAAAAATTTTGGAGACAGTGTTGATGAATGTACTTAAAGCTGGAGTGCTAGAATGTCCCTTACTGTGGCATTCAAGAAGGACAGTGGTCCTCCTCCATTGCAGAAGGACTTGCCGATCAGAAGGTCGGCGGTTCAAATCCCCGCAACAGGGTGAGCTCCCGTTGCTCGGTCCCTGCTCCTGCCAACCTAGCAGTTTGAAAGCACGTCAAAGTGCAAGTAAATAAATAGGTACCACTCCGGCGGGAAGGTAAATGGCATCTCCGTGCGATGCTCTGGTTCACCAGAAGCAGCTTAGTCATGCTGGCCACATGACCCGGAAGCTGTACGCCGGCTCCCTCGGCCAATAAAGCGAGATGAGCGCCGCAACCCCAGAGTCGGTCACGACAGGACCTAATGGTCAGGGGTCCCTTTACCCTTTTTATACCTGCAGGTGTAAAAATGTACTTAAAGCTGGAGTGCTAGAATGTCCCTTACTGTGGCATTCAAGAAGGACAGTGGTCCTCCTCCATTGCAGAAGGAGTAAGCGGAGGTTGAGCACCATGCTGGCAAATGGATCACAGAATAGCACCAGGGAATGAGAGGCCCCGGTCAAAAACTGGACAGCTGTAAATCACAGGTTTGTTACTAGCTGTTGCTTTAGGATTCATTTCTGGTGTGCTCTTGTTTCTGCAGATCCAGATGACGATGTGATGTTTCCCTGTGAGCTGTACATTTGGGCCCCCTTAGCAGGTGGTTGCTTCCTTCTGCTGGTATTGTTGGTGATCACCCTGTCGGTGTGCTGTGGTAAGATAATTTCCTTTAAACTCTGTTGGATGGCAGTACTGGGGTAGTAGGTTCACTTAAAACTAGCTGGGAACTAACTAATTCAAATACCTTGTTTACCATAGCAGCCCCTTATAATCTCCTAGGCATTTTGTTTCATAATAACCAGGGTACCTTTTTTTTGACAGAACATGCCTGCTTTCTCTCTTAATAACTATAGCTCTCTCATACATTGCTGGATTTGTAGGGCTCTGCAAAGGGAGGCAGCCTAGAAAACAAATCTCTCTCCATTTCTCCACACACACACACCTCTTTTTCAGAATTCTGGTGAATTAGCAGACGTGTCCACAAATGGGTTACAGACTAATTATAAGCATTTTTAAAACGCTGGTCGAGAGTTGGGTAAAGGAGTCAAGCAGCAGTAGAGATAGAACAAATTTTGTGATGAATTGATACAAAAACCTACAGCTTTTCACAACACCAAAATTTGCCTTTAAAAAGGCTGGGTGGAACACATGAAGTGGACACCATATATCTATCTTTCTGTCTATCTAACTAATTACATATATAAAGTGGGCAAAGTCGGGCAAAGTTTTCAAGCCTTCAGTGAATCTCTTAGACCAGAGGTTTCCAACTTTTTTGAGTCCACGGCTCCCTTGGCCAACTACATTCTTTCTGCGGCACCTCTGTGGGGCTCGGGAGCCCAGTTATGTCACCCCTTGCCCGCAGAGCTCGCAACTTCTCACCCTTTTTCAAACATCCTGTGGAGTGTTTCCTCAGCCTCCACAGTGTGGTGTAGTGGTTAAGAGCAGTGGACTCGTAATCTGGTGAACCGGGTTCACGTCCCCGCTCCTCCACATGCAGCTGCTGGGTGACCTTGGGCTAGTCACACTTCTTTGAAATCTCTCAGCCCCACTAACCTCACAGAGTGTTTGTTGTGGGGGAGGAAGGGAAAGGAGAATGTTAGCTGCTTTGAGACTCCTTCGGGTAGTGATAAAGCAGGATATCAAATCCAAACTCCTCCTCCTTCTCCTCCTCCTCTCCTCTCCCCTCTCCTTGGGAGTCCTCTGGACAGCTGCTTCTGCTGCCCCTGGTCTCTGAGCTGCCCCACCCCACCCCACCCCAAAGAGAGGTGTCTCCTCACACTGCCCCACAGGGGCCTGGGACTTGTCTGTCCATTCCCAACAGCAAAGGAAGGCAGACTAGCTGGCTGGGCTCCCTTGCCCGCTTGCTTGCTTACTCTAAGGCCACCTCAGCTCCTGGCAACCAGCACCCCTGGGCCAGCCCCAGAGGCACCATTCGCCTGAGGAGCTTGTAGCTAGGGCTGCTGCAACAAACAGCTGGGCAAGCCTTTTGGAGGCAGAGATGCAAGAGGGCATCAGAGATGGGAGGGAGAGAAAGGAAGACAGAGGCCAGTGTTGCTTGCAGCACCCCTGGCCATCATTCAAGGCACCCCAGGGTGCCATGGCACACTGGTTGAAAGCCACTGCCTTAGACTGATAGAAATCCCTGTCATAATGATACGAGCTGAGGCACCTAGAATCTCTTGCATGAGGAAATTCAGCAGCAGAAAGCCCTCTTCCTTCTGCCTCCCTCATTCACAGCTGAAAAAAGTGATTTTATATATACATATGGCTCAAAAATACAAAATGAAGAGGTCACGAAGCACTGCATCATTTTAAATATACTAATATTTAAAATATGGACTACTGCAATGCGCTCTATGTGGAGCTACCTTTGAGGGCGACTCGGAAAGTGCAATTAATCCAGAATGCGGCAGCTAGACTGGTGACTGGGAGCGGCCGCCGAGACCATATAACACCGGTCCTGAAAGACCTACATTGGCTCCCAGTACATTTCTGGGCACAATTCAAAGTGTTGGTGCTGACCTTGAAAGCCCTAAACGGCCTCGGTCTAGTATACCTGAAGGAGCGTCTCCACCCCCATCGTTCTGCCTGGACACTGAGGTCCAGCTCCAAGGGCGTTCCGGTGGTTCCCTCCCTGCAAGAAGTGAGGTTACAGGGAACCAGGCAGAGGGCCTTCTCGGTAGTGGCGCCCGCCCTGTGGAATGCCCTCCCATCAAATGTCAAGGAGATAAACAACTATTTTACTTTTAAAAGAAAACTGAAGACGGCCATGTTTAGGGAAGTTTTTAATGTCTGACACTGTATTGTTTTTAATATTCGATTGGAAGCCGCCCAGAGTGGCTGGGGAAACCCAGCCAGATGGGCAGGGTACAAATTATTATTATTATTATTATATTAATAAAATAACTTGCATGTTTCTCTCCCCCTCCCAAATGAATTGAAGACCCAAGGAGGCGGCGACGGCGTTGCAGATGTAAAAAGTGAGTCCTCTCCAATCAGGCATCCTGTCACATTAAATCTACAATGCAATCCTAAGTTTGGTTCACTTCGTACTTACCAAATTCACATTTTCTGAAGCAATATGCAAAGTGAAGCACTGTTCTTCTTTGAAATTCACACTTACCTGAATTTTGCGATGTAGCTCTTCAGCTAAGTATTGTGCGCAAAAATTGCATAAACTACAAATACTGTATTTTTTGCACCATAACACTCACTTTTTTCCTCCTAAAAAGTAAGGAGAAATGTCTGTGTGTGTTATGGAGGGAATGCCTACGGGTGGCATGCCTACGGATTTTCCTCCTCTAAAAACTACGTGCGTGTTATGGTCGGGTGCGTGTTATAGAGCGAAAAATACGGTAAGTAGATAAATCATTGCATACCTTGACAGGAATTGCAGCTCCTAAATTTTCAGTGACTGGATGCTAACTTTTGGCACTGGCAAGATAAAGACCCATGCCTCCCGGATACAATACGAAGCTTGTTAGGCCAATGTATGGAAACTAATGCTTTCACCAAACTCGTTTGTAGAATCATGTCAAGACTTTGTCATATGCTTACTGAAGTCTTTGCTCCCTCTTCTTTCTAGGCCTCTGAATGGAACCAATGGGACGGTCGCTACGTCACGCTTGATCAAATAGGACATTTCAGCCAGATTTTCCCATTGCACTCTCACTGCATCAGACCTTCCAGCCTTGCCAGAAAGACTCTTGCATGCTCATAACGGCTCTGTGCTCCCATAGCAAGGAGGGATGCCTTTGCCTTACAGCTTTGCAGGAAAATCTTATCCACCAGCTGTATGTATGTTGGGTTAGTTTACTTTGCCTTGACCTATCTTGCACTAGGAAACTGCAACAGTTTAAGGTGGAGATCTTAAATAGGTTTTCATCTCACAAACTTTGGCTGCCCTCGTTATAGAAAAGCTGCAAAGATGTTCAGCCAAATAGGCAGCGTTTAAGGGAAGGAAAATGGAGCAACAGACTGCTGCTTAGGATCTGTGCAGGTGCATTTATATACATTTTCATACTAGACTTTTTGCAGCTGTTCCCTTAGATCTTTGACGCCTAGCGACGTGGGAGGGAGGGTTGAAACCCAAAGAACTCGGACGCATGCCTGTGTATACTAAGAAAATGTTGAAATCTCCCCCTCCCCAAACATCTCTCCCAAATACTGAGTCCAGACAGTGTGTTAGCACCGCTGTAAACCACCAGAATGCCTATATTTCGCAAATCCAATTGAAAACACACGTAATAGGCCATATAGTAACAAATGCAAAGTTATTTTCTAGAACTACTTCTCAAAATTAGATACTTCTCAAGTTGTACGTAATTTTTGAGAAGTAGTTCTAGTAAAAAACTTTGTGTTTGTTACTATAAAGGTAAAGGGACCCCTGACCATTAAGTCCAGTCGTGACCGACTCTGGGGTTGCGGCGCTCATCTTGCTTTATTGGCCGAGGGAACCGGCGTACAGCTTCCGGGTCATGTGGCCAGCAGGACTAAGCCGCTTCTGGCGAACCAGAGCAGCGCACGGAAACGCCGTTTACCTTCCCACCGGAGCAGTACCTATTTATCTACTTGCACTTCGTGCTTTCGAACTGCTAGGTTGGCAGGAGCAGGGACTGAGCAACGGGAGCTCACCCCGTCGCAGGGATTCGAACCGCGACCTTCTGATTGGCGAGTCCTAGGCTCTGTGGTTTAACCCACAGCGCCACCTGCGTCCCAGAGTTTGTTACTATACGGCCTATTAAATTTACATGTGTTAGCACCGCTGGGCACCAGAAAACAGGAACTATACCTGGCAAATAGGGACAGCTGGAGTCTATGCAGTACAAGTGAAACCACGTGACATTTCCTGTCTTTTGTGCTTTGCCATCTATAAGCAAACTGCGGGAGTATCGCTATGGTTGAGGTGTGCGACGTTTCCTGCATCCCTTTGTTCCACAACATTAAAAATAAAGCCTGAGAATTTCTTTTCGTCATAAAACCAAGTGGCCTCTACTTAATGTAACTGCTTCAGAACCACAACCATGAACTAAAAAGCAAAACTTTGGGCAGAGGGAAGAAAGAATAAGTGGTGTTTATTCCGTTTGTGGGCGTCTCATGGACATAGAGTAGGTCGCTGTGGGAGCAGGGGGCTGGACTAGGTGGGTCTTTGGTCTGAAACTGCAGGCTCTCTTTAGGTCTATCCAGTGGGGGGGGGGTTTCCACAGCCAGAGAGCAGTTCTGGCAACTCAGGTGAGCACCATTGCAGGCCAGCACTCCCCCTCCCCAGCCCGTTTCTTGCCTTTACAGACTGTATTTTTCGCTCTATAAGATGCACCAGACCATAAGACACACCTAGTTTTTGGAGGAGGAAAACAAGAAAAAAAATATTCTGAATCTCAGAAGCCAGAACAGCAAGAGGGATCGCTGTGCAGTGAAAACAGCAATTCCTCTTGCTGTTCTGGCTTCTGGGATAGCTGTGCAGCCTGCATTCGCTCCATAAGACGCACACACATTTCCCCTTACTTTTTAGGTGGTAAAAAGTGAGTCTTATAGAGCAAAAAATACGGTACTTCTGAGAAGCCCAAAACGAATATTTCATGTCAAAACGGATGCTGGCCAGTGTGCACAAGTCTATACTTTTTTTTTTAGATCTAGGACTCCACTTAGCTCCTAGCAGCTCCTTTTCTTTAATCCGTCTCCTGTGTAGCAGTGGCAGGCTTTAAGTTTCCAGTCAGGACTTGTCACGATTTCAGCAGGCCTTATCAAAATCAACCTTCCTTTGTGCCTCCCTCCCCCACCAGCAATGCTAGTTTCATCTTCGGGTAATAATAATAATAATAATAATAATAATAATAATAATAATAATTTATTTATACCCTGCCCATCTGGCTGAGTTTCCCCAGCCACGCTGGGCAGCTCCCAATCAAGTGTTAAAAACTATCCAGCATTAAATATTAAAAACTTCCCTAAACAGGGCTGCCTTCAGATGTCTTTTAAAAACAGGATAGCTGCTTATTTCCTTGACCTCTGATGGGAGGGTGTTCCAAAGGGCGGGGGCCACTACTGAGAAGGCCCTTTGCCTGGTTCCCTGTAACCTCGCTTCTCGCAATGAGGGAACTGCCAGAAGGCCCTCAACGCTGGATCTCAGTGTCTTAGTTATGGCATGCAAGGATTGTATGTGGCATGCAATCCTAACACATAAATTAGGCAACGGGACATGATTTTAGGGGCCATTCCCCCAACCACACAGGAGACTCAGCTATACAGCTGCAAATAAAATGTGTTAAGTGTGTTTTAAGTGCAATATACAATGTGACACTAGATGGCGATGGTGAGCCTTATGGAAAATTCAATGTATTTTTAAGAACACTTTTTTTAAAAAAGCATTTTCATAACATTTTTTATATGTGTGTAGACTCCACCATGGTCGCATAAAAGGCCTTAAAGCAGTTGGGGAAATACACTGCAAGGTTGGAAACGCGTTTGTTTCATACAAAATATGGTGCAAACAATGAAATCAAACAAACCCAATTTAGCAAACTTTTTTTTTTACTCATTACCAGTAACAGTGTAACAATATACATCATCTGTAAATATAGTTAAGCCTAGAAGGCTCTACCCATTTCTCACCCCATGCATTCATTTGGGTATGATTTACATCTTTCTCACGATAAGCAGGGAGCTGCCATAATAGAATCTTTATCCATGCCGAACACAGAAAAGAATTTTATCTGTGATACAGTGTCTAGAAAAGCACGCAACAATTCGCTGGAACATGTTGCACACATTTAACATGTCCATTTGCATCGTTTTCACGATCGCTTTCTTGAGCATACCAGCTCCATATTGCTCTATATGCTGTCAGTTCTAATGAACGCCCTCAGGCTTTGCTCTCCCTCAGAGTAAGGAGGAAATGTTTGCAAAATAAAACCTTTATGTGTAATGGCTACTATTCTTGGGAATATTTGGGGGGTGGGCTGGGCTGGGCTGGCAAAATTAAAGGTGTAGAAACTACACTATGGTGCCCTGAAATTCAGCTCTCACAAACCAGCCAGGGTTGTGGTTGTGGCCACTTCTGCTTCTCCTACAGTTAACAAGATGCTATTATAGAGTCTCATTTTCAAAATCGCCGAAAGTGAAGCCATTTGCTAATCTTGAAAGAAGAAAAAGGCTCAAGTCCTCCTCCTCACTGGATACAACAGAGCAAGTAGACGAGGGGTTATTTGCGTGCGCTATGCAGGAAACCCAAAACATCTCATTCATGAGTTTCCATGAATTATTAGAAACGTACAAGCAATCACATTGAAGTAGCTGGATTCAAATAAAATAAAATAAAAACAAAACTACTGGTTAAGAACATATCAAACCAAGAAAAAGAAGAACTGGGAAAAAATGTTTGGTTTGAAAATCTGCCCAAAAGCAAAATACTTGGCCGTCTGGCTAACTTCAAAGAATATTAACCTATTTCATGATAATTATGTAAGAACCTGGGAGGAGATGAAAAGAAATTTGGGTAGTTGGGCCAGACTTAAACTATCCTTTACAGGAAGAATCTCAGTCATAAAAATGAGCGTTCTGCCAAAACTATTTTTTCTATTCCAGTCGATCCCAATACTGGGCAAGATGGACCAGCTTAAGAAATGGCAAAGAGCTATTGCAATCACATAGATCAATAGCTTCTCACACAACCCATGCTCTTTGCTGATTTGAGGGAGAGCAAACCTCACCATCACCTGGGATGCACTAAAATCATGTCAGTCATTACATTTTGGTATGAAGACGTCAGTCGTTATAGTCTTATGTATATGGCAGGCAACCAACATGGGCTTTGGGGAGGGGAGGATGAAGCAGACATTGTTGGCTGTAAGCCCAACAACTTAGGTACACCCAAATCCCACTGAAATTGATGGGCCCTACACATGTGTGTAGGTCCACAGATATTCTCGCATTACACAATTCAACCTGGATAGACCGTACGCTGCCGTTTTCAAAGTTTACATCACTTTGAGTACACATATGCATTTAGTATGCTGAGGTCCACAAATATGCAATTCCCTTCCATGTTAAAAGCAATTTCACTGAGACGATAAACCTGCACAGAAAATATTACCGCTGTCGTTATTGTCATCAGTTTCCCTTAGGAGTGCAATATGGATAGAAGTCGCTTATTAAAAGGTAACGCGGTGGCGTCTTTTCCTTCCTCTGGTTTTTCTGCGTGAGTAAAATCAGCTTGCCTTAATGTATCTGCAATGGTATTGGCCCTTCGCTAGGGCCCAAAGCCAAAAGCACATGAAAAATCTTTTTCAACATTCTTCTGTGTAGTGCATTGTGCTAGTGCATTTCTCGTATCTTAGTAGCCAACCAAAGTTTGGTGCTTTGAAACGGATCCAGCACAAAGCATTGTGCTGCCCAAGCAAAGCAGATAATACTGCCACCTCTTCATATACCAGCCTCCTCTGCCTCCACCTCCTACTTAGTATTTCATATGGGGACTCCTAATTCCCTTTGGGGTCACCTTGCCCATGCCTTCCTCCAAAAAACAGAAGGCCCTTCCTTGGAGTGAGCCCTGGAGATCACCTGTAAACGCTACTGCTTTTGCAGCAGCGATTCTGCCTGAAATTTTACCGTAATAATTCTGACACTTGAAGCAGGTGTTCTCTGGGGTTACCTCGCCCACAAAGGACTTGCTTTCAGGACCCGCTTCCTCACATCAAAGCATTGGCAACCCAAACAGCCCCACTGTTAAATATTGGCAAAGTGGCAGAGCCCTAGCCATCAGCCACGGAGCCAGAGATGGCAGCTGGCTTGCCAATGGTAGTAGTGGCAGCCGTGGTCAGCCTGCCAGACAGCTCTGCAGGTGGGTGGAAGCAGCGATGGATGGGCTGCAAAGCACTGTTCCACTGTCTCCCCCAATCTAGGATCCAAGGCAAAGGGCTCACCTTGACTAACGGGTGGGCCAGGCCTGCTTTTAAGTCACACAGCAAATAAATCTATTATTTCATCTACTGTCAGGGAGCTCCTTTGTCCTATTGCAGGACAATGTAACAAATGCGCACGAGAAATTTGTCACAGTGTGCATCTAGCTTAGAAGTGCATAGTCACTTCGGATATAATCTGTATCTGTAGAAACATGTGTTAGTTAATCTAGTGTAGCTTTCCCAGGAGAATCCAAAGCAATGTAAGCCGGCAACAATACTCCAAACATTAGACATTCCTCCTGGTGGCTCCCCTGCCAGACTACAATTCTGAGGATTCTCTAGGGACTAAAGTCAAACTAGGTCAAGTGTCTCACCTAGATTTACTAAATTTAAGAAGAAAAGTAGTATTAGCTGTCAGGGAACAGTCACAAGCACAATGCTCTTTACTGCAGAAGACATATTAGTTACTAACAGGATGGAGGCCCAATCCTGTGATCAACAGGCCACAGAGTTATTTACGATTACTGGAAGATGTCCTTTCCCCCGTCTCAACTATGAACATTGTCAACAGTTTATTTGGTTCTGATAACTTTATAAATAATGTAGCTTATCATGTCTAGTAAACTGTACAGCAACATGACACGAACGTTAAGTACAAAGCTTAGGTTATAAGACTAAAAAAAGCTGGAGAGCAAGTATCCATTGACAAAGGCTTCTTTCCAGTCCAGAGTTACATTTATTGAATACTCGCAGCTACACAAAGAGCTCTCAGTCAGGAAATCAGAAGTGATTTCTAAATCAGAAATGGTTTTGAACTCTGTTATATATTCATGTAGTTTATATATATATATAAGCACATTCATTTGGAGTTCTGTTTAAAAGCTGAAAGGGGAAAAAAACGCTCAACCAAAAAATATCACAGCTTTGGGTTGGGATAAACCAGTTAAGAACAGAAATACAGGTATGTCTATAACCACTATTCAATTTATCAAACCTTTTTCCAAAGTTCTCTTTGAATTATTTACACACTAAGGAAATAAAAACTTTCCCCCACACATTCCTTATGGCGACGTTCATCTAACAGGGTGATAAAAGCAGGGCAAATATTAGGCCTATATGATGCTTGTGGTTGGTGTCTGCTTTTAAAAAGAGAAGTCACCATACAATTAAGTACAAAAACCTGCATTGAATGACAACTGCTGGTGTCGTATCTTGATCGGATATGGAGACCAAGGTTAAGAGTAGAAGCCCTATAACAGATATTACTTCTGCAGCTTTTTTCCCAATCTGTATGTCTGCACTAAATGTGGCAAAAATTTCTGGAGCATGAGGCTTATACAAGACACAGGAGTCCTCTTCAGCCTGTACAGCATAAAATGGAGCCTTTGTCTGCTTCCGTCTTCCAAAACACACAGATAAAACTACATAGCGAATTGTGTCCTCAGAAGAATATCTGTTTGGCATCTCCAGGACTCTGTTCCATGGGACAATAGGGACATTTTAATCTGAAAACAAAGAAAACGTTAATTTGTTACAGAACGTAAGAGCAGAGAAGAGTCCTGCTGGCTCAGGCTAAAGGCCCGCCAACTTCAGTATCCTGTCGTCACAATAGCCAACCGGTTGCCCGCGGGAAATTCACAAAAAGAACCTAAATGCAACATTCAGTAACTCCCAGCACCTGGTGTTCGGAGGCATTCTGTGGCTGACAATGGAGACAGAACATGATCGTCATGAATTTGTCTATTCCTCTCTTTAATAATAATAAATTTTATTTATACCCCGCCCTCCCCAGCCAAGGCCGGGCTCAGGGCGGCCAACAACCAATAATAAAAGCAAGTTGACTGAAATACAACTTTAAAAATGAGATTAAAATACAACATTAAAACATTAAAATGCAGCCTCATCATGGGAGGAGAAAGGGGGGGGAGAGGGGGAGGGAATCAAATTGACTCCAAGCCAAAGGCCAGGTGGAACAACAACTTACAGGCCCTGCGGAAAGAGATCAGATCCTGCAGGGTCCTGGTCTCATGAGACAGAGCGTTCCACCAGGCCGGAGCCAGTGTTCAAAAGGCCCTGGCTCTGGGTTGAGGCTAATCTAACTTCCTTAGGGCCCGGGACCTCTAGGATGTTGCTATTTATGGACCTTAAGGTCCTCCGTGGGGCGTACCGGGAGAGGCTGTCCCGTAGGTACGAGGGTCCAAGCAGGTGGACATCGCTACTTCTTGTGGTAGTCAATTTCCCTGCATAGTCTTACGCATTTCTATAATGTCCCGCTTTATTGTGAACTTAAAAAACCTCCAAATGTTGTAACCTTTCTTCATTGGGGTGTTGCCCTTTGATAACTTTGGTTGCCCTTTTCTGAACCTCCTAGCTCTAGAATATCCTTTTTGAGGCTGAGGCATCCAGAAATGTACACAGCATCCCAAGCGTGGTTGCATGTCAGGTTTGAATATCCCTGTTGTGGTATTTGTCCCTAGTGTGGAATTTGCTTTGCTCACAGCTGCCACACAGATGTGGGTCGCCATCTTCCTCAAGCTATCCAATATCTAAGGTCTCATTCATGGTCTACAAAAACCAGGCAACGTAACCTTATAAAGATGCCAGAGGTAAAACTTGCTTCCAACCATCTTGCAATTATGAATACGTAAGTTCAGTAGGAAATTTATTTTTTGTCATATTCCATGTTCCCCTCTACATTGTTCCATTCTGATTTCAGACATCATGATATGCCGGTATACAGTGGTACCTCGGGTTACATACGCTTCAGGTTATAGACTCCGCTAACCCAGAAATAGTACCTCGGGTTAAGAACTTTGCTTCAGGATGAGAACAGAAATCGCACGACGGCTGCGCGGTGGCAGTGGGAGGCCCCATTAGCTAAAGTGGTGCTTCAGGTTAAGAACGGACCTCCAGAACGCATTAAGTACGTAACCAGAGGTACCATTGTAATTCGTTCCGGAGGTCCGTTCTTAACCTGAAACTATTCTTAACCTGAAGCACCACTTTAGCTAATGGGGCCTCCTGCTGCCGCTGCGCTGCCGGAGCACGATTTCTGTTCTCATCCTGAAGCAAAGTTCTTAACCCGAGGTACTATTTCTGGGTTAGCAGTCTGTAACCTGAAGCGTATGTAACCTGAAACATATGTAACCCGAGGTACCACTGTATTGCAATGTTTAGCTGGTTGTATATTGTGAAGCTGAAAACCAGATATTGCCCATTCCATACTTCATCTCCCAAACTACATATTCAGTATCAAATAAGTAAGAACAGTACTTACTTGCTGCCGTTAAACATTTTATTTAGAGCATCTCTCGATATAATATGACCGCAAACCAACTTCATAGGTGGGTTATTGTCTGTCGTTTGCTGACGAAGGATGGGGCAGGCAAATATTGAATGATACCAACACTTTTTACCAAGGTCCACTTCGATCTGTACGAAAGCAAAACACTGTCACCACCTAGTTTATTCAATAACATTTATACACTGCTTGACCGCAAAAAGAAAGAAAGAAACCTCGAAAGTGGATAAACACAAGAAAAATCAAGGGGGAAAAATACAATACTTTAAAATATACAAGAAGTTAAAATACTAAAACAAATCCACACCAGCATTTCTAATTTCATTTATATCAATGGCTTACACTTGCTAGCTATGAGCATCTTCACTGGGAAATATCCATAGCTGTTCTATGTTGCCCTGCCACAATTAAAATCCCAATAAAGCATTGGAGGGAAGTCTCGCAGTAGTATAAAAAGAGTTCTTCATCATAGTCCGTGATGGCCAAACTCGGCCCTCCAGCTGTTTTGGGACTACAACTCCCATCATCCCTAGCTAACAGGACCAGTGGTCAGGGATGATGGGAACTGTAGTCCCAAAACAGCTAGAGGGCCAAGTTTGGCCATCACCGTCATAGATGCATGGCAGTAGCGGAGAGTTCCACTTTTGAGGGTTGGGGGCTTTTTGGGGGGATGTTTTTTTAACAATCAAGCGGTATATAAATTTCACGATATAAATAAATAAATTACAAGGACTCCATCACACTGTTAGAAACAACTTAGAAAAACTTCTTATCACAGGAATAGGTAAAGGTAAAGGGACCCCTGACCATTAGGTCCAGTCGTGACCGACTCTGGGGTTGTGGTGCTCATCTCGCTTTATTGGCCGAGGGAGCCGGCGTACAGCTTCCAGGTCATGTGGCCAACATGACTAACCCATTTCTGGCGAACCAGAGCAGCGCACGGAAATGCCGTTTACCTTCCTGCCGGAGTGGTACCTATTTATCTACTTGCACTTTGACGTGCTTTCAAACTGCTAGGTTGGCAGGAGCAGGGACCGAGCAACGGGAGCTCACCTCATCACGGGGATTTGAACCGCCGATCTTCTGATCGGCTAGTCCTGGGCTCTGTGGTTTAACCCACAGCACCACCCGCGTCCCATCACAGGAATACTTTATTATTATTATTTATTAATCAGCAAGTTACTCCCAGGAGCTCAAAACATTCCTTCTAAGTAAATTAACATCACCGCACTGCATAATGAAAGAAACGCTTAGCTTGCTTTCGTCGGTGAACAAAGTTGTTGCAATAATTGGATGACACTGGATACACAAAGCTACTCACCGGTAGTTCATCTTTCTGATTCCAAACCCCAGTGCACTGTCTCTGTTCAATCACAGCTTTTATATTAATTAGAGCTGGCAACGCGACACAACCTGCTGAAAAGCTGGGGACAGAACAATATTTTAATGTCAAACATTGCCTTAAAGAGGAATACTTTCACATTTCTGTTTCAACAGGGGGTGTGGGGGTGGGAATAGGCTCATGTTTTGAAGAATAAAATGTCAAAGCCTAGCACATGTGCCTTATTTATACACATGAACTAAATATAAAAAAAAATTAAATGTCCAGTAACACCCTAGAGATGAACTAACTTTGTTCTGGGTATAAGCTTTCGTGTGCATGCACACTTCTTCAGATACACAAATTTCGTGCATGCACACGAAAGCTTATACCCAGAACAAACTTAGTTGGTCTCTAGGGTGCTACTGGACAATTTTTTTAATTTTTTAATTTATTTCGACTGCGTCAGACCAACATGGCTACCTACCTGAATCTAGACACATGAACTATGTATGTACAACAGTTCATGTATGTAGAAACATGGGCAACTTTTTAGTGCCAATAACCTCAAAGAGAGCGCATGGTACTGTATATGAAGATGCCAAGGAAGGGGTCAGAAAACGTCACGGAATTCACTTCTGTGACAATGGTTTCCAGCTCCCTTTGCATAAGCTGACTATTTGGGCATCACAAAAACTCGCACTTCTAGGCAAAGAGTACTGGTGAAGGCAGATCTATATAGATTGCCGGCAGCCCTCTCAAGACATCAACTGGCCTTTGAAATAATCCAGAAGTATATGAAAGACAGGGGATAGCGTTGGTTAGAAACCACTGGAAAAGCACATGTCGCAACTTGTTTTCGTTTAGTCCAGCAATTAACTCCGAGCATGATGGGGAGCATTCGATCCCAATCCTATTTCTGTTAATTTGACATGCTTAACACCGGCCCACGTATCTTGCTGCCGTTTTCCTCCAGAACTGACAAAATGAACTTCTAAAAGCGCTGATTTTTTTCCATGCGAAATGCAACAACTCCCCCTGGTGGTGCAGGTTCTTATTTTGGGTATGCTGTACTGATCTCTCTATACAGTACAGTGGTACCTCGGGTTAAGTACTTAATTCGCTCCGGAGGTCCATACTTAACCTGAAACTGTTCTTAACCTGAAGCACCACTCTAGGTAATGGGGCCTCCTGCTGCTGCCGTGCCGCCGGAGCACAATTTCTGTTCTCATCCTGAAGCAAAGTTCTTAACCTGAAGCACTATTTCTGGGTTAGCGGAGTCTGTAACCTGAAGCGTATATCACCCGAGGTACCACTGTACTTGTTTAGTAAAATACAACTTTTGTTCAGAAAAAAAGTGACGACTCTACAAATAACCTTTCAGTATTGCTTCATTTGGTTTATTTGTGTACAGTTGTACCTCGGGTTACATACGCTTCAGGTTACAGACTCCGCTAACCCATAAATAATACCTCGGTTTAAGAACTTTGCTTCAGGATGAGAACAGAAATCGTGCTCCAGCGGCGCAGCCCCCACTAGCTAAAGTGGCGCTTCAGGTTAAGAACGGTTTCAGGTTAAGAACAGACCTCAAGGACGAATTAAGTTCTTAACCCAAGGTACCACTGTATTTTATGGCCTTCCCATTCAGTCAAGCTATCAGGGCAGCTTAACTATATTCAGGAACTAAGGAACCACAAAGGTGCTTCTGAGCCCAAGAGAGCTTTATAGAGTAATCCCAGGCATGTCAACTCAGAAGCAGAGTTAAACTGGGCTTACTCCCACAACTCTTTGTATTAACAATTATGTACCGTTTCCCCTTCTAAACTCTCAAAGTGGCTTTACCTATAGCAGGGATGTCCAACAGGTCGATCGCAATCTACTGATCAATCCCTGTGAGGTTTTGGTTGTTGGAGAACAGAAGACGGAGTTTACAAACCGAGGCTGTTTTTCCCCCAACCTTTGGTGAGTGGTTGCTGTTTCTCTTCGACCCCAAGATAATTTAAAAGCTCAACAATTTTGACCTGAACCCCAAGAAAACAGGACTTTCCCCCTCCCTAAAAAAAGCTCAATAACTTTGACCTGAACCCCAATAAAATGGAGGTAGATCCCTGCCAGATTTTAATTCTGTGAGTAGATTGCAGTCTCTTGGAAGCTGGCCACCCCATACCATTTACTTATAGGTTTTTAACCTACACCTTGGCGGTTTTTAAGCAGCGGTTGGATGGCCATCTGCCGTGGATGCTTTAGCTGCTATTCCTGCATTGCAGGGGGTTGGACTGGATGACCCTCGGGGTCCCTTTCAACTCCACAATCCTGTGATTCTATAATTTCAGCAAACCTTACAACAACCCCGTAAGGTAAACCAGCCATCACCATTCCCTTCCCAACACTGGAGATAGAGGGCCAAAGGGGGGGGGGAATATTGGCTTCCCCAAGGCTACCTATAGATTTACAGTTGTTAATTTGTAGAAGAGGATTTGCATTCTTATCCTAATACAAGGAGAAGGAAAGTAGCACTGAAGGAAGCACTGTACTTTTCTGTGTATAAGGCAAGGTGTTTTTCTTTAAAAATTATGCTAAAAAGTGGGGTTGTCTTAGACATGGGTAGTGCATAGGGTGGACATTTGATTGGTTGTGCCTGCGGCTGTGAGCGGCTATTGTGCGTGTTATTGGTTGCTGCATCGATGGCAGGTGTTGATTGGCTGACGCTGCGGCAATTTGGTGGGCGATTGGCAGCTTCTGCCGGTGAGGGAACAGACGGGAGGCGGGTTTTGCGACGCGTGCAGGTGAGCGATTGTTGGCAATCTCCGCTAAAAATAGCTCAGCAACCCTGGGTAATCCCCCCACAGGAAGCTCAACAACTCTGTGCCATCTCCCATTTTCTTAAATTTGAGTCCCCCTAAACAGACGGCGTCTTATACATGGGGACGTCTTATACACGGAAAAATACGGTACATGGAAGAAATCTCTGTATTCAGTGCTGCAGTCTGTCTGAAAGAAAAGTCCACCAAGCTCAATGTGAATCACTGCTGGAGCAAACCATTTCCAGGCGCCACATTAATAATAATAATAAATAATAATAAATTTTTATTTATATCCCGCCCTCCCCAGCCGAGGCCGGGCTCAGGACGGCTAACAACAATAAAATAATACAAAATTCTAAAATCATTTCATTAAAAAATTACTTCAAATCAAATTGATGGCAACCATTGGGCTAGAGTTCTGTGAAGATTGCCAAAGGAGGGGGTCAGACTGTGCCTCGGCCAAAGGCCTGGCGGAACAGCTCTGTCTTCCAGGCCCTGCGGAAAGATGTCAAGTCCCGCAGGGCCCTAATCTCTTGTGGCAGAGCGTTCCACCAGATCGGAGCCACAGCCGAAAAAGCCCTGGCTCTGGTTGAGGCCAGCCTAACCTCTCTGTGGCCTGGGACCTCCAAGATGTTTTTGTTTGAAGATCGTAAGTTCCTCTGTGGGACATACCAGGAGAGGCGGTCCCGTAGGTACGAGGGTCCTAGGCCGTATAGGGCTTTAAAGGTTAAAACCAGCACCTTAAACCTGATCCTGTACTCCACCGGGAGCCAGTGCAGCTGGTATAGCACCGGGTGAATGTGATCTCGCAGCGAAGACCCCGTAAGGAGTCTCGCTACGGCATTCTGCACCCGCTGGAGTTTCTGGGTCAGTCTCAAGGGCAGCCCCACGTACAGCGAGTTACAATAATTATGCTTAAGTATATTTCCAGTTCTATCTCCTTGGAAGGACTTTAGGGAAATCTGTATTCCTAAGATGCCAACAACTAGGTGAGGTTTAGATAGCCAAATCTTTAAAATATGTCTAGCATGAAAGTAGCCATACCTAACGCTAAGAGGCGATTCAACCGAGAGTCCCAGCAGAGCGCAGGCATCTCTTGTAAAGATGTCGCAGATGTCCGCCCACTGATTTGCATCCAACAAATGGACGTACGGAGAATTTTCAATTCCTTGCCTCAGGTACACTAAGCTTCCCATCAAAACTTGAATATCTGTGGAAAGTCAGAGGAGCTGTAGTTTATGTATTCCATTATTTATATATATGTTGAGGAAAAATAAACATATGCTTAGCACATATATGCACAACCTGAAGCTACACAGAGGGAGAGAATATATGAATGAAAACATAATAACTGGTAATTCAGAAAGGAAGTCACGTTATTTACAACCGTAAATAACCAGCCGTAGTTTATCATGGCATTTGAACGAAGCCATTGATTTGTAAGGGTTCTGGTTCTGTGCCTTTACAGGGGTCAGCAAACTTTTTCAGCAGGGGGCCGGTCCACTGTCCCTCAGACCTTGTGGGGGCCAGACTATATTTTTTTTGGGGGGGGGGGGAATGAACGAATTCCTATGCCCCACAAATAACCCAGAGATGCATTTTAAATAAAAGCACACATTCTACTCATGTAAAAACACGCTGATTCCCGGACTGTCCGTGGGCTGGATTTAGAAGGCAATTGGGCCGGATCCGGCCCCTAGTATGCCTACCCATGCTTTATAGTGTTGTGCTTGTAAAATGGATTGGACAAACCTACATTCAAAAATCTGTGAACTCTCTGGGTAGCTGTTTAGGTTGCCCCCTGGTGTGGAGAGGAAGAAGAGCTCAGAACCTTTTGCTTCCATTTTTGATTGACCACCACTTCTTGTTTCACCCTGAACCCAATACACTGAGGATAATCCCAGGAGCAGGTTTGTTTGAAACAAGGCAACTTCAAACTATGGGTTATGAAGTTGGCTTGCTCTTTTGGAGGTGGCAGCCATTTTGCATTAGGCTACATCATTGGCGGCAGCCTTTAATGGTGCCATCAGCACCTTCTCAAAATTCCCAATCTGCCCCTGTGCCCAAAAACGTTGGCAGCCAATGCGGTAACTGTTCAACAGACATCAGAACCAAGACAGAATTAACCAGTGGCATGATATGGCCATTTTGAAAACACCACCCACAGAGACTTCTATATTTACAAAAAAGTTCACAGTCTACTTAAAAAGAGATTAACAAATGCATATAAGGTAAAGGGTAAAGGACCATTAGGTCCAGTCATGGCCGACTCTGGGGTTGCGGCGCTCATCTCGCTTTAATAATAATAATAATAATAATAATAATAATAATATCTTTATTGTCATTGCCCCCTTCGGGGACAACGAAATTACTTGACTGCTCCATAAAAACACTAATTAATCAATACAGTATAACACAGCAAGGGAGATTAGATGACTTTCAAAGTCCGGGCTTCCCATTCAGGGCCGAGATCGCTCTGCAGAAGAAGATGTTCTTAAGACGGCTCGTTCTTGTCTTCATCGTCCTGTATCTCCGTCCCGACGGCAAGAGCTCGAAGAGACAGTGACCAGGATGCGATTTATTGACCAAGGGAGCCGGCGTACAGTCATGTGGCCAGCATGACTAAGCCGCTTCTGGCGAACCAGAGCAGTGCACGGAAACGCCGTTTTCCTTCCCACCGGAGCGGTACCTATTTATCTACTTGCACTTTGACATGCTTTCGAACTGCTAGGTTGGCAGGAGCGGGGACTGAGCAACAGGAGCTTACCCCGTCACGGGGATTCGAACCGCCGACCTTCTGATTGGCAAGTCCTAGGCTCTGTGGTTTAACCCACAGCGCCACCCGCATCCCAAGTGTGCCTATAGCTAGTAGATAAAACCCCCCAAAAGGATAATCAAAATATATGAAAATAAGAAGTGCACATCGTAAATTCAGTACAATCACATCACAAATACAGGTGCATTTAATGCAGCTTACCTTTCTGATGGTTTAGAGCAAATGGCTGAAAGTTTTTAGCGTATTGCAATGCTTCTCTCTGGTTTGTAGTTCCGCCCATTAATAAACTAATAAAATATAATCTGTGTAGCTTAAATTCTAAAGAGCTGTTCTGTGCCATAAGCATTTCTCTGTTTGATACAGCCCACCTAAGAGATATAATGGAACAAAAAGGGGGGGAAAGGAAAAAAAAGCAGATTTACCTTAATAGGAACACTGGTTTATCAATTCAACCTTTTCCCTCTGGGTGTTTCAATGTATGTTCACAACATTTTCCCTGTAGGAACTTTTAACATACTACCAATGGGGGGGGGGAGCGAGGGGGGGTTCAACCTGGAGGCAGAATACCACGACTGTTCTTTTAATACCCCCAGCTCCTTTTCAGTTTGGTTGGCCACAGAAGTCATTCATTGTCTTGCGCTGAAATTCACGGTTTAAAAATTGGCCGATCATTTCCGAGGAGCTGTGGCTTAACAGGTCCTAGGAGGAAGTAACTCTGAGGGCAGCTGAGTGTCATCAGTTGCAGTTGGGATCAGAATTGTAAAGAACCGCCTCTGGCTTGTAAACAGCCACTCACCTACATTCCCGTACCAGGTATGAATTATCTCTAGGCAACCAGGCAGGGAGGTTCCCATAAACTGGAAGAATATGAGGTTCCCACCTCTCGGCTACTGATGTGCCAAAGTGACTTGCATGTGGGAAAAGGAGTTAGAAAAACATTTTATGGACTAGTAACTTGTGTAGATTTATTTGCAATAGTTACAAATAAATATTTCCCACTTGTATTTTGTGAACCAATGGAAAATTACGCTGGCTAATAACCTGCAATTAGCCGTTCTAAACGTTCCATTCAGCTTATTGAGTAAACATTAATACTGTTTGTCACACATCCTGAAGACTGTTTTCAATGCTCTGTTTCTTTGGAGCAGTGATTAAAGGCCAGGGATTGCAGAGATTGGATTGTAGTGACTTCCTAGTGTTACATTCGGGATTTGAAGGCAAGTTATACAAATTTCAAGGGAACTTATTTCCATATATGCGTGTGGGAGCATGGGCTGTGGACCACAACCAACTCTGAAAAATGAAGTCGCAGGTGAAGAAATATTATTATTATTTATTGAATTTATATACCGCCCTATATATGCTGATTGATAACGGAAAAGACAGATATAGTTAACACTTGCACACAAATAAATATTTGTACTTCACTCTTTTGTTTAATGCTTGAGAAACAGGAGATTTCCTGGTATACATTTTCATTATTGCTGATGTTTACATTTTTATTAAACATATACAAATGAACACAAGAATTTTCCTTGTCTGTATTAACAGCCCTGAATGTGGGCAGGCCACCACCTTCCTCCAATAATGTATATTTATTCAGACATTTCATTCTCCTGGAAACTTTGGAGAAATGAAAACCCTAGAATCTGGTAAATACCTAGATCAGATAGTACCCTCCAGATTTTCTTGGACTCCAATTTCCATCAGCCCCAGTCAGCATGGCTTATGGTCAGGGATGATGGGAGTTGTTGTCTAGCAACATCCACAATTTTGGCTACCACTGACCTAGATATTTAAAAAGAAAAGGCACTCTGTCCAAAGAGAAACAGCATCACACACAAACGAAAAAGCATAAGGATTGATAAATCCATGTATCCTATTTTCAAACTTTTTATGTGTGTGCGAGATGGACAGACAGACAGATAGATGGGTCTCTTATATCAGGGCAGCTTAACTTTACATGAGCATGGCAGTTCAAAACGATATTACGAAGCTGACATAAAGTTATGAAGGGCAACTCATCAGCTGATTAATCTAAAATTACTCTGCTTGTATTTTATCAACTTAGTTTGATGCAAATAGGTGTTCAAATCAAGCTGCGTTTTGCTTAAAAGGCAAATGCACAGTTAGTTGGCGATATTCAGTATTAGTCATTCTCGGAAGAGGCCTACTGAAACCACAGAACTTACGTTCATAGACTTCAATGGGACTACTCGATGAATTAGCAGCATATCGCCCACTAAATCTGCGCATTTGCAATCAATCCCTCTGTCCAGGGAACTCTGTGAACTGCCCCGAGACCTCTGGGTATAGGGCGGTATACATATTCAATAAATAATAACAACAACTACTACAACAACTCTGAATTGTAGCCCTGTGAGAGGAATAGGGGTCTCCTAACAACTCTCAAGGGACGCGGGTGGCGCTGTGGGTTAGACCACAGAACCTAGGGCTTGCCGATCAGAAGGTCGGCGGTTCAAATCCCCGCGACGGGGTGAGCTCCCGTTGTTCGGTCCCAGCTCCTGCCCACCTAGCAATTCGAAAGCACACCAGTGCAAGTAGATAAACAGGTACCGCTCTGGCGGGAAGGTAAACGGCGTTTCCGTGCGCTGCTCTGGTTCGCCACAAGCGGCTTAGTCATGCTGACCACATGACCCGGAAGCTGTATGCCGACTCCCTCGGCCAATAAAGCGAGATGAGCGCCGCAACCCCAGAGTCAGTCACGACTGGACCTAATGGTCAGTGGTCCCTTTACCTTTTTAACAACTCTCAACTTCCCTTAACAAACTGCAGTTCCCAATATGCTATAAAAAAATACGAGGACACAAGTCCAAAGCGGGCTCTGTCACTTTAAATTAGTGTTAGCTCTCAGATGATGGGCTCAGCTTAGGTACCTAACAAGCTGATCACACCATTTGTCGGTTCCTCGCCATTGTGGGCACAATGTCTGCCTCACCTGAGAGCTGCCAGTTCCTGTGGAACATAGACCCACCCTGATATTGGACAATTCCTGCTGTAGGCAAGCCCCATTTGACTTTTGGGATTTCAGCCCAGCTGGAACACATTTAGGGAACATCTATTCACTTGAGAATCCCCAGCATTAATGAATATGTTAAAATGAGAGACTTTAGAAGGCGTTTTATCTGAATATTAAATAATAAATAAATAAATAAATAAATAAAACAGATGAGTAACTCACTCTAACGCAGGTCTCAAAACTCTAACTTTAAGTGCTTCCAATATTCGGTTGAGCTCCACAAACGGCTGCTTTTGACTTTGGTCTATCGAAAGTCCGGACTCCTGAAAAACAAGATCATATCACACATTCTTTAGTTATTTTTATAGATGGGCAAAATAGTGTTTTTGTGTTCGCGGACCATTAGAACTGTTGGGATACTGCCAGGGAGATAAAGTCCATCAAGGCCCCCAAGCCGTCTGCCGGACGATCCATCGACCTCCCGTAGGCACGCAGCGACATGAGTTTCTAGAAAATATCTTGCCACATTCCAGAGCTCATGCACACTCTATCAGCAGATAATGCACAGCCAAAAGTTGCACTCAGGAGAGCATTATTTACAAGTTTATTCAGCGTTGATCAGAACACAGAAAAACATGACTGCCTGCTTTAGTGTCTACGACACAGAGAGAGAAAACGAAAGCAACAGAAAACATAAACATCCTGTGAACAGGAAATACGCAGACTCTGTGACTCACAGCCTGCTCCCTTTTAAGGTGGAACGGAAATATCCTAACAAGAACATGGGGTGAAGACTCCACAGTCGCCTGGAAATTCAACTAAAACAATAGGTGAAAAAATTATTTTGCTTCCCAGGAACGAGGAATTCTAGCTGCAATTACCTGGCAAAGTTCCTCAGCTACATCTAGCATTCCTTGCCGGAAAAAGTGTTCTACCATCACCTCATTCAGAATCCGCTGGCTATCAGCCTGCCAGCATCCATCTATTCCCACGCTGCTGATGTCAGAGTCAAAATTCTGTGAAGGAAAAAGTGACAATCAGTTCCAGAAAAAAACCAAGCTCTTATGTTTTTATTTTTGCATTAGGCGAATTATATAAATCTCCACTCAGAAGTGCTTTTGCCTATTTCTGAACTGCCTTGCTTCGCTTCTTCTTGTCTTTTAAGATACAGTGGTACCTCAGGTTACATACGCTTCAGGTTACAGACTCCACTAACCCAGAAATAGTGCTTCAGGTTAAGAACTTTGCTTCAGGATGAGAACAGGAACCGTGCTCTGGTGGCGCGGCGGCAGCAGGAGGCCCCATTAGCTAAAGTGGTGCTTCAGGTTAAGTACGGACCTCCGGAACGAATTAAGTACTTAACCCGAGGTACCACTGTATTCCTTTCACATGATTCATTACGTCCTTTATACAAAAAGAAGACACCATTTTGTTTCTTTCTGGTAACCATTAATACATTCTATATTTACAAATTTTAAGAAATTAAAGATAGGAAAGGGTGTAGTTCATTACCAGAAGGTAATGCAATACATATTCTATCAGAATATGAAGTTATTGTGCATAAGTCATGTCGGCTTTTAGAAGGTTGCTTTACACGTTTTTCTAGGCTGTCCTTCAGAATGGTGTACAGTAAGCCCCCCAAAACACAAGTCTAATCTATAAAACCACATATAAGCCACCAGACATAAACATCCAGAAAATCAGATAAAAGTGGCCTTGTATTTAAGCTTTAGCATGGTAGGAGATTGACTATCAGCTGACAGGGATTCCAATCAGATGACTTGCTGATCAGGTGACTGATGGGATGAGGTCAGAGAGGGCAATTTGTGAGCACACATCCACACACCCTATCAGGGTTCTGAATTGGGATTGCAAAACGCCTGGCAAGCTGTATTCTCTTCTCCGTGACTGTGGCTCGGGATCTGCTCCTTGTGGCAGGAGGTATGGCCACTGCTTGCTCTCCTTTTTATTTTTTAAACACATTTGGCATATCTGAGGAATTGAGGGGATTCTATCATTCTTGCCAGCCAAAAGGTGATTTGTGTCAACATTTGAACCAGCCTCCCATAGAGTGTCTTCCCCTTACTGTGCTACCATACGAGTCCTGGTGCTGGAGCCTACGTACTATATTTTCCACTCTATAAGACGCACCAAACCACAAGACGCACCTAGTTTTTGGAGGAGGAAAACAAGAAAAAATACATTCTGAATCTCAGAAGCCAGAACAGCAAGAGGGATTGCTGCACAGTGAAAGCAGCGATCCCTCTTGCTGTTCTGGCTTCTGGGATAGCTGCGCAGCCTGCATTCGCTCCATAAGACGCACACACATTTCCCCTTACTTTTTAGGAGGGGAAAAGTGAGTCTTATAGAGCAAAAAATACGGTAATAACCGTTCTGATTCCTGCTCTTCCTTGTACATGAGGCTGTCTCCCTGGCAAAAAGCCCTTTTTTTCTTCACATAGGCATCAACAGGAGCGGTCTACCCAGTGCACTTTTCCCACAGGACTTTGATGCTCTTTGGGAACCCATGTTCTACTCTAGCCATGAGCTCTGGAATGAACTGGATGCTGCGACAAGAATGTCTGTCCTCCCCTTGCTGTTTGGCTCCACCTATTTGTCTGCAAAAAGAGCAGTTCTTTTCAGGCTTGCCTATATTTGTGCGACAAGCATATTCTTGTCCGGAGGGAGCTCTGGGTGACAGTTGCTGGGCTCACGCGCACTAGGGAGAGTGCTGTGTCCCTTGACTGCCAAACTGTGCTTCGTAGATGTGCTTGAATATGATCTTGAAAGACTACATTGGCTCCCAGTATGTTTCCGAGAACAATTCAAAGTGTTGGTGCTGACCTTTAAAGCCCTAAACGGCCTTGGCCCAGTATACCTGAAGGAGCGTCTCCACCCCCATTGTTCTGCCCAGACACTGAGGTCCGGCTCTGAGGGCCTTCTGGCGGTTCTATTTTTTTTTTTTTAAATAATATTTATTACTTTTAAACCTTACAAAAAGGAAAAAAGAAAAAAAAAGAAAAAAAGAAGAAAAAGGAAGAAAAAACATACAGTACAATATATAAACAATACACAACACAACATTAACACATTAAACAAAACAAAAGCAAAAACAGTTCAAAAAACACACATCATACCATCTCAATATCCTCTCTTTCATTCCCCTGTTTCATTGACCTCCTCTCACTTCCCTTTTTGTATTCCATTTCTATTAATTGTTTCAGCAAATCCTTTCCATCTTTCTCTATTTTCTGTCATATGATTATCTTAACATATTTTAACCTTATTTTCCATTAAAACTATAATACTTATTTATGCTTAATTCCTTAAAACATTTCTACTAAAGCCATATAATTTCCTTCCAACATTTTTCTAACATTCCTTCTGGCGGTTCTATCACTGCGAGAAGCAAGGCTACAGGGAACCAGGCAAAGGGCCTTCTTGGTAGTGGCGCCCGCCTTGTGGAACGCCCTCCCATCAGATGTCAGAGATAAACAACCACCTGACATTCAGAAGACATCTGAAGGCAGCCCTGTTCCGGGAAGTTTTTAATGTGTGACATCTTAGCGTATTTTTGGTCTTTGTTGGAAGCCACACAGAGTGGCTGGGGAAACCCAGCCAGATGGGCCGGGTACAAATAAATTGTTGTTGTTGTTGTTGTTGCTGTTGTTGTTGTTGTTGCATTTGGGGCACATTCAACTGTTGTGTGCATTGGCTGGTTCCTTCCTTTTATAGAAAAAGATGTATTTTGCATTTTTAATAATGTTGAAAACTACCCAGAGGACTCACTTAATGAGCATAATAATAATAATAATAATAATAATAAAATATATACAGATAACATGGGATGCCACTGGCATGCATGCAATGGCAGAATCACTGGCTGGTGGGATATTCACGAAGGCTGGAGTGGTGTCAGAGTTGCTACATTATTTCTTGCAGAAAGTGGTTTTGTTTTACTGCCTGCCTTGCTGCTGAAAGTGCATAGGATCTTGATTACGTTACGCTAGCATAACCAATATAGCAGCTGCTGGCACAGTAGGACCAGAAGACCACTCCGTAGGACGCAGGAACTAGGGTAATAGACAGGTGCAGCTTGACAGGTGAGATACATGTAAGGCCAAGAAACGTTTTATTTACACAACGTGTATTTATAGCCTGAATAATGGACTACAAAGGAAAACCCCTATTTAGAGACAATAATTTTTTTTAAAACTGGGGGGGGGGGGTTTAGTCCCAAGGAATCAAAACTGGGTTAAATTGCCTCTCTGAACACGTTGGGAATGGTCTACTCTTATGAAGGCAGAAGTGGGGGTTGAGGCAGGGGCTATGTCTTGCCAAAACAGGTTTATGGGCTGAAAATTCTTCTCTAATAATAATAATAATAATTTATTATTTATACCCCGCCACTCTGGGCGGCTTCCAAAAAAATATTAAAATACAATAATCTATTAAACATTAAAAGCTTCCCTAAACAGGGCTGCCTTCCGATGTCTTCTAAAAGTCTGGCGCAGTGGTACCTCGGGTTAAGTACTTAATTCGTTTGGGAGGTCCGTTCTTCACGTGAAACTGTTCTTAACCTGAAGCACCACTTTAGCTAATGGGGCCTCCCGCTGCCGCCGCGCTACCAGAGCACAATTTCTGTTCTCATCCTGAAGCAAAGTTCTTAACCCGAAGCAATATTTCTGGGTTAGTGGAGTCTGTAACCTGAAGCGTATGTAACCTGAAGTGTATGTAACCTGAGGTACCACTGTAGTTGTTTTTCTCTTTGACATCTGGTGGGAGGGCGTTCCACAGGGCGGGTGCCACTACCGAGAAGCCCCTCTGCCTGGTTCCCCGTAACTTGGCTTCTCGCAGCGAAGGAACCACCAGAAGGCCCTCAGCACTGAACCTCAGCGTCTGGGCAGAACAATGGGGGTGGAGACGCTCCTTCGGGTATACTGGACCGAGGCCGTTTAGGGCTTTAAAGGTTAGCACCAACACTTTGAATTGTGCTCAGAAACATACTGGGAGCCAATGTAGGTCTTTCAAGACCGGTGTTATGTGGTCTCGGCGGCCGCTCCCAGTCACCAGTCTAGCTGTCGCATTCTGGATTAGTTGTAGTTTCTGTGTCACCTTCAAAGGTAGCCCCACATAGAGCGCATTGCAGAAGTCCAAGCGAGAGATAACCAAAGCATGCACCACTCTGGCGAGTCAGTCTGTGGGCAGGTAGGGTCTCAGCCTGCATACCAGATGCAGCTGATAAACAGCTGCCCTGGACACAGAATTGACCTGCGTCTCCATGGACAGCTGGAGTCCAGAATGACTCCCAGGCTGCGCCCCTGGTCCTTCAGGGGCACAGTTACCCCATTCAGGACCAGGGAGTCCTCCATATCCGCCCGCCTCCTGTCCCCCCAAAACAGTATTTCTGTCCTGTCAGGATTCAACCTCTCTGTTAGCTGCCATCCATCCTCCAACCGGCTCCAGACACTCACACAGGACCTTCACCGCCTTCACTGGTTCTGATTTGAAAAAGAGGTAGAGCTGGGTATCATCCGCATTCACATGATAACAAAGACTCCCATCTCTTCTAGTCTGATCCTGTGAACTGTCCTGTTTAGCACTGGCTAAAGGTAAGGTGGCATTAACATTCATGCTGTGCATGACATAACCTGCTTCGTGCTTTGTGCTAATGGGGGGAAAGCAAGCAAGGTGTGGGGGTGTAAATCATTTCAAGAGATATGAGATGCAAGATTATCCCAGGGGTTGTTCCCGCCTGACCATGTGAAAATCAGGGAAAATTGGAGAAGGGTGATAGCTCACTGTTCCAGATTCAATCCCTGGTGTTTCCAGGTAAAGACCCTTGGCCTGAAACCTTGGAAAGGGACTGCCAGTCAGTGTAGGCAATAATGACCTAGATGGGCCTATCCCCTGACTCAGGCAGCGTCTTCTGATGCAAAATTTGCTTGCATTGACAACTCTAATAACCCAGCCACTGCCTCTCAAGAGCTTATCGGTTTAGGAAACTCCCTAAAATCCAGTCACTGTGCTAAAGATTAAAAACAGGAAGGGGTTTTTTTCACTTTTAAAACAATGCTATCCAGCTTTTCCATAAAAATGCTCAACTCGCACAGTAAAAATAAAGTAAGACGGTAAAATGGCAGGGGGAAAAGATAAGATTAAAAACTAGGAGACAGCTGAATTTTCAGATTGGAAGCTAAGCCAGCTGGCTAGATTGCCATCAGAAGGCGAGAAATGAGGAAGTAAGATGGACCTCTCTAGGAAAGAAGTTCTAAAGCTTTGCTGCAGCTACAGAGAAGACGCTGTCCTGCATCCTGAACAATGCAATTCAGAGGCTGGCAGGGTAAGATAGAGAGGCTCTCCAGAAGATCTTAGTAAGCAGACATGGTCATATGGGAGAAGGTGCTCCCAGAAGTAGCCTGATCCCAACCCAGTTTAGGGCTTTAAAGGACATAACCAGCATTTTTAATTGGGCCCTTTATAATAAACCAAAGGGCAATATTCCATTATGCATGATGCCAATTCTATTGGGCACGATACATTATTCTATAAAGAGCTTCAAAACTGTGAAATTCCTCTTACATTTTCTGCTTATTAGAATACGATACGATAATCTTTATTGCCGTTGTCCCATACGGAACAACGAAATTGAAAAAATCTACATCAAACATTCAAAAACCAACAAGCCTGCTATCCCAGCTATCCCAGCCTGGTTAGCCCCCTAAAAACTCTGATACCCCATAATTAAATACAATATACTCCCACAGAGACTACCTTACACTGCGTTTAAAACCAAAATCGCATTTGGCTAGAAACTGTTTCTCAGGCGGCTAGTCCTAGTCGTTATAACCCTGTACCTTCTTCCAGAAGGCAGAAGCTGAAAGAGATCATTTCCGGGGTCCGCACTATCCTGCACTATCTCTGCAGCTTTCTTATGGCACCTGGAAGCATAGATTTGATCCAAGGTGGGAAGAGTGCACCCAGTTATTCTCTCCGCAGTCTTTACAACCCTGGACAACATTGCTTTTTCCCTGACGGTGCAGCTCCCAAACCACACACAGAGACCATAAGTTAATACACTCTCAACAGTACAATGGTAAAATGCCATCAACAGGTCCTTTGAGAGATTATTTTTCCGGAGGAATCTCAGAAAATATAACCTCTGCTGTGCTCTCTTCATCAGGTTTTTGCTGTTTTCTCCCCAGGTTAGAATCTACTCATGAGTTGCCAAATGTAGGTTTTGCACATATTAGTCCGTGTTTGATGGGCTCAAAAATGGTAAAGTGAATAATCTTCCAGCACTGGCAATCAACAAAGCTCAATACAGTGGTACCTCGGGTTAAGTACTTAATTCGTTCCGGAGGTCCGTTCTTAACCTGAAACTGTTCTTAACCTGAAGCACCACTTTAGCTAATGGGGCCTCTTGCTGCCGCTGTGCAGCTGGAGCACGATTTCTGTTCTCAGCCTGAAGCAAAGTTCTTAACCTGAAGCACTATTTCTGGGTTAGTGGAGTCCTTAACCTGAAGCGTATGTAACCCGAGGTACCACTGTAGTACCCTCTTCCCTGTTTTTCCTCTAGCTTCTCCTTTACAGGTAACATGGCCTATTAAGACATTCACACCATCTGTCACCAGAAATTTATCTAGGACCATATTAATTCTAACTTGGACCTTCCAAAAAAAGGTGCTAGGCATCTTTCCTGTGGGTGATTTGCGGGAGGGGTATGGAGCCCCAAGCAGATCTAACACATCTCCTTTGGCAAAGGCCCAGTAGCTGCACCTTTTGGAAGGAGGTCCAAGTTAGTATATGGCTCTAGATAAATTTAAAACACTCTGGTTTCAATGTAAAAGGTAAAGGGACCCCTGACCATTAGGTCCAGTCGTGGCCGACTCTGGGGTTGCGGCTCATCTCACTTTATTGGCAGAGGGAGACGGCGTACAGCTTCCGGGTCATGTGGTCAGCATGACTGAGCCGCTTCTGGCGAACCAGAGCAGCACATGGAAACTCCGTTTACCTTCCCGCCAGAGTGGTACCTATTTATCTACTTGCACTTTGATGTGCTTTCAAACTGGTAGGTTGGCAGGAGCAGGGACCGAGCAACGGGAGCTCACCCCGTCACGGGGATTCGAACCGCCGACCTTCTGATCGGCAAGTCCTAGGTTCTGTGGTTTAACCCACAGCACCACCCGCGTCCTTTGGTTTCAATGTACCCAGGACTAAATATTTTGCTGCATTAGTCTTAATCTAATTATCTAAAGTGGCAATCTATTTCGCAGAAGGCCGGTTTTCAAGGTGAAGGCTAGATTTTACCTCTGGGTTCTTTATTTCACTTGGTTTCTGACAGGGTCCAAACTGGGGGATATGGTTTTGCAAACAGAAATATAGACACATCCACTGAGCTTTCTTGAAAACAACCTACAGCAGGGATGGAGAAACTGTGGCCTTTCAGACGCTGTTAAATAACAACTTACATCATCCCTGACCCTGGGCTACGTAGCTGGGGCTGATAAGAGTTGGGAGTCTCACAACATCTGGAAGGCCAGAGATCCTTCATCTCTGCAAAAGCTAGTTTCAAAAGTCTGGGGAGTCTGCAGTGCTGACTCACATTAAATTTTAAACATACAAAGTTTTTAAAAACAACAACCAAGCATTGGGACACAACCAAACGAATGCTCTAAATACCTTGTCAATAGCTTTCCCAACACGGGAAACACTACTGTGAATATCTTTATGATCTGAGGCCAATTTCTGAACAGTGTCCTTTATTCGCTTGCAGCACTGGGTCATAACAAGTGATATCGTCCCCGACAGATCTCCATCTTGATCTAGACAGAAGAGAAGAAAAACAAATAATTAATTGCATTATGAGCAAGAAACACTAATACCCAAGAAATGGAATTTCTGCAAACAAAGGGCCCAAGCGCCGTCATTTAATTTCACTTCTGAAAAGTCATAAACAGTTTCAAAATGGATTACAGGACACACTGGTGGGGTGAAAAATCTGTGTCCCTTCAGATGTTGCTGGGCTATAACTCCAATCATCCCTGATCATTAGCCACATTGGCTGGTGCTGAAGGGAGTTGAGGGTCCAACAGCACCTGAGAGGCCATATACCCCCCACCTCTGGTGTCAGGAAATGTTATTCCTGTGGGATTGGCCAGCATAATTTATAGCATGCACAGCAAGTTATATACAATCATAACTCGAAGCCAGCTTCATCGCAGCCTTGTACTCAGTGTATTATTTCAGACTACGCTAAATGGTTGGTTACTTACCTGGAAAAGCAGTTCTTGCAAAGCGGCCTTGTCAAGTGTACACTGTAACAAGGCACACTAGCTACGCACAATGTTATGAGATTCTATCCAGCACCTGAATCTTTATAGAGGCAAAAGTCTTGCTTCTGCAGACCTCTCTTACATTCCCTCCGTTCGTTTCAACCCTCTCAAGACTTGAAAAGACCAAAGAGAGATGCAAACTGGGCTGGGTCACTCTGGAATGACTTTGTAGACGGTTAAGAAACCTCTGTTTCATCTCTGAGAGGTCCTGCCCGGTTTTCACTAACTGAGAAATATCCATCAGGGTTAAAAGGTAAAGGTAAAGGGACCCCTGACCATGAGGTCCAGTCGTGACCGACTCTGGGGTTGCGGCGCTCATCTCGCTTTATTGGCCAAGGGAGCCGGCGTACAGCTTCTGGGTCATGTGGCCAGCATGACTGAGCCGCTTCTGGCGAACCAGAGCAGCGCACGGAAATGCCGTTTACCTTCCCACCGGAGCGGTACCTATTTATCTACTTGCACTTTGACGTGCTTTCGAATTGCTAGGTGGGCAGGAGCAGGGACCGAGCAACGGGAGCTCACCCTGTCGCAGGGATGCGAACCACCGATCTTCTGATCGGCAAGTCCTAGGCTCTGTGGTTTAACCCACAGCGCCACCCGCATCCCTTCCATCAGGGTTACTCGTTCCCAAATACCCATCACATCTGATGATGAGAAAAAACAGAGCCTTGCGAAGGTGGGTGCAGAAGACCACATGCAGACCCCTATATCAGTTGTGTTTCTTCATGGAAACAAAGCAGAGGTATTTTTTGTGATGGCAGACTATCTGCAATTCAGGATAGCTTAGCGGTACGTTCAAGCTGCTGAGGTCTAACGAAGAACAAGGCACCAGTCTTTTCTCCTGGCAAGGAAGTATTCCACACAGCATTCAGTTACCTGTAATTCTGACAAATTTACCTGGATATAGCACAAAAATTCAGTGGCAATTCTGCCTTTAATTAGGAAAATTACATTTAGCAGAACCATACTGGGGGGGCAGCTAAAACAAGAGTGAATACAGTGGAACCTCGGTTTTCAAACTTAGTCCGTTTGAAAAACAAAAATCAAAGGGCTGTCGGCGAAGTGAATGGTTAAAATGGAAAAATGCACCATGGAAGCTGTTCAATTTCCAAGGCTTGTTCGAAAACAGAAGCATTCACTTCCGGGTTTTCAGCGTTTGGCTGCCGAACAATTCGAAACCTTGAAAACCGAGGTTACACTGTATTTGGAAATCTTAGGCTAATATGACATTTAAAAATGCCTAACTCGGAGAGGGAAGCCACACAGTTTTGTGGTGGAAATACCAGCGGCATCCTCTGAAAAACAGAGATATGGGTCTATGAAAGCCTATTTATCCCATATGTACTGTCTTTTGAGGCAACTGCTGCTTTTATATATACACTGGTACCTTGGTTCTCGAACTTAATCCATTCCGGAAGTCCGTTCCAAAACCTAAACATTCCAAACCAAGGCATGTTTTCCCATAGAAAGTAATGCAAAATGGATTAATCCATTCCAGGCTGTTGAAAAACTACCCCTAAAACGCTTCTCCCCACCGCCCCAATCAGCGTGATCTTTCGAGATCTCTTTCTCTCTTGATCTCTCTCTCGTCAAAGTGCCTGGACCACAGAGCACTGCCGGGATTTCTCCTCATCGGCCCAATCAGCACGATCTCTCTAAAAACGGAAGCGCAACACTAAAAACGGAAGCTCAGGACTCAGGACACGTTCGACTTCCAAAAAAAATTCGAGAACTGGAACGCTCACTTCCGGGTTTGCGACGTTCGGGTTCTAAGTTGTTCGTGAACTAGGCTGTTTGAGAACCAAGGTACCACTGCATATATAAAACAAGTGTGGCACTATGCTACCAACTTCCATTTGCCTGCACAGCAAGGCACACACTCACTCCCCAAGCAAGGTCCAGGAAGTCCTTCTCCAGAGAAACACGCAGGCTCAGTTCAGAAGAACAGCTGCCACTTGCGTTGATGAATAGGAGGGAAGAATCGGAGACTTCACCCCTTTATTAATCCCCTGGTCTCTTCTCTCTGGCGAGGCAAGTAGAAGCGCTGCAAGCTCAAGTATCTGCAGAAGCTGTGTCAGACCGAGCAGTCCCCTGGCCTATGGTGCATCCCAGGAGAAGGCAGACTTTGTTTACCTCCTCTCTAAAATGAAGAACAGCATTCACTTCTTGAACTCTACCCTCCATTTTCAAACCTCAAGGCACAACAGTTTCTGAAACTTGCAAGAAATAAAAAAATTAATGCAATTGTGGAAAACTAGGGAGCTAAGCTGCTATGGTTTTCCTAGTAGTGATGTATGGAAGTGAGAGCTGGACCATAAAGAAGGCTGATCGCTGAAGAATTGATGCTTTTGAATTATGGTGCTGGAGGAGACTCTTGAGAGTCCCATGGACTGCAAGAAGATCAAACCTCTCCATTCTGAAGGAAATCAGCCCTGAGTGCTCACTGGAAGGACAGATCCTGAAGCTGAGACTCCAATACTTTGGCCACCTCATGAGAAGAGAAGACCCCTGGAAAAGACCCTGATGTTGGGAAAGATGGAGGGCACAAGGAGAAGGGGACACAGAGGATGAGATGGTTGGACAGTGTTCTCGAAGCTACCAACATGAGTTTGACCAAACTGCGGGAGGCAGTGGAAGACAGGAGTGCCTGGTGTGCTCTGGTCCATGGGGTCACGAAGAGTTGGACACGACTAAACGACTAAACAACAACATGGAGCTAAGCTAGTCAGAGTACTACAGAAGCTAGAAAAATCTCAAGTGCTAGCATCCAGTCTGGTATTTGAAAAGAGGGAAGGAGAAACTGGTCCACCAGTTCTGATTTATCTCCATGTTTATCTGTAGTGTCCAGTTCCTCAAGCACCGCTTCAGAAGAGCCACTTCCATGCTCCAGCAAACCATTCCCTTTAACTGTTTTCTCTGCCACATAAACGCAGAACTATGTTTCACTGTCTAATCAAGACGCAGCGGTGTACCTGCCTTTAAATTTACTGAGATACTGAATAAATAATTCCCTCTATCTTCTCATTTAGCTACAAAAATCTACAAGCCTCAAGGAGATTTATCCTTTGTTCAGATGTCTAAATGCCCCGTGACTCACTAGTCTCTTTGTGTCAAATGACCACAGCTCTCAGCTTTCAACAATGAAAACAGCACGGGTTACGTCAACAGGCCCAACATGGAACTGACCATTCATAAAACTGGTGCCACCATGCAATTCCTGCCCCCGTGAGAATGTCATCAAGTTGTACTCTCTAACACAGGGGTTAGCAAACTTTTTCAGCAAGGGGCCGGTCCACTGTCCCTCAGACCTTGTGGGGGGCCAGACTATATTTTTGGGGGGGGGGGAATGAACGAATTCCTATGCCCCACAAATAACCCAGAGATGCATTTTAAATAAAAGCACACATTCTACTCATGTAAAAACAAGCTTATTCCCGGACTGTTCCATGGGCCAGATTTAGAATGCAATTGAGCCAGATCCGGCCCCCGGGCTTTAGTTTGCCTACCCATGCTCCAACATTTGCGACAGTCACATTATGACCCAGTTCCAAGTTGCGAGTTCTCTTTTGTCAGCCTTCAATGATAACTTTTATACGTTCCCTTTTTAAATAAACACCCAGCTTAATCCCAGTCTAAACATATTTACTTGGGAGGAAGTGCCAATAAAAACAGTATTTCCAAATAAAATGCTTACTCCTAAATAGCCTCACTGAAATCTGGCACAGAATTACACATATGGCCTCATCATTTCAACAGACTCTGTGTGTGTGTGTGTGTGTGTGTGTGTGTGTGTGTGTGTGTTCAGTTGCACATTAGACCGCAGGTATAGGAAAGTCAGCAAACTTGTTATTGTAAACTTTGTTTACATTTGCTCTATGGGATGTTCATTTAGGAGCCACCAATGATTAATGCCATTATTACTCAGTGTGAAAGAGTAAACTTACCTGCCGGTGTGGAAATAGATTAAGGCTTCCTTTTTTTTTACTCATTACAAGAGGCCAAGGAGGACAAGATAGATTAATCACTGCCCAGTCCTGAGATGTCAAAACAAAACATCGCCTCCTGCATCTCAAAACTAAAGCCCTTTATCTTTCAAAACTCTGTAAGCAAATTAAGTTAGCTCTTTTTGCTCAGTCAATAACAAAGCCAAGCACTTGCGTCTGGGAAGAGGGAAAACTCCTCCTCCATATAATACAAGAAAGCCATGCTGATAGTTAGCTACTTAATTATAGTTGTTAGAAAATCATTTCCCAAAATACAGCAGCAGTAGTTTTGTCCACATCATCTCTTTCAATTCCCCAAGTTGGTGAGGCTCGTTTGACAACAATGAGAAATCAAGTTTTCAGTGTCACTGGCCCAAGACTTGTGGAACACAATGAGAACAGGGATTCAGTGAGTGCCTTCTATGTCAACTTTTAAATGCCTAAGGAAAACTATTCCACCAGGCAAATAAGAGTACATTCCCTACAATGGTCTACTTGTGCTTGATATTAATTTCTTTTTGTTTTTAACTTATTTTTAACTCATCATGTTATTGTTTGGTTTGGTTCTTTTCATACTGTTCTGAACTGTGGTATATTTTTATGAACTAGTTGTATATAAATATTTCTTATAAATAAATAAATATGAACAATTGTATCCAAAGGAGGCAAGTCAGTCTCGCCACTGCCTTTTTCAAATTCATCTAAATCTTTAGGCAGAATAGGGGCTAGTAGCCGAGAGGCCTTCCAGCAGACAGACCGAAGGTGAAAGACTCAAGAAGAGATGCATATAAGAAAAATTACAAACTGCAAACAAGCAACTGGAAGTTGAGGTGAAGGGACACCACCCCATACTCACTTCTCAAAGTGGCCCTTCAGGTAAAGTAGCTGATGCCAAGAGTGCAGAATTTGTCAGACGATGCTCATCAGACCCATGAATCACATCCTGGCAAATTAATACTACAGGGTTTGCCATGTCTGTTTCTGAACCTCCCTCTCTCTTGCAACCTTTGGGGAGGGGGCGCAGAGAAGGGAGAAAGAGATCCTTCCTCTCTAGTTACATACAAACTGTATGTTCCACACAACCAAGCAAGCAAGCCAGCCCAGCAGGAAGACAAGAGAACATAAAAACACCCTCTGTAACAGACCCCAGCCCTTTGACACAGGGAAACTAAGGCCACATGGAGCATACCGTTCTCAGGGGACAAAAAAAATATGTGTCTACAATCAGTTGTTGCAGTTGCTGATATTTGTCTCTCTCAAGAGACACTGGAGTGTGCCTCCAGTGGTGAAGTCAAACTGCTTTGCTTAGACGACAAGACCCTCCTCTTGGCCTTGCTGATGTAGTCCAAAGAAAAGCAGAGCAATACATTTGGCACCAGCTTGGCTGCAGGAGTCGACGGAAGGAGGCATACAAGACGCCATCCAACTGTCTTAGGGATTCCACTCCAGATTTGTGTAGGGTTTAGTCCTTAGCCTTTTCTTCTCCCAAAGATGTCCCGCAAGGCAGTGGAGGTTTAGGGTAAGAGCATGGGTAGGCAAACTAAGGCCCAGGGGCTGGATCTGGCCCCATCGCCTTCTCAATCCGGCCCACGGACAGTCCAGGAATCAGCATGTTTTTTACATGAGTAGAATGTGTCCTTTTATTTAAAATGCATCTCTGGGTTATTTGTGGGGCCTGCCTGGTGTTTTTACATGAGCAGAATGTGTGCTTTTATTTAAAATGCATCTCTGGGTTATTTGTGGGGCATAGGAATTCGTTCATCCCCCCCAATATAGTCCGGCCCCCCCACAAGGTCTGAGGGACAGTGGACCGGCCCCTTGCTGAAAAAGTTTGCTGACACCTGGGTAAGAGTTTTCCTTCTCCTAGAAGGGCTACTTTCATAGGTTGACAAGCCATCTGCCCCTCACGTGCAGAAACCACTTTCTTGACCATCGGACCCACGATTGGTCTCGTCCACTCAATCTGCAGGTGCCTGTCTTTACATCTTGGGGAAGTCCCTAACTCACCAAGGGTTCGAGACCCATAAGCAACCCTCACCTGGTTTAGTTGACTAGTTGAAGCTGTTCCCGGAGTGTGATCGCTGTCAAATGCTGACATTTTCTAGGAGCCACAGGTGAGAGCTGAGAGCAGGGTAGCGACAAAAGGTGAACAAACTACCCCAGAGGGAGCACAACGTCTGCCCCACCAGACGTACTACCCCTCCCCTAACACCCCACATACCCATCTAGGAAACAAGCCGGATCATAGGGAACTGAATGGTGTCTCAAAACAAGAGGCAGACTACGCGAGAGCTGACCAGACAAGGATAAAAGTGATATTGTGAGGCGGTGGGAAGGGAAACTGAGACAAGCACAGAGTTACCATAGTTTTCTTAACAACAGCCTGGCAGTTGGAAGTTTTCCTTCACGTAGAGTCGTAGGGTATCCCCCCTCCCCCAAAAAACAATTTGACACATATTAAAAAAAAAAATACACCCAGAAATCCGGCAGTTGGAAGCTTTCCTTCAAGTAGACTTACAGGGTTTCTTTCCCCTTGCATGATATGTGCGCTGGGCCCGATTTAGGTTTGATGAGGCCCTAAGCTCTTGAAGCTAATGGGGCCCTTTATATAAACAGCTGTCCTTTGTCAACAACAAATTGTCGCTGTTGTTTTGTGTTGAATATATGCTGCATGGTAATTTATGGACCTAATAGGTCCATACACAACACAAAATACTGTTGCTGTGTGTAGGTTTTTATTTTATTTGCTTTTTATCTTGTATTTAGGAAATGTACATCCAGGTTGTTGTTTATCCTTTAATTTGGGGGGGCGCCAAGAGAGTGGGGCCCTAAACTATACCTTCTTTAACTTATACGTACGTAAATCCGCCACTATAATGTAGTAAAAGGTAAAGGGACCCCTAACCATTAGGTCCAGTCGTGACCGACTCTGGGGTTGCGGCGCTCATCTCGCTTTATGGGCCGAGGGAGCTGGCTTACAGCTTCCAGGTCATGTGGCCAGCATGACTGAGCCGCTTCTGGCGAACTACAGCAGTGCACGGAAACGCCGTTTACCTTCCCACCGGAGCGGTACCTATTTATCTACTTGCACTTTGACGTGCTTTTGAACTGCTAGGTTGGCAGGAGCAGGGACCGAGCAACGGGAGCTCACCCCATTATGGGAATTCGAACTGCCGACCTTCTGATCGGCAAGTCCTAGGCTCTGTGGTTTAACCCACAGCGCCACCCGCATCCAGGTTGTTGTTTATCCTTTAATTTGGGGGGGGGCGCCAAGAGAGTGGGGCCCTAAACTATACCTTCTTTAACTTATACATACCTAAATCTGGCACTGTAATGTAATACAGTGGTACCTTCAGGTTACAGACTCCGCTAACCCAGAAATAGTACCTTGGGTTAAGAACTTTGCTTCAGGATGAGAACAGAAATTGTGCTCCGACGGCGCGGCAGCAGCAGGAGGCCCCATTAGCTAAAGTGGTGCTTCAGGTTCAGAACAGTTTCAGGTTAAGTACCGACCTCCGGAATCAATTAAGTACTTAACCCGAGGTACCACTGTATTTCCCCCCAAAGAACAACAACAAAGCGCCCAAAGCGATGTCGGAAAACTCTGTGGCAGGCACTTTCCTCAAAGGGAGTCGAAATTCAGTTTTCAGACAGTCAAAAATTCGAATCAGATGTCAAAAATGGAAGTCAAAAATTTGAATAAGATGTAAAAGTATGTTTAATTACTGTTGAAAACGATATGTTAAAAAAAAACTAATAAAAAATTATATTTAAAAAATTCAGTTTCAGTGGGATATTGGGGGGGAGTAAGGAAAGCTTCACCTGCCGGATTCCTGCCTGCCTGCTGCTTAGAGAAAAGGCAAGCGCCTGGTTCTTACGGACATACTCTCGCTCTGGAGGATCTCCCGGCGCAGCCCCGCCACGTACTGGATCAGCTCCTCCAGGCTCCGCTCGCACAGCTGCCCGTAGCCCGAGAACTTCTGCAGCACCTTCTCCAGCTCGCGCTCCACCGTCACGCACTGGTCCATCGCCTCTTCCGCCCGGCCACCCCAGGCCCCTGCTGCCCGGCCTTGGCCCCACCGGACGACGGCGGAGGCGGCGGCGGCCCCACCGACCGGGCCGAGGAGAACCTGCGCCGTGTGAGGGAGGGAGGCTTGTTGTTTTTGCAGGCAGCGCGCCGGACGGACCGGGGGAGGAGGAGGAGGAGGAGGGGGGTCCTCCCCGGCGGAAGGTTGGAACTGCGGCGCAGGCGATTGCTGGAGGCAGCCCAGGCGGGGTCCTCGAGGAGCGCCCGCGTGATTGGGTAAGGCTTGCGCGTGCGTAGATGTAGGAAAAGAGCGCAGAGGAGCTCGCATGCGCCGACGCAGACGAGGGTGAAACTTGCTGGGTTCCTTTGCTTGGTTTTCCCGAGGCGGAAGCGGCAGCTCAGGAAGAGCTCAAGCGGAGGGAAATGAGCCGCCAGGCTCTTCCTCGCTCCTTCAAAGCGCTGCCTCTTACAGGAATTCGCGCCTTGTAATGTAGGTCTTATTCCAAGTTGGGGGTGGGGAAGGGATATGTCGGTTTGGCGAGTAAATATATATAGAACGCTGTGTATGTGCAGCGTTCTCCGCCTTTTTTATCGACAACTGTCACTCCTGTCTCAGCGAGACAAAAAAAAAGGCGCTAAAGGGAACTCGGAAATTAGAAGCTTTGTGTAAGTCTGTATTATGATGTCTATTGTTTTTACCGTTTGAAAGCAGTCGAGGTGCGTTCAGGCAGCAACTTAGACACCTCAGACTGTCGTTTCCTCTCGTAAGCCTTCTTGAGACTCCTAAACAAGCATTTTGTCATTTCTGCATAAACACAGGTTGGGCAGGGCCTGTATGAAAGCAGCCTCTTTGAACAGGCAAATCAGGCAGTACGGTTATCCCCTTTTTGAGGGTGGGGAGAGGAGGGGGCGGGTTTGTTTACCATGAGATGTCATAGGTAAACAGATAGGGAAAGCGGAAGTAGCGTTTTGGGGGTCCTCCTGCCATGGCTCCGACTTCCGTCGCGCGTCGGCTACGTACAGGTCATCACGTGATTATTTGTTTTTCTGTGAGTTGTTAAACCTGCTGGTTCTGCGTCTGGGACTCTTAGCTGCCCAACGAGCTCCTAATTTCGTTGTTGTCGTTTTTACAAATGTATAAATGCTTGCAAAGATTGTATCTTCTTGTTATTCTTTACATGCTGTCGTGGCTCTTTAGAAAATACGCAGAAGGGGACTGTTAATATTTTTATTATTTCTTAAATTAGTATACTGCCCTTCATAAAAAGATCACAGCGCGCATCACAGCATAAAAATACAAAATGAAAATACAAAATACATAATAAAATAACCAACAAACTATTAGCATCCTTCCCAAAAACACATCCAAGAGCCCACAAAATGTTCATTCAGCTAAAGACCTGGGTAACAGAGAAACATTTTGGTCTGGCGTCTAAACTGATGAGGAATATCGACTGGAGGCAAAAGCAGGGTTGGCAAGGGATGCAAACTTCTTCTTTTTTACCATTGCAGAAGAAGCCAACGCCTTTGATTCTCCTCTGTGAAAATTCTCACACAAGGTTTGATTAAATCCTAAACCAGCTTACTTATAACTTTCCCTAGTGTTCCTCCGTAGTAATGCATGTATATGGATTGCAGTCTTAAGACTACTTGTGTGAGCACCTCTTTGCACGGGTAAACCAGCTACAATAACACCTGCACCTGGCAGGTTGAACCACAGAACTTGATATTGCTGTTGGACTGCCCCAGTCATCTGAGTCAAAACCTGTAGCTTAAGTTCTCAGGACTCTAAATAAAATCTAAAATATTTGTATCCCGCTTTTCTGCCTGACAGTAGACCTCCAAACAGCTTAAACAAAATAAAATAAAATGCACAATCAGCATCTTTAATTAGAAGGCAGTTCTTATTAATGAGAGACTACTTAAGGATGGATTCATTTAAACTGTGTGGTGCAGCCACAAGAGGTGTCTTTTTTAGAATATATATATATATATATATATATGAGAGAATGATTGGGTGGAACACTCTTAGACCAACCCCTGAGTAGCAGACTGAAAAACAAAAACTGAAAAGCATTGCAGGCAAGTAATCCTACCTAGCAATGTTCCTGGAATACAGGAATACAGATTCCTGGCTTCCTGAGCCTAGAGCCTATTCTTGCAAAATGTTGATAGCACCAGATGATCTCAAGGTAAAACAGTCCATGACCCTGTCACATGCCAATATCCAGGGATTTTTTTTTCAACTGGAACTCGCCAGAACTCAGGTCCAGCTTCTCTCAGGTGGGTACCATTGCCATTCTAAGAGAATGAGGGAGGTGTTTGTGGTGAGCTCCGGCCCCTCTTTTTCTTGAAAAATAGCATTGCCAATATCCCAATGGGTTGGGAAACTGTTAACATTTTATATACTGGATATTGGACATTCTAGATGTTGGTGGCAAATGCATGCATCTTTTAACAGTACTTTCAAAGCTTCACAAACCGTGTAAGATAGATCTGTATTCTTATCCCCATATTGTAGATGGTGCACGTCAGGCTACAGTGATTGGGAACCTGTTGACATTGTTGTCCTTCAGTTTCCATCACCTTTTCTCACTGGCCACGGCCAAGTTGAAATACAACATCTGAAGGATCACAGGTTTTCCCAACTCTGGCCTAAGGCAACTTGGAGAGGAAATTGAATTCTGGACTTCTTGGTTCATAGCTAACCAAGTCTACTCAGAAGTGTGTATATCAAATAAATTGTGATGTCACACTGAAAATAAATGAGCATGGGGTGTGTCTGCTTTGCAGGACACCCTGTTTAGATTCAATAGCACTTAAACGACAAGTGTAATAGTTCTTATACTTGATTGTTGGCTCTGTTTATTTCTCTGACCGATAGAGGACCTCAAGGGATCTTTATGGGGAGCTGGGCTGCATAAACCAACCTCCATTTCTAGACCATAGGTTTATGTGTACTAATGTGCATAGTCTTATTATTCACTAAGCTGCACTACAAAATTTCACACCTTCTGTAACTAGGTTTCTAAAGACAGTGGGAAGACTTCTTTTTCTTGTTGTTGTTATATTTATTAAATGTGTATACCACCCTTCACCTGAAGACCCCAGGGCAGTTGACCTAAATGCCTACAACCTGCAAAGTCTCATCCACTTAGCCGCACTACAAAATCACAGGAGGAGCTGGGGGGGGGGGTGTCTCAGAGCGGTTCACAGAATAAAAGCAAGATGTAAAACCACAAAATATGTAATAAGAATAAAAACAAGAACCCAATAGCCGCCCCCGCCCCCCCAAACACACATTTTAAAAGGGCATAGGATGTAAATCTGATCAACCAAAGGCCTGTTTAAAAAGGAACAAGAAGGATTACTTATTCAATCTGTATACCACCCTTCACACAGGGCCAGATTTAGGTTTGATGAGGCCCTAAGCTACTGAAGGTAATGGGGCCCTTTATATGTCCAGCTGTCCTGTGTCAACAACAAATTGTCGCTATTTTTTGTGTTGAATGTATGCTATATGGTAATTTATGGACCAAATAAGCATCCAAAGCCATTTGCACATAACAAAACATGTATTTTATCGAAGTAATTGTTCAACTGAAATACAATTAAGAAAAACCTCAGATATGCAGATGACACAACCTTGATGGCAGAAAGTGAGGAGGAATTAAAGAACCTTTTAATGAGGGTGAAAGAGGAGAGCGCAAAATATGGTCTGAAGCTCAACATGAAAAAAACTTAAGATCATAGCCACTTGGCCCATCACCTCCTGGCAAATAGAAGGGGAAGAAATGGAGGCAGTGAGAGATTTTACTTTCTTGGGCTCCATGATCACTGCAGATGGTGACAGCAGCCACGAAACGCCTGCTTCTTGGGAGAAAAGCAATGACAAACCTAGATAGAATCTTAAAAAGCAGAGACATCACCTTGCCAACAAAGGTCCGTATGGTTAAAGCTATGGTTTTCCCAGTAGTGATGTATGGAAGTGAGAGCTGGACCATAAAGAAGGCTGATCGCCGAAGAATTAATGCTTTTGAATTATGGCGTTGGAGGACTCTTGAGAATCCCATGGACTACAAGAAGAGCAAACCTATCCATTCTGAAGGAAATCAGCCCTGAGTGGAAGGACAGATCCTGAAGCTGAGGCTCCAAGACTTTGGCCACCTCATGAGAAGAGAAGACTCCCTGGAAAAGACCCTGATGTTGGGAAAGATGGAGGGCACAAGGAGAAGGGGACGCAGAGGACGAGATGGTTGGACAGTGTTCTCGAAGCTACCAGCATGAGTTTGACCAAACTGCGGGAGGCAGTGGAAGACAGGAGTGCCTGGCGTGCTCTGGTCCATGGGGTCACAAAGAGTCGGACACGACTAAACGACTAAACAACAACAAATATTAATATTAAAATTTTCATTTAATTTTTTGGGGGGCCCCCAAGAGAGGGGGTCCCCAAGCTATAGCTTGTTTAGCTTATACGTAAATCCGGCGCTGCCTTCACCCCGAGGACCCCCAAGGGCCGCTTCACAAACAGAAGGCGCACCTTTCTTCTCAACGGGTGGTGCAAATTTCGGCCAAATATCCCAGAGTTGGGGGGAGAAGAAAAAAACAACCCCAACACAAATCCTTCTTGCCAGAGTCTACCCCGGGGGAACCCGTTTCACCCAGATCCTAAACCCAGCGCGACTTTCTCTCCCGAGGAGCCAAAACCTGCGAGAGAGCGGACGCCTCCCAAAAAGAAAAGAGGCGGCGGCGAAAGCCAACCCAGGCAGGCAGCATCCTTTTTGGTGGGGAGGAGAGAGAGGAGGGGAAAGCCTGACCCGGGCCTTTGCGCGCGCGCGCGCCGGCAATGGACCTTCCCAAGGTAAACGAGCGCTGAGCCCGCCTTGGGGGGAGCCGGGGCCGGATTCTTCTCCCACCCCACCCCGGCCTGGCGGAACCGTCGCGCCGCCCTCTCCTCCTCCTCCTCCTCCTCCCCCCTCGGCTGCCGGCCGCGGCTGCGCGACGTCACTTGTTATGTCTCCTCCGGCCCGGGCTCTGCTCCGCCGCGGAGAGGCGACGACGACGGCGCGCCGAGAAGCCCGAGCGCAGCAGCAGCAGCAGGAGCAGCACCGCCCGCGGCGGCCCCGACAAGAGTAGGGCCGCCGCCTGCCTGCCTGCCTGCCCGGGACGGGGTAAAACAAGCGAGGAGGAGGAGGCGCCTTGGCCGGCCGAGCCCCGTCCTTGCCCGACCCCCTGAAGGCTTCTCTCACCCCCCAAACCAGCGCCACCCCGCCTCGTGCGCCCCGAATGAGATGGTTTCCTGGTTGGGGGGCGAGGCCCTCCCAAATTATTTCCACCCCCCAGCCGCCTCCTAGAGACCTTTCTCACTTGGTTCTCCTCAGCACCCCACAAATACCCAGCTCCCACCTACACACACTGCCTCCCTAAAATGATGGGGTGCCCTATATTAAAGGGGTGCTTCTTCTTTCCCCCCACCCCATATCCGGGTTCCCTCTAGGCGAGTGGGTGTTATCCTCTCCCCCCCACCCCACCCCACCGCCATTGTGTCTTTTCATAAGAATGAGGGGATAATGGGGAAGGGACTCTTTGACAGTAGCAACCAAACTGGGGGTTGTGGTGTTGTTGTTGTTTTGGGGTATGTGGATATCTGCTCCCCCTTTTTTTCCTTCCCTCCAGACGTTTCTCTTTTTTCTCTTTTCTTTTTGTAGGACTGACTTGGCTCTCTCCGCAGAGAGTCAGGAGCCCCCCGCGCGGAGGAAAGATGTGGCTGAAGCTGTTTTTCCTGCTTCTTTATTTTCTGGTCCTGTTCATCCTGGCCAGGTTTTTCGAGGCCATTGTGTGGTACGAGACGGGCTTCTTCGCCACCCAGTTGGTGGACCCGGTGGCGCTCAGCTTCAAGAAGCTGAAGACCATTTTGGAGTGCCGGGGACTCGGCTACTCGGGGCTTCTGGAAAAGAAGGATGTCAGGGAACTGGTTGAGAAGTCAGGTAAGAAAAAATGTCTGTTCGCTGGCATTTTAACTTTCGGAATAGGTCCGTTCCCCCTTTACTGTATTAAGCATCTATATTGCAATAACTTCTATTGTGTACAGTCATAGAGAGTGTGCAGGGGAAAGGAGTAATACTAAATAAATGTGCTTAATAATCTCAGATGTGACCTCACGCTTTGAATGCCTTCCAACTTTTTATGGAGAATTGCTTAAATGTGGCAATGTTTGAAGAAGCACAGGGCAGCAACAGGCTAGCATGGAATATACAACAGAACAGAGAGATTGGGGGGGCGGGGGGAGTTGTCCAGATGAAAATCATCAGGAACCATGATGTAATATCTGGCTTTATCTAAGACATGCCGGTAAGAATCAGAATTTGAAATGTGGCATGTGGTGTTTTGACGTGCACCCAAAACTAGCATGAAAGATCTTCTACATTGATCAGAAAGTGCCTGGCATTTTGTTAGGACGGGTAACAAGTTAGGTCACAAGTTTATTAAGATACTGGCTATCAGATTCTCTGCATGTTTCCTTGGTTGTAAATCTTACTGGCCTTGATGCAAGCAAGTGTGCATAAGTAATTTAAAACAGCGCAATTCTAAGCGTGTTTGTTCAGAAGTAAGCCTCATTGAGCTTAATGAGGTTTACTCACTTGTAGGTGTGCATTAAGATTGTATCTTTCGTGCAACACATTGTTCAGAAAAGAAAGGATCACTGTTTTGCCGATTAATTTAATATATGCTTCAGACAAGTAGCAAGGCCTTGTTATGTATTCAAGGAAGTAAAATAATGTCAGAGAAATGCATGGCAAAGGTTTGCCTCAGTGTTAGCTTTTGTTTGCTGAGTGAGAAGTTGAAGGTTTGGCTGCTTCAGAACAAATATCTTATAAAAAATACCTTATTGTAAGCATATTTCTGACCTGACTGTTAACACCTTCAGAAAGTCATATGTCTATAAAGATAATAACAGTGGTGCTCTTTGGTTGAATAAATGCTTTGGTCCGCCAAACAGTAAAAAGTGCAGCCAGGTGAGATAAATGAGTAAGACTGGCTAATTGCTTTGTGTACCTGCTTGTACAAACTCTTATTTTATGCTAACCAGTGTGCAACCATCGAAATCCTCAGCCTTTTGAGATCATCTCAAGGAAATTGTATCTGATCTATGGTTAGCAGCAGGCATTGGCAAACTTGGCCTTCCAGATGTTTTGAGACTACAATTCCCATCATCCCTGACCACTGGTCCTGTTAGCTAGGGATGATGGAAGTTGTAATAGATGATCCTTGGGGGTTCTTCCAACTCTACGATTCAGTTTATTGACCCTCTTCCAGTCCTTTACTAATCCCAGGCATTGGTTCATCTGAATATGTTTTGGTTCATCTGAATCTGGTGAAAGTGAATAGTAGAGGTTTGGGGTTCTCATAAATCCACTCTACCAAATTCAAAGTGCTGAAGCTCAGCATGACAGCCACACACCCCAAAGAGGATCCATAGCTGTGCCTCCACAGATACTCAAAACATGCAGGAAGCTGTGTTGATCCATGGTATAATAAAATGAATATACACCCACAAGCAGTGGTACATAGCATAATGCCCACTTAATTAGGATTAGATTGACTGCAATCCCGATTGCTTTGTTTCCTGGGAGTAAGATCCATTGAATTCAGTGGTGCTACCCCTTCTGTCTTTGTACATTCAACTGGTAAAGCACACTGAGCTTTAAGAAAATATCTTCAACCAGTTGATATGCATCCTTGCTTGGGAAGAAAATGAAAAGTTATCTAGCTGACATTCTTCTGTTTTGACTTATCTTGCAACTATGGCCATACTCTTGCTCCCCATAATTCTCAGTATAATAGCACCTTCGTTCTGTACCCCAACCTCCCATCTTCCTTTCAGAGCTGAAATGTCAATGCATACACAGTCACCCTGAGGTTGGTAAGCACTTCGGTTGTAATCCTATACTCAGCTGAGAGTAAAACCCGTTGAACTCAATGGGGCATAGTTCTGAGTGGGCATGTACGGGATTGCACAGTAATGTATTGAGTTGCAGGGAAGCTCTCAGAAGACTACTGGAACAAAACTAATTTGGTCATTTAAAAGAAACGGCTCCTTTGTAGAAATGTCTAAGATACGAAGTAGATTAGAAAAGTAAAGAGAGGAAACTACTGATGATCTAAACAAAATACAGAATCCTAAAGGAAATTTAATGTTCATATTTGCAGACTTAAGTTAAATGAGAGTAGAAGGAAATCTTTTTAGTGCACATTGAGCTCTTGAAACACCATACTTGCATGTGGCTATCCCCCATGGGACTTAGACTTATTTCCAAGTAAAACAGAGTTTTGAGCTGGAAGAAGTTGCCCATGTGAACAGAAAAGAGCGACACAGTTCCTTCTATGGAAGAGAGAGCCAGTTTTTAACCAAACTGGATAGGAATTGCTTTGGTGAAAACAAGCAAAGCTCTGGTTGTGCATTTTTCTCCTTTGACTTAGTTTAAGTGTTTGCATCTTATAAAAGGTATGCTATTGTCAGAAAATAAATTTTTAAAAAGCAGAACGTCCCATATCATGAAAATAGGATATTTCAGCACTTAAGCACCATATTAGTTTTTGCTCCTACAGGTTGGTTTCTCTTCTGGAATTTATCCACCAACGTTTGTAAAAGCGTCATGGAATAGCTGGGATTGATAGGTGTGCAATAATTTTATACTGCATATTTGGCTTTGGCTCAGGCACCTATCCCTGCAATGGAATAACCAACTGGAGCTATGCTGAATTTTCACCCCATACATTTTTAAGGCAGAAAGCAGGGTTTGGGAGAAGTTTAATGAACACCTCCTCTCTTGGATTTTTTTTAAAAAAACACTCTTTCCCGAACAGTTTGCTGCCATTTTTAAAAGGGGGGGGCGGGGAGCTTAAGTGTTCCTAACCATCTAGCAGTTACATTGTCCCAGTGATATGATGCTCTCACCTTGATTATCAGATTGGATTACATGATTGCCTTGGAAATAAATCCTTGCTTAAAAGAAGCACTGAGGCTTCATATTGAGAAAATGGTCAGTTGTTAAACGTTTCAGTGCTTCCTACACTCACTCTCAATGAGTGAACCTGTTTGCTCCATTTTGCAAGGCTTCCTGCAAAGAATCACCAAAATTAGGTGGGGTATATTTTTCCGGGAGAAAGTTTTTTTTTGCAGAATGCTCACACTGCCTTTATTTCAGCTCGGCGATCATATTCAACCCCTTCCAAGGACCTGCATGCAGATTCTTTCTTTTCCCGCTGCGTTTCTGTAGCTTTCAGGCTAAAGAGGGAATTTCGCATTACATGCTAGGGGAATCCAAACCCCGTGTTGCCTTCTCTGACTCTGGGCAGCCATTGCTGCAAATGGGTAAATTGTGTCATGGACCTTGCAGACCCAACGACACCAGCTCAAAAGAGGGGTGGTGTAACTACTAGAAATGGGAGAATTAGGGAGAGCAGGCTTTTTAATGGGCCAGTACCCACAATGGGAGACGCGGGTGGCGCTGTGGGTTAAGCCACAGAGCCTAGGACTTGCCGATCAGAAGGTCGGCAGTTCGAATCCCCGCGACGGGGTGAGCTCCTGTTGCTCGGTCACTGCTCCTGCCAACCTAGCAGTTCGAAAGCACGTCAAAGTGCAAGTAGATAAATAGGTACCGCTCCGGCGGGAAGGTAAACGGCATTTCCGTGCACTGCTCTGGTTCGCCAGAAGCGGCTTAGTCATGCTGGCCACATGATCCGGAAGCTGTACGCCGGCTCCCTCGGCCAATAAAGTGAGATGAGCACCACAACCCCAGAGTCATCCACGACTGGACCTAATGGTCAGGGGTCCCTTTACCTTTACCCACAATGGGGCTTCCACATAATTGCATTTAAGTTTGAGTGCACTTTGGGTATATTATATCTCTAATCATTGCTAACAACCCTTAAAGGTTATTTACCCTGTATTTTGGTAGCAGAGGAATGGGGACTGGGGCTCTGAGATCAGTGGCCAGCGACCATCCGATGAGGTTTGAGTTGGAGACATGCACTGTTGGCAGTTATGCTGCCCCAGCCCTCAAGGTTTTGGATTGCTTCAGGTGCAGCAATATATTGTTTGCCTTATTTTATCAGGCATTTGCAGGAACTCTTCAGTCCTTCATAAACTGAAGGGCTGCCTATAAAGCTTTGGGCTGGTTTACATAAATGGTCTGCTTTAATTAAAGTTAGAATAAATATTTCTCTTTACTGTATTTTCTGGCGTATAAAACTACTTTTTAACCCAGGAAAATCTCAAAAGTCGGGGGTCGTCTTATACGCCGGCTACAGCAGCAGCTCCTGCAGCAACTCCCCACCAAAGGATAAAATGACAGCAAATTAAATCTGAGGACACCAAGCTCTCTAGATAAAGCAGAAATACGCTTGCAAATTGGCCCCAGAAGCCGCCAACCACTGGGAAGTGGAGCGGATTTCTGAGCTGGACTGGAGACTGGTTTTTTAAATTTTTATTTGGTGTGCGTTGGAAGAGGGGTAGTCTTATACGGCGAGTATATCCCAAACTCTATATTTTAACTGGAAAAGTTGGGGGGTCATCTTATACGCTCAGTCGTCTTATACGCCGGAAAATACGGTAGGTGTTCCAACTAATTGTATTTTACATGACCTTCCCCCACTATGCAACTGAGTGGCATTTTAACTCAAATTGAAAGCATTGGCAATCTTTATCACTTTGAAGTTTGCTTTACAAGCAGCATATGTTGTATGTTCGTAGATTTTCCTCTTAAAAAGTAGTTAGGCGTCTCCCAACAATATCTATTCTGCTGCTGTTCCGGAATCCTTTTGGCGATTGTGACCTTTGGCATTTACTGTAATCAGTGTTCCTTTGTTTGTTTACATAGGAGACCTGATGGAAGGCGAACTTTATTCTGCTCTCAAGGAAGAGGAAGCCTCTGAGTCTGTTTCCAGCACAAACTTCAGTGGGGAAATGCACTTTTATGAGCTGGTAGAAGATACGAAGGATGGTATCTGGCTAGTGCAGGTATTAAATACATTATTTTTAACAGTGAAACGAGCCCCTGAGTTGGTTCACATTTCATGTAGTGTACTTATCCCAAAGGCGCAGTGTGTGGTATACATGAAGATGATGCTATATTGCTGCCCACTCAGATGGGCAGTAAAATTATTATTATTATTATTATTATTATTATTATTATTATTATTATTACACAACTAAAGCTGCAATCCAAAACACATTTTCTGGAAAGCCTGCCCCCTTGAAGCAAGACTTGCTTCGCAATAGACATACAGTGGTACCTCAGGTTAAGTACTTAATTCGTTCCGGAGGTCCGTTCTTAACCTGAAACTATTCTTAACCTGAAGCACCACTTTAGCTAATGGGGCCTCCTGCTGCTGCCGCGCCGCCGGAGCACAATTTCTGTTCGCATCCTGAAGCAAAGTTCTTAACCCGAGGTACTATTTCTGGGTTAGCGGAGTCTGTAACCTGAAGCGTATGTAACCTGAAGTGTATGTAACCCGAGGTACCACTGTACTTAAAATTGGGCTGCAAATGTCATGGCTTTGCTTTGAGTAAGTAGAATCTGTACTACTCATCTAGGATCAAAGAGATGCCATTCTTGGTTTTCCACTAAGTTGTTGCACATGAAAAGAGGCTAGCTGCTTGATCCTGTGCGCATTTACTAGGGAGTAAGTCCCATTGAATTCAGTGAGTTTTGCTCCCAGGTAAATGTACATAAAATCGCTGATAAGGTGTTCGTCAACTCCAGTCAATCATTCAAGGCCTTTCATTTTTATATCACCGTTTGCTTGTGCTGTTTCACATTTCCCTGTGCATCCTGCCTCAGTAACAGCTTTTCCTCTGGATTATTCTTCACAATTGGTTTCCCCATTTTAATGAGGTGCAAGGGGTTGTATAGCACAAATGAGCCAGTGTGAATTCGCATTACAGTGAACTTTTCCTCCTTGTCTCACATCCACTGAGTTGGAGATATGTTTGTTGTGGAATTCTGTTCTGTCCCTGTAAATGGGTATTAGCGCAAGGTTTTTTTAGCTGCTGGCTTTAAGTTGCCTTTTTCTAGGGTGGCAGCTGGGTCACACAAAATCAGTATTACCTAAAAGCATCCAAGCGCCATATTTCACTCAAGACGCTTCGAAAAGATGTTTTGTCGCAAACCTTTACAAAACGTTTCTGATGGTAATAATGCAAACACCAGCACCCTGTGAGGTATGATGCATACTTTACTCCTTCCTAAAGGTAAAGGGACCCCTGACCATTAGGTCCAGTCGTGACCGACTCTGGGGTTGTGGTGCTCATCTCGCTTTATTGGCCGAGGGAGCCGGCGTACAGCTTCCGGGTCATGTGGCCAGCATGACTAAGCCGCTTCTGGCGAACCAGAGCAGCGCACGGAAACGCCATTTACCTTCCTGTCGGAGCGGTACCTATTTATCTACTTGCACTTTGACGTGCTTTTGAACTGCTAGGTTGGTCAGGAGCAGGGACCGAGCAACAGGAGCTCGCCCCGTCGTGGGGATTCGAACCGCCAACCTTCTGATCAGCAAGTCCTAGGCTCTGTGGTTTAAGCCACAGCGCCACCCACGTCCCTTTTACTCCTTCCTACCTCCACCCTAAACCAGTCTTCTTCCATCTACATTGGCTAGTGGTACTTCAGGTGAAGCTTATAAAATAACCATCCTTCCCAACACCTGAACAGTGTTATTTTAAGATTCCGCTGCATTATGTCATTCTGGCTATAACAGTGTAGGAAAGGTTTGTGGCTTATTGCCTTTTCCTGCTTTTCAATGTAAGAAAATTGCAGCAGCAGAAGACACAGGGCACCTGAAACACTCAAGATGGAATGCTGGCAAGGCATGATTTTTCCAGTTTTATTTCTATCTTGTCTTTCATGAAGATGAAGCAACTGAAATAGGGAGAGGGCTTCCCGTTTTCTTACGGTCCTTTCGTCATTTACATGCTTAGAGAGACTCTTTAGTGTTATTATGGCACATTTCAATTTTTCTTTTCAGTGTACCTCATGTGCAGATAACTTTAATTTACACTGTACTGGAGGGCATCTTTGTTCATAGTTTTATAAACCCATTTTTTATTGCTCCATTTCCTTCTGTAGTGCATTCCTTCGCAAAAGGCCCTCTCAGATGCAGGTTGCTAGCAAAAAGTTGGGAAGTTTTGGAAATCTGGGAGATTCAGGATGGGACAAACACCTTTGCACAAGCTCATGGTTAAATTATGGAATGTACTATCACAAGATTTGGCAATGGCCACCAATTTAAGGCAGCTTTAAAAGGAGATTAGGCAAATTTGTGTAGGGTAAGTTATCTGTGGCTCTGAGTTGCGATGGTTGAGAGACCTGGTGGCATGACGCTAAAATGCATGTCTTGTTTGTGGTCTTCCCATCTGGTTGGCCACTGTAGGAAACAAGATTCTGGGCTAGTTAAGCCTTTCGTCCAGTCCAGCAGGGGTTGCCTTGTGTTCTTAATGCTGTTAGCGCAGTCCCCAGTGTTCAAAAAGTAATGAAAATAGCACTGAGTTCCCCACCATTCCATTCATAAAATTGATGCTACCATGCATTTGCTGGCAGGCTGTCAGCATGCCAACAGCCCCTCAGGAGACAGCAAGGTGGACTGAAGCCCAGAACACTCTTCTTACGGGTTGGGGATACACTGCAATATTTTGTTGCAGGTCCCACTATTTTTTAAAAAAATAATTATACCTGTGTGCATAGTCGTGTTTTGTGGGCCTATACCTGAAATCATTTCTACTGTGTAAGGAAAAGGTAAAGGGACCCCTGACCATTAGGTCCAGTCGTGGCCGACTCTGGGGTTGCGGCGCTCATCTCGCTTTACTGGCCGAGGGAGCCAGCGTACAGCTTCCGGGTCATGTAGCCAGCATGACTAAGCCGCGAACCAGACCAGCACACAGAAACGCCGTTTACCTTCCCGCCGGAGCGGTACCTAGTTATCTACTTGCACTTTGCTGTGCTTTTGAACTGCTAGGTTGGCAGAAGCAGGGACCGAGCAACGGGAGCTCACCCTGTCACGGGGATTCGAACCGCCGACCTTCTGACCGGCAACCCCTAGGCTCTGTGGCTTAACCCACAGTGCCACCTGCGTCCCTTTCTACTGTGTACAGAACAGCAAAACCTCCTTGATGCTCCCATTTCCCCTATATTTTAATGTGGCAGCTCTTTGCCATCAGGATAGTATAACTTTTGAGATGCTTAGAACTGGGATAGCAGCAACTGTTGAGCTTTTAGTTCTAAAATACCTTCCCTTCACACAGCAGTGGGACGTGCTTCTGAGGGATCGGGATGAAAATTTCCCAAGTTTAAAAACCAGAGAAGCATTCACTTTGCAAAACTTCACTTCGCAATAGCGTGCAACTAGAACACTGTGTAGCAAGCTGAAAAGAATCATAGAATCATAGAGTTGGAAGAGACCACAAGGGCCATCGAGTCCAACCCCCTGCCAAGCAGGAAACACCATCAGAAAAAGTTCTGCAAATAATTAACTGGCTGTAACAGTAGATCTGTTTTCCTCCCATTTATAAATGATGCCTTTCTGTTGGGAAACTTCATTCAGTGCAAAGAATAAAACTGCAGTGGTATTCAACTGGCACAATGACAGTTGACTGACACCTAATGTAGCTTTTGGAATGGTGACCGAAGAGGCAAACATTTGTTGATTCTTTTTATGTTAAAACACATTGTCCTCTTAACAGCCTTGTGGCGTTGTTTTTTTCTATTCTGGAGAGAGATGTAATCATGGCTTTTCGGGATGTTGAACTTTCTGGATGTAGTGTTGGTTTCTCTGTGTTCTGGTTTGCGTTCTCCATTCCTGCTAAGCCATTTTAGCAGCAGCGGCAATTCATCCAGAAGAACTCTTTGCAAGGTCGGGACGCATTTCACTCTGCATCAAATGAGAGATCTAAAAGGAAGTCTTAAAATCATTACTCGACCAATCAGCTTTCAATCACGTGACACATTCCTAAAATAATCAAAAAGTATGTGGAACCTGCAGGGCACAGTGACTCATGCATGATCAGTCATGTCATTTAAATTGCCTGTAAGGCAGAGCAAACGCCTGCCTTTCATCCTCCCCACTCTTCTGCTTTTATCAATCCACATTCCCAAGTGGATGATAATCTGTATTAATATTATACTAAGGGACAATTTAGGCAGAAGCTGCAGTTTATCGCTGTGTGAACAAGCCATTACAGCAAGCCTTGGGCTTGCACACTCCTCCTGGTTTCCTCTGGCACGTGCCAGAAATATCCACGTTTGGTTTTAAAGCAGCCTGAATTCCCCATTACGTCCAAAGTTGGGAAGCTATGGTTGGTTAGCTGGTGCCTTAGCCAGGGCTCTTCAGGCTTTTCGGACTGGCGAGCACATTTTGTTGTTGTTAGTGGTGTTAGCCGCCCTGAGCCCGGCTTCGGCTGGGGAGGGCGGGATATAAATAAAATTTATTATTATTATTATTATTATTATTATTTTGAGTTTTGAGAAAGTGCCGCGAGCAGCAGTCGCAAATTGACTTCCGTGGGGAGCATGGCATAACACGGCTGCCATGGGGTGTGGCATTGCACAGAATTAAAGAAAATACCGTCATCGCTGCTCCCCACGCATCTCAAATAGCCTCAGGCTTACCAAGGGATGTCAGCTATGTCCTGCTGGCCCTGGCTGCAGAGATAAAGTGTTACTGTTTTCTAAAATACTAGGTGCTTAATTTTAAAAAATGAAAAGCAAGAATTTGAGGTTTATATGGTTCATCCCAGAAGCACCAAAGAAGGCCAGAATTATAAATCAGTGTTTGATCCTGGTTTGTTTGAAATAATAATAATAATAATAATAATAATAATAATAATATTTATTATTTGTATCCCGCCCATTTGGCTGGGTTTCCCCAGCCGCTCTGAGTAGCTTCCAAGAAAGACAAAAAATACACTAAGATGTTACACATTAAAAACTTCCCTGAACAGGGCTGCCTTAAGATGTCTTCTGAATGTCAGGTAGTTGTTTTTCTCTTTGACATCTGGTGGGAGGGCGTTCCACAGGGCGGGCGCCACTACCGAGAAGGCCCTCTGCCTGGTTCCCTGTAGCTTGGCTTCTCGCAGCGAGGAAACCGCCAGAAGGCCCTCGGCGCTGGACCTCAGTGTCTGGGCAGAACAATGGGGGTGGAGACGCTCCTTCAGGTATACTGGGCCGAGGCCAGAGCTCAAGAGAGTTTGAGAGTTCAAAACCAGACTTCTCTACCCAGGGACTCCAACTCCCACCAGCCCCAGCTTGATCATATCCAATGGTCAAGGATAATGGGAGTCAGTGTCCAGAACATCTGGTGGGCAGCAGGTTAAGGAAAGCTGGTGTAAAATAACCACACTTCCTGAGATTGTCAAGTCATCTTCATTGGAATCTTTTGATCTGCTCCTTACATGTGAATGGCAAGAGCATGTGAGACCGAGGCTCAGGCTCAGTTTGGTTTATGAACATAATGCTAAGCTATGTTTTAGTGTTAGCATCTGAAGTGGTCCTTATTTATCCTGCAGTAACTTGTTCCATCAGGACATCTTAAATGGTATTCCTGTATTGGTCACACAGGGTTATTAAATATTATTGCTGCTATTTACTTATTTACTTTGTAAGCTGTTTAGTGGTTTGGTAATGTTAAGCAGTCTATAAATTGATTAGAAAAACAATTTCCCCAGCTTTTCTGTTGTGTTTGCTGCAGCAATATTTTTTTTACAATGTTTTAGCTATGTGCATAGCTGTCAACGTTTCCCTTTTTTAAAGGGAAATTCCCTTATTCTGAATAGGATTCCTCGCAAGAAAATGGAAAAGTTGACAGCTATGGCTATGTGGTGGTATTATTTCACAGTTCCGTTGAAATTTTGAACGCCCTACCAACAAAATTGACAATGAAATTCTAAAATCCTAGCTTGAAATAGTTTATGTAACAGATTATACTTGCAATAACAGGCAGTTTAATTCATGGCCTATCACAGATATTCTAGGTTTCCCCAGTTTTTTCAGACCTTCACATTTGCATACATGAGAAATCGGCTCACATGCAGTGCTCGAAACTCCCATTGTTCTAGGCACATTTTGCTACAGGAATTTCATTAGCGCAAGCAGTTTCTGAGCTCTGGGTGCAGTACCGCGCCTAAGATTTCAGATTAAAACTTCAGAGTGGAAGGAAAGGAGGACCTTTTTTTGCCTCCCCACTTCCAGCTACTCTCTGAAGACTGGAGAAGAGACCCTCTTAAGGATATAGGGGGCTGGTCAGGGGAAGGACTAGACCCATGTGAAAACTGAACATCATATTTTAGCTGCAGTTCATTCATTTTCAGCTATGTATTCTTGTTATTAAAAAAGCATGCCTAGACAGTCCATTGTAGCGCCCATAACCTAGATTTAAGGTGCCATTTAGCTGCTAGCTTTCATATCTCAGTTTCTCACACTCCTCATATGCATGGAGCATTCCTGCAGTGGGCTTATGGAGAATTCTGTGAGACGTATTTAATAGATGGTCACATGGCCATTCAAGAGAAACCTACATGGATAACTTGTTTGTACAAGTTGTGTTCAAATGTATGTGTGAGCAAGAATTGCGCCAGGGATTATTCTGTGGCTACAAACCGTTAAAGATTTTCCAAATTGGTTCTGAATGTGCCTCGTGAAAGATTTGCAGAACTCTGCGTTTCAGTTCTTCCCGGGTTTTTGACATGATAGAGATTTATTGCTGATTGCTAGGATCACAAAGTGTGCATGTTGACCAATTGGCTTCTTTAAAAAACAAGAAACGCAAAGCAGTTCTTTGGAATCATGTGTGGCAAGGTCCCATTGGGCACAAGTATAAGGTTCCCAGATGTCCCCGTTTCCCGGGGACAGTCCCCGGATTTATTTGAAATTTGAAATACTTTATTGTCACTTGTACAACTTGTATACAGTGAGATTACACAAGCACCCCCCACTCAGATCTCTTAGTCTTAATTCCCCTCGTTTACTGACGCACACCCCCCAAACCCAAAAGTCAGTTGCCCTGTTGTTATCTTTTCATTCAGCAGCCTAACAGCCCACGGATAGAAGCTGTTCTTTACCCTGTTGGCGCGACTAATCGTGCTTCTATAGGGCAGGAGATCAAGAAAGTGCCGGCCAGGGTGTGAATCATCCCTGAGAATTTCCCTCACTCTTCTTGAGGCAACGTTCTTCTGCTATTTCATCCAGCAGATTCACGGGACAGCCCATAATATCTTGTGCTGTATTCACCACCCTCTGTAGGCACTTCCTATCAGTTGATGTCAAACCAGCGTACCACACCATGATGCAGTATGAAAGGACACTTTCTATTGTTGACCGGTAGAAGGAGATCATCAAATGTTGATTGACATTGTTCTTCCGCAATACTCTGAGGAGATGGAGTCTCTGTTGGGCTTTCTTAACCACCTGGGTTGTATTTATTTTCCAAGTAAGGTCTTCACTGAGATAAACTCCTAGGAATTTAAAGGAAGAGACTCTCTCCACACAGCCCTTCCCGATGTACAGTGGGGCTAGTTCTCCTCTCTTCCTCCAAAAGTCCAACGCCATCTCCTTTGTCTTGCTGATATTAAGGTGCAAGTTGCTCCCTAGGCACCATGTAGATATTTTTTGGACCTCCCCTCTATACGCTGATTCGTCTCCACCTGTTATTAAACCCATTATGGTGCTGTCATCTGCAAACATAATATTTGCAGTAGACGTGCCAGATGATATACAATCGTATGTATACAATGAATACAGGTAGGGACTTAGCACACATCCCTGAGGTGTGCCAGTGCTGATTTTTTAAGGAATTGGATGTTACATGTCCAATCCTGATTTACAAATTTACTGATTTACAAATCAGTCCTCTGACAAAATCTATCTACAGTGGTACCTCGGGTTACAAATGCTTCGGGTTACAAACTCTGCTAACCCAGAAGTAGTACCTCGGGTTGCGAACTTTGCCCCAGCGTGAGAACGGAAATTGTGCAGCGGCAGCAGGAGCCCCCATTAGCGAAATCGCACCTCAGGTTAAGAACGGTTTCGGGTTAAGAACGGACCTCTGGAACAAATTAAGTTCGTAACTCGAGGTACCACTGTATTTAGTAGGAAGTTGAAAAGTGTCCCCGGATTCATTGAAAAAAATCTGGTAACCTTACACAAGTAACTACCCATGGACTCTGGCTTTTGTTCCACAGTAAGTGCCTTTCCCTGATTATTCACCCCACCCCACCCCCGGCAGAGTTAAACTTAGAACTTTCTTGGGTAAACTCTAGTAACGTTGGTGATAAGCATTTTTACAGCGGGAACATATGGGTTTGGTTTTTCACAAATGGAAGCGTTCTCAGAAGCCACTGTGGTGATGTCTAAAAGTAAAAAACTTGAATAGAAGTATAAAAATAAAAATAAATAATGAAAAGTCATGCACAAACCAGTTTGCTACATGGTGCTCTTTAAATGTGTAGCTGCTCATACAAAGTTTTTTTATTACTGTTTGAAAAACAGGTCATAGCAAACGATAGAAGCCCTCTAATGGGAAGAGTCCACTGGGAGAAAATGGTGAAGAAAGTCTCGCGGTTTGGTATACGAACAGGCACTTTTAACTGCTCCAGTGACCCCAGGTATGTTCTTGAAGTTGTTGTAGTGGGTTTTGCCTCTATAATGTGGTACCACCTGTAATGTTGACTGCTTCCTGAACACCCTGTTGAAAAGCAGTATAGAAATATCAGTGTGGTGTAGTGGTTAAGAGCGGTAGTCACGTAATCTGGGGAACCGGGATTGTGTCTCCGCTCCTCCACATGCAGCTGCTGGGTGACCTTGGGCTAGTCACACTTCTCTGAAGTCTCTCAGCCCCACTTACCTCACAGAGTGTTTGTTGTGGGGGAGGAAGGGAAAGGAGAATGTTAGCCGCTTTGAGACTCCTTAAAGGGAGTGAAAGGCGGGATATCAAATCCAAACTCTTCTTCTTCTTCTTCTTATTTTCTCACATAAGCAATACAGGAAAAGGAGAAGAAAACTGACAAAACGACAATATGTGATAGTAGGTCATAATATATCGGTACATATGCACGAATAAAATATTCACAGTTTCCATAAACGTATGAAGATAATTCCTATAGATTAGGCAATATTAAAATATTGTTAATGCAGAAATAATTTCTCTGTTCACTGGCTTTGCTCAATAGCCAGCAATGGCAGCAGAAAATTCCTGAATGACTCACATGCTCCTCTTCCTTGCTTCTAGACCCCAATGGAATGGGGGTTGTATGTTTTCTCTGTGTCTAAATTCATGTCGTGAATTGGTAGAAGAGCAGCCCTAATTATAATTTCACGAGCAATTTCATGAGCAGCTCTGCTACTGTATTCGATTTCAGACAGTTTCGCTCGCAGTGGTTAAAAGACCGTGCTGAAATTCCTAATTGCCTGCTACGGAATACGAATTTCTCCATTTCATAATACACAAAGAAGGTTGTGATCCCTGTTCAAGTTGCTGGATGTTTGCTGCTTCTACTGCAAACAAAATGCTTCTATATAGATGTTCATCACATCTGCAAATGTTTGCAAGACCTATTTAATTCTGGAGTGCTTAAGTTCAGTGCGGCAAATCAGAGTGAAAACTGTTTCTTTTTCAAACATTCCTTGATTTTACCCAATGTTTTCATTGTAGATACTGCAGGAGAAGAGGCTGGGTGAGATCCACGTTAATTATGTCCGTTCCACAAACTAGTACGTCCAAAGGCAAAGTGATGCTTAAAGAATACGGTGGGCGTAAAATCGAGACGGAGCATATTTTCAAATGGATAACAGCCCATGCAGCTTCCCGGATCAAAACAATCTTCAAATCGGAACACTTGAAGGAAGAATGGAACAAAAGTTATCAGTATAGGGTGAAAATATACCTATTTGCAAAGTTAGACCAGCCTCCAGCTTTCTTCTCTGCACTAAGTGTAAAGTTTACTGGCAGAGTTGAGTTTATTTTTGTGAATGTAGAAAACTGGGACAACAAGAGTCACATAGCAGAGATGGGCATCTATAAGACACCATCCTACATACTTAGAACTCCCGAAGGAATTTACAGGTATGGGAATAATACTGGTGAATTTATTTCCCTCCGTGCCATGGACTCCTTCTTGCGTTCCTTACAGCCAGAAGTTAATGATTTATTTGTTTTAAGCCTGGTATTAGTTAACTTAATGGCTTGGATGGACCTATTTATCACTCAGGGTGCTACTATCAAGCGCTTCGTTGTTCTCATAAGCACTTTAGGGACCTATAATTCTCTACTAATTATTTCTTGGCTACCAGTCTTGGGGTTTTTGCAGTTACCTTATTTAGACAGTTTCTATGAATACAGTTTAAAACTCTTCCGGTATTCAAATACAACAGCCCTAGCCTCATGGGTGAGAGCTGACTGGATATTTTACTCGTCTCACCCTGCCTTGTTCCTCAGCACGTACCTAGCCCATGGGTTATTAATAGATTACTTTGAGAAAAAGAGACGGCACAATAACAACAGCGACGAAGTAAATGCCAACAACCTAGAGTGGTTATCTAGCCTTTGGGATTGGTACACTAGCTATCTGTTCCACCCTATCACTTCGTTTCAGCGCTTCCCCTTTGAATCTGATTGGGATGAAGACCCAGACCTGTTCCTTGAGCGCTTAGCTTTCCCCGATTTGTGGCTCCACCCCCTGATACCAACCGATTACATTAAAAACTTGCCCATGTGGCGATTTAAATGCGCCGGCGGGCATTCCGAAGAGGAGATGATGGAGCTCTCTCAAAGCGAAAGCGAGTCGGATAGCGAATGCAAAGATGCCTCGAGAAGCGGCCGGGCAGTAGCCGAGGACGAGCAAAGCGCCCTTCAGAGCCCTTGCGAAGGGGAGCCCTCTTGCAACGGCGAGACCTGTTCGTGTGCCAAAGCCAGGTCATATGGCTCACAAAGCTCCACGGAAGATACGGAGCCCGATTGGTCCGTCTGGCCTGCTGGTATGTTGCACTGTACGGAATGTGTCGTGTGTCTAGAGAATTTCAGAAACGGATGCTTGTTAATGGGTTTACCGTGCGGCCACGTCTTTCACCAGAATTGCATTGTGATGTGGCTGGCCGGAGGTCAGCACTGCTGCCCGGTTTGTAGATGGGCCTCTTACAAGAAAAAGAAGCCATATCCACGTCAGCAGCTGTTGTCAAACCATAGCCCATCTTAGGTGTGTGCTGATAACGTCCTTTGTAACCTTCCTACATATTTACTGCTTGCCATTTAAATGTTAGTCACAAAACAGACCTTGTGGTTTAAAAGTTTTAGTTTAAATGTTAGTGCAGTGAAGTAAAAAATAAACATGATGCTAATGTCGATGACAGAATCATTTGGTTGCCTTGTATGTTGAAATAATGAATACGTATTGTACAACGACACCTTTCCTTTTACAGCATTTGGAAGTTTTAAAAAGTTAACATTTTTCGTTTGCTTTTTTTCGTAAGCACAAAAATCATATATATTTGTCAACAAAAGTATATTTCAGGAAATGTTTTAACATGGCAGGATAGGATATGGGTGAACATGGAAATTTTAACATACAATAATTGTTTTATTTAAATGTTTCTTCTTTTAGAGTTTGTTCAGCACACCTTTGTTGAATGATGTATGGTCTGTGAGAATACATTTAAAAACAAATCCATGAAAATAAATTATTTTAAAAGAAGGTTAATAATTTGTCCTATCAATCGTTCCAATGGCGTTTTTGTACCTGTGCTTCACTTGGTCTTCAACTCAAAATATAATTTTACTTCTTATGCTTGCATCCTACCCTTTCTTTAAGAAATCTGGAACTTATTGTAAGGTTACCAGACGTTCCCGGGGACAGTCCCTGGATTTACACAGCAGTCCCCATACAAAATCCATTGAAGTTGAAAAGGGTCCCTGGATTCATTGAAAAAAATCTGGTAACCTTAACTTATTAAGGTTTCTCAGGCAGAATATATCCATTTCCTAAATGCTTCCAGACCTATCTCTTGATTTGACTTTCATGTACATTAATAGTGCTTTATTAATTTCAAATATGAAATACAGTAGTACCTCGGGTTACATACACTTCAGGTTACATACGCTTCAGATTACACACTCCACTAACCCAGAAATAGTACTCAGGTTAAGAACTTTGCTTCAGGGTGAGAACAGAAATCAAGCTCCAGCGGCGCGGTAGCAGCAAGAGGCCCCATTAGCTAAAGTGGTGCTTCAGGTTGAGAACAGTTTCAGGTTAAGAACAGACCTCCAGAACAAATTAAGTACTTAACCCGAGGTACCACTGTATAAAACTTCATCAGCCACTATTTATACATTTCTGTCCTACCTAATTAGTCAATTGGGCTCTTAGTTCTTATTGACATCCATCTGTCTTGAGAGACAATGAAGTTCGTCTCTATGGGTGAAGTCAAACCACTGTATTAGCAGCACCGAAGTGATCTTCCTAGGGTGCAAGCCTGGGCACTTACACCCCGGGCAAGAAGGTTGTTGCCTACACAACTTATATATATTCCTTAAGGAATGCTTGTTCTATCTCCACTGTGCAGGTTCAAGGCAAAAATGTCTCTGAACAATCCACCATTTTCTTGTTATACAGGATATTGATCAGTGGTCAGTGCTGAGTCATGTCATATTATGCCATGTAAAACAAATCAGAATAGGTTAGACCTCTCTTTTCAGCTACTGTCCCTATGAAAGGCTCCAATCTGTCACGTGAATGCCGTTTGTCTAGCACGGGGCTAGAAGAATTCAAAGGCTAATGTATATGGATGTCTATTCATTTCAATGGGAGTTCATTGTATGCAAATTTCAAATGGACTATTGGTTAAATAGTTGAATGGGGGGGAAATCACAGTTGACCAAGGACAAAACAAAAAAACCCCAAGTCAAATCTGGTGAATATGATTCAAAATTATCCAAGTGCCAATATTATCCTCCAAAGCAAAACTCTAAAATAGTCAATTGCCTGTCCCTATTTTAATAAGAAATATCAACCTCAGATATGCAGATGACACAACCTTGATGGCAGAAAGTGAGGAGGAATTAAAGAACCTTTTAATGAGGGTGAAAGAGGAGAGCGCAAAATATGGTCTGAAGCTCAACATCAAAAAAACTAAGATCATGGCCACTGGGCCCATCACCTCCTGGCAAATAGAAGGGTAAGAAATGGAGGCAGTGAGAGATTTTACTTTCTTGGGCTCCATGATCACTATAGATGGTGACAGCAGTAACAAAATTAAAAGCCGTCTGCTTCTTGGGAGAAAAGCAATGACAAACCTAGACAGCATCTTAAAAAGCAGAGACATCACCTTGGCAACCAAGCTCCGTATAGTTAAAGCTATGGTTTTCCCAGTAGTGATGTGTGGAAGTGAGAGCTGGACCATAAAGAAGGCTGATTGCCAAAGAATTGATGCTTTTGAATTCTGGTGCTGGAGGAGACTCTTGAGAGTCCCATGGACTGCAAGAAGAACAAACCTATCCATTCTTAAGGAAATCAGCCCTGAGTGCTCACTGGAAGGACAGATCCTGAAGCTGAGGCTCCAGTACTTTGGCCACCTCATGAGAAGACTCCATGGGAAAGACCCTGATGTTCGGAAAGATTGAGGGCACAAGAAGAAGGGGACGACAGAGGACGAGATGGTTGGACAGTGTTCTCGAAGCTACCATCATGAGTTTGACCAAACTGCGGGAGGCAGTGGAGGACAGGAGTGCCTGGCATGCTTTGGTCCATGGGATCATGAAGAGGCCGACACGACTAAACAACAATTTTAATAACGAGTGACATTTTATTTTCTCTGATTCCTTATATGTCTTGCACCGTCTTATGAACCTGAAACTACAATACTGCCTCCATTCATCTGGGACCAAGTCCCACGGAACACACTGGGGCTTATATCTGAGTACACGTGTAAGTGTCACATAGGTGCTTAATGAGGTTTGAACTGGTGGTGGTGCGCTCTCCTCCTTTGGAGTTTTTTAAGCAAAGGCTGGATGGCCACCTGTCAGGGATGATCTAACTCAGAGACCTGCATCGCTCGGGGTTGGACTAGATGACCCTTAGGGGTCCCTTCCGACTCCACGAGTCTATGATTCTGTTCTATGGCATTGGACAGCGCGGCTGCCTCCGGCTGCGGGGAGCGCCTTCCATCAGCTGTCTGTCACTTGCGGACAACCAACTAGGAAGCAGATCGGGGCTTCCGCATCCCTAAGCTCCTCCCTCCCTCCCTGAGCCAGCCTTTCCTGACTTCGGGTCCCCGGATGTTGTTGGCCTACAACTCCCATCATCCCCCAACGGCCTGTCCCGCTAGCAAGGGATGATGGGAGTTGTAGGCCAGCCGCGTCGGTTGAGGAAAAACGGCCTTGGACTAATCGGAGCGGCGGATAATCACACCTTCTACCCACGTCGTCTCTATGGTGCGCGCCACTTCCTTGTTTCCCTGGGAGAGGGCCGGAAGCAGGAAGTAGCGCGTGGATGGGAGGACTTGGTGCCGCTGGCCGGAGATGGGACTGTTCGGGAAGACCCAGGAGAAGCCGCCCAAGGAGCTGGTAAAGGCCGCTTGGAGGGAGGGAGAGGCTGGGAGAAGGGGCAGACTTTGGGAATAGGGCGCCCTGAGCGAGGACAAAGTTTGGCCTCTATTCTACTAAATACGGTATTTCTTATTTCCACAATAATTCCTTTTGGCACAGTTTAGAAATATGGGCATTATTATTATTATTATTACTATTATTATTATTTGCCCCCTCGGCGCCTTGTGAGCTCGACGCTCCCGAAATCCGGCGCTGCTGGGATGAGCCGAGGCAGGAGTTTAATTTTTTAAATTTATTTTTAAATAAGAATTTATAATAAGAATTTATTATTTAAACCCCGCCCATCTGGCTGGGTTTCCTCAGCCATTGCAGTGATACCTCAGGTTACATACGCTTCAGGTTACAGCCTCCGCTAACCCAGAAATAGTACCTTAGGTTAAGAACTTTGCTTCAGGATGAGAACAGAAATCGCGCGGCAGCAGCGGGAGGCCCCATTAACTAAAGTGGTGCTTCAGGTTAAGTCCATTTTCAGGTTAAGAACAGACCTCCAGAATGAATTAAGTACGTAACCAGAGGTACCACTGTATTCATTTATTACGTTCACATGCCACCTTTATCTTCGAAGGAGCTGAAGGTGTGGTGTATGTGGTTCTCCTCCCCATTTCACCCCCACAACAACCCTGTGAAGTAGGTCAGGCTAAGACATGGGTAGGCAAACTAAGGCCCGGGGGCGGATCCGTGTATTTTTACATGAGTAGAATGTGTGCTTTTATTTAAAATGCATCTCTGGGTCATTTGTGGGGCATAGGAATTCGTCGTTGTTGTTTTTTTTTTCAAAATATAGTCCAGCCCCCCACAAGGTCTGAGGGACAGTGGACCGGCCCCCTGCTGAAAAAGTTTGCTGACCCCTGAGCTAAGAGATGGTGACTGGCTTCCAAGGAGCTTCATGGGTCGGGTGGGGGTTTGAACCCTGCTCTCCCAGATCCTTGCCCGATGACACTCATAACCATTACACCACACTGAGGAGAAGCCGGGATGAGGATGGGCGTAGGGTTTGCACCTGCCTGACAGGGATCGGTTGAGTAGCTGACACACCTCCTGCAAGGCTGGGCTTCAAGCCCCATGTCGAGCAAGGGCTTGCATGATTCACAGAACTGCAGAACTGGAAGGGATTCTGGCTGTGGTGGGGCGGGTGTCATCCAGCCCAACCCCCTTGCAGTGCAGGAATCTCAGCCAATTTCCAGTCCCATATGACATAAAACACAGGGCGGGCACCACTGAAATCAAAGGGGCTTCATTTAGTCTTAAGTAGATATGGTTGGGACGCGGGTGGTGCTGTGACTTAAACCACAGAGCCTAGGACTTGCCGATTAGAAGGTCGGCGGTTCGAATCCCCGCGACAGCGTGAGCTCCCGTTGCTCGGTCCCTGCTCCTGTCAACCTAGCAGTTCGAAAGCACGTCATAGTGCAAGTAGATAAATAGGTACTGCTCCGGCGGGAAGGTAAACGGCGTTTCCATGCGCTGCTCTGGTTCGCCAGAAGCGGCTTAGTCATGCTGGCCACATGACCCGGAAGCTGTATGCCAGCTCCCTCGGCCAATAAAGCGAGATGAGCGCCGCAACCCCAGAGTCGGCCACGACTGGACCTAATGGTCAGGGGTCCCTTTTCCTTTACCTTTAGATGTGGTTAGGATGACACTGTTAAGTCATTATCAACTGAAGTCCCATTGATTTCAACGGGTCTTCTCTAAGAATGACTGGCTGCTGTTCCCAGATGCTAAAAGTAGCAGATTCAGCGTCTCATCACTTGGCACTGCAGTAGGTTGGCTACTTATTGAATGTGGAAGTTTGGTCATCCCAGATTAAAATATAAGAGCCCTGCTGAGATAAAGCAAAGGTCCATCTAGTGCAGCGTCCTGTTTGAAGGCAATACCACTCTTCCATTGATGCTTCTCAGCAGTCGGTACAAACGTGTGTGTGTGTTTGTTTTTTCACCTGTGTTTTATACTGTTCTTTTTTATCTATAAACCGCCTTGAGTCCGTGTCAAGGAAAAAGGCAGGGTGCAAACAAATGAATAATGATAGTAATAAGTTTTGCAGGATGAATGGCAAAATCCATGCAACACTGGAGAAGCTTGAAGGATCCTCAATCACCCCACCCCACATTGCCAGGTTAACTCGAGAGATCGGAGAGCATACATATCCCTGGTTGTCTTCTAACATAATAAGTGAACCTATTGAAATTAATGGGCATGTCTAACAGGGGTCCATTAATTACAGTGGGTCTACTCTGAGTAAAGGGCCACAGGTGGCACTGTGGGTTAAACCACAGAGCCTAGGACTTGCCGATCAGAAGGTCAGCGGTTTGAATCCCCGCGACAGAGTGAGCTCCCGTTGCTCAGTTCCTGCTCCTGCCAACCTAGCAGTTCGAAAGCTCGTCAAAGTGCAAGTAGATAAATAGGTACCACTCCGGCAGGAAGGTAAACGGCGTTTCCGTGCGCTGCTCTGGTTCGCCAGAAGCGGCTTAGTCATGCTGGCCACATGACCCAGAAGCTGTACGCCGGCTCCCTCGGCCAATAAAGCGAGATGAGCGCCACAACCCCAGAGTCAGCCACGACTGGACCTAATGGTCAGGGGTCCCTTTACCTTACTCTGAGTAAACGTTAGTTGATTACAGCCACAAATGTGTTGATAATTCCAAATTTCTTCAAGTAATGTTTCACATTTGTCTACATTAGGCTCACCATATACAGAGTTGCTCATTTGCCTTTATTAAAATCCTCTCTCAAGTTGTCCATCAGTAATGGGTACGTGTCAGTCAGTTTGACTAACGGACTAATAATCGAAAGCCCTGACCCACAGATACTTGTTCTCAGGAACCGGCTACATGTTGCAGCTTTATATCAGGATCTATGGGCATGATCAATACTATCAGTTGCCCTGGGTTCAATGACCCCTATCCAAACAGCACTGATCAACTAGCTGGGCCACATCTGCAACCTCTGGGCAGGGCACAGTTTCAAATCTCCTATCTTTCTTTTTCAGGTCAATGAGTGGTCATTGAAGATACGAAAAGAAATGAGGGTGATTGATAGACAGATTAGAGGTCTGTATTCTCTTGGGTTTTCTCTGAATTGCTCTTCTTTCAGATACCCCAAATAAACACCAGTAAGATTTTAAATGTTTTTAATAAACTTCAGCATATAGAACACAATTAAATGGTGTATAGCTTTATGCCCAGACACAGCTCTGATGACATCTAGGAGCTGCTTGTATGGTGTGGGTTCTGCTTTTGTATGGTTGGATCCCACAGCAAATGGTTAACATATCAGTGGGGAACTATGCTATATAGCTATTTATTATTCCACACACCAGCACACTTCCTTTGACGGAGGGCTCCCTGATTCGAATGTTCCCAGTGCAACCTGTGACCCAGTTAAAGGAGCCAACTCCTAGGGATTGAGGGCCCTTGCCCCCCTAAAATATTTGAGGGGCCGGGCCCCCCAAAATTGGTAGGCATTGCCATTCAAATCGTGTACGTGTGCCGCGTCATGCGATTGATTATGTGGAGTGGGGCTTACCTGCCCCCACCCCATTTTATTCAAGTTGGCACTCCTGGACCCAATAATGCAAAAATCAGCACCCAAACTGTGCTGGCCTTTATCAGACAGCCCATGGTGGCTTCTGCAGTGACCACTAACTTCATCTGCAAGGGATTAGAAGATGTTTGTTCTTTGCTTGGGAAATATGAGGGAGGGGGGCTTATATCAAGAGGAAACATCAGTCAAAGCAGTGTTTGTATGTGGGATCTGAATATCAGTTTAAAGTTCATGTGGGATAGGCCTTATGGGGCTGTTGTTTTGACCTCAGGTGGACCCTAATTGCTTTCTTGGTGATTCCGTTACATTTCCTTGGAACTGGAAATGAAGGCACAGAGGAAGCAAGCTTCGAGATTTCAGTGCAGGCACCCCCTGCCAGAAATACTCAGGGCACCATCCTCTAGAAAGTTCTCCTGTGCGAGCCCCTTTGAAATGAATGCAGGCTGTGCCAGCACTCAGCTCCCATTCATTGGAGTGGCACTTTTGCAGGGGAATTTCCTGGTGGCCCTTTGTATGGAAGGTTTTTAGTTAACTGGGCTTGAAATATTTAAAATGGAAGCAGCTGCCAGAAGGAACCTTTACACAAAGCTACATGTATAACAAGTTATCCAAGCCTTTCAATAAGGAAATGTATACGAAGTTGTCGTAACTGTCCCCCAATGGTTGCAAACATATCATTAGCATGGTTTACTAGTACAGTCGTCCCTTGGTTCTCGAACGCCTTGGTACTCGTACACTTTGGCTCCTGAACGCCGAAAATCTGGAAGTAAGTGTTCTGGTTTTCGAACGTTTTTCGTCCGACGCGGCTTCCGCTTGAGTGCGGGAAGCTCCTGCAGCCAATCGGAAGCTGCGCCTTGGTTTTAGAACGTTTCGGAAGTCGAACGGACTTCCAGAATGGATTTCGTCCAAGAGCCAAGGTACGACTAGTTACTTGAATGATGCTCTACCCACAAATCACCTCTCTAAGAGCCCTTCCTCTTCAGTTGAATTCCTCCCATCACACAGTGCAAGCAAGTGTAATGTGGGTTATTTATTGTTTGACATTTGTAATAAAATAAAATATAAAAATGTCATTTTCTACCCCAAGCTGTTCATTGGAAGGAATAATTTTCAGCAACTGATGCTGAGTATATTATACTAAGATTGGAACTTACATCTGTCAAGTAGGAAATACTGATTGACTTACAATCCAAGAAAGGCATAGGCAAACTCGGCCCGCCAGATGTTTTGGGACTACAACTCCCATGATCCCTAGCTAACAGGACCAGTGGTCAGGGATGATGGGAATTGTAGTCCCAAAACATCCTGGAGGGCCGAGTTTGCCTATGCCTGATCCGAGACACAGTTCACTCAGAGGTTTGGAGCTCCCATTTGAGGTCAAGGACAAGACAGGTAGAACCTTAGCAGCTATCAAATTTTGGTTAGCTTCTGTAATCTGCCCCAGATGAGAGCAGCCAATATATGCATATTCTCAGAGCCCCCCAAACATTGTCTTTCATTCAGAAAAGTCTTCTTAAGTCTGTGGCCGCTAGTATAGGGGGACTGAGGTGACAGGTGAGCCCCATTCTTTCTCTCCTATGTAGTATTCACACGCCAAGGAAAATCGCGGCTCATTTTTAAAGCCCTGAGCTTCCGCCATCGCCATTTACTCTTGTTTGCATTGTAGATATTCAGCGAGAAGAGGAAAAGGTAAAAAGATCCATCAAAGATGCCGCCAAAAAGGGTCAGAAAGACGTTTGCGTGGTCCTGGCAAAGGAGATGATTCGTTCGCGGAAAGCTGTGAGCAAACTCTACGCCTCCAAAGCCCACATGAATTCAGTGCTGATGGGGATGAAGAATCAGCTGGGTAAGGAGTCATGGTGGAACAAAATGGTTACTTAAATTTCTCTTCCACCAAATCAGACAGGCAACTGAATACAAAAGAAAGCTATCCTCTATCTATCTATCTATCTATCTAGGATCTTATTCTTTTGGTACTGCTCTAACCACATGAAAGGGTAGCAGTGGGTTAGGAAATAACCATGCAATAGGCTTTGTCCACCAAGCTGTGTTTTTCAGCTATACAGTGGTACCTCGGGTTACATACGCTTCAGGTTACATACGCTTCAGGTTACAGACTCCGCTAACCCAGAAATAGTACCTCGGGTTAAGAACTTTGCTTCAGGATGAGAACAGAAATCGTGCTCCGGTGGCGCAGCAGCAGCAGGAGGCCCCATTAGCTAAAGTGGTGCTTCAGGTTAAGAACAGTTTCAGGTTAAGAACGGACCTCCGGAACGAATTAAGTACTTAACCCGAGGTAACACTGTATTCCCCTGCAGCATACTGTAGGCTCACAGCTTGCAGAAGCTCTTCTCACACTGCTAGGTGCATGTGCAAAGGGGGCCTTGGACAAACATTTATCCAGAATTCTCCCACCTCAAGCAATCCGGGCTGAAGCTGAGCTGTGGTGCAATGCTGCAACAGTCTTCCTCTCCCGTAGAAGACTGTGGAATAAAATGACGCTTGGAAATTGAGGCTTTGAACCTCATTAGACCAAATGAGCATAAAATGATCAAGGGTCAGCAATACAGAAAGAAATAGAAGACTGTTGTGAAGACTAAACAGTTGTAGGACTAAACAGTTCACACCATAGATTTATGTTTATGCTGGGCTGTAGCAATAGTAATAATAATAATAATTTTTTTTTATTTATACCCCGCCCATCTGGCTGGGCTTCCCCAGCCACTCTGGGCGGCTTTCAACAAAATATTAGAATACAGTAATGCATCAAACATTAAAATCTTCCCTAAACAGGGCTGCCTTCAGATGTCTTCTAAAAGTCTGGTAGTTGTTGTTCTCTTTGATATCTGGTGGGAGGGCGTTCCACAGGGCGAGTGCCTGGTTCTCTGTAACTTGGCTTCTCGCAGTAAGGGAACCGCCAGAAGGCCCTTGGCGCTGGACCTCAGTGTCTGGGCAGAACGATGGGGATGGAGACGCTCCTTCAGGTATACTGGACCAAGGCCGTTTAGGGCTTTAAAGGTCAGCACCAACCCTTTGAATTGTGCTCGGAAACGTACTGGGAGCCAATGTAGGTCTTTCAAGACCAGTGTTATGTGGTCTTGGCGACCGCTCCCAGTCACCAGTCTGGCTGCCGCATTCTGGATTGGTTGTAGTTTCCAGGTCACCTTCAAAGGTAGCCCCACAAAGGTAGCAAAGGTCAGTAATGTTTGAATAAAGAAGCAAGTTGTAGGAAAGTACACCTCTTTTTTCCACATGATAGCAGTATGCAACCCAGGACTTCCCATTTAGAAAAGCGCTCTCCCAAAAGTCTTCCACCTTGCTACACATTTGAGGTCTGTGGAGCTTTGGAAGGTAACTAAGGTTTTGTAGAGGATGAGCACTTTTCCTTGCAGTTCGGTGGCGTTCTGCGTGAACCTCAACTTGTAGCTTATGTCACTCCAAATAAACAAAGAGCTAGGGAGGCAAACCACGAGATCAGGTTTGCATGCAAGGCTAGGCCATACATAGCTTGGTTCTGGCGGCGGCAGGACCAGGGTGGAGCAAAGTGACTGTGATCTTTTGCTCCAGGCACCCACCTGCTTCCTCATTCTTGCAGTGTTATGTACAAATAAAGCCACCATTGGATACAGTGCCATGTGATATTGCCTTCTTGTGGTTTAATCGTCACAGGTTGGTTTGTTTTTTTAACAAAAATCAAGCGGCCTTGGAAGGATTTGTATACAGTGGTACCTCAGGTTACATACGCTTCAGGTTACAGACTCCGCTAACCCAGAAATAGTGCTTCAGGTTAAGAACTTTGCTTCAGGATGAGAACAGAAATCGTGCTCCGGCGGCGCGGCAGCAGCAGGAGGCCCCACTAGCTAAAGTGGTGTTTCAGGTTAAGAACAGTTTCAGGTTAAGAACAGACCTCCGGAACGAATTAAGTACCGTATTTTTCTCTCTATAAGATGCACAAGACGCACCTAGTTTTTGGAGGAGGAAAACAAGAAAAAAAATTCTGAATCTCAGAAGCCAGAATGGCAAGAGGGATCCCTCTTGCTGTTCTGGCTTCTGTGACAGCTGCGCAGCCTGCATTCGCTCCATAAGATGCACACACACCTTTTTAGGAGGGAAAAAGTGAGTCTTATAGAGCAAAAAATACAGTACTTAACCCGAGGTACCACTGTACTTGAATGCGTCACAAGCAAGATGCTGGACCAGATAATCCTTGATGTAACATTGCAGGTATGATCACATCCTTATCCTAGAAAATCTTTGGGGGTCTTTTTCAGAAGCGGAAAGGAAAAGAATACTGTGTTCTTTATGAACACTCGTTAGTGTTGGGTTTTTATAAGTTATCAGGTTGAGAGAAAAGATGGACATCTTGTAATCTTAGGTACCCTCAACTCCCCTCTGAATTGAATAGGAACCTTGATCTGGTGGCAGGGAACAGCCCAAGCTGATGTTCTGCTGGTCTGAATTTGATCTAAAGTCTTCCATGCCTTCTCTTGGCAGCTGTCCTGAGAGTGGCTGGCTCATTACAAAAGAGCTCAGAAGTAATGAAAGCCATGCAAAACTTAGTAAAGATCCCTGAAATCCAGGCTACAATGCGGGAGTTGTCCAAAGAAATGATGAAGGTAAGGTTACTCTCTTAATTCTTTGTTGTATGATCTGGCTGTGTAAAATGGTAGCAAGGAAAGCAGTCTAGCATGTAAGAGATAGTACCTGCTTCAGATCACTGTTACCCTGTTGCCTTGTTTGTTGATCTCCTGGCTCCTGCCTTCTCTTTGCCAGATGAGGCCACTTGAACATCAGTCCAAAGGAGATCAGTTGTCAAACTTTCCTTGTCTCTCTGGATTTATTTATTTATTTAGCTTCATGCAATTGTTTGTTGAGACAGTCCAAGCTGTGGCTGAAAACTAGGGCCCAATTTCCAGGTCTACAGGTGTATGATCCTGGTCTGTATATACAAATAACTTAATTTTCCATCATCTACATTTTCTTTAGGCAGGTATTATTGAAGACATGCTGGAGGATACTTTTGAAGGTATGGAAGACCAAGAAGAGATGGAAGAGGAAGCAGAAATGGAGATCGACAAAATTTTGTTTGACCTTACAGCTGGTGAGTGGAAGTGTGCACAAGTGTCTATAGATAAACGTATGTGCCATGTCCTACTTTTTATTGTTGGCAAAACTGGCCACCTTCATTTGCAGCGCCAGCTCTCCTGTAATATTAAATGGAAGCTTGACTGAACAGGTGTTGCTGAGCAAATGAAACCCTGGAGTTATATGCCACAGCTTTTAAGCATTCTCTTGAGTCTTTGTTATGTTTCAGGAAGTGAAGTTAAATGGCTGTTTCGTCTTCTGGTTCTCCCACCTAGTCCACTGGTGGGGAACCTCCAAACCATGGGCCTAACTAGGCTAGACAGCTGTCCAAATTTAGCTCACAAGGCTGTTTTCCAGACACCATATATGTGTATGTAGGGTAGATAAAGACCTGGCAGCAAATAAACAATTGGGAGTCTTGAAGTGCACTCCCAATGGTTCCTTGGCCAGCATGTCTTGTATTTGCTTGTATTTGCACTGCCTTCCCAAAGCCGGGAAGGAGATATGGGGGCTATGACAGGGTCCTAGAGTCCTCCTGTCTCCTTCCCAAACCCTAGTTAGCACTTTCCCAGCTTTCGGAAGGAGATGGGAGGGCCCTAGGACCCTACCAGAGGGGACGCGGGTGGCGCTGTGGGTTAAACCACAGAGCCTAGGACTTGCTGATCAGAAGGTCGGCGGTTCGAATCCCCGCGACGGGGTGAGCTCCCGTTGTTCAGTCCCAGCTCCTGCCCACCTAGCAGTTCAAAAGGACGTCAAAGTGCAAGTAGATAAATAGGTACCGCTCTGTCGGGAAGGTAAACGGCGTTTCCGTGCGCTGCTCTGGTTCGCCAGAAGTGGCTTAGTCATGCTGGCCACATGACCCAGAAGCTGTACGCCGGCTCCCTCGGCCAATAAAGCGAGATGAGCGCCGCAACCCCAGAGTCAGTCACGACTGGACCTAATGGTCAGGGGTCCCTTTACCCTTTACCTTTAGGACCCTACCAGAGCCTTGCACCTCCTTCCCAAAGCCCAGCGCCTTGCTTACCCAACTTTGGGGGGGCTGAGTGATGGGTGTCAGATGTTGGCCTTGCTCTCCCCTCCACCTCCCACACGACAAGACAGTGTGCTGCCTGTGGGTTCCAGGTTGAAGTGCTCTTGCGGCCCACTTGGTATGAAAAGTTGGACCCTTGGCAAAGTTTTGTGGTAGACAGGATGATGAAGAAGCTTAATCTGGTTCTGCTGCCATGGCCGATCCTTGTCGGCTAGGGTTGGGTCTTCTTCAGTCCTTCCCTTAACAGTGGTGGAGCCTATTGAAACAACCTACCTCTGAAGACTGACAGATCCACATGGTTTACTGAGAAGGAATCCGTTGGCTGAGAGAGAATCTGCTGTGTCTGGCCAGTTCTATTAGATGCCTTGCTCAGCCTCTAGACTGAGGGAATGGCCTGAGTGGTTGATAGCTATCATGCCTGAATTCTCCCTGATTCTCCAGAGAGCTCAGAGCAATGAGAAAGCAGAGCCCATTTTAGGGACTCCGTCATGGCGGCACAGAAACTTTCAGGAGCTCGTCCTACACTCGAGTAGGACCCTGGCAGAGACACATGCCCAACTGGCATGTTCTCTCCCTCCTGGTCTTTCATTCGGGGGCTTCAAAAGCTTTCCTCTGCTCAAACATCACAGCGACCGATGCCAACAGACATTGGCACACTTAGGGATCTGCAGAGTCTTCGCAGCTAGCGTGACAGACCTCAGCAAATCAGCATTTTGGCTAATCTACTTTATTTACATATAAACACACACGGAGCACTGCAACATGGCTCCCTCTCTCTCTAGCATCAGACAGCAAAGAGAGAAAGAACAAATGACAATGACAATAGTCCCACTTCACGGAACACAGTAACACAAACATCTTGTCTCCGTCACTTCCCACTCCATGGAGTCAAAACATATACCGTCATGTGATAGACAAAAATCCCATGACTGCAGTCATGGAGCAGGAATTCTAACAGAAACTTCATTTTCTCCCTGTCATTGCGTCATTCAGAACTGTCAAGCAAGCAGAGCTCTTCTAAGCGGGGCAAGACTGTTAATATTTTGGTCCTCGGGGAGGGGATGAGGCCCTGTCAGTGGTTTCTGTGACTTATTTGCAGTTTGTGATTGCAATCACTCACACCTACCGTATTTTTCGTCCCATAGGGCGCACTGGCCCATAGGACGCACCTAGTTTTTTGGGGGGGAAATAGAGGAAATTTCTCCCCCTTTATTTCCCCCCCAAAACCAGGTCGGGGAATCCAAACCAGGTCAGGGAACAGCGGGATGGCGGCGCTCCGCCTCCCCGCTGTCCCCCAAGCTTGTGGGGCTGGTGCTGGGGAGAAGTGCACTTCTCCCCAGCGCCAGCCTCCAAACCAGGTCGGGGAACGGGGAAGGCGCGCTGCGCCTCCCCGCTGTCCCCCGAGCTTGTGGGCTGCCCGATATCTGCACGAAGCCCGGGGCGCAGGGTTGCTTCGGGATGCAGGCTGCTATCCGCAAGCCTTGGGAGCCCGACGGGAACTCCCGCGGAGCTCCCAAGGCTTGCGGAGAGCTTCTTGAAGCCTGGAGAGCGAGAGGGGTCGCTCTCCACGCTTCACCGAAAGCCTGCATTCGCCCCATAGGACGCACACACATTTCCCCTTCATTTTTGGAGGGGGAAAAGTGCATCCTATAGGGCGAAAAATACGGTAATCCCACCCTGCTTAGAATTCTGGGATTGTTCTGGGTTGAGCCTTTATATTTTGGCACTGCTTTTTCAACTGCAAGTGTGCTTTGCCTTTTCTTGCAGGAGCCTTGGGTAAAGCGCCCAGTAAGGTCACCGACGCCCTGCCAGAACATGAGCCCGAAGGGGCTACAGCAGCTGTTGTTGATGAAGATGAAGAAGAAGATATTGAAGCAATGCAGTCGCGGTTAGCGACTCTCCGTAGCTAAATGTAGACTGGCTTTGCAGTTTGGTGCATTTTTCCACAGGCTGCCCTGTCATGCCTTTTAACAGTGCAAAACTTCATGCAAAAGTCTTTCCTGTATATATTCCTATATCTATTTTTTTGTGGGTTTGCCTTCAGAGATATTATTTTTAACTTTTCTGTCAACCTATGCCCAACACCAAACCGCTCTTGGGGAATGGAGAAGGGATGGCATATGTATTCTCAAACAAAAAATAAAATAAAAACCTATTTGAACAAGCTTGTGCTTTACGTACTGTCTTCTGCGGGCTGTACCTGCAACAACAGCATTATGTACATTTCTGAAACAGTATGACTAGATTTTAATAAACAGTTTTTAACACTTTCCTGCAGTCCCTGGTGAGCTGGTAGTTTCTTTCAAGTATGTGGACTGAACACACAAACCTCTTGCCAGTTATTAAAAACCAGGTAAACTCTTCAGCCACAAAGTGCAGTTCTGATTAGCTTAATACAGTTGATCTCCTGCAAGTAAAAGTTATATGTAAAAGAAGAAGAAGAAGTCTATACTGAAATAGTAAAAAACGCCTGGCAGCAAAGTGCGGGGGGAGGGGGGATCCAAAATGGTACAAGTAAAATAAAACTCTGTGTCACTAAGCAGTTTTAGGTACATAAAACCTGTTTTTTATTTATATTCTTAAAGATTTTGTAAAGAAGCTTGCCGGGTAATCCAGTCAAAAGCTCATCAAAATGGAGATGTCACATTACAATAAGCCATAGGCACAGTGCAGTTTTAAATAACAAAGGATGCATTTCCAGAAAGCCTTTATATTGCAATTAAATTACAGTCATACTTCTGGTTAAGAACTTAATTCGTTCAAGAGGTCCGTTCTTAACCTGAAACTGTTTTTAACCTGAGGTACAGTGGTACCTCGCAAGACGAATGCCTCGCAAGACAAAAACTCGCTAGACGAAAGGGATTTTTGTTTTTTGAGTTGCTTCGCAAGACGATTTTCCCTATGGGCTTGCTTCGCAAGACGGAAACGTCTTGCAAGTTTGTTTCCTTTTTCTTAACACCGTTAATACAGTTGCGACTTGACTTCGAGGAGCAACTCATAGAACGCGGTGTGGTAGCCTTTTTGAGGTTTTTAAAGACTTTGGTGATTTTTGAAGCTTTTCCAAAACTTTCCCGACACCGTGCTTCGCAAGACGAAAAAAATCGCAAGACGACAAAACTCGCAGAACGAATTAATTTCGTCTTGCGAGGCACCACTGTCCCACTTTAGCTAAAGGGGCCTCCCGCTGCTGCCACAATGCCAGCCCACGATTTCTGTTTTCATCCTGAGGTAAAGTTCTTAACCTGAGGCACTACTTCCGGGTTAGTGGAGTCTGTAACCTGAAGTGTTTGTAACCCGAAGCGTTTGTAACCTGAGGTACCACTGTTATGATCCACCATCCAGTTTTCCAAATCATGCTCAAGTAGCGCATATGACAGGAAATCAATATGTAGGTACAGCAAAAAGTCATAAATACATCAAGATTTACATTATATGGAAAAGTAATCAACAGAAGGGTTGGAATTCACAAAAGGAACATGAATCGTACCACAGAGTGACAAATTTGAGGGGCGTAGGCCACAGGTGAGCAGAGGGTAGATCTGAATCTCCCAGAAGATCTCCGGATGATTTCCAGTAGATCCATAATGGTTTCCGACTCATAATTGTTTTAACATTAGCAATAATGAAAAGGTCTCTTTACCCAAGCCTGGCTGCCAACATGAAGGAATCTTGAGGGAAAAGGAAATGGATTTATGTGTCAAAGGAATGCAGTGATTCCTGATACTGAAATCACTCTTGTGGCTCAGATATGCTGGATTTTAAGTGGTTGCTCCCTCGGATCACTATTTTGCACTTGGTTTCTGGTGGTGAACCTTGGGGATCTATTAAAACACAAAGTATATTTTTCGCTCTCTAAGACGCACCTTTCCCCTCCTAAAAAGTAGGGAAATGTGTGTGTGTCTTATGGAGCGATTCATTTTCCATACCAAATTATACATTCAAAACATCTTATTTACATCCAAATTCTCCTTATTGACTTCCCTCATCCCGCCAGAAAATCCTATCTTATACTCTCATAATATTCTAATTTTTCTCTTCACAGAACTTCCTGAAAACTTACAAACGTTATCTGATTATCACTTAATTTTTGCATATATTCAACAAATTTTGTCCAGTCTTCTGTGAATCTTTGGTCACATCGGTTCTGGATCCTTCCTGTTAAAAAGGGAGCGCGGCTCTTGGGGGAGCCTTAGCCGCGCGCAGCCTCTCGCGGGCAGGGGGTGAAGGCTCCCCTTGCCCGGGAGAGGCTGTGCGTGGCTAAACAAGAAGCCAGGGCAGTGAGCTGGTGGAGCCTTCATCCCCGTGCCCTGTGTAGGCTTCGTGGGGCTATCCAAAAGCCAGAACAGCTAGCGCTCCCTCTAGCTGTTCTAGCTTCTGGCTTAGCCGCATGTGGCTCTGTCCCTTCCCGCACCTCCCAGAAAAGCCCCCCAAGAGCCGCGCTCCCTTTAAAGAGCATGCGGCTCTTGCGGGAGGTGGGGGGAAAGCCAGTAGGCTTGCTTTCACTGAAGCCAGGAGGGCAAGAGGGATCGGTGCGCACCAATCCCGCTTGCTCTCCTGGCTTCAGGGATAGCCCCGCAAGGCCTCCTGAGCGAAGATGGAGGAGCGCTCCCTCTTAGCTCAGGATGCTTTGCGTTGCTGTTTTATTTCTTGTTTTCCTCCCCTAAAAACTAGGTGCGTCTTATGGTCCGGTGCGTCTAATAGAGCAAAAAATACGGTAGATTCCCACAGGCCTGCAGGACATTCACCCCGTTGTAGTGAATGCCACGATACTGCTCTCCTCCCTCTATACCAACCTAACAAAAATGAGTTACCGTATTTTTTGCTCTATAGGACGCACTTTTTCCCCTTCAAAAATGAAGGGGAAATGTGTGTGCGTCCTATGGAGCGAAGATGCCATAGCCCTGCGACCCTCTCCCTGCTGGAGAGGTGACACGCGGCTTTAGAGGCTCCTGCCATAGCCGCGCGTCACCTCTCCAGCCGGGAGAGCGCGCGCGGGGCTAAAGCAGCCCCCCGCGACCCTCTCCCGGCTGGAGAGGTGACGCGCGGCTATGGCAGGAGCCTCTACAGCCCCGCGTCACCACTGCAGCCGGGACACCGCGCGCGGGGCTAAAGAAGCCATAGCCCTGCACCCCTCTCCCGGCTGGAGAGGTGACGCGCGGCGATGGCAGGAGCCTCTCCGCAGCGCCTTTCCGCTGCTCCCTGACCTGCTCTTTGGGGCTGGTGGTGGGCTTCCCCGCCAGCCCCAAAGAGCAGGTCGAAGGAACCTGAAGCCTGGAGAGCGAGAGGGGTCAGTGCACACCGACCCCTCTCGCTCTCCAGGCTTCCAAGGTAGCCGCCTGAAGGCGACTGAAGGCACCTTGTTTTAGAGCGGGAAAACAAGAGGGGGGAAGTTCTCCCCCTCTCTGTGCAGCGCCTCCTGCTGCTTCACTGAAGGGGTGCTGGGCAGAGAGGGAAAAAATTTTTGTTTCTTGTTCTCCCCCCTCTAAAACAAAGTGCGTCCTATTGTCCGGTGCGTCCTATGGTGCGAAAAATACGGTAAGTTTCTCACGTTTATCCTCTTTGTAAATCAGTAGCTTGTTTTAATGTGTGCATACCAATGTATGCACTATTATGTGTACATTAATAAAGGATATTTTTATGCATGCCCTTACATTTGTTTCTGTTGCAAAGACAAAAACATCTTATGAATGCAGGGAGAAAAACCTGCAGGCAGCCGACATAATCCAGTTTCTGCAGTCAGTTGTAATTTGATTCAGCTGCAGGGTTGTACAGTATTGGTATGGTATTACCAGCATTCACAATGTTAATAATACGTACCATCAAATGCATTTTTTGCTGTCCATGTCATCTAAGTACTGTAGTTGGGAGATTCCCCCGCTTTCCTGTCTAGTGCTATTTGCTCCCATACGAAAGGTATGTGACAAAGTTTCCCCCTAGTGGAAAAAAACTAGATCAACTTTGGTCTTCTACAAAGCCTTGCACTTTCTGCTGAAAGTGCTACAAGCATATCTCTCAAATGTGCTCCTGGTTGTTAAAGAGGTCGGCTGACTGCTATAAAATCAAGCAATACATTCGTTAATTTCAGCATATATATTTAGGTAGAATGTGGGCATTTCCATATTTGGGCTCATATCTGCTCGGACAACGCAAGTCAGATACAAAATACAGTGGTGCCTCACAAGACGAAATTAATTCATTCCGCGACTTTTGTCGCCTTGCAATTCTTTTCGTCTTGCGAAGCACGGTGTCGGGAAAGTTTTGGAAAAGCTTCAAAAATCACCAAAGTCTTTAAAAACCTCAAAAAAGGCTACCACACCGTGTTCTATGAGTTGCTCCTCGAAGTCAAGTCGCAACTGTATTAACGGTGTTAAGAAAAAGGAAACAAACTTGCAAGACGTTTCCGTCTTGCAAAGCAAGCCCATAGGGGAAATCGTCTTGCAAAGCAGCTCAAAAAACAAAAAACCCTTTCGTCTAGCGAGTTTTTTGTCTTGCGAGGCATTCGTCTTGCGAGGTACCACTGTACATCAGATCTGAGTCCTGCGGAACAAAGAACGTCGCCATTGTGTGAATGTCACTTATTTTCTGTTTCCACAAATATCCCCGGTCTGTTATGCAAACATTCATTCTTACAAACATAAAAGGGACTCTGCTTCATGAATTGCATCCTAAGAAACATCATTTTTGTGTGTGTCCGTCTGCTGCCAGGGAAGAAAGCACAGTCTACTCTACTTGCCTCTAGATCTTTGCTCCTAGTTCTGCCATCAAAGCTTTATAGAATCACAGAATAGTAGAGATGGAACGGACCCCAGGAATCTCAGCTAAAGCATCCATGACAGGTGGCCATCCAACCTCTGGTGAAAAACCTCCAAGGAAGGAGAGTCCACAACCTCCCGAGGGAGACCGCTCCACTGTGGAACAGCTCTGACTGTCACAAAGTTCTTCCTGAATTTTAGTCGGAATCTCCTTCCTTGTAACTTGAAGCCATTGGTTTGGGTCCTACCCTCCAGAGCAGGAGAAAACAAGCTTGTTCCCTCTTTCTTCCATGCCTTTGAATATTGAATAAAAGACAACAGTAAGGACTTTCCCCTTGTTTCTGCTTCTGGCAGCCTGCCGTGGGAGTTGAGTCCTCTGCTGCCTGACATATACCGATGTAATCGCAATGTCTGACATAAGGATGGAGCTATGTAGAGTCATTCGCTGGCTTCACGGTTTTTCAGTATCGTGATTTTTGACGTGGCAATATATCGCGAACCGTGATGGGGGAGGTGCTGTGCAAAAATAACAATGTGGGGGAAATCGTGAAGCCAGCCAACACCTCTCTCGATTCCTGCAAGCCCCTGTTAACTCTGCCAGCGCAGCTCTCCCCTGCCTCATCATCACAAGAGCAGGCACTGGCAAAAATCATGATGTGGGGGAAACCGTGAAGTCAGCTTATGCCTCTACAGTGGTACCTCAGGTTAAGTACTTAATTCGTTCCAGAGGTCTGTTCTTAACCTGAAACTGTTCTTAACCTGAGGTACCACTTTAGCTAATGGGGCCTCCCGCTGCCGCCGCACGATTTCTGTTCTCATCCTGAAGCAAAGTTCTTAACCTGAGGTACTGTTTCTGGGTTAGCGGAGTCTGTAACGTGAAGTGTATGTAACCCGAGGTACCACTGTACTGACGTAGTTCCATTGTTATTTCAAACATCGTGATATAGCGGTATATCACAATATTTAGCTGACGATAGGGGCGCAGGTGGCGCTGTGGGTTAAACCACAGAACCTAGGGCTTGCCGATCAGAAGGTCGGCGGTTCGAATCCCCACGACGGGGTGAGCTCCCATTGCTCGGTCCCTGCTCCTGCCAACCTAGCAGTTTGAAAGCATGTCAGAGTGCAAGTAGATAAACAGGTACCGCTCTGGTGGGAAGGTAAACGGTGCTTTTGTGCGCTGCTCTGGTTCGTCAGAAGCAGCTTAGTCATGCTGGCCACATGACTCGGAAGCTGTACGCCGGCTCCGTCGGCCAATAAAGCAAGATGAGCACCGCAACCCCAGAGTTGGTCACGACTGGACGACTGGGGTCCCTTTACCTTTACCTTTACCTTATATTGTGAAGTTGAAAACCAGCCATCACCCAGCCCTACTGTTCCCCTTTATGTAGTTTCATCATTATTTCAAACATCGTGATATATTGGTATATCACAATATTTAGCTATCATATCTCCTCCTCCTCCATGGAGGAGACTCTTGACAGTCCCATGGAGTGCAAGAAGATCAAACCTATCCATTCTGAAGGAAATCAGCCCTGGAAAAGACCCTGATGTTGGGAAAGATGGGGGGCACAAGGAGAAGGGGACGACAGAGGACAAGATGGTTGGACACTGTTCTCGAAGCTACCAGCATGAGTTTGACCAAACTGCGGGAGGCAGTGGAAGACAGAAGTGCCTGGCGTGCTCTGGTCCATGGGGTCACGAAGAGTCGGACACAACTAAACAACAACAACAATAACAACAATAATATCTCCTCTCGGTCTCCTCCCCCCCAGCTAAACATACCCAGCTCCTTCAACCGTTCTTCATAAGGTTTGGTTTCCAGACCCTTGATCATCTTTGGTGGTCCTGCTCTGCACATGTCCCAGCTTGTCAACATCCTTCTTCAAGGGACTGTTTTCAGAGGAAGCACTGTGAGGGCAGAGAGACTGTTTGCCATCAAGGGACGGTTGGTTTACCTGTGCTGCCCCACCTCCAGCCAGAGGAAGTTGCTGCCTGGGGGTATCATTCATACACATATTTTAATGAGATGAATACAGTGGTACCTCAGGTTAAGTACTTAATTTGTTCCGGAGGTCTGTTCTTAATCTGAAACTGTTCTTAACCTGAAGTACCACTTTAGCTAATGGGGCCTCCCGCTGCTGCCATGCCGCCGGAGCACAATTTCTGTTCTCATCCTGAAGCAAAATTCTTAACCTGAGGTACTATTTCTGGGTTAGTGGAGTCTGTAACCTGAAGCGTATGTAAACCGAGGTACCACTGTATTGTGAAAGTTTATGAGTCATGGGCAGTGTTTTTATTCTAGAAAAAAAGAGATGCCGGTTCTCACCATTAAGTTGTTACAGTAAGTGCCACATTTTTAACCAGTGCTTTTCTTTTGGGGGGGGGGGAATGTTGGTACTGTGTACCATTGAGTACCCCAGAAAGAAAGAAAAAACACTGGTCATGGGATGGATAGAGAGTTTGCAAACAAAAAAGTGCTTAGCTTATTTTTCTGGCTGATGTTTTAATGCCGTTAATATCGTTGAATAGATTATATAATTGTGATGTTTAGCTTATTTTCTGCTTAAAGGTTGTAATTGTTTCACGGAGGACTTGTTAATTACTCTATATGGCTTATGATGCATATTATTATTAATTATTATTTGTTGAATTTATATACCGCCCTATACCCGGAGGTCTCGGAGCGGTTCACATAAAAAGATCACAGTATATAAAATAAAAAGAAAAGCTCACTAATATCCCCTACAAAAGAGCCGCATTTTAAAAGTGTATGGGATGTTGATCAGGTCAACCAAAGGCCTGGTTGATGATGAAAGGGCAGGTGCGAGGTCGCTCGCGCGCCCGGCCCTCCCAGCCGCGCTCGTGCGGCCCTCGGCCGCTTCCGGCCGCTCCCCAGTGAGGCTGCGCGCTGGCGCTGGCATGCCGAATGGCTGAGGCGCCTGGCGCTGCTGCTGCTGCTGCTCCTTCTTCCCGCGACGGCAGACGGGCAGCTCCGAGCCGGGCGGGGGAAAGCGGACCCACTCCCTGCTGCCGCCGCTGCTGTCACCGGAGCCGCTCAGCGCCATGGTCTCCTGGATCATCTCCAGGCTAGTGGTGTGAGTAGCCCGCGCGGGGGTGTCTCCCGCCGCGCGCCCTGCGCTTTTGGGGAACCCCCAGCCTTTTTGCAAGCGTGGTGGGCCATAGGATTGCATGGGGTTGTGGGTCTCCGTCTCTGTCTCCCGTGCGCAACGCAGCTTTCCACCCAACGCGCCCCGGGCTAAGAATATCTGCCCATCTAATTATAGCCTTTCCTTCACAGGCTGCCGCCGGTGCTTGGGTTTTTTTCCCCCTTTTCTTTCTTGCGCTCAGCAGCAGGAGATCGGCGTGGGTTTGGGTTGCTTTTTTTTTTTAATACAGCAAAGGGAAGATGTGCATTTTTGGGGTATTTAAAAAAAACACCCCACAAAATCCTATATTGGCTCGGCGCTGCCGGGTAGGGGTAAAGTCAGGACGGATGCACGCGAAAGCGGGGTTGCTTTTTGCAGCGTTTCCCCTCTGCAAATGGGGACAAAAATCGAATATTGGGAAGGGCGGCAGGGAAATTGACGCTTTGTTGCTGGCAATACCTATTTCTGTGGGGTGGGGGCTCGCTAGAGGGCGCTGTCTGGAGCCATCCCATGGGAGGTGGGAGCAGAGAGAGAGGGGTCCTAATTTATTTTTTGGTTAAGCACTGTTTACCTTACATGATTAAAATGGGGGGCAGAGGATATGTGGGGTTCCCTCTCTTTGAAACCAAAACAAAAGAAAAACCCATAGCCTTTCTGGAAAAGCCTTTCTGGAAAAGTGGAGGATTCTCCTGCTTTCAACATAGCCTTTGATGGTGATCTTCACATGTCATGGAGTGTCCAGGCACGCTGTACAGGAATCCCTGGGAAATTCTCCCCAGGAAGCAAACAATGGAGTCTGTTTCCATGACCATTTGCATCTAGAAAGGGAAGGGAGTTGGCCTACAACATGTGCCCGCAACATGAAGCTGGTTATCCTCATAGATGCTGCTTTTGTAAAAGAAATGTAGCTTGCCAAAGTTAGGAGAGCAACAGAATGAATCCGAATGTGGATTTTCCTTGGGCTTCCTCTTCTAGAATGCTGAAGGCAATTTGTTATTGCAGGCCCAGTGCCACCTTTGTCTGGAGAGATGTGCTAGGATAACACCCGGTTCATCCACCTGGCTTCTGTCTCTGCCCACCAGTCCGAAAGATGGGAAGAGGGTGGGATTGATTTTTGAGCTTCCTCTCTGCGAGCCTTTTGATGGCGGATCATGGCAAGGGTTGTAAGAACAGAAGCCGGCAAGTTATATGATCCTGATCAATCTGCAGCTGTCATTTTCTGTGGTTGAGCTTGCACTTTGCTAGGGTGAACCATGTTAAATATCAGATGGGTATTTTGCAAACAAGATAAGTCTTTTGCTGATCTTTTTTAAAAATAAGATGGCACTTTAAGGTTTTGTTCTGAAAAGCTGTGTTTTCTCCACATAATTTACATAGTATTTCCAAGTGTGTGATTGGCATAGTATATCTAAGCTCGTGTTTAAAGATGCTGTTCCACTCTTCTTTGTTTTTGGCATAATTTCGAATATAGTCTCTCATTTGACTTTTAAACTCAGACTCATTTTTAAACGTCTAGTATTAATCTGTATACAGTATTTGCCTCCTCCCATCTTGTGAAGCTTTGTTGAAATAGTGTCGATTGGTGTGTAGTTCTGGGAAACAAAGGCAGCCCAAGGAACGGTCGTATTATGAGTGAGGTCATACATCACACAGTTTGAAAGGCGTGGGGTGGGGTGAGGAAGAGAAAAGCATAAGTGCACCTACAGTTCTTTGTTGCACATGGTCTGCAAGCAGAAAAAGTATGACGCGACATCAGGACTTGTAGGAATAAAACACAAAGTTGCTTGATGGTGAAGAATAGCCCTCGTTAAATACTAAGTAGAGCAGGGGTCAGCAAACTTTTTCAGTAGGGGGCCGGTCCACTGTCCCTCAGACCTTGTGGGGGGGCCGGACTATATTTTTTTTGGGGGGGGGAATGAACAAATTCCTATGCCCCACAAATAACCCAGAGATGCATTTTAAATAAAAGGATACATTCTACTCATGTAAAAACACGCTGATTCCCAGACCGTCCGTGGGCTGGATTGAGAAGGCGATTGGGCCAGATCCGGCCCCTGGGCCTTAGTTTGCCTATCCATGACATAGAGGAAATGGTTTCTTACAGTACAGACCACCCCTAGATTCCCTTTCTGAATGTGCTAGGTTGTGTGTTAATGGGGTGTGAAGGCAGTCTTCAGGTCATACAAATTTGGGTTAGGGTTTAAATGGAATTGTTCCGAAATATAAGCATTTGATCGAAGTAGCCTCCAAAGCCTGCTCCCCATTACCCTATTGCAATGAACATATGGCTAATTCAGAGCATGGCCATTTGAAGCAAATGTGGAAAGTTGCAAGGGAGGAATGCACAAGAATGCTAAAAGTTTAAAGTGCTGGTTGAGTCCCAGCCAGGGTCTGTTGGCTCTGAAGTTGGGAATATTCTGAAAGCGGCAGTTGGGAGAAATGCAAAAATCAAAGGAAACTGTAGAATTATAGAATTGTAGACCTGAGGGTCATCTCATCCAATCCCCCTGCTATGCAGGAATCTCAGCTAAAGCATATCTGAGTTGCCCCACAAGAAAAAACCAAACTCTTAAACAGACAATCAGCATAACTAGCATCAGAGAACAGGCATCTACCATTTCTGGTTGTCAGGAGTCCAGGTTCCCAGCTTGATAACACAGTAAGTGTAGGTAATTAAAAAGGAGGATTTATTGCAAAAACAAACAGATAGCTCCAGACGGCTCTAACAAAGCCTCCGGCATCATCACTCAAGATGACCCTTCTGAAGATTTCTTCTGGTGTTGACAGAAGATACTGAACTTATGACTCTTACGTCTCTTGTTTTGCTTCCTGTCTAGTAGCCCTCCCATTTGCCAACTCTTTGGACTTATTGGTTTAGCTCCAACCTCTTCCTGTTCTGAACATGCTATCTGTGTGTTTGTTCGCGCCTGTTTGGGCTTCTTGCAAGCTTTGTGTTCTACTCTGCTCTCAGCTACTGCCTTATCAGCCTGCCCTTCAAGGTCAGGAAGAGCCGAAGTCTGCAGCTGCCGGCTCTCCCCTGCCTGTCTAACATCTAAGCCTCTCTGTTCTTGGCTGCCTTCTGCAGTTGGCTGCAAACCTTCGCTAGGAGCTGGCTCATTCCTGACACTGATTGACCTGGTGACAGTGACGTAGCCATGGTGGGACCTGGGTAGTCCTGGCCTTTGTATTTCAGGTCTATCTCTCTCTTGGTTCTCAATGGGTAAACCTGTGGTCCATATGTTGGCAGACCTGGCATCAGGACATCTTCCCACTCACTGCTGAAACCTTCAGTTATTTCCCAGGCTCCCTTCGCCTTCTCCATCCCTTAATTCATTGGACTGCTGCTACAGTCAACTTCACAGCTCTCTCTTCACTGCAGTTCTCGTAAAAACGAACCCCCAAAGTGCCAGGTTAACAATGCCAGACTACGCTTCAGGATTGGCATACACTGTCTCCTCCCCATCTTCAGCAAAAGCAACACTGGGTTACTTTTCTGGGCTGGCGTAACACTCCTTCTCTCAGCCACAGTCCTGCTCTCTGCGACATGGGTATAGTAGCAGTGGACTTTTATCTACATTGGCATTAACAGAGCAATTTATAAAATATTTATCAAGTCAAAAGGAAATCACATTTTTGGGGGGTAGGAAAAAAGGCCTTAGCTGGAAAGAACACGAGTTCTTGACTTTGCTGCTACTTTTTTGTTTGGAGTCGACACACTGCTTCCCTGTCATAGCTACAATAAAACACTGACTTGTTTTCTATGGAGCAGCTATCACTTCTCTAGTAGGGAAGACCAGCAGAATACAGTGGTACCTTGGTTTACAAACTTAATCCATTCTGGATGTCAGTTCTTAAACCAAAACCGTACTTAAACCGAGGTGCGCTTTCCCTAATGAGGCCTTCCACCGTTTGGATTCCGTTCTTAGTCTGAGGTAAAGTTCTCAAACCAAGGCACTATTTCCGGTTTTGCAGAGTTTGTAAACCGAATCATTCGTAAACAGGACTGTTCTTAAACTGAGGTACCACTGTATGCTTAAATGCAAAGCAAGGGTCTATATTGGGCTTTCCTCTTCAGCCTTCCCTAATTGGCTAGATCTGCTTTCCTAAATCTTAGTCATTGCTATGGCTTCATTCATTGGCTAAAAACACTGAAAGGTGGAAGCAGGCTGGTTTCTTGAAAAACAAACGAGGGGGGAAAGTGCCTGGACATTTTGCCTCCGATCTCAGGTTATGCAAATGCTAAAAGCTTAACTATTTTTTTAAATTAAAAAATGGGAAAATGGGGAATCACAGTTCATCTGATGGAGCAGAGCGACTGTGTCCCCCCACCCCACCGCCATGGACATTCACGATGGCCACAGAATCCCCATCCTTTCTCTGTACAGAAAATTAGGAGACAAGCAAGGTACTGTAACTGGAAGGAACAGGAATTTGGCAACGCAGGATGGACACAAAGCTGAACAACTACATTGGGCGCTAGGAGCAACAATGGCCAAAACCAGACAAACTGGAAGTATTGTTGTTGTTGTTATTATTATTATTATTTATTAAATTAATAATAATATTAATAATAATAATTTATATTTATATCCCGCCCTCCCTGGCCTCATTTGAGGATCACAGGGCAGTTTACAATACAAAAACACAAAAATGCATTGCATAGTAACAAACAAAAACAAGAGTGGTGTTATGAGGCCTGATCTTTGGCTCTGGGCACCATATTGCCTGTCTTCACTCCTTTTTCTTTTTTCTTTTTTCTTTAAAAAAACCTGCTAACAGAACAGCTGGACTTGCTGCAATGTGTATTGCCAGGGAGCCCTTCAGTCATCATCTGAATTTGTGAAGAGGCCTCATCCTGTATCAATGAGTAGAATAAGCAAATTTTGTACAAATTTGAATCATGGGCCATATAAACCCTTTAAATATCTAGCAGCAGCCCTGGGCCAAAGTAGGAAGTTCTGAAGGGAGGAAAGGCCCTTTATGTCACCCACCAGTTGATTTTGGGAGCGTCTATTCCAGCCTCCCCCACCCTGGTGTCCTCCAGATGGTTTGGTCATTGGCCAGGGTTATTGAAGGGCAGCCGGTGAGGGAAGGCTGATGTAGCCCCATTCAACCTACCTAAAACTATCCAGACCCTTGGGGGGGGCGTTACAGGTTTTAGGAGTGAGGCTGTACGTGGCCAACCTATCCGAGTTAGTGGGCACACTTGGAATTTTCATTATGGTTGCCATTAATTTGATTTGAACTGATTTTATAATGAATTGATTTTAGAATGCTGTATTATTTTACTGTTGTTAGCCAGCTTTGGCTGGGGAGGGCGGGATATAAATAAAATTTTATTATTATTATTATTTTATTAAGTGGCGTGGGCGCCGGTCACAAAATGGCTGCTATGGAAGTGTGGCGTCACACAAAATGGCTGCCTCATCTAAAAGCAGACAAGAGAGAGCCGCATATTCTCAGAAAAGGGGCAAAAAGGCACCTATTGCTGCCCTTACTCAGAGAGAGATACTCTTTTTTCAGAACAGAAGAAAGGGAGGGAGGTCCAGTCCTGGAATCCAATGTCATGTGAACCTGTTTAAGGGAATGTGTCAATGCGAGGCAGTGTCAACCATTGCATATGGTGGCTTTTTGAGGGGAAGTTCACTGAGGCTACTTGCAGGTGTCATAGGAGGTTGTTGTTGTTTAGTCGTGTCCGACTCTTCGTGACCCCATGGACCAGAGCACGCCAGGCACTTCTGTCCTCCACTGCCTCCCGCAGTTTGGTCAAACTCATGCTGGTAGCTTCGAGAACACTGTCCAACCATCTCATCCTCTGTCGTCCCCTTCTCCTTGTGCCATCCATCTTTCCCAACATCAGGGTCTTTTCCAGGGAGTCTTCTCTTCTCATGAGGTGGCCAAAGTCTTGGAGCCTCAGCTTCACGATCTGTCCTTCCAGTGAGCACTCAGGGCTGATTTCCTTAAGAATGGAGAGGTTTGATCTTCTTGCAGTCCATGGGACTCTCAAGAGTCTCCTCCAGCACCAGAATTCAAAAGCATCCATTCTTTGGCAATCAGCCTTCTTTATGGTCCAGCTCTCACTTCCATACATCACTACTGGGAAAACCATAGCTTTAACTATACAGACCTTTGTTGGCAAGGTGATGTCTCTGCTTTTTAAGATGCTGTCTAGGTTTGTCATTGCTTTTCTCCCAAGAAGCAGGCGTCCTTTAATTTCGTGGAGGTACATAGGAGGTACTGGTGAGCATACTGGGGCCCTCAGACACCATATTGGCAACCTCTGCTCTGTGTTCACTGGGAAGAATGATGGTCTCCTAACAGGAGCCTCCTTTAAGGCGATGAAAGGCACTCACAGAGGCTGTGTGATGTGCACCATAGTGAGCCCCTCCCCACTCAGATTTTCCATTAGTTCCAGCACAATCATTTTTGCATTTAATCACGTTCCTCTATATCTGCTTTCTGCAAATGAAAGCTAGCTTTTCAAATCTCTATCCTTGTCTGGGTTCCGCTGCATTGTTGGTCTATTCAAATATTGTGGAGACGCCGTAATGAAATGTAGGGCAATCTGAGCCCCGTTCAGTTAAACTGCCTCTGTCTTTCTTTGTGTGATTTAATTTTTAATGTGTTCCATGTGCGCTGAGGTCTGGTCTTAACCTACACGGATTTCTGGTCTCTTCCATCCTGTAGCTGCACCCTTAATAAAACAGATCAGCTGACAGAAACTGATTTCGGAACTATGGCTAAAAATTTCTGTTTGCTTTGTTGGAAGTCTTTGTTCTAGCTTTCTGAGGACTGCAGATTGCTTGTGGAGCTTATGGCAATTGCTATCCTTTTCACTGAGCGATGGATTACGTTAGGTTTCCCTGAAGCATCTTTAGATTGGAAGTTGATAAGACAAGGCAGTCCCCATCATGCCATATTATGTTGACACAGCACATTCCAACATCACGTAATAGTAAATTTAATCAAACCTACCCTCTTATGTCAAGCTGCTGTAGATAATTTCACTCGCAGCAGTACCATTGCTTTCAATTCTAACAGATTATGTTCATTACATTACTACCCTAGTATAGATGTTAAAAGGATACAAATTTCTTCCATTTCAACCAAAGGTTTCCTGAGCCTTTGATTGATCTTGGATCTGAGTTTTCATATCATTCCAGAACCAGATGATAGGAACTGGGTAGGGGTATCATCTTTTGTCCCTTTTGGGAATTTCCTCATTCTTCATACACACTTGTCAAAATCCTAGTCTTTTGTCAATTTAATTGCTCGGTGATGGATGGGAGGACCAGAAAGTGGAAGGAGAAAGGAGTGGCGCTTTCTTTTGTATTCTCAGCTTTGCTGCACACTCAACAAACTTCTCCTGTCTGCTTCCCTCCCCAACTCAACAGCTGCATCAATGATGGGAATGGGTTGGGGCAAAGACACCTCCTTGTTTGGGGGAAGTGAAATACCTGGAACGTTTGCCCTCACAACGTTGGCATTGCGTTTAGGAAGGACTGACTGTCTGACCTCCCAGTTGAACTATTGTGGTTCCTTATTCTCCCAAACCTAGGAGAGGGTCGGGACTAAAGGTAAAGGGACCCCTGACCATTAGGTCCAGTCGTGGCCGACTCTGGGGTTGCGGCGCTCATCTTGCTTTACTGGCCGAGGGAGCCGGCGTACAGCTTCCGGGTCATGACTAAGCCGCTTCTGGCGAACCAGAGCAGCGCACGGAAACGCCGTTTACCTTCCCGCCGGAGCGGTACCTATTTATCTACTTGCACTTTGACGTGCTTTCGAACTGCTAGGTTGGCAGGAGCAGGGACTGAACAACGGGAGCTCACCCCGTCGCGGGGATTCGAACCGCCGACCTTCTGATTGGCAAGTCCTAGGCTCTGTGGTCCCATGGGTCGGGACTAATGCGTCTCAAATGAATGTCTTCCTTGCCAGCGAAGATCATGGAATGGAAGTATATTAAATTGGGAACAGGCCGTAGCTTCGTGGTAGAGCCCATGACTTGCATGCAGAAGCTCCTAGGTTAAACCCCTGGCTTCTCCAGCTAGGAAAAGGAATATTCCCTGCCTGAAACCGTGGGATGGCCACTGCCAGTCAGTTGACAGTACTGAGCCAGGCAGGCTGATGGTATAAGCCTGCTTTCCATCTCTTTGTAGGTTTCGGTTTCTTGCAATGACTTCAAAAGCCCCGAGGGTGACAGAGCAAAAATGTTGATGGGGATGGTTTGTGTGTCTATGTATTATTTATTTATAATCTAGTTAATTTGATGGACAGGGGAGAGGGGAAGAAGGGATGGGACCACCCATCATTTACGCCGCTCCGTACCCATCTGCTCTGCACGGACCATCTGTATCCCCCGCCATCGCTCCTGTCCTTGCTGCCATCCATCACTGAAGTCATCATTGTGGCTGGGGCAAGGGAATGCTGGGAATTAGCTTGATAAATATTGCATAGCCGGAGCTCTGTAGCAGTATATAGCTTTCTGAGGAAGATTTCAGGAGACTGTGCCTCTTCACCCCCTCCTGAAATCCTTTTGCTCCCCTTCCCTTCCCCCCGGTAATAAAGTCCTCACATTTGAATCCGACTGTCGGCTGCAAGCCAGAATCCTTCAGTGTTACGTAGCACAATTGGAGTGGGTGTTGTTGGTTCAGGAGGGCAAGAAGGAAAAGAAGGTCTCCGCCGCCCCACTTTTGGAAAACCAAATGTCCTGCAAATCCACATCAGGGCAAAGTGTTTTGGTTGGCCAAGTGATGGTAGCTCCCTAATGTAGATTTCTTGAAATTTATTTTGGGCCAACCTTTTCTTTTCGTGTCACTGTTCCCAGGAAAGGAGGAGTACCTTCACCCATTATCAACTTTTCCTCACTTGGAGATTATTTTCAGAAGGCCTGCGCCTGTACTTGCCCATGAGACCTAATTAGTTTGGGTACCTTTTCAGTGGTAGCCCCATGCCTGAGGAAGTCAGTTCCCAAAATGGGTTCTTCTGACCTCTTGTTGCAAGCCTTTATATTTGTTTTTTTATTGCGCCTTCTGTTGGGACTTACAGATCTTGACGGATTCCTGAACGTTCTGGGGCATCTACCCTTGGGAAGAGCAAATGATGTTGTTGAGGATCTTGTCTCGTTACAAAACGTTGAGATGCAGAGGGTTCTTGATCACTCCTGAGTGCCCTCCCTGATGCCAAGGGGGCCTGCAATCCAAATTGTGTCCAAGGGAACTGTGGGTGTTGAAACAGGTTGTGTGACTGCCAAGAGTGTCAGTGGTATAGATCTCACTCCAAGGCTGACTGAGCATTGGTTAGAAGCCATAACTGCGCCTAACATATGGTAATAAGGGCAGTGAATAAGTCCTCCTTTGCTGACCACTGAGGCCAAGTAATTGTCCAATGTAACTTTTGCAATTTGTCCAGAAATTGGTCTCACCGGCTGATAGGAGGTGAGTTGAGGCCTGATGCCATTGCCTGGTCCACCATTTTAAGGATAGGGTTGCTCCGCTCTATGGTGATTTAGATATTACAGTGGTGCCTCGCAAGACAAAATTAATTCGTTCCGCGAGTTTTTTCGTCTTGCGAATTTTTCGTCTTGCGAATCACGAATTCCCATAGGAATGCATTGAAAATCAATTAATGCGTTCCTATGGTCAAAAAAAGTCCAAACAAAGCCAAATTTGGTACAACAACCTCCCCAACTGTTGCATACCCCTCCCCAACTGTTCCCCCAGCCACCCAGCATACAGAAATTCAAATCCAGAATTTTTTAAAAAAAACAGCAGAGTGGCCCAATGGTCACAGAAAATCATAAAAATGCAGGAAAAAACCACACAAGCTCCCAGATTCTTGCAAACCCCTCCCCAACTGTTCCCCCAGCCACCCAGCACACAGAAATTCAAATCCAGATTTTTTTTAAAAAAACAGCAGAGTGGCCCAATGGTCACAGAAAATCATAAAAATGCAGAAAAAACCACACAAGCTTCCAGATTCTTGCAAACCCCTCCCCAACTGTTCCCCCAGCCACCCAGCACACAGAAATTCAAATCCAGATTTTTTTTTAAAAAAACAGCAGAGTGGCCCAATGGTCACAGAAAATCATAAAAAATGCAGAAAAAAGACACACAAGCTTCCAGATTCTTGCAAACCCCTCCCCAACACCAAGTCCTTGAATTCCAAACACCCCAACCCAAAATCCAAAAACCCAAAAAGTTTTAAAAGCTTAACTTGGCTGCAAAAGAAGTTTTGGAAAAGCTTCAAAAATCACCAAAGTCTTTAAAAACCTCAAAAAGGCTACTATGTACACTGCGTTCTATGAGTTGCTCCTCGAAGTCAAGTCGCAACTGTATTAATGGTGTTAAGAAAAGGAACCAAACTTGCAAGACGTTTTCGTCTTGCGAAGCAAGCCCATAGGGAAATTCGTCTTGCGAAGCAGCTCAAAACCGGAAAACCCTTTCGTCTAGCGAGTTTTCCGTCTTGCGAGGCATTCGTCTTGCGGGGCACCACTGTATTGTGACCGCCCCAGCTGTAGTTCCAATTCTGCATCTCACCTGACAGAAAGAAATATTACCCTTCCGTGCTGTGGATAATGAGAGCATCCGTTTTTGTCTTCTCTTTACCATTGAATAGAATTTCAGCTGTGCAATTGACATTTATATGCTGACTGAGAAGCTTTATTTTGTGTGTGTGTGTGTGTGTGTGTGTGTGTGTCACCCTAAGAAATCTCCCCCAAAGTACCATCTGTAGGGAGAACATCATGCTCAGTGATGATCTCTGTGTTCTGAGAGAGCCATGGGTTAGATTTTTTTTTTTAATTGGCTATTGTGTAGGTGAGGAAGAAGCAGGTTGTTGTAAAAACACAGCTACGTTTCCTAAGTTTTCATTCATCCCCAAGGGAAAAAAATTTGTACGCAACAGCAGCCACGAGCGTGCTTAATGTGACATAATGGAAAAATGACAAACTCCCTACCAGAGTTGAATGGTTATCCAAATTGACAGAATATGCGGAATTAGCCTCTCTTTCGGAAAGGATCGGAGACAAGCCCAGACAGGAGTTCATTCTAGATTTTCAAAAATTATTTGAAAAGCAGTTGTAATCTAAACAGGGTAGTTGCCCTTGAATGATTTCTGTCAATAATACATATGATGGAATATGATATCGAAATAGAAAAGAGAATTTTTTACAAAATAGTCATGATAAATTAAAGCAAGATGTTTGATATAAAGGAAAATACGGAGAGGATGGGAAGTCATAGGTTTGTGTAGAAAGCACATAGTTGAAGCTGTATATATTTTTTGTGATATCTTTATTGGACTGACTGAAATGAAGATGATTATGTATTGTGTATATATATGTGTGTGTGTGTGGAAAATGAATAAGAAAACTTTTTTTTTTAAAGTTTTCATTCAGAAAAATAAGGAACGTGGGGAGGGGAGAAGTTGCTTTCCATCAGAATAAGCCAATGGGCTTGAGTCGCTAACTGCTGCAAGTGAAATAACCAGAATAACTGAGAAATGTATTCTTGGCAGCTCCCCAAGTTTTTTTTTTAGTGGAGCATTAGAGGGAACATCATAACAATTACTGCCTTCCAATGTTTGTATGAGCGGCCTTCTTCCCAGGTGGCAGATGTCTCTCTGTGCCATGCACAAAACAATATCGGTTGCCTCGGGGTTGCTTTGGGGCTCTGCACCCATCTCCCTAAGAAGCAGATCCTAGTCCATGTGCAAGATTGTGCATGTTAGATTTTATTCACTAAAACATTCCCTTTTGCCAGGGAAGCAGAAGAACTGTCTGTTACTTTACCTTTTCGCAGTGCAAGGCCCATGCAACCTTTCCGAAGTCCTATGCTAATTAAGGCTTACTCCAAAGTAAATGCGCACAGGATTGCAGCTTTAACCTCTCTTCCCCTCCAGAGTGATTACATTACTCTAATTTCAGTGCTGCAGAGATAGCTTAGGAAAGAGAGTGAATATTTATGTAAAGGGGAAGGAGCTTAATTGATTGCTTATGATCTCATCTTAGTGATGCTGCTTTTGTTAAAAGCGTTACTGGAAACTGCAAGGAAGGAAGAAATTGTCTGTAATTTTCTGCTACCCAGAAAAGCCTTAGAAACACCAGGTAGGTGTACATTTTAGCACCAGAGGGGGAGATCTACAATGGTGTCTTTTTGTTTAAGTTCACAAACATTTGTCCTGGGGGTAGCTTTTCTGGTGTTCGCCACTGTTTTTCCTTCAAACTAGTAACGCATGATGACTTCCCTTAGGGGAAAGGTATAGTGGGGAGTGTTCTGTTTCCTAAAAATGAAATGAAATGATAAATTATAGCCTTTGTAGAAAGTTCTCAAGATGGTATGAGCATGGTAGGGAAGAGGGTGTTTTTGGACTGCCTGAGAGGGTCAGGAACAATAAATCAGTAGGTACCTGTGACCAGTGTTTTCCGAAGAATGGGTGTGTGTGAATGTTCTTGACGTAAGAGCTAAGGAAGTGAGCCCTCTTGCCCCGGGTCAGGATTGGGGAACCTCAGGGCCAAATTTGGCCCTCCAAGCCTCTCTGGGGAGTCTCTCCAGACCACACCCTCCCTGAGAAAGTTGGCCTGACAATGACTCTTGGTTGTCTGGATGAAGCAGTAAAGCTCGCAGTCCTTGCTGTGCCCACTTTTTCCTCGGGGCCACACCCACCACGGCATGTGCCCCATAGCTCTGTTGTGAGTAGGGGAACGTGGGCCCAGGGTGTATGTCTGTCCTGTTCCCCGAACTACTCTAAGATAAATTCCAATATTGCACATAGTCCCAAGGGCAACACTAGAGAGGAGTCGGAACAGTCCAATGGTCAAATACAGTACAAGGAGATACAGTGGTACCTTGGTTCTCAAACACCTTGGTACTCAAACAACTTGGAACCCAAACACTGCGAACCCGAAAGCAAGTGTTCCAGTTTGCGAACTCTTTTTTCAGAAGCTGAACATGCTCCGTTTTGAGTGTCACACTTCCGATTTGAGTGTTACGCTGAGGTCTGTCTGTTTTTGCTATTTATTTTGCATTTTTGTTTTTGCGGCTTTTTTGTTTTGTTTTTGTGACTGTGTGGAACCCAGTTCAGTTACTGATTGATTGATTGTGACTACAGTACATTGTTTATTGCTTTCATTTTATGGATCAATGGTCATGTTAGATAGTAAAATTCATGTTAAATTGCTGTTTTCGGGGTTGTTTTTAAAAGTCTGGAACGGATTAATCCATTTTGCATCACTTCCTATGGGAAAGCGCGCCTTGGTTTTGGAATGCTTTGGTTTTGGAACGGACTTCCAGAACGGATTAAGTTTGAGAACCAAGGTACCACTGTAAGTTCAAAGTCAAACCGTAAGGCCAGGTTCCCATCTATGAAGAAGATCAAAGACTGGACTCCTGGGGTTATTTCTACATGGGGTAATTTAAACTGGATACTTTCAGTATTGCAGATTACTAGTGTTCTTGAAGAGAACTTGTGTGTTCTGTGTAGACTCTTCTTTCCACATCTTATGACTCTTCTGAAAGAATTTTATACAAAATTGGTAGCAAATTTAATAACAACTGTGAAATTTAATATCGAAAGGATGTAGAAACCAGCTGACGTTTTCACAATTAACCATTTGTTGAGTAAGTCTTGGGAAGCTCTGCACACGGAACAGGATAGCTATGTTATGAAATCTACAAGTGATGTAAATAAATCTGTTGAGGAAATATGGAAGCCATTTTAAAAGAAGTTTTGCAATAGAATATATGGGGAGTAATGATATATCTGATACAAATCACAAATTATCAGTGCAAAAAGGCTTTTCAAAAGTGCATTGTCAGTCCTGAGTACATAGCTTCTAGACTTCAGTTTTTCACAGTTATCGTTAGTGGATAACACCCAGACACTCAGAAATGCATTATGGATGCAGGGGTAAACAAAGCAAATTCTTTTTTTTTTTTAAAGGACATGTTACCACCCTCCAATGTCAACAGTATTCTTAATATTCCCAGGGGTTGTGAATGCAACAACTTAATTTTGTATCTTGCGTGTGTGTGTGTTTCATTTCAATTTTCATGCAATTGTATTGCCTTCTCTTTGTTTTTTGTTTCGGTATGTTGTTGAACTGTATGGTTTTGATTGAATAAATAAAAAGAAATATAAAAAAAGAAAAAGAAGAGAGCAGGCAGGCAGCCAGGCCAAAGCTGTCTGTGTATATCACGCCTGCACTGCTTTGACCTACTGAGCTGTTAAAACCTCTTGATTTTGCTGCCAATCTTGGATAAGGAAAAGACAGCAGTTGTTATGCACTTGGTAGGACACATTGCTGCTGTAGGGCTGCATTGACTTAATAACAAGTTGTGCAGGCCTGCTATTGATTAAACGTATTCTGAAGGATGCCACACACAAAAATGAATGTGGTGGCATATGGCTTCTTTAGCACAAGCTAAGCTCTGTGGAAATTGTAATTTTTGCTGCTGGAAGTGTGGAAAATGTGGGTTTAATTATTATTATTATTATTATTATTATTATTATTACCCTGCCCAGCCACACTGGGCAGCTCCCAACAGATTAAAAACAGAATAAAACATCAAATATTAAAAACTTCCCTAAACAGGGCTGCCTTCAGATGTCTTCTAAAAGTCAGGTACAGTGGTACCTCGGGTTAAGTACTTAATTCATTCCAGAGGCCCGTTCTTAACCTGAGACTGTTCTTACCCTGAAGCACCACTTTAGCTAATGGGGCCACTGCGCTGCCGCTGCACGATTTCTGTTCTCATCCTGAAGCAAAGTTCTTAACCTGAAGCACTATTTCTGGGTTTATGGAGTCTGTAACCTGAAGCGTATGTAACCTGAAGCGTATGTAACCTGAGGTACCACTGTAGTTGTTTATTTCCTTGGCACAGGGGTCAGCAACCTTTTTAAGCAGGGGGCCAGTCCACTGTTCCTCAGACCTTGTGGGGTGCCAGACTATATTTTTTTGGGGGGAAATGAGTGAATTCCTATGCCTCGCAAATAACCCAGAGATGCATTTTAAATAAAAGGACACATTCTACTCATGTAAAAACACCAGGCAGGCCCCACAAATAACCCAGAGATGCATTTTAAATAAAAAGGACACATTCTACTCATGTAAAAAATGCTGATTCCTGGACCGTCTGTGGGCCGGATTTAGAAGGCGATTGGGCTGGATTCAGCCCCTGGGCCTTAGGTTGCCAACCCATGCCTTAGTATCTGATGGGAGGGTGTTCCACAGGGCGGGCGCCACCACCGAGAAGGCCCTCTGCCTGGTTCCCTGTAACCTCGCTTCTCGCAATGAGGGAACCCCCAGAAGGGAGAGCTGCTGGACTGTCAGGTTAGGTGGATCAGCGGAATTGTCTGACCCGGATAAGGCGACTTTGAATGTATTTCCCAGTTTGCTTCCAGTTGTGGTCTCTGTTGCTAATGTCTGGAAGCCCAGTGAACACAACAACAGTAATAAATATAGTAGCAATGATAATGCACCCTGAGACATTTTGATTATAAGTGAGATTCATTTTGCTTAAATGTTGACTCTCTTGAAAGTTATGCCTAGGGTCCTTGGAACAAAAAGCAGAAACTGATGAGGACCCTCGAACCCCGTGGTTTCCAGTGTGGGGCAATTTGATTTTTAAGGGGGCCATTCGAGCATGAGTTATTAACAGTTAATGGCCTTTTAGGCTTCCTCCACATGAATAGGAGTTCACTTTTTGAATACAGTGGTACCTCAGGATAAGTACTTAATTCGTTCCGAAGGTCCGTTCTTAACCTGAAGCTGTTCTTAACCTGAGGTACCACTTTAGCTAATGGGGCCTCCTGCTGCTGCTGCTGCGCCGCCGGAGCACAATTTCTGTTCTTATCCTGAAGCAAAGTTCTTAACCTGAAGCACTATTTCTGGGTTAGCGGAGTCTGTAACCTGAAGCATATGTAACCTGAGGTACCACTGTAATAAGAATTGTATTTCACGGGGGGTGGGATCAGGATTTTAGAGATGCTTAGGTGGGGCATGGCCAAAAAAGGAAAGGAGTTGCCTGGTTAAAAACAAAGAATGTTTACTAGTCTCCTGAAGACTGAAGATACAAACCTCTGAGGAAGGAGAGCACTTATGGGAAGCTCAACATCCTTTGGAAATTCTGTTCACAAAATGCTTTTTTTTTTTTTTAACCCTTCATCTTATTTAACGTTCAGGTTTTCTTTTTTAAAAAATGCTTTTTACTGAGTTTTCTTTAACATACACAAACAAAATAAATACTCTAAAATTCAACAATCATATGTCTACTTATTTTCTAAACACTCTTGTGCACAGACTTCCCTCCCTCCCTTCAACAGGCTTTCATATTGAATTTCCTCTTTTTTCGCAGGTTTTTAGTAGCATCCTATACACATAAAAAATAATAATTTTAATCCTACTACAGTCTTTAAGCTTCTATGGTTATTACCTATATACTCAACAAATTTACTCCATTTTTGAACTTTGTTTCCTCTTGGTTACGGATCCTGTGGGTCAGTTTTGCTAATTCTACATATTCAACCATTTTTGTCTGCCACTCTATTAGTGTTGGTATTTCCTGAGTTGTCCATTTTGGGGCTACTAAGATTCTGGCGGCAGTCGTAGCGTACATAAATAGTCTCTGATCTGCTTTTCTTATTTCATCTCCTATCTCCTAGGAAGGAACTTTCAGGTTTTCTGAATGACTGAAGTGCAAATCTTGTTGTCAGGATTCTCTCCTACCTTTTTTGATCTTATATTTGGATATATATTCCTATTATAATTTTTACGACACGTTCTCATTTTGTATTTTTATGTTGTGAACCACCCTGTGATCTTTGGATGAAAGGTGGCATACAATTTTAATTAATTAATCATAATAATAGTAGTAATGAAAGAGAGTTGCTGTTTCTTTCAGAGAAAGCTAAACATCATTAATTTATGTGTGACTATTGCTTCCCTGGAACATTTGAAAAAGCTTGGGTGACGAAGAAGATGAGTCTTGTTTCAGATTTGCTAGAGGCAGCCCTTTCCAGCAAAGAGGCTCTTCATCAGCTTACTTTTAACCATATGTGAATTCTGGGGAAGGGTAATTCAATTCTCTGCGCCTCATAAAAGGCGTTGGGATGGGTGGAAGCTAAGACGAGAAGCTTAGCTCTCAGCTGGACTGGGAAGAACGGGGTGGGCTAAGGTCATTTCAGTGTCTATAACCTCTGAATGGACAATCTCACCTGTTCGCCAGTGTCCAGCAACTGATGTCCAGTCACTCAAGTCAGAATGATGCAGAGACTCCTTCTAAAAGACAGGTCTTGCTTCAAGACAGCCGTGGCTGCTTAAATTAGAAACAGGTTTCCCTTTCAGCTCTAGATGTCTGAGCTTCTAGGGGGTAGGTGTCTAAAGCAGCTAAAGATTGTGAAAAGTAAAGGCAGATTTCTTAATTATTTTCAGAAAAAGAAATAAAATTCAATAGGGGTAATTTTTTCGTGTAGAACAACTGCTTTAGAGTATTGGTTTTATTTTCAATAAATATACATCCCCCACCTTATTTATCATCACATCTTCTCTGAACTTCCTCCAGAGATTTTTATTGTGACTGCCATGAGGAATTACTGCAATTTTTTAAATGCTGTAATTAATTAAATGACACAGCTTTCTCCCATGTCCACATTGCTTTACAAACCATTTCATATTAGTTTTCTTTTACATTCTGTTAGGGTTGCAAGCTGATTTATGAAATATTAGTCACCGTAATGTTAGTCAAATGATTGATCTATTTATATTTGCAGATATTCACACATTCACTAAACAGGTAATCCCCTTCCGCCTTTAAATAGCTCACACGTGCATATCTTGGAACATCATTTACTCACACAGACATATACACACACTCATATTTTAAAGCAAAAACTTAATCTGAATATTCACATTCCAAAGCTAAAGCAAAAGATCAAAGGACGAAAACTCGGTTTTTGTAAGGTTAGCATCCTGTTTCAGTGCTTTTTGAACACTACTGTTCTCTGTTGCTGATTTTATTCTGATCTTGTTTTGATTTCCTATAAAATGTGGGTGGAACAGGAAAGAGAGTGTGGATTTGAGATTTGTGGGGAGGAGGATATATTTTTATTTTATTTTATTTTATTTTTACAATTCTCATTTAGAGTGCTGAATGTTTATTGGAGGAGCCTCCACTGCACGCACATCCCAAAAGCAACTACTAGGACCCTCGTACCTACGAGACCGCCTCTCCCGGTTTGCCCCACGGAGAGCCTCAAGGTCCATAAATAGCAACACCCTAGTGGTCCTGGGCCCTAACGAAGTTAGATTGGCTTCAACTAGAGCCAGGGCCTTTTCAACACTGGCTCCGTCCTGGTGGAACGCTCTGTCTCATGAGACCAGGGCCCTGCAGGATCTGATTTCTTTCCGCAGGGCCTGTAAGACAGAGTTGTTCCGCCTGGTCTTTGGCTTGGAGCCAATTTGATTCCTTCCCTCTCTTTCTTTCTTTTTTCCTTTCCTTCTCCTCCTGCGATGAGGCTACATTTTAATATTTTAATGTTTCAATATTTTAATGTTGTATATTAATTTTGTTTTTAAGTTGTAATCATTCAACTTGTTTTTATTATTGCTTGTAAGCCGCTCTGAGCCCAGCCTTGGCTGGGGAGGGCGGGGTATAAATAAAAATTATTATTATTATTATTATTACTTCTGCTACGAACTTCAGAATGGTATCAAAGGAACCATATCTCCCCCTGCCCCATACAAACTTGCCCAAGTTCTGAGATATCCAGGGGACACCGTTTTCTCAGTTCTGTCGCCTTCACAGGCACGTCTGGTGAATGTGGGAGAGGGCCTTCTCAGTGGCTGCTCCCTGGCTTTGAAACTTGTTATGTACTAAGCTTGGGTCCTAGAACAATGGGCAAGTAGGATCCTAGAATGCAACAACTGATTGGCTTGCAGGAAAAGACCAATCAGGCTCCAGGAGGGAAGCAGAATCAGCCAATCAGACGGGACTCATTGTGTAAATAATGTATATAAAAGCCTGAGTTTTGGGGGGCAATTAAATCATTGCTGCAATAAAGAGCATGAAATCACTACAGGGCTCTGTGTATATTTTAAAACTCCTTTCCTAGAGCAGCTAGACCAGGGCTCAGCAACGTTTTTTGAGACTGGGCCAGTTCACTCCCAGGCAGACATCTCAGTGGGCAGGAGCGTGCGTGCCCATGCGCGCCTGTGCGTGCGCTCAAGCTATTTCCGGCACTTTTCTGGGTCGGAAGAGCGCTGGAAATAGCGTGTGCGCATGCGCATGTGCACCGGAAATAGCGTATACACATGTGTAAAGGTGTGTGCGCACACGCTATTTCAGGCGCACTTCCGCGATGCAGGAGTGCCCGTGCGCATGCGCACACGCTATTTCCAGCACTCTTCTGACCCGGAAGTCGGAACCGGCCCATGGGCCTTAGGTTGCCGACCTCTGAGCTAGACTAATTCCCTTCTTGTCCTTTTGTTCCAGCAGGATTCTGGGAACTAACTGCTTTTAAGAAAATAACTCTTTAACAGTGTGCTGTACAGTGGAAACTTGGTTCCCGAAGTTAATCCATTCCGGGAGTCTGTTCAATTCCCGAAACAGTTCGAGAACCAAGTGCAGCAGCTTCCTGCCGCCAATCAGAAGCCGTACCGGGTGTTCGGCTTCCAAAGAACGTTCGAAAACCGGAACAATTACTTTTGGTTTTCGTTTGTTCGGGAGCCGGAACATTCAGCTCCCAAGGCGTTTGGGAACTGAGGTTCCACTGTACCATTTCTAAAATTATGATTATCTGCATTTTAGTATATACGGCTTTCTACACTGTTTTGATTCCATGGATAAATTACTTCTTAACAATAATCTTGTATACATGGTTAGCTGTGTGCGTTTTATCTGTATTTGTCTTAATTTTTGTGAGCTGTGTTGAGTCCCAGTTTTAGGGGAGAGGCGAGATATAAACAAACAAATTTAAATGGTACTGGTAATAGGAAACAGGGACTCATAGCTTGACTGCAGCTAGCACATGCCCTGCAGACCACAAACTGAAATATTGCAGCAGCATTTGTTTAGATGAGAAGTTTACAGCTTCTCTGTGCTGGTTTTGAGGAAGCACAATTTTGTTTTGCTAGGAACCTATGAAGAACTTGTTATCCCAGCAGTGCTGTAAACTTAGGAGGCTCTCAGAAGCTCAACTACCAAGAGGTTCTACCACCATGGCAACCAGGGAAGCAAAGCTTAGATGGGTTGTGGTGTCATTAGGAAAGCCATGAAACATTTCTTTTATAGAATTTACTCGGTTTAGTAGGCCGGTTTCCACCACAATGGCTATGCAGTCCAGAATTAACTACAGTGGTACCTCGGGTTACATACGCTTCAGGTTACATACACTTCAGGTTACAGACTCTACTAACCCAGAAATGTTACCTCAGGTTAAGAACTTTGCTTCAGGATGAGAACAGAAAAAGTGCTTTGGCGGCGCGGTAGCAGCAGGAGGCCCCATTAGCTAAAGTGGTGCTTCAGGTTAAGAACAGTTTCAGGTTACTACAGAACAAATTAAGTACTTAACCCGAGGTACCACTGTATAAGCAAATTAAGCTTAAGTGTAGAGTCCCAGTCAAATTCAAAACCATGTTATGACAGAATTATTTAGAATTTCTCAATGTGGAGAGAGTGCTGGCGTTGTCCATGGCTTTTTTCTTTTCTTTTTGTTAACTATATTTTTGATAACTATATTCTGGTTGAACTTTCCTCATGATATTGCAGGGCAGTAGCCTTGCTTGTTCTTAGGCTGGCACAGGTAAAATAATATTGTGTATTATTGCTGGAGAGTCTGTGAGAATGGTGGTTTTTAAGAACAGGAATTGTTCAGCTAAAGCTTATCGTTTCAGATTATTGGGTTTCTCTTCAACAAATCCTTTTGCATACATTGTGCTTCTGTATTTTGGTTAACACCCCTTTGGATACTTTCTGATTTAAAGTGCTAAGGGAAAAGGGACTGGTGTTCCTCTTAGCACAGCATCGCAGATGCTTCCACAAACAGGGAGTGGACTTGTATGAATGCCTATTCAGTGTGTTTCAGAAACATTCCAGTAATTTGTTTAAAGCAAAACGTAATTAAATAGTGAATAATTTAATAATTGAGGAATGTTTAATTAGATGGCGAATGCATATTAGCAGGCACTCTAGATTGGTGTTGTGAGCCGTAGTAGTAATCGACATCTCTGTTCAAGAAGGAGACAATCTCAGCATTAAGCTTGCAGCTAGAGCAGTGGTGTAGTTCTTTCACATTTGATAAAGCTCTTTGAGGAGGCACAAAACAGACACCCACCCACCCAGGAAAAACCGAAATGTACCCAAATCGTTTAAATTGTGTTTACAGCTTCTCTTTATTCTCTTTTGGCCCCATTTTTAATTGTTTCCCTTACAACGTGATCCCAGGCAATCGAGGATAGTGTAGATGTGTTGACATAATGGGGCCGCAGAACCATTCAGATACGTCTATGAGACAACATCACGGAGAACAAAACCTTCACCTTGCCATCCCTCAGAATAGAAGAGGGAATGAATGCCGGTTGCTGTGACACTTTTGGGTCTTGCCATACTGTATTTGCAGTTTAGCATCCAACGGAACAAGAGGGAGCATTGGCCTAGTTGCTTTAACAGTGGGGCCGTGTTCATCCTCTCCCTGATCACACAGTCTCTTGTGACCCCGCCAAAAGTGACTTGGACACTGATACATAGCGAGTGGGCCAAGCTAGGTTGCGAAAGCCATTGATGCGGATTGCAGAGGTGCTGTACCCAGGCCCCAATGCCAGACTTGAACCTTCCAGTCATATTCCCCCGAGAGGCCAACACCTTCACTGCCAAAGAGTTCACCGCAGGCCCTGCTCACCAAAGCAGGCAATGTACTTTGCGGGAAATAGGAGATGGAGTGGTAGGCTCCAAGTGACAAGGCTACCCCTTTCCATTCTCAGGAAGGAGAGGAACATAGGAGGGATAATATAAGCTCTCAGTTGAGTGGGTCTCCTTGGAACAAGTTGTCTGCTTGCTGTGAACTGTCCACGGTACTGAAGAACCTCTCTTTGGTTGACATTGTTTGTCTAGTACAGTGGTACCTCTGGATGCGAACAGGATCCGTTCCGGAGCCCCGTTCGCATCCTGAAGCGAACGCAACCTGTGTCTGCGGGTCGTGATTTGACACTTATGCGCATGCGTGTGACGTCATTTTGAGCATCTGCGCATGTGCGAGTGGTGAAACCCAGAAGTAACACGTCCCGTTACTTCCGGTTTGCCGTGGAGCGCAACCCGAAAACGCTCAACCTGAAGCATATTTAACCTGAGGTATGACTGTAGTTCATGGGTAGGCAAACTAAGGCCCGGGGGCCGGATGCGGCCCAATCGCCTTCTAAAGCCGGCCCACGGACGGTCCGGGAATCAGCATGTTTTTACATGAGTGGAATGTGTGCTTTTATTTAAAATGCATCTCTGGATTATTTGTGGGGCCTGCCTGGTGTTTTTACATGAGTAGAATATTTGTGGGGTATAGGAATTTGTTCATTTCCCCCAAAAGAAATATAGTCCGGCCCCCCAGAAGGTCTGAGGGACAGTGGACTGGCCCCCTGCTGAAAATGTTTCCTGACCCTTGGGCTCTAGTTCATGTTTCCTGATCTAGCCTGTGCATTATTAACTGCCTTTGGCATCAATGACTAGACCACTTTTTGGAGCTGCTTTCTCCAAATCTTTCCACGTGCTCAGCCTCACCAGGATTGGGAACGGCCTAGTGCAAAAAATGTACCCATTGTTTATTTAAAACACTTGCATGCCACATACAGTGGAACCTCAGTTGTCAAACGTAATCTGTTCCGGAAGACGGTTTGACAACTGAGGCGCGATTGCTGGTCGGCAAATTCCTTTTAAAAAATGGAGAAATGCACCTCGGAAGCTGTTCAACTTCTGAGGCGCGTTCAAAAACAGAAGCATTCACTTCCAGGTTGTCGGCGTTTGGATTCCGAATTGTTCGGCTTCTGAGGCGTTCGATAACTGAGGTTCCACTGTATTTTTTAACCCCACAAAACTTTGAGATACCTTACAACAATTAAGTAGCTAAATCCTTTCACCTCCTTTCACGGTACCCTGAAACAGATTGCTGGGGGTGTGGTGTGGAAATGCCCACAGAGCAAAATGTCCCCTGATTTAACTCCTTTGCATGGCGACTTACCTCAAGTCCCCCTTGCTTGAGTGCTGTCCCCTTTTACCAGCTACACTCCTTTGCACTTTCCCTCTCATGCTATATTTTCTCCCTGTCGCAAACAGTATGCACAAACCGCATACACTGATAGAGGAGTGGGGAACATTTTTCCTCTGAAAGACCAGTACAAATAACTCCCTCCTGAGGGTGCTGTATGTGAGAGAAGTCGCTTTTGAGCCATTGTTACTGTTGGGAAAGCAAAAGAAAATCGCATTGGAGTTCCAGTCACAGAATTCCAATGTAACATGTAGTCTGACTTTTAGAGACATATGTAAACACAGCAGGGAGCACTCCTCACACTTCTTCAATGGGAAACAGTCCAGAGCTTTGCCATATATAACCATTTTCCACAGGGCCTATAAATCCAGCTGTCTCCGTAAGGCCAAGTTAGTTTCTGTTGTTAGGATAAACGAAAGAAGCAAATGTTAGTTGTCAAACGCTGGAGTCTTATTTTGCAGGAAACAAGAACATGAGATAGCAACAAGCCAAGCTCATGAAGGAGAAAAATGAACTGGAAAAAAGTGTGGTACAGTTATAAATAAGGAGAGAGGGAGAGAGAGAAATCTGGTCAGGCTTTTTAGGGGCCTTGTATGCTTCTTTGGGGTGTAAGATTTTATTTAAACAAATGTTTGGGATAGATATTTAACTATTAAAAAAAGGTAAAGGTAAAGGACCCCTGACAGTTAAGTAGGGCTCATCTTGCTTTACTGGCCGAGGGAGCTGATGTTTGTCTGCAGACAGTTTTTCCGGGTCATGTGGCCAGCATGACTAAGCCGCTTCTGGCGAAACCAGAGCAACGCATGGAAACACTGTTTACCTTCCCACTGAAGCAGTACCTTTTTATCTACTTGCACTGGCATGCTTTCAAACTGCTAGGTTGGCAGGAGCTGGGACCGAGCAACGGGAGCTCACCCCGTCATGGGGATTCGAACTGCCGACATTCCAATTGGCAAGCCCTAGACTCAGTGGTTTAGACCACAGCGAGGCTAACTGTTCTGAGCAATGTCTCTGCTATGCCACAAACCCTCTTGTGTAACTTTGAATAAGTAGAACGTTTGATAAAACGTTCTTTTATTTTATATAAATTAATGCAGTATAAATATTTTACCACCACCATGCGTCTACTGACAGTAACTGACTCTGATTGAATTCTGAACTTTACTGACAACCAGGGTGGGCGAGAAAGATATCTTTTTGCTGAACTTGTACCAGATTGATTGTACAGCAAGGATAGCTAATCTGTGTTAAGCCGTTTTGAACATGCACCGTTAGGGAAAACTGGATGTGACAGAACTGCCACATTTGTTTGGTCAGATGTGCTTCTTCACATACCAAGTGAGGAAAGGAGTGTGCAGGAAGTAAGGAGGGGAGGGCCTGATCCCTTTACCTCGGTGCATTCTGTTTAATAACTTTTCTCCTGCCTCCCTTCCTGGATCAATTTTGGTACTGGAGCCAGGCTGGCGGGAAAGTGCCTGAAAGGATGGCGTGTGGGGAGGTCAGGTCAATACCTTATTAGTCTTGTCAGTGCTAACCCATATATAAAGGTAATGGGGTTGGGGGGAATGGAGAAGAGAAAGTAAGGGAGCAAATGAATATAATCCCAGCTTTCTTGGTGTGGGCCAGAGTGCCCACACCTAGTGCCTACAATTGGTGTGGCTGCCTAATTGCAACATCAGCCACACCAATTGTGGGAACATGGTAACCCCAAAGATAGATTACTGCAATGCATTATAAGAAGAGTTTGGATTTGATATCCCGCTTTATCACTACCCGAAGGAGTCTCAAAGCGGCTAACATTCTCCTTTCCCTTCCTCCCCCACAACAAACACTCTGTGAGGTGAGTGGGGCTGAGAGACTTCAGAGAAGTGTGACTAGCCCAAGGTCACCCAGCAGCTGCATGTGGAGGAGCGGAGACACAATCCCGGTTCCCCAGATTACAAACCTACTGCTCTTAACCACTACACCACACTGGCTCTTATACACAGGGCTGCCTCTGAAGACGGTTCGGAAGCTTCAGTTAATGCAGAATTCAGCGGCCAGGTTGCTTACTGGAGCAAGATGGTTTGAGTATATTACACCGATCCTGGTCTGACTGCACCGGCTACCAATTAGTTTCTGGGTCCAATTCAAAGTGCTGGTTGTGACCTATAAAGCCTTAACAGCGCAGGACCGCAATACCTCAAGGACCGCCTCTTGCCGTATGAACCTTCCTGGACCCTGAGATCATCCTCTGAGGCCCTTCTACATGTGCCTTCTCGAGAGGTCTGGAGGGTGGCAAAACAAGAACGGGCCTTCTCTGCAATGGCTCCCCATCTGTGGAATGATCTCCCCAGGGAAATTTGCCTGACGCCTTCATTATGCACCTTTAGGTGCCAGGCAAAAACATTCTTTTTTTAACTAGGCCTTTGGCTGATCTGATTGACATCCTATGCCCTTTTAAAATGTGGTTTTTTTTATGGGGGAGCGGTTATTGGTTTGTTGTTTTTATTTTGATTATATATTTTGTGGTTTTATATTTTGATTTTGTTCTTGAGACCTCTGGGAATAGGATGGTGTATAAATTCAATAAATAATAATAATAATCAGTTTCTGCCTGCTCTTTAAGGGAAGGAAGACCTGGAAACGCAAGTCCTATGTTTCCACTCTTCCTACTGGCTCTGTCCTGCTGGGGGACTGTGGGTTTTACCTATTCTGTAGCTGCGGAGTGATGGTGGCAGCAGCTGACAGAGTGCTTTGCTTCCACCCTTTTCTGCCTTCTTCCCACCCGCAGTGCACATTCATTGTACAGTGGTACCTCGGGTTACATACGCTTCAGGTTACAGACTCTGCTAACCCAGAAATAGTACCTCAGGTTGAGGATGAGAACAGAAGTACCTCAGGTTGAGGATGAGAGCAGAAATCGCAGGGTGGCGGCGGGAGGCCCCATAAGCTTAAGTGGTGCTTCAGGTTAAGAACAGTTTCAGGTTAAGAACGGACCTCCGGAACAAATTAAGTACATAACCAGAGGTACCACTGTACTTGCTGTAACATCTAAACAAGGCTCACGGAGCACTTTAAGTGAGTGACTGCTTCTGGTAAAGTCTGTACTGTAATTTGCATCTTGCTCCACAATGCTTAGGGCGAATTCCGAGTATTAGCAACCTGCTTTCACTATACATATGTGTTTGGACGGGTTATTTGTGCAAAATTCCTTTTTCTTCCTGGTTCCTATTATAAAAACCCCCCCTTGTGTGCGCACTATGAGGCTACAGGGAAACAGCCCCTCATTCTCCATCCTGTCATCTGCATAATGGGCTCCCTGGAAAGAGTTTTCACCATGCTATAGCTGTGTTGTGATTGGCTGCAGAGTTAGTCTGAATCCTGTGTTCCATCATGATAGCATGAAGGGGCAGAGCAGTGGGTGTTGTTGTTTTTACCTTGCTGTTGAATTCAGCGCTGTGGTCTAAACCACTGAGCCTCTTGGGCTTGCTGATCAGAAGGTCGGCGGTTTGAATCCCTGCAATGGAGTGAGCTCCCGTTGCTCTGTCCCAGCTCCTGCCAGACTAGCAGTTCGAAAGCACACCAGTGCAAGTAGATAAATAGGTACTGCTGTAGCAGGAAGGTAAACAGTGTTTCCGTGTGCTCTGGTTTCTGTCATGGTGTTCCGTTGCGCCAGAAGCAGTTTAGTCATGCTGGCCACATGACCCGGAAAGCTGTCTGTGGACAAACACCAGCTCCCTTGGTCTGAAAGCGAGATGAGCGCCGCAACCCCATAGTCACCTTTGACTGGACTTTAACCTTCCAGGGGTCCTTTACCTTTTGCCTTGTTGTTTTTAGCTTGCTGCCGAATTCAGTGGGGTCATTTTCATTTTCACATATTTAGGTACCCCTTTTATTGGTAAACATTACACTGACATGGTGTCAAGAGCAATATCTAAGGAAGTTTAGAATTTAGCATAAGCTTGCTCCTCCCCTGTAAGACATCCAGCATGGCTTTTTGGTAGCTGCTTCTTCTTCTTTAGTGATCACTAAGTAAGATTGTCTTCCATAAACAAGGTTTTAACAGTGAGTCCGTAAGTGACTGTGGAGGCCAATTCTGGACCCACACATCCTTCCACAGTGGGGACATTGGTTCCCAGGCAGGAGTTGATCACAGTGTGGACTGGAAATGGGAATAATCTGGGATAGCGTTGCACTAATGTATCCCTGATGATATGCTTCTGCTAAGACACTAGTAAGGGTACTTACATCAAATCCTAAAGCACTCTAGCCAGCATTACTGAACTGTAGGACTGGGCAACCCATGGCTATAATTTTTCTAAAGTCAAAATTTTAGAATTTTTCATAGATTTCATGAATTAAATTTATGCACAGGTTTTTTTTTGCTTGCCTCACGTTGAAAAGAACTTCATTAATATAAACCTCTGAGGGAGGCATCAACAAGAACATCTTAAATATCCTGGAATGGTAAGTTCCAGGATAATATATGGCTTTCTGCTTTATTTACCGGAGTTTGGTCATATTTGGGCATTGGGATGCTGTTTTATTGCACTTACTGCCCAGTTCTAATGCACTTACTTTGTTACATGTTCTGTTCTTAAGTGTTCTTCAGTAATAAACTATCAGTAGAACAGCAGATACTGAAAAACAAATACTCTTGATCATGGCCATCAACTGGATTGCTGAAAGCAGTCAGATTCTAGAGCACTCATTAGTTGGCACAGAGCCAGTGTCTTGGTGTGGAGTTTGACCCCATTAAGAAAAGGCATGTGCCTTATAGCCAGAGCTGTGACTACTTAGCCTCTATTAGTGTCTCCATTTTCCTGGACTAAGCTTAAATTTACACAGTCTGTTGGTGACCTCAAGCAGTCATTCAGAGTGACGCTGCCTTACCCGACACAAAGAGAAAGAAGAAATATAACTGTGTGTCATCAGTATGCTGACCCAATACTGAAAGCCACCTAGATAGAGATCCAGGAGACTCAACCCAGTCACACCATCCCTGCCATTACAGGTACTCTACCAGACTGATCAAGGCAGATTCGGTTGTGAATCCTGGCCGGAAGCCAGACGGAAATGAATCTAGACAATCACTTTCAGCTGAAAGCACTTGGAGCTGATTTGCCACGTCAGGCTTCAGCAACTTGGCCGGGAATGATTACTTAAAAGCTGGCCTATAATTCCCTAATACCATGGGGATGTGAGAATGCCTTCTTTAATGGGATTACGACTCCTCCTTGAAGAACAGCTGGTCTTCCTGGTGCAATGCATTAATGAAAGTCAAGTTAGAATTTGACTGATTGCCTTGGTAAGCCTTCAGAAACCAAGATGAACAGGGTCAAGCAGAACATCTGTACATCTAATATATATGTGTAGAAAAGGAGTGTTGGCAGCTTGCCAGGACAGCTTGGTATAGTAGTGTTCTTCTCCTGGTAAGTGCAGCTTTGTGTGTTATCCTTACTTGATCTCTCAGTGGCTTTTGATACCATGGTATCCTTCTGAGCCAACGTAGTGGGATGGGTATTGGACACACTGTTCTACAGTGGTTCTGATGCTATATCCAGGATTAGCTTCAGAGAATAGCATTGGGTGATGGTCTTTCAGCCTCCTGGTAGTTGTGCTGTAGGGTAGCTTTGTCTCCAGTGCTATTTAACATCTATATGAAGCCATTGGGAGTGGTCATTGGGAGAGAAGTCAAGCAAGGTGTCACCAGTATGCTGATGACCCCCAGCTCTACTTCTCTGCAACATTTGAATCAGGTGAGGCTATGCAAAGCCTGAGCCAGTGCTTGGACTCAACAGAGAACTGGGTGAGGACCAGTATCCCGGCAAGACAGAAGCACTGTGGGTGGGTGGTTACTGAGCCGATTACTTATTTGCATGGGGTTGCACTGTCCCGGAAAGATCTGAGGATGCTCCTGAAGGCCCAGGTGACCTCAGTGGCCAGGAATATCTTCTATCCATTTCAGCTAGTAAGACGACTGCAGCAGTTCTGGACCAGGGTAGCCTTACCGCTGTCGTCCATTCACTGGAAGCCTACAGTCTGGATTATTGCAATGTACTCTATATGGGGCTGCCCTTGTGGAGGGTCTGAAAGCTGTAGTTGGTGCGAAATGCAGTGGTGCTCACTGGGGCAGGATATTGTCCACACATTACCCCGCAGTCGATATAATTGAACTGGCTGTCAATTAGCTACCATGCTAAGTTCACTGTGCCGATTTTGGTGTATGAGGTCCTGTACAATTTGGGACCAGGATACCCAATAGATCATCTCACCCCATATATATCGTGAGGGCCTCCTGCAGACGCCATCTTTCTCTGGAGGTCCATTCTGCACAATGTAGGAACCAAGCTTTTAGTATAGTAGCACCTGGTCTTTGGAATTCCCTGCCCTTGAAAAATTGGACAGGAGCCATCTCTGGGGGGGTTTTGGCACCTGCTGGATCTTTCCACAAGTCCTTTCAGCCAAGATCTTTCCCAGTTTGCATCTGCATCTGAATTGTTTTTAAGATGATTTTATCCTTTTCACACTCATTTGCTGCACTGGACACTTGGGAGGAAGAGTGGGATGTACTTTTAAAAGATGAATGAAATGAAAGGAAATACTTTATTGTCACTTGTACAACTTGTATACAGTGAGATTACACGAGCACCCCCCACTCAGCTCTCTTATTCTTAATCCCCCCGTTTACTGACGCACACCCACCAAACCCAAAAGTCAGTTGCCCTGTTGTTATCTTTTCATTCAGCAGCCTAACAGCCCACGGATAGAAGCTATTCTTTACCCTGTTGGTGCGACTAATCATGCTTCTGTATCTTCTGCCTGAGGGCAGGAGATCAAGAAAGTGCCGGCCCAGGTGTGAATCATCCCTGAGAATTTCCCTCACTCTCCTGAGGCAACGTTCTTCCGCTATTTCATCCAGCAGATTCACGGGACAGCCCATAATATCTTGTGCTGTATTCACCACCCTCTGTAGGCACTTCCTATCAGATGATGTCAAACCAGCGTACCACACCGTGATGCAGTATGAAAGGACACTTTCTATTGTTGACCAGTAGAAGGAGATCATCAAATGTTGATTGACATTGTTCTTCAATACTCTGAGGAGAGTATTTAATTTAATTTAATCTGGATTCTACACGTATGTAGTTTTGTTCTCACTGAAAGGAGTTAAACTGAGGCAGGAATTAAGAGTAAAATATTTCAGAGAAAATGTCCCTGAAGTGGTCATTACTTCTCAAAAAGATACATTTCCCGGTGGCAGAAAATGATCTTTGCTCTTTTCCCCCTCTTCCAGGCTTGTGTTTGGCACTCTTTATCCTGCATATTACTCATACAAAGCTGTAAAATCAAAGGATATTAAAGAATATGTAAGTATCACTTCTGGGATTATCAAGGTAAACCTAGGTTTCCGTTCGCAAAATGCCTCCCAGTGGATTTTACCTGGCTCTTTAGGCAGAATGAAGAACTTAACATGCTTCAGAGTTTCAGATTTGATTTCCCTATATGTATATTTGGTGCTAAATAATCAGCGTACATCTTCCACCATTTTGCCTCACCTGAGAAAAGAAGAAATTTTTGTAAAAGCAATTTCTATAGCTAACCTGGAGACTATTTAAAAACACATATGCTAGGTATAAAGTCCCATTGAATGATGCTTTTGCGTAGCGCTTGCATAAAATCCCATTAAAAAACAAAAAGTAGTGGGAAGCCTGCATGACGTACATCTTTCTTGTATGCCTTCAACTCCCTACTTAAATGGTTAAATTCTGTATTCCCAAATTCAGTTTAAATAGGGTCATCATGGTGGTTTAGGTAATTTATAGAGGTGTATTGGATGTTAACACCAGCGCTGAACACAATGTGGGCAGCCATTTTGTCATTAGTTAAAAAACAAGAACCTTCGATACAGAGTTCATGAACAGTTATTGCCTGTTAATGTTAAAAAAATATTATTACCATGGCCCTTCCCAACTACAGTGAACTTAACTGCACCTCTTAGCATACATTTGGGCTGGTATACCCAACTCTAACCTTCAGATAGCAGGAATTAGGCATTCAGTAGCTAATTTTGTAGTACTGTAACCTGGTTTTGGGGTACAGTAAAAACAGTTTGCGAATACTGGGTGCAGTGATACAAAACAGATATGGGAATTCACTGAAATTGTGATAGTCGTACTTACAAGGCAAGGCTAGATTGAGGCTAAGTAGCTAAGCTGAAATGAATGAATAGCTAAATATTCTCAGTAGTTTACAAGAGAGGGGATCATAGAAATATCGTGCAATATGGAGGTATATAAATAGCAGGTGTTATGTAATATAAGGACTTATCCTTGTAACTTTTTCATAGCTGTCATTGGAGAGGTTTGGGGTTAATTAGGATTATCATATCCATTTCAGCATAAGAGTGCACAGAGAATATTCAGAATTGCAGACGTGATCGCTTGTGGCACCAACAAATGCTGTGGCCAGGAGCCTTACTCTGTGAACACTTCTTTTAGAGATGAGTTTACTCCATCTTGGAGGCATAAACTGTGTTCTGTTAGGCCCACATTTGTAACTGGAGATAGCTCCTAGTGCCCTCTTCCCATTCCGTCACTTAGGAGTAAATCTAAAGATACTTCAAGACTCTTGTACAACTCTTGAATCACAAGAATGGCCAGGAATGCCTGCACTTTAGTGACTCACTTGAACTGATGTATTTGTTATATAGGCACTGCATACAGTTTTTAGATACTTTCTAAAAACAGTTCTAGGCTAATAATGAAAACTCAAGTTCTTAATTTTTAAACAGTGTGAACTAACTATTAAGCTTAATAATGCATTACAAAATGAAGCATTGGTTTGTACAAGTAACCTAGATTGAAATTTGGTGAATGGTGTGAGTTTGACCTCTCCTCCACAAGAACATTGAAATATGATTTATAAATCTAAATGTAATTCAGTGCAATTTGAAAACAGAGTCTCAATTTCATCTATTTCATTTCCTGTCACTTTCTTGGGTCTTAGGAAAAATTCATATCATATAATTAAAGCACTGTTATACCACTGTAACAGTCATAGCTTCCCCCAAAGGATTCTGGGAGCTGAAGTTAAGGGCCCTCATGGAGGTACAATTCTCAGCACCCTTAAACTACAGTGTGGTATTCACCTAAGTGTTGCTCACAAGTAGACCCACTGAAATTAATGAACATGAAAGCGAGTTCCATAAATTTCAATGGGTCGTCCTTACGTAATTCTTCATGTCTGTTAGGGGTACGAGAATGCTCTAAACGTGTGCTGTGGGTGTGACCATAGTTTCTTGTGCCAAATGACCCTTGTTCAAATCACTCTTTTTCATTTATTCCAAAGATTAGACATTTTGGTGGCCAAGGCAAAAAAAAATCTGAAGGAACCTTTGCCTTGTGCTTACAGAGTATATAGTAATAAAAGCAATAATACGGGTGCCTCAAAATCTGCCGCCTGAGGTAAACCAACATGACTTGGCCCAATGGTAGGACTGGCCCTGGCCCTGAGGGAATGAGGCCTGGGAGAAAGAAGCAATACCCACAATCGTTAGGAAGTGCTAAACGAACATTTGCTTATAACCATTCTTGTGCTTTATTCCTAGGTAAAATGGATGATGTATTGGATCATATTTGCACTCTTCACAACAGCAGAGACATTCACGGACATTTTTCTTTGCTGGTTAGTATCCCGCCCAGATGCTTCCTTCCCTCCCTCCCAAAAAAAAAAAACAAAAGCAGGGAAAAACAAATGTTTTTGAAAGGAGCAAAAGTGCAAGATAATACTAGACGTTGCTCAATAGCACCAGGTGCATCAGATGCTTATCTTTAGAAGCTGGACACTTCCTCTGTCAGAAATGCCACATTAGTGTGGTACACGAGGGGTTTGGGGTGGGTGTTATAAATTGGATGGGAAATGCTGTGCAGGGAAATGGCTGCAAAGAGTTTAATGTGATGGGTCTGCTGCAGTGAATGGGAAGCTGTGAATCCTGCTGCCACATTTGGCTCTGAGTGGGTTAAACCACAGAGCCTCGACTTGCTGATCAGAAGGTTGGCGGTTCGAATCCCTGCAACGGGGTGAGCTTCCATTGCTCGTTCCCTGCTCCTGCAAACCTAGCAGTTCTAAAGCACGTCAAAGTGCAAGTAGATAAATAGGTACCGCTCCGGCGGGAAGGTAAACGGCGTTTCTGTGCGCTGCTCTGGTTTGCCAGAAGCGGCTTAGTCATGCTGGCCACATGACCTGGAAGCTGTACTCCGGCTCCCTCGGCCAAGAAAGCGAGATGAGCGCCGCAACCCCAGAGTTGGTCACGACTGGACCTAATGGTCAGGGGTCCCTTTACCTTTACTGGTACTGGAGAGCACCCAGCAAAGTGGGTTGTGGAGGATTAGTTTTAAAAAAGGGCAAAGCAGACAAATTAAAAGTGCTCCACTCTGAGTGTAGTCATATGTGGAAGAGCATAACATTTGTCTGAGGCCGAATCTAGTTTCAAGAAGAAAAACTGAATCTATGATAAGAATAAATGAGAATGGAACAAAGAGGATGCAGAGTGCACACAGTAGAGAGAGGCACAGAAGATAGAATCTCCTCTCTGCCATCGGCAAACTCACTAGCGTTGCCCAAGGATGGTCCACTGTTGCATCTTACCATTCTTCAAGGCAAGAGCCCTCAGTGATGATTGTGGTGGAATGAAGAACTCAGATCATACTGTGGGGAGAAATAGCCAAACCAGCCCAAGCCCAGCTACTGGGAAGGAGATTGCCACCACCTTATTGCATCCCACTTGTGGCCAGAATCAGTACCCAGTCAGGGTGCTCTCTTCACAGCCACCCTTCGTTCTTCTTGATCCATTGACTTCCCAGGTGGGTGGGCTGGCAGTGACAAGCGAAGTTGGAACAGAGCCAGAAGGAAGAAAAAGTTGGCTGGGCCTTAGAAACTATTCAAACCAGGCCCATGTGGTGATCAGAGTTCCCCTTCTGACATAGCTGCAGTACACTTAACTTGTGTGTGTGTGCTTGTTTGCATGAATATGTGCTAAAAGCGTCAAGGAAACAGGCCATGGAGAGCGACCCTTGACTTTTCCTGCCCCAAGCTTATAGTATTAATTGGCCTTGGGAAAGTCATGGCAGGCTGTGGTGGAAGAAGAGGTGCTTGGGGGGGAGGAAAGTGGGAAGAGAACATGAAGAATCTGAAGTGAAGAGCAGGCAGGTTGCTGGCACTCGTTTGGCTGCAGGAGTTGTCGGAGGGAGGAATTACAAGGCGCCATCCAGCCATCTTAGGGACTCCACTCTGGATTTCTGAAGGGTTTACTCCCTAGCCTTCTCTTCTGCCAAAGATATCCTGCAAGGCAGCCGAGGTTTAGGGCCAGAGCTTTCCTTCTCCTAGATGGGCTACCTTCCCAGGTTGAGCTGGTAGAAGGAAAGATCCAGGGAAGTTTTTAATGTGTGACATTTTAATGTATTTTTAATCTTTGTTGGAAGCCGCCCAGAGTGGCTGGGGAAACCCAGCCAGATGGGTGGGGTACAAATACAGTGGTACCTCAGGTTAAGTACTTAATTCGTTCCGGAGGTCCGTTCTTAACCTGAAACTGTTCTTAACCTGAAGCACCACTTTAGCTAATGGGGCCTCCTGCTGCTGCTGTGCCACCGGAGCCCGATTTCTGTTCTTATCCTGAAGCAAAGTTCTTAACCTGAAGCACTATTTCTGGGTTAGCGGTGTCTGTAACATGAAGCGTATGTAACCTGAAGCATATGTAACCCGAGGTACCACTGTAATAAATTATTATTATTATTATTATTATTAGGATAGGGCTCTTGGAGAAGGAAGCAGAGAGGAGGGAGAAAAGGCACAAACAAGGATAAATATATTGTGCTTTTTGTCTGCGTGCCGTTTTCCATTCCTTGTTTGCCTGTACCTAGTGAGTTAGTTTGTTCTCCCACCCATTTCCCTGTTGCGATAGATGTTTGAGTTTATTGGTGTGGTGGTGGAAACAGTCCGTCAAACCACTGCAAGCTGAACAAACTGGAGCTTCCTGTTTGCCTTCTCTTTCAAGCATGAGCTGAAGGCCTCCCAGATGCTGCTGGATTATAATATCCATCAACCCGACTATAACCATTGGCCATGCTGGCTGGGGTTGGTAGGAGTCCGACATCAGCTGCAGGGCCACATGTTACCCACCCCTGGCCTAGAGGAAGACTATAACAGCCCTGCAGAATCTGATATATTTGTTTTTGTGCTGAGGTGCTTTGGCTGTACATTAGGATGTATGGAAATGATTTGTTGTCTTCCTAGACCTTTTAGAAATAAAATAAAAAATGTATGGCAGGTCTGCAAAGTCAGTCTTGCACTCGCAGAGGAGAGAGCTATAATTTAGATGTGTTATGAGACTCTGCAGTTGCATCATCAGCCAAGAAGGCCTGAATTGCTTAGAAGAAGAAAGAGAGAAATGGTGCTGTGAGGAACCTTGTTTCGTTGTTATTTGAGTGGGGATGGAGAACAATATGAAGAGATGACTGAACTTTTGAGATCAATTAAGGGATTCTTGTCGGGAAGCGGGTGGCGCTGTCGGTTAGACCACAGAGCCTAGGACTTGCCGATCAGAAGGTCGGCGGTTCGAATCCCTGCAACGGGGTAAGCTCCCGTTGCTCAGTCCCCGCTCCTGCCAACCTAGCAGTTCGAAAGCACGTCAAAGTGCAAGTAGATAAATAGGTACCGCTCCGGCAGGAAGGTAAACGGCGTTTCCGTGCGCTGCTCTGGTTCACCAGAAGCGGCTTAGTCGTGCTGGCCACATGACCCAGAAGCTGTACACCGGCTCCCTCAGCCAATAAAGCGAGATGAACGCTGCAACCCCAGAGTCTGCCACGACTGGGCCTAATGGTTACCCTTTACCTTTAAGGGATTCTTGATTTGTCTAACAGAGTTAAAGATATCAGCAAAGGGGAGGGAGAAGGGGAGAAACTTCTAAAACAGGCATGACCAACCTTTCTTCAGGCAGAGGCCACATTGACCAGTGGACAACCCTCCATCAACCACGTGGGCATGGCTGAAGCGTGAAAATGGGTGCAGCCAAAACATAATAATAGACAACATGGAAACCATAGTTCTCAAAGCTGCCTTCTGAAAGGCTTTCTTATAAGCTGTTTTACACTATTTTAAATCCTTTTTGGGTATCTGTCACTAAATTCAGATTTTAAAAGGACAGATTTAGGGGTGGGGGATGCCTTGGTGGAGCACAGTTCATGGGTTAGCTATATAAATGCATTTGGTCCCATCAGCAATTGGCCACATAAAACAAGAACTGTAATGCTGCCTTTGAAAAGGAACAGGTCAGCACTTTTTCAACAAGTGTCAATGCAGCTATCCAAGAAACTCACTGGCAATATATCCTCCTCTAGTTCCTGGCTCTCTCTCTCTCTCTCTTAAGTGGAAGGATGGTTGCACCAAAATGTAACTTGGCACTCCAAGATTATTGTTTTTAAAGTAATGCTACCATATTTCAAAACCAATGTAATATACTTCTATTTTTGACCTTTAAAGCCCTTCACGGCCTGGGACCCTCGTACCTACGGGACCGCCTCTTCCGGTATGCCCCACGGAGAACCTTAAGGTCCATAAATAGCAACACCCTAGTGGTCCCGGGCCCTAAGGAAGTCAGATTAGCCTCAACCAGAGCCAGGGCCTTTTCAACACTGGCTCCGGCCTGGTGGAACGCTCTGTCCATGGCCCTGCGGGATCTGATTTCTTTCCGCAGGGCCTGTAAGACAGAGTTGTTCCGCCTGGCCTTTGGCTTAGAATCAATTTGACTCCCTCCCCCTCTTTTTCCTTTTTTCCTTTCTCCTCCTGTGATGAGGCTGCATTTTAATGTTTTAATGTTGCATTTTAATCTTGTTTTTAATCTTGATTTCAATCAACTTGTTTTATTATTGGTTGTTAGCTGCCCTGAGCCCGGTCTTGGCTGGGGAGGGTGGGGTATAAATAAAATTTATTATTTTGTATATCTATATCTCTATATCTGATGTGCTAGATTTTCATCCTGGATTATACTCTGATTGTCAAGAGTGTTGATTCTTAAATGTTGGAGGAGGCCTAAATGTACAAATTTCTGCTCTTTTCTTTTCCTGCAGGTTTCCATTTTATTACGAACTCAAAATAGCTTTTGTAGCTTGGCTGTTGTCTCCTTACACAAAGGGCTCCAGCCTCCTGTATAGGAAATTTGTGCACCCCACACTGTCCTCGAAAGAAAAGGTAATTGCATCTGTTTCTCACTACTGTGGTTGGGGGTAGTGATTATTGCAGAAGAACAATTTAGGCTGCAATTCCATTCATACCTATCTTGGAGTAAGCCCAGTTGGGCTTGTTGCTGAGTAGATATGTCTACGGCATATGTCATTTTCATGTATTATTTAAATGTTCTGCTATTCTCTCTTGATAAGGTACCGGTAGTTCTTTCACCTCAGCCAGTTTTTTTTATCTGGTTTGTGTTGCTTTGCAAAGCTCAGAGCTGCTGAATCCAAAACTATTCATTTCTCACAAATTACTATAAACATAATTACTGAACAAATTGTCCCTACTGAGATGAGGAAATGATGGTCAAATGTACCTGGAGCTATTGGACTTAAACACTTTCAGGTGGTCTGGTAGCTTGGTTTCTAATAAAAATAAAGTATCCACAGATCGTTTTATTAGTTTAACAAATGTACAGGCCACCATTCAAAATTCCTCCATGGCAGCCATTTAATAGAATTAAAAACCACATAAAATAACATAATTATAATCATAATAACAGTAATAACATATTTCAGATCCTTGTATATCATTAATTAGTTTCGATATATCACAGCCAACCGGTAAAGCTGTAAAGAGCTTAAGGCCAGGATAGCTCAAAGACCAGTTCATTTCCTATGAACCAGCCCATAGACTGAAATTCTCTTTTAAGGTCTTGTTATATGTTCCACCACCAAAAGAGGTTCATTTGGTGGGAATCTGACAGTGGCTTTGCCCTGGCTATGGACTTCCCTCCCAAAGGAGGTGCAACTAGCTCCATCCTTTGTGACATGCAAGGCAGGCGGTAAAAACATTCCTTGTGGCTTTCAATATGATTGGAGATTTTCAGTTCTGCTTTTGTTTATTTTGATGGTTTAGTCATAGTTTTTGTCACCTGAAGGTGTTTGGTTTGGCTTTATTCTTTTATGTAAACTGCTCTGGGCCCTTAATTTTTTATTTATTTATAAATAATCAAACAGCTTGGTAGATGTGAGTATCAGCTTCGCCTCCAGGGCAGGTGCCAAAACCTCTTCCTCAAGATAGGCTATAAGATTGCTCCTTCTCAAACTGGGCCTCAGCCAGGCTTGGGAGAAGGCAAAGCCCCAGAGGTAGCCTTCTTATTTACCTGTATCTATACAGGCCCCAAGGGACGTGGGTGGCGCTGTGGTCTAAACCGCAGAGCCCAGGGCTTGCCGATCAGAAGGTCGGGGGTTCGAATCCCTGCGACGGAGTGAGCTCCCGTTGTTTGGTCCCTGCTCCTGCCAACCTAGCAGGTCGAAAGCACGTCAAAGTGCAAGTAGATAAATAGGTACCACTCCGGCAGGAAGGTAAACGGCGTTTCCGTGCGCTGCTCTGGTTGGCCAGAAGCGGCTTAGTCATGCTGGCCACATAACCCGGAAGCTGTACGCCGGCTCCTTTGGCCAGTAAAGTGAGATGAGCGCCACAACCCCAGAGTCGGTCACAACTGGACCTAATGGTCAGGGGTCCCTTTACCTTTACCTATACAGGCTCCAGGCTCTCCCTCATGGTCAGATTATTGGCAAACTTGTGATTCTTATTTTTTAAAAGCTGCATTTAAAGCGTGTCGGTTCTAATGCTTACAACATATGGAAAACATGAATGAGGAGAACTGAATTCTTTCTCACCTTCCCTTTCTCACACTCTGTTGCTTCAACAGCAGAGAGAGAGAAAAGAAGGTAGATTCGGCTCCCCTCACCTACACACTCTTTTGAATATAAAAATCCCTAAACACTTTATGTAGTAACTGGGGAGACACATGAATAAACAAGCATGGCTGCCCTTCTTGCAAGTGGTTCGACCCAGAATTGTCTCTGAATGTGTCTGAGGACAGAGAATGAATGCAAAAGTACTTTGGAGGAGCCTGGAGGCGAAATCCCTTTCGATGGTGTTTTTATTTTATTTATATATATTTTTTGTCTTCCATGATAGGAAATAGATGACTGCCTAGTCCAAGCAAAAGATCGAAGCTATGATGCCCTGGTGCATTTTGGGAAGCGGGGGCTAAACGTTGCAGCCACAGCTGCTGTGATGGCAGCTTCCAAGGTAACCAGTGGGATAACGAAGGATACAGTGGTTGTGTTAACATTACAAGTCTATGTTCCTAGCCAGTGGCAATCAGTGCCTGAGACATAACGCTCAGGGCAGAATGCTCTTAATTCTTTAACTTTTTATGTACAGACCTCTTGTGACTAATAAACAGAGGAAGAATATAGAAATCTGGAATTGTGCAATCTTGGCACCACCTGCACTATTTCAAGCAGGATTAACCTCTTTATAATCAGTCATGGCTTCCCCCAAAAGAATCCTGGGAAATTCAGTTTGTTAAGGGCGCTGAGAGGAGGCCCCCTTTCCCCTCACAGTGCTACAACTCCAAAAAATTACCTGGGAAGAGGGTTTTATTGTTAAACCACACTGGGAATTGTAGCTCGGTGAGGTGAACAGAAGTCTTCTAACAATTATCAGTACCCTTCAGAAACTATACTTCACAAGATTCTTTGAGGGAAGCGATGCTATTTACAAACATCCCAGAGTCTCATTCAGACTTCTACTGACTTGTCCTTTTGGATAACTGGCAGAAAAATTCGGCTTTAGGGTTAAAATCACATACAATGAGTGTACTGGGCTCAGAAATTATAAAGAGATATTTTACAGAATGTAGCCCAAATGGTACACAAATCCAAGTGAGAAACACTTGGTTCTTTCAGAAACTGGAATCGATCATATGAACTCTTGTCTAGTAATACTGGAGTATTAGTTAATTGATACAACTGAATTATTTTATTAAACTGTACTTATTAGTAATGACTTCTTACAATTATTGCAATTAAATATGATACAACTGTGGTCCATTAAAATGGTCACCTGCTGGCATAAAGGAGACTCTCCTCTTAATATGGCCACTTTGTCCCTTTGGCAAAGGGTGTTCACGCTTTCAAGTTAAGAAACCTCAGGAAACATTAGTTTTAGCCTGAGATGTGGTGCTATTACTAGTCAATATTGTCAGTGTAAAACAGAGAGACATTGTCACACCGAACAAGCATTCTAGGCAAGGTTGCTTTTGTCATTTGATTTGCAGACTCTGCAAATGCAAAAAATTAATCTGAAGAATTTCTGATACGAGGTATAGGCATAGCTGTCAACTTACAGATTTGAAAATAAGGGACCAGCAGCCTCGAAAATAAGGGATCAGCATCCAAAATAAGGGATTTTAGTCAACCAGCAGCCAAACAAAGCCTCAAGCAGTGGTTCCCACAGTGCAGCAACCCGGCAAAGGGGATGCAGCAAGGAAAACCACCATCACCTCTCCGCTGGGAAGTGCTGAGCAAAGGCGAGTCCCCAGGCAACGCGGCCGATTTGATCGGCACAAAGCATGCAAGCTCCACCCCCCAGTCGTTCTTAGACTCCTTAGTGGGTGAGCAACGCAGCCAAGCAACACAATTGGAGCCTCCCTCCTCCCTGGCCGGCAGGCAGGGAGGGAGAGGAGCTGCTTCCTTTGATACCTGGGAAATTTAAGGAACACCATCAATAAGGGACAGCAGTGGGACTCAGCGCTGGGATAAGGGACTTTCCCACCAAATAAGGGGCGGTTGATAGCTATGGGTAGAGGGCCTAAGGGTTTGATATATAAAAGGGTGGGGAGCATTTTTCAGGCAGAGGGCCACATTCCTTTCTGGGCAACCTTCTGGAGGCCACATGGCAGTGGTGGGTGGAGCCATAGTTGACAATGAGAGGATCAACGAATGTAAACTTTGACTAGTAGGCTAGCCAATGAAGAGTGTGGCCTGGGGAGATTTTTGAGGGTCACATAGAGTAGTTCTTGAGGGCTGCTTTTGGCACCTGAGCTTGAGATCCCCCCCATCCCTGTTAATAGATTCGCCCCTTGACATTGTGTTTAAGCTTTTCGTGAATTGTTATGAAGTGGAATTATGCTTTCCTATAGGGAAGCAGTTTGAAATTCTGGCCACTTCCAGGTTGCCACTATTTTGCGGGTGGGATTCAGTGACATACTGGCAAATTCAGGTTGCATAGTCAAAGTGGATTTGGCCCTCTCCCTCTCCCAAAATGTGACTTCTTGTAGTAAAGAACGGGAGAGGAAAATGCACCGAAAATTCTGTTGTGATACTTGTTTGATGTGACATCTTACAACATCCCTGCGAACAAGGTGCTTCCCTCCCTTGCTGCCTGTGTCACCCACCCCACTGCCACCGCCAGAGAAACTGCACAGACATTGGCACCGGTTTCGGGTGAGGTCTCATGAAATCGGGTGATTTCAGTGAGATCTCGCCTGAAATTGGTGGTGGTGCCAGTGCTGCTTCTCTGCCAGATGTGGAGGCGACAGGATGTCCACGGGGGCACCGCCTTGAGGGCTTCCTCCACCGGAGGCCGTGGCCTCACCCAACCTAATGGCTGTGCCGGCCTTGCCTGTAAATAAACCAAAGTGGCTTCTCAATAAACAGGTCACCTGGAAGTGACCTGAGTCGGTCAGTGTTTGCAAAATGCCTGAAGGTCCTTAAGTACTGTAAGTAGATATAAAGAGTGTATTACGTTCAGCATTACTCTAAACCAGGCGTAGGCAAACTCGGCCCTCCAGATGTTTTGGGACTACAACTCCCATCATCCCTAGCTAACAGGACCGGTGGTCAGGGATGATGGGAATTGTAGTCCCAAAACATCTGGAGGGCCGAGTTTGCCTATGCCTGCTCTAAACATTCTAGTGGACTACAGATAATATTAGGCCAAGAAAATCCGAGTGCACAGCTACGCCATTGTCACACAAGCAACAGAACCTGGAATGATAGCAGCAATATGACCCACAGTCTCTTAGCACCAAAGTCCATCTGTGACTTTGTTCACCTTTGCTGTGGAGTATTCTCAAAATTTGTCTGTGTCGTCATGTGTTGCCACAATGGGGTCTCTTTTTCACCTGCCAGATCTCCCAGCTCCTTCAGTTTCTCTTGTATTTGGACCTGAAAGAAGGGCAGGTAACCCTGTCAGTGTTTCTGTTAACTGCTAAACTAACCACCATGATTGGAAAATGTTGTAGCATTTATTACAAAATAACAACAACAACAACAAAGTGTTGTGGTCACTATTGGGACTAACAGAGTACTGATTTTGGCTTAGTTTCCCTTCTGTGGCTTTTGTGTATTCAGCTTTAAAGTCTAACTCGGGTTTTACTAGTAAAAGCAAACCATTACTTCTATTCTGATCCAAAATACAGAGCTGGGGACAGCTTTCAATGTATCGCAAGAAGATCCATTAGAAATATTAGCTTACATTTAATTGTCTGTTGTCAAAGATGGGAATGTTCATTCTTCAACCCAGCCAAGGGTGCATTCCACATACAGTGGTACCTTGGTTTACAAACTTAATCCGTTCCGGAAGTCCGTTCTTAAACCAAAGCGTTCTTAAACCAAGGTGTGCTTTCCCATAGCAGCAGGGGACTCAATTTACAAATGGAACGCACTCAACAGGAAGCGGAACATGTTCTGCTTCCAAGGCAAAGTTCACAAACCAAAACACCTACTTCCGGGTTTGCAGCGTTCTTAATCCAAGTTGTGCATAAACTAAGCTGTTCTGTATTAGATTTACCAGGAGCGCATACGACTTAAGAAGAAATTCAAGTTTCATGAAGGTTTCCCTACTGAAGTGACTTCAGTACTGGGAGATTCAAGCATGGATTAAACTCAGCAAGGAAGGAAGCCCTTACTTCACCTTGTGTTACACATTGCATTTTTAGTTGGAGCCTCTGAGCACAATCTACCAGCAAGTTCTTTTGCAGAAGCCCCGCTCAGTGCAGTGCCTGTTTTATAGGAGTTTGCATAGAAATATACCATATATATATATATATATATATATATATATATATATAGTGCCTTTTGTGTTTTATATCTGGTTTTAATCACGGTACCCTCAATGATCTTTGTTTAACATCAAATATCTTTTTTAATCCAAACTAAAATGTTAATCTAGATAAAAACACAGATCCAGAGGAAAAGAAGAGAGAGAAAAGAAGGAGGTAGAGAGAGATAGAAAAATAATTGAAAGAGATTTTTAAAAAATAAAGTTAAGAAACTGAAGAACTTCTGATTCTTCATCTGGCAGCTATATATAAACATTCAACTCATTCACTCCAATATAACACCCAGCAAGACTACTTTCTGTAAGCCAACATTATCTTCAGCCTTCAAACCCAAATGTCATTAATTCATTTTCTTTTACACACAAAATTCTATGAGAGGTTTCCAATCTTTAGTAAATATTAACAATGGCTTTTCTCTGAGTAAACATGCCAATTTCACTATATCGGCTAAGCCCAATAATTTTAATAACCATTCCTCCATAGCTGACAATTAGTCTTTCAATCTTTGTGCATATTAAAATCTCGCCGCTGTAATCATATATTGGAACACAACCATCTTTAGAGGTACCCACCCCCAAAAAAATCACACTGCCAAATGCTGCACAAAATTTGGGCTGAATACTTTAACCCAGCACTAATATGGCAAAGAGTTAAGTACCATCCCATGCATAAGGAAAAATAAGTCCCGAGGAAGATGTTGCTTTGTACAGCAACCATCTCAGAACTGAAACTAAAGAAATTTCAGACACCTATTTCAGATGACAAAGAGTTTTGCACACCTTGAAAACATGCTGTTTTTCAGGAACAGCCTGATAATATATGAAAAAGATTCAGAAGGCATCTGTGCCTGTTGGAATAATAAAGAGGAATTAATTGAACATGTTTTATGTTACCTTTTCAATTTTACTGTATTTTTTGCTCTATAAGGCTCACTTTTTCCCTCCTAAAAAGTAAGGGGAAATGTGTGTGCGTTTTATGGAGTGAATGCAGGCTGCATAGCTATCCCAGAAGCCAGAACAGCAAGAGGGATTGCTGCTTTCACTGCGCAGCGATCCCTCTTGCTGTTCTGGCTTCTGAGATTCAGAATATTTTTTTTCTTTTTTTCCTCCTCCAAAAACTAGGTGCGTCTTGTGGTCTGGTGCGTCTTATAGAGCGAAAAATACGGTAATCCAGGAAAAAATGGTCTGTCTCAGTGTAAGTCTGTATGTTGCTGATAGATTTATTGTCCTCTTCATGTTCTGAAGATGTGCAGAAATGCAATAAATTAATCGCTTAAGGTACCCCGTGTCTCTTTGTCCGTTTTCACAGGGCCAGGGCGCGCTGTCGGAAAGGCTCCGCAGCTTCAGCATGCAAGATCTCACCACAATTAGGGGAGAGAGCAGCAGCAGCAGCACTGTGAGTCCGCCTCCTCCTGCCCCCTCAGTTTCAGCACGAACAAGTAGCAAGCAGAGTCACCCCAAAACGTCCAAAAGTGCATCAGAAAGTATTGGACGCTCAGGTCAGTGCAAGAGTTAATTTCCCCCCTCTCTGCATCGGTTACCTAAAAGGAGCAAGAATTAAGCACGAGAACTGTAGAAGACTTATGGGGCAGTCCCCGCATACCTCTGGTCTTTACCAAGGGGTTGAACTTTTTGCGTGGCAGCCCCTTCCCCGTAGAGCTGCTTGTCAATAGAGATTCTACAAGAGTCCTCCCTGTTCGTATTTACCGTATTTTTGGCTCTATAAGACTCACTTTTTCCCTCCTAAAAAGGAAGGGGAAATGTCTGTGCGTCTTATGGAGCGAATGCAGGCTGCGCAGCTATCCCAGAAGCCAGAACAGCAAGAGGGATTGCTGCTTTCACTGCGCAGCGATCCTTCTTGCTGTTCTGGCTTCTGAGATTCAGAATATTTTTTTTCTTGTTTTCCTCCTCCAAAAACTAGGTGCGTCTTGTGGTCTGGTGCGTCTTACAGAGCGAAAAATACGGTAGATGCCACACACACACACATACACCACACAACACACCTATACCTATACACACACACCCTCTGTTTTTCAGACAGGCCTTTCAAACCTGAGATTCTTTGCCAACCAGCTTTCCATTGATACACATGCCATTTTTCAATGGTTTCCCCTGGTTTTCAGGGATGTTTTAGCTGAATTGTGATGTTTTTGGCAGAATATTACAGACTGGAATAAAGTGGACCTGGAAAGTGCAATCTCCTACCATATTCACCTCTAGCCCTGCCATCCTCCCCCTTTTCTACCCATTAACTGAAGACCCAAACAGTTCTCAGATATTAACTTTTGTGGTAAGGAAGTCCAAATAACATGTTTCCATTTTTCCATTGTCATTCATCCAATTGTTTTTTTGGGGGGGGCTTGATGTTACCTACTACATAGCTGGATACAATATTACTGCTGCCACAAACAATGTTGGGATTTTTATGCTTGCAAAATGCAAAAATTGTTTAGTTAGATAATATTGTATTGGAGAGACATAAGGCAACTCTGTGTTTCAAATGGAATCTGTCAATGGTCACCCTAGAATCTAGGACATGGTTATAGGACTGAGGTGACCATTTGAGCACCTGCCACTTAAAATCTAATTCAATTAGAATTAATAAAAAGTAACTTTAGACTTTGATATTTGCATGTTTGCTGTTGCACATTGCCTTACCCTATCTTATCACAAAATTTCACGCTATGGGCTTGCAGCCATCTATTTCAATATGCACTTAGCAGATCTGTAAGGGCTAGGGGGATGCAGTGTCGGGCTTCTGCCTCCTCTTCTGTATTTATCACATTCAGGAGACCTATCAAAGTACTAAATTTAATCTGGTCCAATAAACAACACGCTTACTTGCTCTTTCTAAAATGTTATCACTGTTGTTCTGGGGTGGTTAGGGCTTCTGCTACAGCAGAGCTTTCCTGAGATCTGCAGGTGAAGGGCGGTATACAAATTTTAATAAAAATAATAATATAAAGATCCATATAGTGCCCATGTTGTGCTTAGTGTGGTTCAGAAGTTACTTTTTGCCCAGAGACATCTCAGTTGAAGAACTCCAGTTGCTGTGGACTGAAGAACTTGGGGATAAGGGTTGCTTTCTCTGTCCCTGGAATGAAAAGGAGCAGATGGTTTTGTGTTTGTAATGCAAGTTGCACTGGGCAAAACTCCATGTAAATGGCACTTGATTTGCTAAATCCAGTATAGCTGCAAGTCTAAAGGTGACCTGAGTTGCAAAACCAAATTTACGGTGAAGCACCTAGTAATTTTAGGCACTCAGAATGTGACAAAGATGCTGAAAAAACACAGACAAGTAGAATATACTCAATACTGTGCAGTAGTGACGAGCTCCCTGAAATCCAGAAGCAGATTTAAAAAGTCACTGTCACCCCCCTTCTCTTCCCTGTATAGTAATCTATCCGAAGCCACAATAATTTGCTGACCAGGCTCATTGCAGCTGTCTTTCTGCCTTTAAAGGGAGTGTTAAATGTACAAAGCAACTGCATACAGGGTGCATTCAAGTACATCTGTAAACAAGACACACTGCTAAGTTTCCCTCAGAGCAGACCCACTGCAATTAATGGACATGACTGTTAGGTCCATTAATTGCATTGGATTTACTCCGAGTAAACTAATAATAATAATAATAATAATAATAATAATAATAATAATTTATACCCTGCCCATCTGACTGGCTCGCCCCAGCCACTCTGGGTGACTTCCAGCATATATAAAAACATGATAAAATGTTAAACATTAAAAGAACTTCCCCTATACTTGTTGAATTCTGTGTTTCCGACCTCTATGGAGTGAACCCCACCTTAACAGTGTGGTGTTGGCCATGTGTACTTATCAGGGATTTGAATGCTGATTCAGTCATTCTGTTTTGCTTTTTTGCTCCTGCCATGCTCTCTGCATCCCCTGAACATTTATTCATTTGAATGTTCAGCTGTCGGTTTTGTTTTCTTAAAGAAAAGAAAGAAAAGGGAAATCCGTTTTTAAAAGAATTGCCAAACAACATGTGGAATGAGCAGGGGTGGAGGGTTTGTGACATTGCTGGGGCCAGCCAGTCAGCTCATCCCTAGTGATGAAATAGTTTGTCCTTCTGGGTCCTGTGGTAGATATTCTTCTACAGCAGGCCTAGGCAAACTTGGCCCTCCAGGTGTTTTGGGACTACAACTCCCATCACCCCTGACCACTGGTCCTCTTAGCTAGGGATGATGGGAGTTGTAGTCCCAAAACATCTGGAGGGCCGAGTTTGCCTATGCCTTGTTCTACAGCAGCCTGACTGCTCAGCTAATGCACGCTTTATATGGAGCCCAGGTTAACATTCAGAGGGAAGAGATGCAGTGGGCTGTGAAATATTGCGCGATGATATCAATCTTCACATATCAGCGCATGCCACGCTTTATTGTCTGTATGGGCAGGCAAAGATGAGCACACACAGCCTGTTCGCAGCACATTGCACTATAAGCAGCTCATACTATAGGCGCATGCATTGTTCCTATCACATACATACAAAATAGGTTATCTCTCCATATTATCTCACATTCTCCATAAGAGTAAATAGATAATAACCAGAAGCCCGTATCAAAAGAGTTGGCTGACTGAAGAATATGAATGGGTGGTGTCAGTTTGCTTGCACAGTGGGACTTTCAGCTTCTTTTCGCCCCTCCCCCCGGCCCCCAAAATCTAATTCTTTAATGCCTCAGTTTTGTTATTTGATGTAAAAAAAGAAGATGGTTTTAACACCCAGCTGCATTTTTTCTAGTATCCTGAGCAGACTTCTCTGAAGTATCCGGTGATGTAAAAAAATAATACCTGTGTGTGAGATACCATACACAAAGACTGCTTGTCAGTGCCTTCGGCATAATCAAATGGTTATAATGTTGGGTAAAATAGATACTCAAGCAAGCCTTGCAGTTTGTGAAAGCACAGTTATAGTTTTATCAATTAGGTGTGCAGTGCGGTACTCAAGGGTCAATGAGCTTTATAGAGGCTTGCAGAATGAATTTCTGGGTGTGTTTTTATTTTTGTGGCCGAATGGATGATAGAATTTGCCAGGGACTCTTCAATCAGCCTTGGGCAAGTTGCCCCTCTAGTTTGTTTTATTTGTGATTTGGCAACAATAATACCCATTGGCCTGCCCCACTTAGATAATTAATGAGATAATAATTGTATGAGTACTTCGTTGCCTTCTGACAAATAGCATCGTATCCGTGTGCACTTAGCTATTTCCACTCTTAATTACATGGGGCAAATGCTATGTATCCATCTCTTATGTAGTTGAGTATATAAATGGAGCATAGCTTAACCTTGTCTGTTCTTTGGCCTCCAAAATGGCTTGGGGGGAAATGAACTTAAGTGCTTTACCACCCCTCCCATCTCGGCATGATAAGCTCTTAATATATGGCTCCTTTTCCAGCGTGTGCATGTTGTTCGGTTTGCCGCATTGTCCAAGGTGAGTACTGGATTCCTCTTCTGAAATCCATGCGCCCTTTGTGAAACCTTAGTTCCCGTTCCTTGCAGTTGCTGTGCCCTAACTGGGGGTTTTATTACTGACAACCAGATTTAAAATGTATGCACCTTAATGCATGTGGTTTTAATCGGTTCCCTTTGCAATGAGCTGTGTGCCTTGCCAAGACTTTGGAGTGTTGTTTTTGTGTAAGCATTGTACAGAAAAATGGGATTGTTTCATAAGGTACTTTAACACTGATGTTTAGTATGTGCTTTGCTTTAATTCCCGCTGAAGGAAGGATTACTCAGATTAACAGGTGCCATCACAAAGTCATGGCTGGCTTGAATTTGGACGGTTCAATATTAGCTTTAGATTTTGCAGCCTCTTTCAAATTGATCCAGTCACAAAAACGGCCCCTGATAGCATGTGCAACATGTGCATTAAGGCGCTTGTTTGCAAAGGTTTCCAGTGCATCAAAATCCACTGTAGGGCACAACCTTTATTGGGTTGAAACAAGACGTCACAAAATAGTGAGCAAGCTTTCATCTTCTCCAGAACTCTTCCGCGGGCTGGATGTTAAACAAATTGTGTATGTAAGGAGGGACGCTGTCTTGCTGTTAAAGTCATACATCTGCAGTTGTGTACATGCAATACCTTTTAAAGCACAGTCTTTTCCTCAAAGAATTCTGGGCACCATAGTTTACTGGCACAGTGAAGGGGCCTGAATTAGGCCTGTTGGCATCAAGGATTGAAATCAATCCCCCAGTTTGAGGGGTTTCTGCTGGCTACTGTTGGCAGTGATACTGGTGCCAGTACCTTCTAAGTAAGGATGAAAGAAGGCAGTGATGATTCCTGTTCCAAAGTAATCGTCACAATCAGCCCTGCTTCTGTTCCGCTGCAGTTCAGTTTCTGCCAAACGCTGTGTTATTCATCTCGCTGTCCACTGATACAAGTTGCGTGACTTGCATGATATGTTGTGTAACTATTTACGTAACTTGCTTAACATACGTTCATTTCAATGTAAAGGAAGCACTGAAACTGTTTAAAAACAAAACAAAAAAAACACCCCAGTCTCTAGTAATGTACCGTTTGCAGACTTAAAAAGAACAACGATGTGAATGAAGGCCAGTTGCATTTGCCTGACTGATTTCTGTTCCTGACCACAGATGAATACACAGACCACAGAAATTTCTGCTTCCTTTTTTGTTGTTGTTGGAATTCCTATTTTCGTCTGACTACCATTTGGGTGGGCACATTGGGCGACTCCTCACTGGAGGCATTTGGCTAAGCTATGTGAGAGCTCTGTGTGTTTGAATGGAATGGGTAAGCGTGTGTTTCTTGGTGCTGATATAAAAGTGTGGAGTTTTTTGTGTGTGTTTGTTTTTGTGTCTGCAAGTACCGTATTTTTCGCTCTATAAGACCAGACCATAAGACGCACCTGGTTTTTGGAGGAGGAAAGCAAGAAAAAAATATCCTGAATCTCAGAAGCCAGAACAACAAGAGGGATCGCTGTGCAGCGAAAGCAGCGATCCTTCTTGCTGTTCTGGCTTCTGGGATAGCTGCGCAGCCTGCATTCACTCCATAAGATGCACACACATTTCCCCTTACTTTTTAGGAGGGAAAAAGTGAGTCTTATAGAGCAAAAAATACGGTAGGTGGTAAATATTCTAGGCACTTTATTCCTTGAAATGAGCTAAATTAGTTGTCATAATATGCATAATTTCCCTTGGTGTTCTACTTTGCATTGATGTTGAGTTCCCTTCCATGTATCCTCTTGGTCTGCGACTTGGTTCACTGCCTTGCATGACTTGCTTTGCATGAGTTTGAGTTCTTTGCCATGGATTCACTGCCTGTTCTTTGGAATAGAAGCTCTTGGTCTCAGTGTGACCCACCTGTAAAATGGTATCAAGGGACTTGTGCAAGCACATGTGTAATTTAAAGAGTTTACTGCTGAGCTGCACACTTTGACATACCTAGGCTTTGCCCCTGAAGCTCACCTGGATACTAGAATTTTGCCATCCTAGCTCTTGCTGTTTGAAACAGGATGTCAAATGCGATGGACCTTCGTCTAATTCAGCAAGGCCATTATTATAAATGAGAAGCGTTGCAAAGGCTTCAAGAGGAATGATTAGATTAAATAAGGGCTGGAAAGTGAATCTGGGATTTAGCCTACATCAGTAGTGATTTTAGGAAGAGCTGTTCCAGTGGGAAAGTATTGGAAACCATTGTGCACTATAGCTGATGATTACTTCTGGGTATAATCTGAATGAATATTCAGTTTAGGAATCCATTTTTCAGAGTTCACTTGTGGCAGGTATTAAGAAAATGGCCCAGCAATGTCCAAACTGACACCACCAGATTACAATATAAGAATGAGCAGCTATATGCTATAAATCTGGATCCCATCCATTGTTGTTAAAAGCCTTTATATTTGAGACGAATCTTAGACAAGATTCATTTATGGGGAAGCAAATAGAAATGTGATGACATCATTTCCAAACCTCTTTAGCCTTAAAATACTTTAGTGTTTTCTTAGTTTGTTTTGTCTAGAATCTAGTAAAGAGAAAAGATATTGTTGATAATTACACAAAAGGGTAACAGATATGTTTTTAAAAAAACAGTACCATCTCTGTTTGTTAAGTAAACACCTCTTGTTAGAAGATGCTGATCTCTACAAGGCATGAAGAGTGGTTTCATTTGCTTTCTTTGCACAAAATACAGACGCTATTTTGTTTAAAGTAATGCTATTGACTGTATTGGTGACTCCTAACTTAAATGTTTTAGCTGTTCAATTAATCCTCTATATTTTCTATTATGCTGTAGAATGAGCTGATGAGAAATCTTATTGATAAGGCAGTGGCTAAAATAGTAAAATTGAGCTGACTTGAATAGTTTAAAAATGAATGCTATTTGTGGCCATCTCAAAAAAAAAAGGGGGGGGAAAAGACTATTGAGTTCAGTTGATGATGCTATTTCCCCTGCCAAGTACTTTCTATTTACTGTTTTTTCTTTCTTTCCTTATGTAAATATTTTGGGATATGGATGTAAGTGTTACTGGTTTGCATGGCTTGGACAGACTTCCAAGTAAATAGTCAGAGGGTTTGCACTGCTCAACTAAGAATTGCTTCTTTCTCACCCTTAATTTTTTTAGTAGTATATAGGTTGTTCCTAATTGTGTGCAGTGTGCCCGGAGATCCTTCTCTAATCACTGCTTTCTAGATTTTATTTTGTTCTAATAGATGGGCCTCATTTCATCTGACTGCTCTGTGCTGGCTTTTTGGCTTACCAGCAAAGTGGTTGTAGGCAAATGGCTTATGTAGTTTTCTTCTGATCAAAGTATATATTACGCTATGTGAACCAGCAATGTTTGTGTAGGAAACTGATGCTTGTTGTAGCCTAACTGAAGTGTGAAAATCTGCCTAGACTTTGTTTTTCTTGGCGACTTGAGGAGCAGAAAGCATGAGGCTTTCAAATGTGACTTACTGCTGCATAGAAATCCAAATGTAACACCTGTTTATAGTACCTGATCCCTTTACAGTCCTTTAGCTCCTTGATATGATTTTACTTACATTCATTAGAGATTAGAGACTGATGACATATGAAGCAAAGTAAGTTCTTCAGCCACACACAAGTGACAATCTTATATTACAGTAAATCCCTAAGAAGAGCTTTGCTGTCAAATCAAAGTTGCTCCAGCAGCTTATTCTCGACAGTGGCTAGGCATATTGTTTACATGGGGTTTATTTTAATTAAAAATCATAGATAATAGCTGGCCATACACCTGTCCTCCATTAATTTGCCCAAGCCCTTTTAAAAGTCACTGACAATCTCCATAACTTAGTTTCTGCTTTGTGTGGTAAAATAACTTTATGTCAGTTTCATGGGTGATTCTGAGATCTAGTTTTAAAGGAGGAAAAAAATATACCTGTCTGCTTTCTCCACCCAATGCATAATTTAAAAAACCTCTATCAAGACCCCACTTTAATTGCCTTTGGCTTTCTAAAGCAAAAGCCCCAAACACTTTAGCCTTTCTTCCAATAACAGTATAATTTTGGTTGCCCTTATTCACCCAATGTGCATTTCTTATACTTGCACTGAATCTCATTTGCAATTTATTGAAGTTTGAAGTGGAATGAAATGATGTTTCCCCCTGAACTGATACAACATACACAGCTCCAGTCTTGGTGTTCCTGGCAAATGTTCTCCCAGGGCTATGCTCCTTCTGTTTTCACAGCTTTTACACAGCAGAGAGCATTGGCAACCGAATTCTGCTTACCAGACTTACCACAATGCAAATGCGCATTCAGGCAGTTTGTGGATTCATGTCCACAAGCAACATTTTGGATGCTGCTTTGTAAACAGACACTGTGGTTCATGTACATTGTGGTTTACTTGTTTATTATAAGTCTGCCTAAACCAGTTTTGTACAGCTGTGGTTGTGAAATTTGACTTGCTGGAAACTGACATAATGCAGAACATACAGAACATTGCTGTGTTGAAGGATAGGAAGAGAGTGGACATTAATATTGTTCACCTTTTAGAAATAATATGCAAATCAGATTTTATCTTTGTAATGTTTGTGTGTTTCACTGGATTATTTAGTTGTCTATGTTGCTATATAGGCCAATTTCGTACCAGTTCAGTGGGTCTAGACATAACAAAGATGGGCTGATGCCAAGAAGGTTACTTGCGTATTGCCAAAAAACAGGAACAGCATCACAAAAAAGGACATTTGCATGTGTGCGTTTATATGCAAATTTAAGCAATTATTACTCGTTATTTCAGGAGGAATGCAATGCATTCCACCATAACTGGATAAACTTGTGGCTAGGTGGTCTGTGTGTTCACTCAGTCTGCTGTTCAGCTGTTTGTTGATGGGCACATTCAAAGCCCCTGCTCTCCTTACAGCTCTTTCTAATTAAACTGGACGTAGATTGGATAGCTCTTCAAATAGAGGTCTGAAAAGTATGGCTCAGGGCCACCTCCCTAATCAGTCTAGGGACAGTGCTTCAGTGTTTAGTTTCCTTTGGATAAGAGGAAGCGTTGGACACCTACAGTGTCTTCATAAATTTACGGGGTCTTCACAACCGGAAGCAAGCAGATTTCTAAATAGGAAAACAGCTTGTATCTAAACTCACATCAGGTTCCTGATGAACGTAACTCCACCCTAAGTATGCAATAACGCTCAGCTTTCTCTGCATTCCCTGACTCAAATTTCAATGAAGTGTTTCTTTGGTTCCTATCAGCAGAAGCACCCTCCAAAGTTAGGAGTGAAAAGCCAATCAAGGAACATCAATGTTTCTTTGTTGAAGACTCTGACCACCCAATGGCTGTCTTCAAGACAGCCAAACTCACAGCATTATTCTCAATACCCATTGCTATGAGAGGTTAATCTTTACATTGTACGCAGAACACACTATTCAGAATTTGTTCATGCCATCAGGAACACTTTATAGCACTCTGTGTTTGTCAACAGTGTTTGCCTGGACTATAATTGAGCACTGATAATCCATCTGGCAGGTAGTGATGGCATAAATATGCCCAGTGGCCCTTTTTGTTCCACTATACTAGATTAGGCAATTATTCCTGATTAATTTTGTCAGTTCAGTAAACTATGCTCCATTTGGTTTTGTTATACAGGAACTAAAATTATTCCGATCTAGCCATCTATATGACCCCCTTTTAAATCCACAAATAAATGAAGGCATCTAACAGTTAAATCCTAAACATACCTGCTCAGAAGTAAGCCCATTGAGTCCAATGGAACTTACTCCCAAATTAGCACAGGGTGACAGCCTAAATTCATAATAATCATGGGTGTTGCATTGAAATCTTCTTAAGCAACTCAAGCTGACAACTAAAAATTGTTCCTGGTGTGTGCCTTTTAACCCCGCTTATATTATTAACCCCGGCAAATGCATGGGTGGGGCAACAGTTGGCGTTAGTCCATTAGCTGACAACCATCTCTGACCTTTCCATCTCCTCTTTCTCTTCACCATTTAGATCTTAAATGGCTGTTCTAAGTGGTTGAACTAGAGGTTGAGGCAGAGAGTGAAAGGCCACCTGAGGCAAACTGTGAACCAACGGAAGTTGTGTTCTCAGATGATGAAGAGAACAACTCATTGGATGGCACATCCAAGGCTAAAACACCTAAAAAGAAGGATCCCGTCATTGAGGTATTTTCACATTGGAAATGGGATTAAGAACACAGGTGCCTGACTTCCACAAATGCTTTTTTTTTTTTTGCGATGGAATGGTTGTTGAGGCTGGCCCCGAATCCAATAGAATTATAAAACTGCATGTAGGTCATCTTAGGCCAAGAGTGAGGAACCTGTGGCCCTCCGGATGATGAAGAACTACAACTCCCATCACCCCCAGCAAGCATGCTGACTGAGGCTGATGGGAGTTGGAGTCCAGTAACATATGGAGGACCACAGATTCCCCACCCCTGTCCTAGACACATCTATCCAGAACTGGAATGTGTCCTTTGAATTATGGGAGTGGAATGTCCTCACATTTAAATAGTATAGAGACGTTTTAAAAAGGTTTTTTCTCAATCTACCTGTTATGTACTGAAGTTCTCACCCTGGGCCAGCAGGGGGATACTGTAGATAGTTATGCAAATGAAGGATCGAAAGTGACGTTCAGTGATTGGATAGTTTGTATGCAAATGAAGGATCGAAAGTGACGTTCAGTGATTGGATATTTTTAGAAAGTTGCTACAATTACGTTGTTCTGGAGCTCTATATAAGCAGGCTGACTGAGCTCTTCAGTTCAGTTCAGTTCAGGCCTCTGAATAAACAAGAGCTGTTTGAAGAATCGCTGTGTCGTCTGATATGTTCGCCCACAGCTTAACACTACCAATGTTCTAGGATTGGAAAACCTTCATTTTAAGGGAGAACCCTGTTTCAAATCCACTCTCCCCACCACCGAAAGGTGTGGAAAACGGTTAAGGCTCTTGCCTTTCCTTATCGTCTGTGCCATGTAAGCAGCAAAGAAACTGTTCAATGTCACATATTATGTTTGGCAGCAATTTAGCCTTCATGCACTTAGGTTTTGCCTTGCTCTTTTAGCTCCAGTCTCTGCCTGCAAGCGCAGTAATAATGACGTTGGGGTCACAGACATATAAATGGTTGAAATGTACAAGCACCTCTCTTTTTAAAACGTTCTGTGTCTGACAAGCAACCTTTTTAAAAATACAGTGGTACCTTGGTTCTCGAATGGCTTAGTTGCCAAACAAATTGGTTCCCAAATGCTGCAAACCTGGAAGTGTTTGCGAACGTTTTTTGGAAGCTGAACGTCCGACGCGGCTTCCGCTTGAGTGCAGGAAGCTCCTGCAGCCAATCGGAAGGCGCGCCTTGGTTTTTGAACGGTTTTGGGAGTTGAACGGACTTCCAGAATGGATTAAGAACCAAGGTACCACTGTAGTAAGCTGCAGCTGCTTCCAGGACAGGGCCTCTCATGAGGCAAAGTGAGGTGACTGCCTCAGGCTGCGGGATCTAGAGGGGCAACATATCTGGTCTCCAAGGAACCCTTGCCCGCTGCAACATGCTTCTTGGAGGCCAGATCTGCCAACTTCTTGGCAGCCCCACCAGTGCCTCTTCTGTGATGGCTTCTTAGTGAATAGGAGGCGCTGCTGGTGTTGCTCCACCTTAAGGGAGGAAATGGTGGTGGCTGCCCTCTGGGGTCTCTTGGGTCCCTCCCCCCTGCCCCCCAACATCCTTTGCTCCCCACTTCAACTGTCAGGTAAGGCTGATTTGATTCCCCCCACCTTGTTCCTGATGCATATCTTCATTCCCGCCTCCCCTGCCCCCAATTTATTTCTACGCTCCCCCTTCCGTTCTTCCCTGGCGCAGGGAGACAATTTTGTGGTTCGCCTCGGGTGCCTAATTGTCTTCAGCTGGCCCTGTCTGCTCCCTGTGGAAATATATAGGGGAACCATATGCAAAAGCAGCCAAGCTCTTAGAGTTCAGTTCTGTTCATGACTAGGCAGAAGTAAAAGTAGCATAGCTGCTGTTCAAGTATTATCAAGAGCAGCGAGCTTGTGGATTTGCTCTGTCCGTAATCCTTTTTAAGTGCCAGCCAAACCTTTATAAAGATTATCTTAAGGTACACAGTTCAGTCCTATAGTAGTGTCATTGCTCAGTGCTTTATCCAGACTGCAGAGGCAGAAGACTGAAAGACTAAGGGGGGAAAGTATAGGTGCCTAGAGCCTCAATTGTAAATGAGCACAATAGTTGATCCTGTATAAGACCTTGATTGTACACATGTTTTATTATGCTATTATATTTGTTGGAAGCTGCCCAGAGTGGCTGGGGCAACCCAGTTAGATGGGCAAGGAATAATAATAATAATAATAATAATAATAATAAGGCAGCTTTCGTGGTTGGGGGACATGGGTGAATATGCAGTAGCCTTTTCTTGTACATTGAAGGGTTTCTTAAAAACAATTAAAAAATGCTGGAATTTCCTTGATTTTGAAAAGGGAACTCCCTGCACTACATGAGCATTTTCAGAGAGCGGGAGAGGTAGGCGACAGCAAATGTGAAGTTCACTCTGGCTCTGTAATTCTTCACATTTATCCTGAAGGTGTTAAAAGAAGTTTACATACATTATCACAATAAACGTTCAATCAACCCTGTTGGTTGGGCTGTCGTCTTCTTCTTCTTCATTATCCATGTTTTTATTATTACATTATTACATTAAGTTTGTCTAAAACATTCAAGATTCAAGAGGTGTGCTGTGCATACAATGTAGACCACTGTTTTCCCCATAATACCCCAATGGAGTAGCCTAAAACTGTCAGAGCAACTAACAACAAACCTGGAATGTTAGACTGTTCTTCTCTTGGTTTGCAGTCTGTGATAACTCACTGATGGATCTCAGAAAAGAATGTGTTCACCGCCCTTTGAGGAAATGAACCAAACCATAGGCTGCCACTGAAGTCACATTATGGGTTATAAGAGTCAAATAACTACGCTGTAGGAAACATATAGGGATGCGGGTGGCGCTGTGGGTTAAAGCACAGAGCCTAGGACTTGCCGATCAGAAGGTCGGCGGTTTGAATGCCCGCGACGGGGTGAGCTCCCGTTGCTCGGTCCCTGCTCCTGCCAACCTAGCAGTTCGAAAGCACATCAAAGTGTAAGTAGATAAATAGGTACCGCTCCGGAGGGAAGGTAAATGGCGTTTCCGTGCGCTGCTCTGGTTTGCCAGAAGCGGCTTAGTCATGCTGGCCACATGACCCAGAAGCTGTACGCCAGCTCCCTCGGCCAATAAAGCGAGATGAGCGCCACAACCCCAGAGTCGGCCACGACTGGACCTAATGATCAGGGGTTCCTTTACCTTTAGGAAACATATATACCAGGGGTCAGCAACCTTTTTCAGCCGTGGGCCGGTCCACTGTCCCTTAGACCATGTGGTGGGCCAGATTATATTTTGGAGAGAAAAAATGAACGAATTCCTATGCCCCACAAATAACCCAGAGATGCATTTTAAATAAAAGCGTACATTCTACTCGTGTAGAAACAAGCTGATTCCCGGACTGTATGCAGGCCATATTGAGAAGGCGATTGGGCCGCATCTGGCCCCCGGGCCTTAGGTTGCCTACCCCTGATATATATGTTTTAAAGGTGGGGAATAAACACAGAGATGAATTGATCAATATGAATTCTCCCAACTCTCCTTTATACCCAGCTCTACGTTTGTGGAGGCCCCCAGCAAAGTGCTCAGCAGTCGTCCCTCCCTACATGGGTGGGCTTACCTGGCAGCGAGGGTGAGAGCAGCAGGTGGCCATTGAGTTCCCTCAAATTCCTCTGGAGTGACACTATATATGCAGGGCATTGCGATAAATTAAAACGGTGACTCACAGACTCAGACATCCGGGCAAGTGTCAGGTGTTGGCGGGCCCTGCCTGAGAGCTTGTGGCCTTGGCAGCTGCCCAAGAGTGTCAGGAGCTGATGCCAGGCCTGGCAGCTCCCCTCCTTCCCTTTGTCTCACAGCTCATACGGGATGCTGCCCCCTTCCCCGCCTACTGGCTTCCGCTGCTGCAGTTTCTTCAGGACAAATAGTTTTATTTTAGGAAGCAGGCTCCACGCAGCTTCTGTTTGGCAATCACACCTGCTGCATTACTTGCTCGTACAGTGAATCAGTTTGCAAATAATAATAATAATAATAATAATAATAATAATAATAGAAGAAGAAGAAACCTCATACGCAAAGTACCGTATTTTTCGCTCTATAAAACGCATATTTCCCCCCCCAAAAAAATTAAGGGGAAATGTGTGTGCGTCTTATGGAGCGAATGCAGGCTCCTTGATTTCAGCAATAGCAATGCGAAGCCTCCAAAGCGCAGTGGGAGCGCTTCCACCACGCTCCGGAGGCTTCGGGTTCCTTTCGCTGAAGGGTAGGTGCCCCTTTAGCTAAGCGGGAGGAGAAATGGAAGGGGCTCCGTTTCTCCTGCCGCTTCGCTGAAGGGGAGCTGCGCAGAGAGGGGGAGAATTTTCCCCCCCTTGTTCTCCCCCTCTAAAACAAGGTGCGTCCTATGGTCGGGTGCGTCCTATAGAACGAAAAATATGGTACTCAGCCCAGCCCAGCTTCACGCAGTCTCACAGTTTAAGGGGAGTTAGAACAATAAAACAATAAATTAAAACAACAAAAAAGAGCACTGAGAGGAATTAAAAAGTAAAACGGAAGAGGGAATAAAAACAGGTGCTAAGAATTGGTTATATAGCAGAGATTTGCCTTAGAGTTGACCTTAGAGCTCTAAGCCCTGCTCCAAGCACTCGGCAGCCATCTTGGTCTCTGCTCCTCATATGTTTTTGTAATACAGTGGTACCTCGGGTTAAGTACTTAATTCGTTCCGGAGGTCTGTCCTTAACCTGAAACTGTTCTAAATCTGAAGCACCACCTTAGCTAATGGGGCCTCCTGCTGCCGCTGCGCCGCCTCTGCACGATTTCTGTTCTCATCCTGAAGCAAAGTTCTTAACCTGAGGTACTATTTTTGGGTTAGCAGAGTTTGTAACCTGAAGCGTATGTAACCTGAAGCATATGTAACCCGAGGTACCACTGTACAGTAGACGCTTGGGTTGCGAATGTAATCCGTGCGGGAGGCACATTCGCAGCCCACAGCACCGCATCTGCACATGCGTGGGTCGCAATTCGGTGCTTCTGCACATGCGCAAAGTGCGATTTAGTGCATATGCGCAAGTGCCGAAACCTGGAAGTAACCCGTTCCGGTACTTCTGTGTTCGGCGCGGTGCGCAACCCGAAAACATGCAACCTGAAGCGTCTGCAACCCAAGGTATGACTGTATATAAGATTTTCAGCAGACCATTGATAGGATGGCCTCTACAATATTCTTGAATTCTGAATGTCGTCATCAAATGAACCAGATGTTCATTCTCTAGGGCAATGGGTGTTTCACTGTAGCCTTCTCTTTTGTCTAATTGGCTAGGTCTGCTTTTCTCAGTCATTCTAAGACGTCAGCATTGGTTAAAGACAGTGAAAAGGTGTGAGCAGCGTCCTGGTTTCTCACGAAATAAATGAGAACACTGCCCGTACATTTTGCCTCACATCTTGGGTCCCCCAAGTGCTAGCAACTTTATTTTAAATGAAAGAAAGCGGAGAATCAAGGGGTTGCGGCTTATCCAGGGAACACAGCTGCCCCTCCTTGTGAGCACTGATGATGGTGCAATGCTTCGCTAGTCTCATCTGATCTCCTACCTAATATCAGTGAGCCACAGCAGTTGTGCCTCATGTGTGGGAAAGGGAACGGAATGTGTTGTGTAATACCATAAAAGTGTACCTGCATAGCTGCTTGGTTCCTTCCATTTGTGGGGGCATCAGAAGTGATGTGATTATGGTGAGACTGTTGCTATGGACTTTGTAGGAGTGGCTGTGTTAGCTCTCCATTCTAGTAGTATTATTATTACGCTTTGGCATTGTAGCTGGTGGGAAAGCCTACGATTCTAATCAGGCTGGTATAAGCCCCAGCACAGCAGCAGCTAGTTGAGGTTAGATCATAGAATTGTCCTGCCATCTCATTCATGGGTAGGCAAACTAAGGCCCGGGGCCAGATCAGACTCAGTCACCTTCTAAATCTGGCTTGCACTCCAATTTTAAAAATCCACAAGGAGCTGGAACCTTTGAAACAACACTGCTTTTAACAACCTTTAAACCATGGGTAGGCAAACTAAGGCCCAGGGGCTGGATCTGGCCCAATCACCTTCTAAATCTGGCCTGTGGACGGTCCGGGAATCAGCGTGTTTTTACATGAGTAGAATGTGTGCATTTATTTAAAATGCATCTCTGGGTTATTTGTGAGGCATAGGAATTTGTTCTCTCTCTCTTTCTTTCCTCTTCAAAATATAGTCCGGGCCCCCACAAAGTCTGAGGGACAGTGGACTGGCCCCCTGCTGAAAAAGTTTGCTGACCCCGGTCTAATTCTTGATTTGAATGCTTGCTTTCAATGCATCTTTAGTTTAATAACAGGCCTTCGCTGTGCAATTTACAACTTGCCAAAAAACCATGTAATATCCATAGCATGGAAAAAACCCACAGGCACCAGTATTTAAAATACCTCCCGAAAGCTCATAGTATGGGAGAAAATTTGTTATATGAGTTTAAAAATGGTAATATGTTGATGGGCAGGTTCTGCTCTTAGTGTGGCAAATAGGTTTGTCTGAGGAGCCTTTCTGAATTAATATAATGCAATATTTATCAGAATAAAAGATTCTGATAAATGAAGCACCTAACCTAACCATTCAGTCTGCATCCAATTCTAATTAAGTAGCTGAAGACAGCGTTCAAACAAATGTCATATTTTGAGCCCTAAGGAACAAAATTAATATTTTTTTTTAGCTACTCAGATATTAGTCTGTTTTCTGTTAGTGAAGATGTATACAGTCGGAGATGTCAGCAAATGCAAGGTTAAGTTGTTTCAGTAACGTATATTCTGTTGTAATGAGGGAGTAGCTGTCACTGAAAGCAATTCTTGAACCATTGCTATGTTAGCATTGTTTCATGAAAAAGTCAGCAACCTGAAATGGAATTAGTGTATTATGACACGGCCTCATCAGATATGGACGGAGAAGTTTCTGAGAATATATCCATGTGAAAGTACACTGGAATGGAGAGAGGAGAAGTAAGCAAGCAAATGGGAGTGGGGTGATGGTAGGAAACTACTACTTTTTGTACATTTACAGTGGTAGGTAAAGGTAAAGGGACCCCTGACCATTAGGTCCAGTCGTGGCCGACTCTGGGGTTGCGGCGCTCATCTTGCTTTACTGGCCGAGGGAGCCGGCGTACAGCTTCCGGGTCATGTGGCCAGCATGACTAAGCCGCTTCTGGTGAACCAGGTCAGCGCACGGAAATGCTGTTTACCTTCCCGCCAGAGCGGTACCTATTTATCTACTTGCACTTTTGACGTGCTGTCGAACAGCTAGGTTGGCAGGAGCAGGGACCAAGCAACGGGAGCTCACCCCGTCGCGGGGATTCGAACCGCCGACCTTCTGATCGGCAAGCCCTAGGCTCTGTGGTTTAATCACAGCGCCACTCAAGTCCCTTTTACAGTGGTACACCACTTTAAAAAATACATACTGCAGTTCTGGAAGGAAGCGAAGGCAGTCAATGGCAGGGAATTCATTTCTTTGGCCTGAGAAATCAATAACCCCAACTAGTTTATTATGGCTTTCACTCTTAAAGGCACCTGCTTATTTATCAAGTGCATGGAGATGTTCTGTATACATGGACTGAGGTACTGGGGAGAATAAAGCAAAATAGCAATAGGGGGAAAGTTCTGTGTTCCTTTCCATGTTGTGCGATGAGGCTGAGGCTCACTATGTTGGATTCTCTGCCAATATGGTGCTCAAAGGAGCAAATTTGTTAGATAATCAACAAGCTGTTAAGTCCACTCTCATCCTTTCTTCCTTCTGCCACTGGGAGAGATCATTAGGGGGGTTGAAATGGGTGTTCATCAGTACGTGGATGATACCCAGCTCTACCTCTCTTTTAAATCAGAACTAGTGAAGGCGGTGAATGTTCTGTGTGAGTGTCTGGAGGCAATTGGAGGATGGATGGTGTCTAACAGATTGAGGTTGAATCCTGACAAGACAGAAGTACTGTTTTGGGGGGGCAGGGGGTGGACAGGTGTGGGGGACTCTCTGGACCTGAATGGGGTAACTGTGCCCCTGAAAGACCAGGTGTGCAGTCTGGGAGTCATTTTGGACTCATAGCTGTCCATGGAGGCGCAGGTCAATTCTGTGTCCAGGGCAGCTGTCTACCAGCTCCATTTGGTACGTAGGCTGAGACCCTACCTGCCCACAGACTGTCTCGCCAAAGTGGTGCATGCTCTAGTTATCTCCTGCTTGGACTACTTCAATGTGCTCTACGTGGGCCTACCTTTGAAGGTGACCCGGAAACTACAATTAATCCAGAATGCGGCAGCCAGACTGGTGACTGGGAGCGGCATATAACACCGGTCCTGAAAGACCTACATTGACTTCCAGTATGTTTCTGAGCACAATTCAAAGTGTTGGTGCTGACCTTTAAAGCTCTAAATGGCCTCGGCCCAGTATACCTGAAGGAGCATCTCCACTCCCATTGTTCAGCCTGGACACTGAGATCTAGCTCCGAGGGCCTTCTGGCGGTTCCCTCACTGCGAGAGGTGAGGTGACAGAGAACCCAGCAGAGGGCCTTCTTGGTAGTGGTGCCCTCCCATCAGATGTCAAGGAAATAAACAACTATCTGACTTTTAGAAGACATCTGAAGGCAACCCTGTATCGGGAAATGTTTAATGTCTAATGTTTTACCATTTTTAATGTGCTGTAAGCTGCCCAGAGTGGTTGGGGAAACCCAGCCAGATGGGCGGGGTATAAATAATAAAAATATTACTATTATTATTACAGTGGTACCTCGGGATGCAAACAGGATCCGTTCCGGAGCCCCGTTCGCATCCTGAAGCAAACTCAACCCGTGTCCAGGCGTCACGGGTCGCGTTTTGCCGCTTCCGCGCATGCGCGTGATGAAACCATGGAGCTCAACCCGAAAATACTTAACTTGAAGCACATTTATCCCAAGATATGATTGTATTATTATTATTATTATTATTCTGTAGCTCTATGTTTATCAGCCTGACAAGATCCAATAAAGTACTCCACCTCCATCTTTTGGGATGCCTTGGATTTATACCAGCGCAGAGTACATTATTTTGGTGCTAAACATTAGAATCGTAGAGCTGTAGAATTAGAAGGGACCACGACCGTTCTGGGAGGTGGAGGCAGCCTTACCCCTGTTCTGGAGCTGAAGATCCTCACTTGCTAAATTCCTGCACAAATTGACTCGCATCTCTGGTGGCTAAATGAATGGAAAGACTAACCAACGCTGCCTTTTGTTTTTGACAGGCACCGCCTAGGAGCCTTAGACCTCGTTTCAGGAAAAAAAGTACCTCATCCTCGACCACTGAAACCATGTGAGCGTGATGAGCCATTAGCACCGAAATCCACGGAATGTCTCTCTTCTGCCTTAAAAGATCTACTCCGTTAATAATGTAGGGGGAAAAACAGTGGTGAGATGGATGTGCTTTTGATACTGCAACGTTATAAACATGGCCTTTCTCGCTTCCCTTTCCATTTGCTGTGGGTTCCCTGACCGTTTCTGTGGCATTGCAAACCCAGAAGGCAAAAGCAACGCCCCCAGATTTCTTTGCAGAGTGGCAGTTCTTTCAGCTATGCTAGTGAGGCTGTACATTTGTAATTACTCCTTACATCAGCTTAGTTTTTAGCTCTGTGAGTGCAACCAGGAAAATAATTATTCACCTGTTCTAAATACTTGCATCCATCCTATTTATTTTGGGCTTCATAATGTATAGAGTGGCAGGGGCCACAGATTTTTCTACCCAAGCTTTCACCATCATATCTTTATTACAAGACTGTGAATGATATGACAAATCATGAATTCTTTTCACTGTACAGGTGTTAGACATGAGCTTAATCGCCCTCCCCGCCCCCTGTAAATTTTATTTATTGTAACTCAGATACTGCGTGTACTCCTGAAAAAATAGAGCCAGAGGATTTTAGAGGAGGAGGAACTCACAGATGCGTGCACACACATACACACATGTACGTATTATCACAAGATATGGGAGCAGAGGCACTTTGGTTTTGACGACAGTGATTGGCTGAGGCTGACATCCTAAGCATATTTACCCGGATGAAAGTCATGCTGAAATCAGTCAGACTTGGTAAACAGAATTAGGATTGCATTGTTAAGTATATTATGCATAAAAGAAACTAACGTTATAACTCTTGGCCAACTTAATGAGCATGCCTACAGCATGCAGTCATAATAAATGCTAGGAGGTAAACCAGAATCACATTAGCAAAGTGTGAGTTGGCCTATGTGAAAGTCAGCCAGGTCTGCAGATGGGATTTTAATCGTAACATTTTCCCACCAGGTATGTAGGCATTTCTTTCAGAGAAAGATAGTGGAAGACTGTAACCAAACTCCCTCACGTAATGCAAAGATTTTGGCTGTAGTTAGCTTCTGGTAGAGTTCACAATAGTCTGTAGATCCCACGGTGCGTTTGTAATTTTAGAGAGGTACAAAATGAGGAAACCGTACTAGGGTTTGTGTATTCGTGCTTCAGATTGGTGTCTCTTGTAAGTGTTGAGCATGTAAAATCTAATTCTGTAGACAATTGTATGTGTTAATTAGAATATTTAATATTGTAGAATATAAAAGATCTTGCCACTGAGATCAGATGGGTAGATTGCAAATGATACTACTGACCTCCTAAATGTGTAGCAGGGATTTAGGTGGCTGTGTTTCAGGTTCCAAGATTAGCACTATGAAATGTCTGTTAAATATTTTTGTTTGGGGTTTAAGAATCCATATCCTAGCCTCCCTTCATGCTTCTTAAATGTTAATTTGGAACTTCTTAAATTTTTTGAAAAGCCTTAAAAAATCCAACCGTTGCATAAGCATGTATCAGCATGGTTACTGCCGTGCAAGAAAACAAAAACAGATGCCTCCAACAGTTACCATATTTGGATCTGTTGCCATTTCAGTCAACAAATGAATAATTTAGATGGCAGCTAGAAAATATTCAGTTGTAGCACAAAAGCTCAATTTTGGGGGAGTTTGGCTAGCATATTTGTTGAGCAGTTTTTTGAAGTCTGTATACCGTATTTTTCGCTCTATAACATGCACCCGACCATAACACGCACGTAGTTTTTAGAGGAGGAAAATCCGTAGGCATGCCACCCGTAGGCATTTCCTCCATAACACGCACAGACATTTCCCCTTACTTTCTAGGAGGAAAAAAGTGAGTGTTATGGTGCAAAAAATACGGTACATTCACGCACAGAATTCAAAGTTGTCTGCGACATCAGCAAAATAACATTATCTCACAAGCAGGTAACTTTTGCCAATATATACCGCTATGTGTGACGGAATAAAATGAGAAAGTGGCGATTTTGTATTTAATTATGCCAAAAAGACACCTTTGTAAATTTCTCCTTGTATGCTCATTCTACCTAAAGCGAACCGATGTCTATCTGACCTGCTGTTTTACTGACAAGTATGACTGTTCTAGAGTTCCTGTTGTTTAGTGCTAAGGTGAAACTCTCTGAATTGCCTTATCTCTCAAATTAAATTCACTGTAAGAAAAAAAAAATCACTGGTAGTTGTGCTAATCAATCAGTTGAACTGTGTTATCTGTGTATAGATCAGTGAGAAACATGAATGGCTAAATAAGTGTAGCACTTATGTTCCATACATTTTTTAAATCTGCAATACAATGGAAGCAGGTTGTTCACAGCCTTGGCTGAGACATGTGCATCAAAACATATCAGCTTCCAGCATTTTGAACACTCAAGACTTGTACTCTCTACCAATTTACTAGGGCTATCCATTTTATTTTCAGTAGAAGGCTCCTATATAATTTAATTTCATGTACACATTGGGGATTAATACGCTTTACAGTCTTGCTCTGGTTCTCTAGTCTTACCTCCTCGGACCAATACTGGGGGTCAGCTTTCCATAGCCAACTTTAGCTTCCACAATGCTCTGTTTCTGCCGATCTTTATTTTGTGTTAGATGTAGAACCACGCCCTTCCAGCAGATGTCAAAGCGATAAACAACTACCTGACATTCAGAAGACATCTTAAGGCAGCCCTGTTCAGGGAAGTTTTTAACATGTGATATTTTACTGTATTTTTGGTTTCTATGGAAGCCGCCCAGAGTGGCTGGGGAGGCCCAGCCAGATGGGCGGGGTATAAATAATAAATTATTATTATTATTATTATTATTGAACAGAGGCGGACTTTGGTACTCTTTGGTAACAGGGCGTCCTGCGAGAGCCCCAAATTTGGTGCCCCCAAGTGGTTCTTCTCAATTTTGTACCCACTCAGCTCATTGCCCTATGTCGGGGAACTGCCTGCATCACCCCAAATCCAGTGCTACATAGAATCATAAAGTTAGAAGGGACCGCCGGGGAGAGAACAGTGAACCACACAAGGACTGTGGCTCTCCAGCACAGTACTGCTTCTGTTGCTACAATTCTAGTATTGTAAAACTATGGGGAGGGTTCCCAAACATGTAACTGTAAAATGTTCTTTATGCTAGGAAAATAGCCAACTTCACAAGAGAACAGGCTATTATGGCTTAGTTGCGTATGCCCACGTATCAGTACTGATCTAATTACCAAAGTTTCTCACCCGTCACTATTCATGGGGATAGACCATAGCTCAACGGTTGAGCACATGCTTCGGTTCCACCTTCTACCTGCAGAAGGTTCCCGTTTCAATCCCTGGCCCCTCCAGTTTATGTTCATGTGACATACCTCTGCCACAGACTCTGGAGAGCTGTTGCCTGCCAGTGTAGACAGTACTGAGTCTACTCTGGTATGAGGCACAAGGTCTGACTAGATGACGCTCAGGGTGCCTTTCAACTCTACAATTCTGTGAAGTCAGACATTGGCCTATCTAGCTACTGGAGAGCCAGTGTGGTGTAGTGGTTAAGAGCGGTAGTCTCGTAATCTGGGGAACCGGGTTCGCGTCTCCGCTCCTCCACATGCAGCTGCTGGGTGACCTTGGGCCAGGCACACTTCTCTGAAGTCTTTCAGCCTCACTCACCTCACAGAGTGTTTGTTGTGGGGGAGGAGGGGAAAGGAGAATGTTAGCAGCTTTGAGACTCCTTAGGGTAGTGATAAAGCGGGATATCAAATCCAAACTCCTCTTCTTCTGGTGGCAGCAAGAAAAATATTTTATTTCAATGTAAATCAAAGAACTTCACCAGTTTTAAAACTAAAACACGGGGGGGGGGGGAATGCTGAACATAAAGTTGGGATGCTCTCTAGCCAGTTGTAAACAACCTGCTACCTTCAAGCTGTACTCTGCAAGATAATTGTACTCTTATGTAGCTGATACATGTACTTGTGCCTAAATGCTTGTTAATTAGTCTCTTTTGCAGTATTTTTTTGCGAGTACCTGCTTTGCACTTGGCACACTATTTGAAATTGTCAAGAGCACTGTATTTTAGAAAGTAACACAAGTGGCCAATATCTGAGGCTGGTAACGGGGCACTTAATATTGTTTGTTTCCACTGATCCATAGCAAAGACATGCTAGGCTAGAACGTTGAAAAATGCATTGTAAGATCACATACTACAACAGTATTCCAAAGGTCAATGTTTTGTTATAATGCTTGATATACATCTTGAAAATAAAGTCTTAAATTTTTCTTTTAAAAAAAGGAATGGGTCTTCTGTTCAAAGTAGGCGAAACTGTTACAATCACACTTCTAATATTGTAGTATTATAATAATATTGTAGTGTTCTAATTTCTGTAGTTGTTTGTAGTGTCCTAATTCTTGTTGTTGTTTATCTCCACTATATGCTATCGTTGTAATGCATGGGTAGGGAAACTAAGGCCCAGGGGCTGGGGCTGGCCCAATCGCCTTCTAAATCCGGCCTGTGGACGGTCTGGGAATCAGCGTGTTTTTACGAGTAGAATGTGTCCTTTTATTTAAAATGCATCTCTGGGTTATTTGTGGGGCATAGGAATTCATCCGTCCCCCCAAATATAGTCTGCCACTCCCAAGGTCTGAGGGACAGTGGAATGGCCCTGGCCCCCTGCTGAAAAAGTTTGCTGACCCTTGTTGTAAGGGGAATCTTAACAGATTAGCAAACTGATGGTCTGCTACTACGACAGTGTTCTACAGTAGTGAGATTTTGGTTCCGATAACCCTTACCTCAAGCCAACAAGGTTAAGGGGAGGTTAAGGGGTGATATGATAGCCATGTTCAAATATATGAAAGGATATATATAAAAGGATGTCACATAGAGGAGGGAGAAAGGTTGTTTTTTGCTGCTCCAGAGAAGCGGACACGGAGCAATGGATCCAAACTACAAGGAAGAAGATTCCACCTAAACATTAGGAAGAACTTCCTGACAGTAAGAGCTGTTTGACAGTGGAATTTGCTGCCAAGGAGTGTGGTGGAGTCTCCTTCTTTGGAGGTCTTTAAGCAGAGGCTTGACAACCATATGTCAGGAGTGCTCTGATGGTGTTTCCTGCTTGGCAGGGGGTTGGACTCGATGGCCCTTGTGGTCTCTTCCAACTCTATGATTCTATGATTCTAGGTTCACTGAGTGATTTTGCACCAGTCATTCTCTCTCAACCTAGCCTATTCCATTTGTTGTTGTGGGGAAAGGAAAATCATGTATGTTAAATGGAACTCCTTGTGAATAATTGCAAGGATACTTGAGGAAATGGCTGGGATTTGTTTGTCTTGATGGAAAGAAGGAAGACTTCATTAATCAGTAAAAGCCTCGAGTTGGTAAGATGACTGAAGATTTCTACTGTGGTAGATAAACCTAGTATCTTGAATGGTTCTGATACATCATTTGAAACAGGTATCAAGTACATACATTCCCACATTTTTGTGTGTGTGTCTATTTGTGTTCTCACATATAAATAAATTAACTATTAAACAGAAAATTATAATATGAGACAACCATCAGTAGTGGAAGTTTCATCATTTCCACGACTGCCCAAGGACTTACAGCATCTCTCTTGTCATTTAAAAGTAGTAATTACTGCAAAGCTGAAATTTTTTATAAGCCAGCCATTAATTACTCATCAAAGACTTTATCAGCTTGCCTTCTTTAAGACAATCCATGTGCTTAAATTTCGCACTTCTATTCAGCAGAAAGAATAAATGTAGCATGGCTGAGCAAGGCTAAATGCTTATTTTATACAGTCCCAAGATTTAAAACCGTAGATATAACTATTTAAAACAGTTATGAGGCATATAATTTATATTCCACAATCAAGGAAAGTATATTTATACATTCTGCAGCTATCACCCTTTGCTAATAAAACAAAAGAATTATACAATCAATCTTTAGAGTAATCAGATCAATGGTTTATTTTGCACCAGTAATTTAACATAAACTGTTCATTTGCTTGTTAGACGGATGTATGGAAAAGCAATCAACCTGAACCATTAATATTTGGACTGGCATACAAAGATCTGCAGGTGTGCATTTGACAATTTATAACTTCAAGTTTGTACGATCATGGTATTTTTGGTAGGGGTCATCAATGTACCAGTTTCTTCTTTTCCAGAAGGAAGATGTCATTTTATCAAGGAGCTTAGACTGTGTTTTATTGCAGAACACATGTTCCCTCAAGCGCCTCCTCCGCCTATAATTTTTTTTCCACAGCCGTTTCTTGTATCCAGCCTGTCATCAAAGAGTAAAAGATTTAATACTTCAAACGTATGAATGGCTATCCACAAAATAAATACATAATCATCACGCAAGTAGATTTTCATATAGCCTGTTCTATCCTTCATTTTTTAATTCTTGCACTTTTCTAAGCTACAATTACAAAAGCAGCATCTCTCCCACACACCGGCATATCATGCTGTCAAGACAATAACATTCAATGAAGAAAATATTACCCTTCTCCTTAGCCAAAGGCCACAATGCAATCTGAGAAATCTGTGAATCACAGGTTTTACAGTTTTCCTTTTTCCTTTTCGCAAGCCGAATTTGATGAGGGTCCTTACTTGCTGATGAAGGATACTTGGGAGCAGTGGTGTTACACTGAAATTTGTATGAAATCAAGAAAATAGAAAGTTAGATCTAATAGCTGTGACCTGTTTAATTTAGCATTTGACTAATCAGTGTCTCAATAGCACAGAAACCTTATCCCAAAATCCTTGAAAGACAAAAACTAAACATCTCAGCAATGCTCCATGAATAGCAGAAATCACAAAAATGTTCAAATGTCTCCTTAAAATTATTTCTAATTCAAACTAATGCACCGTGGATGAAGATGATGTAACACACACTCACCTCCGAAGTATGTTTGTATGATCACACCACAATATTGTTGTTGCTCCCATTAATTCCCACCCTTACCTTACCAAAGTGGCAGACTTTGGTACCCTGTGCAAAGCCAAAATTTGCCCGCTTCTCTGTGACCAAACACAATTCTGTCCCATGTTGTTTCTCTCATGTTCCTTGAACAGTAGAAATGGGGGAAATTGCATGAGATATGGGAGGTGGGTGCATGCATCCCCATAACGGCTCTAGCATGCACATAGGGGAGAAGGAACTGGGATCTTACTTTGTTAGTACTATCACTAAGCCTCATCAATACCTGCTTCAGAATGCAAATTTGGTGCATTAATACATGTCTACCAACGGGCTAGTCCTACCCCCATAATTGGCTTCTGGCACAAATAACAACCCAATGGGCAAATGGGAGGGAAAAGAAGAAAGAAAATGGACTAATGCGTCCTTCCTTGTTTATGTGGCTTTGGCAGCTGCAGTATGAATAGTATTGGAAAATGTACTTTTCCCAAGCTCCAGAAAGCAGGGATGGAGGGGGGGGGGGAGAGGCATCCTGGGGAAACAGCATTAGCCCTACCCCAAACGACTGAGGAACTGTAGTCACAGCTTAGCAACCACCAGGGCCTCTTAGGTAGGAGGTTTGAAGACTTGCCAGTACACTTAGAACTCGTAAGGGAAAAATATTTTTTCTTCAGTGTGTTGTAGTTTCACGCAAATTACTAGTCCCAAACTGAATCAAGCTCAGAGGAATTACCTCTAACTACTGTTGATATTTTGACATCTTAGCCAAAGTACGCATATAACCTAATACGTTGTTAAACACACCAGCAATACACTAGGAATCCTGTTACTACTACAGTGGTACCTCTGGTTACATACTTAATTTGTTCCGGAGGTCCATTCTTAACCTGAAACTGCTCTTAACCTGAAGCACCACTTTAGCTAATGAGGGCTCCCGCTGCTGCTGCTGCGCTGCCGCCGCGCAATTTCTGTTCTCATCCTGAAGCAAAGTTCTTAACCCGAGGTACTTTTTCTGGGCTAGTAATCTGAAGTGTATGTAACCCGAGGTACCACTGTATTAGTAAGGAAACTGAGGCAACAGGGACCTATCCCAACATTTTACACTATTATTATGCCTATATAATGGAACACATGGTGCTTTTACGGACAATCAAGCACATATTAGCTCCAGCTCAAAATCTGTAAAAATCTAAATTTCAACAGTGAAGAGGGGAGAACATGCAGGATACAGTTACACATACTTTGACTTTTTTATGGTTGGGGACCAGGGTTTAAAACAAAATCTGTATGAAGGATTAAATTTTGTTAAATTGTGTCTACCTGTTCAAAATTGAGACTGAATGCCCATAAGACCCACTTCCAATGGAGAGAAGAGGTTTTCTGGTGGAGATTGTTGATATCGTCCTGTGGCTGATGTGAAGTGAAGACAACCAAGAAATCGGGCGGATGCTGTAAGAACTATTACTGGCCAAAGGGACCAAAGGGCAGAAGGATCTTAAAACCCCTAGAGAAATAAGAGAAAACATTATGAAAAGCAAGCAAGAAATGGAACCAGGAACTGCCTTCATCTGGCTTCTCCCTGTTCTGGACTTCTCTAAGTGAGTGTTGATTATTATGAGACTGATGGAGCCAGGTGAAGAGCTATCTCAGAGCTTACCAGCTTAATTTTCCTCTCACCAAGAGAGAGAGCAGGAGGCAGGCAAAGATTACCTCAGAAGTCAGACCTCACAGCCTGCTTCTCCTACCCTGCTGCCCTAGAAGATTGTCTAGGGCAATCTTGGGTCCCCAGATATTGGGCTACAACTCCCATCATTTCTCAACAGCAATGGTCAGGGATGATGAAAGTGGCAGTTCAATAACATCTGGGGAGTTCAATAACATCTGGGGACCCAAGGTTGAGAAAGGATGGTCTGGGGCTGTCAACTGTCCTGTGGAAAGGATCCCAATGGCTTTTAATGGCTCATTGTGGGGTTTTTCTTTAATGTAGTTTAATGTTTCTTGTAAATTGCCTTGGAAGGATTAGTATCATGGAAGGCAGACTATAAATAAATTGATGAAAATAATAATTAAATATATATATTGAGGGTGAAGAGTCAATGTAGAAGGGCAATCAACCAAATGAGTGTGTGCTAATAGGACTTTATTATTTAAATAATAATAAACCCACTACAAGACTTCATCAGATCAATGCCCGTTTTCTTTTGTAATCGTTAATAATATGACTTAAAGTTGGTGAGATTTCTTGCTTACAGCATTTCACATTAAGCGAACTGCTATTAGTCAAAGGACTATCACTCAGACACAAGGAAAGTGATGGTCAATTTCCAAAAGCAGCATTGTATCGCAATTATCCTGCAAGATTTCATCACAACCCCCATTCCTGCTTGAAACAGCAGCAACCTTAAGATGAAAGTCTTCAGGTCCTACTTTTATTGCTGCTCATCATTTTAACCTGCTTCAGCCTCTACTGGGAGCCAATGCTATTATACCTATGGCCTCCGTTTCTTTTTTTCTTTCTTTCTTTTTGCAATAGCTAGTTTAGGGTGATCTAGTGACGGCCAGCCTTTCTTCCAAATTTGGACCTGTGGATCCAAAATCGGTTGGCAACTGTGTGGTCCGAGCGGGGTCAAACCAGCAAGTCCCCCATACCACCCTTTAAAGCCCTAATCGGCCTCAGTCCAGTATACCCAAAGGAGCGTCTCCACCCGCATCATTCTGCCCGGACACTGAGGTCCAGCGCCGAGGGCCTTCTGGCGGTTCCCTCGCTGTGAGAAGCCAAGTTACAGGGGACCATGCAGAGGGCCTTCTCAGTGGTGGCACCCGCCCTGTGGAATGCCCTCCCACCAGATGTCAAAGAGAAAAACAACTACAGTGGTACCTCGGGTTAAGTACTTAATTCGTTCTGGAGGTCCATTCTTAACCTGAAACTGTTCTTCACCTGAAGCACCACTTTAGCTAATGGGGCCTTCTGCTGCTGCCGCACCGCCGGAGTACGATTTCTGTTCTCATCCTGAAGCAAAGTACTTAACCTGAGGTACTATTTCTGGGTTAGTGGAGTCTGTAACCTGAAGCGTATGTAACCCGAGGTACCACTGTACCAGACTTTTAGAAGACATCTGAAGGCAGCCCTGTTTAGGGAAGCTCTTAATGTTTAATAGGTTATGGTACTTTAATATTCTGTTGGAAGCCGCTCAGAGTGGCTGGGGAAACCCAGCCAGATGGGCGGAGTATAAATAAATTAATAATAATAATAATAATAATAATAATAATAATAATAATTTCCTAACCAGGAGCTCCACGTCCCACTGCCAAGCATCACCTGCAACAAAATAAATAATCCGAATAATCAAATAGGGCCAACGATTTAGTATAGGCTCTCTCTCTCTTCCTGCGTGCTCCTCGCTCGGTGCTAAAGCGAGGCAACCGTTAGACGACGCCACCCCCCCCCCTCGTGCGACCCTCAGTCAACGTTGCTTCCCCAGCCCCCCATCACTGACCTGGGAGCCTCCGCGCCGCAGCGAGCGCCGCCATGTCGTCTCCTCAGCCCGCTACGGCATCCACGGAGGGTCAATGCGAAGCGGAAAGCAAAGGCGCGCGCGGAGCGCCCCGCCCTTAGCCCCGCCCCCTTCGCTGCGGAAGCGTTCCCGGCTCAGTTCAGAAATGCTGGCTTTTTGCGGTTTTAGTTTGGGAAACGATAGACCCCGAAATCGATTTTTGCGCGTGGCAAATTTGCTGCTGCTTTTTTTTTTCCTTCAAATTTTTTTTATTGGTTTTCACAACATTATAAACAAAATACCTATGGCAAACAAACATAAATCATAGCCTTATTGAAAATTACACTTATTAATATTGTTAGGTGATTTCCCCGCGTCCCCTTGGTTGAATTTCATTGCATATCCTTTTAACGGTTTTCCAAATCACAGTTTTTATAAAATTTAACTTAAACATTAACATCCTTAGATCTTCACATTATGAAATTAAACATATTAATGCACCCCTTAACATAAATAAAATCCTAAGCCAATTAAGTATCTGCGAGCTGTTGTCAATTAATTTAACTTAACATGGCAAATTTGCTTCAGTTCGGAGCTATTTTTCGTTAAGAATTAGGAAATTATTTAACCACTCCCCCTTCCCTAAATATGCTCTCTGTTCCTGTTTTTGAAAATGCAATAATAATAATAATAGGCTATTCTCACAGCAGCCTCCCCTCATGAATCTGGCACGCTTAACTAAATCTGTACTGATATTTCAGCACTGCGTTCTTCCCACGTTGTTCATTGCGTTTATGGGCAAGGACCTCATCCTTTTATAGCTCGTCACGTGAACAGTTTTCCTGGCCTTATTTATCTTCTTTATCTCCCGCTCGTAATAGAGTTTTGCTGATTTTTTATTCTGGAATATGCAATGTGTGTGGATTGCTAACAAAAAAAATTAAAAAAAAAATGGGAGCAGGGATCGGGGTGGTGGTGATAAATAGTTATTTGCTCTATTGTTACATGATGTGTTGTGTCCATCAATATTGCCAATAACTGCTACTGACTCAAAAGCGACAAATATCTGTACTGCCGAAGGTTGGCATCTGTCTTAGGAGTCAAGGAAGAGTGCACCTGGTTGTGGGAGGGGGAAATCAATCCATTGGAGAGTTACAGTGCCTGCTGTGGCTGTAGCAGCCGATAAAAGGTAAAGGGACCCCTGACCATTAGGTCCATTTGTGGCCAACTCTGGGGTTGTGGCGCTCATCTCGATTTATTGGCTGAGGGAGCCTCAAGCAACGGGAGCTCACCCCGTCGTGGGGATTCGAACCACCAACCTTCTGATCGGCAAGTCCTAGGCTCTGTGGTTTAACCCACAGCGTCACCCGCGTCCGTAGCAGCCGATAGGGGAGAGATATATTTTGTTGCAGAGACGCGGGTGGCGCTGTGGTCTAAACCACAGAGCCTAGGGGTTGCCAATTGGAATGGGGTGATCTCCCGTTGTTTGGTCCCGGCTCCTGCCCACCTAGCAGTTCAAAAGCACGTCAAGTGCAAGTAGATAAATAGGTACCGCTCTGGCGGGAAGGTAAATTTTTGTGCGCTGCTCTGGTTCGCTAGAAGCGGCTTAGTCATGCTGGCCACATGACCCGGAAGCTGTCTGTGGACAAACGCTGGCTCCCTCAGCCTATAGAGCGAGATGAGCGCTGCAACCTCAGAATCATCTGCAACTGGACCTAACAGTCAGGGGTACCTTTACCTTTTGTTGCAGATGGGGCAGAGGAAGGCGTCTGGTTGTGCTGATACAGGTGTACCATGACAGTTCTTCTCTCTGCGTTTCTCCCAGCGGACATTTGTCACCTCCTCACCACAGTGGTACCTCAGGTTACATACGCTTCAGGTTACAGACTCCGCTAACCCAGAAATAGTGCTTCAGGTTAAGAACTTTGCTTCAGGATGAGAACAGAAATCGTGCTCCGGCGGCGCGGCAGCAGGAGGCCCCATTAGCTAAAGTGGTGCTTCAGGTTAAGAACAGTTTCAGGTTAAGAACGGACCTCCGGAATGAATTAAGTACTTAACCCGAGGTACCACTGTACTGTGGATACTCAACCTGACTGCCTGTCTCCAGGTTCTGTGGTCGTCAGTAAGCAATTCCCACCTGGCAGGGTTGGTGTTGCCAGAATTTGCAGAAATATTTGTAATGCAGAGTTTGTCTACCAACGGGCCCAGTACCCCATAGAGCACATCCTTGGGGATCCTGCCATCTTCCCTTTTGCGGACATGACCAAGCCAGCATAGATACCCCTGATATAGTGCGAACACGCCAGGAATGTGAGCTTGGGAGAGCATATATTTGAGACTCTGTTATGTCATGTTGGAATGCCCAAAGCCTTCCTAACATGTGGAAGGTGTTGAGGTGTCACTCCTGGCAGCTATTCTGTACCTAGATATTATTCTTCACACCCCCAAAAAAGAAGTGCTGGTCTGAATTTTAATCTGTTTTAGGTATTTTAACACTTTGAATGTTTTAAAGTGTTGGATTCCCACCCCCCTTGATTTCGTAGCTTTATCTTTTTCTAAACCACTTTGAGGTTGCTGCTATTGTTGGCTTTTTACAATTATGTATACATTTTATGAAATACAAGAAATACAAATTCGTTGTGAGATGGGGTAACTTTTCCCCACACTGTGTCTGGGCTGGCGATTTGATGTTAGCGATTTGATGTTAAAACAGTTTATGTATTTATGTATTTATGTATTTGATGTTATACCGCTCGATTGCAGAAAAACACACAACCTGAAAGGGCACTTCACTAGTTGCAAAGTTGGAAAGGACCACAAAGGACATCTATAGCCCAACCTCTGCAATGCAGCAATCGAACCCATCACCCTGATATTAAGATTCCCATGCTCTACCGACTGAGCTATCAAGCGTCTTTCTTAAAATACTGACAAACTTCCCCATAACCAGCAGCCACCACCCCCGCCAGCATCAGGAGAAAGAAAGCCTCTTTTTTCCTACGGACCCTGAAACACGCAGACACGAAAGGCTGCGCCAACTCTACCATTGTTGCTCTATATGCTGCCTAGGTAGGCGGGCTGACGGCGGCTCGCCTTCCGATTGGCCGCCGCGGCACAGAAGCGCTCCCTCGCGCACCGCCCGCCCCCTCCGTCCGGATTGGTGAGCCGCAAGCCCCGCCTCTTCAGGCGCTCGGCCTCGGCCGTGGCGCGCAAAGCGGGGCGGGGAGGATACAGACGCGCATGCGCGCAAGCCTGCACGCAGCGTAAGGCCCGAGGCTCGCTTTGCCGCCGCTTTCCGTCGAGCGCCTCCCTCAGCGAACCGGCGTCATGCTGCGGGCCTGTCACCGCGCGGGGAGCACAGCGGCTCAGGTGAGGCGAAGGAGAAAGGCGTGAGGGGGGAACGAACGGGCGGCGGGAGCCTCCTCGCGCGCGTGACGGAGGCGAAGAGCGTCCGTGAGACCGCGCCTGGCCCGTGAGGAGGAGGGAAGACCCGCGAAGGAGCCCATTGGCTGGCCCATATTGGGGTGGGGGGTGGGTGGGCAGCCGGGGGCGTCGGCCGCCGAGGCGACTCGCGTGGTTTGCCTTCTTTTCATGAATAAATTCAAGACTACATTTCCCATCATGCACTGCGGGACGCTTGGGTCTTGTCTCTATATCTCTATTTCTACCCGTATCTCTAGCTAGATGCGTGGCTGCAAGTCTAACCGGGGCTTTCGTAGTTCTTTATTGCCTCAGAGGCGGGCGGAAGAGAGCGAAGCCATGAAACGCTCGTGAGAACGCGTGCTCGCGTGCAGAGGCGGTGCTGTGGATGGGCGCTCCCAGTTGCCGTAGGGTCGCCGCCGGAGAGAGGGCTGCTGGGTCTTGTAGGCTCCTTGGATGTCACCTCTAAACCCAGAAACAGGGCCTCCACGGGTTTCCCTCACCACTTCTTGGGGTTTTCACGTGAAGCAGCGAACTGGCTTCCAGGGGTGTGTCCTTTGGCAAGCAGCGCTGATCCATTTTTTTTTAAAGCCGGCAAGTCCCTTCTCATAGCTGGTAGAAGGACATGACCTTGCTTTAATTATTCTGTGTCCTAAAGATTACACTGTTTAATATCTGCGGCGAGAAGTGTGCTGGAAAGTCTGCTTCCTCATACATATTAAGCAGGCTGTGGTGGCAGAAAACATTATCCATTTACTCTTGAGATGCTTGTTTGTTTTGCAGGCCACAGAATCAAAAAGAGATTCTAGGGCTGAGCCTGGTCGCAGAGCAAGGCCTGGTTACCCCACCTTCTTCTGTCATTATCCATTTAGAGATCTTGAAACTACTATTCTAATTAACTAGTAACAGTTTTGGAAAGTGTAGCGGTGTTGGAGCTTCATACTTGCTGGGTTTTTCTTCAAAGCTTAAAATTATTTTTTTGCAATCAGGTATACCTGCCATTTCTATCATGGAACTCAAGGTGGCTTTCAATGATAAAATATACAATGCAAACAGCCCGCGTTTATCATTTAAGAAGCAGCATCCAAAAATGCCTGTTGAAACATAGTCTTGCTGGAAAGTGTGCAGCAGTTGGGCCAGATAAACTTCTGTCAGGGTAGGTTCTAGATTCTGGACATCATAACGGCAAAAACAAAACAAAAACCCAAAATTTTCTTGTGCACACCCACCACATTTCTAATGATTGTGGGGGACTCAGAGCAGAGCCTCAGAAGTAGATCTTAATGCCTGGGGAGTTTCCTTTCTGATGGGTTATTATTGAAATAAACTGGTCCTAGACTTATGCCTTCAAAAGTTAACAATAATAATTGCACTTTGAATTGAGCCCAGAGACAAATTGGTAACCAGTAAAGATGACACTGGATCATTATAATATCACACACACACACATTCTGCGGTAATGTGAATTCAGAGCACCTTTAAGATAATGGTGAACAGTAAAACAATGTACCTGTATTAAAAGGGGGAAAAACACATGAAAAAAATGCATCAAAAAGAACAGCTTAAAGTGGTAGTGAAAAAAGACAATGGCATACTTAAAACTTTCCAAGATGTAAGCCCTGCTGAGTATAGTGGCACTAACTGCTGAGTAAACATGTAGGATTATGCCGATAAAGACCTTGCCATAGGAACACCCACTGAAATCAGCCCTGTTTTTAACATTCTAAAAATGGACAATGTGGTTTTCCATCAAGCAGTCGGGGTGGCACAATTGAAGAGCCCCACTTGCTCGCTTATTCCTGCCCACTGAATTCTGATGTTTAGATTAGTGGAGCAAGAGCTTTGGTGGGTGTTCTTAAAGTGTTCTTTTTGTGAATCCTGTTAGAAAAGGAACTCGAAGATGAAGTTGGAATGGAGCCCCAGATTGCTTATTGCAGAGTTGTTCTTTTTTATTTATTTAGAAAGAAGGCAAAAAGGGAAATTCAAAGAGACAGCTGTGAAAATGTCTGCGACTATGACCAAGGCTGTAATCCTATATGCACTTAGTAGCAGTGAGCCCCATTGAGCATAATGGGTCTTACGTCTGAATAAATATTCATGGGGTTGTACTGTAAAACATAGCCAGTTTATACATACTTTGGTGTAACTCATGTTAAATGTTAGTGGGACTTCGGTAAATGTGCATGTGGCTGCATATGTCATTTTGTTGAATTTTCTGACCTTCTCTAGAAAGTACTTAAAATATGTTTTTAAACACTGTAAGTAACTTTCATATGTTTTGCTCTTGCTGTTCAATGACAAGACAATCTTACCATCTGGTCTATAATCATTTGTACAGTTCAGCAGAGAGAGAAGTTCAGGCCTGTGCACTATAAAGTTGCATATAACTGAATGAATTGTAAAGTGAGATTATTGCATTTCTGTATTCTAGGTTTGTGGGGCACCCTTGGGGTACATTGGGCTGGAAAATACAAGCTATTAAACAACAGAGCTTAGCATATAGAGTAAAAGCCTTCACGCAAATTGACCAAATACTTTATTATGTGACTATTTTGAAGCCATCGAAGTCTCACAACTATATGCCAATTCTGATCTTTTGAGCGTGGGTGTTCAAATTCTGGATGCCAATCTGTCTGGCATTTTCAAAATTATGTTTTCAATTGATGGAAACTCCTGTGCTAGGGTGTGTCATGGAACACAGACTTCCAGAGTTTTCTATTTCCTAACTTCACATATGGTTTTAATGAAGGTTTTGGGCATCTGTTCTTCCTGTGGAAAAACAGAGTTATGCCAACACTTTTAAAGCAGTATTACAGTACCGTGGGGATTTTTTAAAAAAAAGTTTTTTCCCCACAGAAAGATACTTGCTTGTTAGTGGCAAACCTTTTTAGATTGGTATATTAAAAATGATTGCCAGAATATCATGGGCATGTGTGAATATTCTGTATAACATTGCAGCAGCTCAGTGAAGGGAATTCTAATTTCAGTAAGTTGTTGCAGTTTTTAGCTAATTAAGTTTTAAAACTAACCTGTGTCTGACTGAATTTAATATTGCTATTAATATTTAGATGCCAATATTTACAACCCTGCAAGCTTTTTGTGTGTGTGTTAATTTAGGTTCTGTAAACTGATAGCAATACTGTTCAGAGTGACTCAATTTATCAATCGTTTTGAAAGAGACCTCTTGAAATGAGATAGTGTTATATCATGATTGCAAGATTTCCTCTCAATAGTAAATAAGGTTTGTAAGCTTTTTAAGATCGTGGAATGAGGGATAAAAGGTAATCTGCTTTGTATAATTTTCAGTTAGCGTGTCTGGATCTGAGGTTACAATATTTCATGATCTTGCAATGGAGTTAGTTAGATAAATACGCTACTCGGTTTGTTTAAGTGTATTAATGCAACTGTATCAGTAGTCACTTGCTTGGTTACCTGTGGGAAATAAAAATGGCTTCCAGATGACCAGACATGGTAGTTTTATTAAATAACAAGAACGTTAATGGTTGGTGTTCCTTCAGAGTGGGCCACAAATTTTCTGTATGGGTATGTGTTGGCAGAAGGGATAATGAGATAATGTTATTTGCAAGTCTCCTCTTAACAAAAAGCAAAGCCGCAGCAACAGAACAATGATTCTGTGATTCTTTTTGAGCTACGTGGAATGGGTTTGAATGGAGCTATTGTTAATCACAAGTTTCTTCTTTTTCCTTTAGACTTGTCTGTGTGGGAGAAGTTCAGTCCGTCCATTACGTCTGGGTCGTGGATATGCTACATCTGGAGAATCTGGGTAGGTAGATCCATAATTTATTTATTTTTTAAATAAATCCTCAGTGGGGTATTCCTTTTGCTAGATAAACCAGTGCTTAGCAAAACATTTTTTTGTTCATTGAGTCAAAAAAAGTGAACAAGTGTGAGACAGCCTTTTGCCACATAATTGTGCCCCCTCCACATAGATCAGCCAAGCCCATTCTGCACATCATGTCACCAGCTGGTGTGAATGTGTGAAAGGAATTTATGTGTGGTAGCTAGATTGCAGAGCTGTGTGGTTTCTGCCCTGATGGTGCTTTGACAGTGGCTGGCTACTATACCATTATTATTTTAATTCCCTTTATTTATATCCTGTTCTTCCTCCCAAAGGAGCCCAAGGTGTTAGAGAAAGCCCTTGGGCTTATTAAATGTACAAGGCTAAACATTACTATTTTATTTATTTATTCAATTTATATACCACCCTTTATCAAAGGATCTCTGGGTGGTGTAATGGAATAGAAACTGTAATAAGATTTTCGTCTTATTTACAACTGTCCTGTCTATCTAAGTGTTTTGTATTAAATCCCTTTCTGCATATCCTGCTTCAGCCTCCTTAATTAAAGGGTCAACATTATTTTAATTGGCTTAGAAAATATTAGACAGCTGTAGCTCTAGGTACTGAACATCTGTAATCCTTGATGCTTTCTGACTTGTACTATAAATTTATTGTATATCAGCATGGACTTTCTTTTTAAACAGTGTCTCTGCAGGCAAAATCATAGGAGCCAGTGTTTTGTTTGTTGGTGGAGGAGTAGGCGGAACTATTTTATATGCTAAGTATGATCCACGCTTCCGAGAAAATGTAGAGAAGACCATCCCTTATTCCAGCAACGTCTTTGACATGGTACTGGGTCCTTCTTTTAGTATTCCAACACCAAAGAAGCCAGTAAGTTTCTATCTTTGCTTTAATAACACATCTGTCATTTTTCCAGTTCTTAAGTTGTGCTATAGATTTTGCACGCTTAATGCCACTGGGAAACATAATTGATTAGAAAGCTGGATATGCTATTCACTGTCCTCAGGCTTCATAACTGTGATTCAACTGCTGGGTCAGAGTTCTTGTTGTAAGATTTTCATGGGTATGCTGAAAGAGGCTGTGATTGCATGGGTTATGAAGATATACTGCCATTTTACTTAAAATGTATGCTGTTTAAAGCTGCATTTGCACACTTCTATTCCTGATTCTTTTACTCCTGTCAAAATATATTGGTTAACTGCCACACTTTATAGCATTATACACGTTTTCATTGGGATAAACTGGCGAATTGTCAGATTCCAGTTCTGAGAGAGTGCTTGCTTATTAGTTTCAGAGAAGACAGGATTTCACCAAGTGCCTTCTGTTCCCCTTGTAGTCTCATGTTGACAATGAGTGCCCTTTGTGAGTGCCTTCACATGTGCACACGACCTTTCAGTGTGTTGACATGCTGCGCACTGAAAGAGATAATCTAGCCTTGGGATATGTTGTCACTTTGAAATGTTGTTTCTCTTCTGCTGCTTTTCTTACACTGCCCCAAACTGCTTCTTCCATCTTGCGCAGGGTGGGATTGATGGGAGTTGTAATTCTGCAACATCCGGAAGGCCACAAGTTATCCACCCCAGTCTAGGAGTTTTGCGTATTTAAGTGGTATATCTGTCTTACAGGCATTCTTCATAGTATGCAATTCACTGAGATTTCCCCCCCATACTCACAGATACAGTCGGGTCCATTGAAAATCTCCTCTGTAACAGAGGTAATGAAAGAATCTAAACAACCTGCTGCCAAAATTGCAAAGAGTAAAACAGAGGAACCTTCAGCTGCTAGTGAGAAAAAAGAAGGTAAGATATGATAGCTATGGACCTTATAAAAATATGCAGGATAGGGCTGACTTGTTTATGAGCAATTTATGTTTTGGAACTTGAAACTACAGTCATACCTTGGAAGTCAAATGGAATCCGTTTCGGAAGTCCGTTCAACTTCCAAAACGTTTGAAAACCAAAGTGCAGCTTCTGATTGGCTGCAGGATTAAAGAATGTTCCTTTGCAACCTTTCCTTCCAAAAACTCACATACAGTTGCAAAATTCTGCGTTGCGTTCATATGGTGCAGAAAGCATGGCAATCTAAATTACTAAATTTTATATCTCACCCTTCCGCCAAAAGAAGCCAAGATGGCCAACATCTGCAATAAAAATACAATTTAAAAAAACCCCACATAAAACATTGTAAAAGCATTAAAAACTTCTAAAAACACAATGAAACATGTAACCAAATCATCAGCCTGGATAAGCACACTGAAACAAAAACGTTTTCCACAGGCGGTTCTTCTTGACACCTGCATTAAATAATTCATCCTTCTACAGTATTGACTCAGTATAGAAAATGAGGCCTGTACTGGTGTAAAGACTCCTATATCACCACCATCCATTTATGGAACAATTGAGAGAGAAATAAGCCAGTTAATTTGGACATTCACTTTTAATTTATGCCCAGCCAATCTGGTTATAGCCTGGTGAGATTGACATGTGCTTGGCAAAATTGGAAGGGTTGTGGTCAGCATGGCATTTATCTTTATTTGAGGTGGAAATGCCCGCGGCTAGAGAGATTTCGCGATGAGATACTAAGGAGATCAGCATTGTAACTGGACAAACAACTGTTGAAACAGGAAAAATAATCATTTTTCATTGTTTTATCTGTGGGTGTGTGATTATAGTACTTGCAGATTTGATATTCATACCTGTTGCAGCCAGACTTGTGATAACATAACTGTGGAAGTGAAGTAGATCCCCTACTATAGTTCTTGGGTATAGTGAACTTTGGAAAATAGACACTGGGACGCTTAGACATCAAATCCACATATTTGAAGGGCAAGTAGAATGGGATGTCTTTTTTGCAGAATGAGGTTTTTTTTATTTGTCATGCAAATAAGCCAGATAGTACAAGGATGATACCAGCACTACATGACACATTTCAGAAAAGTAATTAATGATTGGAGTGTCCAGGAAGGTACGACCATCTCATGTTTGCATATTCCTTACACATCTTTGTCTGATGAATACGATACTGATGGATTCCTTCTTCTTTATTATACCTGCAATGGCAGAGAATATTATGTTTTCTGGGTTGTCATATAGTTCTTGTTATTTTTTTGTTTATTGGTGTTGCCGTTTGAATCACACAAACTGTGTTTCTGAATAAAGTTTTTCAAAAACCTCAAGAAAGAAGAGCAAGGACCAAATAAAAGAGGTTTAGAATCTTCAAATCGTTTCCCTTTTTCTTTTTTCAAAAGTTACTCCATTCTGATGGTATGTCAGTTTATAAATTTTTTGTCATGGTTTTAATTTATGTTTGCATGTGGATAATTACAGCATCTTCAGAAGCGGCTCAGATAATTTCAGCGACAGGTGAAGCTGTTTCCGTTCCAGCTCCAGGCATGCAGGAGACAGAACAGAGCAAAAGTCATGCACCTCTTGAAGGAAAACACAAACCTCCTGACCTAGGTATTGTTTGGTTCTTTTTGCAAACTCCTGGCCTCTTTACTTTTGAAATCCTGAAAGAAAAGAACTTTGCAAAACTAGAGTTAAATTCTGACGAATCCCTTTGTTTGTTCCATTGTTCCCTCTGGTGGCCTTATCAAATTTTAATCAAGATACACGAAGGAAAAGGGAATATATTTGTAAGTGATGATAGAATTCACCAGGGGTCCAGACATTTTGATTGGCTTCAATAGCCTTGCCAGAATCTCTGTTATAAGGACCTTCCTCCTGCCCTTCAAACAGTCTTAATACAGTACATGTTTCTCTGGAAGAAAGTCATTTTTCTTTGCCCAATAAAGCTTACTCCCAGGTCAGGAAGTGACTGTAGAGTTGAAAGCACAGGTGACTTCCTCATGCTGTGCCTCCATGGGATATTGAAGAGAGTTTCTTCTCAGGTCCATACCTTGGAGATGGGAACAGGCAATCATTTTGGGCATTAACTAACCAAGGTGTCCTCAGTATCTTGGCTGCCCACCACACTCAGGTCCAGTTTGCCTTCTGGGGCCAGAGGAAAATCCACCACTAAAATGGGCATTCTCAACATACCCCTCTACCTTGAAGTGGGCGGAGATTTTCTCTTTTGTTAGAGCAACCCTTCAAAGGTCTGAATTGGTGCAGAGATGACCCCAGTTTCGAAGCTAGAGAGGAAGGCTGGGGCTCTTAGTATTACACTTGTTAGAAGGTGAACAGAAATACGGAACAGGGGTGGTTACTCTGTAGTGTTAAGTTCTCGCTGATTTCTGAATGTAATGTCCTGGCCTAGCACATTGTCACCTTGCTGAATTTATTATTGCTACGTGGATTGGTTTAATCATGGAGCATGACCAGCCAAGAGATCAGCTTGTTGGCAAAAGACACTTCTAGAACACTGACCTCTCGGCTGTTTCTTAACAGTGAAATAGCTGCCTCGTGAACAAACTTCTATCAATCTTGGTTTTAGTTTTCAGTGTTTTATTAAAATGCAAACCTTTATACCTAGGTGAACAACGTGTAAAAGAGAGGCCAGCTGATGAGGTTGCAGCTCGTCTTGCAAAGCAAGATAAAGAGGAACAAGCGAAGGTTTCTGGTATGTAGGCAAGCAGTATACTTTGGCAGTTTCAAGTTCGGCTTGCTTTTCAGCTGCAAGAGTAGCTGTGTGATAAGGGTGGCTAGTTTTTTGAAGCTGAAAGCTGTTTTCATAAAATTTCACTTTGCCCTGTCAGCTTCGTCTTGGCATGAAAATGATCTACCTGGGGAGGGGTATACTTTGCCCACGTTTTCAGAAAAACCCTTTGAAGAATGTCTGAGTTGCAGTAGTTTAAGCATTTTGCTTTGGAGCGGAAGCGTCTCTAACCATTCTTCTGCCCTCCCAGAATGTAACTGAAACTTATTTTGGTGTATAGATTTACAAATTGTTCAATTCCCGCCCTTAACTGCTATGTCATGTAATCAGTGGAACCTGTTGTACAGTTTCACACCTTACATTCACTCGCAGCTTAGGGTCTGTGCAGTAATGCTTTCCCCAGTTGAAAGCCAATCAAAGCAAAAAATGTCTTCACTTGTTTCTGGAAAGTGCAGATAGTGGGCACATGTCATATCTCAACAGGAATGCTGTTCCACAGAATAGGAGCAGCTGCACTGAAAGCTCTTATCCAAATTGCTGCGGATACAATCCAAATTGTATTTTTGGAACTTGTGGGAGTTCTCCTGCAGACTGAAATGACCTGGGTATATAGGAATAACCTGGTCTCTTAAGTAACCTAGTCCTTAGCTGTACATGGCTATATGTGTGGCTCAAGACCATACAGTGGAACCTCGGTTCCCGAACGCCTCCGTTGTCATACGTTTCGGTTCTCAAACGCCCAAAACCCAGAAGTAAATGCTTCCATTTTCAAATGTTTTTCGGAACCTGAACATGCGACGTGGGTTCTGCTGAGTGCAAGAACCTCTTGCAACCAATGAGAAGCCGCGCTTCGTTTTTTGAACGTTTCAGAACGTTTCTTCTGGAACAGATTTTGTTTGGGAACTGAGGTACCACTGTAATACATAAACTACCTTTCCCCATCTGCACCAACCCAGATCCTGTGATCATAATCTCAGCCCCTTCTTCATGTGCCTGCTCCATGAGATGTCTGGAGGGTGGCAACATGTGAATGGGCCTTTCCTATAGTGGCTCCCCATTCGTACAGTGCTCTCGCCAGGGAGGCTTGCCTACTGCTTTCATTACATATCTTTAGGCGCTAGGCAGAAATGTTCCTCTATAACCAGGCCTTTGTCTGATTAAAAAATCTGTGGCCTTTTTCAAAGTGTGGGAGTTTGATTCTTTAATTTTGCTTTTGCATTTTTATGCTGTAAGCCGTCCTGTAATCTTCAGATGAAGGGTTGTATATAAATTTAATCAAGAAAATACAGTAAATTATATGTTAGCTCCAGCATCGTGAACTTGGCTTAGTAGCAGATTGGGCAGCTAATGCAAATGCATAAGCTGGTGGTAGTTTGCCCCCAGAAGCAGCCTAGCTGCCATAATCTGAGCCAGCGGCGTGGACCAGACGTGTATGGAAAGAAGGAAATACAAAACCATGCAATGCAAGGTGAGAAGTGGACAAGCCAAATTGTTTTACTTCTTCTCTCACCAGCTCTTGCAGCGACCTTGGAAAGTGCTTTGAACGGCACTGCTCGTGCAACCGTGCATGCGATTACACTCCAGGAGGCTGCCGTGCAAGCTGTCAATCTTCATGCCCAGAAGTTAAGAGAGGCTATGGATAATTCTGAGGTGTGTGTGTTTGCTTAATTAATTACTTTAAAATGTGACGTAATTAAATACAGTGATGCCCCGCAAGACGAATGCCTCGCAAGACGAAAAACTCGCAAGACGAAAGGGTTTTCCGTTTTTTGAGCTGCTTCGCAAGACGAATTTCCCTATGGGCTTGCTTCGCAAGACGAAAACGTCTTGCAAGTTTGTTTCCTTTTTCTTAACACCGTTAATACAGTTGCGACTTGACTTTGAGGAGCAACTCATAGAACGCAGTGTACATAGTAGCGCTTTTTGAGGTTTTTAAAGACTCTGGTGATTTTTGAAGCTTTTCCAAAACTTCTTTTGCAGCCATTTGGTAAGTTAAGCTTTTAAAACTTTTTTGGGGGGTTTTGGATTTTGGGTTGGGGTGTTTGGATTTCAAGGACTTGGTGTTGGGGAGGGGTTTGCAAGAATCTGGAAGCTTGTGTGTTTTTTTCCTGCATTTTTATGATTTTCTGTGACCATTGGGCCACTCTGCTGTTTTTTTAAAAAAATTCTGGATTTGAATTTCTGTGTGCTGGGTGGCTGGGGGAACAGTTGGGGAGGGGTTTGCAAGAATCTGGAAGCTTGTGGGTTTTTTTCTGCATTTTTATGATTTTCTGTGACCATTGGGCCACTCTGCTGTTTTTTAAAAAAAATTCTGGGTTTGAATTTTGAAATGCTCTTTACAGTATGTGTGACTTTAAAGAGCACTTAATAAACTCGTGTTGTACCAAATTTGGCTTTGTTTGGACTTTTTTTGACCATAGGAACGCATTAATTGATTTTCAATGCATTCCTATGGGATTTCGTGCTTCGCAAGACAAAAAATTCGCTAGACGAAAAAATTCGCGGAACGAATTAATTTCGTCTTGCGAGGCACCACTGTAAATCCAAAGCTACTTGGCTTTCTAATAGGAAAGTGAGGTAAAGGTCATTGTTGTCATAGTTATTTGTAATATAGGAAAGGAATTTTGCCAGGACTTCACAAAAAAAGAACTGTGTGTGTGTGTGTGTGTGTGTGTGTGTGTGTGTGTGTTATTTAAGATCTGTATGAATCTGCCAGGATAAGTCATCCAGAGTTTTGGAATTGAGTATGATCTGTATGCAAGCTTCATCCAGCTCTCCTTTTCATTGGACCCAAGTGTAGTTGTGCAATGGGTAAACGGCTGGATGAAATCTGACCCCTCTTTGCCAAGATTGCTCACAAGAGACCTGTCATTCGCTTTACCATACCACTCGCCCTTCATGGGATTAGGAACATGACTGTCAGGAAGCCCTTATTTATTATTTAACCCTACTTTGCTGTTACTATGATGTTTCTCCATGGGACAACTGTTGCCAAGAGAAGGCTTTTCTTGATAGATATCTATAGATAGGTGTCAAGTTGTTTACTGGCAGGATTCCTATTATCCATGCTGCTACGATCACCCATGCTCCCTTCCTTCCTTTGTCCACTGTCTGACAATCCTGGGTATCTTCTGTCATCAACACTTGAGGATCCCCTCGTTATTTTGGTTCCAAGGACTGATGTTATGAGTAGTTCTTAATACTGTATTTGTGTCTTTATGTACCTTGATTAATACTAGCTTTTACTCAGTATAATGGCCTTCCACCTGGTGCTGATCCCAGCCTCCAGTCTGACTTTGCCTCAAGTGCCTCCATGACCACCTTCCAATGAAGGGTTTTTGGAAAACCTGCACAGTACCTGTGGGACATTAAGAACGTTCAACCTCAGGACTCTTGCTCTTATTTGCTTTAGTGCATCTTCACTGACAAGACCACAGCACCATCTGCAGATGAGCAGCATGTCTCATATGATGAGAATATGATGTTCTTAGAGAGAGAGAGAGAGAGAGAGAGAGGAAGATGGAGAGGTCTGGATCCATCACAGCTGCAGACATGACCTGGTGTCCTAGCCAGAATGATTGGTCTCAGCCATTAATGGATGTGGGTTCTAGTTAAGCCCTGCTGTCTTCCTATGACAGTTTTCTGTGATTATGATGGTTTCATTTTGATATTTTCATATAGTGCTGCCTTGGTTTACAACCATAATCTGTTCCGGAGATCTGGTTGTAAACCAAAATAGGTTGTAACCCAAGGTGCGCTTTCACCAATGGGGCCTCCCAAAAAAATGGGTTGTAATTTAAAAAAAAAAGGGGTTGTAATCCAAAAAAAGGGACACACACTTCCGGGTTTGACGTGGTTGTAATCCAAAGTGGTTGCAAACCAAGGTACCACTGTACTTGGTTTCTTCAACTATATCTGAGAAGGTGACTCTCATGATAACTGGAAATTTTTACTCACTGATGGATGGATGGAGTTACCTGTTTCTGTATATACTGCTTCATCAGAGCATGATGTAGGTCTGATCTTCCTTTTCTGCTGCTTGTGTTACATCGTGCAGACTTATTGTCTGCTTCTGTAGAGAAACGTTTGTAAAAATACATGTTGCACAACAAATTTGATGGCAAACTAATCATTTTCCATGTTCTTTGTAAACGTGTAGAATTTATCAGCTGAGGAGGCATCTGATAGATTTTTGGCAACTTGTGTATGTGTGTGCTGATTTCTAACAAGCAGTTTATTACCTGAGAGATTGAGGATGATTGTGCATTTTGCTAGGTTCCAAGTGATAAAAAGGCAACTCAGTGGAGGACATTGGAGGAAGCGTTGAAGGATCGTAGAAGAGCTGTGGATGAAGCTGCAGATGTCCTTTTAAAAGCCAAGTAAGAGTTCTTAGCTTCAGCAGTAATCCGGTAGAAAGCAAACAATGGGATTTTATGAAATTAAGATGATAAAAATAATAATAAAATGTTTAAATGTGACTAATAGAGCCTAATATGGGGCTACGCACGTAAAATAGCTTTTTATGCAGACATCAAGCTTGATGTTCAGTGGTTAGGAATGGTAGGCTCAGCCCTCATCCCAAAATCACTCCCAAACATGCCATGGACTGACAGATTTTATATTTCACGTTTTTCTTTTAACAGACAGTGAATATTAATATAGCTAATTGGTGGCTTCTGATTCTGTTTAGAGAAGAATTGGAGAAAACGAAGGAAGTGATTGATGGTGCCAAGAAGTCTCAGATTCCTGGGGCCAAGCCTCACATCCAAGCTGCAGAAGAGAACCTTCGTCATATGATTGTTGATCTGGACAATGTGGTCAAAAAGGTAAACTTTGGCCAAATTAGCTTTAATGATTTCCAATTGGATGCTTATGAATATCCAGTTGGATGCTTATGAATATGATTTCCAGTTGGATATTTATTCACATTATGAATATAACAGAGCACTTGAGTACTTGTGAGATTGTCTTTGGGATACCAGAGTATCTGAGAACTAACCACATCTTCTAAACTGTTGTATTTGAACCATAAGGAAGTAGAGAGTGGTGAAAAAGTCTTATGACTTTTTTACGTTGGCAGAATCTGTGATATGAGTTGTACAGGGCTTGAGGCAATGATAGTCATTGGGTACAGCCAGTGCTCCCCCCCCCCCCAAAAAATGTTTGGGGTACTCTCATTTTCCTACTCATATTGAAATACTGCCCCTCAATGAGGCCAAACTTAGATTCACAAAATGTTTAGGGGTATGTGTCCTCCCAGAAAAAAAACACTGGGTACAGCACATAAAAGCACGGCTATACTCAGAGATGGCACTATGCTGCTTTTTCTTGACCTCGAGCCTAAGATTCAGGGAATCTTTTTGAGTACAGGCAACCTCCCATTTACGCATGTTCAATATGTGCGCAACTGTGCACACACGTATTGCGCCAAATTTGGAAGCGACTCCAAAAGGGGCGTGGTGGGGGCAGAACAGGGTGTTTGCAGAATTTTTCAATTATATTTCATATATACGCAATTTCACTTGAATGTGTGGTGCCTTGGAATTAAACTTCTGGATAAATTGGGAGTTACCTGTATTTGCTCAGCTCTTTGTCATTCTCCTTAAGATATTTCAAAATCAATGTTGTGGGCTGTGGCTTTTACAGCTGGTTGCTAATGTGATCTGGCACAGTAGCTCTCTGTGCATGTCTCTCTTAAGCTTCTGGAAACTGGAGAGACTACATCTCTTTTTAGAACTGCTCTTTGTGATTTAACTTAGTAAGCTTGTTCAGGTAATCTGTTTATTAAGCTGAGAACAGCACAAGCCTTTTGCCTGTGCATGGAGCCGCTTTGCTCCTTCCTCTGCACCAAACAAGTACGAAGCCTCTAATTAACCGTAACCCCCCATTCACCCAAATTGGAAAACTATGGTTACCAGCTTTGGAAGAAGCTAATAATAAACCTTAGTTGAATATCCTGGCTTGTTCAGAAGCCAGTTAATCATTGTTTCCTGGTTTGGATGAAATGGGAAAATGTGGCTAATTTTGGATTTCCTGGTATTTTCACTGCCAAAGTATGCAGGCAAGACTTCTGCCAATTTTGTTTTAGCTGCTCTTATTTTGTAACTTTTTAAAAATGTGTTTTGGTTCTGATTTTTGTAATGTACCAAACAGAGTAAAAATGTTTAAACCAATGAACCAGTTAGTGGCTGTGCAGTAATTCAATGTCCCTGTTCCTTATCTCCTCTGTCTTCAAGAGGGATAACATGTCTGCCTGTATAGGCTTTCTGTTGAAATGTGATTCCTCTGCCTTTCTTTTATTAGATTCTGTATGCAATGCAAATGTAGTTGTCGTAGTTTAGGTCTTTCAAGTTAGAAAATATCAAATATTTTGTTTCTGCTCTGAACATTAAGTACATTCAGATGAACTACCCCTCCCTGCTTTAACTACATGTATGTACAGTTAGACCTTTGCCCTCATTTCCAGCTGAATATATAATGCAGTGACTTCTGGTATCTGCAAAGAGTGGTTAATGAATTGGGATGACTATTAGACTATTATTTCATTTTTAATCTTCATGGTGTTGCCAGCTATAAATATTTGCAGTGCCTGCCTTAAGAATTTTTTTCTTTTCTCTGTTTATTCCTTAGGTTCAAGCAGCCCAGTCAGAAGCTAAGATAGTAACTCAGTACCATGAACTTGTAACCAAAGCAAGAGAAGAATTTCAGAAAGAGCTTGATAGTGTTACTCCAGAAGTTCAGTCTGGTTGGAAGGGACTAAGTAAGTAATATGTTTAGTTGTGGTCCTGACCATCTCTACTGGTACGCCAAAGTTTAGAGCACTAAATAAAACTTTCATTGATTTCCCAATTTGGCCCAGGAGCCCATTCCTCACAAAGCACACCTAACATAATATGTGATATCAGGTGTGGGGCAGGTACAAGACAGTTACAAAGGAACAATTAGGAACTTAAAGGGAGCTCTTGATTGTTCCTTTGCAAGCAGGGCTCTCTTGTCACTTTGATCAACTATATTATAGTGGTCCTTGTTTGGGAACTTACGGGTTTGGTGCACAGTCACACATATATTGGGCATGGCTAAAACGTTTGCCGCCTTATATATTTGAGCTTTCAATAAGCAGAGGGGGTTAGGGTCAAAAATTAAAATGGGTGGAAAGCTAAAAGCATTTAAAAACCACAAATTAGAAGTAAAAGAAAAAGTGTGTTTGTTAACCTAGATAAAGTCTGATTGTTTTACAGAAAAAAGGGAGGCGGGATGTACATTTCCTTAATAAATAGAACATATTGCTGTTGGAACAGTAGTTATGAGAGTTTGTTTCCGTCACTCTGCTCTCATCTAAGTATTTAATAGAAAGGGTAAAGGAATAACAGATAAACTATGGCTGAATAACACATTTGAAGGGAGTGTGTGCCTGTGCTCTCAGTTTATCTGAACTGGGGACACTAAGTTGTACCTTCTCAGAGGGGAGTATAATAATATTTTTAAGGTGGATATCAGCATGCACACTCTAGCACTGTTTGCACTTTTAAAAAAGTGCATGAAACCTGGGCTTTTTGAGTTTGGTGGGGTCTAATAAAGCTTTTCTGAAGGACAGAAAATCTTTTGAGGGGGGGAAACACCAGGCGCCCTTCACCCTCTCCAATTAATGGCTGTAATTAGCTTAGATCATTGTAAGCCTCCACACTTCAGCATGGCCCAGATGGTTTTATAAAATGAACCATTCCATGCTGTAAAGGTAAAGGGACCCCTGACCATTAGGTCCATTCGTGACCGACTGGGGTTGTGGCGCTCATCTCGCTTTATTGGCCAAGGCAGCTGGCGTACAGCTTCCGGGTCATGTGGCCAGCATGACTAAGCCGCTTCTGGCGAACCAGAGCAGCGCACGGAAACGCCGTTTACCTTCCCGCTGGAGCGGTACTTATTTATCTACTTGCACTTTGACGTGCTTTCGAACTGCTAGGTTGGCAGGAGCAGGGACCGAGCAACGGGAGCTCACCCCGTCACGGGGATTCGAACCGCTGACCTTCTGATCGGCAAGTCCTAGGCTCTGGTTTAACCCACAGCGCCACCCGCGTCCCTTTTTTGAAAGTCCCTTTTTTGAAGGTCCATGCTGTACTTTCAAGTATATCCTTTATTAATGATTGAATTGTCTGCTTGCACCTGTGCTCTTCCACTCCTGCATGCTTCTAACAGCTCGTTGATCTGCTTCTGTGGACATGCTTTAATTTTTCCAAACCTTCATTTTCTCTTGCAGAGATAACTGATATCGGTGAGTTCTTTTCTCATTTCTGCTTTCTGTAAACGCTGTGTGTCTTGTGCATTTCTTCTTGGGAATGGGATGGCAAGTACATGTATCCATGTTGCTTCAGTTGTTTGGATTTTTACTTCTAAGAGTAACTAGAGGCTCTGTTTTGGTGTGTAACTAAAAAGAAGATGATCTGTTTTGACAGTCACAAGGCTGTGAGTGTAGATAATCATCAGTGCACCTGTAGTCATATGTGATGTTGACATGAGTAAAATCCCCTAAGCTGTCTGCAGATAACTGTTTTACAGATGGCTGGAATGTAGAACGTAAAAAACGGTCACTGTTAGACCTGTGCCACTAACCTTCATTCCCTTTGAGAAAATCTACTCTAGCAGAAGAGTCAGCTGTTAAAGTCCCAAGAGCAAAACATTGGTTTCTGCTTACACCAACCCCTCTGTAGACTAAGCAAATTGACCAGTGGGGAGCATGTTGCAGTAAATGCCCATCTTGTATATCATGCATGCACATACTACACAAATACTATGCATCGGGTGGTTCATGCTTTTCAAAGTTAAGTTATAGCTGACACTGGAGAGAGATAAACTAGATACTTGGGATAAACTAGATACTTGTGTGCTGTAAGAACCTCTAATATCAAACCAGTTTCAACATGAATGCTTTTGCCGGCAGACTTCATCCTTTATATTCAGCCCAAAATATTTGCTGCAGTATTCTTTGCAGCTATTCCAGTGTTTCATTTGGCTCTGTGAGAAATAAAAGTACAGTACACAAATTTACTTCTTAACATTATTGTTTTAACGGTAGTTGGTTGACTCCATGAGACCATTCAGAAATCCCTGATTTAAGCTCCCTCCTCCAATGCAATTTTTGTCTTTCTTTTTCACATGAATCCACAAAGCTCACTGTATATGCTATGTTTTTTTGTTTTGTTTTGCTTGAGATGATCTTTGGGTAAGAAAATACACTTGAAAAGTATATTTTTGCTTTTATCTGGTTAGGTCTCTGGGCATGACTTTTTTTCCTCCTTTCATTTAATACTAGTCCCAGGCCCCAAAAGGTATCCTGAAATTTTAGACTCAGCACAGATGACATCCTGCTTCTAGGTATAAGAACTATAACGAGAGAAGCTTAATTTGGTGAACATTTTCTTTGAAAAGCACAGAAACCCCTCTTGGGTTTCATACCCAGCAGCTTTCTTTTGAATGAACAGCATTATCCCGTGTTCTGAACCAAGGGGGAATAAGCAGTCATATTTGACCAGTCACATCAGTTTAAAATTACCTGCTTTGCTCATGCAGATAATTAGATTATAAAGGTCTGATGTCCTTTTTACAGTTTGCTGTATCTAACCGTCTTCTCTCTTCAGCTGGCAAGCTGACAACAGACGACTTGAACTCTCTCATTGCTCATGCTCACCGACGTATAGACCAACTCAACAAGGAGCTGGTGGAGTTGAGAGTCCGAGAACAGCAGCACATTGAGACAGCCCTGGAAAAGCAGAAACTGGAAGATAAAAAAGCTTTTGAGTCAGCAGTGGCAAAGGCACTAGAACGTCATAAGAGTGAAATCCAAAGTGAACAGGAAAAGAAGGTAAGCACTGTGCTTATTTTTCAGTCTTGTCATGAACATTCTCTGTGCATGTATGCATGCAGCTGCTGCACACACATTTTTAGTCGTTTCAAAGGGAAGAACACAGAATGTTAATTCTGCTGAGTAATATGAGCAGATCTCTGTACAGCTTTGTACACTGTGGATCTGGTTCTCGATAGGTTTTTAGTACATACTTTCAGTTACTCGGTTGCACTGCCCAGGGACCCACCTTAGACACAAGATCCATCTACCAGCAGACACAGTCAAAGGAAGCATTTGGACCAATTAATAAGTGGAACTGGCTGCAGCAACTGAGACAGCTAAGCAGTTGCTGTGATGCGAGGAGTTCAGAAATAAGGTGCAGTTCCTGGCAAATTTATGGGAAAAGGCCATTCTCTGTGCATCATCAAACCAGTATGACCATGCACCCATCTAAAAACTCTTTTTTAACTGTCTTCTTCAGTCACTAATAAGTCTTGTAAAAATCCTGAAAAAGCTGCTCCTTTAAGAAAATAATGTACCTGCATTTTATTGTAAAAGAAGGAAACATAAGAAAGTGCTCAACAGGTTTCTTTGTATGCACTCCCTTGAACCTCCCCAGCGTATTCACAATGAGACACCTTTTTTACCTTTTGCAACTTTTTAAATTAGACTTCAGAGGACAGATTCATTTTAAGCCTGTTTTGCTTTCAAAAGCACTCTTAGCTCTTTTTAAAGATGGGGAAGGCAGTCAGAAATTTCAGAACGGTTGTTGTGGCGACAAATTCAGCAATGTATTAGTTCACGTGACACAGCACTGTTTACCAGGGTTTTGTAGATCTCTTAGGGAATAGGTCCCATTTCTTAGATAAAATTGCGTCTTTGTCCAGTGGCTCAGGTGTGGGTATCTGTTCCTGTAAAATCAGCTAATTACATGGGTCCCTAATAGGCTACAAAGTGGTGACTGCTAGTGACTTTTTGGCAGGTTGAAGAAGCCAGAGAAGTAATGGAGACTGAAATGAGGACTCAGCTCCGCCGGCAGGCTGCTGCACATGCTGATCACTTGAGAGATGTGCTCAAAATCCAAGAGCAAGAACTCAAGCTGCAATTTGACCAGGTGGGGTTTGTGATATGATTGTGAAGGGTCCGTTGGCTTTGAGTGCAGCGTTTTGCTTCACTATAGTCTCAAAAGACTTGCCTTTTTAATGCATTTTTAATCTTTTGTTGGAAGCTGCCCAGAGTGGCTGGGGAAACCCAGCCAGATGGGCAGGGTATAAATAATAATAATAATAATAATAATAATAATAGCCTTCTTAAAATCTTGATCCCAGCCATGATAATGCAGAAGTGCCATTGATCTAAGCTGAAGTTGTTTCTATGTAAGTGCTCAAGACTGTGCATTTGTGGATTCATTTCCGCTGACCTCAGCAAACACATGATTTAATTGCAAGTATATGTGGGACAATATGTTTTATTACATACTCGATGTCCTAAATCCGATTCCAGGCACAAAGGTGGCAAAAATTATTTGTTGTAGCGTGGCTTTTTCTTTTCTCCATCAGGACAGGCTCTATCATAAATCATTTTAAATATTAATGGAAATAAGACGGTTTTTTGATGCTACAAAGTACACTGCCCCGCTCAAATAGGCACTAAAAATCTGACATCTTTAGAAATGGTTCTTAAGAAGATGATCGCTGGTGTAGCAGCGTTCGAAGCTCCCATTGTTCTAGGCGTGTTTTGCGACAGGGAATTTCATTAAAAATGAGCAGTTTCTGAGCTCCGGGCACAGTACTGCACTTAATATTTCAGAAAACTGCCACTGATGGAAGTAAAGAGGACCTTTTTCTGCCTCCTCTTCCAGCCACTCTCTGAAAACTGGAGAAGGGACCCTCATAATAATATTAAGGGGGCGGGCAGTGGAAGTATGTTTTTTGCAGTCTTACAATGAGAACTAGACCATGTGAAAAATGAACATAAGATTTTAGCTGCAGTTCATTCATTTTCAGCTTTGTATTGTTATAAAAGAGTGCACCTAGACACTCCATTGTGGCGCCCATAACCTAGGTTTAAGGTGCTGTTTAGCTCCTAGCTTTCACATCTCAGTTTCTAACACTGTGGTGTACTCGCCTTGGGAAGATGATAGTGTTCATGAAAGCTTATTTTGATACTGTGTTTGGTTTCAGGACTTGTCGGAAAAACTCAGTGAACAAGAAATGCAGTATAAACGCCTTACTCAGGAACAGCTTGACAATTTCACTCTGGACATCAACACAGCCTATGCCAGGCTGAGGGGAATTGAGCAGGCCGTTGAAAGTGAGTATGGGAAATCTGACAGGAGTGTGCTGTCTGGCTAATTTCGTTTTCTGATTGAGTAACCCTGATCTAGGGACGCGGGTGGCGCTGTGGGTTAAACCACAGAGCCTAGGACTTGCCGATCAGAAGGTCGGCGGTTTGAATCCCCAAGACGCGGTGAGCTTCCGTTGCTCGGTCTCTGCTCCTGCCAACCTAGCAGTTCGAAAACACGTCAAAGTGCAAGTAGATAAATAGGTATCGTTCCTGCGGGAAGGTAAACGGCGTTTCCGTGCACTGCTCTGGTTCGCCAGAAGCAGCTTAGTCATGCTGGCTACATGACCCGTAAGCTGTACACCGGCTCCCTTGGCCAGTAAAGCGAGATGAGCGCCGCAACCCCAGAGTCGGCCACGACTGGACCTAATGGTCAGGGGTCCCTTTACCCTTTACCTTTAACCCTGATCTATCATACTAGCTCCAAGCATGCCAATACGCCCTGGAACCTGGTGTGGTTGGTTGGAATGGTGAGAGGCAGTCCCTGCAGCTGATCTCTTTGTCATGCACAAAGAGGCAGATGCTACCACTTGCACGGATTGTGGGAACAAATTGTGATCTCCCTCTGCTTCATGTGCGGCTCTCTGCTCCTGATGGTATTCAACTACAGTGGTACCTCGGGTTAAGAACTTAATTCGTTCTGGAGGTCCGTTCTTAACCTGAAACTGTTCTTAACTTGATGTGCCACTTTAGCTAATGGGGCCTCCCGCCGTGCCGCCACGCAGTTTCTGTTCTAATCCTGAAGCAAAGTTCTTAACCCGAGGTACTATTTCTGGGTTAGTGGAGTCTGTAACCAGAAGCGTCTGTAACCCGAGGTACGGTAGTACCATTAAATTATTAAATTCAGAATATATACAGTGGTACCTCGGGTTACATACGCTTCAGGTTGCAGACGATGAGAACAGAAATCGCGCGGCGGTGCAGCGGCAGCAGGAGGCCCCATTAGCTAAAGTGGTACCTCAGGTTAAGAACAGTTTCAGGTTACGAATGGACCTCCAGAACGAATTAAGTTCTTAACCAGAGGTACCACTGTATATTTTACTGAATACACCAATGACCTTATTGGACCTAACTTATTAATTTCAGAGAGTCTGCTCCACACCAAAATTCTGGCATGACCCTTTGTGAATTGGGAGCGGGTTGAAGGACTTTGCAACGATGTGATACACTCAAGCTGAAAATGCTAGACCCGGATAACTCTGGTTCTTTTCCATCGTATGTGATGTATTTAGAGGAGGCTTCAAGAGTTAATCTCCAGCCACTAAAGAGAGAATTGCCAGACCAAATCAGCAGATGCTCAGGCACACTTTCCCCCCTCTTCTCTATGACAGAATGTGGCGGGAAGGTGCTTCCCTTCTGTAGATAACATCCAGAGGTCAACTTGGAAAGGCCAGATATCAGTAGATGCTTTGCTTGCTCCTGCAGGCTGCCAAATGACCAGTCTGCACAGCAGGATTTGCCAACCTGGTTCCCCCAGGCTTTGGACTAGAACTCCCATCAGCCAGACAGGTTGGCGGAGCCTGCTATACATAAACAGCTTTAAGCAAACTAAGGCCCACCTTAATTTGAGAGCTGGTGCAGTGCATGGGATATGAAATTTGAGTCGTGATGTCACTGGCTCAGGTGTATCCTGTTGCAAGCCATCATTCTGTCCGAGCCATGCACTGAAGTACAGTGGTACCTCGGGTTACATACGCTTCAGGTTACAGATTCCGCTAACCCAGAAATAGTGCTTCAGGTTAAGAACTTTGCTTCAGGATGAGAACAGAAATTGTGCTCCGGCGGTGTGGCGGCAGCGGGAGGCCCCATTAGCTAAAGTGGTGCTTCAGGTTAAGAACGGACCTCCAGAACGAATTAAGTACTTAACCCGAGGTACCACTGTACTGATCTCACCCTACGAAGCTACTTCTGTTGGGGTTCTTGAGCTAATGTCTGAGCCACTTAATCGCTCTTTAAAAGTGGACTTGCTGTTAAGCCACTGTGGGATTTTATGTTACAGGCCATGCTGTTGCTGAGGAGGAAGCCAGGAAGGCCCATCAGCTGTGGCTTTCGGTTGAAGCTCTGAAGCAAAGTATGAAAACTGCTTCTGGAGACAGTCCCACTGAGCCCCTGGAGAGTGCAGTAGAAGCCATCCAGACCAGCTGTTCTGACAACACGTTCACCCAGGCCTTAACAGCTGCACTTCCACGGGAATCGCTCAGTCGAGGAGTGTACACGGAAGAGGCACTAAGGGCACGCTTCCACACTGTCGAAAAGCTGGCGAAGAGGGTGGCCTTGATAGACGAAACGAGAAACAGCTTGTATCAATACTTCCTCTCTTACCTCCAATCCCTTCTCCTCATGCACCCTCAGCAGCTGAAGCCGCCTTCTGAGCTAGGCCCCGAAGACCTGGACACATTTAAGTTGCTCTCTTACGCATCCTATTGCATCGAACATGGAGACCTGGAGCTGGCAGCTAAGTTTGTCAATCAGTTGAAAGGGGAATCCAGGAGAGTGGCTCAGGACTGGCTGAATGAAGCTCGGATGACGCTAGAGGCAAAGCAAGTGGTGGATATCCTGACTGCCTATGCCACTGCTGTGGGTTTAGGAACCACTCAGGTGGACTGATGCAGATGAGCTATGCAAGGCTACCGTGTCTTCAGAACCACACAAATGCAAGATTCGTTAACAGTGCCGGGGAGGAAACCAAAGGTTTAGATCTAGGAGGTTTTGAAACCGTACCAGAGTTGTGATGTCACTTGGCAAGACGTGGTGTTCTGTCTCTAGTTTTCTTCTCACTTAGCACCGGTTGCATTTGTATCTCCCCTCCCCCCCTCAGCCATTTATCATGTCTGGAATGTTTTTTTTGCAACTTGCATAACAAAAATTTATGTTTCCAGGTAACTGATCAGGCTTGTGAGCCAACCAAAATAATGTTTATAACCTCTATTACTGATTCACCCACTTGGTGCACTTAAATAAATGGTGTTAAACCCACCATCTTGCTTTTCCTCCCCCCATTTCTGCTTAGATAAGTAATATCCTGAAAGAAAATAGTTGCTCTTAGGATGTTTACTGGGTTGGTCTACTCCTTATAACTCTAATAAGGTGGAATAATGAGGACTCTGAATTCTGAAGTTCTCAGGCGTGCAGGAAATGTCAACTTCTGGACAAAGTACTGTGAATAGATACTTTGAAGTGTGTAGTCAATCCTTGTTGAAAGGATTAAGATTCCTGATAAGGTCAGCAACTTTTGATTTCTTTTCTACCTAATGTAAATATTGCTCTGGGATAACTTGTCAGATACATCTTTTAAGGGTAGCATGCCAGAGCATGGTGCAAATGATGCTATTGAGCACCTCCCCAATAAGGAAAGGTTACATTAGAGGCTCTTTTTTTTGTTTAAACAGGCATGATAGAGGTTATACTGGGTGTAGAAAAAATACGGTTGACTTGCAGAGTGCACAGGGGTTACACTCCAGGAACTATGTGCATAACCAAAATCACATATAGTCAAAAGCAGCCCTGGAACTGCCCCCATGTGAGCATCTCTACATTTTTGAAGCTGATGCACTGAGCAGACCTCGCCCCCCAAGATCTTGCTTACTGGGCGCTGGGAGACTCCTGTGAGATCCCAGTGCGGAAAGTGCTTTTGCACCTTGCAAGTGTTAGCTTTGTGCAATTTCAGCTGGTGGCTGGCCACCAAGATTGTAAAGATCATGCAAGTTAAATGCATGTTAAGTTGCAAGTCAACTAGTTTATTTTTACCCTCTTCATCTTATGAAGCTGAACGGTGGGAAATTGAGAACACATGTACTATTTCACACAGCACATAAGTTATCAAATTAGACAGATTCATTAAGGATAAGGCTATTAATGGCTATGCACTACCTCCTTTAGCAGAGACCACATGCCTCTGAAATCCAGTTCTTGGGACACACAAGCTGGGAGGTGCTCTTTGTCTTGTTTGTGACTTTCCATAAGCAACAGACTGGCCACCGAGAAATTGGGACTAGATTTGGTCAGATGCGGCACGATTCTTCAGCGTGGCCCAGGAGCTATCCCCTTCCCAACAATGGCCGGGGCCTGCAGGGAGATGCTTCATGAATTGAACATTAGAACATAGGGGCTGGAAAAATACCGAGGGACACCCCCCAAAAAAAAGGACAGACAAAAGAACAAGGGGGGGAAATACTAGAATAAAAGTGGAAAAGGCAAGGAAAATAGCAAATTAAAACCAGAGCACAAGTCAGATCGAAGACAGCAACATTCCCATCTCCTTTGGGCAGGCGACTAAAGAAGCAGGAGGAAGCCTATACAGATTTCCAAGACGTGTCCCCACCTTGAGTAAACTGGAGCACAAAACCCTGGATGTCTCAGACACCAGCCTGAGAATCCCCACCAGGTACATACTGCCGCATATTCTCTCAAGATCATAATCACAAATAGGAAGCAAGAAAACTATTACGCTTTATTTTTAACCATTTTGGTGGAGGCAACGGAATGACTGTCTTTTTGCTCTGCTCCTCTGTTGCAGGTAGGAAATTCTAGCTTTCCAGAGTAAGGTGACATGCAAAGGGGACAAGTCTCTCCAACACAGGACATGCCCAAGTACAGATTAGGCAGCAGTCAGGACAGTGAATGTAAAACTAGCAACCAGGCAAAGTCCAGTATAGCCATTTTGACTGCCACATGCCAGATCAGAGGCATCCCTTTTTTCAGGAAACAGAAAGGGGTCCCTTCCTGGCATCTATTCACCATCACTGTTGTCGCTGCTTTCTGCTGTCATATCAGCCAGAACTTTCCTGTAAGGAAAAAAGTACAGAGCTCAGAGATAAAATTGTTAAGTGGGTATTATAAAGCCCCATCAAATTACTGGCACAACCCTCCTGTTGCTGGCAGAGCTGTGTCTGATTAAAAATGGTTAGAGGCAGGAGCAATGTAAGAGGCAGTTGGGAGTGAAGACTGGACATTGCTTTGAACTCAAAAGTGTTCATCCACAGTTCACCCATTTCCCGAAGCTCACCTTTGCTCTTCGGAGAGCTGAAATTCTTCCAGAGCTCTCCTGGCAAGCTTTGAAGTTGATTGTAAGCTGAAGTCTGCAGCAAACTTTACCAGGTCAAGGGCCTGACTTGGCTCTTTGCTTTGCTTAATGCAATTCAAGACTTCATCCATCACCAAATCACTGCATGAGAGAGAGAGAAAGAAGCATGGATGCTCCAATGGTATTCATGGTAAGGCTGCATTTAACACACTATTCTATTCCCAAAACTATAATCTTAACTAGTGGGGGGGGGGGGGATAAAATTTCAAAATGGTTTCTGACCCAGGGACTTCAGCCAAGTTTTTTTCATTTATTTCTTGACTTATTTATATGCAAGTACCATTTGCTAACAGTACCAAATGTATCCCTTTGCTGTCACCCCAAAGACAAGCCCCATATGCAAGCAGAGGTTTGGTCTATCCAACCAAACAAAATGAAACCTTCCTTTCTTAAGAAGCTCTGTATGAAAGCAGGGACAAAGATTATACAGCAGATCTGCTGGCAGGAACTCACAGCTTGAGTTACGGTACCCTTGCATGAAAATATCGCTCATATAGTGCTAAGACATTCTTGCTTCAGCGCTAAGATGTTTTGGACTATGCTAATGGGAGCTGGTAGTCCAGAAGGACTTGAAGGCACCAGATTTAGAGAAAGCCAAGATCAAGGCTACAAAAACCCTAGGCATGAGGAAGTGGTTGTGGTTAGAAGAGCAGCAACAGTACATAATGGAATTTAGCTCTTTGTGCAGAAGGTGTTGGGACAGGAGTCTACTCCAGCTTTCACTCCCCTATGTACAGGGATTCTTAAATTCTTTTACACTTAAGTACTGGAAAGGAGAGCTCACCAAATGTGCAATGTTTCAGATCCAAATATGTCTCTGCCTATCAGGTTTCATGGTATTTAGGGGCAGATGCTAATCAAGCTGCAACATACAATTCTTAGTAGACACGTCAATTGCTGTTTTCACTTTCAGTTTGCACCACAAGCATACCAGGCAGTCAACGTAACACAAGCAACGTGTAAGAAATAAGGAAATGTGATGCTGCAGCAGCTGCAAACACCTCGTTATAGTATGCTTGTGAACATAACCCAAGTCAGGAGAGCCCTTGGTGGGGTTTGTCCTCCACATGTGGCGGAGCCCAGCAGAAAGCACCATTCGGAGTTGCGGAAAGAGTTAACTAAGGGATAAAAGGGGCTGGGTATTTTTAGATCTATTTGTGGGGCAGAAATAATGAAAAGGAAGAGGGACAGATTTAAAGTATCCCCTATCTCTTTTATACGGTAAACAACAGGGGCATTGGGGCAGTAAATGAACTTACCTGGGGATTCGATTGTGTTTCTTAAACAGCTCCAGCATGTTCCTATTTGGAGAGAAAAGTTCTGAATTGCACTGATTTTTTGAAAAGTTCTGTTCTTAATTAAGGAGGGGATACGAACTGTTTCAGTCCTTAGATCAGACCTAACCCATTTCTCATCAACCCCTTCTGCAAAAAATGCATTTGGTCAAAAAGGAACTATGCCTGTGAAACAAGTTCTGAACCTAGGAAGGTACTAATGCCCTTTTCAATTGTACACATCTTGAATTTAGCACTCAAGTCAAAAGAATGCAAAAGTCATGTTACTAAAGTAAAACATGATGCATTGAAGGTCCCTTCAATGTATGCAACATCCTTTTAAGTACTGAATCACATGGGTGGCCATGGCTTTCCCAAAATGGCCTAATATGTGTAAATAAACCATATGTCATAAAGACACTGCAGTCCCCGCTGTGCCTAACTGTTCAAAAGGAAACACAAGCGTCTCAAACTCCCTGGTATCTTTTCACCGCTCTGCAGATTTTGGGAGGTGGCAAAATCCAAGTTACCCAAGTTACAGACAAATTCTCAAGCTTGCAAAACTGTTACATTAGTCATATATTTCTAAACCAAAACAAAAAGCATTTAAACTACCTGTGACATACTTCCTGATTAATTTTTGTAGGGAAGATCAAGGCAGTTAACACATGAATGTCACTGGAGTTAAATATTAACTGAAACCTGAAATATGATACAAATAAGCTTACAAATGTTACATTGGTCACCAGTGAATTACCCTTGCTTTACTTACCAGGCTTCCTGCATTCGCCCAGCCCTGGCAAACAATATAGTACAATTACCCAGTGAAGTGGCTGTCCATTCTAGGGTTGTTTGTCTCCTTTCCTGTGCCTCACAGAAAGATTTTATATCTGCAGCACAGTCAGCAAATGCTACTCGAGTCTGAAAAATATTAGACAAACCAAAATGTTTAAGCTCACAAAAGCAGAGGACGCTACACAAGCATTTTTCTATACTGTAGCTTTTAGAAACCGACGCATCCAAGTAAATTCACTTTTTACCTAATGAATAAGTAGGGGGAAAGTTCTAAAAGTACTGGGAACACTGCAGAAAACATCTTCCCATTAAGCTTTTAGCAATAGTGACTAGCCGAGAGAAGCTACTGAAATGTACCAATGGTATATTGAAATATATCCAGAGTTGCATTTCTCCCAGACTCTGTGGTAAAAACCCACCTTTTTTGCTGGGCTTTTAGTAGCTGATAGGCTGAGTAACTTCACCGTTTTTACTCAAGCTACTCATGCAATTTATAAGAACAGTTTTAATGCTTTTATTTTGTAGTATGTTTCAATACAGTGGTACCTTGGGTTACATATGCTTCAGGTTACATACACCTCAGGTTACAGACTCCACTAACCCAGAAATAGTACCTCAGGTTAAGAACTTTGCTTCAGGATGAGAACAGAAATCGTGCTCCGGAAGCGGTGGCAGCAGGAGGCCCCATTAGCTAAAGTGGTGCTTCAGGTTAAGAACAGTTTGAGGTTAAGAACGGACCTCCGGAACGAATTAAGTATTTAACCCGAGGTACCACTGTATTACAATATGCTATTGTAAATTACGCTGTGACTATTGTTGGTCCAGATGAACCAACTCTCCACACCGCAAGAGCCTCACCTAGACTCACCTCTGGAGGCTGCGTATCTCTGGCCATGAGGGCCAGAACCTCTTCTGTCATAGCAGGTCTGCGGCCATGTCCAAGCTGCTTGATATCTGTGCAGGGGTAGGGTAAAAGGCAATCAGAAATGAAGCCACGCAAAGCGGCTTCCTGCCCATCAATCCCAGTGGTTTGGCTGTAGGCCACATTTTTAAACTCCTATTATTCTAGCAGTATTTGCATCCCGCTCTAATAACAGAGAGCAGATGAACTTTAGCAATAAGCTAATGGTAAATTTTGAAGGTAAAGGTAAAGGGACCTCTGACCATTAGGTCCAGTCATGACCGACTCTGGGGTTGCGGCGCTCATCTCGCTTTATTGGCCGAGGGAGCCGGTGTACAGCTTCCGGGGTATGTGGCCAGCATGACTAAGCTGCTTCTGGCGAACCAGAGCAGCGCACGGAAACGCCATTTACCTTCCCACCGGAGCGGTACCTATTTATCTACTTGCACTGGCGTGCTTTCGAACTGCTAGGTTGGCAGGAGCAGGGACTGAGCAACGGGAGCTCACCCCGTCACGGGGATTCGAACCGCCAACCTTCTGATCGGCAAGTCCTAGGGTTTGTGGTTTAACCCACAGCGCCACCCGCGTCCCATAATGGGAAATTTTGAAACTACCACCCAACTCATCTGAAAGTGCAGCAGCATCTGGGAGCAGGGATTTTTCTTTTCTTTTACATTACTATGCACAGTGTGGATAGAAATGTAGAAGTAATCCTTTTCGCTGCAAAAAATGTGATTGGAATTATCTTAAGGAGAAGCAAAGGGGATAACTTCCCCTCATCAGGCTGGTGACACCAAACAGTGGCTCTCATCGTTTCAGATCTTCAAAGTTTGGTGACTCTAGAAAAGTTAAAACCAACTAATGTATATTGAAATAAATAGAACACAAAAAAGTATTAACCTTTCCAAATCTGGGGAATCATTTCCAAATGGTTCGCTGTGTCCAATGCATAAAGAAGATCCAGCATCCCTTGAGAGTTTGGGTAAAACATCTGATGAAACAAGCAAAATATTTTGGTCCACTGCAGTTTCAACATAAAAAAAAAAAAAGCTGTAAAGTCAACACACTAATACTTACTGATGGGACCATTTCTTTATACCACTTCATTACAACGTCAAGCTGTTCCATCATGCACAGCAAGGTAAAAAACCTTCCACTGTAGTGAGAGGAGAAAAATAAAATAAGCAAAATCCCAGCACAACTTGAGATTTCAAAAGCTTATAATACAGGATATGTAACAACCTCAACACTTAATATTAAGCTTATGTGGTTTGCCTATCCAAGTTAAAACGGGCCGCTCATATAACCTGAACTATTCAACTGGCTTGGTGGAACCAGGATGGCTTGATTTACTTTCTAGAAACTGACAAATCAAGTCAGTTGTGATCAGGAGAGTGTTCCATGAGAAAGGGGGTTCAAAAGAAAACACTTTTCAACATTTCTTCTTCCCTGTTACAATTTCACTCTCTCAATACAGAAGAGACTCAAAGTACGGCCTCTCCCATACATCTTAGGAGATGTAAAAGGTAAAGGGACCCCTGACCATTAGGTCCAGTCGTGACCGACTCTGGGGTTGCGGTGGTCATCTCGCTTTATTGGCCGAGGGAGCCGGCATACAGCTTCCAGGTCATGTGGCCAGCATGACTAAGCCACTTCTGGCGAACCAGAGCAGTGCACGGAAACGCCGTTTACCTTCCCGCTGGAGCGGTACCTATTTATCTACTTGCACTTTGATGTGCTTTCGAACTGCTAGGTTGGCAGGAGCAGGGACTGAGCAATGGGAGCTCACCCCGTCACGGGGATTCGAACCACTGACCTTCTGATCGGCAAGCCCTAGGCTCTGTGGTTTAACCCACAGCGCCACCCGCGTCCCTCTCTTAGGAGATGAACTGGTTCCTATTATGTCCCCCAACGTATTATGCCCACATAAAATGCTTTCATTGCAAAAGCAAACATCTTCAACTGAGCCTAGAAGTACAATTGCATCCAGACTGAAAGCACATATTCTCATCTTCCTGTTCCTGTAACCCCAGGGAGCACCAAACAATAAATACCAGTAAGTAGTCTGCTGGCCAATGTCTCCCAACATTTTCCTGTTCTCTGCTGTCTCCAGCACGTTATGTAGCTCATAGGCAAGCTGAATATCCTTGAGGTCGAGGCACTGCAATCAAGACACATAGCATGAGCACTCATATTAAAGACAGGCAGCAGCCTGCCACACAGTGCACTACACAAAAGCTCCCTGCACTTTCATCAGCAAGCAGAGAAGGGTATTCCCAAAGCAAAGTTTTGCAAATGATCATGAAACGGCAAGACGTAACAGCCACCCCAAACTGCTAGGGTAAGAAAGAAGATTCAGATGAGCTACAAGGAGCTATCTTTTTATTTCTTTGGATCAGCAGGGCACCAATAGTCTAACAGGAATTTGGGGGGTATATTACCATCCATTTCCCAATCTTAGCGTCGTACATCAAAGGGGGAGGAACCCATATATATTTATATTTGGTTCGCAAGTGTCCTGCAGTTAAGGGCAAATGATTGTGTTTGAAAAGCAAGTGTGCACCCACATCAAATGTGGAACATCAAAATATTTGTCAATTGTAAACTATATGCTGATCTCCGCCAGCAATTTCTAGATCAACTCTATATCACCAAATGGAAACCAGAGTCAGAGGTCATACAATTTCTATTGCTGGGGAATGATCAGGATCTCACCAAGTTAGTGGCTAAATATCTCTATTTGGTTTTTTGTCGTCGAAATACACTGCAGACGTCTGATCTCCCTGGAGACCAAGAGATGTGATGATAGACTGCTCTGTCTCCCTTCTTTTAGCCTATGTTTTGTGCCACTGGGGAAGTGGTAATTCTGTACTGATTTGTTTTGTTTTGGATGTTGTAAAAGGTAAAGGTAAAGGGACCCCTGACCATTAGGTCCAGTCGTGGCCGACTCTGGGTGCTCATCTCGCTTTACTGGCTGAGGGAGCCAGTGTACAGCTTCCGGGTCATGTGGCCAGCATGACTAAGCCACTTCTGGCGAACCAGAGCAGTGCACGGAAACGCAGTTTACCTTCCCCCGGAGCGGTACCTATTTATCTACTTGCACTTTGACGTGCTTTCGAACCGCTAGGTTGGCAGGAGCAGGGATCGAGCAACGGGAGCTCACCCCCTCGCGGGGATTCGAACCGCCGACCTTCTGATCAGCAAGTCCTAGGTTCTGTGGTTTAACCCACAGCACCACCCACGTCCCTATTGGATGTTGTATGTGATGCCAACAAAAGGTTTTACGAGTACGAGTAAAATATGAAACCTGCTTTAGGCCAGTTTGATCCCAATTCCCACCATCCCCTTAAAATCAAACTCTGTTACAACGCTCCTCCATTCAACGTTTGGAAGCTTAATCTGCTCCATGTCCATTTAGGTTATTTGTTCCAATACGGTAAGTTAAAGAGCATGATGGAGCATCACAAGGAATAATGGTTTGTAAAATCAAACCAAAAACTTGAAGGAATAGAAAGAGGTATATGTGGAAGAATTGTGCAGCTGTGGATAAAGGGGAATCTGAGTAGAGGTTTAGAGGTTTTGTTTTTTACTATAAACTATTCAAGGGAATTCACAGGTAGATAGAAAGCCATTATAATAGACAACTAAGTGTTAGAAAGCAGGAATCAAATCCACTTACTATTTTCATGGCACTTGGAAAAAAGTTGCCTAAAAAGAAGAAACAGCAAACAATGTTAATCTTCAACATCTAGCAGTGCAGAAGATAAGCACATCTGTCAGGCTTCCTAGCATTACTGAAATAAATTTGAACAGCTAAACAAACCGCTGTCTAAACCAACACAAGTCTGGTAAAACTGTTCTTTAAGCCAAGGTAATATCTAAGATCCTATCTACAATGCAAACATACAAGCTTTATACTATTTTACGGCTTTGACTACAGAATACTGTCCATTGTAGCTTGGCCAAGTGCTGAGAATTCAGTGTAAAAGAATCTTAAGTCCTCGGTCCCAACTACTACTCCCAGGTTTTCCTGGGAGGAGGAGACAATTTAAAACTAATTTGATCATAGCGTAGACCACCCCGCCCCCCCAATGCGATATATGACAACCTGTTAACACTTAACAAAGGCACAGTACATATGCAACTGATACCCACCATAATGGCACTTTCAAAATGAGCAGCCTTCAACTAAGCTGGGTGAGATACGGTCAGGGAGCCAAGCCAGCAATAAATCACATGGGGTACGTGAAGTTGACTCTTCATTAGGAGAAACAAGGCCTGCTCAGGGGAGCCAGGCCTAATAAGCACAGCAACTCTTCTTGGTAGGTCTTGTCCCTATGGGGCAGTTGTGGAGTCTAAAGATCCCTGCATTCCCTCAGCCATCCAAGTCTCCTCTCCCAGGTCCTTTGCAAGAAACCTGAGACTACACTGCCTGTTCCTGCTCCTCCCTCTTCTTACCTCTTCTGGTCCTGTGTGACTGGGGGGAGGGGAGCTTGTCAAAGTAGGAGGGGGAGACCTATGGCTACTTCACTGGCCCAGCTCTTCTGCCTCTTGGCCTCCCTCCTTTCCTGCTTCAGCTTCTGGGCTGCTCTCTGCCACAGACTCTCCCCGCTCACTAAACCCTGTTGCCCCTTCAGCTTCCACACCTCTTCCTCCCAGTTTTCTCCCTCTGACCACTCACTGTCATCCCACCGCCACTTCCCAGGCTCTGAGCTTTCTTCCCTTGGGGGTTCCCCAGCTGGTGCCACCCACAATTCTTCTGGGCCCAGCCAGTCCAGGACAGATACTATGCAAAGTAAAGCAGGCACAAGCCCACCAAAAAAAACATTGCATGTTGTTGTTGTTTAGTCGTGTCTGACTCTTCATGACCCCATGGACCAGAGCACGCCAGGCACTCCTCTCTTCCACTGCCTCCCGCAGTTTGGTCAAACTCATGCTGGTAGCTTCGAGAACACTGTCCAACCACCTTGTCCTCTGTCTTCCCCTTCTCCCTGTGCCTTCCATCTTTCCCAACATCAGGAAGTCTTCTCTTCTCATGAGGTGGCGAAAGTATTGGAGCCTCAGCTTCAGGATCCGTCCTTCCAGAGAGCACTCAGGGCTGATTTCCTTCAGAATGGAGAGGTTTGATCTTCTTGCAGTCCATGGGACTTTCAAGAGTCTCCTCCAGCACCATAATTCAAAAGCATCAATTCTTCGGCGATCAGCCTTCTTTATGGTCCAGCTCTCGCTTCCATACATCACCACTGGGAAAACCATAGCTTTAACTATACGGACCTTTGTTGGCAAGGTGATGTCTCTGCTTTTTAAGATGCTATCTAGGTTTGTCATAGCTTTTCTCCCAAGAAGCAGGCGTCTTTTAATTTCGTGACTGTTGTCACCATCTGCAGTGATCATGGAGCCCAAGAATTATTGTGGTGCGTGTGCGTGTGCGTGGACTAGATTGCTATTTTTATAGACCCACAACGACTTGTGAAGAACACGGACCTAATATTTTATTTTGTACGGAAAACCAATCATCAGCCCACCACTCACACAAAGTTTTAAAGGCAATTTTTTTCCATTCACGTTAGTCCCACATAACGCAAGATCACCACAGAATATAGGAGGGAATTCATACCATCGTCTGGGTCCTGTGGGTAAAAACGCTTTCCCTTAATCTCATCCATTACTTCATAGATCATTTCTGTTTCGCCTCGAGAAGATGCCGCTGTAGAATAACAAGACACACCATGGCGCCATTAAGAACACACATTCAGTAGACAGATTCTACAACATGTAATCCGTATTTGGTGCTGAGGACTGCTGCAGGGGCCCAGCTGGCCAAGAAGGCAATACTACACTTTCAAAATGCCAAATGAGAACGTGACTGCCGTAGCAACCACTCATTCCACCTCACAAGGTTTTGGGACAGTCAAATGCCAAGAACCAGGCAGAGGGCCTTCTCGGTAGTGGCGCCTTCCCTGTGCAACGCCCTCCCACCAGATGTCAAAGAGAACAACAACTACCAGACTTTTAGAAGACATCTGAAGGCAGCCCTGTTTAGGGAAGCTTTTAATGTTTGATGTATTGCAGTGTTTTAGTATTTTTTTGGAAGCCACCCAGAGTGGCTGGGGAAGCCCAGCCAGATGGGCGGGGTATAAATAATAAATTATTATTATTATTATTATTAGGGTCTTAAGAGTTGCCAAAGTGCCTAGCAATCTCCTGTTAATAAGAGGGGCAGAATTATCAACAGCTTTCCCACTGCACCCTAGTAACACATATAATAGTTTTGTACCTTAATTAACAGTATTGGCCAAATCCTCTAGAGAAACTAGTCTTCAGGAAGACTCACCATTTCTCCAATAAGTGGTATAAACACCATACATTTTGGATGCGATATTTTTTAAAATTCTTTTTAGCCTTGCAGCAGGGCAGCATCACTCAGATGCCTCTTCGGTTAAACAGATCTATGCTATAGCTTAGGAAGAAGGGTCAGAATGCAGGAGTCATGCGGGGGAAGATTCCTGTGTTTAGCGCAAAGCCAGAAGGAGCTTCCAGTGCAGCACCTTGGAGGGCTGCGGTTCAAACGTCAAAAGACTACAGAAACAAATTGACTAGATATTGTTCTAATTTAGGAATCACATACCTGGTTTATAAAAGATGCCAAGAAGATGGTCAAAGGTTGCGAGGCTAGGCTCTAAAAACAAACAGAGAGGCATATACTGAACCAGCCATTTCTGACGATGTGGCCGAGATACAAAAATCCATTAATTCATATTCTGCTCACTTGAGTACCCCCTAATAGAAACTGAAACTGTGAGGGAACTACATGAATTGCGCATATGCAGTCCCTCTATCAGGGGTCACCAACCTATGGCCCAGGGGCCGGATAAGGCCTGAGGGACTCATTTATCCAGCCCGTGGCGAGCCCCGCCACTGCCCGCTCTTACCGGTGCGGCGCAGGGACCCACTTCGGAGTTGGAGAAGCACTAGAAATAGCTTGTGCGCATGGGCCTCCTCTGACCCGGAAGTGCGATGGAAATAGCGTGTGCGCACGCATATGGACGCGCTCCCCCGCCCTCTGTGCGATCGTCGCTCGAGACACTGGCCCAAGGCAAGGAAAGCTTTGAGACTCCTGCCCTACATATTCACCACTTGAGAAGCTTTGCTGGGACAATCTTAACAGACAGCTGAGAACTTACCTATATTTAGTGCCTTCATCTCATTTAGTGTGCGAAGGGCCATACTCTTACCAAAGGCACCACACCACCTTAGAGTCTTCAGGACAGAATTAAAAGTGAGCAGATTTGGCTGTATCTTCTGTTGAGCCATTTGGTTCAGCAAGTCCTATTAACCAAGATGAAACAAAGCAAGCAAGCACTGGACTGAAGCTTTTATGAAGATGCAGGGATTTCTCTCCACTGCCACACACCCACACACCCACACCCACACACCAAGACTTGAAATTTAGGCCTCTTTATAACCCACCCTGAGTCCCACAACCACCCTGAATATTGCCTAATAACGAAAAGGCGGAATATAGTAAAGGTAAAGGGACCCCTGACCATTAGGTCCAGTCGTGACCGACTCTAGGGTTGTGGAGCTCATCTCGCTTTATTGGCTGAGGGAGCCGGCGTACAGCTTCCGGGTCATGACTAAGCCGCTTCTGGCGAACCAGAGCAGCGCACGGAAACACCGTTTACCTTCCCACAGGAAGGATACCTATTTATCTACTTGCACTTTGATGTGCTTTCGAACTGCTAGGTTGGCAGGAGCAGGGACCGAGCAACGGGAGCTCACCCCGTCACAGGGATTCGAACCACCGACCTTCTGATTGGCAAGTCCTAGGCTCTGTGGTTTAACCCACAGCACCACCCACGTCCCTACTAAGGTGGGATATAAATTCACCTAAATAAATATTTGGCATGGGAAATATACATTAAAAGCTCCTGAATTAGTTATTACTTCTTACTTCAACAAGTTCCCATCTTTCAGTGTACTTTTCCCGCACTTCTGAAGCTGCGACGATTAACGCATTGAAGGTGTGCACATCAGCTGGAAGAAATGAAAAGTTGTGTTTTAAGCAACTATACTGAACAGAATGTGCTTTCTTTGTATTTGGGTCCCCCCCCCCCGATTATTTGTAAGGCAGCTCAGTGTAAGGCGAAATTCTCTTGCAAGCCTGTTTCCAGGAAGCCAGCCACACGCCAGCGACGCCGGAACGCAGATAGCTCACAATCAGCTCCCATGATCTAGCTGAGGTCCGTACCCCTGCGCCAATCATCATTGCTGCAAACGGAAATCCAGTGTGTCAGAAAGGCAGGTGTCCATCCAAGCACCACCCAAAGGGAGAAAAATGTATGTGCATGCAATGTGGCCATATATTTCGGGTAACATGGCATGACACACAGGGGAAGGGAATGAGAAGGAATGTCCCACTCATAATTAAAATATAAAATTATTTGTACCCTGCCCTCCCCGGTCGGAGCCAGGCTCAGGGCAGCTAACATCATAAAACTAACACAGTATACAAAGAACATAAGAACAGGCAATCAATTAATTATAATACATCTTAAAAATAGTTCAGAGTAAATTAAAATCTGGACAGATGGCAGTCCATGGGTAAAATTGAGAGTGGTTAGTATTCTCCAGGGCCAACTGTTACCACTGGTCTTATAAAGAAAGGACCTGTGAGCGGGCCAGGAGGCCTCTTTAATGCTTGTTCTTATACAGAAAGAAAGGAATCAGACTGAACCCCGACCAAAGGCCTGGCGGAACAGCTCCGTCTTGCAGGCCATGCAGAAAGATGTCAAATCCCGCAGGGCCCTGGTCTCTTGTGGGAGAGCGTTCTACCAGGCCAGGGCCAGGGCCGATAAGCCCCTGGCTCTGGTCAAGGCCAGTCTAATCTCCCTGGGGCCTGGGACCTTCAGGGTGTTATTATTTGCAGACCTTAAGGTCCTCCATGGGGCATACCAAAGCACAGTAAGCTGGAAACTGAGGCCCAGCTCTGAGGGCCTTCTGGCGGTTCCCTCCCTGCGAGAAGTGAAGATACAGGGAACGAGACAGAGGGCCTTCTCGGTAGTGGCGCCTGCTCTGTGGAGCGCCCTCCTGTCAGATGTCAAGGAGATAAACTACTATCTGACTTTTAGAAGACATCTGAAGGCAGCCCTGTTTAGGGAAGTTTTTCATGTTTGATGTTTTATCGTGTTTTTAATATTCTGCTGGGAGCAGCCCAGAGTGGCTGGGAAAACTCAGCCAGATGGGTGGGGTATTAATAATAATAATAATAATAATAATAATAATAATAATAATAAACTTAATTTGGGGTCCTGCTGGATCAGAACAAAGGCCTATCTTGTTAGGATTTTTATCCACCCGTGCTGCTCCAGCAGTGGCACAATGTTTGCTTATATCATGTGAGTGTTTGAGAGCATGAGACATGTATAAGAAAGGTTTCAGCAGGTATGGAAAGTTCTCCTTTTGAGAAACTGTTCCAGGGAAAATCTTCTTACAGGTTTCCGGGTCTCACATGTGGGTAGAAACACCCCAAAGTGCAAAAGGTGCACAGGGCATTTTCATGGGTTATGAGAAAGGTCAGCACAGAGTTTTATTGCCTGATTCTGACACAGTGATTCTTACTAGGAATGTAGAATGCACTACACAACAGGAGAGAGAGGTTCTCCACAGTTTCCCCATCAATGCCAACATAGATGTAGATTCTGATATTGAGAGTGACGCTGAAAGCACCACTGAAAGTTCTAGTACAGATGACACTGTTGGGTATCCTGAAGCCAACCAAATGCCCATGGAAAGCCCCAAAAAAGCATTCTTCCCACATGCCATTCTCAGCATGTAGGAAGAATACTGCCTTCTGAAAGTCCATGAATTTGTCCAATCCTCTTTTCATGGAATCATAGAATTTGTAGAGTTGGAAGGGACCCCAGGGGTCATCCAGTCCAGCCCCCTGCAATGCAGGAATCTTAGCTAAAGGATCCTTTTAAAGCCATCCAAGCTGGTGGCCGTCACTACATCTTTTAGGAACGAAGTCCATTATGTGAAGCACTTTTGTCTGCCCTGAATCTTCCAGCGTTCGGCTTCAGTGGATGGCCCTGGGTTCCAGCATGAGATGGAAAAGCGAGACAGAGAAAACTTCTCTCTGCCTGATTTAAGGTGCTGGTTTTGACCTTTAAAGCCCTTCATGGCCTAGGACCCTTGTACCTACGGGACCGCCTCTCCCGGTATGCCCCACGGAGAGCCTCAAGGTCCATACATAGCAACACCCTAGTGGTCCTGGGCCCTAAGGAAGTTAGATTGGCTTCAACCAGAGCCAGGGCCTTTTCAACTCTGGCTCCGGCCTGGTGGAATGCTCTGCCTCATGAGACCAGGGCCCTGCAGGATCTGATTTCTTTCCGCAGGGCCTGTAAGAAAGAGTTGTTCCGCCTGGCCTTTGGCTGGGAGCCAATTTGATTCCCTCCCCCTCTTTCTTTTTTCTTTTCCTTTCTCCTCCTGCGATGAGGTTTCAATATTTTAATGTTGTATTTTAATTTTGTTTTTAAGTTGTATTCATGCAATTTGTTTTTATTATTGCTTGTTAGCCGCCCTGGGCCCGGCCTTGGCTGGGGGGGCGGGGTATAAATAAAAATTATTATCGTTATTATTATTATTATTATTCCACACCATGCCTTATCTTGCACTGCATATACTACAAAGGCAGGACCGAGTCATTAGGTGTACAGTTTCAACAATGTGATGTGTGGAATATATGTATATTTAAAAATCCTAGAACTTACCCTTAAGCCTGTTATTCAATAAGTCAGTGTACATGTCAAAAGCTTTTGCAGCTGCTCTGTGCTGGAAGGATATGGAGGGGAAAGAGTTAGATTTTTAGAATTAGAATAAACTTAGGAAAACCAATATATTAATCTGGAGAAATAACAGAAGCAAGTGCGGAATAATGTTACAACTGTACCTTCACCATTCCTCTGATCATTGTACAATACGAATGTGCATTTTTTTCTGGCATTAGGTTAAATATTCTTTCAGCGTTATTGTTCTCCCTGTTAATTGGAAAACATTACTTGTATCAACGTGATTTATATCAATATACTTTTACACCTTCTCAAAAGCATGCACACTGTGGGTTTTTTTTTTTGGAAGCCATATCAGTTTTTTATTAAAATCCAAACTTAGTTGGATTGCACCCATTGTTGCGCAACATACAATGCAACCTTAAAATCAGGAACTGCAAAGACTATACATTTCAGGCAACATGGATAAAAATCTGCAAATACATGGCACCAAATCTGCAAATTTAGACACCATGGCACAGATGGTCAATCAAGTATGAGTATAGTCATTCTTCTGTTGCTTTACCATGTACCTGAGGACATGAAACGGCTGTCCTGCTACACATTCAGTATACACATTTTTATGAGTATATGCCTAAAGTCTTTCACAATTTCCCCAGAAAAGTATCCTTAATATTCAGCTATCTAGGGCATTTCAGGAATGTTATACATGATATTTTTAAAAGTCTGCTCACATTTTGGTCACAGTTCCGTGCATCAGAATTGCATCTGATTGCTTGGAAATCAAAAAGACGTTTGCAAAACTTGATAAATCGTAGCATGAATTTTATAGTTTTTACTTGCTATGGATTTTCCAATTTAAATGAAGTTGTATTGTTCCCACGCCATGAGATCTTTGGATAAAGGGAAGACTATAAACATTTTAAATAAATAAAATTGAGAATTTACTCGGAGGATTAAACAGTACACCATGCTTATACTCAGCTACCTACCACTATGTGGTCTGAATATTACTTGCCCCACAATTAATCTTTTTTTAAAAGGGCTAAACGGCATAGAAAACATATTCTGGACTACCTAATACAAGTACAAATAAATACCGTATTTTTTGCTCTATAAGACTCACCTTTTCCCTTCTAAAAAGTAAGGGGAAATGTGTGTGCGTCTTATGGTGCGAATGCAGGCTGTGCAGCTATCACAGAAGCCAGAACAGCAAGAGGGATTGCTGCTTTCGCTGCGCAGCGATCCCTCTTGCTGTTCTGGCGTCTGTGCTTCAGAATATTTTTTTTCTTGTTTTCCTCCTCCAAAAACTAGGTGCGTCTTGTGGTCTGGTGCGTCTTATGGAGCGAAAAATACGGTATATACCAAGGAACTGGTGTCATTTTTCATACCTCCACTTAAGCCCACGGTTCCCATTCTGCCAGTTTCTCCTTTTTTTCCTTTCTTCTGAAGCTTCCTCCTGCAACAAGATTTCCAGGATCAGTCTTACTAGCATGCCAGAATCACCTCTGCATTCAAAAGCTTAGAAAGCAATTTATCTAAGTTAGCATGCAGGACTGGCACAAAGAGTAATCAGAGAGCTAGATATCTTGACAGCAGTTTTAATATTCCCCCCTCAGGTGAAAGCTGGCAGGAGTTCCTATGGAAACACGTGAAAAGGTGGGCGCTTTCTTCCCTCTCAAGCACTCCATCTCTGAGATTACAGACACATCACAGTAATTTAGAAATACCTTGATCTTATTTCAAGTATATACCGTATTTTTCGCTCCATAAGACACACTTTTTTCCTCCTAAAAAGTAAGGGGAAATGTCTGTGCGAATGTGTGGTTGATCGCTGGCTCCCTTTCTGGCCCCGGCCCCTTGCCCAGACCTCCATTGTTAAATGTTCTGCAGACGAAGGCTGTTTGTTTCCCCAGCGACATGTGACTGGCTGATTAGATTATCTGTCTTTAAGCTGTAGAAACAGCTCCCTTTCCTAAAGAAGCTGCAGAACTGTGAGTTGAAAACCATAAAAACTTTGAGCTGATCTTCAAAAAAACGGGGCTTTTCCTCTTTGCAAAAGAAGCTGCACAGCTTTGAGCTGATCCTCAAAAAAACGGGGCTTTCCCCCTTTGCAATAGAAGCTGCACAACTGTGAGCTGTTCCTCAAAAAAGGGGCTTTTCCCTTTGCAAAAGAAGCTGCACAACTTTAAGCTGATCCTCAAAAAACGGGGCTTTTCCCCTTTGCAAAAGAAGCTGCACAACTTTGAGCTGATCCTCAAAAAACAGGACTTTCCCCCTTTCCTCCTCTAAAAACTAGGTGCATCTTATGGAGCGAAAAATACGATACTATCTGGGTGAAACAACATCCACCCTCTACCATACTTGCTTACCAGTTGTTCCAATTTGCTGTTATTTTCAGTAGAGTTCAGCTGATCAGGTTCTCTATCGCCATAAAAACATAGGAGATCAAGAAGGCTGTTTGATGTCTCCAGAGATACAGAAGTTCCTGCAGATGGGGAGGAAAGTAAAGTGGAAGCCAGGTTTCTAGCTAGCTCACATGTGCATTACATCACTTGGAGCTCAATGTCTTTGAGCAGAACGTGTGAACTGTCTTTATGGACAAGTATCATTTTTTTTTTTGTATCAGGCAATATAATGTCCTGTGATGTAACAGCTGCAAATTCAAGATATGGACATGTGTGTGAACTATCCTTCAGAGCGTTATTTTGCTAATACTGCTCAATATAAAATCTAAGAAGTTTACATAAGAATAAAAGTACAACAACATTTAAAAATTGCCCTAAATCAGTAATCAGTTTTAAATGCCTCTTATGGATCTACCCAAGATTTCCTGGACTCTTTAACTTTTTTTTGTCTTGTACAGAGCTCAGTTTTATTTGTGACATCCAGTCGTGTTGCGTTTTTATCTCATGTTAAATCTAGCTGTTAGGAAATTTTATTGAATATTGTTAAATTTTTACTGTTTATGTAAACCACTTAAGAGATTACAGTGGTACCTCGGGTTACATATGCTTCAGGTTACAGACTCCGCTAACCCAGAAATAGTACCTCGGGTTAAGAACTTTGCTTCAGGATGAGAACAGAAATCGTCCTCCGGCAGCGCGGTGGCAGCGGGAGGCCCCATTAGCTAAAGTGGTGCTTCAGGTTAAGAACAGTTTCAGGTTAAGAACAGACCTCCGGGACGAATTAAGTACTTAACCCGAGGTACCACTTATTATATTAAGCAGTATAATCTTTGTTTATAAAACAGAGAAACATGCATTTCCACCTAATTATCAGATGGAACTGCATCTCTGCTGCAGAATCTTCTATGAGTCAGAGCTTCCTCCCTGGGCTGTTGAAGCTGACTCTCATAGTTTTCAGCTCTGGTGGCTGACGAAGGAGAAACTGTGAAGGTCTGAACAATCTGCCTCCCTCCCTCCTCAGTTCTCAGACGGTGTAACAAATGAATTACCGTATTTTTTGCTCTATAAGACTCACTTTTTCCCTCCTAAAAAGTAAGGGGAAATGTGTGTGCGTCTTATGGAGCGAATGCAGGCTGCGCAGCTATCCCAGAAGCCAGAACAGCAAGAGGGATTGTTGCTTTCACTGCACAGTGATCCCTCTTGCTGTTCTGGCTTCTGAGATTTAGAATATTTTTTTTCTTGTTTTCCTCCTCCAAAAACTAGGTGCGTCTTGTGGTCTGGTGGGTCTTATAGAGCGAAAAATACGTCTTTTTGTCAGACCTAGTGTTTTGGAGAAGTTTTAGCAGAGAATAGTTCTACACCTCAGTATAGGAAACACCAACCACATTTCATAACAGCTTCAGCCAAGTGCTCTAAGTAATTTCACAGTGCAATCCTATGGAGTTCAGTAGGCCCTTCTGCCAAGAAGGGTGTATAGGATTGTAGCTTTAGCTAGTACCTGCTTGCATGAGTTGATCATACATGTCCACCGAAGCTTTTAGTTTTCTGAAACGGATCTGATACTTAAGTGCATCCTCACACACTTCTTCAAGTTGCAATGGCAATTTTTCTGGCATGAGACACTAAAATAAGGGGGAAAGAAGGCAATTGTTTTCAGATGATCTAAAGAAAAGGGAATTCATAAGTGTTTCCTCTAGTGTCTAATAAGCATTTCTTTGGATCTACAACAAAGGTGCAAAAAATCCACTCCACCTTCCACACACACCAGCCCCTTGTCTGTCTTGAAAAAAATGGAGGAGTGATTGTGCCCTTTATCACCTTTTAATTGCTTTGTTTTCCGTTTAAGTCCAGATTAGCATTTATAGCCAACACAGCAATGCAGTGGTACCTCCGGAGCTCCGGTAGGATCCTGAGGAATTCGCAACCAAAGTTTCCTGTTGTGCACATGCGTGCGGCGCGGTAGAGAAGAAGAGGAGTTGGGATTTGATATCCCACTTTATCACAACCCTAAGGAGTCTCAAAGCTGCCAACAATCTCCTTTCCCTTCCTCCCCCACAACAAACACTCTGTGAGGTGAGTGGGGCTGAGAGACTTCAGAGAAGTGTGACTAGCCCAAGGTCACCCAGCAGCTGCATGTAGAGGAGCGGGGACGCAAACCCAGTTCACCAGATTACGAGTCTACCGCATAGAGCGCTTCTGCACATGCGTGCACGGCAAAATCCGGAAAAATACTTCTGGGTTTGCCACGTTCGCATTCTGAAGGATATGCAAGCAGAGGTGTGCGTATCCAGAGGTACCACTGCACTTGATGAGGCAAAGGCCAGGGCAAGGGTGTGCATGATGCTCTCTATCGTACTCCTGTCACAACTCATAGAAAAAGGTTTGTCTACGCAGGATCCTTCGATGGCAGATTCAAGTTCAGTTCTGCTAACTGTGTTCAAGACAATGGAATAATTTTACGAAATGCTCAGAGGACACAGACGTTTTTCTTAAGAACAAGAATTAATGTGTATGATAATAAAAACACAAAGCTTACCGGTACATGAGGTTCAGCTATGTCAGTCTCAAAAAGATTAGGATGTTTGTCAAGAATATATCTGGCTGCATTTTCCCCAGATTCTTTTGATAAGGAAAATAAACGCTAGAAAAAGAACGTATCCATATTATTTTCTTTACTAAAAGTAGAAGTTACCATTCACGATACTTCAGTTTCATAAAACCTACCAAAGGGCCTCTGAATCAAATATTTAGTCCTTTTCCTCTCTCATTCTTACTTCCATCAAGTCAAATTTCCAATTTAAAGCTTTTACCATCACATTTCAATCGTTATATATAGTTTTGCAGGAAGCAGCAGTGAGGTGCTGCTGCTGCTTTTTGCAAAAGCAAAAGAAAGCACCTCTCTTTTTCTCCACAGAAACCAGGACAGTTTAATAAGAGAAAGGCTTTTGATGAAAACAAGTGGTGTTGCTCAATTTATTTATGGAGTGGCTTGCCACTAGGCCTTGAACCCTGCGCCAGGGAATTTCTTTTACATTTGTCGATAATGTTAAGAAGAGTCCGTATGAGAAATGGGTTGGGTGCAGGGGGGGGGAGAGAAGTGATAAATATTTCTAGGTAGGGAATTTAAAGAGAGCTATCACCCCACTGCTGCAACACAAAAGCAGTAATTCTGGTTCTGTACCCAGTGAAGCCAGTTGTGATCTTTGTGAGAGCCGGACCATAAAGAAGGCTGATCGCCGAAGAACTGATGCTTTTGAATTATGGTGCTGGAGGAGACTCTTGAAAGTCCCATGGACTGCAAGAAGATCAAACCAATCCATTCTGAAGGAAATCAGCCCTGAGTGCTCACTGGAAGGACAGATCCTGAAGCTGAGGCTCCAATACTTTGGCCACCTCATGAGAAGAGAAGACTCCCTGGAAAAGACCCTGATGTTGGGAAAGATGGAGGGCACAAGGAGAAGGGGACGACAGAGGACAAGATGGTTGGACAGTGTTCTCGAAGCTACCAGCATGAGTTTGACCAAACGGCGGGAGGCAGTGGAAGACAGGAGTGCCTGGCGTGCTCTGGTCCAGGGGGTCATGAAGAGTCGGACATGACTAAACAACTAAACAACAGCAACAACACCCAGTGAAGCTGTCCTGTTATGTTCATGGGCTTCTACCTGCACAGTGAGACTTACTCTCCTCTTCCCAAATCTGCTCCAGAGGGTTGAGGGAAAACCCAGAACAGGTTGGGAGGAACGTGGAGAAAGTCCTGTTGTACAGGCAGAAGTTCTTGTGTTAACGGGGTGACTTTGGTGGATATATATCTCTGAAAATATATCACAGATGTTTAAGGAGTATGACTTAATACACAAATATTATATATAATGTGCAGGACAGGCAGGTAGGCTGCCTACTCCATGCACCTGAGGCCCCAAAACAACTTGTGCTGCCGTGTTTTGTTACATGAAGAGTATTTTGGGGTGGGGGACTAATCTATGAAGTGATCTGTCACAGAATTCAACACAAAACCAGCATTTCATCTTCAGAAACAGCCCTAACAGTTCCCTTACTGTCAGTTTGGCTGACAAAACGGGAAGTCCCAACCCTAAAAACACACTTACAATAATGTAAGTGGCAACGGAATCTTCCATGCATACTAAAGTGCTTTTAACTGTGGACCAGCCCACTAAACATTTTTTTCTAGCAAAATCGGTTTTAAGAGAGTTACTTACAAACTCAGTAGTGGTTCTAGGAATAAGATACGGGTCGTCTTGAAACATGTAGTTAGGAGCTGTGGGATCCTGAATAAAGGAGGATGAAGCGTTTAAATTGTAGCTTTTGCACCGATAAGATACATGACAGATTCATCTTCCTGCACTGCTGAGGTTAAAAATTGTGTCTAAACATTTTGCTTCAACACACACCAAAAACCCCTTCAATAAGAAAGGACTACTTTTACTATGCATTAACCATACATCATACATGCGTTACACCAGAGGTTTTCAACCTTTTTGAGTCCACAGCTCCCTTGACCAACTACATTCTTTCTGCGGCACCCTGTGGGGCTCGGGAGCCCAGTTATGTCACCCCTTGCCTGCAAAACTGGCAGCCTCTCACCCCTTTTTGAACATCCTGTGAAGTGTTCCCTCAGCCTCCTCTCCTTGGAAGTCCTCTGGGCACCTGCTTCTGCCGCCCCTGGTCTCTGAGCTGCCCCTATGCCCCAAATAAAGGTGCCTCCTCACACTGCCCCACAGGGGCCTGGGAAGCACCCCCTGGCCAGTCCCAGAGGCACCATTTGCCTGCGGAGGTTGTAGCCAGGGCTGCTGCAACAAACAGCTGTGAAAAGCCTTTGGGAGGCAGAGACAAAATAGAGGAGGGAGGGAGGGAAGGAAAGAGGGACAGAGGCCAGTACTGCCCACGGCACCCCTGACCATCATTCAAGGCACCCCAGGGTGCCATAGCACACTGTTTGAAAACCACTGCATTACACTATTTAGGGTGCCTTATTCATCCATAAAAAATGCACCAATGCAGCAAGAATTTTTCCAGTTGACACTATTCAAGGATTATCCTTGTATGCTGCTCTGTTACTGATTTTTGCAGGAGAGCAGAAAATACAGTGGCACCTCGGGTTAAATACGCTTCAGGTTACATACGCTTTAGGTTACAGACTCCGCTAATCCAGAAATAGTACCTCAGATTAAGAACTTTGCTTCAGGATGAGAACAGAAATTGTGTGGCGGCAGTGGGAGGCCCCATTAGCTAAAGTGGTGCTTCAGGTTAAGAACAGTTTCAGGTTACGAACGGACCTCTGGAACGAATTAAGTACTTAACCTGAGGTACCACTGCATGCGCTCTTGTGTGCTCCAAGCACATCATTCTAAACTGGCGCAAAGGTCCATTTGAGATCACTTTTGATCTCGAAATTACTTTGTTGGAATAAAATGCTTACTTCAGTTTGGATAGAATAATATGCACACATCAAGCCCTCTATCAGACAGTAGCATTAAAATCAATATTTGAAAACTTGGTGGCTGGTGGGGAGTGATTTTGCACTGTTGGCAGAGTTTTACATGCATTGTGTCATTTCAAAAAAGCACTTACCCTCTTTACAGTTGATGCAAGAGCTTGAAGAACTGCTAACTTATCCCTAAATTTAAGAAAATTAAATATTCAGTTTTCAGTATATAACTTATCATACTAAAGTGTTTCCACTATGAAGAAGTGAAGCACAGTATATGTTCTGCAGTTCCAGAAGGTGGTGCCTCCTTGGCTTCTGCCCCATATTATCTTGTCGCCCCTGCTTTTTAGTATCTATGTCAGGGTTGGGGAATTTTTCTGACTCCACCGGCCATAACCTTTACAGACTCTGCCTTGTGAACCAAATGCAACAGATGGGCATGGCTCTGTGAATCTTCCCCTTCCTCCAGTCCCCAATCTCAAGAGGCTTAAAAGAAGAACTGGAGGAGGCTCACAAAACCTTTTCCAAGGCACCTTGTGCTTTCCTTTTTTAGCCTCTGAAATCACAAACTAAAAGCGAGTAGGGGGCAGACTTGGGAAAGGTTTTGCAAGTCTCCTTCCACTCCTCTTTTAAGACAGTGATGTCAGCTGAAGGGCAGATGGTCATGGTTTGCAGGGGGCAAATGGTCTTGCGGGCCAAATTGGGAACCCCTGGCAGGCCAAGATGGTCCCCATCCGTTTTACAAAAGCACACTCTGGTCAGTTACTGAAATAAATCAATTCATTTTACAATAGCTATACTTGTTTCATCTTAACTTCCAATAATAAGCGCTGCTTATTACCTTTGACTCCTTAAATGGTTTGGGAACAGGATACCCAAGAGATTGTCTCCTCCCATACAATTCTCCCAACTTGTTAATGGGAATCTGTGGCTCTCCAGATATTAAAGGACTGCAACTTCCATCATTTTCTGGCCATGTGGCTGGGGAAAATGGAGCTGGGGTCCAATAGCATCTGACGATTCCTCATCCCTTCTTTAAATTTCTCAAATAAAGCATTAAACGAAACTACTCACCAGGTTTTCTTTCTTGGAAGAGAAATAATTCCTTCGTTAACTTTGAAAAGAACATTATTACAACTACATTAGTAAAGGATATGCATATTTGAATAGACTGCAACTATGAAAGCTTTAATTCGGCAAACAGTTATTCATACGCATAGCCACTTTAGCTGAAACATTGCCTGTAACAAAATCAAACTTTCTACAAATAGCCTTATCCTAATTGCATTTACTCAGATAGAAGTCCAATTTTTTTTAATGAAGACATTTCCCCACAGAAATAAGCTTAAAATCGCACACTTTTCTCAAGGAAGCACAGTAAACTTTTCACTGTTGCGAAGCGTTTTTATGAGCTCAGAATTAGTGACAAAAATACTTGTACCTTCAAGATTAGGTGATTTTTTCTGAAGGGCTGCATTTCCTGAGCAGGGCCTACGGAAATCAAATGCATCCATGAAACATGGATTTTAAAAGCACACACACAGTCACTAACATTTTTGAACTAGTAGGCACATTTCAAATTTTCAGAGAGTGCTGGAGGTACCAGGCACAAAATGACTATCATGAAGGGTGTGTGGCATAACACAAAACTACAGAGACAACCACCCCGAACCTCATGCTTACTATGGGAAGTCAGCAATGTCTTGTTGGTCTTTATTATGGAGATGACTCTCTCTCTCCGAAACACAGAGACACACACAATGATCCTAGCAACAGGGAGCATTCCTCAGCACCCAGAAAAATATACAAGATATATTTTTCTCATTTCAGAAATCACTGGTAAAGTACCTGCACCTTATGCCCCATAACTTTCTTTCCAGGAGGGCTAGAGACTTGGTTCGAAGTTCTTACCGACATCAATTTTTGTATCGGCAAAAGTGTATTGGATATCGCAGAGTTGGACTATATTAACCTCAGGGCTCCTTCCAACTCTGCAATTCTATTATTCTAATACAGTGGTACCTCAGGTTAAGTACTTAATTCGTTTTGGAGGTCCGTTCTTAACTTGAAACTGTTCTTAACCTGAAGCACCGCTTTAGCTAATGGGGCCTCCTGTGCTGCCGCGCCGCCGGAGCACGATTTCTGTTCTCATCCTGAAGCAAAGTTCTTAACCAGACGTAATATTTCTGGGTTATCGGAGTCTGTAACCTGAAGCGTATGTAACCCGAGGTACCACTGTACAAAGAGAGAGACCCCACCACAGAAAATACCCACACCTTTGAAGTTGCAGCAAAGAAATAAAATATCGTTCAACTGCCCACTTCCTCCGCCCCTTCTCAACCCCAAACCCAGCTAGATATAGACGCACCTTCTCCCTGCATCCAGACACTTAGGGTGGGGGTGGCCTTATTATTTCAACATCAGAGCGTCTGCCTTGCACGCAGCAAGGTCCCAGGGGTGTCAATCCAGGGCATCTCCAGACAGAATCATAGAATCGGAAGGGACCTCAAGGGTCATCTAGTCCAACCCCCTTGCGATACAGGAAATCCCAACACACAGTCCTGCAGCCAATGTGAAACCACACCGGACCCTGCTCAGGTTTGCAAATGCCCTAGCCTAGTAATAGTTTTATTAATGGGTCACTAGGGGGGCTAAAGGGATGCAGGTGGCACTGTGGGTTAAACCACAGAGCCTAGGGCTTGCCGAATGGAAGGTCAGCGGTTCGAATCCCCGCAACGGGGTGAGCTCCCGTTGCTCAGTCCCTGCTCCTGCCAACCTAGCAGTTTGAAAGTACGTCAAAGTGCAAGTAGATAAATAGGTACCACTCCGGGGGGAAGGTAAACGGCATTTCCGTGCGCTGCTCTGGTTCGCCATGGCTGCTCTGGCCACACAACCTGGAAGCTGTACGCTGGCTCCCTCGGCCAGTAAAGCGAGATGAGCACCTCAACCCCAGAGTCGGCCACAACTGGACCTAATGGTCAGGGGTCCCTTTACCTTTACGGGGGCCAAGGAGAGACTCCTGCCTGAAACCCTTGGAGAGCCACTGCCTGTCAGAGTAGTAGGCATTGCTGAGCTGCACAGGCCAGTGGTCCGATTCAGAATAATAAAACAGCTTCCTGCGCTCCTATGGGATTGCGGGTTCGAGCCCCACGTTGGACAAAAAGAATCCTGCATCGCGGTGGGTTGGGCTAGATGACCACCAGGATCCCTTCCGACTCTATGCTTCTGGAGCCCGAGACTCTAAATCTCAAGGTCGCGGGTTCGAGGATCACGTTGGGCAACAAGAATCCTGCATCTCAGGGAGACGGGCTAGGTGACCACCAGGGTCCCTTCCGACTCTATGTTTCTGGAGCCTGAGACTCTTAACCCAGGCATCCCCAAACCCGGCCCTCCAGCTGTTTTGGGACTACAACTCCCATCATCCCTAGCTAACAGGACCAGCGGTCAGGGATGATGGGAACTGTAGTCCCAAAAACAGCTGGAGGGCCGAGTTTGGGGGCGCCTGTCTTAACCTCAAGGTCGCGGGTTCGAGCGTCACGTTAGGCAGAAAGTTTCCTGCATCTCAGGGGGTTGGGCTAGATGACCACCAGGGTCCCTTCAGACTCTACATTTCTATGAGGGGTCGCTCCGGCCTCTCCACCCTCCCCGGGCGCTTCGTCCTCGCCGTTGCTAGGGCGGCCTGTCCGTTGCCAAGGAGGCCTGTCCGCCGACACTTCCACCCCCTGCCCGTTTGCTTCCCGCCTCACCTGGAGCCCCTTCCCGCCCCCGAGCCCGGCTGGCCCGCGTGCGGCAGCGGCCTACGGCGCGGAAAGGCCAGCCGCCTCAGGCACCGCGCCGCCATGTCCACGCTGCGCCGCCCTTCGCGGGGCGGAAAGGGAGGAGAAGCCGGGGAGGAAGTGGCGCTTCGCTCCTGCTCCTCCTCCACCTCCTCCTCCCCTCTTCACACGTGCGGCCCTCGCCCTCAGGCTCCTTCCCGTGTCTCTCCTCCTCCTCGCAGGGGCGGCGGGCGGCGACCCCTCTTCCCGGGGCCATGGCGGCGGCGAAGGAGGCGCCGTGGCGGCGGCTGACGGGCCTGTCGTTCGGGATGTACACGGAGGAGGAGATACGGTACGCCCCGCGGCTGGGTAGCAAGACTGTTAAGAGAGCTGGAAAGGGACCCCCGAGGGTCATCTAGGCCAACCCCCTGCGAGGCAGGATACTTTTTTTTTGCCCAACGTGGGTCTCGAACCTGCGAGCCTGAGATTGAGAGTCAAGGGTGGTAGATGCACACGTGCTACGCGTGATCTGAGCCGAAAAGCGAGGATTGGAGGGGACCACGAGGGTCATCTGATAATAAATAATAATAATAATTTTTTATTTATACCTCGCCCTCCCCAGCCAAGATCTACTCCAATCCCCCTGCAATGCAGGAATCGTGTGCCCAACAACATGCTCAACTATGGGGTGCTAGTAGCATACCTGACTTTTTTTGTGCGGTGCTTTTGGGGACCCCGCTCCCCCTTTGGTTATTCTAGATCACTTTGTTTGTGCCACTGCAGATGTGCCAGCAGAGCTGTTGGTGCAGATATAGGCATTCTTTGAATGTGTTGTTGTTTAGTCGTTTAGTCGTGTCCGACTCTTCGTGACCCCATGGACCAGAGCACGCCAGGCACTCCTGTCTTCCACTGTCTCCCACAGTTTGGTCAAACTCATGCTGGTAGCTTCGAGAACACGGTCCAACCATCTTGTCCTCTTTTGTCCCCTTCTCCTTGTGCCCTCCATCTTTCCCAACATCAGGGTCTTTTCCAGAGAGTCTTCTCTTCTCATGAGGTGACCAAAGTATTGGAGCCTCAGCTTCAGGATCTGTCCTTCCAGTGAGCACTCAGGGCTGATTTCCTTCAGAATGGATTGGTTTGATCTTCTTGCAGTCCATGGGGCTCTCAAGAGTCTCCTCCAGCACCATAATTCAAAAGCATAAATTCTTCGGTGATCAGCCTTCTTTATGGTCCAGCTCTCACTTCCACACATCACTACTGGGAAAACCATAGCTTTAACTATACGGACCTTTGTTGGCAAGGTGATGTCTCCTTTTTAAGATGCTGTCTAGGTTTGTCATTACTTTTTTCCCAAGAAGCAGGCGTCTTTTAATTTCGTGACTGCTGTCACCATCTTTGAATGTAGTGCAAGCCAATTCAGTTGGGGAAAACGTGTACCATAATTTGTGTACAATACTACTCAGCTATGGGAGAGGTACCTGTTAAAAAAATTCTCGCCTATACAGTTGTGCTGCTGTTAACAGCATATATATATATATACATACACACACATACACAAGGATGTAAAAATGGGCTGTTAAAATTCATATGTTGCCTTCTTTGAGGCAATTGAAGAATAGTTCTGTGCCACATATCTAGTTGTGGTCTTCCAAGTGGGAGTGTTCCAGTAAAAAAGGCTATTGAATGAACAATTTTCTCTGTGCAAGCAGAATTCCACTAGTGCAGTGGGTCTTCTCCTTCCTCTCCTACCCCCTGTACCCTCAAAATCTGCTCCAGAGAGTTGAGGGACAGCAGTGTGTGATACAACCCAAAATCTTTGATAGCCGTTCTTATGGGTAAAAAGGTTTGATACAGGCAACACTAGTACCATTTGCAAAACCACAAACATGTAGTGAGTTCTCCTCTCTCCTAACTTCATAATTAAAAAAAGTTGTTATCTCATGGAGTTCAGGGAAATGCAATCCAAAAATGGCTTTGATGCTACGTGTCTAACTTTGTTTTTGTGTGTAGGAATCTGAGTGTAAAATCTATAACCAACCCCCTTTTTCTGGATAATGCGGGTACTCCGTCACCAAATGGACTGTACGATTTGTCTTTGGGGCCAACTGACAACAAAGAAGTGTGTGCTACTTGCACGCAGGACTTCAACAACTGCCCAGGTCATCTGGGTCACATAGAACTGCCCCTCACTGTCTACAATCCTCTCTTTTTTGATGTAAGTATATTCATGACATTCCTGATTTCTCATATTCTAGATTCTATGGGATGGGTGGTTGTGCTGCTTCAGTGTTGAAGTTACCGCAGTGTGAAGAATAAATGTATGGTGTGAACACTTCACATTGGTTAATTACCGTATTTTTCGCTCTATAAGACGCACATTTTCCCCTCCACAAATTAAGGGTTGCCTTCACTGAAGCCTCTGGAGCGCGGCGGGAGCTCCCGCTGTGCTCCGGAGGCTTTGCGTTCCTTTCGCTGAAGCCTGGAGAGCAAGACTCTCCTGGCTTCAGCGAAAGGAACCCGAAGCACTCTGGAGGCTTCGGGTTGCCTTCACTGAAGCCTGGAGAGTGAGAGGGGTCGGTGCGCACTGACCCCTCTCGCTCTCCAGGCTTCAAAGCTAACTGCCTCCAGAGCTCCCGCTGAGCTCCTGAGGCTTCGGGTTCCTTTCGCTGAAGAGTAGGTGCCCCTTCAGCTAAGGCGCAGCGCCCCTTCAGCTAAGCGGGAGGAGAAATGGAAGGGGCTCCGTTTCTTCTGCCGCTTCGCTGAAGGGGCGCTGCGCAGAGAGGGGGAGAATTTTTTTTTCTTGTTCTCCCCCTCTAAAACAAGGTGCGTCCTATGGTCGGGTGTGTCCTATAGAGCGAAAAATACGGTATAGTGTTCTACCTTTCCGGGTTTTTGGAAGGATTTTAACAAGATTTAATATGAAAAGCGCTTTGAAACTTTAATGAAATATTTAGTAGTGTGATAATAAACAAACTATTTTATCTTCTTCAGAAATTATTCCTTTTGATACGAGGTTCCTGCTTGAGCTGTGGCCACCTGACCTGTCCACGGGCTGTGATTCATTTACTGCTTAACCAGCTGAAACTTCTGGAAGTAGGGTTGCTTCAAGCAGCCCATGATCTTGAGGCCGTCCTAAGCAGGGTAAGTTTGGCTCCTCTTGGTTTTTGTCTGAGAGCATTCAGCATTTTTCTAATTCAATCTTTATTTTAGTTTTTAGATGACAACGCAGACGCACCAGGTGCAGATGTGGAAGAAGTGCTGAGTTTGCACACAAAGGAATTGCTCCAAAATAACCAATTCAGAGAACATGGTGCACACGTAAGACGAAACAGTATTATAGACCACTATTTATGGTGCTTTGAATAAGCAATCTGCTCTTGCTTCCGTGTTTGAGACAAGCTTGCAATTCCTCTTTATTAAAGTGCCTGCCGTTTTGAGGTTATCTTAGAGTAAACACTCTTCTGGACTAGTTCTTGAAAAATTTGCAGTGGCAGATTTACTCAAATTATGTTAAATAGGAAATGAAATTAATAAAAGCATTGCTTTTTTTCTAACTTCCTACATCACATAGTAATGCAACATAACGGCCGGCTAACAACTGTAGGAGAACATATCTTGTTGCTTGTTTAAAGAAAATTGGCTTTCAGTAGAAGCCAAGTGAATTTTGGATTACTGTATCTCTTCTACAGTGGTGCCTCGGGTTAAGTACTTAATTCGTTCCGGAGGTCCGTTCTTAACCTGAAACTGTTCTTAACCTGAAGCACCACTTTAGCTAATGGGGCCTCCTGCTGCCGCCGCGCTGCCAGAGCACGATTTCTGTTCTAATCCTGAAGCAAATTTCTTAACCTGAAGCACTATTTCTGGGTTAGCGGAGTGTGTAACCTGAAGCGTATGTAATACAGGTACCACTGTATTAACTCAGGTATGGTTTTTAAAATCATTTTCCATACCATTATCTCTTGAATAACTTTCACACCATAAGATCACAACATATTAAAGTGAAATATAGTTCACCTGAATTCTTATGCACGCTTACCTGGCACTTGCAAAGGATTGCATTGTTAGTAGGGCAGGTGAACAGACACGGGCTAAATCACTACAAACCTACAGGTAAGGATATACAAATTTGATGTTGCAGGGGCTGAGTTGCTTAGCTAACCATCAGTCAAACTGTATCCTTGGGTAAAATGATGAGGAAGGGGATAGTGAGCACAAGAGCTACTGTTTTTGTAATATCTCTGTAGTCAGATTGAGAAGATGTTGACCTCCCAATCTGGACAGCCAAGATCAGGCATGAACTCTGCAAAAATTATATACCTGGGAGACAAAATGTTGACAACAGGAAAAAAGGCACCTTGGGTCCATTGACAAACCAGTGCATCAAAGAGAATTTAGTATATACAAAATGCACTATGTAGCTAGTCTTAGTCTACTTAGGTAATGTCTGAGTATGTGTCAGTGCAATTTTTATCCATCCTAGTCTTGTATCACCGTATAAGACTAGGTTTTTTTAACCAAAAAATTAGGTTTAAAATTGGGGCTCGTCTTATACACGGGTAGTGCTGAGGGGTGTTTTCTTAATTTTCTTCCAAAAATAGTCTTATACATGGGTATAATACGGTATAGTCTGGGCTCAGCATTCCAAACATTAAAAGAGTCTTCTACATAAAAATTGTTTGGAACAATGTACTCGAGTGTAGTGAGTGTGAAATGTTGAAACTTCTTTTAACCCAAGAACAAAAATGTTTAGTACAGTGGTACCTCGGGTTACAGACGCTTCAGGTTACAGACGTTTCAGGTTACAGACTCCGCTAATCCAGAAATAATACCTCGGGTTAAGAACTTTGCTTCAGGATGAGAACAGAAATCGTGCTCTGGCAGCAGGAGGCCCCATTAGCTAAAGTGGTGCTTCAGGTTAAGAACAGTTTCAGGTTAAGAACGGACCTCCGGAATGAATTAAGTACTTAACCCAAGGTACCACTGTAATGGGATGTATTTTATGTGTTTTGAAACTTTTAAGTGCAATGAAATAAGGAAACTTGTACAGCCAAATATACTGTAATGTGTGAACCAGGTGATCACAGGTATGGTCAGTAACCATTCTGTTACGATGGTTAGAATCATATTTGCAATTGCACTAAATGGCTGGGACCATGATGGTCCAATTCTACGTTACATTTGCTGGTGTTTGTGGAAGACTGCCACCACCTATGTGAATGATGAATGTTTGAATTGAAAGTGATTAATATGTAGGCTGTGGGTAAATCCTCAGCGCCTAGGACTTGCCGATCGCATGGTCGGCGGTTTGAATCCCCGCGGCAGGGTGAGCTCCCATCATTCGGTCCCAGCTCCTGCCCACCTAGCAGTTCGAAAGCACCCTTAGGTGCAAGTAGATAAATAGGTACTGCTTTATAGTGGGAAGGTAAACGGCGTTCCGTGTGCTGCGCTGGTGCTGGCTCGCCAGAGCAGCTTCATCACGCTGGCCACGTGACCCGGAGTGTCTGCGGACAGCGCTGGCTCCCGGCCTCTTAAGTGAGATGAGCGCACAACCCTAGAGTCTGTCAAGACTGGCCCGTACGGGCAGGGGGTACCTTTACCTTTAATATGTAGGCTACTGGGAGTAGTGCAAGCCAACAGTGAATTATGTAGCTGTTATTTCTTCCCTTTTAGGTAAAAAACGTATGCGAGTATAGAAGCAAACTTATCTCCCAGTTTTGGAAATCGCACATGGGTTCAAAGAGATGTCCAAACTGCAAGTAAGTATATCCATTTGATCAGAAGCCAATTAACCTTATAAGGGCTGTTTCTTTCCCCTCCCCAGCAATAACTGCTGGAATTCTGTATACTGGTTTTAACAATTGCAATGTTGTCCTTTTTTACTTTTTCTCCAAGAGCGGGAAGATCACTTGTCCGAAAAGAGCACAATAGCAAGCTCACTGTGACTTACCCTACCACAGTAATCAAGTCAGGCAAACAGATGGTAGTGGAGGAAGCAGCAAGTACGTATGTCGTTGCATTGAAATGTATTTTCAGAGAAAGTATAACTTCTCATTTACTTTAAAAGCGTTCGATAAATTTTGAAACCCATTGATCGTATTAAGTTCTGAGGGTGACCTGATTGTGTAGCATATCTGTGATAGAAAGTTCATGCAAATACTTATTTTTATTTACTTGGAGCTGTTCCTTTGAGACTGGCTATATCAAAGACCCAATGGGTGGATGCATAGCTAGAATATTTAGAAGTTTAGCTTACCATTTGTGTGTGCAGCTTTCCACTGGGATTGGCTGTAGCTGACTGCTGCTGGTATTGAACAAGTGCAGTTTTTATTAGTTTGTGTTTCAATTGTATGAAATTCTACAAATAATTTACGATGGAATTTTTATGGTTTTTTCCCCAATCCATAAACTTTAACTCCTTAGCCATAGATGAAACCCAGCTGGGAAAACGTGGCTATATGACACCTGCTATTGCCAAAAAACATGTTGAAGCCTTGTGGAAGAATGAAGGTAAGTGATTGGTCCTTATTTATATTTGGGGTGTGTGTTGTGTCTGTCCATATTTATGGATACAGCATATAGAATAATTCCTGTTGTGGGTTTGATTTTTGTTATGTTTTGAGAATTCCTTGCTCTTGGCATCGAGACATCTCAGATGGTTGAGAGGTGCTACGTTTGCCTCTTCCAAATACTGCGAAAGGGTGTATCCTGTGACATCAGTATCTGGTCTTTTCTGTGGGTAGAAAGAACTGAAAATGTGTCTCACTTCTCAAGTTGAGGAAGTTGTGCTATATCTAAATTATTTACAGTGTACACCAGGGCTCAGCCCAGATGTCGTCATGCCCGGAGTAGAAAGTTCAAGAACTGCTGCTAGTTAACATGGCACACAGTCCAACAGGATGCTTTCCTGAGCAGGCGTCATTAAAATAGTTGGGAGCTGTGCAAAAGTTGTGTTCCATGCAGCTTCCGTTTATTTCAATCCCAATGGATTTTGTCTTGTGTGCTAGATTTCGGTGTTCCCCAGTCTGCCACCCATCATCTTATTTCATAGTTGCATCTGACCCTGTTGCCTTTTGGTTGTGGGTTTTTGCATGGCACTAGAAGATGTTATAAAGGTAAAGGTAAAGGGACCCCTGACCATTAGGTCCAGTCATGGCCGACTCTGGGGTTGCAGCTCTCATCTCGCTTTAATGGCCGAGGGAGCCGGCATACAGCTTCCGGGTCATGTGGCCAGCATGACTAAGCCGCTTCTGGCGAACCAGAGCAGCCGTTTACCTTCCTGCTGGAGCGGTACCTTTTTATCTACTTGCACTGGTGTGCTTTCGAACTGCTAGGTTGGCAGGAGCAGGGACCGGGAGCTCACCCCGTCGTGGGGATTCGAACCACCGACCTTCTAATCGGCTGTGGTTTAACCCACAGCGCCACCCGCGTCCCTTCAAAGGTTTTAGGAGGATATAAATTATGTCCGTGCTCACAGCCATGAATACACAGGAAACTATCAAATGGATTTGTTGGAAAACATACCTTGTAGGTGTGTGTTCTGCGAACAATTTGTATTAACACCTGTTTTTGTGTGTGACAGCTTTGACCTAAATGTAGCAAGGTGCTAATGCTTCTTTTTTCTGTTTTTAGGTTTTTTCCTTTGCAAGCTTCTCTCTGGCATGACAGCCATTGGTGATTCAAGTTTCAATCCTGATATGTTCTTCCTCGATAAACTTGTTGTTCCACCTTCCAGGTAACGAAGCACTTTTGGACTTAATTTCACAATGTGATCCTGAAAGGTTTTACTGGTTTACAGTTGTGATTTGTATCAGCTCTAGAAAGAGGGCATTGTTTATCTCTGGTTATAGATATCGTCCCGTGAATCGCATTGCAGACCAGATGTTTGCAAATGGTCAGACAGTGAACTTGCAAGCTGTGATGAAGGATGCTCTTCTGACTCGGAAACTTCTGGCTTTCATAGCTCAGGAACAGTGTCAGCCGTTGCAAATTGAAGAAGGAGACCTGAAGACGGTAAGGTCAGGAGGACCTGTTCAGTGTCTGTTGTATCAGTGGGAAACGCATGCGGTTAAAACCCAATGAGGCTTATATTTATACGCAACAGTAGCCGCAAGGCTATTGATTGCGAAAAACTGGAAAAGTGGTATTGTACCAACAAAAATAGAGTGGCTTGCCAAATTATTGGAGTACTACAATATATCCAAAACAATGGGAGAAATTGGAAGGATCTCAAACGAGAAGATAGATAGGGACTGGAAGGTGTTTAAAAGATACTTGCAAAACCATATCGAAAAATCAGAGCTCCTATTAGAATAAACAAGTGGAAAGAAATTGCAATTGAGTAGATTGGAAGTCTAACACAAAGGTGGTGTGGTGAGGGGTGGTGGATGGTGATGGGAAAAGGAATTATCTGTGGGATTGAGTGTAAGTATGTTTGAAGACTTTTAAGGATTGTATGAAATGTATGTTTGTATGCTTGTATATTTGTAATATATGTGTGTTAACGATGAATTATTTTAACAATAAAAACTTAATAATAATAATAATAAAAAACTCAGTGAGGCTTTTTGACCTCAGTAGTTTTGTTTTTATGTTTCACAGATAAACACAGATAAACAGCCTGTGGAGCCCCTGGACCGTTCTGTCTTAGTGACAATCCCAGGGCAGACTACTGCAGATAAGCTGTACAACATTTGGATTCGTCTTCAGAGCCATGTAAATATTGTGTTCGACAGCGACATGGATAAGTTAATGTCTGAAAAGTACCCTGGTGTACGTCAGGTGAGAGCTGCAGAAATATTCAGTGTTTGGTTGAGTATTCTGAAGTTGTTGGAAGGGGTTGATACCTTGTGAACTACAGTCGTACCTTGGTTTTCGAACGGCTTAGTTCTCGAATGTTTTGGCTCCCGAACGCCACAAACTCGGAAGTGACTGTTCCTGTTTGTGAACTATTTTTGGAAGCCAAACTCCCAACAGGGCTTCTGATTGGCTGCAGGAGCTTCCTGCAGCCAATCAGAAGCCGTGCTTTGGTTTCCGAACGTTTTGGAAGTCGAACGGACTTCCGGAACCGATTCCGTTCGACTTCCAAGGTACGACTGTATTCCTGACACTTATTTATTTTGCATATTTTAAAAATGCTCTTCAGCGAAACAGCTCCCAGCACAGGTCACAATGAAATACAAAGAACAGAATATCAAGACGCTGTAGCAAAACAAACCAGTCCTAATAAAGCCAGCAATCAAGCAGCACTTAAGCTAAGTTAAGAGACAGAAGTTTAAAAGTCTGGGAGAATGAAAGAAAACAGTCATTTGGAGCCAAAAAAGATAGCAGAGAAGGCCTAACCAGGAGGGCCCAAGGAGTGGTGAGGGATTGTCATAAATGAGGTACCAGCACCAAAAATAGGTCTGTCAAGTCACTACCCATCTCATCTCAAATATATTGGGGAGCCCACCTAGATGAGAGTTCTCCACCAGTTCTCCTTCAGGTGGGCAGGCTGATACGGGACCAGACTTCCTTCAGGTATGCAGGTCCCAAGCCGTGTTAAGGCCTTGAAGGTAAGCAGCAATGTTTCAAAATGTGCTCTAAAACGAACAAGAAGTCAGTGCAGTTCTTGTAAGTGCTGGCGTGATAGGGTTCCAACTTTCAGTCCCAGTTAGTTTAGAATACAGCTGCTAGGCTTAAAAGTGTAATTCTCAAGCAGCTTTTGAAAATAATGCATTGCGATATCCAATTCTGGATTTTTCCAGAGCATGGATTACCAAAGCCAAGTTATCTCTGCCAGGAGGCTACAGCCCCATATCAGTCTTGGCTGATGAAAGTCACACAATGATATACAGACCACCTGAATCTCTAGTGACAAAGTTGGGTTTAGGAGCATCCCCAGACCATAAACCTGGTCTTTAAGGACATGGGAATAGCCAATATGATGCCTTCGGATGTTGTTGGGCTCCAACTCCCACCATCCCTGACTGCTGGCTGGAGTCCAAGATTTGAGAGGCCAGAGTTCCCCCTATGCCTGCTTTAGGGGGAGTAAATCCTCATCTGCTGAACACCATTTCCTTGAGCAGACAAACCACATATCCACCAAATGTCCATTTTGTAAGGACTGAGTTTTAGATTATTGGCCCCCATCCAACAGTTCAGAACTTGCGCCATCTCACCTGACTTGAATGTAAATGAGAAGTTGAGTTAGGTGTCATTCACATATTGAGGGCACCTCACCAGATGACCTTCCCCAGCGGTTTCATGTATTGAACTTTTATGCTGAAAACCTAAATAGGTCAAAATAGTGAAAATGTCTGTCTCTCTCTCTCTGTCTCTATCTCCCTCTCCCCCGAAACGTTTGTGATAAAGTTTCTGGAGAAAAAGGATGGCCTGTTCCGCAAGCATATGATGGGAAAGCGAGTGGATTATGCAGCTCGGTCAGTCATTTGCCCTGACATGTACATTCGGACCAATGAAATTGGCATTCCTATGGTAAGAGAAACCTACTTAGTACAGAAGGTGGTTTATCATTTTGGAGATTTTGGGGGTTGGCATTTTTATACCTTTCCATGATTTTGGAATATGTTGTCTTTTATTATAATAATAATAATAATAATAATAATAATAATAATAATAATAATTGTTCTTGTACCCCACCCATCTGATTGGGTTCCTTGCAACGGAATATACAGTGGTACCTTGGTTTACAAACTTAATCCGTTCCGGAAGTCCGTTCTTAAACCAAGGCATGCTTTCCCATAGTAGCGGAGGACTCAATTTGCACTCAACAGGAAGCGGAACATGTTCTGCTCCCAAGGCAAAGTTCGCAAACCAAAACACCTACTTCTGGGTTTGCAACATTCTTAATCCAAGTTCCAAAATCCATAAACTAAGCTGATCTTAAACCAGGGTACCACTGTAATAGAACACAACAAAACCTTTAGCATTCAAAGCTTCCTGAAACAGGGCTGCCTCCAGATGTCTATGAAAAGTCATATAATTGTTTTGCTCTTTGACATCTGGTGGGAGGGTGTTCTACAGGGGGCATGTAACTACCAAGAAGGCCTTCTGCCTGGTTCCCTGTAACTTCACTTCTTGCAGTGAGGGAACCGCCAGAAGGCCCTCGGAGCTCGACCCTACTTCTAAAGCTGAGAATTTGTGTCTTCTAATCTATTTCCTCTGAAACATCTTGCAGTGATGATTGGTCAGGTAGGCTTCATTGGGAACACATAATTTTCAATGACTATGTGTGTATCACCACCAATATACACAGCACTTTGCAAAGTAACATCAGCCAAAAAAAGGACCCACATGGAGGCAACAAACTAAATGTACAGAGAAGGATGGACTGAAAGAGGAAGAAGAAGGAATGATAAAGGGAGGGCCAGGTTATTTTGACCTTGCTGCAGTTGTGGGTGAGAGTTAAAAGCCTATGACAGTGAATAATATTTATCTCGCTAGTACACTGATTACTTAGTCTTAGTAAGGAGAATGGAAGTGAATCTCTGCTCTTGTGATACCACGGACAAGAACTTGATCCTTGCCTTTGCTTTTTCTTCCTTGTAGGTGTTTGCTACCAAGCTGACTTATCCTCAGCCTGTAACTCCCTGGAATGTCCAAGAATTGAGGCAGGCGGTCATCAATGGTCCCAATGAGCACCCAGGTGCTTCCATGGTTATCAACGAAGATGGGTCTCGCACGATACTGAGCACAGCCAGTCAGACCCAGAGGGAAGCCATAGCCAAGCAACTTCTGACTCCTTCCACAGGGGCACCGAAACCAGGGATAAAAATTGTGAGTAGAGTTGCTTCACACATAAGGGCACTTCAGGGCAGCCAACATGGTGCTCTCCAAATGGTTGGAGGTCCAGTGGTCAGGGATGATGGGAGTTGTAGTCCCATCATCCCTGACCGGTGTAGGTGGAGGGCATCATATTGGATAATGCCCCTGACCTAGAAGTTAGGATGATGAGGTTAAAGACTTAAAACAAAAAAACCCCACAACCCTCCCTGGCTAGATGACTCAGCTTGCATCATTGAAGATTACAGGACTTCTAGCAGTCCACCGCCAAGCTGGCTCCATCAGGTCCAAAACTTAGAGCAAGGGGTGCAGGATAATCTGGTCCCCTCTCAACACCTTCCTCAGTCGAGGGAACACACTTCTCTCCTTAGGCAAATGGAGCATTGCTTTCTGAAACCCCAGTATCAGTTAGTCTGAACAAAGGTACTGGACCAGTAGGTGAAAGGCAGATTCTGGGTTCTCCTTACTTCTCTGTGAATTCTCCTTCCACTTTGGCTGGCTGTGTCCTTTTAAACATGCTTTGGGGGGTGCTTTGTTGGTTTGTTTTCATTTTAATTGTGTATTTTGAGTTCTCATCTTGTTGTGAACTACCCTGTGATCTTCCGATGAAGGGTGGTACAGTGGTACCTTGGGTTACATACGCTTCAGGTTACATATGCTTCAGGTTACAGACTCTGCTAACCCAGAAATAGTACCTCGGGTTAAGAACTTTGCTTCAGGATGAGAACAGAAATTGTGCTCCTGCGGTGCAGCGGCAGCGGGAGGCCCCATTAGCTAAAGTGGTGCTTCAGGTTAAGAACAGTTTCAGGTTAAGTACGGACCTCCGGAACGAATTAAGTACTTAACCTGAGGTACCACTGTATACAGATTAAACAAACGAAACAAGTAACGGACTATGAATAAAAAGATTTCCTAGGAGGTTGTCATAACAAGACTCCTTCCTCCCCTTCTCCTGTCTCCACTGGCTCCAATCTCACTGCTCAGGCCTGCAATGGATTCCATGAGAGTCCTGTGCCCCATTAGTTTTAGTCAATAGATTCCACCATCAAGGAAGAAGAGAGGAGAGACACAGGTTGCAGCTTCTTAGCCTTTAGGAGGGAAGAAAGGCTCTGTGTCTCCTACTGTGTATTGAGAAATTATCTTAACTCTCTTGGAAAGATTTCTTTTTTATGTGGCTGAACTTGAACCTCTTGCAGGTGTGCCGCCATATTAAAAACGGAGATGTCCTTCTGCTGAATCGGCAGCCTACCCTTCACAGACCCTCCATACAAGCTCATCGAGCCAGGATCCTGCCCGAAGAGAAGGTCCTGAGGCTTCACTATGCCAACTGCAAAGCCTACAACGCTGATTTTGACGGCGACGAAATGAACGCCCACTTCCCTCAGAACGAACTGGGCAGAGCTGAAGCCTACGTCCTGGCGTGTACTGACGAACAGTATCTTGTCCCCAAGGTGAATCGGGGAGCAAATTGTGTTGGACGTTGCTTGATTTCCCCCCTGCTTCCTTGGCGTTTTCCTTCTCTGTTTTTCAGCCATGCGATGGTAGGAAAGATAGGTGCTGCATAACTCTTTATCTGCCAGTGGAGGAAACAGGATTGTGAACTTACAAAAAATATTGGCGGGCATGCATTGCCAGTCTTTGGAATTCCCATTGGATTCTCTGGGAGGTCCAGCTGCAATCAATTTGCATGCCAATCAATGGAGCACAAGGCCTCTGAATGCAATTCAGCGCTGGCTATGCACTGGGAGGGAGCCAGGGTGGTATAATTTTGTAACTGAGCTGTGGTACAACTCGAGGTGGGGTGTTTTTGGGGGGTGGGGTGGGGGTGGAGCTTTTGAAAATAAAATCTAAGGCAGCGACTGGCAAAGTGACCAGCTTTGGGATGGGGGTCTAATAATAATGTCCACTGTGGTATTTTAAAGCATGGTTTTGTTGTTGTTGTTTAGTCGTTTAGTCGTGTCCGACTCTTCGTGACCCCATGGACCAGAGCACGCCAGGCACTCCTGTCTTTGTCCATGGAGTTTTCTTGGCAGGGATACTGGAGTGGCTTGCCGGTTCCTGCTCCAGGTGGATCACGTTTGGTCAAAACTCTCCACTATGACCTGTCCATCTTGGGTGCCCTGCTCGGCATAGCTCATAGCTTCTCTGAGTTATTCAAGCCTCTTCGTCACAGCAAGGCAGTGATCCATGAAGGGGAAAGCATGGTTTAGCAATTGTAAAAATCCAGAGGGGTTATGTAATGTCTTGAAGGGAGGGGATACCAAAGTTGATTGCAGTGGCATTGTGCGGGGTGGCGGTGGGAAGAAGAGCAGTTAGCCCAGGCTTCCTTAACCTTGGCCCTTCAGATGTTTTTGGCCTACAACTCCCATGATCCCTAGCTAGCAGGACCAGTAGTCAGGGATGATGGGAATTGTAGTCTCAAAACATCTGGAGGGCCAAGGTTGAGGAAGCTTGAGTTAGCCCTTTTGCTGCATGACATTTTGAGGAGCAAAATTCCCTCTCCAAGATGCGTTGCAGTCTGGAGAGGCCTTTCACCTTTTTTCACGTGGGGGAGAAAGTGGGTGGTGGTGTTTATTGCAGAAGCAGCCTGTGGGGAAAGGGCTTTTCCTCAGCCTCCCTGCCATTAACTTTGCAGCCTCCCCTAACGCTTATTTCCTTAAAGGGTCCATGCACTTTCATGCTTCTAAGCCCCAGGATGGTTGCATAAGCCCCTCTGAGCCACAGTCTCCCAGCCTGTAGTGTGGTGATAATAACAGTGGGCTGTTGGTTTTGTCCAAGGTCTTTTCCAAGTTAATTTGTAACTTAATCCTTTAAGTGCAGTGTTTAAAGGAGCTATAGAATTTCCCACTGGACCTGCTAACATAGCGCTTGACGCTTCCTTTTCTGTCTTGTTTATTTTTCAGGATGGGCAGCCGCTGGCAGGTTTGATCCAAGATCACATGATCTCTGGTACCAGTATGACCACACGGGGCTGCTTCTTCTCTAGAGAACAGTATGTGGAACTTGTGTATCAAGGGCTGGTAGACAAAAAAGGAATGGTGAAGCTTCTCCCTCCAGCCATTATAAAGCCGCAACACTTGTGGACAGGGAAGCAGGTAGGTTAACCAGTACGCCTTAAATAAAATAGTCTGTTCAGAGTTGAACAGTATGATTTAAGGCTTGCCCTTTCACTGAAATAATGGGCACATTTGTGTGTGTGTGTGTGTGTGTGTGTGTACACATATATACATATAGAATCATAGAATCATAGAGTTGGAAGAGACCACAAGGGCCATCGAGTCCAACCCCCTGCCAAGCAGGAAACACCATCAGAGCACTCCTGACATATGGTTGTCAAGCCTCTGCTTAAAGACCTCCAAAGAAGGAGACTCCACCACACTCCTTGGCAGCAAATTCCACTGTCGAACAGCTCTTACTGTCAGGAAGTATATATACATATACGGTGATACCTTCGGTTGCGGACGGGATCCGTTCCAGGGCTCTGGTCGGATCCCGAGGTTTTTGCAACCGGAGGTGCCTGCTCTGTGCATGCGCAGCAGAGCGTTTCTGTGCATGCGTGCACAGCAAAACCTGGAAAAATACTTCTGGGTTTGCCGCGTGTGTATCCCGAAGGATATGTAACCAGAGGTGCTCGTAAGTAGAGGTACTACTTACATATATAATCTTACTTACATATATACATACTTACATACGTACATCTATCTATCTACATCTCTGGAGTTATTGGATTGTGGTTTTTGTTTGTTTGTATAATGCAGTTTCCCCTTGATAGTGTGAAGGAGCAATCTGTTAGCTATACACCTGATACTTGGATAGAAACAAGAGGAATGAGTCAAGCTGGTTAAGAATATGCCCCATCCCTCCTGCTGCTCTTGGCTGTGTTGCTGCCTGCTGAAACGGGATTGGAGACTCCCCAGTTTTCCTTTTAACGTGCTGGACTTTTCCATTATGTTTTTCCCCACCCGCCCCCATTATGTATTAAGTCCAGCTTCCTTCCATATTTTTCAGTCTTTTCTCCCCCGCCCATCACGATTTTCCCCATTTTCCTCCAGCTCCCCTCACCTTTCCCCCCTGGAATTCGATTCTGTGAGCAGGGCTTGTTTGTTGTTGTTTTTTATGCAGCACCTCCCTTTAGAGCATAATAGGTGCTTTCTAAATATATTTTCAACTATTTTCTTTTATAAACCGCGCTTCATCTGAAGATCTCAGAGTGGTTCACAAACTAAAAATACAGGGCAAAAGCACAAAATGAAAAAGTGAAAACACGACAATACCCCCCCACAAAAAAACAATAAGATGGGTGAAGATGGCTAAAACACAGAGATCCTTTTGATAGGTTGCCTGCATCCAAGGCCTTGTTGTTTTTGTGCAGTTCAGCGTTGTATGTATGTGCTTCCTGCTGTTCTATCCACAAAGGTGAATGCACCATTTGCCAACACGTAGGGGTAGGTCAACGCCTTGAAGGGACCAACTGCACATCAGAATGAATTCCTTTTCCATTTGTAATCAAACCTTGTATTCCATCGCAGGTTGTTTCTACATTGTTAATAAATGTAATTCCAGAGGATCACATTCCACTGAACTTGCTTGGGAAAGCCAAGATTGATGGAAAAGCCTGGACGACAGGCTCTGCCAGTAGAATTCATGGATCGGGTCTTGCCTTTATGTGCGAATCGCAGGTATGGTTCGATGTTTAATAATGTACAGGGTCGACAAGGGTCCCAGAGTTTTGGCTGGCCTTGCTGGCCAGACAGGACAGTCCTTATTGACATATGAGCATATCCTGATCAATACAGGCAACTCCCCATTTATGCAGGGGTTATATTCCAAAGCACTGCACATTTAAGTGAAATTGTGTATATTTGAAACATCATTGAAATAGCCTGCAAATCCCACCTCTGCCCTGTGCTGCCCCTTTTTGTGACGTTTTTGGGTCACTTCTGGGTTGATCGCAATGCACATATGCCCAGTTGCACACATATTGAACATGAGCAGATGGGGGTCGCCTGTACCTCTGAGGCTCCAGGCCCTGTCTGCCCACCCTGGCATTATTATTACTATAATTAATTAAATTTCTATACCGTTCTTCATCTGAGGATCACGGAGCAGTTTACAGTATAAATACAGGTCAAGGATCTGTGCTGTTTTGGCAAAACCAAAATGGGCACCTAAAAGTGCACTAAAAGAGGAAGTTTCGGAGTGGGTGTAGTCAAGTCTTGACTTGGAAGTCTTTTATATCTGCCAGGTTGTCATCAGAAATGGAGAGCTGCTCTGTGGGGTGTTGGATAAGGCACATTATGGTAGCTCTGCCTATGGGCTGGTCCACTGCTGCCATGAGGTCTATGGTGGTGAGACCGGTGGAAAGGTGCTCACAGCTCTGGCTCGGCTCTTCACTGCCTACCTGCAGTTCTACAGAGGTTTTACAATGGGTGAGTAATCCATTTCTCATTACTGTTTCTCTTAAAAAGAAGCACACAGTTGTTTCAGCACCCAAAATATTAATCAAAACATCTCCTAAAATGACACTTCTGCTCTGATCCTTTGTTTGAAAGCAATCTGCATTTAAGGGACGCGGGTGGCGCTGTGGGTTAAACCACAGAGCCTAGGACTTTCCGATCAGAAGGTCGGCGGTTCGAATCCCCGCGACAGGGTGAGCTCCCGTTGCTCGATCCCTGCTCCTGCCAACCTAGCAGTTCGAAAGTACATCAAAGTGCAAGTAGATAAATAGGTACCGCTCCGGCGGGAAGGTAAACGACGTTTCTCGCGTTATTGGCCGAGGGAGCCGGTGTACAGCTTCCGGGTCATGTGGCCAGCATGACTAAGCCGCTTCTGGCGAACCAGAGCAGCGCACGGAAATGCCGTTTACCTTCCCGCCGGAGCGGTACCTATTTATCTACTTGCACTTTGACGTGCTTCAAACTGCTAGGTTAGCAGGAGCAGGACCAGCAACGAGCTCACGCAGTGCAGGATCAACCACCGACCTTCTGATCGGCAAGCCCAAGAGGCTCAGTGGTTTAACCCACAGCACCACCCGCGTCCCTCATAAAAAGGTAGTTGCTTAAATAAAGTAATTGGTAAGCCAAGCAGAGCAGAAAGTCTGTCTGGGTTTACCAGAGAAGAGCTTCCTCTCAGGAAAAAAAAAACCCTGAAGAAAAACTTGCTGAATCTCAGGTGGGAGAGGGTAAGCACTCAGTTCTATCTTCTCATTCTAGGAGTTGAAGATATCTTGGTCAAACACCGGGCAGACCACAAGAGGCGCAAGATCATTAAAGAAAGCACCTGGTGTGGTACAAAGGTAAGCTGATACTTTTTTGGGGGGGGGGGTCTCACTTCCCCAACCGCCTTGCATTGTTATACCTGACTTGGCCCTTAACACCGCCTTGTTCTTTTCAGGCTGTTCAAGCTGCGTTTAACTTGCCTCAAACCTCATTGGATGAGGAGGTCCGAGGGAAGTGGCAAGACGCCCATCTTCACAAAGACCAGAGAGATTTTAACATGGTCGACCTGAAATTCAAAGAGGAAGTCAACCATTACAGCAATGAGATTAACAAGGTTTGCATCAAGTAATTTGAGATCATCCTAACATAACGTTGGTTCATGTATTGGACTTCTTATCATTCCTGTGCAGTCTACAGAAATAGAGATATAGATGTTTAAATACATTTGTTTGAGGAGCTCAGGGGCATGTAATATACAAGTTCTCCCATTTTATGATTGGAGCAATAAAGTGGCTTAGGTTAGACCCAAGCCTGCCCAGTGGGCCTTATAGATAGAAGGGGAGTTGGGGACTCGACCTTTCCTGCTCGTAGTCCGGGTTCCTGCCCACTTCACCACACTAGCTCTTGACAGAGTAATTCGTACTGCTTTTTCACTAAAGAAATTGTAGTTCCAGTAACAATATACAGTCATACCTCATGTTACGTTTGCTTCATGCTACATTTTTTCAGGTTGTGTCCTGCGGTGACCCAGAAGTACCGGAAAGGGTTACTTCCGGGTTTCGCTGCTCGCGCATGTGCTCAAGCGCTAAATCGCGCTTTGCGTATGCGCACAAGCGCCAAATCGCAGTGCATACCTGCACAGATACGGCACTTCAGGTTGCACACTTTTCATATTGCGAACGGGCCTCCGGAATGGATCCCTTTCGCAACCAGAGGTACCACTGCATAGAAAAGAGAGTTGGTTCTTTATTTTCCCCATTGGTTTCTTATATCCCCCCTATTTCTTGGTAGTGTCGTCCTGGCTTAAACAGTGACTTTGTTTCTTCTTTTATTCCCCAAAAACTGTAGGTGTGCATGCCTCTTGGACTTCACCGGCGTTTCCCAGAGAATAACTTGCAGCTGATGGTCCAGTCGGGAGCCAAAGGTTCTACTGTGAATACTATGCAGGTAGTGTTTTCAGACAGTGCAATTTAGCTGTAATCTGCAAAGCGAGATCAATATACCTTCCACGTCGTCCAGACTTCTGAACCAGGAGTGCTGTGCATAGCCAAGTGATAGCAGTGATTCATTTTGTGACCATTCAATACTACAAATCGTTCTGCTCTGAACATTCTTATTTTAGGACGCCAGTGAAGATTAGCTAGCCACCACTCCTGTCTACTTGTTTTCAGTTCCTCTTGTTGGTATTTAAATGCATAAATATCAGAGAGAAATGACAGGGATCTTTTTAGATTACAGTGGTACCTCGAGTTAAGTACTTAATTCGTTCTGGAGGTCTGTTCTTAACCTGAAGCACCACTTTAGCTAATGGGGCCTCCTGCTGCCGCTGCGCCGCCGGAGCACGATTACTGTTCTCATTCTGAAGCAAAGTTCTTAACCCGAGGTACTATTTCTGGGTTAGCGGAGTCTGTAACCTGAAGCATCTGTAACCCGAGGTACCACTGTATTCTAGTAGGATGAAAATTGCAGGTTACATGACAGAACTTGAATATAATAATGCTTTAACTCAACATGTTTTTAAAGAGCTATAGTTTTATTTGAAGAAGTCAAAGTAAGCTAGTTAATTCTGATCTGATCTTGAGTTTGTATCTCATTGTGTATCTCTCTTGGCTTCTTAAAGATTTCTTGCTTGCTGGGCCAGATTGAGTTGGAAGGTCGAAGGCCTCCCTTGATGCCATCTGGCAAATCGTTGCCATGTTTCCAACCTTATGACTTTCCCCCCAGATCAGGGGGGTTTGTGGCTGGCAGATTCCTCACTGGCATTAAACCGCCCGTAAGTTCTTCCGCCTTGACTCTTTTTCTCTGGGCTGCATTTCTCTCATGTGACTTAAATGTACCTTCAAGCTGACATAATCTAATACCATTTTGTCTCTGTTCTGTTGGATATTGCCAGTTTTAAGCAGAGCCTTACGTAGCGTGCTGCTGCCTGGTTACATGGGGTAAGAGTCCTTTTCTCACAGATGTTATATTTGTGGTTTAGGAGTACTTCTTCCATTGTATGGCTGGTAGGGAGGGTCTAGTGGACACAGCTGTCAAAACCAGTCGGTCTGGATACCTTCAAAGGTAAGAGCTGCTTTATTACAGTATTTCTGTTTTTACACTTACCGATGCTACTGCCTCAGTGAGTGGCGTGCAGTGGAATTTTTCATAGGGGAACAGTTAGGGCCAGGCGTGCCAGCTTGCAAGGACGATTGGAGCGGGGGGCGACATTCCACACATGAGCATCACACCTCCCTCCCTAAGGCTTTGGGAAGAAGGCTCCAGGATGCTGGAATTCTGCTGCCTCCTTCCCAAAATCCACTTGGCTTTCGGAAGGTCCGGGAGGGCTCTTGGACCCTGTCGGAGCATCGTGCCTCCCTCCCTAAACCAGGCAGAAGCTTCCTGGGCTTTGGGAAGGAGGCACCAGACTTTAATACTCTAATTTACTGGGTTCGAATCCCTGCGATGGGGTGAGCTCCCATTGCTCTGTCCCAGCTCCTGCCTACCTAGCAGTTCGAAAGCACACCAGTGCAAGTAGATAAATAGGTACCGCTGCGGCGGGAAGGTAAATGGCATTTCCGTGCGCCCTGGCTCCCGTCATGGTGTTCCCTTGTGCCAGAATGCTGGCCACATGACCCGGAAAGCTGTCTGTGGACAAACGCCGGCTCCCTCGGCCTGAAAGCAAGATGAGCACCGCAACCCCAGAGTTGCCTTTGACTGGACTTAACCATCCAGGGGTCCTTTATCTTTTACCTTTACCGGGAACATTTAGGGGACTAACCTAGTCCCCCTAGTCCACCACTGTACTGCCTATTTCTAATCAGCAAGGAGCAAACTATTTAGCCGTCTTAAATATAGCCTCTTTCATGTCAGATTGATCATTAGCAAGCAGGCATTCTGCTGTGTTGTATCCAACGGCTGCATTTCTAAAGTTTCTTGTAAATCTTTTAAAGACACTGACTTCAGGGTCCCCTAACATTCTCCTCCTCTTGTCACGTTAATCTTTGTGCAGGTGTATCATAAAACATTTGGAAGGGCTGATAGTTCACTATGACCTGACTGTGCGAGACAGCGATGGCAGCCTAGTCCAGTTTCTCTATGGAGAAGATGGCCTAGACATCCCCAAGACACAGTTCTTGCATTCCAAACAGTTCCCTTTCATCACGGATAACCACAAGGTAGGGTTTTCTGCCTCCATTTATTTGTGTAGACTTTGGAGTGTATCTTCTTCTAAAAAGGACTTATTCTGAAAATGGCATGTTGCAGGGTTTTCGGGAGAAATGAAATACCGTATTTTTTGCTCTATAAAACTCACTTTTTCCCTCCTAAAAAGGAAGGGGAAATGTGTGTGCGTCTTATGGAGCGAATGGAGGCTGTGCAGCTGTCACAGAAGCCAGAACAGCAAGAGGGATTGCTGCTTTCGCTGCACAGCGATCCCTCTCGCTGTTCTGGCTTCTGAGATTCAGAATATTTTTTTTTCTTGTTTTCCTCCTCCAAAAACTAGGTGCGTCTTGTGGTCTGGTGTGTCTTATAGAGCGAAAAATACGATATGTGCAATGGCTGCATAGCGGTGTCTGTCAGAAAAGGCCCTTTCATGGTAAGTGGCCAGTGTTCCATCCCCATCAACTGTTTTTGTATATTTCTCACAGGTGATAGAGAAATCAAAGCATTTGGATGAAGTGTTGCCGAAAATGGACCCCCAGCAAGCAGACAGCCAGTTCAGATCCATCAAGAGATGGCAGAGCAAGCATCAGCAGTCTTTGAGAAGGGAAGGAGGCTTTTTGCTGTTTTCTCAGGAAATGTTGGCTAGTGTAAAAGCACAGATCCCTACAGGAGAACTTGTGAATGGGCGAGATCCTGCAACTCTGCAGGTAATTTTCAGTACAGATGGGGCTTGTCAACCTAGGAAGGTAGCCCATCTAGGAGAAGGAAAATTGATCTTAAACCTCCAGTGCAGGCTTCCTCAACCTCGGCCCTCCAGATGTTTTTGGCCTACAAATCCCATGATCCCTAGCTAGCAGGACCAGTGGTCAGGGATGATAGGGATTGTAGTCTCAAAACATCTGGAGGGCTGAGGTTGAGGAAGCCTGCTCCAGTGCCTTGCAGGATATCTTTGGAAGAAGAAAAAGGCTAAGGAGTAAACTCTACACAAATCCAAAGTGGAATCCCTAAGACAATTGGAAGGCGTCTTGTATGCCTCCTTCTGGCAACTCCTGCAGCCAAGCTGGTGCCAAATGTATTGCTCTGCTTTCCTTTGGACCACATCTGCAAGGCCGAGAGAGAGGTCTTGTCATCTGAGCAGCCCAAGACCTCCATACACACTGACCAGGCTTGCACCCCAGGGAGGTCGCTTCAGTGCTGCTAATGTGACGGTTTGACTTCACCCCCAGAGGTGCACTCTATTGTCTCTTGAGATGGATGCCAATAATATTTATATACTGTCCAATTGTCTGGGTGGTTTGCAGTTGATTGTAATGATTCGTGAATGCAAATCATTGCATGGTTTATGGTTTTTGTAGTTATAAGGGAAATGCCGTATTTTTTGCCCTATAAGACTCACTTTTTCCCTTCTAAAAAGTGAGGGGAAATGTGTGTGCCTCTTATGGAGCGAATGCAGGCTGCGCAGCTATCCCAGAAGCCAGAACAGCAAGAGGGATTGCTGCTTTCACTGCGCAGCGATCCCTCTTGCTGTTCTGGCTTCTGAGATTCAGAATATTTTTTTTCTTGTTTTTCTCCTCCAAAAACTAGGTGCGTCTTGTGGTCTGGTGCGTCTTATAGAGCGAAAAATACGGTAATTTGCCTCTGTACCATGTTTTTTTAAAAATGGTTCTTTCAAGTGCAGGAAATCTGCGTACAATACTGGGGGGGGGGGACTTATGCTGCCTTTAATTCTGCTACCCATTTCAGTTGTTAAAGATGTGGTATGAATTGAGCGAGAAGAAGCGGAAGAAGTATCAGAAGAAGGCAGCGAAGTGTCCTGATCCTAGCCTTGCTGTCTGGCGGCCAGACATCCATTTTGCATCAGTATCGGAAACATTTGAAAGAGAAGTTGAGAATTTCCTCAGAGAGTGGGACACTCGGAACAACACGAGCTACAGCAAATCTGAACTTTCTTCTCAGAGGTAGCAATTTTTATTTTAAGGCATATGCAAGCACTGCTGCTTCTGTCTTAGGGTCCAGAATGCCTCGTCTATTTATTTATTTAAGTATCTATTAAGCGACATCTTAGGTCTCTACTAATTGTGAAGAGACAATTGATTGCATCACAAAGTTGCTGCAGATTCTGAACAGGTTGTCAACATGTGACTGTCCTTCAGCATGCTACAATAGTTTCCTGGTGTGGAGCTGAAATGTCTTTATAATCCTGAAAAAGAGAGCCTAAATCTTCAAGATTAACAGTGTTCTAATTCACAAATAGGGACGCGGGTGGCGCTGTGGGTTAAACCACAGAGCCTAGGACTTGCCAATCAGAAGGTCGGCAGTTCGAATCCCCGTGACGGGGTGAGCTCCCGTTGCTCGGTCCCTGCTCCTGCCAACCTAGCAGTTTGAAAGCACGTCAAAGTGCAAGTAGATAAATCGGTACCGTTCCGGCGGGAAGGTAAATTGTGTTTCCGTGCGCTGCTCTGATTCGCCAGAAGTGGCTTAGTCATGCTGGCCACATGACCCGGAAGCTGTACGCCAGCTCCCTTGGCCAATAAAGCGAGATGAGCGCCGCAACCCCAGAGTCGGTCACGACTGGACCTAATGGTCAGGGGTCCCTTTACCTTTACTAATTCACAAATAATAAACCTAATACATTGTTGTGTTGCTTACTTGCCATCCAACACAAACCAGTGGTCTAGGACAGGAGTGAGGAATGTGTGTGGCCCTCTGGATGTTTCTGGACTCCAACTCCCATCAGTCCCAACCAGCATGGTTGACAATTGTGAATGATGGGAGTTGTAGTCCAGCCACATCTGGAGAGTGACGGGTTTCCTGTCTCTGGTTTAGGGCTCTCTCTTTGCTGTTTTTACTTGTACGGCCGGCTTTTTATCTTCCAAGAATTACTTCTGTAATAGTAACAGAGGAGGCTTTAGGAATCATTAATGCTACACTTGCCAGGTAACAGCTGCAGAGAGAGTTAAGACGCTGGCACTGAATCTTATGTGGAGCTGGAAAATATGTGCGTATTTGAAAGAGAGGCAAAGAGGGATAGAGGAATGTGCAGCATGATACTCTGTAGGTCTGCTCAGAAGTAAGTCCTTCCAGATTCAATTGCACTTAAAGGTAAAGGGACCCCTGACCATTAGGTCCAGTCGTGTCCGACTCTGGGGTTGCGCCGCTCATCTCGCTCTACTGGCTGAGGGAGCCGGCGTACAGCTTCGGGGTCATGTGGCCAGCATGACTAAGCCACTTCTGGCGAACCAGAGCAGCGCACGGAAACACCGTTTACCTTCCCGCCGGAGCGGTACCTATTGATCTACTTGCACTTTGACGTGCTTTCGAACTGCTAGGTTGGCAGGAGCAGGGACCGAGCAACAGGAGTTCACCCCGTCACGGGGATTCGAACCGCCAACCTTCTGATCAGCAAGTCCTAGGCTCTGTGGTTTAACCCACAGCGCCACCCGCATCCCCCAATTGCACTTACTCCTTGGTAATTGCGCATAGGAGTTGTAGTCTTAAGGAAGGAGGTGGGATAGATGAAAACAGGAATTGCTATTTGAATGATGCACCAGGGCCTTTTAAAGCCTTTACGCCGGCATAGGATGTGGGTGGGTGTCATTTTGACTCTGCTTTAGGCATCAAAATCACAGCACCCTGATTATGAAATAGTGAAGGCTTTGCTTTTCCAGGGTGTTTTGTTAGAATCGGTTGCCTCCTTGAAAGGTTAGTCCGGTCCAATTTGTCGTTTTGACATTTCTGTTTTATTGTAAGTAACTTTTGAGCACATCTTATACAGAAAGGCAGGATACCAAATTCATAAACCAGCTCCTTACTCGGGTGTCCTCAGGTTAAAAGACTTGCTTCATTTGAAGTGGCAGCAATCGCTCTGTGACCCAGGAGAAGCTGTTGGTCTCCTTGCTGCTCAGAGTATTGGAGAGCCCTCCACGCAGATGACTCTGAACACCTTTCACTTTGCTGGAAGAGGCGAAATGAACGTCACACTCGGTATCCCGAGGTAAGATAATGTTGTGTTGTTTTGTTTTGTACTTTCTTCTAACCACTTCTCTCTCTAAGCTGTGCTGCACTGAATACAGAAGAAGAAGAAGAGTTTGGATTTGATATCCCGCTTTATCACTACCCGAAGGAGTCTCAAAGCGGCTAACATTCTCTTTTCCCTTCCTCCCTCACAACAAACACTCTGTGAGGTGAGTGGGGCTGAGAGACTTCAGAGAAGTGTGACTGGCCCAAGGTCACCCAGCAGCTGCATGTGGAGGAGCGGAGACGCGAACCCGGTTCCCCAGATTACGAGTCTATTGCTCTTAACCACTACACCACACTGGCTCTCAGATAGAAAAAGGCAGAGACTTGCCTTATCATGAAAAATTGAATATGCTAATTTTTTTATTCTTGCCATTATGGTCCAGTCCCCCCACAATAACTTTAGTTTTCATTGGGAAATGAAAATAATTGCTTTCATATTTTTTTCACTGCTCTGCCATCTTGAGTACTTCCTGCCTTCTGGGAAAATTTCAGCCTTTCCCTCCAGTACCCAGAGGGCAGGGCCTAGAGCAATGCTGAATGTCTGTCCCACTTATAAAGAGAGTAGACTTTCAGCAGGTAAGAATTCTCTTTTAAAAAAAAGTCTCTTTAATATCCGTGTGTCTAAACGTTCAATAATTCTTTGCTATAGGTTGCGGGAGATCCTGATGGTGGCTAGTGCTAATATTAAAACCCCGATGATGAGTGTTCCTGTACTTAATACCAATAAAGCTCACAAGAAGGTGAAGAGGCTGAAGAAGCAGCTTACCAGAGTATGCTTAGGCGAGGCAAGTCATTCTTTATATGGATTGATTGGTCGTGGAGACACTGTCATGAGCAGAGACTTTGGTGGGTGGGGTGAGCAGTGTGTATCTTTGCATGTAAGTCTTAGACCTCCCCTCTCCCTTCCTGAAGCCTTTCCTTTCTGGTACAGTGGTACCTTGGGTTACAGATGCTTCAGGTTACAGACACTTCAGGTTACAGACTCCGCTAACCCAGAAATAGTACCTCGGGTTAAAAACTTTACTTCAGGATGAGAACAGAAATCATATGGTAGCAGCCCGGCAGCAGCAGGAGGCCCCATTAGCTAAAGTGGTACCTCAGGTTAAAAACAGTTTCAGGTTAAGAATGGACCTGCAGAACGAATTAAGTTCGTTCTGGAGTTTAATTCTTAATTTGAAATGAATTAAGTTCTTAACCAGAGGTACCGCTGTATTTTAAAGTAACAAAGGGATCATATTTGGAGCTGGTTGCAGACCTGAGCATGAGCACTTGATTACTATATAGTGCAGCAAGAAAAGTGGTGTGGTTTGTTTTCTTCCTCTACCCCGTTTTGAAAACTCAGGATGTGTTTTGGATTTTAAAACAACAACAACAACATGGCACATATCCTTCTCCAATGGACTGTAGAGGAGGTTTTTGGAGAGCGGGAAAGTGAAAATAGTTACTTTTTCCTTCCTCCTGAAGCCAGCTTGTAAAGGGCAGGGAGGGAGGTTTCATGGTGTGCAACTCACTAACTGCAGCTGTAAAGGTAAAGGTAAAGAGACCCCTGACCGTTAGGTCCAGTCGCAGGCAACTCTGGGGTTGCAGCGCTCATCTCGCTTTATTGGCTGAGGGAGCAGGCGTACATGTGGCCAGCATGACTAAGCCACTTCTGGCGAACCAGAGCAGCGCACGGAAACGCCGTTTACCTTCCCACCGGAGTGGTACCTATTTATCTACTTGCACTTGGACGTGCTTTCGAACTCCTAGGTTGGCAGGAGCAGGGACCAAGCAACAGGAGCTCACCCCGTCATGGGGATTCGAACCGCCGACCTTCTGATCAGCAAGACCTAGGCTCTGTGGTTTAACCCACAGTGCCACCCGTGTCCCATAACTGCAGCTGTAAGGCACTTTCTAAATTCTCAAGACAATTGCTTTCTGTGCTGTGTGGAAGTTCAGAATCCCAATGGCGCTTCAGATTTGAAAGTCTGCTTTTTTGCGTGTGTGTGTTTTCCTAATGGAACGTCCACATTCTTGAAAACGGAGCAGGCTAAAATTATTTAGAAAAAGACTTCAGTTTGAAAGAAGGCTAACCCTAGGGAAACTTCAATTGTACTGGCAGCGAGATGGCTTACAAAGATACAGACAGCTTCCTAATAGGGTGTTAGAATTTAGGCATTCTTCTTACTGTTTCAGGTTTTGCAAAAATTTGACATTGAGGAGTCTTTGTGTTTGGAGGGGATGGTAAGCAAGCACCGTATCTACACCATCAAATTTACTTTCTTACCATATGAATGCTACCAGGAAGAGAAATGTGTGAAGCCCAGGGACATATTGCATTTTATGGAGTCGAGGTGAGTCCTTTTGTGTTCTTTCCTTCTCAAGACTTTTATCTTTGGACTGCAGAGATCTTAAACCTCAGTGATGTACTTTGCTAATTGTTTAAACATGATTAGGCGTTAATGAGAAGGAGATTGCTTTCCTTCATTCCAATTTTTGACCAGGCATTGTCTGTACACTCTCACTTGAACTGGATTTTCATATTTCCCCACGCACTGGCTACCCCTAGTTCAGGAATTTTTCACTAGCCCTATAACCAGATTCTGCATTATTTGAGGCTACCCTCCTACTTATGAAATGAAAACTATAGGTTTCAGAATTACAATAGCTATATTAATTTTAATTATAAAAGAAGAAGAAGAAGAGTTTGGATTTGATATCCCGCCTTTCACTCCCTTTAAGGAGTCTCAAAGCGGCTAACATTCTCCTTTCCCTTCCTCCCCCACAACAAGCACTCTGTGAGGTGAGTGGGGCTGAGAGACTTCGAAGTGTGACTGGCCCAAGGTCACCCAGCAGCTGCATGTGGAGGAGCGGAGACGTGAACCCGCTCTTAACCACTACACCACACTGGCACAACTTGGCAGGGAAATTCCCTTTGAATTTGTCCTCTGATTTGTCTGGATCCAGACAGGAAGCATGTCTAGCATTGGTTGCAGTGATGCACAGTCTGGAATCCAATTTGAGGCTTTAATTGTGAATGTATTACTCCATACTCCAGATTCTTTAAAATTTTACTTGAAACAATTAAGAGGAAGAGTTCTAAGTTGGCATCTTACAATACTGTGAGCACTCGAAGAGCAATGCAGAGGGACTTAGAAGGTGATGGGGAAGATGGCGTATTCCAAGAAAACCAGGTAAAAGTCTAGTCCTCTTGAGTCTACTAGTACTGTGAATCCTTGGTAAGGTAAAGGTAAAGGTACCCCTGCCCGTATGGGCCAGTCGTGTCCGACTCTAGGGTTGCGCGCCCATCTCACTCTGTAGGCCGGGGGCCAGCGCTGTCCGGAGACACTTCCGGGTCACGTGGCCAGCGTGACGAAGCTGCTCTGGCGAGCCTGCACCAGCGCAGCACATGGAAACGTCGTTTACCTTCCCACTAGAAAGCGGTACCTATTTATCTACTTGCACTAAGAGTGCTTTCGAACTGCTAGGTGGGCTGGAGCTGGGACCGAACGACGGGAGCTCACCTGTCGCAGGGATTCGAACTGCCGACCATACGATCGGCAAGTCCTAGGCTCTGAGGTTTTACCCACAGCGCCACCTGCGTCCCGCGTGAATCGTTGGTAGGCTTTGTAAAAAAATCAACTCATTTTTATTTGCATAGTTTTGCTCTTGCAATTCATTCTTTCACGTATTACAGTGGTAAACTGCTATCTTAAGTACGCAGGAGTTATTTGAAGTGTCCAGGAATCATTTGTGTAGATATGTTATACAGTATAAGAATAGTTCCTTCTGACCTTGAATCAAAGTCTTTTTTTCTTGAGCTTTTCCCCCTTGGAAATGTTTCATGCTGCTTTTAGCAGTCATACAGGCACATACGTTGTGCCCATGGTAAAAACCTATTTAACAAAATGCTGGTCTCTGCATTGCAATTGATGAGAATGACCGGTTGAATTGCTGTTGGTGATTTAAGATTGTTTTCCAGACCTTCGAAGGATCTTAGCTTTACTGCCCTACGATTCTCCTAGTGGGTCAGCTTCCTCAGGATATTCTACAAAGCAATAGTTACTGCTAGAAAGGCTCTCAATTGCTTCCTGTATGATTCTGTTAAGTCATTAGACTGTTGAAATACCGTATTTTTCACTCCATAAGACGCACTTTTCCCCTCCTAAAAAGTAAGGGGAAATGTGTGTGCGTCTGTGATGGGATTATGAGCTGCTTGTGCGTAAAATCGTATTCCCTCAGAGTTTGTTCAAGTCCACAAACCTCTGTCTGTGACTGAGCCCCTCTGACATGGCTCCTCTTAGTCACTAGAAGATTCCGACAGTGGTTGCTTTCGTAATCGCTTCCAACATAAAAGCTCCTTAACGGAAACACGTCTTCTGGACTCTCTGCGTGACAGTTTCCGGCGAGGAGTGGGTGTCGCTACAGGAGGTCCGGAAACCTCACCACTGTTTTCGCTGGAAGTATCTCTGAGCCATCCCCCAGCTCCCTTTCCCTCAGTTCAGCTTGTCTCCCCTGCTGGTTTCCTCTTCCGCTGCTGAGTCTCTTCCAACCTGTCTGAGCCCTTTCACCTCCCTCAGTTCAGCTTCTCTCCCTTGCTGGTTCCCTCTTCAGCTGCTGAATCTCTTCCAACCTGTCTGAGTCCTTTCACCTCCCTTCCTTCCGATGGCAGTTCCCTGACATCCACCTCCCCTCCAGGGCCCCCTTCACCCCCTCTCGCCCCCTCCTCTACGGGCGGTGAGGAGGCAAACCCCGGAATGAACTTCCTTCATCTTCCGATGTCTCGAACACTTCTCTCCACCTGTTGCGGTTCCTGGTCTCGAAGCACTCCTCCTCCTCCGAGTCCATCTCCCCTTCCCCTTCCGATTCTGGGAATCCTTCCAACTCCTCCTCCTCCTCAGTGGTCCCAAAGTATTCCCTCCGGAACCTCTCCACAGGCTGAGGTTTCCGCGGGAACCTTTGATGGAACATTTCTATCAATACCTCGTCATTGATATCTTTGGCCATTACCCACGTGTTTTCTGACTCCGGTTCTCCTTCCCACGCTACCAAATACTCCACCTGATTCCCCTTCCACCTGGCATCAAGGATTTCTGCCACATGACTGCTGCATTCTCTTTCTTCTATGACCGGTCCCCGAGTGTCCATCCCTTCTCGTCCCCTCGTACGGTGACAGTAACGACCTGTGAAATACTGGGTGCAGTTTCATGTGGTTGGGTAACCGGAGCCTGAAAGCCACTGGGTTGACCTGTTGAATGACCTCAAAGGGACCCAACCTCCTGGGTCGTAATTTCTTACAACCTCCTTTGAACGGCAACCCTCGGGTTGACAGCCACACCCTATCTCCAACCCTTATGGTTTCACCTTCCCTTCGGTTCTTGTCTGCCTGCCTCTTGTATTCTTCCTTCGCCCTTTCTAAGTTGAGTTGGAGCTGACGGTGGATTGCTTCCATTTCTTCTACAAAATGCTCGGCTGCCGGTACGCTCCATCTCTCCCTTCTCCCCTGGGAAAGCCCTGGGATGACACCCATAATTAGCCAAGAAGGGGCTCATCCCTGTGGACACATTCTCGGCATTGTTGTAGGCAAATTCCGCCAGCGCCAACTTTTCTACCCAGTCATTCTCTCTGTCATTGACATAACACCTCAGGTATTGCTGGAGGACACCGTTTGCTCTTTCCGCCTGCCCGTTGGTTTCAGGGTGCCGGGCAGTCGAAGAGTTGACCTCCACCTGCAGTAAGCTCATGAGCTTCCTCCAGAACCTGGAAGTAAATTGTTTTCCTCGGTCTGAGACCACCCTCAATGGCACCCCGTGCAACCTAAAAATGTGTTCTACAAATAACTTCGCTGTCTCTTCCGCCGTGACTGCATGCGAGCAAGCTACAAAGTGGCACATCTTTGTTAGTAGGTCTACCACCACCATGATGGCTGTTTTCCTTTGGACTTCGGCAGATCAGTCATAAAATCTATCGACACTGCCTCCCAAGGTCGTTCTGGTGTTGGTAAGGGTTCTAATAGCCCCGCCGGCGCCCGCCTTTCCCCTTTGGCTCGCTGGCACTGCTCGCACCCTCTTACATACTCACGTACATCCTCCCTCACCTTAGGCCACCAAAATTCCCTGGTGACCAACCACATGGTTTTGTGTTGCCCAAAATGCCCCGCCGTGGGGCTGTCATGCAACTGCTTGAGTACCCTCCCCTCTTAAGTCTCCTTCAGGGATATACAGTGCCCCTTTGTAATACAAAGCTCCATTTCTTTCCTCGAAACCCCTTGATTCCTCTCCCTCATCCCTAAGACCTCTGAGCTTATTCTGGGCGTATTCATCATTCTCTGTTTCTTCTACCAGTTCTCTTTGTCCCACCAATGCCGCCCCACACACCCAGCGGTCCTCTGGAATGACATGTCTCTCCCCCTCCCAATATTCAGGTTTGCGTGAGAGAGCGTCCGCCCTAATGTTCTCTGGGCCTGGCACGTAACAAATCTCAAAGTTAAATTTGGAGAATTCCTGGGCCCATCTCACTTGCCGTTGGTTGAGCACTCGTGCCGTCCTCCAATACTCTAGGTTCTTGTGGTCAGTGCACACTTGCACCTTATGTTGTGCGCCAATTAGCAGGTGCCTCCATCTCCGGAACGCCTCATGAATGGCTAGTAGTTCTCGGTCATACACCGTGTAGTTCCTCTCGGATTTGTTCAGCTTTCGCGAAAAAAGCACACGGTCTCCACTCTGACTCCTCCTTCCCTGGCTGGAGAAGCACCGCCCCAACCGCTCTGTCTGATGCGTCAGTTTCCACTCTCATCGGTTTTTGTAAATCCACATGCAGGAGCTGTTGTTCCGAGGCGAAGGCCCTTTTAGTTCCTCAAATGCTTGCTCCGCCTCCTCCGTCCAAACGAACTTCTTCTTACTGCTGAGACAGTCCGTAATGGGCGCCGTCAGGTGGGCAAAGTTTGGGATGAACTTACGATAGAAGTTCCCAAACCCTAAAAACCTCTGCACATCCTTCCTTGTTTTGGGTGTTTTCCATTCCAGTACCGCCTGGACCTTGCCGGGATCCATGGCCAACCCCTTGTCAGACAGGCGATACCCCAGGAATTCCACCTCCTTGGTATGAAACTGACACTTCTCCAGTTTCACCCACAGCTGGTTGGCTTGCAGCCTGCTCAACACTTCTCTGACGTCTCTCACATGCTGCTCCTCATTCTCAGAATACACCAACACGTCGTCTAAGAAGGCCACACAATTCTTGTAAAGCAACGGCCCCAGGACGTGGTTCATAAACGATTGAAATGTTGCGGAGCCTGCTTGTAGACCGAAGGGCATAACTAAGTATTCAAATGCCCCTAAAGGGGTGAACATGGTGGTTTTCCATTCATCCCCCTTCCTTATTCGTATCAGGTTGTACGCCCCCTTAGATCCAGCTTGGTGAAAATCTTTCCCTTTCGCACCCTTGTCAAAATGTCGTCAATCCTGGGCATCGGGAAGGCCACTGGTTCTGACACTGCATTTAAGGCCCTGAAGTCACACACCAGTCTCGGCTTGTTCGTGTTTTTTTGTCCACAAAAACACTGGGCTGCCCCCACCGCCCTGGACTCTCTGATGAACCCTCTCTTCAGGTTCTTGTCAATGAACTCTCTTAGCTCCTGCATCTCTCTGTCTGACATGGCGTACAGCTTGCCCACAGGGAGCTGTGCCCCAGGGAGCAAATTGATTTGACAGTCAAAGGCTCTATGCGGTGGTAGTTGGTCAGCTTCCCTTTCGCTGAAGACGTCGCGGAGATCTGCGTATTGTCGTGGTACCTTCACGTTCTCCTTCACTTCAGTCCCTGCTAGGGTGGCTTGGGCCCCTGCCAAAACCTTTCCCTCTTTGCAATGTTCTAAGCAATGTGCTGACCCAAAAGAAACCACTCTCTGATGCCAGCCCACCAGCGGATCATGTAACGCTAGCCAGCTCATCCCCAATATAATGGGAGCTCCTCCCAAGGTGGCCACATTAAAAGCTATCAGTTCAGTGTGCCTTGCCACCTTCATTATCATTGGGACGGTCTGCAAGCTGACTTCTCCTCCCAACAGCTCCCTGCCATCGATCGTGGTTACCTGCAGGGGTTGCTTAAAGGAGCGTCTGTATCTGGTGTTCAGCTGCAAACTCTTTGCTCATGAAATTGCAGGAGCTGCCTGAGTCCAACAGCGCCTTTATCTTTAGAGGGTGTCCGTTTGGGAGCTCTAGTGTCACTTCTATCACTAGGGCGGGTTTAGGAGGTTCTGGAGTGGGCACTTTCACTGCTCTTTGGCCTGGCTGCTGTGCCCCGACAATGGCAGCCAGGCGTTGGCTTTAGTTGCTCCGGTATTTTTTCCTCTCTTCCCTCCACAGCTCCCACCATCCCTTGCCATTCCTTCCTCTGGGGGCAGACTCTGGCAAAGTGCCCTGGCTGTTGGCAGAGATAGCATTTCCGGGCGCCTTTTCCATCCTTCTTTCCCCCCTCACTGGGCTTTGAAACTGCGCGCGCGCGCTGTTCCGATTTCCATCGGCTCTGCCGGCGGGACAGTTGGCTCTGGAATGTCTGGAATGCGGAACTCCTTCCAACGTTCCCTTTCCCTTCCCGCCTCTCCAATGCTCTCGCCTCCTGGCGCGCTCCTATGGCCAGCGCTGATTTGGTCAGCTGGTCCATAGACTCCGCCCTGGGCGCCCGGGAAAGTTCATCTTTCACAGCCGAAGAAAGCCCTTCTTCAAAGAGCATTTGAATGGGTTCCGCCGATAAGTCCCACCCCAATCTGTGTATCAGCATGGTGAACTCAGTCCAGTACTCACGTACAGATCGGCTCCCCTGTTTGCAAGCCATTAACTGTCTGCGCACCACTCCCTTTCAATATCGCTGGAAAACATCAGATCCATGGCGCGAAAGAACTTCATCGTGTCTTTTAAGACGTCACTATTCGCTGCCATCAGGGGTCTAACCCAGTCTCTCGCCCCCTTTTCAAGATGCCCAATCACAAAAGCCACTCGTGATTCCTCATCAGGGAAATCATCAAACTGCAGATTGAGGGCATATTGCATTTCTGTCCGAAAGCTATGATAGTCTTTGGGCTCCCCCCCAAATCTTTGCACCAATCCTGGTACCTTTCTGGCGAGCTGGGTGGCTTTCTCCCTTTTGTCTGCATCTTGAGCCCTCCTCTCCTCCAGCCTCGCCGTCTGCAGCGCCAGCTGGACCTCTAACACCCGGTACCTTTCTTCCAGGCTTGGACCCGCTCCAGCCCCTGCTTCTCCGGTTCCTGCTGGGTTGCTCATTATTATGCCGTCTCCTGCACAAGCTGCGTTCAAAGACTGTCGGAATGCTGTGATGGGATTATGAGCTGCTTGTGCGTAAAATCGTATTCCCTCAGAGTTTGTTCAAGTCCACAAACCTCTGTCTGTGACTGAGCCCCTCTGACATGGCTCCTCTTAGTCACTAGAAGATTCCGACAGTGGTTGCTTTCGTAATCGCTTCCAACATAAAAGCTCCTTAACGGAAACACGTCTTCTGGACTCTCTGCGTGACAGTTTCCGGCGAGGAGTGGGTGTCGCTACAGGAGGTCCGGAAACCTCACCACTGTTTTCGCTGGAAGTATCTCTGAGCCATCCCCCCCAGCTCCCTTTCCCTCAGTTCAGCTTGTCTCCCCCCTGCTGGTTTCCTCTTCCGCTGCTGAGTCTCTTCCAACCTGTCTGAGCCCTTTCACCTCCCTCAGTTCAGCTTCTCTCCCCTTGCTGGTTCCCTCTTCAGCTGCTGAATCTCTTCCAACCTGTCTGAGTCCTTTCACCTCCCTTCCTTCCGATGGCAGTTCCCTGACAGCGTCTTATGGGGCGAATGCAGGCAGGAAAAGCCCCCAAGAGCCGCACGCAAGCTCCGCGCGGCTCTTGCAGGCTTTTCTACGAGGTGGGAGAAGGGCAGCGTGTCACTGACACGCTGCCCTTCTTCCACCTCGTAGAAAAGCCCGCAAGAGCTGCGCACCCTTTAAAGAGCATGCGGCTCTTGGGGGCTTTTCCAGGAGGTGGGGGAAGGGACTGAGGGGCTGCCCTCTGTCCCTTCCCCACCTCCTGGAAAAGCCCCCAAGAGCCGCGCTGAGCGTCGCGGCTTTAGAGAGCCTGCGCTGAGGGAGGGTGACGGGCTTCCCTTCTCCCTCCTCGGGGAAAAGCCCCCAAGAGCCGCATACACACTCCACGCGGCTTGTGAAAGGAAGCACTGAGCATACAGGCTCTGCTCAGCGCTCCCTTTAAAAGTGTTTTTTTTCTTGCATTCCTCCTCTAAAAACTAGGTGCGTCTTATGGAGCGAAAAATACAGTAATCTACCTTCTAGACCTTAACAGCGCTATCAAGTGTGAAATTAAGGAAGCCTTGCCCAGTGGAAGCTTAGTTCTCTGTGGATGCAGAGCGTTCTTATGCCTGGTATTTCTTTCAAGCCTCTCAGTGATACGTCCAAAATAACCCATGTAAAAGTGTGAATCTCGAGGCCGTTCCCCCTTGCAGCTTTTCTCTTTGTTTAGGGTGACGATGAAGCTGGAGCTGAGGAAGGAGGAGGCGGAGGTGCTCCTGATGCTGAAACAGGTGAAGGGGATGATGATGCTACAGATGCAAAAAGAAGAGCAAAGCAGGAGGAGGAGGTAATGATATACTGTTAGGTCCCAGTAAAGGTAAAGGGACCCCTGACCATTAGGTCCAGTCGTGTCCGACTCTGGGGTTGTGGCGCTCATCTCGCTTTATTGGCCGAGGGAGCCGGTGTACAGCTTCCAGGTCACATGGCCAGCATGACTAAGCCACTTCTGGCGAACCAGAGCAGCGCACGGAAACGCCGTTTACCTTCCTGCCAGAGCGGTACCTATTTATCTACCTGCACTTTGACGTGCTTTCGAACTGCTAGGTTGGCAGGAGCAGGGACCGAGTAATAGGAGCTCACCCCGTCGCGGGGATTCGAACCACCGACCTTCTGATCGGCAAGTCCTAGGCTCTGTGGTTTAACCCACAGCACCACCTGCGTCCCTCTTAGGTCCCAGTAGGCTCTGCTTGTTTCAGTAAGAGCCGACTAAGAAAGGCCTTCTGCTCAGGTCAGTTTCTGAAGCAGAAGGAAAGGGAGGTGGGATAAAGGGAAGGGTCGAAATACTTAAGGAGCAATATTTTGTCCAAGTAATAAATCTGCTTCATTAAAGATTTGGCTTGCAGTGTTCTGTAATGAGTATATGTTGTCTAGAGAAGTATATGACTCAAAGCAGCTTTATACTGGTTGCCAGATGACGACAGCCTGTGTAAGTCATGTTTTTAAACAAGGCTTCACCTGCCTGCTTTTACTTTGGAGGGAAAGCATCCATAGGGCCCTGATCCAGAACCTGCTATTGCTCCAGGGGTCTCACAATTTTTTTCCTTCTGAAAATCACCCCCTGAAGGTGCTGTTTGTTGGTTTTTAAGCAGAAAACTAGTGTGGGGTGCCGGTTGAGATCAGGAAGTTAGGATCAATGGAAGATTCTTTTCAATGGCCCAATTGAAAGTGAAATTTGAAATTATCCTTGTACACTGGTTCTAGTACTTGGAGATGCAAAACTTGCTTAAACTTGTTTAAACATTCCCCCCCCCCTTTTTTTTTGTTGGTTAGGGTTCGCCTCTGACTGAAGTGTATCTTTCTTGCAGGTTGATTATGAGAGCGATGAGGACAATGAGGTGGATGATGATGATATTCCGGATGAGGAAGAGACACAAGGGTTGGATGAGAGGAGCCCAGAGGGAACGGAATCTCAGGATGAGCATTATGCGCCTTCCTCTAGTCAACAAACTCGAAACAAGAGGAAGAACTTGGATGAATTAGCACAGCAGAGAATTAATGCTGTGCAGGAGAGCAGCGATTCCATAGAGAGTTATGCCTACGACATAAAAAATGAACTGTGGTGTAAGGTAAGGTGGTGGAAGTGTGTGCGTCCAAAAACTGATGTGTTCAAGCTGCGGAGCACAAACCATAATGTTGCAATTGACCTATTTATTTGGTTATTTAACATTTTAGCCCACTTTATCGCAGAGGCTTTAAAGTGGCTTGCAAATAAGAAAAGGTAAACATTATTTACCAAATACAAACAAATATAGGCATAAAGCAGCAGATAAAGCTCGAAAAGAAAATGACTAGCTAGTAGAAATCTTATAGAAAAATACTTACACACTATGATAAAATAATAGGAGGGGAAGTGACCATTTGCTTTGTGCAATACAGTGTTCCCACATCAATTTGTGGGGACCTCCTACTTTTGCCACGATTCCAAAAGAGGGTGAATCTCCAGACATATTTGCTCTGAGCTGTTTCAGGGGTGGAAGCGGGTCCCAAAGTGAGGCGTTCACAAAGTAAAGGAAGGATTGAACTCTGATTAATAAGAATACACACAGAGGCTTGAACCAGCAAGACTCTGGGAAAGGTGCGTATAATAATCTCTCTCCCTCTACCCCTCGGCCCAGGTCGTTTTATTCACAAAAGAACTTTTACAGAGTGTTCGTAAGAACCAATCAGATTTCTTCTGAGCATTTCAACAAACCCCACGTGGGGACAAAGTTAAACTACAAACACTAGTTAGGCATGCATACTTTTGGAGTAAATGAATGAAAACTATGAAGGAGTGCATTCAGCGACCCCGGAGGTCATGAACAATCAATACACATGATAAGAAGGATGGCCAGGAGGACAGCGATCATTATCACCTTTATGTGAAACCTGTTTCCTGGCCCTAAGATTAACATCCTAAGATTAACATATCAGAAAAGCTACATCAAAGAAACTGCCCACTGTCTTTGATGACCCAGGATGCCTGCCTGGTGAAGAAGCAACTGGCGGTACGTGACTGGTCAAGAAAGAGAAATGGAACAGGGATGCAGAGGTGTGGATTGATCAAGAATTATATCAAAATAGTTTAAACCCAGTCAACGCAATGCTTTCATTGCTGACACAGATGGCTTACTCTATATTTGTTATAATTACTCATAGCAATCCCACCTGATCACTACACCAAAGCTCAGCTCACCTACTGCTCTAGCTCATCGGGAGGTTTTTAAATCACTGTATTAAGAAGTGGGTGTTAGGTTTGCTCTTCTCAGTGGATCGAAAAGGCTGCCTTTTAACGCAGGATTATATTGTGCCCCCTTCTAGGTCTCACTGAAACTTCCTTTAACGAAGCAGTACTTTGACCTTGCCTCACTTGTGACAACTCTGGCAAACAACACTGTTGTCCAGGAGACAAAAGGGATCACACGGTGTCTCTTAAACGAAACCAGCAATAAGAAAGGAGAGATGGTGCTCACTTTGCAGACCGAAGGGATAAACCTCCCTGAGCTTTTCCGATATGCTGACGTATGTAACGAGGAGCTGCTCTGTGTTTCCTATAGGGTGTCAAAGAAGGAAAGCAATGGGGGAGTCTGTCATGAGAATGGTCTGATATTTTTTTTAAGCTCACCTTGCAGCATTTTCCTGGTGGCTTGAGAAGCTTATGCAGATCTCGGTCACACCAAAGCGAAGCTGATAATTGTGCCGCTGATTTCAGTGAGAAGTCCCAGCTTTTGCTTTTGAGTAGAGCATTGTGATTTTGCCATTGTCAAAATAAAACCGCTTTTGACCTATTGCTTCAGTAGCTGTGAGCAGATTTGAGGAAACGTTTCCTTTTGTGTTTGGGCAAAGTGCCCTGGAAATTGAGTGCCTGATATTTGCAAAAGCTACTGTCAAAGGATAGTAAGAAGCCACAGAAATTCAGTGGAAAGTGGATCACACTAGTCGAGAGGGGAACAGCACTGTCCATAAGGAGTTCAACCAATATGTGTTAACATAACTCCAGCGGGTGCAGAATGCCGCGGCGAGACTCCTTATGGGGTCCTCGCTGTGGGATCACATTCACCCGGTGCTATACCAGCTGCACTGGCCCCCGGTGGAGTACAGGATCAGGTTTAAGGTGCTGGTGTTAACCTTTAAAGCCCTATATGGCCTAGGACACTCGTACCTACGGGACCGCCTCTCCTGGTATGTCCCACAGAGGAACTTACAATCTTCAAATAAAAACATCTTGGAGGTCCTGGGCCACAGAGAGGTTAGGCTGGCCTCAACCAGAGCCAGGGCTTTTTCGGCTGTGGCTCTGATCTGGTGGAACGCTCTGCCACAAGATACTAGGGCCCTGCGGGACTTGACATCTTTCTGCAGGGCCTGCAAGACAGAGCTGTTCCGCCAAGCCTTTGGCCAGGGCACAGCCTGACCCCCCCCTCCTTTGGCAATTTTCTCAGAACTCTACCCAATGGTTGCCTTCAATTTGATTTGAAGTAATTATTATTATTATTATTTATTATTTAAATGAAATGATTTTAAAATGTTGTCTTATTTTATTGTTGTTAGCTGCCCTGAGCCTGGCTTCAGCTGGGGAGGGCGGGATATAAATAAAAATTTATTATTATTATTATTATTATTATTATATATTTCCTGACTCTTGCTGTGAAGAACTTAAGTGTTTTAAGAAAAATTAGAGCAAACTACTTGTAACGGTTTCTGGAATGGAATATGCAAATGATAATTACAGCAAGTAGGTGTGGTCATGATCTGTCATGCAGTCTGCATCATACACACCTCTGCCCTAAGTAATTGAGTCACATGCAGTCTGTGTTTGTGTGGTTTTTAAGGGGCATGTTTAGAATAAATCCCCCTTCCCCCCCGGTCTGTCCAGCTGCTGCATTTTTATTTGCTTTCCAACAAGCTACATACACACTTCTTGATTAACTTCAAAAAGTAGCTCACCTGTCAACTGTCCCCTCTCTTTTAGATTTTTGATGTGAACCGGCTTTATTGCAATGATATTCACGCGATGGCCAATACCTATGGCATTGAGGCTGCCTTGAAAGTCCTTGAGAAAGAGATTAAAGATGTGTTTGCTGCATATGGTAAGATGGTTTTATTTTTTTATTTTTATTGATACAGCAAGAAAAAACAAAAAAACACAAATACCAAATTACACACAGGAATAACCATAGATACATAATTTTCTTAACAAACAATAAAACATATATTGGTCTTAACACTAAAGACCCAACCTCCCGTCTATTCCATATCTTGATTTCATATTACTGATTGCCGATACACACTTTTATCATAATTAAACTTTTTTTTAAATATATCTAATTTCTTATATCTACCTTGCAACTATTACTGAAGTTCCTCGAATGCTGCAACAGTAAGATGGTTTTAGATTGTCAGTTGATCCTAACTGTAGATGCAAAACATGGCCTATCCGATCAAGCTTTGGGGAGGAAAAAACTCCATTCTGCTTGTATTGGCTGTATTTCCCATTCTCTCGTAACCTGTGTGCTCTTACAGGCCAAAGAGATGGTGAGGCTTTAGTAAAGATTTATCAGCATGACTTAAAGGAAGATATTGGAGGACAGGCTCCATTGAAGTCCGCCTTTCATCTCCCTATTAACGTTTTAAAGAGGCAAAGCTCTAACCTTCCTCCTTGTTTTGACAGGGATTGTGGTTGATCCTCGGCATCTCTCTCTGGTGTCGGACTACATGTGCTTCGAAGGCGTTTACAAGCCACTCAATCGGTTTGGGATACAGTCCAATTCGTCCCCCTTGCAGCAAATGACATTTGAGACGAGCTACAAGTTTCTGAAGGAAGCCACAATGCAGGGTAAATAATCGGGGCAATCCGTGCTATTTCAGTGCCGTATCCAAACCAGATTGTCTGCAGGACCCAGATAATCCACTCTATCCAAGCATACCCGAAGCTACATGGCCACTACCATCTCTGCCACCTTTGCCTCAAATAGAATAGTTGTCATCTGCCTAGTTAGAAGCAATGGGGGATATGTGGCCTTCAAGGTGTTGGACTGCAATTTCTGTCATTCATGACCCTTGGCCATGTTGCCTAGGGGAGGTGGAAAGAGGAGTCCAGCAGCACTGGGGGGTCAGAAGTTCCCGTTCTCTGCTATAGGCAGTTCTGTTATCCTAGAGAAAAAGTATGTATGCAGGCACAGATGATGTGCAAGATCAGTCCCTCAAATTATGAGCCTGGTCACCCTTATGAACACTTTGCATGGAGCTATTTACCTTTTAGGGGACGCGGGTGGCGCTCTGGGTTAAACCACAGAGCCTAGGGCTTGCCGATCAGAAGGTCGGTGGTTCGAATCCCCGCGACGAAGTGAGCTCCCGTTGTTCGGTCCCAGCTCCTGCCAACCTAGCAGTTCGAAAGCACGTCCAAGTGCAAGTAGATAAATAGGTACCGCTCCGACGGGAAGGTAAATAGCGTTTCTGTGCGCTGCTCTGGTTCACCAGAAGTGGCTTAGTCATGCTGGCCACATGACCTGGAAGCTGTACGCCGGCTCCCTCGGCCAATAAAGTGAGATGAGCGCTGCAACCCCAGAGTCCGTCACGACTGGACCTAATGGTCAGGGGTCCCTTTACCTTTATTTACCTTTTACCCCAAGTTTAACTACTCAATGGTCATATCTGGTGCCTGCCCCCATCAACACTGACATTGGCAAAAAGTGACTAACTGTTCTTGAAATGATAAGGATTTACCTGTCTTTCTCATGAATTTCGAGGTGGGGTTCGGGGAGCAAAAAAATTTTTGGTTATTGGTTCATTTCCACATTTTATTTGGAAAGCAATTGTCCCTCAGGTGATCACAATTTCTACTGAACACTAGCTGTCTAAATTTGCATTGCTGGTGATAATCACATTTGTGATTTAGTATGAATGAGAATTCTGGGGGACAGTCTTACCACTCAACCGAAACAGGTGTCAAAGCCGGACTTCTTCTTTAAAGACAATTCCATTCAGGCGGAGTGCTTGTTTCTGGAAATAAAGCTTTGTCATCAGAATTAGGACTCATAGTTAAGATCTCTTCTAACTAGCCATGAACTGGCACAGTAGTAAAAAAAGACTGGGAAGGGCCAAATTCGCTGCAAGAGCCCACACATTCACGGAGTCTCACTAAGACATAGTTTGGATTACCATGTCATGTGAACATGTCATTTGCTATCAAAGGATCATTGGTCCCTGCAATATCTGCAGTGTGAAATGGCCTTTGTAGTCTGCAGATCTAGTCAAATGATGTAAGAGGATCTCAGAAGAATTCCTTTTGGAGACCTGTGTCATCTCTGAGATATAGAAATTAAAAATAAAAATAAAGTAATAGCATCTTCTAATACTGTTTAAGCTTCTACTTAAATTGATTTGATAAAAGATGGATCAGCTAAAATGAGATGCATCCTCAGTTTACATCCAACAGCAAGTGGCTATGCTACTCCTACACACACACACACACACACACACACACACACACACACACACAAAGCAAGCCAAGCAAGTTATCTTTCTTATGTCAGACTTCCAAGTCCCAAAATATAATTGATCTAGTTTTGATTTCTTTTTTTTTCTAGGCTCCCATGATGAACTTCAGTCTCCTTCTGCTTGCCTCGTGGTAGGAAAAGTTGTCAAAGGAGGAACAGGCTTGTTTGATCTGAAACAGCCTCTAAAATAGTGTGCCTGCTTTTGCTTAACTTAAAGACTATTAAACTTTTTTTTTCTAGAAAGAAACATGCTGCTATTTTTCTTTGTTTGATTTTGGAGGTTTTCCAGCTGTCATTGAATGTAAATACTACTGTTGACCTTATTGAGTTGATAACTACTTGTGCCTTCGGATCTTCAGGAATTATATTTAATAATAATAAAGGTCTTGTGCTATTCCCTCAGTTTGTGTTTTTATTTACCTGTGGGTTCATTAATCAGAGTAGACAATACAGTGGTGCCTCACAAGACGAAATTAATCCGTTCCGCGAGTCTCTTCGTCTTGCGGTTTTTTCGTCTTGCGAAGCGCGGCTATTAGCGGCTTAGCGGCTATTAACGGCTTAGCGGCTATTAGCGGCTTAGCGGCTTTAAGAAAAAGGAAACAAACTTGCAAGAACTCGCAAGACGTTTCGTCTTGCGAAGCAAGCCCATAGGGAAATTCGTCTTGCGGAACGACTCAAAAAACGCAAAACCCTTTCGTCTAGCGAGTTTTTCGTCTTGCGGGGCACCACTGTATGTTCCGGGTTTGAGATGTGTTACCAGACAGTCTGGCATGATGCTTTTCCAGCAGGAAGTGAAAGCTCCAATGTGTTTGTGGTCCCAAGCCTTGCATGCCTGTCTCTGGTTGCCAAGAAAGAACCTTCCTCTGCAGTTTTTTTAGTATTTCCTGGCACCTTGACTTAAACCCCCATTTTTAATTCACCACCAAGGAAGAAGTGAAGATCTACATTAGGAACAATGGGAGAATAAAGATCTACATCAGGATCTGCTGCCCCTGTTGCTTAGTTGGTTGAGCACAAGACTCCTAATCTCACGTTTGTAGGTTCGAGCCCCAAATTGAGCAAAAGACTCAATTTGCATTGCAGGGGGTTGGACTATCCTTGTGGTCTCTTCCAGCTCTATGATCCTGCTGCCCAAGGCAGTCACCTCACCTTGCCTCATGAAAGGGCCAGGCCAGCCCTGAAAAAGCAGCCCCTTTTTAATTTGGATCTTACTTTCTGTAAAAAAAAAATTGGCTAAATATTGATATGCAGGTCAATGGAGCACATGCAGCCGGGCATTTCATTAGGACTGGGATTTAAACCACACTGCAGCCTAACTGGTGTAACTCCTCCAACCTACAACATAGTTTGCATTGGTAGGGCAATTTTCTTACATATATTTAAAATTTATCTTGTATGTAAAATTTGGTATGCTTATGTTTGAGACTTAACCTTGATGGAAAAGCTTACCAGAAAGGGTACCAGGAAGAAGACAACGTAAGAATCTACCAAATCTTTTACAAAACGTGCTTCATTTGCAACGAGGAAAAAGAAATGCTTATAAAGCACCCCAAGACACATCAAACCTGTGGAACGACAATGTTTTAAAATGGGCAGCTATTGAATTTATTATTATTATTACTAATACAACTGAATGCAGCTGTGGTTGCTATGCAATGGGGCAGGAACTGCCAATTGACTGCATGTTTGTTCCTACAGTCAATTTTTTGTTATATCTATTTTATCTGTAAACTGCCTTGAGTCTCTGTCAGGGGAAAGGGTGGGTGGTAATAATAATAATAATAATAATAATAATAATAATAATACCTAACAATGTGTACACATGTGCAGATTTCCCCTTCCTTTCACCTGCCCCGAGCAAGAAATAAGAAAAAGAACATGAACTATATATCCCTGTGTTCTTTGGTGCTACATATCCTACAGCCCAATTTCAACCGTCACACTATTAATAACAATAAAAAATTCATTTATTGCATTTATATACCATCTCTATCTTACAAGGAACTGGAGGCAGTACATTATTCTCCTCACAACAACAACCCTGTGAGGTAGGTAAGGCTATGATACGGTCCAGTGGCCCAACGTCATGGCTTCGTGGGGATTCGAACCCTTGCCTCCCAAGAGCCATGGATCCCTCTCTGTTCACCCCGGGCAGTCGCCACTTCCGCCCGGCCGCAGAAAGGGCAAAGCCCAAAAAAGGTGGTGATGGGGAAGGACTGAAAGGAACCCGGAAGTCGCATCTGCATAGCCGAGCGTTGTCACTCTACCATTTCCCACCCTTTCTCTATGGACGGCGCAGGGCTTTTCTCCGCCCCTTCCCTTCCCCAGCTTCAAAGCGGCAGCGGGTTACCTTGCGGAGAAGGCGCCGGGCTGCGACGTGAGCTGCGTAGCGCTGCGCCAGTGGCGTCGTTGGCCCCGCCTCCCCCTCACACACACACACCGGACACCGTTTCTTTATCTCGCTGGGCCGCTGAGGGGAACCAGCCGAGAGGTGTTGAGGTGAGAGAGGAGCGGCCCTCGGGGGGCTGAGTAAGGGCGGGAGAGGGCCGTTAGGGGCCGAGGAGGAGGAGGCCGCCGCGCGTGCGGCCCCCCCCCAACGGTTCATTTTCAAACGCGTTCCCTCCCTGCCCCGTCAGGGAGACCCTTGGGAGAAGAAAGGGTCTCTCGTCTGCGCATGCGCGCGCAGCAGGGCCGGCCCACCCGTGAGGCCAGGTGAGGAGACCGCCTCAGGCGGCCGGGTCCTTAGGGTCGACAGCTCTCGGCGTCCATCTTTTCTTACTCTCAGCCCCCCAGGTTCCTTGCCTCACGCTGTCTTCCCTTGGCAGAGAAGAAGGGGGCGCCCCATTTTGGGGGGTTCGCCTCGGACAGCCAAATGTCTTGAGCAGGCCCTGTGTCAGTACGAGGGGGGAAACTAGGGAATAAAATGCTGTAGAATGCAGTGGTACCTCGGGTTACATACACTTCAGGTCACAGACTCCGCTAACCCAGAAATAGTGCTTCAGGTTAAGAACTTTGCTTCAGGATGAGAACAGAAATCGTGCTCCGGCGGCGCGGCAGCAGCAGGAGGCCCCATTAGCTAACATGGTGCTTCAGGTTAAGAACAGTTTCAAGTTAAGAACAGACCTCCGGAACGAATTAAGTACAGTGGTACCTCAGGTTAAGTACTTAATTCGTTCCAGAGGTCCGTACTTAACCTGAAACTGTTCTTAACCTGAAGCACCACTTTAGCTAATGGGACCTGCTGCTGCTGCCGCGCCGCCAGAGCACGATTTCTGTTCTCATCCTGAAGCAAAGTTCTTAACCTGAAGCACTATTTCTGGGTTAGCGGAGTCTGTAACCTGAAGCGTATGTAACCTGAAGCGTATGTAACCCGAGGTACCACTTTACATAAGCTGTTAAGGGTGGGAAGGAACCCTTAGCTTCACCCCTGATAACAGATAAGCAACAGCAGCCTCAGGAGCGAAGTGGGTCCTGAAAAGAGGGAGACAGTTGGGGTTTGCCAATGTTTTTTTTGCTCCAGCAGAGCTCCTGTGCTTTAGACAGTTGCATGGCAGAGCTTGCCCCAGTTGAAGCCTCGTGCTGGGTATTCCTTCACCAGCTCTGTCGTGATCATCACGCTTGCCAAGATGAACAAATTAGATGAACAAGATGCATTTGACTTTGGGGAGTGGGGCGTGCAAGACATTTGCAACGTTTGTGCATTAAAAGTCTTGATTTCCCTCCCTCCCCTTGCATACCTACGTAAGGTGCTTTGTTCCTGCATCTCCAGTTGTAGGGGCATCGTAGAAGTTACTGTTGGGCATTTCAGTCTGGAGTCCTAAGATGGCATACCCATAGAAATATTGAGAAGGCTAATGTTAGCAAAACACTCTTCCTGTATGTGTTTTGTTTGCGCACGTGCTCTCTCTGCATAGTTCCTATCACCAGCATTCACATTGTGCTCTTTAAGTAATTAAATTTGGCTGATGTGATTTTGATTACTGCATGACAACCCGGTGAGCTTTGTGACTGCAGAGGCATTTGTGTCTGGTGCTCCTGGATCTAAGTCCAGTACTTAAGCCATTGCACAGTTCTCACCACCTTTTGGAGCCCTGCTTATTTGGTTCATCCCATACTAAGAGTTTTCCTTTACCAAACAAAAGTACTGTTGGTTAGAATTAAGGTAGAAGGAGCCCATTTGTTTTACAGCCTTTTGAATCACTTTCTGCCTTTTGTTTTGTTTTGTTATTACCAGGCCTATTTTAACATTTCATGCCTTTGGAGTAGCATTACCAAGTCTGGATTCCATGTCTTTCCTTGTAAGTAAACCCGAACGAATTAGGGTGAGTGTCAAACACTTTCACGATTTAATTAGCATTTCTCTGCACGTCCTTTCAAGGTATAGGGCTTGCTTTATGAGACAGAGCTGTGTTGACTTGGGACTCAGCTATACAGCTGCAAAGAAAATGTTTTAAGTGTGTTGTAAAGTGCAATATACGAATGTGACACTTGATGGCGATGGTGAGCTATGGCAAATCCCATATTTTTTCAAAATGTTTTTTAAAAAGCATTTTCACAACGTTTCCTTTTCAGAAAGCATCTCATCCTGTGAGGGTGATGACAGAAGTTAGGAACAGCACACATTGATTGCAATCCTAAGTGTACTTTCTGGGAAAGAAACAATGTTCTTGAGGAAAGATACAGTTAGTTTCAAGCTGGAACTGATAAGTTCACTCGGTTCAAAATTATGATTTGGGTGTGAAGCGGTTCTTTGTAGGTGGACCATTTTTGACAAAGCTGGCCACTGCTATCTTAAAGAAGATCCATAGCAGTAAACACAATGTCATGCAGTTTAAGCAGCTAGACTCAGTGCTGATTTAACATGTTTGTTTAACTTTTTTTTTCTTTGCTAAATGTGTGCCATCTTAATTTTTACATGCGATATAAATATATGAAAGTTGTTTTTTCTGAAAAGTAGCTGTGAAATATTTGACTTGAGGAACAATTCAACAACATACACTTAGCATGGGTTAAATGTTATTTTTAAACAAATCCAGACATTTACTTGGCATTAGTTTTGTTGGAGCACTTATAGATATTTTAAGACATGGCAACTCAATAGCATACACTTAACTTTATGTTATTTCGATTGGGGAGGGGATTAAAGCACTGAAAACTGTTACCATAGTAATTTTAGCTTGCCTGAAGAGTTGTACACATATATATGTATGTGCTTCTTAGAAATCACCTGAGGAAAGTTAATTACAAGTTTGATTTTAGATTGGACTAGAATTTTAACACTCCCAGTTTCCCAATTTAACTTGTATTGTGCTCATTCATTATGTTACTAATTAATCTTAAGAAGCAATGCATTTCTAACAGGGGAAAAACTTCAACTCCACATTACAGATTCTTTTTATAGGCATGGGGATTTTTGTATTTTTAGTAAGATTGTTCCAAGTTGCCACAAAACGATTTTGCTGATTCAGTTAAACTTAGTCATGACTTAGCCTCATTGAAGCCAGTGGAACAAGTTAGACACAACTCAGGACCAAAACAGATGCAATGGGGCCAGCCAGGCTTGTTCACATATTTCTATCACATACACACTTTTAACATCAAGAGAAAAATGTGGGTGGGGGAATGAACACTTTATCTCCCTTGCTCCGGATGCTATTCTTTCTATCTTGGCTTTCCAAATTGAAGCTAGGGTGGGAGAAAAGTGTCTGAAATTAGGTAAGGTGGGGAGAGGGCAGGATGTTGTTACTAAGGGAAGATTTTTGCAAATTGCAAACCATGAATGAGCAGTGAGAAATCATTCTCCCCTTTCACATAGCAGTTCCCTCCTCTGATCCTGATTTGAGGCAAACCATGTTTTACTGTTTGTCTGAAATGGCACACTAGAGCTTTTGCTTACACTACATACCATAGTGTGCTGGTTCAGATAAAACAGCAGGCTGCATGGGGGATTGCATGGGAGCCTTAGGTGTAATATCAAGGCATTATGTCTGAACAATCTCTTTGTTGCTGCATTTTACGTCAACAGAGATTTTTTTCTTTGGTTAAGTGCAATTAAAATAAATGGTGCCACATTAAGTTATGCCTTTGTGGGGTTTATTTTTCTAGCGGTGGATGTCCGAGAAGTTCATTTTTGAGGGCTTGAGGGAGTTGGAACTGTTTGGAGGTAAGTGCTTTAAATGAATCGATTATTTCCTTAGCTGTGCTCCATGTTTCTCAGTGCTGTGAAAGTAAGTTAAATACTTGACAGCACATCTGTAGGTGTAATTTCAGTTCTGATCCTGGAGGAACCTCACAAAGACAAATGGTGAGGGGGAAGATGTGGCTCTTGGCTTAATTTCATGCGACCCACAGAGACAGGGTTGTACAGAGAGAGAGCTATATAATCCTACCGTGATAGAAATGCTGCTCAGTTGGCTTTGGCTCACAGTTGGGTTTTCACATGGGGCAAAGACAATAGGACAAAGGTTCTCTGCTCCTAGTTTACAAAATCTGTCCACTGTTTCATGAGTTGCAGTACCCACTAGGAGTTTCTCTAATGTGGATTGTGCTCTTACCATTTATTTTGACTAGATTTCAGTGAGAGACATTTCCAGTGACTCTAATACATTGGTTTGAAACTGTACCTGTTCATAGGAACATTAAGAGATTTCCACCACAAATTCTGCTTAAATACTCAAGCCTTAAGCGGCTATAATTAACCAGATATGTCCCTCATTCCATTCTGCAGTAACAAAATTCTGGGTTAGAAATTAAAATGTATTCTTTGAGCCAATTCCAGTGTTCCATGAGCATGAGATTAGAGACCTCCCAAGCCAAGCAAATACCCTTTCAGAACGAATGTGCCAGATTGCTTGTTTGGAAAGCTAACATATCAAGGGAAAGGCTGGAGTAGAAGTCTTCTTGATATGTAAGCTTTGCCCATGCAGGCAGAATTTTAACATAGGGAACTTTCAAACTAGCAATTGCTTGTTCCCAGACTTATCAACAAATTAAACATTAACATCACTGGGTCTGGAGAGCATCCATCAAATAAATCTAAAAGTACTCAACTGTGAAATTGCTGAACTTTAAACAAAAAATACATAACGCCTCTAAAAGCTGCCTTCATGCCAGGTGATTGGAAAGTATTTTGAATTGCATCTCATTGCAACTTACAAAAAGTCTCTAAATAGTAATGGCTTGACAAGGGAGCCCTAGTGAGTCATTGTCTGAATCTGTCCCAGGTCTCTGAAATTTTAGGGTGACAAGTTGTCTACTATGTCATGTTGCTTCTTTCATGGGTTTTGAGCCTCATGTGAACCCTCTCCCTTTTTCCTCTTTTGTTTTTTTTTTTTTGCATTTGCACCCAGGTCTGATTTGAAGGCCATCTTTTGAGCTGCCCTCCTTTAAGCTAGTCATAATTTGACTTTAGGGCAGATGGCTTATCTGCATAATGAGCTTTGGGGTTTTTTTATTAGATATCAGTACAAAACATCTATTTGCACTTAATCTGCCCTGACTTCTGAATTCGGCCATCCAAACTTAATTTTTCTCCAGTATTCTTATCACTGGTTCAGTAGGTTCTTTCCCTCCCCATATCTTTTAGCACTTGACTATTTAAAGTGATTTATCTACAAAAAGCAGATTCAGATGTGCTTGTGGATTGTAAAATCCTCAAATTTAAAGTAAACTCATTGAAATGGATGCGCTTGAAAAATCCATTGATTTCCATATGCCAACTGTGAGTAAGCCTGTATAAGCTAGTTCAGAACTGGCTCCTGGCTCCAGTTTTGCAGTCCTCATATTTCCCTCTTGCTTGGCTGTGGTTGGGTTGTTGAGGCTCCAACTCACAATGCTGGAGCCTCAAAGCATGGATCTCAAACTATTTCTTTTTTTCCCTGTGATGGAGAATTGGACACTATACAAATGGCGTTATGCCTCTTGAGGGAAGGGAAGTGTAGCTTGAAGTCTCTCTCAGTTTAAAGCTGTTTATGTGGATAAGTTTTAGGGGAACAAAATAGCATAAATCAGATCCCCCAAACCAGCAAGGAATTACTATTTTTGTCCAGTAGGAGTGGTCAGAATGACGCTAGTGTAGGTTATGATGCCCTTTTGAGGTTATTTGAATATCTCTTGTAAATGAATTGATTCTGGTTTTGTTCTTGATGGGTATCTATTTAAGAAAACACAGTTGAATGAATGATTGATTTCTTTACTCCAGAGCAGCCTCCGGGTGACTCTCGGAGAAAAGTAAGTGACCTTTGTAGGCTGTGGTGCTGTGGCCTATTGCATGGAGATTTGTGGACATTATGACATTTTTTTCCATTTTGCCTTATTTATACATCTAATATTTTCAGCTCTACATTTGTGGGAACAAGGTTTCAACCTGGAAATAAGATTTTGGTGTGTGGCATATAGATTTATTTTAGCCTTAAATCCTGGATTTTAAATGGTTGTTCTCACTAGTAATGTAAAATTATATGGCTGTTCAGCTGATCTTTTATTTTTTAAAAAACAAAACGATAAAATGCCTGTTTAAAAAGAAAATCTGGAAGTGAGATAGTTGAACAGCTATTAAAAAATATTTGAAACCACCCGTTTTCTCAGCCTATGCTCAAATTCAAGAGTTAATGGCCTGCCAAAACTCTCAGTTTGCACTATCTTATCACAATTGTGGCCAGAGCTGGAAAAATCCCAGGGACCTGGCCAACTTGCCGACACCTAGGATTATTACTTTTCCATATCAATGTGAATATGAGGAACATCTAGTAGTCCACAGCTACCTTCCTATCCCTAGTTACCTAGACGAAAGCCCCACTGTATAGGATTACAGTGTAAAACTAATAATTGCCTTCCTGACTGCAACACACACATACCATTTATTGAACTGTTGTGATGTCATGGAACGTTCATAAATATTCTAGCTTTTCAGGGTATATACATCAGCATTTACAACCTTGCAACAATGTGCAGCTTCTGTGAGAGAAATGAAAGGTCATTTTCACTGGGGAAAATCATGTCATGTAGGAACAAGAGGAAAGGAAGCTGAGGCCTGTGAAAAGGGCCCAGAAAGTTGGGAAGTTATGACACATGTAATTGGTAGCCAGAGTAGCTAATGAACTGGAGCAGAGTAGGCAGTGAGCTGAGAAACAAAATCATAGGTGGTGCAGGTTTGAGGAAAATAAGACAAGAGTTGACAGGAAGCTAAGGTAAGGAAGGGCCAATGAGAAAAGGGGAATGAGGGATGTATTTTACATGATCTAGCAGTAGAAGGGGCTATACTGTTGACAGGGAGAGAAGGAAAGATAAAGCAGTCAGGCAGGCTGAAAGCTGAGTGAGGATAAAGCAGAGAGAGATATTGGCTGAAGTAGGCAAGGCAGACTGGGCAGTGGAAAAAAATGGTAGAATCTTAGCATATGAAGGCTAGTGAAGGCTAAGAACTAGATAAAATGAAGCTGGGAAAATCTCACATGGGAGTCTAGGGATGGGGTGCTTGTGTTATACTGGTATGGAGAGAATGAACAAGGTAGTATTTGGGGGGTTGTGGGCCAAGGGTGCTAAAGAGATTGATTGGGAGAAGAGACTGGAGTAGGTGGTCAAATCTTGAGTTGCTAATTTGTACACAAGATTCTTTTTCCAGTCTTGGCTCTGTTTTTTCCAGTCACACTAGTAAAAGTACATCTGATTTTTCCAAACACATTTTATTAAAATATAGGTCCAGCTAAATTTAAGTATCCAAAAAGCCATCTGTTTAGAGGCTAGAGTATTTTATAAATTCAGAAGCAGAAGGGTTTTTTCTTTCCTGTTTTCTAAATTTTTGCCATTTACACCAAAAGAGGTCCTGTGTTGAAACCCTTGCGGGCAGCTGTATTTGTTTTTCTTGCAGGGGCTTTTTGTGTGCTGTACTTCACAAGTAGCATTTTAATTTAAGCTTTTTTACTTGTTTATAAAATACCAAGTTCAGTAGAGTTCCTCTGCATGGATAGAATTTTTCAACCAGTTGCTGTTTCTGCGTGGAGATGTAGAAAATACCTTAAGAAGTTTTGGAAGAGGGGGAGGAAATGTCATAATAAACTGTTCTGGGGGAGGGGATCTTGATGTGTAAAAATAGCAGATTAGCTATTTTTTACAGTACAAAACTTTATGCTTTACTAACATAACTGCCTTCATCTTAAAAGAGTTTTAGGCTGCAGTCATAAGCACACTTGCCTGAGAGTAAGCCCCACTGAATTCTGTAGGACTTCCTTCTGAGTAAACAAAATTAAGGTTGCACTCTTAGACACACAGCTGCCATTATGCCAAAGTCTGACTTTCCCTGTTCGTTTTTCATTTCCAGTATCTGAGTTTCTCTGCAGGTTCTCTGTTTTTATTATTACAGGCATTTTCCCATTTATGAAGTGCATTCAGTGTGCATTGTGCTTTTCAGACAATTGAAGCGCAAATAAGGGAAGTGAATAAAAAACAATGGTTTCTCAGTAAGATTGCGAAGGAAATACAATGACTGTCCTTTTGGAAGCTGTGGTAGGAACATATAAACCATTAATCAATCTAGCTTAAGAGCCTTATTTGACTGACAGTGGCTCTCCACATTTCAGTCAGAAGTCTTTCCTAGCCCTGTTTATTTTTTCTTTTAGTTAGAGGAGCTGAAGATTGAACTTGAGATATTATGGTACTTCCTGTAGGGCGGAAAGTAGTGAGAGGAAGTTTTGAAGTTGCATGGCACTTCTAAACGCAGATTTCAAATCTACATGTTTGCATCTGAAAATTGTAAATTTCTTGGATTTTGCTTTTTTGTGTGCTGGGTTTGAGGAGGCAGGCCACAAGAGTGTTCTGGGAGGGAATTTGATTATATGAGGTAGCAAACGAGACCATACATCATAAGCTGTGAGAGCAGTGACATTTTTGAACTCTGAGCATGATCCTATACATGCCCCCTAAAAAGTAAGTTCCACTGAGTTCATTGGGACTTGTGTATAGGATTGTATCCTAAGGTTACAAAAGGCTATAAATGATATTTTGGAGAGATTCTCCAGCATACAAACCACATCCTTGCAATTTGAGTACTGTGTATTCAAAACTGTCATACAGAAAAGCTAACCCTGTCCTGTTAGTCTCTTGCATCTTACTCTTTTCTTTTCCAGACCAATGAAGCAAGCTCAGAATCGATAGCATCCTCCCCGAAAAGGGACACCATGAACTGTTATTTGCCCGACAGCAATTGTTATGAGTTACTGACCATAATAGGTAATGTTTTGATTTTAGTTTTGGGTGTTTCACTTTTCATAGTACTGAAGTTCTCCTCATTTCCTTAGTTGACTTTGTTTATGAGTTGAATAATGTTATCCTTTCTTGAGGTTCTGTTATTTTTAACAGCACTGATATTGGCTGCTGTTTTCTTTCTAGGCATATACTGTACTGTTAAGCCATAAAATGACAAATACCGTATTTTTTGCTCTATAAGACTCACTTTTTCTCTCCTAAAAAGTAAGGGGAGATGTGTGTGTGTCTTATAGAGCGAATGCAGGCTGTGCAGCTATCCCAGAAGCCAGAACAGCAAGAGGGATTGCTGCTTTCGCTGCGCAGCGATCCCTCTTGGTGTTCTGGCTTCTGAGATTCAGAATATTTTTTTTCTTGTTTTCCTCCTCCAAAAACTAGGTGCGTCTTGTGGTCTGGTGCGTCTTATAGAGCGAAAAATACGGTAATTAAAAAAGAAACATCCTCTTGTAATGCAGTACTGAGACATTAGGGAAACTGGGACACCTCTGGGTGGGTGGGTATTGGGAAGGAGGTGCCAGGCCACCCATCATCATTGTCACCTCTCTCATTCCAGCTTCAGCGTTTTTGCTGAGTCTGGAGGAAATTGTTTTGGTTCTTGGGCAATCAAATGCTGCCCTCCCCATGCTATTTCAGGTGAAGCTGGGATTAGGAGTCAGTGTGTTCTGGGGTGAATACAGAATCTGAAAAATGCAGAATTGGGCATCTATCAGGTCACTCATACGTGTGGGGTTAGTCCTAATCAGTTGCTGTTGTTCACCTTCCATTCCCTTGCCATTTCTGATGCAGTACAGCAAAGCCCAATGCTCTTTCCACCTGTGCTACTTCCTAAATTCCCTCTAGTCACTTTGAAATGGATAAGGTTTTATATCTGTCTTGCATTCCTTGCGTGTTGAGAAGAACAGGTTCCATTTTCAGGCAAGGGATATTGCAAGGTATTTATTGTATTCAAGATCCATTTGTGAAACCTGTCCTGCTGTTGTAGACACTGATAATTGTCCAGACACCTCTTCCCTCTCCCCAAACTTGTCATGTCCTGAGATGGCAAATTCAGACTTCTTCTGAAGACTTGCTTTTTAAAAAAATTCTGAGCTGATTTTCCAACCCACTGTTTTTCAAGGTGGTTGCTTCACTTACCCTACTCCTTAATTTTATGCATCATACAGCTGCAGGAGTATAATAAATGGGATTTAGAAGTGTGACTACTTCTTAACATTCTGCAGTTATTAACTTTGTACAAATATTGTATCACCATGAAATTTACTATGGAGAGTTGTCTTAATTTCAGAGAAATTACATAGAAAAAGTAACTTGTCATAGCAATTTAAACAATTTTTTTTTTAAAAAAAGGTGTATTTGTATTTATTTTATTACATTTATATCCTGCCTTTTTTCCATCGTGAAACTCAAGACAGTGCCCATCTATTTCCCAGGTGATCACTCATTCAGTCACTGACTAGCTGCCTGGAATGGCTGGGGAAACCCAGCCAGATGGGTGGAGTATTATTATTATTTTTGTTGTTGTTGTTATTGTATCCACACCTACTAAGCTTTAACAAGCAGATGGCCTCCTGAATATTCAGATCATACCTTGTGATGGGTAACATCCTTCCTGATTGTTTTTTATCTAATGATGATTTATCATGCAGTCTAAATCATAAAAAAGTGAGCTAGAGCAGGACTAAGTTAGTCACACATAGAATCCATTAAAATCAGTGTGAAAAGTTTGCCAGGACTTAAGTCCCATTGATAAAAGAACATTGTGATAGAATGAATGATTTTTATTGTTTCCAGACATTGTTTACTGGCAGGTACGCATTTTGTTTGTTTGAAAATTTGTGTTGTAGAAGTTTAGCATTTCCATTTCATTTAACGGAGGGAAGTTATAACAAGCTGGTCATTTGCTTTGTTTTCTGCTAGCTGTTTGTTGGTTTGATTTATAATATAACAAGAGTCAAAAAGAAAATGAGTAAGCTGTATATAAATGAACACTATAACATATTAACAAAATGAAATAAGTAGGAAGAAAACTGATAAATTCAGCTTTAGAACCTAGATTAAGATAGGTTTTATCTGAATTCTACCATAATTTCAAAAATAGATAACTCTGAGCAGGAAAATGCTTCAGTTAAGATTTTGTGGAAAGTGTTATTGTGACAAAAATGCCTCTTATCTTTTCAGGCAAGGGCTTTGAGGAGCTAATGATAGTGAATCTTGCACGGTATAAACCAACAGGAGAGTTTGTCACTGTACGGAGGATCAACTTGGAGGCCTGCACCAATGAGATGGTGGCATTTTTGCAGGTAGAGGTACCAATCTTGTGCTGTTACTTTGCTTTGTTCTTAGTTGGAGATGCTTACCTTGGTTCAGTCTGAATTATTGTGGCAAATGGCACTCCTTTGCTGACATTCCACTTTCTTAGGCCCCTATGATTCTATATAGTGTTGTTTCATCTGTTAGTGGCTGGGTTGTAGAACTGAACAACTGACAAAGTCTCTGTCTTAAGACTAGATAGACCAGTGTTCCCAACCTTTATCCCCGTAGCCCCCTTCCAAACTTGTTTCCTTTCTATGCCCCCCATGGCCGTAGCCTAGATGGGGGAGGGGGGCAACTGCCCCTCCCAATAAGTGAAAATCAATACAAATCTGAGATTCTGGCCCCTAACAAAAGCCTGCCCTCTAACAAAAATCCTGGCTACACTCATGCCCCCACCACCGTCCTACCGGTAGAAAGGTAGCTATTTAAAGGTTTTGTTTCTAAATAGAACATTTTAATAATTTTTATAATTTATACAAAATACAATTGCATTAAATGATAAAAACATACAGTGGTACTTCGGGTTAAGTACTTAATTTGTTCAGGAGGTCTGTTCTTAACCTGAAACTGTTCTTAACCTGAAGCAACACTTTAGCTAATGGGGCCTCCTGCTGCTGCCGCGCTGCCGGAGCACGATTTCTGTTCTCATCCTGAAGCAAAGTTCTTAACCTGAGGTAGTATTTCTGGGTTAGCAGAGTCTGTAACCTGAAGCGTATGTAACCCGAGGTACCACTGTAATGAAATATTGTTAACATAGACTCATGGAGCTGGAAGGGACCCCAAGGGTCATCTTTCTAGTGCAACTCCCTGCAATGTAGGAATCTCAGCTGAAGCATCCATGACAGATGGCCATCCAACCTCTACTTAGAAATCTCCGAGGAAGGAGAGTCTAGAACCTTCTGAGGGAGATCCATCTTCCATGTATTATAAAAAGTAAACAACACTTATTTAACCCGAGTTATTTGATACAGAGGGGGAAACCTACAGATACAGTCCAAAAAGCACACAGGGAGTTCAGTATATATGGGAGAATTTTAAAAAGCAAGTGGTCCTCACTGACCTGCTGCAAAAAGATATTGTCATCTGGAGGAACCCTGGCTGCCTAGATAAAACACTGTAGCCCCACACACCTTTACCTGGGAGTAAGGCCTACTGAACTCAGTGCAGCGTTCTTGTGAGTAGAAAGTTATTTACTAGATGCAACTCAGCAGCACCAGATGACCCCACTCAGCTAGGCGCTGGGGTGAATTTCACCCCTCGCCTTGCAGAGCTGGACAGATGCTGCCAACGGACCCTACGCCCCACAACAACATCTGAAGGCCCTGATCCTCTAGGTGCTGGAGTGGATTGCACCCTGAACCTTGCAGAGTCAGGCCCAGGCTGCCCTCGGGACCAGCACTGGCGGCAGCAACAAGCAACTCTGGCTTGTTTGGGTTTTTTTTTAAGTGCCTGTAAATGTTATCTTTGAGCACTCAAGAGTTATACAGGCTGCAAGTCTGAATAAGTTATGAGGAAACTCCCCCGCCCCCCAGTTATTATCTACCAGCAGCCTCACACCCAGTGTACTTTTCCAAGAAACCAAAAATTTGATAGTTTTGAAAGAAGTGGTTAGAATGAGGACAATTTTGAAAGGTTCAGTCCGCCATCTTGATTCAAAATGGTGTCCAGTTGTATCCAAACATAGATGAAAACCCATTGTTTAATCTCAAGATATCTTAACAATATCTTAACAAGTGTCTAAATGCATAGTGAACAGTCAAGCAAGAAACTTGCCAAAGTATATAGTGTATGTGTGTATGTATTTTCCTGTAAAAAGAGAGGGCACCTTCATTTGAAGCTGGTATCTTTTGATTCACATAATATGTTTTGCTGAGCTGTACCCCAAATTTAGAAAACACCTGGCCAGCAGAGCTAGTTATTTAAAAACAGTCAAAGCTGTCAAGCAATTTACAAGATTAAACAATAAGAAACATTGATTAGCTTGTTTCCAAATATTACCTGTTGTATAAATAGCTAAGCAAATAAAATTACTAGCAAAATGCTGTTTTATTGCTGACCCTTTGGTTTGGTTTACTCCTGTTACAGTGCAATGGTGTTTTTATTATTTTATTTGTCTCAGTAATTCATGCGGATTAAGTATCCAAATTCTGATTGTACCCTTAACTGGCAAAAGAAGCAATAAGCCATGATATAAGTTGTGAAAGGGTGCCAATTGGCCAATTGTTTTTCCCCTAGAGTATCCATACCTCTTCAAGTTTCCTTTACTCATTTGTTAAAAAAATAATTGTTGTCTTATAATTTTTTGCTTTCAGGGTGAGCTTCATGTCTCAAAGTTCTTCAGCCACCCAAATCTTGTGCCATATAAAGCAGCCTTCATAGCCGACAATGAACTGTGGGTTGTTACATCTTTCATGGCCTATGGTAAGTAAAACTTGAACCTTCCTCCACCATTAGACAGGATATAGGTTTGATGTGAGGACACATTCAGACACCCACAATGATCCTATGCACTTATGGTGCTGTAAATGAGGTGAGGCAGCTTCCTTTTTTCCAGTATTTGCTCTGCATGTGCTCTTTCCAGGAAAGTTTTACGTTAACCTCAGAGGCAGAGTATTCTGTTAGGCTGCGGGTGGTGAAATTCCAAGTGAGGCCCTTCCCTCTCTGTCTCTCAGTCATTTTGAGGTAAGCATAACCCTCAGGAAGGGAAACTTGAAAGCCTTTTAAAAGCAAATGAAGGTTTCAAAGCATCTTCTGCGATAAAAATTCCCTGTTTGAGCAAAAAGAGAATTTTGTAATGATAGAATTTAGCTTTTGTACTTGTAACCAGCCTTTGGTTCAATCAAATTTAACCTTTCTCTCTGCTAATGTCGTCTCTACAAGGGAGGAAGTTTTGTTTGGGGTGGGGTACTATTAGAGAAAATTGGACCAGAAATTACTTTAGTCTTCTCAAGTGTAGTTATATGTGCTTGAACTTATTCCCTCTGGCATCTGAAGGCAGGTCTGTGCAATTGTTAAAACAACTGGGTTTAGTTTTTCTGGAACTGTTGAAGCACCTTGTGTTTTTTCTCCTTTTTGTAGGTTCTGCTAAAGATTTAATCTGTACACATTTTATGGATGGGATGAGTGAGCTAGCTATGGCTTATATCCTCCAAGGTGTTTTGAAGGCCCTTGATTACATTCACCATATGGGATATGTTCACAGGTAAGCCCTTTAAGCAATAGAAAGCAAAATTTAACTCTTCTGAAATGAGGCCTAGTATCTCAGCTTCCCACAAATAGATTTAGGAAGTTGTAGTCATTTGAGTGTACAGTAATTTCTTAAAAAACCATAGTCCATTGGTAGAGCTGTAGTTTCGTGGACTGCTTGTTTGGTAGGCATTACAGTGGTACCTCGGGTTACATACGCTTCAGGTTACAGACTCCACTAACCCAGAAATTTTACCTCGGGTTAAGAACTTTGTTTCAGGATAAGAACAGAAATCCTGCAGCAGCGGCGCAGCAGCAGAGGGAGGCCCCATTAGCTAAAGTGGTGCTTCAGGTTAAGAACAGTTTCAGGTTAAGAACAGACCTCCACAACAAATTAAGTACTTAACCCGAGGTACCACTGTACAGTCAAATGGAGTTGAAGCTGGTTTGAGTTTGTGGTGTAAACAACAATAAGAAATGTTAAAATGTCATGGGACTGGAAACATAATTAGGCAAAAGGAGAATTGAAGTTGTCTTGCTCCTGCTTCTTGTCGGAGGGCACAACGCAAACTACCACTGGGGTTTACTGTGTGTTTGCCACATCAGTATAGAATCTATCATACGGAATCTGAGCTGAGCTGAGAGCTTAGCTCTCAATGTAAAAACAGCATGTGTGCATGCCGACATTCTACCCTTACTGCTTGCAAAGAAATGTCCCCGTAAGAATTAGTTGTCAGTCGTTTTGTCCCTTTAATTTTACCTTTTTTATTAGGGTTACTCTATTAAATTGTGAACCAGGTAGCCTCTCTCTCACGTCTGGTACATAGGTACAGTCTAGATTGCCATGTTTTCATTTGTTACTCCGCATTAGAAGCATGGACTGAAACCTGAACAAGAAGTGTGCTCAGCTAGTCTTACTAAGTTTGGTAGGGAGAAGGAAAGTTTCAAGGCTTCTCCCTCTTGCTAAGAAATAAGCAGAGATGTTTAAGTCTTGCCTCGACTCAGCAATCAAATGGTTGCTGAGTATGATACATGACTTCCTATTTGCATATAGTATGTAGTGTTACAGTATACACTTGCATATATTTGGATCCCAGGCTTTAGATTTCCTACATATAAAATTGAGTAGGGTTGGATGGAGGGGTTGGGTGGGGGCTTTGTGGCTGCTTTCTCTCTATCCTCTTTGTATGCAGGAGCGTGAAGGCCAGTCATGTCCTGATTTCTGCAGATGGGAAGGTGTACCTCTCTGGCCTGCGCAGTAACCTAAGCATGATCAGTCATGGTCAGCGTCTCAAAGTAGTTCATGATTTCCCCAAGTATAGCATCAAGGTTCTGCCATGGCTAAGTCCAGAGGTCTTGCAGCAGGTATGTTAGAGTCTTTCTTAGTCTTGTTTACTTAGCCCTCGAGTGTACAGGACCAACTTTTGCCAAATGTGCCTCATTGATAAAACGAATTGTTCTGTGTAATACCCCAACTATGTAGTCTTAAGGTAGCTGTTCAGGTAAACCTCCCACCTCACTGACTCTACTTTTCTAAAAAAAAAGTGAACTCTTACACTGAGGGGCTTGAGCTTAAGCCACAGATTAGGGGTGTCACCTCCTCCTCTGTTGAGCAGATCCTGGGGGGTCTTTTTGTGTAACGTGGAAGTAGCACTGAAAGCACATATAAAATTGGTACAAGGGCCACAGCTCGGGGGTAGAGCATCTGCTTTGCATGCAGAAGATGCCAGATTCAATCCCTGGCCTCTCTAGGCATGGGTGTAGCCAGGGTGGTGGGGGGCAGCTGCCCCCCTAGATCATGTAAAACAATAGAAATACTTAACTAACTGACCAATCATGTCAGTTCTGCCCCCGCCCAACAAAAGTCCTGGCTACACCCATGTCTCCAGGGAGAGAACTTGTATCTGAAACCCTGGAGAGCGGCTGCCAGTCAGTGTAGACCAGGGATAGTCAGCCTTTTTATACCTACCGCCTGCTAATACATCTTTCTTGATGGTAAAATTTCCTTACCGCCCACCAGTGCTTGATGGAAGGAGGATTCAGCTTGTGCTGTAGAACCCCCTACCGCCCACCTAGAATCCTGAAACGCCCACTAGTGGGCAGTAGGGACCAGGTTGACAACCCCTGGTGTAAACAGGACTAAGCTAGAAGGACCCAGTGATCTGACTCAGTATGAGGCAGCTTCCTCTGTTCCTAAAATACTGTCTTTTTGTAGGTAGCAGTGATAGATTCTTTGTTTAATTAATTTCCACCACAATTTAAACAGGAGTCACAATGGATTAAGCACATTCTTTTCATTTTATCCTTTTAGAATCTCCAAGGCTATGATGCAAAATCTGACATCTACAGTGTAGGAATAACAGCCTGTGAGCTGGCAAATGGCCATGTCCCTTTCAAGGATATGCCTGCAACTCAGGTAGGGAATTTTCTGCTCTACTTCGGCCCCCGCCTGTACTATTATCAGAGCTAAAAGTATTGCAGCACTAGCCGTGTTACTGTAGGGCGAGCTTTTCTGGTAAACCAAATGCACCTGCTTTCCCCCTCTTGTACTTCAGATGCTTTTGGAGAAGCTAAATGGCACTGTCCCTTGCCTGCTGGACACAACTACTATTCCTCCAGAGGAGCTGACCATGAAGCCATCACGCTCAGGGGTTAGCACTGGGCTGGGGGAAGGCATGGCAGCCAGCAGTGCCAGGGCCTCTAATGGCGAGGCAGCACCACATCCGTACCACCGTACCTTCTCGCCCTCCTTCCACCACTTTGTGGAGCAATGCCTACAAAGGAACCCTGACCTGAGGTATAGCAAAAACAAAGAAATCTCACTGACTGAGGAAGGTTTGAAAAGGTGCATCCCCTCTGGTGATGTGGGAGACCTATGTTATGCTTGGTATACATTGAAGCCTTTTTTCTAATAGTATGCTAGTGGGATGGTAGAAGAAGGAAGAACATCACTTGGTAGGATCCATGTTCTCTAACCTAGGTTCTGTCACCAGAACGTGGAAGGCCTGGAAACTCCCTGATTAGGGTGCACAGGGGATACACTTGATAATTGTAAAGCGTCTGGTGGGGGAGACGGAGCTAAAACATCCCACAGGGCTTGATGAATGGATATATCAAAGCAGCTGTTTGCGTATCCCTATAAAGCAGATTCTCATGCTGTTGGCTGGTAAAAGGGGGACATTCAAAGTCTTTATCAAACAGATCTGCTCTCAGAAGGTGCAAAGCAATAACAAAGTATGTAAATGTCCTCTCTGCTTGAATGTATTTACCTGTTCCAAATATGCAGATGTAGAATGGCTTTTGTGATCAGTGTTGATACAGTCAGGATAGCCGTTGATGTAGTCATACATGTAGCCACAGCAAGAAACGTCTTCGATGAACTACTAGCCCAGGTTGATAGAGAGGATGGTGGCTTTCAGGTGTTATCAAATGTAGTTGGAACAGGGATTGTATGCCCCTTGCAGTTCTTATTCCCCACTGTCCTTTCATTAACCTGGATATGGACGTTCTGAAGCTTTTTCTCGCTTGGGGCAGATAGGAAAGCCACAAACAGTGGGCAAGTGTTTCTTATAGCTTCACCATCCTGAAGCTATAAAATATAATATTTACTGCTCTCTCTCCATCCTTATTCCTTCTTGTACTGATACGCCACCCCTTCTTGTTATTCTCTTGAACAGGCCAAGCGCAAGTACACTGCTAAACCATTCCTTTTTCAAACAGGTAACACTTTTGCCCCAGTAATATTCTTCCTTTTTTCCCATCATGCTGTAGCAGAAAGTAGGCCTCCAGAAACCGGGGGTGGGGGGGACCCCGTTGCTATTGGAACTTTCTCCTGTGATAATGGGACTTTTCTAGGGTTTTGAAACTCGGAAGCTGCTCTTGGTTTTTATTACAACCCTTGGGTGAATGAGGGCACTTTGATCTGGTGGTGGGCAAGAGGGCCAAGGGATTGCAAGGAACACAAAGCACACCTTGCTACATATGTCCAGTGAGCCAAGGAGATTGTTCCTGCAACTCAGGATTTTTGGGGCTTTTTTCTCCCTTCCTCACTGGCTGTGAGTTGCTCCAACACTATTCTGTCTCTCCCCCAGCCTTGCTGAGGCTAAAGTATCTACCCCTTAGTAAAAGCACTGGCCCAATCCTACTCTGAAGGTTAGGAAATTTTTGTTTTTCAAGTTTTGTCTGCCTGTTGAGAAAATGCATGCAATCCTGCTTATGTGATTGCAATGGCCTTGCTGCTGGCCACTAGCCTGAAACAAATAGCAGTGTCCTTTGGTAATATCCCTTGCCAGTTATATCACTCAGGCTGTATACAATTTATCAGTGATACCAATGCATGATGGGGGTGGGTGGGTTGGGGTTTTTCTTTTTGAGAGTTTATTTTGTTGTATTGTGCTGAGCCTGTAGCTATACAAAATTTGGTAATTTTCCCCATTTTTCTAATGCAGGCGTGGTTAACCAATTCTTTGGCTCAAGGGCTACATTGGTCAGCCCTCAGTGATGTATGTGACCACCCCACTCTCTTCACTTGCACACATCTGTGTTGATCCGCTAGGAAGGGGTGTTCTACTGCTTTCTCCCCACTCATCAGATGAATGAGAAGAGGGTGATTTGCATCCCCATCAGGCTTCTGGAAGGAGTGGATGGGTTTAAACCACCCTGCACACCACAGCACTGGTTTTAATTTTTGCTGACACTGCCGACATTTTGGGGAGGGGAGGGGAGAAATTTGCTTGGCTCCAGCCCAGACATTAGCCACCCCCTATACTAATGACTTGTTGGATTTATTTTGGATTACACTGTGAAACCAGATTACCAGGGAGTCAGGGAACTGTTGGGATCCCCCCCAGTGAGGTTGTCATTCAGAAATGCTGCAAAAGGTGGGAAATGTATGAATATGAGGGTATATTGGAGGAAATAAGAGCAGTTGTGTTTGGATAGAACACCCAATACAAAATTCAACCTGGCTTGACTTTTCCACAAATGCCACCTCCTCGTCCCCTAACAGAAGAGGGCCCTGGGTGATCTATCTAGTCCACTGTCCTATTTCCAAATGCCCCAGAGACACTTACAAACAGGGCATGAAGGCAACAGCCAAGCTCTGTTTGTTCCCAGCAGCTATGAAACTAATGAAAGCCAGAATTCTATTTTATTATTTCAGTGGAGACCACAATAGTCAATGAAACTAAATTAACAGCATGTGCAGAGAATGTCCAAATATTCAAAGTGCAGTTGTATACCCTACCCCATGACTATAATAAGACGGGTGTAAGTTACACTTAACCTCTTCACTCTGGCTTGGAATTCTTAATTCTGCTCAATTTAGCATTTCCCCTTCTCCCCATGTCTTCCAGATCAAACGCCGTGCCTCTGAAGCGCTTCCTGAACTGCTGTATCCAGTCACACCTATCACCAGCTTTGAAGGCATGCAGGAACAAGATCCTAGTCTTATTTTTGGACTGGTCTCCCATCTGGAGCAACTTGAGATGGATGACTGGGAGTTCTAGACCTCCAACAGAAGGAAGCGTATAAAGTGTAGAAGTTCTTGAGAGAAAGCAAGCTTTCTTCAGGCATGGTTTACTTATGTAACGCCACCTCCCTTTCTCACCGAGTCGTGACGTTATACTGCAGTTTACGTCTTCCATAGGAAGGTGGTCTCTCTAGATGACACACTGGAGTATAGACTTGTGGGAGTGCAGTGAGTGCAGTATGGATGCGGTGCTAGTGACTTCTAGCTCAGCTTTTGGTATGTTTGCATTCAAAATGATGGCCCATTGAACCACTTTCCCCCTGCCATATCTGTGCTGTTGCAAGAGCTCCAGGTTTAGGGAGGATGTTTGGGTGTTCCTTGCTGTAGCTTCCTAGTCAAGGGTTGCCTTTGAGAGAGCTGGGAATCAGCTTGGATGTTCATATATTACTTGCAAAGCATTCTTACCCAATGGAAAAATCAACAGCTTTGCAAGACAAAAGTGAAGGTAGCATTTGCAACAGCTGCATCCCATGCTGAATGTATTCCCCCCCTCTTTCCCTTCCCACTGGATAATCAAAGTATGATGGGAATGGTAGACTTAACCCTATGGTGCTAAAAGTTTCCAACAGCAAACCAGAAAGGCAGGACTCAGTCACTTTCTAGCAAAGCCAGCATTTTCCCCTAGTGTAAGTATTGCTGTAATGGCTCACCTCCATCTGTGGATCTGAGTGCTGTGCACTCCTGTTTTTTTAAAAAAGAAACACTTAAAATGTACTCTGCTGGAAGAGATGGGTAAGGAGTTTAAGGGATGTTGGTCCTAGCTGTCTCTCCAACACAGATTGAACGTATTTAAAAAACTCCTCTGTATCTCTGCCAAAATTCTACCCTCTTTTTGTTAGGGGCATGAGTGTTCATTGTTCACTGTAGCTTTTCATTCTAAAAATGCTTTGCCACTCCAGTTTTAGTTTCCACCTAGGACAAGTGCTGGTTGATGACAAAACTTGCAGAACCTTGAACACCTTTCCCCCTGTATTCCTGTCTACTACACACCTTGCTGTTCTGAAGTTTCCCCAAATGGTGTAGTGAAGCCTTTTCTTCCTATTTCTCTCCCACCCCCAGAGGAGCTGTTTTCTTCTTAATCATTTTCACTCAATCAAGCACTGAGCCAATGCTGCATCTGTCTGGTTGGAGCCGATGCAGGACTTTTATGTATGCCTGTGTGTCTTACACTGTACTTGAACCCCAGTCCATGTTTGCTCTTCTAGTTTTGTTGCCAATTAAAATTTTATGCACTCTTAAATTGTAGAACCTTTGTGTAACATAGCTGTCTTCCTGTTTTCGCTCTGCAAAAAAGATTTATGCACCTGTAATTGGAAGCACAGCTTCTGGGGATATATAGAATGGGTGTCACGCCTAGCAGACTAAACCTATGAATTCTAAAGCCTGGTCTTGCTGACTTAACCAATGAACTTTTCCTTCTTGTTTCTGCTGAGACAAAGTTCAGTTATTGAAGCAGAATGGAGGTAAGATGGAAAAGGTGATTCACTAAAGCAATGACCTTGCTTTTTATTATAATAAACAGGTCCTATAAAGTATAAGGGACGCAGGTGGCGCTGTGGGTAAAACCTCAGCGCCTAGGACTTGCCGATCGCATGGTCGGCGGTTTGAATCCCCGCAGCGGGGTGCGCTCCCGTCGTTTGGTCCCAGCGCCTGCCAACCTAGCAGTTTGAAAGCACCCCCGGGTGCAAGTAGATAAATAGGGACCGCTTACCACCGGGAAGGTAAACGGCGTTCCGTGTGCTGCGCTGGCTCGCCAGATGCAGCTTGTCACGCCGGCCACGTGACCCGGAAGTGTCTGCGGACAGCGCTGGCTCCCGGCCTATAGAGTGAGATGAGCGCACAACCCTAGAGTCTGGCAAGACTGGCCTGTACGGGCAAGGGTACCTTTACCTTTTTATAAAGTATAAACTGGCTTTTTAAATATAATACATTTATTAGGACCTAGTAGAATATCATGAACTTAGGCTGGCTGTTGTGCAGTACAGGAGAAGAAGCCCAATATTGGAGGCTAAAACTCTCCAGGCTACAAAAGCAGAACAATGGAATACATTCTTTGCTAGCTATAAAATGGTTTCAAAATGTGAAGGCTGCTGGGATAGAAACAATGCTCTCCCCCCACCCCACCCCGAATTGTTTTGTTTAACATAAAGTGCCAGGAGCTGTGTGTAGAGAAGCAAGCTAGTCCCTATCACACAGATTCAGTTTACCTGGAAGAACAATGTGTGATAAGCCAACTCATTTGTGTATAAGTTATTTATTCAGCCACAGAACTAGTTTCTGAAGGCAGGGAGGGGGGTGGAGAATGAGGGCTGAGCAATGTCACTGGCTCTTCCACATCATCTGGGAGTCCCTCTTCAGTCTTGCGTTTTTCCAGCTTTGTTATCAGCTCTAAAAAAACAAAAGACCAAATATGGGTGAGGATTCATAACACAAAAGGCCCAAGTCACAAAAAATGACTGGAAAACTACTTTCTTTGGTGTTCACACACTGAATATAAATAATTCCAACTCACAGGATGACAAGACAGATGGGAGAAGCAACACTACCTAGAGTGCTCTTTTGCTTCCAACAGGATAGGCAAGTTTTCCTCAGCCCTAGAGGCCTTATTTTAATTAGTTACAAACATTTAAATTAATTTGAGTTAAGGGTAAAATTTACAGTAAGAGCCTCTGGTTTCTTTCCACCTCCACCCTTCAGGGTGAGGCATCTGTTGAAAAACACTTACTGCCAAGACAAACTACTGTGGTGGGGGAGCTACCTCTTGAGAAGTTTGTAGAACTTGTTGAGAAATAACTTCCTTCTAAAGGGAAGAGCATATTTTGAAATCCTGCTTTGGGATAAAGTTCCCCTTTGAAGTGGGCAAATAGCCAAGGCCAGTACACGCACCACTCCACTTGGAACACTGGTCTGCCTCAGAGGTTACTTGCTCAGGATAGATTGGTTTTTTACAGGAGAATTTCCATCTGACCTTCCCAGTTCTGTCATTGGATCAGGATAGATCATTTACGGTAAGTGTGAGGCAGGTGGCAGCGATGTTGAAAAACGTCTCACTTTAGTTGCAGCAATAACATTTAAAGGGATAACTCACAGCGGTGGTAGAGAACCTAATTAGGCCCACAAGTCTGTTTTGGGCAAATCACACTTTTCCTTGTGCCTGACACAAAGTGCAGCGAACCAAAAGTCATGGCTGCAAATGAATAATCATGCTTTGAAACCAGAATTTGGTGCTTTTTGAATCTGGCACCCTGCATGGCAGCAGAGAGTGGCCCCAAATTCAAAATGTGCCAAATTAAAGCCATGGTTGCAAAGCATGACTCAGGAATGCATTCCTGATTTTGTTTCTTTGCAAAGTGCAGCTTGAAAACACCTGATGCCAAGGGATTGACAGATTGGGGAGGCCACCCATCTATCAAAGTGGCTCACGGAAGGATGGCCCCTTTGGAATCTGGCCCTGCAGTCAAAGGTGGTTCACTGCCCCGACTTTCAGATTAGAACCAGGGAACCTGAGGGGCTGCTAACCTGTTTATTTTCTGTTGAGGGATTAATGTGGACGCCTCTGCCATTACCTGGGAAATTTTGCATAATGCCTATCCATTACAAAACTTCTAAATGGCCTCTATTCATCCAACATGTAATTTCGCTGTAACACGGTCAGAATAATTGACATTTCTACCCTGCCCGCACCCACAATGTGACATAATCCAGCACAAGCTAGAGTACCTTTGGCTGGGTTGAAGACACCATTTGTTTGCTTGTCACATACGTAACATCGCTGAGACTTCCGATAATGCTGCAGCGCACATCTCTCACAGAAGTAATGTTTACACCTGAAAAAAGCATAAAGCAAAGATAGTCAGCTCCAGCAGCTTTCTAGCAAGATGTCTTATTTGATATTTTTGCCCCACTTTTTGAGGTTGTTTTTGTCTCAACTTCAAACAGTCGTGCACTGAGAATACTGCTATTGTGACCGGTTGATGCCAACGGAGTTTGCAGGATGTTAACTCCATGCCCCTAGGGACGCGGGTGGCGCTGTGGGTTAAACCACAGAGCCTAGGACTTGCCAATCAGAAGGTCGGCGGTTCAAATCCCCGCGACGGGGTGAACTCCTGTTGCTCAGTCCCAGCTCCTGCCAACCTAGCAGTTCGAAAGCACGTCAACGTGCAAGTAGATAAATAGGTACTGCTCCGGCGGGAAGGTAAACGGCGTTTCCGTGCACTGCTCTGGTTTGCCAGAAGCCGCTTAGTCATGCTGGCCACATGACCTGGAAGCTGTATGCCGGCTCCCTCGGCCAATAAAGCGAGATGAGCGCCGCCACCCCAGAGTCAGTCACGACTGCACCTAATAGTCAGGGGTCCCTTTACCTTTTAACTCCATGCCCCAATACAAAGAAGTGTTGTTTTTTCCTGCACTTTTATAGAATTGCAGAATGCTGGCACCCCAGCCAAGATCCTCACTGTGCGTCATTGCCACATTTCTTATTTTTAAAGTCCCCCGCATAGCTGTATGTGGAAGGCTTCCAAGTTTAAACAAAAGGAGCATCTGGATCATCCAGCCATCTTACTTGGTCACCACAGGATTCTTGAAGGAGCTTCTGCAAATGAAGCACTTGAAAGGCAGTTCTTCATCGTCACTGCTCACCTCATAGTTTTCATCATCTGCTCAAAAGAAAGAAGTATTTGCTTGGTTCTGCTGCTAACTATAACGGGATGTGACTTATCTCCTGCCCACCCTGTGTAGGAAGCTATATTGCCAAGAATAGGCAAGCCTTCAACATCTAGGCTCCTTTGAAGCCACCAGCACATAGGATGAAAATATTAGGTTTAATGAGCTTATTAAACTGCCCACTCAAAGCATCTGCTCCTGTTCTCCTCCCTCCCGCCCACACTTTTCTATTAACAGACAGAGAAAGGAGGGGTGCCTGTGCTCCAGCAGTTTAACTAGGCAGATGCCTGGTTCTCAGTACTCTCACAGGATATCATAAAAGCACCATCCTACTGAATATCTTCCAAGTTTCTACAACAGAAGAGGCCCCACAAAGATCTAAGGGATGGTTGTACAAAGAGAAGGCAACCTGTGACCCATGAGCCTTAATGGATGAAATCTTAAGGAGAACTCTGCAAATTGCCCATCTGAACAGCCCCACAGCCATGACTAAGTACCAACAAGTAGCAGGAAGGCAACACAGAAAGGAAGCCAGCTGTATTGCAGTCTTTGCACTTTTAATCAACTAAATGATCTTCCAAGAAACTCGCACCAGTTCAAAACAACTGCTATAATCTTTTCATTCGAAGTAGAAAGATAGCTGCTACTACAATACATGGATTGTTCCTCACTTTTTCCGATTTAATCTCTCACATGCAGTTTGAAACATCAGGAAAGCATCAGTTAAAACTTGAGCGGTGACTGAAAAGCTTGCAGATCAAAAGGAGAAAAACAAATACTTAGCTCACTATGCCCCCTTACCTTTGTAGTCTGGTATTGCTTGCTAATTCTGATTAGCAAATATCACTTGTCCCAGATACCCCTAAACACTCCTTCAAAGTGACTTATCCATCTCTCTGCATAGCAACACTTAACATAGGCTAAATCACCCAAACAAGTTAAAAGGCTGCCTGACCCTCAATTATCCATTTACTTTTTAATCTTTTGAACTAGAAGTGGCTATTCTGTTATGCTTTCTCCTGGTGTTGGGCACCCAACTTGAATGAATGAATATTTGCGTCGGCCATCAGCCATAGCAATAAAACAAAAATACCATATACAAAGAATAGAAATAAAAAGTGAATTCTATAAAATACATTTTAGCGTTTTGAATCAATAGTCAAATAGTGGATCTTATTCTGATTGCCCCAGCTAAAAACCTTGCAACCTTTACTGTCATCTGCTCATCTTGATCTGCCAAGAGAAAGGACACTGTGGCAGTGGTTGGGCGACGCGGAATGCCACCCAACTTCCCATCAAACCCAGCCATCAGGTTCCCCAGCCTTGTTTTATACCAAAGTTGTAGGAGGAAAGCAAGCAGGTGCTGAGGACAAAGCAGTTCAGGAAGGCTGATCCCCTAGGGATAATTTTCCCAATGTCCTCAAAATCAGTATTGAAGTTAGACAAAACACATAAGCATACTTGATAGCATTTAACAATAAAGCTTCGAAATTTGTCTCTAATTAAGGCTTAGATGTCATGCACCCAGTTTATTCTCCAATGCAGCCCAAAGGTAGTATCGATCTTGCCCTCTACACCTCTAAATTTTGTGCCATGCAAATTTGAAAGGTCTATTTCCTAGTCCCTCATTCAAACATCTTAAGCTGAACAACTTCAGGCAAGAGAACAAGGATTGCTCAACATACCATTAACTCCATAGCGTCCCTCATCCAATTCTCGTTCAATCTGCCAGCCATGCTTGTAGTCCGATCGGTCATGGAGGAATTTGCAGCTGTCTATCGGAAAAGCAAACCAATACAACGTGTGAGCATTTGTCAGTGATTTCTGTCTTGCTGCCAACTTCCCCTACGTTTATGGAGATGCACAATCTTAAGCAGGTATCACACAGATCCGCTATTAGGAAAGTATATGAAACAGCCATTCACCTCCAAATCCACAAAACCCAGTTTCCTTGTAATCCTTGCAGATGTCAGGTTGGTAGTCCCATCGCACAGTGGCCCTGAGATGCTCTGGGGCTCGTATGGGTCCCTTCCTGAAATGAAGAAGAAAGGCCTTAAAACAGGAGAAGGAGATAATAAGTTGTGATGAAGGAGCAAGGAGAGGTTCAAGTGGTAGTTAGATGGGGAATGGTGAGGTTTTTTTAAGTAAGAAGATTTGAAGAACAAATCTGATAAAGAGAAAGGTGGCTTCACATTATATTTCAAAACCTGTTTAACACTGGCTTTTTAAAAAATCTGGAATTTTCAGGAAATCTGTTTCAGTCATCCTGCTATATTTTGGTGGTATTTGTTGCTGGCATGTCAACTGCATGACCTTCATAGAACAAAGAGAGCATTCTGGGATGCATAGAGATATGCATGTTGACTTACCACAATACTGCAAATCTATGAAGAACAACTACAGTAGTACCTCGGGTTATATACGCTTCGGGTTACATACGCTTCAGGTTACAGACTCCTCTAACCCAGAAATAGTACCTCGGGTTAAGAACTTTGCTTCAGGATGAGAACAGAAATCGTGCTCCGGTGGTGCAGCAGCAGCAGGAGGCCCCATTAGCTAAAGTGGTGCTTCAGGTTAAGAACAGTTTCAGGTTAAGAATGGACCTGCGGACCGAATTAAGTACTTAACCCGAGGCACCACTGTATACATCTTGGCTGTGAGTCCTGGGAGACTTGCTCCCTGCCTTGCATACCTTTTCCCACCTGGCCTGGGAGGGTGGGGCCCTGACTGACTTCAGCTACAAAAGCTGAGGTGTTGATCAGATTCTTGGGTTGAGGAGCTGTTTAGTTGGGCTTTGATGGGAGCGGGGTTGTTGCTGTTACTGATATTTTTTGTACCTCTATTTTTAGATCTTCTTATGATTTAATGTGGAAACTCTTCAATTTGGTTGTGTACTTTTTGCTGTATTTTATTTATAATTTCTGTTTTTGTTATTTATAATTAAGTAATTTTTTCATGTTGTAAGCTGCCTTGAGCATCATTTTAACAATGGAAAAGTGCCATACAAATTAAATCATGTATGTGCAGTTAAGCTGAGAATTTCTCAACACCATAAGCAACTTAGAAATAGGAGCAGGATTTGTATTTGAAAAAATGCAATGTTAGAAAAATCAGCCAGCTGGATTTTTCTGAGGCACAAAATTCACCTAGAGCCACCGTGCTGCAAAATGTTTTTCTTTGAGGATAAGTTTCATGCTTTCCTGCCTTACCTTACCATGCCTGAGGAAGCATTCCCCATGGACGTATCCTTTGGCTTCACATACTTTTGGTAATTATTGATCCCACGGTAAATCTTATCGTCTTCCTTCCCTTCAAGTTCCTGAACAGAGACAGGGAGGAAAAACCACATCAGTAAAACAGCTTGGTTGACACCAGAGCAGCAGCTTGCTCACATGAAACCAGCTCAATTCCCACATACTGGCACAATGAAGCAGTGGCTAAGAAGAGCACTGGTGAAATACAGAGATTAGACCAGACAGCAGCAGGAAACAGAAACAAGAATAGTACTGAATATTTAAAAAAAAAAAAGTGATGTACCTGGAGGAGGAAATCTGTGAAGGGAATAGGAAGAGGATGGCTGTGATACAAGTGGCCAGAAAGATTATGCTAGCAGCAGTCTCTTGGGGGAAAATAAGGAAGAGGTGCAAAATAAAAATGAGAAATGCCACTAAGAAACTCTTGTCCATTTCTTGAAGGTGTATGAAAACTTGTAGTAAAGGAAGGAACCTTTAAATGGTAAAGATACTCACCTTCTGTATCTGCTGGCTGCGTTCAAAAATGGCTTGTGCATCTTTCTCTTTCTCTGTGTCCAGCTCATATATAGCTGTTGCGCCCATGTCCTCCGGACCCACAGGTTTCTAAGATACAAGAATGTTATTAGCAGGGCAACATGGGAAATGAACAATACTAAGCTAGCATTAGACTGTTACTGGAATTAGCGGTTATTCTAGTGATTCATTCAAACAGATGCATGCTCTCTCTAATGCAGGGGTTGCCAGACTTCAGACTTGGAGAACCTGATATTGATATTATTATTATTATTATTATTATTATTATTATTATTATCATCATCATCATCATCATCACAAGCACCTCTAACCAGAGTAAAGTAGTGCCTGGGAGAGGGTGGAGCCAACTGCTGCTGCACCTTATGAGCCTGTCACTGGGATAACCTACAAAGGCAAGTACATACCATCCCTGGGTTACTTCATAGAACATGGAAGTTGAGAAATCAGCTATTGGCACAGGACGAATGACCGCTGGGAAAAGCGCAGAGAGAAGAAATGCCATGGTGCATCTGTAGCAGCATAATTGGACACCTTCACCTGCCCCAGCTGCAACAAAACATGTCTCTCCCGCATCTGTCTCTACAGCCACAACAAGGTGCTGCAACCTTCCAACAGCTTGACCTCACTCCCAAAGAGGCACTCCACTGTCAAAAAGGACAGATGCTAGCAGGGAAGCCATGGCAGAGATTCACACACACCCCCCTTGCAATTTTACTTGCTATTATTCAAGTGCTTGGCGTCAGAAGCTCTTGCCAATAAGCTGTGCATCACCTAATGTTGGTTTCGCACACTTTAAACACTCGTACCGCAGATCTTGTAGACTTATATGCAACTCCAATTCTTTTAGACTTGCCCTCGTCATCGCTACTGCTGGACGCGTATGAGGTATGGTCTTTCACGCTTTTCTTGGTCTAGAAGATGGAAAAATCAGTGGGAGTTAACTAAGAAACATTCAAGAAGGGACATATTCATGGGCACTTGGGGAAACTGCATCACCTTCTGAATCATGGGGTTGGAAACTTCCTTGCGTCTCTCCTTCCTGACCACCGTGCTGCCTTCATCACTGCTGCTCCCTGTTGGGTGGATGGACACAAGCATTATCAAAGTACTAAAACAGATTAATATTGGCAGACTGCATCTCCCATGAAGGACCTATGTCCCTTGTTTGGCTACAGGGCCCTCCCACCCCACTGCAATAAGTTTATGAGCCTATGAACCAAGCTGCTTTATTCAAGAGTCAATGGCTTACTTTTGTTCCTAAACAACAGGTTCAGAAGAAGCCTGCTAGCTCTCTTTCCTATGGCTATATATATATTTAAAAGGTAATAGGAGATTATGCAAATAGCAATGTTATCCAATAGGATCTGGTGACAATATACATAGTCCATATACAATTATAGATCACTGTTGAACAAACAAGAGACATAAAATAAAACCAAAACAAATGAACCACAGGTACGTGGATGTGTGGAAGGCAGGGACTAGAACTATTTTTAACATGGACATAGTGGTTAAACAAGACAATTACAACCTACAAAACACTAATTAGAAGCCGGTCAGGTATTTTTCTTAACATATTACATTTCCCCCTTGGTTTTTAATGTATCTGTACAGTATATGTCTTTGAGGGGATGTTTGTCCCTTTGTTTTGGTCGGTTGTGAAGTTGCTTTGGGCTGCCCTGGGTAAGATAGAAGAATTCAACAAGTAAAAAAACAAGGCAGTCATTAAAAAAGCAAACACGGACAAAAATTGTGTGCGTGTTTGACACACGGATATACCATGCAAATAATTGCAATAAAAACAGTTCTCCGAGCGCTTTTCAATGGCAGCCCCATCATGACCACAAGGAAGCTTAGCCTAACTGCCCCCCCTTGGCCCACCCACCCCCAGCGCCGACTGGCTGGGTCTCTCACCGGGCTCCTGGTCGCTGCCCGGCCTTTTGCGCTGGCCCCTCCCGGGCGCGGGGCGACGCTTCTTGAAGAGGAAGCTGCAAACGGGCTGAGGGGCCGCCATCGCAAGTACGAAGCCTCACCGGAAGCGGAAGAGCTGAGATACCTCTCTATCCCCTCCTCCCGGACAGCGGTTCTACCTGGGCGTACGGACAGTGAGGCGACGCTCTACCGCTCGTCAGCTCTATCGTTGTGACGTAGTGGAATGTGATTGTTATGATTTTTTTTAATGTAGACTCGCACGTAACTGAGAGCTTCCGAGTTCGCTTCGCGATCCTTCCCGCTTCTCCTCCGTTTTGTCCCCGGATTTCAAGGCTTGCCGCGATGGGGGGAGGGGAAGGGGATGTTCCTTCCTTACCCCTCACTTAAAAAGGAAAAAAGAGAAGAATATAGCAATAAATACACGATTCCCTGCTCCTTTAAACTGCAGGAAGCTGCCAATAAAGGGCCACCGTTAGAATTAAGGACCACCGTTAGAACTCAGGACGAAAGGGAGAAATGTACTAAGAGGAAGGCACGCTTGGCAAACCCTCACTGTGATCAACTCCCACCTGGAAACTTACGTCCCCACTGTGGAAGGATGTGTGGATCCAGAATTGGCTTCTACTTTCACTTACAGACTCACTGTTAAAACCGTGTTCATGAAAGACAATCTTACTCGGCTACGAGTGATTGCCAAAGAAGAAGAAGAAGAAGAAGGGAAGTAATAGTGCCACTGTATTCTGCTCTGGTCAGACCTCACCTGGAGTACTGTGTCCAGTTCTGGGCACCACAGTTCAAGAAGGACACTGACAAACTGGAACGTGTCCAGAGGAGGGCAACCAAAATGGTCAAAGGCCTGGAAACGATGCCTTATGAGGAACGGCTAAGGGAGCTGGGCATGTTTAGCCTGGAGAAGAGGAGGTTAAGGGGTGATATGATAGCCATGTTCAAATATATAAAAGGATGTCACATAGAGGAGGGAGAAAGGTTGTTTTCTGCTGCTCCAGAGAAGCGGACACGGAGCAATGGATCCAAACTACAAGAAAGAAGATTCCACCTAAACATTAGGAAGAACTTCCTAACAGTAAGAGCTGTTCGACAGTGGAATTTGCTGCCAAGGAGTGTGGTGGAGTCTCCTTCTTTGGAGGTCTTTAAGCAGAGGCTTGACAACCATATGTCAGGAGTGCTCTGATGGTGTTTCCTACTTGGCAGGGGGTTGGACTCGATGGCCCTTGTGGTCTCTTCCAACTCTATGATTCTATGATTCGAAGAAGAAGAAGAAGAAGACGAAGACCATTAGTATAACAAAATAAGTGATGGCGCCCTCTGACAAATGGGTGGGTCTCCCTTCCCTGCCCGTCTGGTAGTGAGAAAGGAAATAATCTAGAGTGTGAGAGAGGTGAGAACAGGCTGCAGACAGAAGCTGGGGGTCAGAGTCATGCCCAATTTCTGCTAGAATCCAAGCCTGTGTCTATGCGAGAAGCAAGAACCTCTTTGCATGTTAATGCTGTGAACCCCTCCATCTTAGGCTCAGGTTGTATAGATGTGTCAATAAACCATATATCCATAGACACAACAGTTTCTGCTGTGCCGCATTCCAAAGGAAATTGAACCCTGGGTAAGTGCCTGAATTCCCTGGAAATTTGCCCCACTTGGAGTTCGGATGGCATGTAAGACAATTCTGAATGTGGGGGCAAGCTCAGAAAGGTTGTATATTATATATGTGCAAACTATGGTAGTGATTGACTGTTTTGGTTCTCAAAGCACAGTTTTTCATTTTCTCAAATTATATTTCAACCATTTAAATATTTTCAGATTTCTATATGAAGGATGGACATGAACTCCTGTCTTTGATGCTTACCTTGGGGGAATAGGCTGTTGCAATAAACTCTGGACTTATAATAAAGAGACTATGTGGAACCAGTTTCGATAGATCTATACATTTATTACTCTCTCTTTTTTCCGGCCACCGGGGTAGAAATGAGAGTTGTCCATAGGAATCAGTGGAGGAATGTCGGATTTTAAACCACTGTGGACACCAGCATGTACTTCCCTGTAGACAGATGCAGGCTGCAGCATAAAGACAGGTGTGCCAGCTTTTTCTAACTTAGATCTTATGCTATATGAAATATTTGATTTGTTTTAATATGTGTTTTAAAAAAAACTTTTTAAAAAACACAGTTTGGCTGCATGCAACATTAATGCAACATAGGGCTTCTGAATGCAGTTGAATGCTAGATTTAGGCTGGAAGTTATCTGGATTCACTTTTTGAGACAACCTCCTAGTTAAAAGCTCACTTGCCTTTCCACCCATCTCATCAGTCTGCTTCAAAAATAAAAGATGAGCCATGCCTCAAAGAAAAGAAGGCAAAAGTTCTTGTTTGGGCAGATTTAGCATAACAGGAGTGCAGGCCCATTTCCCCCTTTCCTAGAATCACCCATCCCAACCAGTACCATGGGACAACAAATGTCTTTGCAATTCTGAGAACAGATACAACTCCTTTAGTGAAAACTCTATGAAACCTCCGAAAAGCAAAGTGGACAAATAACAGAAACATGGGGAAGCAGGTGTGGTACCATTCCTACTAACTATTCTTCAGCATTCACCCTCTGGTTTTGTAAACGAAGGAGTGAGTGATGGATCTGCCTTTGAAAGTAGGATTGCAGACACTGGTGCCCTCAGGACAAAGCTTGGGGCTGGTGAGGGCCCCACTTCTTCTTCTTCTTCTTCTTCTTCTTCTTCTTCTTCTTCTTCTTCTTCTTCTTCTTCATTACCCCGCCCATCTGGCTGGGTTGCCCCAGCTACTCTGGGCAGCTTCCAACACACACACACATCATCATCATACATCATACATTAATAGTAACAATAAGATCCTATATAAAAAGTCATAATAACTTTAAAATAAACAACTTATACCAAATACAGCAATATGTAATAAACCGAATGAGCCGCAGCAGCAGCATCTCCAAAGCATGGCAGCACTGGCTGATCACATTTTGAATTAAGTAAGTCAATGAATTAATGTTATCATCTAAAAGTGGCGGGGCAGGGGCATATGAATGTTAAGTCCCAGAGTCTTAACATTACCTAGGAGCGGCCCCAACTGCCGAGAAAGCAAATATATCCTACAAAGAAGAGCAAGAACAGATAAAGATGAAAGCAGACATTTGAAATTTGCACTTTTTAACACTCCTCTCCCCACCTCACTAGCTCAGATAAACTGTTTCCATGACAATATCCCCATATCTAACTCTATATGTGACTAGCCTTTTGTGGAACACTTACAAGTCCTCAAGAAGATTTGTATAGGGACTGCTCTCTCCTTTAATAAGCATTATAGACTTGGAAGGGACCTGCAGGGTCATCTCTGCGAAACCCCTGCAATTCAGGGAGCTCAACCAAGGCATCCATGATAGATGGCTGTCCAACCTCTGCTTCACAGTGGAGTAGCAGAGCTGAAAACAATGCCAATATATTTCACAAATGGGAACCGATGGCTGTGCGGAATAGGAAAGCGGATGTAAGTGCAAGGGGTGGAATATTTGAGGGCCGAATTCATGAAGGTCTGAATTCAGGAACTCATAGGCTTGTCACGGGATGGAATACTCCTCTGCCTGTCGGGGGAGGCTTATTCCATGCAGCAAAATGTGGAAGACAGCTGTATGAATCAGACCCCTGCTTTCACAGTTTAAATAGTGCAGCATGTTCCTATTAAAGTGTCAAAAGTGTTTGCTATTTACAGACCAAGGAACTTATTAATATAGAAAACGGTTTGCTGTAAACCATCTGGTACTCCTGATGTTTTCCTTCTCAGCTACTTCCTGTATTTATGGTGTTATTAAAATTGACATGTGCCTTAATTTTATTTCTAACTACCCTCATAGACCTAGTTTAGATGCTCGGGACACAGTTTGGATTACAGTGGTACCTCGGGTTACAGACGCTTCAGGTTACAGACCCCGCTAACCCAGAAATACTACCTTGGGTTAAAAACTTTACTTCTGGATGAGAACAGAAATCATGTGGCGGTCGCACGGCAGCAGCAGGAGGCCCCATTAGCTAAAGTGGTACCTCAGGTTAAAAACAGTTTCAGTTTAAGAACAGACCTCCAGAACGAATTAAGTTCTTAACCCGAGGTAAAGGTAAAGGGACCCCTGACCATTAGGTCCAGTCGCAGGCGACTCTGGGGTTGCAGCGCTCATCTTACTTTTTTGGCCGAGGGAGCCGGCGTACAGCTTTCGGGTCATGTGGCCAGCATGACTAAGCCGTTTCTGGCGAACCAGAGCAGCGCACGGAAACACTGTTTACCTTCCTGCTGGAGCGGTACCTATTTATCTACTTGCACTTTGACGTGCTTTCGAACTGCTATGTTGGCAGGAGCAGGGACCAAGCAACGGGAGCTCTCCCCATTGCGGGGATTCAAACCCCTGACCTTCTGATCAGCAAAACTGTGATCTTGTGTCCAGTGATTACTTTCACTTTTTTTCAATGATTGTTATTGGTCTTTAAAATAAAATAAAATATGAAAGCAGATTGCAAAACGAGCAATGTGTCCTTGCTGTGCCATGATTGGCTCCTGAGTTGATAGTCTAGTCCGTGTGTGGCTGGGTGGTGATACTGGGAAGTCAACTTGGGCTTGTATTGACTCCTATGGGATGTAACTACTTACACATCTCTCCCATCGCTGTAATAACTTTTCAGTGGCAGGGGAGGATAAGATTCTGAATAGGCTCTCCAACCCTTCCCACCACAGCCACAAATCTGCCTTTTTCCAAAGCCCTTGTGTTGGCACTGTAGTTGTTACACAGCCTTAACATCTTGACTGTTATGGTGTTGCTGTTATATCCTACTAAGTCACTACAATATCCTAACTCCCCTTGCTGACATGCATGGAAGATTTAGGGTGCAGTCCTTATTGCACCAGCTGCCATTAGGATGTGGAAGAGATCTGCTGTCCTCCTAGCACATCAGTATCCGTTACACTGCTGCCACAAAGGATGTGCAGGTGCAACTCCCCATATGGGCCTGTCAAATACTCCACTGTGCTGCACCAGTGAAGCTATGCTAGTGGAACAGCTAGAAAGGGAAAGAACACACCTATCCTGTATTCATTCAGGCTACGATCATGCCCCCCATTGATAGTGCAATGCTATACAGTGGTACCCCTGGATACGCACACCTCTGGTTGCGTATCCTTCAGGATGTGAACGCGGCAAACCCAGAAGCATTTTTTGGGTTTCGCCCCGCACACATGCGCAGAAGTGCTCTACCACGCCATGCGCATGCGCAGAATAGACACCTCCAGTTGTGAATTCCTCGGGATCTGACCAGAGCTCTGGAAAGGATCCTGTGCGCAACCATAGGTACCACTGCACTGACCTCAGTGCTGGCACCATTGAGTTCAACGAGAGGAAAAGCAAATTTTAAGAAGCGTTGCTGTCTTCCAATGACTGCCCTATCTACATCACCATGACAGAGAATAGGATATAGTACAAATTAGAACCTAATCACAGCACACCACCAGGGTATAAACTTCCACACAGGAAGTCTTCAAGTTTGGTGATAGGATGTACTAAAGCTTTGGGCTATATTGTCATGGATGGTCTCAGGTTGTGCATACAACACATACAATGGATTCTGGCAAGCAGAACTATGAAGAAAGGGCACTTTGCACCACCATAACATTGCAAGGAAATGGAGCACATTGGCGAATAGGATTGCCCTGCTGTCGTAATCCTGTTCTGATGCAGGTTAACTCCCTGACAGAACTGCATGGTAAAGTGGAACTGAACTGAATTTAAATAAATCTGCACAATACTAAAACCTCAACATAGCTTTTTGTGATACTGATGGAAGCTTTAGATAACATAAATTAAAAACAAAGATTTACATGCAGTGTCAGAAGGCCATCTTTAAAAAACACACACCCTGTTATGGTACTATACTAAAGGTAAAGGTAAAGAGACCCCTGACCGTTAGGTCCAGGTGCAGGCAACTCTGGGGTTGCGGCACTCATCTTGCTTTATTGGCCGAGGGAGTCAGCATACGGTTTCCGGGTCATGTGGCCAGCATGACAAAGCTGCTTCTGGCGAACCAGAGCAGTGCACAGTGCATTTACCTTCCCGCCAGAGTGGTACCTATTTATCTACTTGCACTTTGATGTGCTTTCGAGCTGCTAGGTTGGCAGGAGCAGGGACCGAGCAACGGGAGCTCACCCCATCACGGGGATTCGAACCGCCAACCTTCTGGCTGGCAAGTCCTAGGCTCTGTGGTTTAACCCACAGCACCATCCGCGTCCCTGGTACTATACTAGAACACAACAATAGCCTAAATCTGTGTGCCACAGCTAACTCACTGTTCCCCTTATTCATCTTTGCTTCTGTTCATAAATAAATTAAAAGTTGCAACTGATTATGCCAATGAAAGTATGCAGCAGTAGTAACTATATCCGTTTGTTACTAACCCAAGGGGAAGAAAGCAAGGGGTGTTGGGTTCCTGCAAGAGAAAACTCAAGGTGTCCTGTTTGCGAAATTGCTCTAAATATTTTGCATGTGAGTGGATATTATATCCCATCAGCCAGTGCTTTTTTTCTAAAAAAATGTTTAGGGGTACTCTCATTTTCCTACTCATATTGAAATACTGCCCCTCAATGAGGCCAAACTTAGATTCAAAATATGTTTAGGGGTATGCGTACCCCTGTGTCACCCCAGAAGAAAAGCACAGTAGAACAGCTCAACAACATCACAACTGGACTGCAGCCTTGTTCCATGTGATATTGTTTCCATGCCTTATTGTAACTTCAGCCAATATCTAAGGCTACACAATTTAAACGGAAACATCCACAAATACTTTCCTATGAACTGTAACACACCCACCCACCCCTTTCCTCCCATGACTTATAATGATTGTAAGCTCCTCAGGGCAGGGATCTGCCCTTTTGTACTCTGCAAAGTGCCATGATCAGTGATGTCACTAAATAAATACAGTAATGATGATGGTATTTAATGAGCCTGCCTTCTCTATTATTCTCTTGCAGTTCAGAGATATTTGGAAGACTTGCAGATTTCTCCTCCGATGCTCTCCAATCGTTGAAGGCGACAACATGCAAAATTTCCATTTGCACTGCACAATAATAGTGACTTTTAAAAGGTGTGTTTTTAACGGGATGGTGATAAACAGTCACAGCTGCCCTTGGGAACAATCCAGACAGTTCTAAAGTGTGACCTCAATATGTACCGTTTCAGGGCTTTTGATGCCCACAGCTGCTGCCGTGAGGACCAGAATGAAGACTCTTCTCCCTGCTGCAAGGCCCATTTCCACCTGGCCTAGAGGGCGGGCCCAGACTCACCTTGAACAGCTAAAAGAGGCTTCTGGGAAGCTGGAGGGACATTGCTGGTTGGGGCAACTGGCTAAAAAGTTTTACAATGTTTTAAATGGTTCTAATTTTGGTTCCTGTGTTTTGTTTTTGTTGGGTGGGGGTTGTTTAAATGTTTGGTTGGGGTTGGCGGTTATTTTAATTTGGATATAAGTGTTAGCTGCTTGTTGTTGTTATCATTTGTTGTTTAGTCATTTCGTCGTGTCCGACTCTTTGTGACCTATGGACCAGAGCACACCAGGCACTCCTGTTTTCCACTGCCTCCCGCAGTTTGGTCAAACTCATGCTGGTAGCTTCAAGAACACTGTCCCACCATCTCGTCCTCTGTCGTCCCCTTCTCCTTGTGCCCTCCATCTTTCCCAACATCAGGGTCTTTTCCAGGGAGTCTTCTCTTCTCATGAGGTGGCCAAAGTATTGGAGCCTCAGCTTCAGGATCTGTCCTTCCAGTGAGCACTCAGGGCTGATTTCCTTCAGAATGGATAGGTTTGATCTTCTTGCAGTCCATGGGACTCTCAAGAGTCTCCTCCAGCACCATAATTCAAAAGCATCCATTCTTTGGCAATCAGCCTTCTTTATGGTCCAGCTCTCACTTCCATACATCACTACTGGGAAAACCATAGCTCATCATTATTTTTGGTTTCTATGGATTTATTGGTTGGTTTGTTGCCTGTATGGGATATTCTGTTTTTTAATGTTTGATGTTTTGTTGTGTTTTTATATATGCTGTAAGCCAGCTAGAGTGGCTAGGGAAACAGCCAGCTGGGTGGGATATATTATTAGTATTATTATTAATTTTATTGTTATTATTGCCTTGCAGAGTTGCAAGGGCTCCCGAGGTTCATCTAGTCCAACCCTAGCATAATAAAAATCCATTGCATATCAGTTCAGTTTAAAAGTGAGACGAATATGCAAAAAGCCAACATTTCCTGCCTTTTCGAAAAACATGGAGAATTCAGTCTCACCCAGAAAGTTGGCTAAATAAATGCTTAGGACGGAGGGGAAAGGAGGCTTATTCGCACATGGAACAACGGAATCGCCGCTGGGTGTCGCGATGGCCACACTCCGCACCCAGCGGTGGAGAGAAATCTGTTGCAAAGGGGCATCTGTGGGCTAGAGAGAGGAGCGGGAGCATCCGCGCGTCTAGACGCAGGGTAATCTCATTATCGCTTGCTATTCTTTCGCTCGGCGTTTCAATTTGCGCGCGCCGCCTCGCGCACCTTGACGGCGCGGGAGGCGCTTTGCAAAAAGATCACCCCGCCTGTCACCCTATATATATATTGCAACCCCCCCAATAGAACGGTTTGCTTGCAGGCACCCAGCCACCCCACTGATGCAGTGTGGGTGGGAGGGAGACAGACCTTCTCTTAGTGTTGGGGGGCGGGGGCATCCTTCGGGGGCCACCTTTTGTCCCCATAGAGGGGGGAGAGAGACTTTGCTCCCCCTCCCCATGGCTAGTCCTACCCCACAGAGCAAGAGCAGCAGCCCCCCCCTGCACCCCAAAACCCCCCCGCGTTGATGGAGGCGGCGGCAAGAAGGGAGATGAAAGGGGGGTGGGCGTCGGGGGCGGAGAAAGTGAGGAGGGGGGGGTTTCGCTGCTGCGCGCGCACGCGGAGCACAAAGGAGACGCCGAGAGGAGGAGGAGGAGCAGGAGCGCCGCGCTTTGTGCGCCGGAGACCTCTTGAGGGGAAGCCGCCACAGGCAAGACACGCGCGCGCGCATTCACACGGACACCCGTACCCGGCTTGGGCCGCGCTGCGCCTACCTTCCTCCTCCTCCTCCTCCTCGGCGGCCGAGAGAGAGAGAGAAGCTCCTCCTCGGGGAGCCCCTGGGTGGGTGAGTGAGTCCGTGAGTCCCTCGTCTTTCCCCCCTCACGGCGGGCGGAGGCCGCTCCTCCGGGGTCGGCGGGCCGACCGAGAGCTTTGGCCGCCTGAGGCGGAGCGGCCAAAGGGCGCCCTTCTCTTCTCTCCCCGAAGCCAGCGCCCATTTCGGCACCTCAAAGGGAAAGGGAAACAAAGCACCCCTCCCCACCACAGGCAATTCTTCCATTCTGTGGGAAAATCTCAACGGTTTTAACGAGATGAAGGGACGTTGGCCGCCGCCTCACTCCTGCCTCACGGCAGGGCCGGCCCTGCCCAGCCTCGTTTGGAGGGGGCTTTTCATGGGAGAGGACCGCCTGCCCGTAATATAACTGTTATTTCTGGGGTGAGGATGAGGCAGCTCCTAGGGAATGAGGTCCACCTCAATAAAATATTCGAGGGGGTCCCCCCCTCCAAAAAAAAAAGTTGAGGGGGAATTCCCATCCAAATGGAATGGGTGTGCTACGTCATGGGATTGATGATGCGGGGGTGGGGCTTACCTGGTTCCCCCCCCCCAAGTTGGCACCCCTGAGATGGGGTGTGTATGCAGGTAGGGTGGGGTGTTTTGCCTCCCCCTTGCAAAAGATGGGGAGGTGGCTCCTCTGCGCTTGAACGCAAAGAGATGGCGTTTTGGGGGACATCTCTGTGCGCTGAGTGCCACAGGAAGGTGCTGGGAGCTGCACCTGGGATCCCGGGGATTTGCACACCCCATGTCCTTGGAAACTGCCCAGTGCAAGGAGAGGATGGAGGCGTCGAAGATAAAGGGAGCAGGGCAAATGATTCGGAGAGAAACCACTGGTCTCCTTTGGGTGGGTTTAGCCTTTGACCTTCGGTCTTTGATGCTCGCTACAGACGCAGCATCAGCAATGCTCCTTCTGTTTCTGTTTTCCATATTGCTTGAGGAAGTAGCTCCTGGAGCCTCTGTCTGGTGAATTTTGAGCGAGAGGAGGAAGACACATTTGTATATGCAAAGAGGAGCGTGGTTCTTTATCATCACATGCTCCAGCGGTGGAAGCTGGTTCAAAAGTTGAATTAATTAGGACTGTCTCACACCCATTTTTAAAGGCACAAATATACAAAGCTGTAACTTATTTGCAAGTGCATGATGGAACCTGGGTGGTGAAGACCACTAGCACCAGATTGGATGAATTTTAGTGCACAAACTCCTCCAAGAATTGCTTTTTTGCTTCTGTAAAACAGAGATTGAACACAAACTGATCGGAGGGGGAGTAACTCAGGGATGGTATCCTAATTTCACAATTGACTTAGATCAGGCTTCCTCAGCCTCGGCCCTCCAGATGTTTTGAGACTACAATTCCCATCATCCCTGACCACTGGTCCTGCTAGCTAGGGATCATGGGAGTTGTAGGCCAAAAACATCTGGAGGGCTGAGGTTGAGGAAGCCTGACTTAGATTTTATGAATGTTGTGGGCAGCTTTGAGGATTTCAGCTGGAAAGTGGAATGCAATTTGCAAATACACTTGGACATGTTTTGAAGCTTCTGTCAACATGGTAAACCGTTCTAAGAGTTGAGGAAGGAGTCCTGGCAAGACCTTATTTGGAGTGTTCAGTTCTGGATATTGCAGGTCAGAAAAAGCTGTAACACAATTTGATTTTAAAGGGCAGATATGACAAGGAGAGGCTGAAAGAGTAGAATATACAGAAAAACTGACAAAAACAATATGCTAACAGTTTCCAAATATTTAAGTTTGCAGCCTAACTACAGGCAAGAAGAAGTGGCTTTGATCTTGGTTCAGTAATAGAAAAAAACGTAGTGTAAGAAACTGCATAGACAAGGAGGTAGCAAGATCTTCCTTGGAGGGTTTAACACAAGGTTGGACAGGTACCTGTCAGAAATACTATTTTGATGTCGAAGGGTTGGGCTGCAGCTATCTTGGTATCCAACTCTTTCTTTTGAGTGCTGCTATGCGGGTTAAACCACAGAGCCTAGGACTTGCCGATCAGAAGGTCGGCAGTTTGAATCCCCGTGACGGGGTGAGCTCCCATTGCTCGGTCCCAGCTCCTGCCAATCTAGCAGTTCGAAAGCACATCAAAGTGCAAGTAGATAAATAGGTACCACTCCGGCGGGAAGGTAAATGGCGTTTCCATTTGCTGCTCTGGTTCGCCAGAAGCGGCTTAGTCATGCTGGCCACATGACCCGGAAGCTGTACGCCGGCTCCCTCGGCCAATAAAGCGAGATGAGCTCCACAACCCCAGAGTCAGCCACTACTGGACCTAATGGTCAGGGGTCCCTTTACCTTTACCTTATGCACCAACAGGGAGCCATCCTTACACAGTCGTACCTTGGATCCCAAACGCCTTGCAAGTCGAACGTTTTGGCTCCCGAACGCTGGAAACCCAGAAGTGAGTGTTCCGGTTTGTGAACGTTCTTTGGAACCTGAACGTCCGACTCGGCTTATGCAGCTTGCAGTTGGCTGCAGGAGCTTCCTGCAGCCAATCGGAAGCTGCGCCTTGGTTTCCCAATGTTTTGGAAGTGGAACGGAGGTACGACTGTATGTTCTAAAAGACACAAATCTCTTAAAAAGCTCTCCAAAAATATAGGCAGACTGAGCAATGACTATGGTCAGAGAGCACTCTGCCCATACTTAATGAAACTATCATCTTTGTCTAGATAATGTGCAACGTGGAACACTTGCATTGCAGACGCCGAGAATGGTTTCTTAGAGAGTTTTGGAAATTGACCAGCATTTCTCTGCAACGTTTGCTGAATCTATCGGTGGCTATCTTGTCACCATGCTGGCTTGTGAAACTGTTTTGATAAAGCTGTGGTGAAGGAGGTTTGGTTTATCAATAGCTATCACCCTGTTTACAGAATGGATGGAATTATTAGTCGTGATAGCCTACTGCAGGAATGGGAAACCCGTGGCTCTCCAGTTGTTTGTTGAACTACATTTCCACTCATTCTGGACCACGTTGTCTGGGAACTAGAGTCAAAGAACATCTGGAAGGTCACACGTGCCTCATCCCTCATAAAGCATAGTACATCTCAGCATACTAGATGCTGGGGACAAACAGCAGGTATCTCCATCACCTTCATGCCCTGTTTGTGGGATTCCATAGGCAACTGGCTGGCTACTTTGGGAACAAAATGCTAAACTAGTTTACCGATAGCAGGGCAGTTCTTAAGAAAGCAGAGCTTTCTTGGTTTCTGATCCTCTTTGCATGCATGGTTTCTTCTCTCTCCAGCACACCCTTTCCTCTGCCAGAAAGGAGGATGTGTAGCAACATCTTGTTTCCTTTTAAGTACATAATGAAATGCTTTCTTCTGTGCTCTTTATGTGGCAAATGGTCCCATCTTCCCTTGCCCTCAAACTACTATTCATTTTGTACACCTTGCTTGGAACGAAATCCATTTAGTTGAATGTGTTTGGGTCTTGCTACTGTAGCTCAGTAGTTGGTGAGTTAGTATACTAATTATTGAGCAAATCCTAGTCTAGCTGTGTCACTTAATCAAACTTTGTGACTTTCCCAGTAGCTCTCAGACACAATAGTTGTGTCTTACTTACAAATGGCTACACTTTGAGACTTATTAAGTGGCATGTCTTTCTGAGAGCAACTTTGCCTTTGGGTTTCTAGGTGCCATTTGGACCTGAAGCAATTACAGTTCACTTTCTTAAGTTGAGTCAGGGAGGAAACATTTCAACTTGACAGGACACTGCAATGGACCTCCAGGTGGCCATAATGGAACATCAAAGGGAAGCTGTTGAATTATAGTTCATCAAGAGGTTACATGCTTTCACATGGACTAAACTGATGCAACAGATTTTTATTATACAGTACTGGGGCTGGACTAGATGACCCTTGGGGTACCTTAAAAGTCTACGATTCTAGGATTCTGTGTGGGTTAATTGGCTTACCAATGGCAGGGTATCTGTGTTATCAACACAACAGTTTTTTTTTTTTAATGGCGCTGCTAAGAATGCAGTTATAATCCTCTGTAATTTTCCATATTTCTTTCTGACCTCACTGAAAACATCTCTCTCCACCCTATTCACAGACACACACTCCGAATAACATGTCATGCATTTGATGAAATGGACTGTAGTTCACAAAAGATAATGCCCGGTGTTCAAAATTCCCATTGTTCTAGGCGCATTCTGTGACAGGGAATTTTATTAGCACAAGCACTTTCTGAGCTCTGGGTACAGTACTGCACCCAAGATTTCAGATTAAAACTGCGGAGTGGAAGGAAAGGAGGACCTTTTTCTGCCTCCCCACTTCCGGCTACTTTCTGAAGAATATTAGGGGCGTGGGCAGAGGAAGGACTAAACCATGTGAAAAATGAACATAATATTTTAGCTACAATTCATTCATTTTCAGCTTCGTGTTCTTGTTATTTAAAAAATGCTCCTAGACATTCTGTTGTAGCGCCCATAACCTAGGTTTAAGGTGTCATTTAGCTCCTAGCTTTCATATCTCAGTTTCTAACACTGATAATGCCATAATAAATGTGTCAAGTCTTTAAGCTTCCACGGGACTCTTTGTTGTTTTATAACTTACTTTCTTCACCAAACCTTTATTAGGCATTACAAATATAGGCCATCATAAAACATCCATATATAAAATGTTAAAATATATACAAATAAGCAGCCATATAAAAATATATAATAACGAGAATTTTCATTGGAGTATCTCCTGTTACATAGTGCCATTCACCACTCTGAGAGATACTATTTATTGATAAAAACTTAGCCACCCTTGCAATTACTTCCGGGTTAATGTCAGACAGATAGAATCTGATACTTTCATTGTGCCGTGATGTTAGACTACCCCAAAAATGGGGATAGTACATGTTTGCGTAGCTGGTTGTACAATGGACAGTAGAAAATAATGTTTTACTGTGTCTGGCACATTCATCCGCAATGTCTACAATTTCTGGGGATGTTTAAATACCTGCCCATGACAAAAGCTGAGGGGAAAACGTTCAGTCGGGCTAACATAAAGGCCCTGCATTGGAGTGGAATTATTAATTTTGAAATATAAGTGACCCTGTTATCCGTTGCATTTAAACCATAAAACTTGGGGGAGCAAATTTTATTTACAGCTGACTCAATATATTGTTTTCCAATGTTCCTTAATCTGATTTGAATATTATGATAAATATATTGCTAGCCCACACCCAGTATTCCTTTGTGTGTATACTTAGTTATACACACATCGTCTCATACTTGATTGAACTTGGAGCCCCAGGATACGTCTCAAGAAACTTGAGTGCATCTTATCTAAATCAGTATTATATTCTTGTATCCAGTTGCTTTATAACATGGTTACCAAGACTAAATGCCTATGTGTCTTTAGGACCCAAGCTGCAATACAGTCTTTAAACTAGGGATGGTTAAGTTGTGGTTCCCTAGGTCTTGTTGGAGTCTAATTCTGTTTAAGAATGGAAGAGCTGTGTCTTAGTGGAAGAGCATATGCTTTACATACAGAAGGTCCCCGTTTAGTTCTCAGTATCTCCAGGCATGGCTGGGAGACACCCTTGTCTGAAAACTTGGAGAGCCACTACCAGTCAGAGAAGAAAATTGTGAGTCAATAGTTTGACTCAGTATAAGGCAGGTTCCTGTTTTCCTAGACCCAGCCAGCATGGCTAATATTTGGGGTAGTGGGAGTCCAACAACACCTGAAAGACCTCAGGTTCCTCACCCTTGCCTTAAACCCAAACCTCATTTCCAGTTAGTTCTTAAGGTCTGCACCAATCATGTATAAAGTGGAGAGTTTGTTTTGAAGAACAAAGGAGCCAAAAGGACTGAAGAGTGAGGTGCAATCCTCTAACTGCTACTTAACTCTCCGCAGAACCTCTGTCCTAGGGACCTTTTTCAGCTAGACTCTTCTTGCACTGTTAGGGAGCAGGCTGTAGAGAGGTAAACCAGGCGTATCCCTTTGCCCCATATACTCCTTTATACACAGAACTGTTACTGTCATGCAGGATTTGAACTCTAGTGCCTATTAATGGTTAAATATTTATATAAGAAATCTATACCGGTAACCTGGAAAAGAACAGTGAACGTTCAGAAGTGTTTACTTGTAATAAACCCCTTGTGTTAAAAAGGATAAGCAGACTCTATGAAAGTGAAGTGCAACAGAAAATTAGTTATGGAAAACTTGACCTGAATAGCAGGTATGTCTTTTGTTTCATAAGAATTAAGAATGTTGAACAGCATGTGGTTGCCTTTGATTGCTATCACCCTTGCATGAACCGGAGGGGGAACGCGTTCTTTCTTTTAAGCTAACAGTTAATGGGCTATGAGCAGTGGTTGCACCAGGTTATTTTGTGCCCCAGGCAAGGCTTACTACTTGCACCTCCCCTGCCCCCCATGCTAACTTAAATTTTCAAAAACAGATGTATTGTAGAAAAAATGAAAAGCACAAAACTTGAAACTGCTACATTTATTTTAAATTGCAAGAATTAGTAATAACAGCAACCTTTGATTATCTTTCTCCAATACAAAAGAAAATGTTTTAGCACACAAATCATTGTTAATAGCCTTGTGAATTGTGACATTACTTAGAGACTTAACTTTTAAAGTTTCAGTTTCAAGCACATCAGAATCTCACTTTGCATGACTTTTCCTTTGAAGATTTTGTCACCAGTTCCTTCAGGTCAAGTGCTGATGCCTGGGCATGTTCAACTGATATAAGTTTGAGCTTTGAGAAACAGTGTACAGTGGTACCTCAGTTTAAGAACAGTCCTGTTTTCGAACGATTTGGTTTACGAACTCCACAAAACCGGAAGTAGTGTTCCGGTTTTCGAACTTTACCTTGGTCTACAAATTGAAAGCGAACGGTGAAAGGGCACCGGCGGCGGGAGGCCTCATTAGGGAAAGCGGGCCTCGGTTTTAGAATGGATTCGGTTTAAGAACGGACTTCAGGAACGGATTACGTACGTAAACCGAGGTACCACTGTATAACACTTGCCACCGACACTGGAAGTGTGAGAAGGATCCTTAGAACAACAGAAACGTTAGACACATTATCCAGGAGTTTTTGTTGTAATGTGAAAAGAAATACTTCTTGTGGAAATCTTTGAGCTATTGCTATAAGTTCACAGCACAGATCTTCAGCATTAATATCTTTGTTTCCATTGTGTCGCAATGATTTTTCCAAATCCTTGCAGGCCTTAAGTACATCTTCAGTAGATTTTTTTTGTTGATACTGTATATATCATATAGGAAACCAAATAGGGAATTACAGTGGTGCCTCGCAAGACGAAATTAATCCGTTCCGCGAGTCTCTTCGTCTTGCGGTTTTTTCGTCTTGCGAAGCACGGCTATTAGCGGCTTAGCGGCTATTAACGGCTTAGCGGCTTTAAGAAAAAGGAAACAAACTCGCAAGAACTCGCAAGATGTTTCGTCTTGCGAAGCAAGTCCATAGGGAAATTCGTCTTGCAGAACGACTCAAAAAACGGAAAACTCTTTCGTCTTGCGCGTTTCTCGTCTTGCGAGGCATTCGTCTTGCGAGGTACCACTGTATATTGTTGAAGCTGTCAGAATCTCTGTAAGAATACAATAGATTGTATGCCGTGTCTATAGCTGGGCGATATTTTGATAAATTGTCTGAAACCAGTGTGATGATCAGATTGTGATACAGGTTTCAGACTTTTTGAGCTGGCTCCCCAGCTGCTGACAGCACAGCACACCTCACTCCCATCCAACTGCCTACCTGCGCTGTGCTGGGGGCAGCTGGGGAGCTGCAATGTATTGCCAGCTCAAATTGCTTGCAGATGGGAAAGGCGCAGGCAGACAGAACCTGAGAAGGCGCTCGCCCAGAACTTACTCAGGCTCGGTTCGCCTGCCTGCCTCCACCACCTCCTCTGCCCGGGTGGACTGCCTCTTTCTCCTGGTCAGTCACTCCTAGAGCGACCACTGCTGCCCTTGGGCTTCTTTACCAGCATCTCTGCATGCTCCCTGCTGATACTCTTCGATTCCCCACCCCCCACCCCAGCAGGTTATTCTGACTATGCAATAAGAGGAAATCCCAGAAGTGTCAGGGGTATTTAATCGTGTGGAAGAGAAGCATCTGTGTACAGTGGTACCTCGGGTTACATACGCTTCAGGTTACATATGCTTCAGGTTACGGACTCCGCTAACCCAGAAATAGTGGGTCCCATTAGGTAGGAAATAGAAGGCCCCATTAGCTAAAGTGGTCTTCAGGTTAAGAACAGTTTCAGGTTAAGTACGGACCTCTGGAACGAATTAAGTACTTAACCTGAGGTACCACTGTATTGCAGGGACAGTCAGAGGACAGTTTGAGAGCTATACAATAAGAATATTTATAGAGAGATAGTTATTTTGGGGGGGAGGTGTAGCTGTTGTTTTGTATATTTTAGATCTTGTGATTTATGTGGAAATACTTCAGTTTGGTTGTGTGTGTTTTAATGTTTTATTTATTGTTTATGACTACTTTTGTTATGTTGCAAAGTGTGTTTTTTCATGTTGCAAGCTGCCTTGAGCATGGTTTGAGCTGTGGAAAAGCAACATAAAAATAAAAACTCTGTTATGTATGGCCATAAATGTGTTCTTTTCAGTTGTCTTTTACCAAGATTTAGTGAAGACAGTTAGAATATATAATACTGGTTCTTGCTTGTCAGCAGAAATGTTTTTCTTAACACAATTCAACAAATTAAATATAGGATCTAAATAAATGCTTGTCTGAAACATTTCACCAATTACTCCACCTCCTCTTCCAATGTTTTCTTGCTTTTTTGCATCTCTACAATATTTAAGAGGATATGCTGCCATATGTGGAGATGCTAGGATGTGTGAAAGATAAGCTAATGCGGCACACGTGTGAGAATGGAACAGCTGTGCAGAGAGGAAGGTTTTGGATATGTCTGTTTGAGAAAAAATGGAAGTTCTTAACAGAGAGGGTTGGTGTAACTTGAAAGTTTGCATCCTTCATTTTGAATAGGGATTGGTCCTCTGACACAGTCCTAGTACTGCCTCTATCCTTTCTAAATTATAGTACAGTGGACCCTCCGGATACAAACTTAATTCGTTCTGGGGGTCCCCGTTTGCACCCCAAAATTTACGTAAATAGAGGCGTGCTTCTGCGCACATGCACAGTGTGCTTGAACACTTCTGCGCATGCATGCGGCGCGATTGTGCGCTTCTGCGCATGTGCGTGCGGTGCATGGCTGCAACTCAAAGATTCCGTATCCAGAGGGATACGTAAGTAGAGGTACAGCTGTACATGGTGGTCTGTCGCTAATGCTTAAGAAAGCTTTAATTGTGGTGGCAGTAGTTACTGGCCTTGTTATGAGCCTCTTTTGCTCTGGACCTTACTTGATTGGCGAAATGCAGGGGACTTTGGTTTGGCCTCTCTTTTGCCCATGTGGTGTCTAACCCTGAGACCTTTGATCTTGTCATGACTGATTGTGTGATGTTTGAGCCATGCGGCTCAGCAGAGAGAGCAGGAAACAACAAGCCAACCACAGAAGGGAGCGGAAATGAATCAGATTTCTCAAGCAGCCTGAAAGTCTTGCAGAACAGTGCTATATTGTGAGGACCCAGGTGGCAAAGAAAGGAGGCCTTGATAATCTGCTTGTGAAGACTGGAGTGTCATCAGGTATGACAGTATATGTATCTTACATGTACCTGTGATGGACCAGTCAATAGTAGAGAGTCAAGTGGTAAGTAAGATGCAGGCAAAGTGAAACTAGGTAGGATGCTTCAGCAACAGTTTTACTGGAAAGGGAAGAGGCTTAACAAAATGAGGAGACAGAGAGGAGCTCTGTTCCATTTATGTGGTCGAAGGCATAGAAATGGGATTTTGGGAAATGCTGTTTTTGAATAATGAAGTACAGGATACCATCCAACTTTGCTCATTAATAGGCGTGATAATTCAGTTTAGGAAATTTTACTGCTCATGTTTAGATGGTTACTATTTTATGATATGTTTTTGTAGGAGTAATTTATTAATGAATGAACTAAAATTAGATTACTTACATATTGATAGATATGTATTTGAATGCTCATATGTTTGCATAGATACTGATGACTCTGCTTTATGTATTCTATTGCTCTATTTCAGACAAAATGCATTAAAACTTGGAAAATAAATAAATGGCAGTGTGTGAACTGCAGAGCTTTCGTAGGAATGTCAAGGTGAACCAGATTCCTGGGTTTTGCAGCTCAGGAACAGAAGTATTGTTCCAATGCAAGAGGCTGCATTAGCTGTTTTTTCCCCCTCCTAGGTATCGTGAGGCACCAACTTAAGCCATACAGCAGGATAGAATTGGCCAACTCAAGGGAGTGAAGCTGCAGACCTGTGTGGGAGAAACGTAGAGTTATGTTCCAAGCCAAGGGACCAGCCAGTACAGCCTCCACTAATGTATGTATTGTAATCAAGATTTCAGATTGAAGAGGTTGCTGCTACTTCCTGGGGAATGGGTTGAGGGGAGATAACACGTGCCTCACAGTCCAATTCTATGCATGTCTGCTTCGAAGTAGGTACCCCTGAGTTCCATGAGATTTACTCCCAGGTAAGTGTGTAAGGGACTGCACCTTTAGTTACTCAAATATAAAACTGACATGCCAGTCTGTTGCAGCAAAAGCACCCAAAAGATGGCACTTTAAAGTCTAGCAAATTATTATGGCATAAGCATTCACAGACTAGAATCTTACTTCATCAGATGCATGGAAAGTAATCTTCCGTTGGAAATAATATTTAACCAGAACAAAGGAGAAGGGCCCCAAGGATATAAGTAAAAACAAACAAAATCAGAAGAACCGTAAAAAGGTATAAAAGTGATTTACAAATTGATAAAACAAAGCAACATGCAAAGTGAACATATACAAATATAAGCAGATAAAGCCATATACAAATATAAGCAGATAAAGCCATATACAAATATAAGCAGATAAAGCCATATACAAATATAAGCAGACAAAGCCACTGTTGCGTAACAATTTCTCCAAACACTTCAAGTTACGATAATGAGATTGCTTGCTTTGCATCCTGTTTCTCACTTCGTCAGAACAAATGGAAAGTTTCTCACAGATAGCAGTTGTAGACTCCCACGCAAGGGCTATATGTCTGGGACAATGTAATTAAAACTTAAACGTATGCAATACAATCACAGTGACCATTTGCAGCAGCAGCAGCGTTAATACATTGCTTGCTTGCTTAATGAACACTTGCTTGGGACAGGAACTCACTACAGTGGTACCTCGGGTTACAGAACTTCATGTTATGTGATTTCGGGTTACGCACTGTGCCGAACCCGGAAGTACCGGAACAGGTTACTTCTGGGTTTCTGCGCCTGCGCAGAAGCGCTAAATCGCGCTTTGCGCATGCGCAGAAGTGTCAAATTGCAGTTTTTAGCTATTTGGGCATGTTAGCAGTACTAGGATAACTGCTGTTGTGAACGGTCATTATGCATATTTTGAATTCATTTAAGCCTCAGACTGTTCTTTTTACATTTTATGGTCATTTCCTCTTTTCATTCCAGTTGATTAACCTTAAGCATTGCACCTGGTGAAAGTTTTTCATTTTAGAATTCTGCTTTATTTGTAGCACTTGACTACATAGACACTTGGCTCAAGTTGATGTAATGTTCCATTTTGGATGCTTCCTGCAATAGGAATAGTATACCTTGGATGTGAGAATCGTTAAAAATTTTTAGTTCACTTTCTCATGTCTGTTCACCATATTTGGGTATGTTTTTTATGTTTTATTAATCAGGAAAACTGATTTTTGTTACATCAATATTTTTGTGGGGTTCCTCTCTTTCTAAGGAGTCTGTTTTTCATTTGGCATGTTTGACATTTTTATTGATGTTAAAATATTTCAGAAAACATTAAGTTTTACTTAATGTGAATTTGATATATTTTCTTGTATTTATTTATTCTATTTCTAAATAATTTGAAAAAAAGATACAAATAATGATAACAATTAAAATTCATCCTAGAAACAGAAAACTACCTTAATATGGCTATTAATGTCTTAAAACTATCCTATTCATTCTGTTCATATACTTGCAGTGCCCTTGAAAAAGGAATTTTCTGAAATGCACTGGACTTACAATAAATTGCATTTCTGTTCCCTGGAGTCCTCCCCACTCCACTTTTCTTCCTTTGCCAGTTAGTGATACTATCCAAGATCTGTGGTTGTTTTTACACAAAAGTTGATGTCATAATAAATTCATCAGGCTGAAATCCTGTATCTTTTGCTGGGGAGTCAGCCCATTGAATTCAAACTCAGTGGGACTTACTTCTTTTTTTTTTTTATAATTGATATTTATTAAATTTTCAAAGAATAACAACAAAAATTTCCAAAAAAAATTTGAGGATACAAAAAACAAAAATAATACATAAACAAAAAAGAAAAGAAAACCCAGCCGCAAAGAAAAAAAAAGAGAAACAGAAAAACAAAAATATAAAGTCCTTTACAATCTCTACTGACTTCCTTTCTAGACTTCCTCCTCCTCCCCTCTTTTGTTTCTTAATTTTTAATTTTTACAGCAAATCCTTTCTGTTTTTTCATAACAATCTGTCATTACGTTTCCTTATTCTATTTTCCCTCTTGTCATATAAAAACTTTAAAACTCATAGCTTATATTCAATATTTACCAAATTCTTGCATCATTACCTTTTTACGAATCATTTACCAATCCTTACTTAAGCCATGTAATTTCATTCAACATCCTTCAAACATTTGTAAGCATTCCCAATATTAAAAAGTAAAAAAAAAAAAATTAATAAGTCAAATTCAGTCCAGTCAGCTTCCAACCTCCCCTCCCCTGGACCCGGGATTGTCAGTCCTTTTAACCTCGATAATCCGGCTCCTTAACCTGGTTGTCTCGTATCCGAGGCCCTCAAGTCTCTTTCTTGCCCCTTTCGCCACTCTTGTTGATGATTCCTTTCCAGTCGTGGATGCTCCAGCAAGAAAATGCTTTTGACCCTTTGCAGCAAGTCCATCCCAAACCCATTGCCCAAGCCAGACAGCAAATAATACCACTTCAGATTTCCACAAAGCTTGGAGACTTCGGCTACTCCAATCCTCTGATAGCCCATCACCAGACTCGGAAGGTCCAAATAACCATATGGAGGGGGTCGATCCATCCCCCATTTCCAAATCTGACCACATTTCATCTTTCCGAATCTGGTTTGTCCCAAGTTCATTTATCAAGTTCAAAGGCTGATCTTGCCCGTCCAAAGGTCCCTCCATCTCTGAAGCCTCCGTCACTACAGCAGGTTCATATGCTTGTATAGCCTTTAACTGAATTTCATTTGTTTGCTGCTGTGCTCTGGTAACTTCCATCATCAAGGTCGTCTCCTGACGCATCTGGTCCAGCTGGGCACTTAGTTTTGAAAAACCTTCCAGGAACAATTGTTCAAGCCTTTGTACTAGCATTGTCCTTCAAGGTCAAAGAAAATTCTTTCCCACGACAATAGTCCAATAGTCCTTCTCTTTTAATCTCTCTGCGTTGCAATTTCACTAAATTCCACTAGATGGAAATTTTTTTTTTTTTAAAGGAATAAAAGCAACAGCAACAATCTTTCTTTTCCAGAAACACTTTATCCAAAATTCCCCTTCCAAATTCAAGAGGCAACAGTAGAATCAAAATGTTACCCTTCTTTTAACTAACTGTCGAGCTGGATAAACTTCAGAACGTCAATTCTGACAGCCCGCTCCTGGTTCAGGGCGGTGGAAAATTGCTTTATTTTAAACTCACTTCCGCAGGATTGAAAAGTCCAAATACAACCCCTTCTTCTCCTGCAGTCAAAGGGGGTTCAGAAATCTTAGATGTTGAATTCTAGTTCTCTTAGAATTTAATTTTCAAGCTTTAGTATATTTTGTCTTTGCTTTCTTCACATAACAAAAGAACGGAAGGCGACTTCCTGTTTAGACCTTCCCATTCCGAGTCCCAATTAAGTTCAATTTCAAGTCCAATATTATTTGTTTATTCACCAGTCTTAAAAGTGGTTCAACTCTTCCAAGATCAGGTACTCACGGATAGATATTTTAGATGCCAAATTGTCCAGGAAAAAGGCAGCGCTCTCCGATAACGGCAGTGCGGCTTTGCTGCACGGAGGAAGCAGTCGACTCACAGCACCACGCACCTCCCACTCCGGAGCCCGTTACCGGGCTCCTGTACAAGGAGAGAGCGCTCTCGGTGCCCGCCGAGTCCCACGTCCACAGGCTTCTTCCGCCTGTGGTTTTGCGGGTCCCCGCTGCGCCGTAGCGGCAGGACCCAAGCCTCCGTGCAGCGGGTTCCCTTCAGTCCGAAGGGAATTCCGCCATTTTCCGGAGGCGCCACCCCGGAAGTTCCAGTGGGACTTACTTCTGAGTAGACATGTAGAATATTGCACTGTCAGCCTTTAAGGTGCCAGAAGACACTATTGTTTTCAAAATTTATGTTCACTTATCCTTCCAGTGAATCCTGTGGATTGTAGTTTGTGGAAGCAATTATCTGTTCTTAAATTCTTGTGTTCTTTGGAAAATCAATGTGAGTTAAACAGGACTCGCATGGTTACGTTCCAACTCTAAGAAATAATCTCCCTTTAAGGGGGTTATTGAGAACTTGCTTATGGTGGTTGTCTGCCCAAACAGTGCATTACATAATGATCTAGGAAGAAAGTGTGAAATGGGACATAAATATGAAATTCTAAAACTGCTTAAAAAGTTGCAGTATCAAAGCTTACAATTGTGATTCTGTGCGATCTCTTTCTATTCCCCATTGTTTCTTAATGCAGATCATAACATGATGCTCTCTACTTTGTATAATTATCAATTGCATTTTCCCTCTCCTCTTTCTTTAGGAGGCAAAGAGCAACTCAGGGGCATCCACTGTGCAGAGATCCAAGGTAATTACCACCCCAGTTTTTACCTTTGGGCATGAATGTTTCCCCAGAAGGTGTGGGGACAGTCAAATAAAAACACAGCACAACAACCCCTGCAACTCCTCTTTGCTTCAGAAGCAGCCTTGTACCATCGCTGTAGGAAATGACAATTTTACTGGCCTCAGCATCCTTGGAACTCGTTAAGTGAATATGCATTTCTTTTTGAACTTGCTTTAAAGAAGCAAAAAAAAACCTGTTATTGATTATCCTTTTCGGAGGCTTCTAAGGCACTTATTAGTATATAAATTGCTTTATAGTTCTTATCTCAGCTGCTGACTCAGTTGGATCTTTAAAGCTTTCCCATCACCTCATAGTCCTCTTTAAAGGCAAACGGCTCCATCGCTGTAGCTCATGTTCCTGCGCCCTGTTGTTGGGGTAACTTTGTTTATGGATCTTCAAAGGATGCACACCATATGCATGCGACAGTACCAAAAGCAAAATAATTCAGCTCCGGGATCAAATTACACATTATGTAGTCTGCTGAGAATGTAACACAGCTCAAGGGAGGGAGGGGGGTGCATGGAGAAAGAGGCTGCCTTTGCCTTTCCCCTCTGGTCCTTGCTCAGATTGTAATTGCACCCCCTCAGGGACAAACTAGAGAGGATATGTGAAACGTGTAAATGCATTTGACATACAGCTACCACTGGCGGAGATTGGCCTCAAAACCATGCCATATAGGGGTGGGAGGAGAGGTCTAACCATTCCCTTGCATGCTGCACTCCCAATTAAAACTCATCCCTCTTTCCCAAATTGATCCCAGGAGGAAGCTTCCGCTGGCACAAGCTACTTTGGGTTTGAAGCTCCTCCCCCTCAACAGAAACACAGAACTTCAGTTATAACACGGAGAGGGAAGGGCTGTTGCTCTAGGCATGCAGAAGGCGCCAGGTTCAATCCCCACTGTCTCCAGGCAGGGCTGCGTGGGTCTCCTGCCTGACACCTTAGAGAGCTGCTGCCTTGATGTGATGGACCAATGGCCTCACCCTGCGTAAGGCGGCTTCTAATACTGTTTGAGCTGCAATGTGGCAGCAATAGATAAACAATTGACAAGGTGGAAAGAACCAGCCGAACTGTCTTTGATTTTTAGTGTGCATTCATGTATTAGGTTTTTGTGACTTTTTCTCCTTTTCATTATTTTTTATCTGCTTATAATTGGCCAAATGCCTGCTTTGGGTGGGGTCATATTCCTCTGAAGGAGCAGATTCGTAGTCTGGGGATGCTCTGGATCCATCTCTGTGGCTAGAGCCTTTGGTGATCTCATTGACTAGGAGAGCTTACCAGCTTTGGTTAGTGAGAGATGCTGCAGCCATTCCTGGACTGGGATAGCCTGACCACCAATGTCTTTGTGCTGGTCCCCTCCACATTGGGGCTGTCCTTGAGGCTGACTCAGAAGCTAGTGCAAAATGTGATGACTCAGCTGCTGGATGGGGCAGAAATTACCATATTACACCAGTGCTGAAAGAATTACACCAGCTGCCTGTTAGCTACTGGGATAAATTAATGGTGCAAGTACTGGTATACAGAACCCTTTACAGCATGGAACCAGGATACATAAAAGGATACATCTTCTTAGGAGGTCCGCTTCACATTACTTTGGAAGCAAGCCTTCAGTTTGGCAGAACTCCATCCCATTATATATCACTCAAGGATCATCTCTATTGTCATTTAAGTTAGGATTGAAGACTTTCCTCTCTCAACAAGCCTTCTAAGTGGAGTTTGTTATCCTGAGTGGTATTTGTATTGGATTTAAAACTTATTTTAGCAGTTGTTGTTTCTAGATGTTTTTAAATGTGTAGTTGTTTTAACTCTCTTTATATATTTGGATATACTGTGAGATCACATTGTGCTTTTGCTGCTGTCACTCAGTCTTTCAGCTTGAAGGCCCAGGTGAAGGAGACATGCAGTGCCTGCCAGAAAACTGTCTATCCCATGGAGCGCCTCGTGGCTGATAAATTTGTCTTCCACAACAGCTGTTTCTGTTGCAAGCACTGCCACACCAAGCTCAGGTGAGAAGGGCAGGGGGAGCAAAACTTTGCTATTGGGGAAGGTGAAGAAGATTTGGGGATGGGAGGCTAGGTGGTTGGGTTCATGTCAAACTCTCCCCACCAATCTTATATTTATGGTAGGCCTACTCGCACCCCAGAAAACCAATGAGGAACTGGGGACAAGCACAAGACGAACCAGAAATGTTGAATAAGAAACCCATTTAGTTCCTTTATGAAATTTCATGTTCTCCAGATTCTGTACTGAGGTACACAGCAGTCTGTCCACAATGTGGGATTGAGGCAGAGGAGTTTTTCTTTCGGCAGTGACAACTGCTCTGAAGTTTGAACCTTGATCAGAAGAGGGTGAGAGGTTTGGTCTGAAAGGCACGTACATAAGACCACACTTTTTTGTTTCAGCTTTATGCAGTTGTGAATATTGACACAGATTTAAAGAGTAGGATGAGAGGGCACTACTCCTTCCTTTCCTGCTCTGCCAAGGCAATTAGGGCAAATTAAGGGATTAAACATACCTGTCTGTTGAAAAGTACCATACAGTCCAGTAGGGTTTACTCTCAGGTATGTAGATCTAGGATTGTAGACTAAATGCCAAGTTTATGCAACTAGACACCCTTTATGTCTTACAATTAGGAGAACAGAAGTCATCACTTTGAGATTAATTGGAAGGAATCTTTTTAAATTATGAAAACCTTGCCATCATTCAATCAATTTCTATAAATTCTTCTGAGGTTGCCTGTTCTTGCAAATGTGACTTTCTTGGACCAATTTATTTTGCCCACATTTTTAAGAGCTGGTAACCTTAAGAGTTACGGGGAGCTCTCATTCTGATGAGATTGCCATGTAAAACAAAAAGGCTGGTGTAAACTCAGCCTTTTAACGAAGAAGGGGCAGTGGCAGGGACAAACTAGCCTTCGTGCCTCATTCTCCTATGTTCTCTTCCGTTGTGTTTCTTCAGTCTTTTTCCTAGGTGGGCTTTAACATGTGCTTTCCCTTCCTTCCAGTTTGGGTAGTTATGCAGCTCTACACGGGGAATTCTACTGCAAGCCACACTTCCAGCAGCTATTCAAGAGCAAAGGCAACTATGACGAGGGCTTTGGGCGCAAGCAACACAAGCAACTCTGGCTGCAGAAAGAGGTGGAGAACGGGACCGATACAGCATGACGAAGCAGGCCCCAATTTCCCCACTTTGAGAGCCCTGGTATGGGGATGAACTGAGCTGATGGAAAGCAGTGGAGCTTGCAAGGGTTGCTGGGAGCAGGGAAAGCCAGGCAGAAACAAGAGTATGGTTCCAGTGTTGTGGGAGCAATGCTACCTGCGTATCTGGGAACCCCAGACACTGTGCCCATGGAGGGGTGAGAGTGGAGGATCTTGAACAAATCATGTAAGAGCAGGCACACCAGCATGCTGGTGGGGGACAGGGGTTGCATGAATGAAGCAACAGATACTGGGGCTTGTATTTCCAGACTTCTTTAATGTGATTGCATCTGTGATATAAGCTCCTGAGCAGGAGAGATCCATGTTTACCACACCTTCTCCTGTGCACTACCATGTGGAATGCAAACTCTCCCCTCACTTGTCACACATCTTGCAAACTCAACTACAGATCCCATGAAACAGCCTAGATTGGGGAAATTGCCAGGTTACAATTTCCTTTGTCATAGAACCTTGGGCCAGAGAAACTTTCCCAGCAGGCTTTAGTTAATGCCTACTACACCTTATGTTTACAATCCAATCCCATCCCATCCAGTTATGGAGTGGCAAAGGAGAATGGCTCTATTAAAATATCTGGTTGCCTGGATAAACACAAATCCCGCTTTTAAAGGAAATTTTATGATGGGGCAGGGCACACAGTAAATGCTGAATATTAATTTGGCCAGAATTCATTTCTACCTCTCCCTTTATTTAAAACATTCCCAGATTAGCCTGTACTTCCTTTCCTGCTGGGAGACTGTGTGCTTCTGCTGCAGAGATCACACTCATAGATAGTCCTGCTAAGAAAGCATGGAAAGAGAACATGCTGCTTTCCAGAGCAACTAGTTTTCTATTGTGACGACAGGGCGGGAGAAGCAATCCTGAAGAAACAGAGGGCGAGTGTGGAGATAATGCAACAATGACTGAAATGTGCATACCGATCCAGTTTTGAACACGAAACAGGAATTGGATGGGATTCCAAACCTTGCACCTTCATTTTCATCAGCTCGGTTCTGCCCAAACATTTAGCCTTAAATCCTGGGGAAGCATTCAATGTCTATCTTTTATATTTGCCTTTTTCAGTGGTACGTGGTTAAGCTGAAGCACAAACTCGTGGTGTTGTGTCCAGAGTTGCGCTGTCTGCTGTCTTATTTTTGTAATATAAGTTTTCTGAACCTTTCTTGCTTCATGTTGTTCTGTGAAACAGTTTGAGGGGGTGAAATTTACAACTTATCCCATTACATGCAAGTTTCCCTATTCAAATACTGGCATGAATTATGCACAGGAGAACAAAGCAGCCGTTTTGTTTTATATATATTTAAAAAAACAACTCAGTTGTTTCCTGTTGTAAGGAAAGCTATGATGCAACACAGACTGCAATATGGAGGTGACCCAGCATTGACAAATTTTGCAGCGGCTGCTGGAGCAGAGAGAGGAAGATATAAGGTAGATTAAGTAACTTAACTGTGTCTGCATTCCACAGCAGACAGAAAGGTAGACGCCCACAAGAGCTGCCACCACAATCCAGTTAGTCTATAAGGCATCAGATATTACAGAGACTTCTAGTGCTGAGACACTCATAAATTGCAGTCCACTCCACTTTGCAGAAAGGGAATAGCATATACCATGATAAAGTTGGGAGGTGTGAGGAAGGTTGATGGTGGAGGGAACTCCTTGCCATATTGACAAGAGCAGAGACCTTTTAGCTGCCTCTAAATAACCCAAGCATCCAAACAACAGAGGTACTTACAAAACAGTACTAGCCAAAAATGTTATTTTATTGTAAATAAAAGTTATACTTTGGCCCGGCTTTGCACTGCAAGCCCCGGTCAGTATAGATATTTATAAAAACAGAAAGACACAAGTGGTTCAAGGTCTTCTGTACACTCCAGGTTCAGTTGATAAACTTCACAATGCTACTGCTGGCTTATGAGGCACACATGGTCCACTTGTTAAAAATACTTAAGTTCCCCCCATTTAGGTTTCAATAAATCAAACCACTTATTCCAATACAGACAATTTAAATCTATAGGTAATACTCTGGATTACAGATCAGCAGATTGAGAAGCAAAATGTGCAATCTTCTAGTTTCCACATAGCAATTTCATAATCATGCTGCTGTGCTGTAGAGGCAGCAATCTTGGTAGAAGCAAACTGCAATAGTCAGTGGGACTTCCTTTCAACTGCTTTGGACTATAATGTAATAAAGGTATATTCTTCTCTAAAACTTTACCCTGAAATCAGATATTCGAACAGCCCCCCATACCCAGGAATGCAGCTGTTCTTCTAAAGGCCAATAAGAGAAGAAATAAAAGCTGTCTGGCAAGGGTAGCTTTCTCCAATGCAAAAAGCTATTTTAAGATGTGTTTGAATCATTCACACCCACAGTAACCAAGACAGAATAATCCTGTTTAGCAGAACATTAAGAGGGTGAACCTGGAGGATACAGAATCGTCACGCCAAGCCCAAAACACCGTTATTTTCTTTCCTCACATATGGTTACAGTTCCATCTGGGAAAATTTGCAATTTATCCTTCAGCAACCTGTTTTCTCATCTGCACCCATGGGGACAAGAAACTTACTGAAAGCGAAAGTGCAAATGAAAGTATCAGGGGGCACAAAGTGCTTGAAAATGAGTATGAACAGATTAATGGGGCTTTATACTACAGAAGGAATTTACGGTACTTTCTTACTGGAAATGGCTGAAGGGGGGGTAAGTTACTGGCCATTTTTTGGTAATTGATTTAGCTGCAATTTTAGGGACAAATCAATCCTTCTAAATTGTTTTGAGTAGTAAATCAATCCATATGCAACAAGTCAATGTCAAATCCAGGTTGAAGACATCCAATAAAGGTTATGCAAATGGATGTTCCCATCCAGTAACTTAAGTAAGATTTACACTGGTGACACTGTGCGCTGCAACAGTTTAATCAGATTTGTAATAAACCTAACCAGGACTCCTGGACAAAGCCTATGGATAGATTGCTCATAAAACAACCCATTCCGGATATTTTATTATTGGGATCTATGCTATTTCTATGAAACGAATTCAACATTCCCACTGCCCCAATGGGTGCATGAGGAAACAAAGAGGTATTTTGGCTTAACACATTTTGTTATAAAACTATATTCAAATTTTCTGCAAAACCAGCTGCTTCTCTCCCCACTTTTAAAATTCATGAAGGTGTCAATTTCTTTCCCATCCCATAACAGTTGCTATACATATCTATAAAAATCAACAAATACAGCATAAATAAAAAAGATAAGAGGCACCATCATTTGTTTACATGATGTAAAAAGCATAACAAATAGGGAATGATATACACACATTTGTAAAAGTGCATTGCTGACCATACAAGTAATGCTTTGGCTTATTTCTTAGGCTTAATCAGAGGCTCTGGGTCTGGGTTCTGGAGTGTATCATACAAAGGGGGAGCCCAGCCAACATAATCACATTATTGGAGACAGGTGGAGGGAAAGCCTGCTGCCAGGCATTTGCCAAGTCACAGGATACACAGACCACAGTTTGGGCTGAGGGTGGGCATGTTTCAGGACAACAAACATTTCAGGCCTCTCTTCAAGTCCTTCAAACATGTTGGCAGGTGAGATAAAGGGGCTGGGGGAGAGAATCACTGCAGGTTTTTTGAGCCTCTGTTACCTGAAAGGAACAACTCACACTACGTACTTCCTTAAATCCTGGATTCTCCCCTCAGAAAACAGCATCCAGTCTTAAAAGTAGCATTGTGGAAGCCTTAAACCAGGCATGGCCAAACTTGGCCCTCCAGCTGTTTTGGGACAACAACTCCCATCATCCCTAGCTAACAGGACCAGTGGTCAGGGTCATGCCTGCCTTAAACAGAGCAGAGAAGCTACATTTACACCTTATCACTGCTACAAGGAAAGAACTCTTACCTTTGCTACATTTTATTCACATGACGACTGCATTCTGCTTCAGATATACTGCTGCAGGTCCACTGGAAGCATGTTGGCTGTTAATGAACATGTCAAGCTGGTAGGCTGCCAGCTTGTGATTTAAGTAAACATCTGTAGCCCTGTAAAAAGCTGAGGGATGGTAGCAATCCTCAACTATGCAGAGACGAAAACAGCTGGCTACCCTAAGACGGTGTCAACGTGCCTGTCGTAAATGACTCTTGGCTGGAAAGAGGAGGGATACATTTTACCTCTTTTAAAGGCTAAGAACAGGTGATTGGAAGCATGACACAACAGAAGTACACATTCTTTTTGCAGCACAACACATTGGTCAAATTGTTCAGCTATCCTAGGAAGTGCATTTTTTGAAGCGAACATTTCTGGAATGTGAGCAGGTCCTTATGTTACACAGGCCCTGTCTGACTGCCTCTGGTTCCCAGTCCGAGGTTTTATACAGCAAAACAAGCAAATTTCCCTTGGCCGCTAAACAGTTAGTTGAAAGAGGATACTGCTTAGATTGCCTGCAATGAAGTTTGTCATGACTTCCCCTTTAAAAATCCCCAGGATTCCTAGCCAAAAGATAATGCACATTTGAAATCAGGCCTTGTCCCTTTGTTTCACACAACTGCTAGATTAGATGACTCTATGAAAACACAATCACAAGTACAGCTTTTGCATAAATATCTCCCTCGCCTGTGCTGCTCAGGCATGTGTCTTCCATTTATAAAACTATTTTTATCCAAGATCACATGAAAACCTCAAAACAAATGTCTTTATTAGGCTTAGCAGCAGTCTTTCACCTTTCCCTGAAATAAGACCTTGGCAGCACTGGAAATGTCTTTGGTTTGAAGGACTGGCAAAAAACTGAGTATGGCACCAGCGGCTGTTCTGCAGAAAATACCTGGGTGGAAGAAGACATCTAACAGATATAGAAGAGCCTGAAGTTTCAAAGGAACAGCATTTTCATAGGAAAGCTATTAACAGCTGCATGATAGGCCAGCTGTATGAAACTCCCAACGTAGGGCTCTTTCTCATCAGCTGCGAGCAATAGCTGTCCTACGGCAACCCCTGTCTATATCCAGCATGTGATACTCTGTGCTAAAACAATCCATAAAAATGTCACATTCCATGATCTCAATAAATTATGCAAATAAAGTAAAAATCTGTATATATTCTTGTTTTTGATGATTTATTTGGCTTTTGTTCTTTGTGCAAAGGCACTAAGCACATGCCACAACTGCTGTATCCTGCTCAGCCCCCTGTGACTTCTAAGAAGTTACTAGGCACCTCTCAAACCCTCCACGTTTATTAGAGTTTCTCTGCAGCCATGAAGACCAGAAACTTGTTTTGAAAAGAATTAAATTAAAATAAATAAAAGTTAGAAATACTGAATCTTAGGATGCTGATTTTTGTGCCAGATAATAAATCCTGTGTTAGCACAGTTATTGCATAGACACAGTCCTGAATTGCACCTTCAGACAGCCCTGTCAAAATGAAGCTAGATTCCCTTGTTTCATTCAGGGGCCACTGCTGTGTAGGCCTCGTTGTGCTTGTGTTCCACTGTAACCCCCATCTCATCATCCAGAAATGTGGATAGGAGAGAGTTAAAAGGCAAACAGAAAGAAAGTACAACTCTGCCTCCAGCTCCTTGGGTTTGTCATTATATAAAAAACAACACTATTCACATATTCTTCTAAATCAATATTTTCTGAACACTTTCAGATGCTGAATACTTAATAAAATATATAATAATTATTATATATAATAACTGAGTCCATGTTCTCTGTGGCACTTGACACTGCGGAACAGCGAAACACAGAATGCTAGCCAACACACATTTTTGTAGCTTTTAGAAGCTATCACAAGTTCTGACACCACAAGCCCCCTTCCACTTTGGACCAGCTTCTGATACACAGCTACATTCAAGTGAGGCGGTTCCTAAGCCGCTCCCAGCTCGTGTGCTTGTGGGAAGCATGCCACCAAACATTCCATGGCGGCAGCACAGGTAAGGACAGAGATGCAGATGTAGGTTGCACAGCTGCTAGAAGCATCAATCCAAAGAAGAATCTATCCAGATAAAAGCAACTGACGTCCCTGCCTTGCTCCTCAAACACCGACTGCCTCTCTAGGCAAATAAGACAGCTGTGGCAGCATTTATTTGGAGCTGCTGCTCGGATAAGGGCCACAGCACAGCATCCTCCCAAGGAGAAAATGCTAAAAGCCAAGGAAGAAGTACTGTTTCTGGGGAGGGCAATTCAGTATGGGAGCTGTGCAAAGTGATGCTGGAGCAGCTCTTCAGCTGAGGGTCTCTGCCGGGCTTCTACAAAGATCCGCTTTATAAAGTCCCGGCAAGTTTCTGAAATGTGGGAAGGCAGCTGGGGGTTAGTTGGCTGTGTGGCAATCTTGAAAATGGCTGCCATGGCTTCATACTCTGCCCAGGGTGGCTTCTCTGTTAGCATCTCCACAACAGTACAGGCAAGGCTCCTGGGGATGGGAGAACATAGAATTCAATTATCTGTATTAGAAAACGAAAAGGCAGTGCTGGAGTTTCTTGTGGCAGTTCCCGTGACACCCACACAACGGGCACAATTGAGATAAATTAAGGAGGAGAAGCAGAATTAGCCTGTTGCAACCTAAAAAAAACAGCAAGGAAGCTTGTGGCACCTTACTAACAAATATATTGGGGCATAAGCTTTTGTGGATCATTTAGAAGGATCAGGACATAGAGGGCTGAATAGATAACCAATATCAAACAAAGCTGAAAATGAAAGTGACTCAGAAGCCAGATTATTTTAAAATTCTTCATCTCTTTGGCCAAGTCAAACTACGCCAGATCCAACTTTCAATTCTGAATGAAGCTAGAGAAAATGACAAATATTCTTACAACATAACTCAACTGGAGAAACAGCTTTGTCTGGAGATCAACTGAACTCACACAACTCATTTTATTCCTACAGTACACATGTACAGAAGTTAATTCCATTAGAGTTTGATAATGTGTGGTTTGCTATGCCTAATAAAGGATATATTATTATTATCATCATCAGAGTTCAGCCCTGGAAATTCAAAGAAAAGGCCACAGAGGAATGGCTTGAAGCTCTTCCAGATGTGGCCTCGGCAGGAGCTTTAATTTTTTTTTATTAAAAAAATGTAAGAGGCAGCCTAAATGCTAGCCTTGCAGATATGCGATAAAGGACACACTCAGAAATGTGTCAAGGACACATTTGTAGACACTCAAGTGTTTGGCTACTTAGGAGGAGAGACAAGAATTGAGCATGAAGAACACTTCTCAAGGCAGAATTAATTGAAGAAAGGATGGCGTATATGATGATGGAAAAACTGCCCTTGGTTCTAAAAGTTCAGCCCCTTATCACTGAAAAGCTACCCTTACACATCTAGAGTTAGTGGTCCGAGGGTGTACCATTCAGCCACCTTTTACAACATAAATTAATCCTTGCTAGGAAGTGAACTCAGTCCCTGCCCAAACAGAGAGCAGATACAAGCAGCTGGAAGACTAACCAAGTATGTCATTTGAGTCAGGGGTATTCTGGATGAAAATGTCACTTTCCTTTTTCAGAAATGTTCCTTGTACTCCTAGTAAGAAGGTTAAAAGCTTATGGACTTCAGGTACACAGAAATCCTGGCTAGAACTATGCACCAAACAAACAGAACAAAGCAACTTCTCACCAGACGTCGGCTTTTCTTCCATAACCCTCGCCGCTGATCACCTCTGGACTCATCCAATAGGGTGTGCCAGTGACAGAACGGATGCCGGTCCCAGACATGCAGATTGTCTGCAGCCGTTTGCTGGCCCCAAAGTCCCCAAGCTTCACATTGCCAGCCGAGTCCCGGAGAATATTGGCTCCTGAGAAGGGGGAAGGAAGGAGGGAGATGGGGAGGGAGAGGGAAGCAACAGTGATTCAAAGTCTGTCACTAACTCTACCTTGCTGAGTATTAGCAGTCAATACATGAAGAGAGGAGCCAAGAAGAGGAAGAGACCAGGTTGAGGGAACTGGCTCAAGTCACGTGGGCATCTCTTACCCTTTATATCCCTATGTACAATCATGTTGCTGTGAAGGTAGCAGACTCCTTCAAGAATCTGCCGAGTGTACTTCCGGGTCACATTTTCCGTCAGTGCACCATAGGCCTTCAGCTGGTCTTTGACAGAACCCTTCACAGGAAAAGCAGGAAAGGTATTGAAGAGGGCTTCAACAACAAGGAAATAATCTTGCAAATCCACTGCAGGTCAGAAGCAGACGGCAATCACTTTCTAGAGGACTAGCTCAATTCTTACCCCTGGCATGTACTCCATGAATATGCTCAGGGTCTTCTCTGCTCGGTCCCTCAAGCACCCATAATACTGGACAATGCGCTCATGCTGAAGGTTCTTCAACAGCTGAATTTCACACTCCAAAGCACTCACTTCCTGCAGGCGTGAAGAGAGCCAGTTAGTTCATTGCGCTAAGAATGTGTGTGCCTGCATGCTCCCCCATTGAGGAAGATGTTGTGATTTGTTAAATCAGTTTCCCATTATGTCCATACTGGGGAAAACTGTGGGATAAAGCACTTTTTCATACCAGGATCCTCACTCAAGTCCAGACAGCCGACTACTGAACCACATTTGAACTTGGCAGCAGTGACAAGTTCTCAGCAAGAACTTGCCTAGAAATTAGTTTTCCCACTACTTTGACGTTATTAACAATTTCCACTCTGAATTATTTCTATTAGGGTGGCAACCAGATTAACAAAACGGTTACTATTAGCTGATTACTAAGGGTCAAAGACCAGTAAAGAGGCAGGCGCTGAGCTTCTCCAGCCTACTTGGGGAAAGGTGTTGGTTACTAGTGCTAGCCAATAGTAAAGGGAAAGGTGACATGGTGAAGTTTTGTGAATAATTTGGCAGTCTTGAGTGCAGTGGGATTGCATTTTGGGATTCTAAGGGAAAGAACCAACCATGATATCTCTATACAAATCATGCTTCGTTCGAATGTCTGTTACTTAGCATGGTATTTCCAAATACGAACATTTACTTTAGACACTGTTCCCAGTGCTATCGTTCAAGTACCTTGCTTGTTTCAGGACTGTCTGGGTCAAACTGGACCTGTTTCGCTGCAAGTTCTCTGGCTGTATCCACATCGTAGCACAAGTACACACGGCCAAATGCACCTTGCCCCAGGAGCTTCCCTCGCCGCCAATTAACTGGGGCACTTGGAGCTGCCAAATACAGAAGGAATTCTCAGTTTATAATGTCATCCTCAAGAATAGTCTTCTACACCCGTCAACAGACGCTATTTATACCTGCATTACTAAATGAAACGGAGATAATTCCAGTCTCCAAGCTAGAGATGCCACCTATCAAAGATTCAAGGTGTGGCATATGTTTGGCTCTGATGATAAGAGTTTTTAAAACTTGACTTCTGCTTGATGGGCCTTTAGGACCACAACATCAGCTTTTCACACATTTCTCTCCGTCCTTCTGCAGTTTATAAGAACTGATATTAAACATCAAACAGTTCGATGTAGCGTCACGCTCTATCTCGTCAGTAGCCCCAGGAAAGCTCGTAAGCATGACAAGACATAGCATCTCATATTATTGTTCATTCTTAGTACCTGGTAAACAGAAGCTTTATTCCAAACCCTCAGGGTGTAGAGCCACTGACAGTCAATTTTATCTGTTAAAAAGCCACCTGTGTTAGTGGCCACCACAAAACCTTGTATCAATTTGAACAAGTGCTTCCTTTTGTCCATCTTGAATGCGCTGGAAAGCACAATAGTGCTGCATTTCGCAAATCTGGAACAGACTGCTTACATTTGGTTGGAATGTTCCTCTCTTGCACGGTGAGAGCATTCTCACTGTCCGCGCTCCGCAGGCGCCCCCGGGGGTCCAGATACTGCACTGCTAGGCCAAGGTTCTCCCCATTGGTGCTCAAGGAGCGGCTTGATGGCACTAGTGTGAAGAGGTTACCCTGGTGACGTCGAATACGCGGGAAGGTCCTCCGTCCTGTTAGAAAACGGTATGAAAGAAAAGTTTGCAAATAAAACTGCCTGGATACAGGGTGGGGGTGGGGAATCAGGGCTGGGGACAGAGCAAGAAGCCTTTGCAGGCATGACTTCTGAGTTAGCAAAAACCTAAGCTCTGGACAACTCTGCTCTGGATTAATCTTGTAGTGCACAGGCCAACAACTTGCTTCACCAGTGGTTCGCATGCAAGAAACAGAGTTTCTCTCTGTTCTTCTGGAGCTATTCAACTACAGGAAAAGAGAAGGAAGGAAAGTCTTATTCTCACTTGTATTTGTCACTCCTCCTGCTTCCATTGAGTTCTCCCAAGCAATTTCAAGAAAAGTGAGTCAGAGAAGCAGAGAGAGGCCTAGCCACTAGGGAAATGCAGATAGTTCCCCTTGGGAGAGATGTCTAACGGCAACCCTATCATTAAGATAAAAAGCAGGGTGCTTTCTTGCAGTGCAAGCACACCCACCGTCATTATAATCTTTGTGCTGCATGGAGACATGGTAACGCCGAGGGTAGGTCCCTCCTTTCTCTGCTTTGTCATAGATTTGATTCTCACGATCTGGATAGAGGGAGACAAAGCAAAACAAGTTAACTTATGGAACATGCACAGATGAATGACCCAAAGGGGAGGGAAATCCATGAGTCTCATGACTGAAAGAAAAGGTTCGCTAAATATGTTTAAATCTTAAATTCTAGAACCCATTGAACTATGCAGATCACTGAAATCCAGCTCCTTTTCCACTGAGATGGCAGGGCCTGAAAAAGGCATCTGAAAAAGGCAGCCCACAGAATAACTTATTAGCTTATTTTCATATTTGCCCTTCTGGTAGTTAAAGTTTCTTAGTTTCAGTCAACCTCCTCCTTACAGGTGGTTTCAGGAGGGAAGAGAAACCAATGCATAAGCACATATCCTGAAAACTGTTAATTCTCTCCCTGACCCAGCAACATTCAACCGATTGGTGGCAAAGGAATAGGAGAGGCAAACGAGATGTGGCTCCACATCCGTATCATCCACCCTGATTAGACTAGAAGCCAGGTAACTGCTGGCAAGTGACAGAGGAGTTGTCTGCACATTTCAAAATGTCTTTCTGCAATCGGAAAAGAGAATATAGAATCTTGACTAGGAGCAGCCAACGCACAACAGAGAAACAAACAAGGTAGGAGTTTCTTTCTCCTGTTATCTGTCAACAACCATCAGCTCAAATAATTATTTTAAAAACTATACAGACATACCTGAAAAATCCTGCCTGTTGTCTGGGAAACTCTGGGCCCTGGACATGCAGGATTTTCTGTAGGAAAGACTGTTTGGAGGGAGAAAGAATTAAGATTTGTACCTATAAACTGGGCTAAGAATGGCCTGTGTTACAACTTAATGTGATGCCCCCTCTCACGACTTAGGAAGAAGCTGGATAGCCTAAACCTGAATAAATTACAATCATTTATTCACATCCAATGCAGTATTGTGGGATTTCTGCATATAAACATATGCATAACTGAACAGAGAATTTACACAATCTGTTGGGTTCCCCGATCCACAAACTGGGTATCACTTTCAGAAAAATTCAGCCAGGGCACATAGCTAACTGTAAAATTCCCACCCCAAAGATGCAATCCATTTTTTTAGCATATATTTTAAATTTTAATGTATCTTTTACATTTTTAAAAATATACGATCCAGTTTCCTCCCTCGTTGGGCAAAATACAGCTTTCCTCATTATAGTAATGCAAGTTATCCAGCTAAACAATCTGGATCCATTCCCATTTGGTTTTTGTCATCAAAGAACCTGATTTGGTTACCCTGATGCAATGCGATAACATATGACAAGGGGACTGAAAGACTGCTAGCTATCCTGGACCTCTTGGCAGCTTTCAATATCAGACACCACAGAGCGGGGGCATTCTGTTCAGGTGTAGGGCAGGTGGCCGAGAGTCAGGAACACGGGGAGCAAATATGGAGCAAGCTTTGGGATGTGGCTGGATATCAGATTCACCTAAGCTGGATACTGGAAACAAAGATCAGCAAGTGTTGCTTCAGCACTGGTCTTTTATATAGTATGGCAGAGAGTGGTGAAGCCCTGTCTCCTAGGAGAAAACCTGATCGTGCTTTAAAGAGGCTGCATTCTATGACATAGGCATGTGCTGCAGAAGGGTGTAATGTTTCCTGTGTCCCCTAAAAATGGAAAAGTGGAAGACTGGCTCCCCTCTTGGACTGCTAGTAGTTATGGGGAAGAGTTATCCAGCACCAAAGAGAGGGGAAAGCTATCTCCTCTGGAATCAGAATTGGATTCTGAGGCCCGACAGGTTTAGGGGCAATGTGGTTCCACTCCTACTTAAATTCCAGAAGGTAGTGCTGGAAGAATACTGCTGTCCTCATGGCACCTGTGCTTATAGGGTCCTGCAGGGTTCCATCTCATCTCCCATACTTTTTAACATCTACATGAAACTGCTGGCCAGGTCATCTAGGGCTCTGAAGTAAGGTGTCATCAGTATACCAATGACTAGTATTTCTCTCATCATATTCAAGGGAAGCGGTAGAGGTGCTGAACCCATGCTTGCAACAGTAAGGGACTGTATGGAGGCCAATAAAATGAATTTAGTGGTAAAGTAAATCCGTTTTGACTTTGACTACCAAACTTTTAGAAGACATCTGAAGGCAGCCCTGTTTAGGGAAGCTTTTAATGTTTAATAGGTTCTTGTATTTTAGTGTTCTGTTGGAAGCTGCCCAGAGTGGCTGGGGAAACCCAGCCAGATGGGCGGGGTATAAATTATTATTATTATTATTATTATTATTATTATTATTATTATTATTAATTTACTACAGGGTCTATGCCAGGAATAGACTAACAATATCTGTACCTCCTAAGGGTCCTTGAGTATCTACAATTCACCCACAAATGCCAGGAGCAAAGAAATAGATGTAACTGAATTCATCTGGATAGCTCAGTTGGTAGAGCATGAGACTCTTAATCTTAGGATCGTGAGTTTGAGCCCCACGTTGGGCAAATGATTCCTGCATTGCAGGGGGTTGGACTAGATGGCCCTTGTGGCCCCTTCCAACTCTACAATTCTATGAAGAAAAGAGCTAACACAAATGAGACAAGACAAATAATGCTGGAGAGAGAAACACCCCAAGGTTCCCTGTCAATCTCACATGAAGGAAAATTCATTAGCAACCCAAACATGCCGAGGAGAAATTGGACGACAGTAAAATCAATTCCAAACCCATTAAGGTCCATACCTGTCTCCTGACTGGCCCAACGACTGACAACTGCCAGATATAGAGTTTTCAGCACTGCTTAAAGGATCCAGCATCTAGAAGAGGTCACAGAAAGTCAAACTCAATATAATCTAAGACACAATACAATACGAAAAGGCAGAATGGAGAACTCTACCAAGAAAGTTGGGAAAGGGCTATGGCTCAGACAGAGAATGTGCTACACATGCAGATGGTCTCAGGTTCAATCCATGGCATTTCCTGATAAAAGCTGGAAGAGACTCTTGTTTGACAGGGTAGAAATTACTAGGTGGACCAGAGGCCTGACATGGTATAAAGGCAGCTTCTTATGTAATACTCAAAGATGAGGAGCACTTTACTGAACTCACACATTGTTCATTGGTCTCTGGAATGAATTCTCCTTCGCTGTTGATGCTGGTGTAGGACCCCTGACGAGCGATTCGTTGCTGCCTCTCTGGAACATACCCTGGAGGTGGTGAACTTCGACCTGTGGTCTGAGAACCTGAAGATTATGAATTGCTTATTAAAAGGATGCACAAGGTCAAGAGCACCTGAGCGGAGGAGGGACAGAATTGCTCTTTCCTGCACTTTTGAAAGACTCAGGGACAATGTTATTCAGAGTAACTGCAAAGAGACAACCAAGAGCCTCGGAGTGTATCCTATGATATTAGATAATTGACATGTTGGCAGCCCCACCCACCTGTCAAAAGTGGCTTGTGGAGGGTGGGGCAGTTCTGCGTCCAGTCCATTGGCCGGATTCACTTCCCCACCCCTGGAATAGAGAAAAGGCTATTCTTTAGTGTGAATTTCTTCTAAACAAAAGGCCATCATTTTAGACCTGCTGCACTTGACGCTTAGTTCAATTATTTTATGGAAATTCAAATGTGGGCTGTTGCCAACATAGGAACGCTAGAAGTTGTGCTGTCTAAATCCCTTAGAAGTATTTTCTCTGTTACAAGGTGTGTTTTGGATGCTGCTCTGCAGTTTAAAAGTAGTCTCCCCCCCCCCCCCCCGTTCTCACATTTGACTATTGACTCTGATCAATTTTAACCCTTCTGGCTTCTTTTCTTTAGTTCTGCTTGATTCACATGGAAGCAGTTAGATGAAACTATTAATTTAAGTAACGAATTGCCAACCTTCTCAGACCAGCAGGCACATTTTGAATTTTAAGAGTGTGCTGGGGGTGCCTGTCACAAAATGGCTGTCATGGGGGCACAATGTAACTCAACATTAAAGAGATTAGAGCCATCACTACCTTCTCCACCCTACCCGAGACAACCTCATACTTTGTGATACTTTGTGTGAGAAGTCACCTATGCCTTGCTGGTTCTGAGAATCTTCGCACTTTATATTGTCAGTATGCTGAAATACCCAACCTCAAGCAGAGCTGCCTCCGTATGACTGTTTCAAATTTTAAAATAAGCCTGCAGATTTCTCTTAAAATTTTGGGTTTAAAGAGTTCCAGGTTACCAGATTTTAAAGGATAATATATACTTAGCATGTACAGTGGTACCTCGGTTTAAGAACAGCCCTGTTTATGAACTATTCGGTAAAAAAACTCCGCAAAACTGGAAGTAGTGTTCTGGTTAGTGAATTTTACCTCGGTTTACAAACGGAACGGTGGAAGGGCACCTGTGGCGCGAAGCCTCATTAGCGAAAGCGCGCCTCAGTTTAAGAACAGACTTCTGGAACGGATTAAGTTCGTAATCAGAGGTACCACTGTACTCAAAGAGAATTCTTTTTGTTCCTTACAATGAAAACTTGCAATACACTAGCACCATCTTCTGGCTAATGGAGGTAGCAGGAGGCTATGATATTTTGTCGTGAGTTAAGGGTAAGACCCTTTTCAACCCATGAAATAAGGTTTTCAAATAAGGAATTAAGCCCTCTTTCAGGTCGAGAGTTGATTCTCTTTTTTGCATGGAACACTTTCACCACAATGACCAAGATGACCCATCATAGCACCATCCCTCATTCTTCTGAAGATCACCAAGATAGGAGTGTATCAAATTATTTTATAAGTATTTTTTTCTTTACGAATTGTTTGAAGGCAGACACTTTATCTGCTTAAGGGTTAGTTCCCCATGCCTTTTAAAACTGCGCTTGTAAATCCATTATTACTTTTATCCTGTTTTTCTACAACAGCCTGCACTTGAAGCAAATAAAATGTTAAAACACAAATATTTCTTACATTAACAACTAAGCAGCAGCATGAAACCAAGAAAACTTTAAAAATAGCAGAGCAGTAATAGCCTGCCTGAGTGAATAAGTCTTCTAAATCTACCTAAATGAAGAAAGGAAAGGAAGCCTGCTGCATCTCCCAGAAGACTGCTATTCCAGAGTCTTGGTGCCACCACTGAAAAGGCCTGCCTAACATACTTCCAATGGTAAGGGGTTGGACAGCAGGTTCTCCAAGGCCAGTCTTAGGTTCCTGGCATCTGTCTGTCTCAGGGGACAATGGAGGAGTATGCCTTTGGGGAGGGGGTGGACTCAGGGGGTAGACAGGCAGAGTCATATCAACAAAGGTGCCCTTGAAATTACCAGGTTCAATGCTATTAAAGCAACTGGAGGAGGAGAGGACAGAAGAGATGTGACCCTGTGGGAAACTCAGTAAACCTGCTGTATCTGGAACTCAGTGCACAGAGTACAGCTGAATGGGACACAGCTGTGGGCAGCCTAAGGAAGGATCAGCCACCTTGGGCCTGCCCATAAAAAGCAAGTCTGGAGTGAGAGACTAAGGTTACCCCGGCTGTTTCCAGGGAACTTTTCTCGTTGTGAGACTTTTGTGAGTGAGCTGAGAGTTTGTTGGATCCTGAGTGAGAACCCGGAGGCTGAGAGGGGAGGGTGCATCAGAAGGAAAATGAATTGAGATATATATATTAGCAACTTTGTTTTAATGTAACATTTTTATATGTAACTGTTTTTTGTAATATTTTGTTTAAGTTGACTGTTGTTGCTTCAGCTTTTTGTACACCGCTTAGATATTTTGAATATATTAAGTTATATAGAAATAAAATAATCAATAAAATCAATAATCTATTAAAGATTTCAAAAATAAGCACCTGTGCTTTAAATTGAGCCCAGAAACAAACAGGTAACCAATGTAGTCAATATTAGATCGCTGTCATATGGTACAATTGTTGGCTTCCAGAACATTCTAGTAGCCACTGTTGGTAACAACTGTAGACTCTGGACCATATTTGAAGACAGTCCAACACAGAGAACAGTGCAGTAATCCAATATGGTTGAATAAAACTGATTTGGAACAAAAACTGGAATCAGAGCCCAATGTCATGGGCCCCTTGGCTCAGTCAGGATCCGGCACACACAGCTCCAAGCTCAAGAGGAAGGAGAAGCAGCAGATGGGGGGCTTGAAGGTCCTCCTCTTGTGGTTTCAAATGTCAGAGAGAAGGAAGATGATCTGCTGGTTCTCTCCCATGCTGCTGCTGCAGAACTTTATCTGTGAGGACGGATGGACTTCGGCCAGTCAGAGAGAGAAAGGCTGAACAGGAAGAAGTGCTGGCAGAGCTGGACAACACGGTATTGTCACAGAGACAGGTGCCACTTATGAAGGCGAATCAGATGTACCCACCCTGACTGCACATGCATACATGTGCATAGCAAAACCACAGGCAGAGAGTGTCTTGCGAGTGAGCTTGCACCACTCCCATCTTTAAAAGCTTGGCAGGAAGGGCATATCAACTGCTGGTACAACATCACAGCTTCCTTTAAGGATATGAACCACTTGCCCTGCTCATGTAACTTAGAACCTTGACTCCTGGACCATATGTTTGCTTGTGGACATGTACTGCTATCAGACTGAATAAAGACCTCTTCCTTCCTTTTCAAATAAGAGTTGCTGTCATTGGGTTTGGGGATGGGGGCCTGACACCTAAAACCTAAAGTTTTTTGTTCCAATAATGTTGACTTTCAAGTCAGCAGCAAGAGACTGTCCTAGAAGACTGAATTGTCCTCTTATGATTTCTTAATATTTCTCTCCACATGTATATGTATGTGTGCTCAACTGAAAATGACGATTCAAATATCTGATAAAAAAGGGAAACTTTAGAGGCTGTAAGTCACAGCCTAAAGTGTTTGGAGGAACAGAATTGTTGCTAGTATAGACTGAAATTAATGTCAAAAATGTGGCTTCCAGGCCACTAGTACTCACTGATGGACAAGTGCCTGCTTCTGGTTTCAGGTGGCTGGAAGGCAGTGTTCACATCTCCCATGGATTGAGAAGTTTTGATTCTGACTTGCTTTGGCATTCCAGAATGGGATGATGAACTGGTCTGTTAGGGGGGGAGGGAGGAAAAAAATAAGCAATTTGAGTTTGGAGGGACTTAGTATTTTAATTCCAAGGACAAGCAGCCCAGGGAGGAAAAAAGGATCGTTGCAACTAGAAATGCAGTCTGAAATATATTCCCATTTGCTCTGGGGGGGTCAGATCATGTAGTCTGGTGGTCTATACAAAACAGTGGGCTCCACAGATGTTTCCTTTGCTTTCCAACTGGGATGATAAAGCCTGCTTTCAATTGTTGGGTTTTCGATTTATCGCAACAAGGCTCTGAGTGGAACAGGAGACCAAACCCACCTTGTGGACTAGGCATCGCTGTTTTGCTTAATGACTGGTAAGGGCTTATAGCAAAAATGAGACTGCAGCACATCACGTTATTTTTACTTACATGGTTTCTGTCCTGAGACAGCAGTAATATTCTAAGGCGTTTCACATTTGCACTTCGGTCTAACAGATCTATTGCCTTATCGAGGTCATCTTGACTTTTCAAAGGAATAGATAACTACAATGCAAGAAAACAGGCACTCAGTTAGTAAAAAAATTACATTTTAAATCCTCTAGGCAACAAAGGGATGAAATAGTGAGACAGCAAGATAGAAATTTAAATGCTCTTAGGTTGAATTATGTATACCTACTTGAGAGTAAGCCCAGTGAACTAACAGACTTACTCTGAATTAAACTTACAAAGGCTCAAGGCTGTAAACAAGTTATAGTACCCCTGAATATCCGGATATATTTCTGTTATTTTTGCGGGCAGGTAATATCCCACCCACACAATCTTCTTGATACAGACTGCAAAAAACTCAAAACCGTCTCAGAAGGGGTGGAGTGGGGGTTAGAGAGAGGAGAGAATAGAACAGACCTTTATTGTCACTACACCACCTGTGTGCAGTGCATTTAAACGAGGCCCCCTCCCCCCCATACACTCAGTCTTGTTAGCACTCTGTGTGCTTGTTGGAAGTCAACTGCATCACTAATTTTTTTTTTTCATTCAGCAGCCCAACAGCCCACGGGTGTTAACCTGTTGGTGCGGCTGACTATACTTCTGTATCTCCTGCCCGAAGGTAGGAGATTAAAGAGGTGCTGGCCGGGTTGTGAGTCGTCCCTAAGAATTTTCCTCGCTCTCTTGAGGCAGATACAATACAGTGGTACCTCTGGATGTGAATGGGATCCGTTCCGGAGGCCCGTTCGCATCCAGAAGCAAATGCAACCCGCGCCCGCGCGTCGTGATTCGCCGCTTTTGCGCATGACCTCATTTTGACCGTCTGCGCAAGCGGCGGAACCCGGAAGTAATGTGCTCCGTTACTTCTGGGTCGCCGCAGCGCGCAACCCGAAAATACTTATCCCGAAGCTACTTCAACCCGAGGTATGACTGTACTTAACATCTGTTTAGTGATTTCAAGTGTTTGAAATGCTATGTATTATCGCGTTCTAATCTTTAAAAAACATTCCTGTTAAGGGTAAGTCAGTGGGTTGTATCCAGACTTAGTCATGCTTGGAGTTGGCTCAATGAACTCAATTCTGTAAGCATGACTAAGTTTGGATACAACACAGTATAACTATTTGCCACATTGCAGACTGCGGTGGTACAAATGAACGGACAAGGTTTCCATCTGCTCTGCCACTTGAAAAGGGAGCCGGTAAAGGGCTCATATCTTCAGCCCACAAACACACTTGCAAACTGCCAATACTCTTTGGTAATATTGTCCCCTCATGGGACTACCTTGATCTGGGCAAGTGTGTTAGTTGTCCATGTGAAAAGCTACTTTTGCCTCTTTTCATGCCCCCACCCTTGCCAAAGTGTTTGGATTTTTCAGTGTGGTGGAATTTCTCCTTGGATCTGAATAGCACTGTTTGAGAACAAAATGTGGGCGTATTTTGGTACCTCGTTATTCATGTAATGGAGATCTAGCGGCTGCCCAAAAACCGTTTTCACTTTCTGCTGCACATCTTCATAGTGGACAGGCCGGGCAAAAGCGATAATTCTGAATGAGATAGAAAGATACTGATAATACAAACAGAATGAGCTCTAAACAATCCATGCAACAAAAGCAATTACATAAGCAGCAGTGTTTTCCCTAAACTGTTAACCAACCATGTGCTGAAATTCTTAGGTGCTCATCAGCTTCACACACATGATAATTGTGCATGAGAATTGACAAAATATCAATTTAGAAGATATTCTGGCATATAAACAGTATATAAATTAATATATAGTCCTACAAACATGAAAAAGCAAGCAAACATTATTAAGAAAAATAAACATATGCTACTCTATACAGCATGTGTGTGATACCCTTGCAGTAATGCAAAAATATTATATGGCTGTACAGTATACTAATTGTGAAATTTGACTTTCTAAAGCCTAATAAATAGTGACTACAGTTCAAAAAATCTGTTTTATTGTTCATTTTGGGTTCTTTGATAGTATGTTTATTTGATCATATTTATAATTGTCCAGATTTTTCCAAACCAGTTTACTATTGTTGTGGGACCTCCAGCTCTCCATTTTTGGCGCTGCAGATTTTGGTGAGTTAACTATTATTTTGAGATCTACGCTTTGTACTTGATCTTCCAAGCATTCGAAAAATATTGCTTGAGCTCTCCATAACATGCATGTTGGAAAGCAAAGTTAACTTAAAAACCTACTATGTTCAACCATCTAAAAATGCTGTCTTCATTATTAAAAAAAAAAAAACCCCACACAACTCAGTAGTCTACGTTTTTTATACAGTAATGAGAAACCAATCCAATAATAAACTGAAATTATAATACTTGGACACTGTGCACATAGCTTGGCTCACATCTGCACTGAAACTTCTTATGAAAGGCAAATAGCTCATTAAACACGCATAAGCATTTGAGCTTCCCCACCCCGCCACTGGGTTTTTTCAGAGCAGCAAAGTCATGATGGATTGGGGTAATTTTAGGCAGACCATTCCCGACTTAAATATTTGTGGTCAGATCTGGCAGCTTTGCTGAAATCAAACACATAGAAATGCATTTTGAGAGCAAGTCTTACATAGCTGCATAATTACTGCTTGCATACAATTGAGCTTTTCTTTTCAGTGGGTATGTAAGACAAGCCATACCCTACCGAGTCCCCCATGCCATTTCAAAGACACCTGCTTGACCAGGAAAACATACAAGATGATCGCTAAGGGGGCTGGGGTTTCACTTCCAAGTTAGTTGTAGCACTGTGCTGTGTTGCATTGTGGCTCAGGCTGCTCCTGTTGTTGACAAGAATGAACTTCCAGTGCCCCCATGTTACTGGAAATGTAGCATCTCCTGGGAGTGGCTGCTTGTACATATTTGTCATTTTGAATTTCAAAGTGAAGGTTGCATTCAGCTAGGTTTTACTTCAAGATCCACTGAAATTAATTTACCCAAGCTATTCATGCCCAAGCACTTCAGTGGCTATAATCACAGTATCACCAACCCTAGATACAACTCAAACTCTTTTTTTAATCACACAATCTTTGTATTATCTCTTTGAATATTTATGTTTGAATGGAATTATACACACACACACACACACACACACATACACACATATATTCTCAGAGAAAACCACCACTATCCCACTTAACTTAAAAATTATATTTATGGTATGGAAAGGTTTGGGGGAAGGTTTTTTTTTACTGTGTTATGTTCATTTCATCTGGCCTTTTATTCTGATTCCTAAAAATATTTGTGTACCACCATATCTTTTTTAAAAACACAAGCAGTTTACAGTTTATTTATATTTAATGAAAACACATTAACATTTAAAATCAGAGCCCATCGACTATTATGTAAATGTATTTTATTAATTGTCTGCATAAGCCTGGCAAGCATAGAAAAGTCTTCACCAGGTGTTTAAAGGTTGAAACAGAAAGCATCTGCCCCAAAATGTATAATCCCTGCAAAACATGTGACTGTAAACCAACATGGTGCCCCCTCCAGATATGGTTGGACGACATCTCCCATTATCTGTGACCACTAGCCATGTGGACTGGGGCTGATGAGAATTGGACTAACCCCTGGAGGTCACCATATTTGGGAATAAGCTGTATTGAGCTCAGAGGGTAAGACAAATAAACATGTATTGAACTCACAGGGACTTACTGCTGATCAGAAATGTCTACTGGCATCCTATGTGAAGAATATCAAATGCCCCCAGAAATCTGGAATGTTTCTGCACAGGACTCAAACATAAAATGTCTGTGCCTAGGAACTGAAGTTGGCTCTGCACAACCAACATCTTAAAGCTATAATGCTGGTGTTCACAGATCAGAAGGTAAACAGTCTGCATACCAGTTACTCTGTACTCCCCTCGCATAACCCCACAGAAGAACAGGGATCCACATTTGGGCCATATATTCAAGATTGTGGATTGATGCGTGAGCTACCCTGATGTTCTTATGTAAAATGTGGGCAGATCTTTTCCGACCCTTTTCTTGCTTAGTTAGAACTTTAAGACTGGATACCACCCAATGTTTCTTCCTTAGAGAAGGCCTACTGAAATCAATGGACAGCCACTGATTTCAAGGTGTCTTCTCCGAATATCGCTTAATTTTAACTATGTATGACAGGGAGGTACAGGGAGCCACATCTGGTGTCGTAATGACAAGGTGAGTTAAGGTGACATTTTAGGGGAGGGTAAGTGACACCTGTTTATTTAATTAGGGTGGTATATAAATTCAATAAATAATAATAATTAAAACAGCTCAGGCTAATAAGGATACATTAAGGTCACTGCGTGTAGGAGCCAAACTCGGTAACACATTGTAACGCAGGAGAGAAATTCTAGGAGTTGGAAGTCCATAGAAAGGCACTACCCCAGCTAACGTACCCTACTTATGTATTTTTAATTATTGTTAATAAAAATGGTTACTTAAGCTGATAAAAAATACAAATCAAATACACACAAACAAACAGTACATTCTGTATTATTTTTCATTGCTCTCCTAACAAATTGAGCCAGGTTATCTAATGGGTATCGTAAACATTTGCAATTTCTACTGGATTCCAAATGCAACTTACCTTATAAAGAATGCAACAGGATCTTTCTTGTATTAGTCAGGATGTTGATTCCTCTAATTTATCCCTATCTAATTTATCACCGGTTATCAAGATTCTTTGGCAAACAACTAATCTCTTCATTAAAACCAGATTCAAATTATACTAAGCACACAAAATGTACCCAAAATATAGTTAAGTATGTGAAAAGAAGACAAAAACTTACCGCTTTTCCCCATTATATTCAAACTTTATCCGGATGTCATTCTGCCAAAGAAGAGATTGTTAGTTCACCTGCTATATGTTTGGGCATTTCCTTCCTTCCACAAAACAATAAAATATATTAGTGAGTTAACTACAGAGCAGAAGTTGTGGATTTGTTTGGATTTGCTGTAACTACTCTGTGCAGTTAATTTTAATTTCTTCCCTTTCATGAACACTGTTTGGTAAGCTATAATATAATTTCCAACACAGGCCTTAAGACTATATGGCAAAACTGAGGTTAAGTCTCGGGGCATTTTGGGATTTTGAAGGGAAAAAAGGCATGTCGCTCCAGATTGTGCGTCAAACTAAATCTGATGCTAAGTGTACCATGCTTTTTTAAAAAATAAAAATATCATCCACATCTTCAGAATATGGATGGTTTTATTGGGGTGAAATCAGAGGCCAATGTTTTTGAAGGAGGAGCACCAGACCTTCTTCTGTGTTGTCCCGTAAGGAAGGAGAAGGGGGTTCTCAAGGTGGCTGCTGGCTAGACCCCAGAATGTTCAAACCTTTGGGGCTTTGGGGAGAGTGTGCTCCTAAGGCTTCCATTCCAAGGAGGACTGGAATAAATGTGGAGGAAATTCATTTAGCCTCCCCCGCATGGTATCATGGAAAGATTGCTACATCTCTGAAAAATTGGAGCTGAAATGCAGCACAACAGTGGAGCGTCTCAGCCATGCAACTAGTCTTGCCACTGTCTTGGCCAGAGGTCACATGCGAGTAAGGATTATGAACCCCACACCTTCCTCATAACCTATAGCCCCACTGAACGAAGTGTCCCAAGGTTCCTTTCAATGTATATCTCATGCATGCCTCCTCATGTTGGGTATGGTAGGAGGTTTGAGCACGGAATGTTCTTGTTTGCTTGTTTTGTTAACATAATTTAAAGGTAAAGGTAAAGGGACCCCTGACCATTAGGTCCAGTCGTGGCCAACTCTAGGGTTGCGGCACTCATCTGGCTTTATTGGCCAAGAGAGCAGGCGTACAGCTTCCGGGTCATGTGGCCAGCATGACTAAGCCGCTTCTAGCGAATCAGAGCAGCACATGGAAATGCCGTTTACCTTCCCGCCGGAGCGGTACCTATTTATCTACTTGCACTTTGACGTGCTTTCGAACTGCTAGGTGGGCAGGAGCTGGGACCGAACAACGGGAGCTCACCCCATCGCAGGGATTCGAACCTTGACCTTCTGATCGGCAAGTCCTAGGCTCTGTGGTTTAACCCACAGCGCCACCCGCGTCCCTTAACATATTTTACACACACCTAAAAATATAAATGTCTCCTCAATTTCTAATAGTACAGGACGGGGGGAAAGTTTGCTTACCTGAGCCTTTTTGTCCTCTGCTGCACACACACATTGGTTGCTCAGGACAGCTGAGTTGCTGGTACTGTGCTTTTTCTTAAATGGGAAGAAAAAATACAATGTTACATTTGTAAATGAAAAAGGGAAAGCTGGACTTATAATTATGTTCCCCTCTGGTCAGCAAGCAGGAGAGGAGGCAGCAAGCAATAACTGCACCCTGTCCAAAAGATGGAGCTGCAGAAAAAAACTTGACCTCATTTGCAAGGAAGAGACCCATCTAAATTTCAGCAGAATCAATGTTACTAATAATTCAAGCCATCTGGAAAGCTACATAACCCACCATGACAAACAGGAGCGAAACATGAAAAAGACAGAACTCTTTGGACAGAAAGGCATCCAAATTGGTCCCTAGGTGAGGTTGGGACTGCACAACTCTCTCCTATCACGTGTCTTCCCAGTGTGAGTGAGGCTGCCTGTTCTCCAGCCTGCTGACCAGAGAATTTCACGTTCTCTGTCTGGAAGCAAGAAAAGCAGGCAGCAAAAGAATGTCCAAAATAAGGCTTAGAGCTCAAGTTAGGATAAGAGGAATTATAGTTGCTGTAGCACAGGTGGCTCACCTGTGTGCCTCCAGATGCTGCTGAACTTAAATTCCTACCACTCCTTGCCATTAGTCATGTTGGCTGGGGCTGATGGGAGTTGTGGTTCAGCAACATCTGGAGGCACACATTAGTCAGCCCTGGTTTACAGTATTAGCTGAAGGGCTCTCCATGAAAGAAGGCATCTGCAGTGGCCAAGGAATTAAGTTTGAATAGCTATGTTGAACTTTCACTACGGTCAAAAAATCTCAGAAGGGTTGGCAGATGAGTTTTCCTGCCACTGATTAGATTTTGAGCAAAGGGCTTAGCAATGAAAGAGGAGTTTAACCATGAAGGCTTGGAGCATTTATTATTGCAATAATCAGGAATGTTTCACTGAAGGCAAAAGCAGAAAGCACTTTCTCTCTCTCTCTGTTAGACGGCTTATTTATAAGATACACTTTAGTGTGAGACTCCCAGGGTGGTATACAATTTAAATAAGAAAAAAAAAACCTTAATAAAAGCACAGGAGCAGTAGCTGGCACTGCCTTCTGTGGGAGTAGGAGATAATTCTTTGCTGCCCTGGTCTCCTGCTTGCTGATGAAGGAAAAATTAAAATTACCTGTGCAATAATAAGAAAAGCAGCTGGAAGGCTAAAATCAGAGGCAGGGAAAAGGAAAAGGAAATCCAAAGCAAACATTCTAATTTCTAAATAACAAGACCACCCAACAAACGGCAAACATAAGGCACCACCTTCTGACCTGCCTTGGTTTTTACTAGGATAAAATTGTGAAATCCATTTGGCTCAGCAGGCATTATGTTAATAACAGCCAATTACAAGGCAGGCAAAGCAGCAGCTTTCAGGAACATACTACCTACCTGTCTGTTTGAATGTGGAGAGTCTTTGGTTTTCATGCTTTCAAAACCAGACAATCTGGGGCGCCGGCTCATCTTGAGTGCAACCAAATCCTTCATGATAGATTTCAAGGCCTCCTGTTCATCTGTAACAATAAATGAGGAATTCTTTTGAGCAGACAACTTTTGGATGGAGAGGGATCTTTTTCTTTCTTTCTTTCTTTCTTTCTTTCTTTCTTTCTTTCTTTCTTTTTGCTCTCAGTCCAATACACATCACACAAAGATGTTTTACATTCCTTGCAAATACAGTGGTACCTCTGGATGCGAACGGGATCCGTTCCGGAGCCCTGTTTGCATCCCGAGTAAAACGTAACACGCGACTGTGCGCAGGTTGCGTTTCGCCGCTTCCACGCATGACGTCATTTTGAGCATCTGTGCATGCGGCGAAACCCAGAAGTAACGCGCTCAGTTACTTCCAGGTCGCCGTGGAGCGTAACCTGAAAACGCTCAACCTGAAGCATATTTAACCCGAGGTATGACAGTACACTAAACTACATTCGCCTTTAAACATTTGGATCTAAAAAATAGCTAGATTACCCAACACTAGTTAGGGTCATTTTCCATTTCTTATGCTTGTGCATCTATCCTAGCCTGTCTCTGCTTCCTCCTCTTCAGTACTGTCAAAATTTGCCTTTTCCTAACTATCTACTGGGGTGGGGAGAGAACCACTTTGTTGTGCTTTCCCTGGAAAACACTACCTAGTCGGCCTTCCTTTGGCACTTTCTTCTTTTGATCAGTTCAACAGGTACGCGCGAAACTAACCTCTTTAACTTTCAACTCAGGTTTCCTCTTGCTTTTCACAACAACACTGAGGTCTTAAAGCTTTTCACCTCTCCATTCTTGCCCCTATCTTCCCTTATTGTACTTCACCCCTCCACTCAGTCACCATATTTTTCGCTCTGTAAGACGCACCAGACCACAAGACGCACCTAGTTTTTGGATGGAGGAGGAAAACAAGAAAAAAAATATTCTGAATTTCAGAAGCCGGAACAGCAAGAGGGATTGCTGCACAGTGAAAGCAGCAATCCCTCTTGCTGTTCTGGCTTCTGGGATAGCTGCACAGCCTGCATTCGCTCCATAAGACGCACACACACTTCCCCTTACTTTTTAGGAGGGAAAAAGTGAGTCTTATAGAGCAAAAAAATACGGTAATCTATTTGTGGCTTTTGCACCTTCTGGCAAGTCTACTTCCAAAGCCTGGAACAGTTCTCCCACTTCTCTACACATCAAGCTAAGGTCTTTTCTTTGAAAAGCCTTTCCAATACCATCATATTACCTCCTTTTCAAAACCTTTTAATGTGATATTATGACTCGCTGTCAGAACATTTTATCAAACACTGCCTTCCACTGACTTTTTAGAGGCATTAAATGCTAAAGAATGGTAACAAGGTCACATCTTAGTTCCATGCAATCTGCAGTAAACAGTTGGCCATGTATATTAAATACTAGTCTGAGCATCTTCTCTTCTTGATAAGAGCACATGGCTGCATTTTGCTTTTAAGCTAGACAGTCTTTGCTTTGCATTGTCAGGACACCTGACATATAAATGGAGAGTCCTTAATGGTTCAATGAAAATGGATCCTTTTTACTCGATGTGGTATAGATTTCTCTCCTATGCTAACTCAACTGAACAGCCCACTAAACTCCCTGCTCTACAGACAAGTATGTGGAGAGGTTTTACTGAGAACTAAGTTGGCCCACCTTTTTCTTCTCATATGCGACAACTGAATGCGGCACTGCATTTTCTGTAGTTTACTGGGATTGAATTGGCTATTTTCTGTAGCTTATTGGGGGTTTTACCCTGCCTCTGCCTCTGTATTTTATTTTTCTACTTTTACATGTCTTTTTATTTGCCACATCCATCATTTTTATTGTACAGTCATACTTTGGTCCTCAAACAGAATCCATTCCGGAAGTCTACTCGACTTCCGAAAATGGACAAAAACCAAGGCACAGCTTCCGATTGGCTGCAGAAGCTTCCTGCACTCAACCGGAAGCAGTGAAAGCTGCGTCGGACATTCAGCTTCCAAAAAACATTTGCAAACCGGAATACTCACTTCTGGGTTTGCGGAGTTCGGGAGCCAAAACATTTGAGTTGCAAGGCAATCCAGAACCAAGGTACAACTGTATTCTGTATGTTTATTCCACTAGAGATCTACAGCCACTGTGTCAATATCTTGTTTCACTAATTACAGGAAACCCTTCAAAATACTTATTCAATGGCCTGCTCATCCATTATCAAAGAATATACAGAGGCACTACAGTCATATAGTTAATTACATAGTCTGTGTCTCTTATGCATTCAATGATCCCTATTAACAATAGTGATGATACAAGTCCCACCAAACTCAATGCAACTTATATCTGAATAATCACATATAGGATTGTGCTGTTAGACTGCTTGATTGTCTGCCAGCAGGTGTTAGAATAATGGTTATATAAGCAATCATATTAGCAGCCCAGTGTCAAAATAATTGTTTTGCAAATCCAGCTGTTCAAGTAAACATCTCACAACTGCAGTATGGAATATAAATTAAGGGGTTTTGGTTTTTTGTTTTTGCCAAAAAGTAATTGGGAAGTTAGAAATTTTATTGGGTGGTGTGTTACAGCATGGTTACAGTGAAGCTGTGCTGGCAATTACATAAATAATGCCACAAAAACAAGGCACGTTCCCAGATCCCATTTTCTTGTTCAGATTGGATTCCTCTTCACTGTCCAGTAAAGACATTAAGATCAAGAAGAGTAACCTGGTTAGTTATTGGTTTGTGGTGGGCTTTTTCAATGCTGGCACTGATGTTGTGAAATATATGCCCTGATTAAAAATGAGAGGTCCCATTGTATTGAAAAAAAACTTTTTACCCAGGCATTCCCTTGATCTCTCAACCAGTCCTATTTAAATTGCTATGCTGTTTTAATGTGATGGTTTTACTGCATATTTTAAGGAACTGTTTCACTGTGTATTTTAACAATGTTGCACAATTGGTTTTTACATTTGTAAGCTGCTTATAGGCCTTATAACTATGTAAATAAATAAAGGGTACACTAGGCCAATAAGATCACACAGTGAACTTTAGGGTCAAGTGGGGATGTGAACCTGAGTATGCCTAGCCCTAGTCCAACATGCTAAATACTACATCCAAGTGGTTCCTACAGTTCAGGGCAAAAGGCAGGGTTACTGTAAGAGGTCTTGCAAAAGTATATCATCAGAATATGTGATGATATACCACCGAAGATGCACTATTCCAGGTGCTGCATAAATCAGAAGTGGGGAAGTGAAGTAATATATTAGAGACATGCCAAAGGAGTGGCAACACTTCATGCAATCTCAATTATATCAAGTAGGCCCAAGGTTTTCACTGCTGCAGAGATGCAGATCTGTGGTCACAAACCATGAGTATTAACTCAAAAATGTATTCATGACCATCCTCCTCCACGGAAAACAAATTACCCTGCCCCAGCACGTGTTGAAAAAGGACCAGCTCTTTTTATACTCCTATAGGGTTGTCAATTGCTCAATGGCTGCAATTCTAGACCCACTTGTTATAAAGGGAGGGCTCAAACTGAATTCCAGTTAAAAAGCAAATTGCTTAATCTGCAATTAGTTACGGATCTAGTATCAAATTTCATGTTATCCCATTCCTGCCACCACTCATGTGTAGCTTTGATTTTTCTGTTACCAACTAGACTGGGGAGCTGTCCAACAGCCCAGAGAGCTTAATGTTTTTAGGAATGTGCTCTTCAATTTCTTCTTCATTCCTTGCTGTCAGCTTGTATTTCTTTTAGCTAAGTTTGTGTTCCTTCTTGTTCTCATTTGAACAAGACTGATATTTTCTGAAGGAATCCTTATTACCTCTAATGGCTCCCTTGATTTATCTCTCAGGTGGAAGATGAAGATGCCTAACCAGCTACCTTCATGCCTTCCAGGTCTCTCTAGTCCTTCAGGAGATGATGTGTCAGTAGAGCACACCAGAAAGCATGGGAGATGGACTCCCAGTCTCCTGGGAAGATTATTTACCACAGGGTTTTGGGGTGTTTACCGTTGTGTTTGTGTCTTCAAGGCAAACTAAAGCATCTGCATTTGAAGTTGTTCTCCATGTCTACTCTTGCTCATATGACCTCAATGAATTGGAACCTGTAATGTACTTTCAGCCAGATTAGCTTTAGATCACAGACAGAGAACAAATTAGATTTCTGAGCTTCTATACTGCAAAAAAATCCATTATCTATGAAGTAAAATGCATTTCATCATACACGGTTTTGTCAGTAAAGCAATTTTCTACTATACAAAGGACCTGAATGTTCCCATCAATATACTATTAGAAACTGACATGACCAAACTACAGGATTTTGTATTTTTAAAGTGAATTTCTTTGCTATTTTCAGCATCTGGGCATGCGAAGAAGCGATTTCCGGCGCCGCGGACATGCACAGACGCATGGGGATTCGCCGAGCGGGCGGTTTGGTTCGGGGGCAGCTCATGGGCTGGTTAAGCGACCCTCATGGGCTGCTTCCGGCCCACGGGCCTTAGGTTGCCGACCTCTGCTCTATACTGTATATTAATCTTATGCTCCTCTGCCACCCGCCTCCTACATGGCCAACATAAACTTTGCACTCCAATGCAAAAAATCATTTTTTACAAAAAAGCTAAGTATTTCAAGAAACCTAGAACACAAGGTAATATGGCTGAACTGACTTTCTGGGGTGGGGGAAGGAACATTTAAAACAGCATCTTGTTAAGACAATGATGGACACAAATGCTTCTTCGTGCTTTCCTTATAATTGCTGGTCTACAATATTAACTTTCTGACCCATGCAAAGCTATACTTGTCCACTCCTCTGTTTCATGTACAGCTATAATTAAGGCCTGCATAGAAGTCAAAGTATACCTTCCAAGGAAGTTTTGTTTGCTTTCTCTAGTAAGTCATTAGGGAAATATTACATGTAACCTGACAAATGTCATGGAATCATTTTCATGTTTGTGACAATGAACAGATAATGCAGAAATGACTATAAATGAAGGTTTGGCAGTTGTTGAACAGTGTAGAGAGGCAGAATTTTGCAAGGTCTCCAGTAGGTCTGGGAGAAACAGTTAAGCTTTGTGCTGGAATGATGTTGTTCAGGAAATGCTTTTCATGTTTTAAAATCCACACTCCACTTTATATCATTGATAAAAAGGAACTGGTACATACAAGGAAAGCTACTGTGTTGTGTCAAATGTTTATTTTGGTTAACATTTAGAACTCAACGTTTCTTCTTCAACAAGGATGCAAACTAACAAAACTATAAACTAACAAGAGTAGAAACACTTCCAGAACTTTTGTAAATACCGGAAGCCTGCAGACCAATATGCTTGTGCAAGAAAGGAAAACTGAGCAATATTCATTTATTTGTCTTACAAGAATTCTGACACAGAAAAGTCAAGCTTTAAGGCACCTGGGAACCTCCTACAAAATAGACAGATATAGTCTGAAATGAATAAAATCCACAGATACATTAACTCTATGCTCCAATTCATGCTTATACAGATGCAAGTTCCCAGTTTTCAATTGGGCTTATTCCATGATATAGCAAAGTAGGGACAAGCTTTTATGTTGTTATTTGAAGTGTAAATGCTTATGGGATGGGATCTTTATCTTGTGAACTGCCTGATTATTTTGTGAACCACTCTGAAATCTTCAGATGAAGGGCAGTATATAAATTTAATAAATCACCTTCATCATCATCACAAATCCTATTTAAGTGAGAAGCTAAATGACATAAACCAAATAGAGCTAGCACTACTCAACTATGTCAAACAACTGTCACATCTTTATGTGAAAGTGAATCACATTCATGACAACAAGCACTATTTCTTTAAAATCATACTGTGCTATTTGTAAACAAGCTGTTGCTCTATAATAGACTAATCTTTATACAGTGGTACCTCCGGTTACAAACTTAATTCGTTCCGGAGGTCCATTCTTATCCTGAAACCATTCTTAACATGGCCCGGGCCTCTGGCGTGCAACTTCCACTCGCATCCTGGGGCAAAATTTGCTTCCAGGAGCACCTACTTCTGGGTTAGCGGAGCTCGTTACCTGAACCGTTCACAAGAAGGATGGTTCGTAACAAGAGGTATTACTGTAGACTGTAAGTTAAAAAGATTGGAAAAGTAGATGAGTAACTGCACAAACCTTAGAATATCTACTATCTCAAGGAACTTATTTTGCAGTCAGTGTGCTTATGATTGTGACCTGAATCTCAACACTGTAGTGGAACGTTAAATTTCTTTCTTGCAGAAAAAGGAATGCATTTGAGGTGCTGCTGACCCCTTTTATGTAATAAAGAATGACATTCTCAAACCCATGTTTCCAAACTTGGCTTTATCCATGGAAATAAATGTTTCTGACCTTGCAATGTATACTATGTTTTTAAACATTTAAGCCATTACATAAAGTGCACTCAGTTCCAATTTACTGGCAGAAATAGACTGTTAAAAATGTAATACTGAAGGAGGGTGAGACATTAGAGGAAAACTGAGAAATCTACTGGAATCTACCTTTGGATCTTGGAATAATTATAAATCTAAATCAATTATAGGATTAACTGTAAAGCTAATAAAGGTAATTAAAAATCCTGTTTGCTAATTTTTGTGACTATAGCTTAATATCATTTATCTTAATGTTAATGGATTCAACAACTCAGTCTAAAATGGAAGATAGCCAGATCTACTATATATTTTGGAAAGTTGTTTATCTACTATGCTTTTGGACCGTGTAAGATATCCTTAAGATGGTTTCTGAGATCAAGAAGCAGGTTTTCATCGATGTTTGGCACCATTCTGAATCAAAATGGTGGACTGAAACTTTCAAACTGCACTGGTTGTAAATTCCACTGATGTTTTGTTTTCTTATAATTTCAAAGCAACACCAAGTATGAGGCTGCAAGTAGTTTATAAAGAAATGATATCATGGAAATCCCTGAAAATGACTGAAATGTTGAAAGAGGAAACTCAGCTGTTGAAATACAAACTGACGCCTGTCATAGCTAGACAAGTAACTTTGTATTTAGGGTTGTTAACAGGCAAGAAAATACAATTTAGCGCTTGACTCACTTTACTTCCTGTAATTTAACTATGTTTGTAGGTATTTTTTTCAAGATCTAAAAGTTATTTCTAAATTTCAGCACTGGGAATGCAGTTTGTCTACTTAAGGCTGTAGAAATAAGTTCTGCATACTGAGCGTATTTTCTACATTTCTCTCTAGGCCAATGTTGAATACTTTGGCTGAGAGGTTTCCATCTATTTTATCATGATTTTCTTCACAAATAGTTATATAAAAAAATTATATATTGGAATTAAGTTGTAGTCTTTTGAACATTAGTCACCTTTGGGGAAAATTAGTTTGGCCCTCCTGCTTTCTTCAGAGAAGGTAAGCAAAATGGTTGCCATGGAAATATCTTTCTATTTCAGCAACTTTATGATTGGAACACTGATGTGTTTTACTTGCATGAATGAGTACTCCAACCATGTGCTGTATTATTTAAGCTTTTTTTATTACTCTTTTTTGCTATGTCTATAGCATTGTCAATGACCAAATAACATTCTTGGGTACTCTGTTCATGGAAGGTGCCTCCCACCAATTTGAGGTGATCCCCTTTCCTTCTTCAACCCTATGCAACAGACCACCAAATTCAGGAGGATACCACAGCTCTCAGGAAAGGTTTTGTTAAATTGTTTTTATTAAAGATTTTCTTTATAAGGGGCTAATAGGGCTGTTGGAGAGGAGAATGGCCTAAAAAGTCACTTTCCACCATCTTCTTCCAAGCCATTCCCCCCCTAAATGGGGTCACTGAACTCTCAATCATATCAATCATTTGGGGTTGAGAAAAGCTAAACTGGGTTTTATTTACTTTTAACTGGAATTCATAATGAAGCCAGATTTTTTGGCATCTAGGCTTCTTCATGAAGAACTCAGAATGATTATTTGTTTCCTCATTCAACAGCATGCATGAGAAATGATCCAATACAACATTCAATTATAATATACAGATGCCACTTTCTTATTAATAGATATGGTTGTATCCAATGAAGTTATCTCATTAGTGCAAGGACTTACTCTCCTTGCATCCCCTCCAAATCTGCTCTAGAGGGGAACCCCCCCCCCCACAGTGCATGGGTAGAAAAGTCCTGTTGCAAAGGTGGGAATCTTTGTACTAACTGAGCAGCTTTGTTGTATACAGCCCACAGTGCAAAAATCCAAAATCTGTCAACATAAAAAATGCATATGGCCTGTCAGAGTTGATTACCCCTTCCATAAACCTAGAAGGTTTTATGTTGGGGTTGGTTTTTTTTAATAAAAAAAACTGAGTAAAAGTCTCTCTCTGTTCAAAGGGGGAGCATGAATGGGAGAAAACTGCAGTATTCCAATTATAGAACACAGCCTAACTTCTAACAGTTTCCAACTCCATATTTTGATTCCAATACTTGAGAATAAACTCAATGGTGTCCATTTCTAAGTAAATATACATAGATTCAACTTGTAATATACATCAAGCATGAAGTTACCAGATCACTGTGGCTAGGCCATGGGTAGGCAAACTAAGGCCCGGGGCCTAGATCCGGCCCAATCGCTTTCTAAATCTGGCCCGCAGACGGTCCAGGAACCAGCGTGTTTTTACATGAGTAGAATGTGCCCTTTTATTTAAAATGCATCTCTGGGTTGTTTGTGGGGCCTGCCTGGTGTTTTTATATGAGTAGAATGTGTGCTTTTATTTAAAATGCACCTCTGGGTTATTTGTGGGGCATAGGAATTCGTTCACCCCCCCCCCCAAATATAGTCCGGCCCCCCACAAGGTCTGAGGGACAGTGGACTGGCCCCCTGCTGAAAAAGTTTGCTGACCCCTGGGCTAGGCTATCCCTGTCCAGGAACAGGCACAACAGGTGAACCAACTGAAGCCCTTTATCTTCCCATTTGTTGTTTTTTAACACACATACACCCTTCAGCTTGCAATTTGATCTGGTTTTCTACTTCTTCTCTACTGTTTTTCCCCCTTGCTATAATTTTGTATGCTGTTACATTAGTTTGGAGTTTTGTAAGCTGCCCTGCACTTTTTTTTGAAGGGCAGGATATAAATTTACCGACTAACTGAAGTTCTGTTGCACTCTATGGGAGGTAGAATGAACCTTTGGTCTCAATTTAGCAAGGCCCTCCCTTGCATCCTTATTTATTTATTGTTTTATTTAAGATGATTAACAGAAAGACTAAGTAGCACCTACAAGACCACACAGTTTATGAACTGAACAAAAAGCCCACATCTATGCCCAACTGTTTCCCAAATAAGCACAATAGTTTGCCTCTTAAATTAAAATATTGCAAAACCACCTAACAGCTATGAAAATGTAACTACATCCATAACCTAGATCAGGTTTTTGTCTCCAACTATGCAGACACAAAATTTTGCATTAGTTGAATGTTTGCAAGGAAAGCCCAACATGCAAGCTCCAAATGATCAAGGCACCAATATAACCAGGTGTCATCACAGGAGCTCTGAATGATCTTAATTCAGGTTTTCCATATTGAAGGCATATTCACTGTAGATTTTAAAATCCCTTCAGTTGACAAAAGTACTTGATTACAGATTTACTCACACACTAAAAATCATGGTAAGTCCTCTTCATACTGTATTTTAGGTGAGCTTCCACTTTTCTACACACTTCTTATCAGTGAGTAGATCTATTTCTATGCCCAGCTAATAGGCACAGGACCAACACTACATGATTTATTATCTTCAATGTATTTTTCAAGTAGTGGTGGTGTCATCTATAACCTGTGGCTGAATCTGAACAAACACCTTGTATTATACTTGATGAAGTAATTTTAGGGCAATGCCAACTTTGTTGGAAAATGCATGCTTCCTCATATCACAAAGAACTGATTTTCTGAAGGTTCCCTAGATTTTAAAACAGAGAGCATGTGTCACTTTCCCATAGCACATAACTCCCACCAGTTCATTCCTCTTTGGGTTCAGAGTGCATCCCACTTTTGGGTCACTGTAGCATTAGCCAACAGATTCAGTTTGCATATTTTAATATTTTCAGGACAGGTAGTATGCAAAACAGCCAAAGCTCAGAATTCAGCTAATTCACACGAACCACAACAAATTACATTATGCCAACCTCTGAGGAGTATCTCACTTAAAAGTATAACTTTCAGACTATTCATCTACAAAGGAACAAAAATAAATAACTTTTGTGCTATCACCTCCTTTAATCATATACAACTTCACCTAAAATGTGAACAAAGTGGACTAGAGCCTTTGGAGTACTTGTTCAAACACAATCTCCTCTCTCTCATTCACACAAACACATTTAGTGTGTTTCAAACTGTAGCATAGGGAGGTTAATACATACATGATTTTTGCAAGACCAAAATTCAAATTTTGTCCATTCTGCAAGCCACCCCAAACTGACTGAAAGTGTTATATGCCTTAGGCAACTCCTGTAACAAAATGAACAGCACATCTGCAACCTCTTCAGAACTCAAGACCTACTGAGCTACCAACATTTTAAAAGTACTGTCTAGATTTTTCTCAAATTTATTGTTTCATCTCCTTGAGGTTCCTTCTCCTTACAATCAAGTGGTGTGTAGATTTTACGAAACAAATAAAGTGAAATAATGAATAAATAAATAAAACAGCAAAAACATAACAAGACATACTAAGCTACCCGATCCTTGCCAGGACAAACAGAGAAAAGAGAACACTATTATACTTTTGCCCTGTGATTGTCTCCTCAAAGCATTTCAACAAAGGGTGCTTGCAAACCAAAAGTTTAGCTAGTTCAAGGATGGAGATCACCTGTTGCCCTCCAACATCGGGAGAGCCACAGGTCCCGTCCCCCCACTGCTGTTCTAGCGACAGTTTAACCCCGTATCATGCGGCCATTAACACAACCAGACCTCGCCAAATAGCAGTGCTAAATATAAGGTCAGTGCCTCTGGCTGTAAGGTTGGTGGTTCGAGCCCACTCAGGGACGGCTGCGGGCAGGATGCCTGCTTTGCAAGGGGGTTGGACTAGATGACCCTTGGGATCACTTCCCACTCTACGATTCCCCTCGTCCCACCAGGGAAAACCAAACAAACTGTGCCCGTCCTTCTTGCTACTCTGGAGTTGATGCTACTCATCTAGAGATGATGGATGGCGGCTAACAGATTGAGGTTGAATCCTGACAAGACAGAAGTACTGTTTTGGGGGGACAGGAGACGGGCGGGTGTAGAGGACTCCCTGGTCCTGAATGGGGTAACTGTGCCCCTGAAGGACCAGGTGCGCAGCCTGGAAGTCATTCTAGACTCACAGCTGTCCATGGAGGCGCAGGTCAATTCTGTGTCCAGGACAGCTGTTTATCAGCTCCATCTGGTACGCAGGCTGAGACCCTACCTGCCCGCAGACTGTCTCACCAGAGTGGTGCATGCTCTAGTTATCTCTCGCTTGGACTACTGCAATGCGCTCTATGTGGGGCTACCTTTGAAGGTGACCCAGAAACTATAACTAATCCAGAATGTGGCAGCTAAACTGGTGACTGGGAGCGGCCGCCGAGTCTTGAAACACCGGTCTTGAAAGACCTACACTGGCTCCCAGTATGTTTCCGAGAACAATTCAAAGTGTTGGTGCTGACCTGTAAGCCCTAAACGGTCTCGGTCCAGTATACCTGAAGGAGCATCTCCACCTCCATCGTTCTGCCCGGACACTGAGGTCCAGCACCGAGGGCCTTCTGGCGGTTCCCTCACTGTGAGAAGTCAAGTTACAGGGAACCAGGCAGAGGGCCTTCTCGGTAGTGGCACCCGCCCTGTGGAACGCCCTCCCACCAGGTGTCAAAGAGAAAAATAATTACCAAACTTTTAGAAGACATCTGAAGGCAGCCCTGTTTAGGGAAGCTTTTAATGTTTAATGGGTTATTGTATTTTAGTGTTTTGTTGGAAGCCGCCCAGAGTGGCTGGGGAAACCCAGCCAGATGGGCGGGGTATAAATATTATTATTATTATTATTATTACTCGAGTTTGACCGACTTCCTCCCACGGTATTACCTCCCCCCGAGCTGCCCTCAACAGGAAAGCGCGCGCACCCTCAGCAAAGCATATTTAACCCCTCACATCCCCCCCATCCCTATTAAAGGCAGCCCCCTCCACCAGGGCTTCCTTGACGACTCCCCCCCCCCCAACGCCGCCCTGACGTCAATACGTCGTCGGCCTGACGCCCGCAACTCCCCTCACAACGGCCACCGGCCGAGTTCCCTCACCCATCTTGGCGGCCGGTTGGGGAGGGGGCGGGGGAAGCGCCTCTGGGGATGTGGGCGCCGTCAGCCGGTCGCCCCCCGCCGCCCGCTCTTCTTTCGCTCCGTCTTTCCCCTCCGCGCCGCTTCCTTCCTTTTCCTCCCCTCACAGCAGCCGCCTCCGCCTCCGCCTCCGCCGCCTCATTCCAAGGCTTGGGCCTCAGGTGCCCACTTCGGCCAAGTCCTTCCGAAGGCCGCGGGCGGACGGGCAGGCAAGGCAGCGGCTCCTCCTCCTCCTCCTCCCGCGCCCGCCTTCCGTCGGTCTGTTCGACTTCTTCCTTCGGCGACGCAAAGACTCCCCTCTCGGCGCGGAGGTTCTGAGGCAAAGCCTCGTAACCGCTCGCGCATGCGCGCTGCCTTGGCTTGAAACACACGCGCGCGCACTCACAAAACCGCCCACTCCCGAAACGGTTTTTCTTCCCCCGTCCCTCAGAGAAGGCAGGAAGCGCGCGTGCGCATTGGCGGAGTAAGGCGGAGCCTCTGCCGCAACTGTCAATTGTAACGAGAGAAGCGGGCAATAGGAGGAAGATCTCGGCCAATCAGGCTATTTCCTTTGCGCCCCACCCACCTCCTCTTTCACCCTCCCAAACGCACGTGGGCAGCCTGGTCCCAAGTCTCGAAAGGGGCATTTATCCTCGTGAACTCCTACAAGATCAGCATAGCCAGGATTTTTGTTGGGGGTGGGGAGGGCAGGAGTTGGTTGGAGGGGACAGGGCTTTTGTTGGGGGGAGGGCAGAACCGATGTGATTGGTCAATTTCTATTGTTTTACTTGATCTAGGGGGGGCCCGCTAAGCCAGTGAAGATCAGTACATATTTGAAGGAGCAGCTCCCTTCACCACCAATAAAATTCATAGTGAGGCCTCCACACCCTATACAAATGCAATCAGTTTGCTGTTTGGTTTGTGAGTTTTTTGGGTTGCCTTGGGCAAGACCCAGCGACGACTAATAATAATAATTAATCTATTTGGTAGAACTAGTTACCTTGCAATCCTAACCGCACCAATTCAGCGCCAGCCCTATTGAATTCAGTAAGTCTTATTCCTAAATAGGTAAACTCCTATTATACATTTCTTCAAAAGCATTTAGCTTTTATAAGACTCTTGTAGAACAGGTTGTTATTTTAAGATGCATCAGTTAACTGATTTATGGAATGTTTTCATGTTACCAACTTTGCCATCTTTTCAGTGACAGCAAAGACTTTATTCTCCAGATCATTTGCTCATCCTCATGCTGGAAGCTGGTGGATATTTCATGTGTGTCTTTTTTATTATTATTACCATTTTTTACCTCTGTTTTTGTATTGTTTTAATGAACTTCCCATTGCATATTGTGTCTTTGCCTTTTAAGGTACTGTAAATTGCTGTAGGACTTCTTTTGGGTGTGCAAGAGATGTAATACTGTATACTACCTGAATGATAATAAACTTACTAGTACCTTTCTGGTGTGTTTTAAAAAGTTTTTAACAATGCAAAAGATCCTGCTCCTTTCTACATCAGCATTTCAAGTTGACGGAAAGTTCAGAATGGCTTCTACTGGGGGTCACACCATAAACAACCTTTATAAGCCTCTTTCTTGTTTAGCAATGTGTCGTTGCAAGACAGGAACAGAAAATGCAATTCCTGCACATTAGCATTCATTTGTAAGGCTAGATTTTCTTCCCCCAAAATAAAAGCTTCTGGCCACTTTCATTTATAGACTTGTATGATGGATTATTTTATAAGTGGCACTCTTTCATATTTCTGGAACCATGGAAAAATACATTTTTAAGACTGTTCTCTTGTTAAGTGAATGTTTAACAAGATAAAAAGAACTGTCTGGGTCTTATTCATGCCTTCCCCCTTACATCACCATGCATTTTAGAAATGTTCCATTTTATTAAAACGTAAGAAAGGCAGAATACACACAAAAACTAGGAATGGAACAAACAAAAGTATACAGAGAAAGGAAGATCAGTATCTTTAAAATTCCAGCATTCTACTTCAAACCTTTTAAAAAACTGTCTTACATTTTTACAGTGTTTAATATAATTCCAGAAAGCAGGTGTTCAAAGATCAAGATAAGTCCATCTCATTATAATTTCTCCATAAAAATCAACTGGGAATATTGCAACAAGTTAACTATTGTCCGCCACATAAGGTAAGATTAAGTCTAGTTCAGTAACAACTTTCCCCAATAACACTGGGTAAGAATATATATATATGTAACACTCTAAGAGTGGGGTGGGAGAAAGAAAAAGATTAACACAAGTAGAGTCAGTGCTATTGCTTATTTGAAAAGAACAAAAGAAAGCAAAAATGAGTCTGGAACTTTATACAGTCATGCTACAAAGTTGACATCTTTCGGAAATCACACTGGGGAGTACAGTACATAAGCTAACATCTTACCGTTTAGTATTGATTAGTAAAAAAAATCAGCTCATATTCATATTCTGTACACTAAAAACATCTTTGTTCCTTTCAAAAAACAGATACCACGAGTTCATACTCCATCACATAACCAATAACCCAGCCCCTCCCAGCACCACTCTGCTAGTGAATTACAGACCTGTTTTTTTACTGAGCACATCCTTAAGTCTCCCATGTGCCCATGTTTGAAGTGCCTTAGGACCAGTGCTATGCAGCCCATGGTCAAGTGCCTTTAACCAGTACTGGCCAACTCCTATTAACAGATTAAAATTAACATTTGGATTTAATCTAGTCCCTTGATTTCCGCGGGACTAAAAAAAACACCACCACAAGAATCTACTTTCTATGTACTAGCTAGTTAAGTTGGCTGAGGGAGGGAAGAGGAGAAAAGATGAGAAAGTCAGGCATTTAATTCTCTCTCATACTTCATGTTCGTCTTCGGGCAAGAACAACCAGTACTGTTGAAACAAAGACATTTACACACCAGTTACCACATTTCCCCACTAATGTACTCAAGTACTATAAAACAAATAACCAATAGGTTTGTCACATTTCATTATGTACATCACTGGTGGTTAACATCTGAAAGTCTTCTCAACACACTTCCCCTCCTCCAGTGCCTCATGTAACTGTGGAAAAATGGTTTGATACACCATTTGGGGGCTCCCCTCTGAATTCTGCAGGAGCCAGCTTGGCCAGCCTACAAGAGCTTCTGAGAAGGGGGTGGAAACCATCACAAATACATTCTTTTTTAATGTGTCAGAGAAGACCTACCATAAGCCTCAGTGTGCCTTGATATGGGAATAAGAGGCAACATCCCACCATAGCTATGTAAGAGAAGCTTGTGTATTTCATAATGAATTACACATGTCTGGTCATAGTAATGTTCCAAGAAAAACAATGCCATCCCATATTAACATCATATACAAGTTAAAGCTTCACTCCAGAAAGTTTCTGCAAGAGCCAGCTATATCCTGTCACTGCTCCTGAAACATCACGTTTTCCACACTACCTTAAGAAGGATTTTTGCATTTTTCTGGATAGTGCTAGGATAAAAGCTGCTCTTAGGAGGTGGGAAGCAACCGTACTCTTAGGAAAATGCTTGTTGCCTCTTGGAGTCGAGTAAGATCACCTGTGGCTGAAGTCCTTACATTTTTGTGAGGGGCAGGCAACAACCACAGTGCAAAGCTAGGAACTGTACTTATCCAACTAGATGCTATGTTGGCAACAACACTGTATACAGTTTTATTTTAGAGGCCTTTGTCATACAGAGGAGAGAGAGAGAAACAAATCTAATAACCAGCAGTTCACAAAGTTAAAGCTTCGCTTCAGGAAGTTTCTGCAAGAGCCAGCTAGGCTTTGCGACTGCTCCTGCTCCCTTATAGTTGAAGAACATTTTTAATAGTAATGGACTTTTAGTTGCAGAGAACTTACAAGATTCAGCACTAGTATCAAGAGAAATTTGACTTGCCATGGGCGGGGGAAGGGGTAGAGAAGATATGTGTGAAAAATTACTTAACAGAAAGTTAACTTCACATCCCATTACTATAACTCTGAACAGTTTTTAGGCATCTGCAGCAGCAACATATTATTTCTGCTAGGGTGTCATTCTGCCAGTTGGTGTCATTACTCATTCAATACAAATACTCAACACAAATGGCTGACATATATACATAACTTTAATTGAAAGTAATAATAAATTCCCAGAGGGTCTGAAAGGCTCAGCATATCCCTGCATTTAAGTCACAGGGTGGGAGTGGGGGTGGGGAAAGAGGGAGACGACAGCAACATTTACCCATCAATGCCAGTTCTGAGTCTTCCTAGAATAGCCACTGGCACTTTCTAGATGGAGTTTTGTTCTTAAAAATTTATAGGAGAGCAAAGACCACCATCCAGTTCCATTTTTTTCCTCAGTGCCCAATTGTTTTTACACTCTCAAGATTTCCAGGCAGTTGTTGTAACAGATTGCTATCCAGTCCGGCTGAGTTGATGCCCACTGTACATTGTTGATTTCGCCTTCTGCTGTATAGGCCAAGATTGGATCCTCAATGGCACGAGGCATTTGCTGGATATCCCAGATAAGTGCTTGATGGTCATCCGCTGACAAAGATGAAATGTAGAATCAGAGGTAAAAGAAACCACCTTTCACACAATTATTCAGTGGTCCATGTACTCAGGAATGAAATGGACACAAAACCACATAAACAAAAGTTTAAGCAGTATAATTTGACTTTTATCTATGATTGGGTTTTGACTCCTGACACGTTTTACATATATCATAGTTTCTCAAATGCGGATCATCTGTTATCTAATAATATTTGTTAATTCTTGTAATGGACAGTAAGACTGAACTGCTAAGGGAAAGTAATCAAAAAGGGTTTTTTTAAAATCCAAAAATTCTTACACCTTTCCTTATGGAAATGTTTCAAAACCTAGAAATTTGCTAATCTTTTTGCTGCATAAGGATTTATGTTCATTAGTAGATCAAATTCAGAGCAAGAAGTCTCATATCCGCCACTCCTTCCACATTTGTAAACATATGCAACGTATGGCTGGTACCCAATATGGTTTTGGTTTTTTTAATTAAATGAAAGCAAGTGAATTAACTTGCTTCATAATCTTTCGTTTCTACCACTTACATTTTAGAGTTGCTTTAAAGCTCCCATAACTTGAGGTAAGCCTGAGTATAATGGACTATTATTCATAAAAAGTAGCTGTAAGTATGCTAGCTTACTAAGTATACAAAGTTTTCACAAAAATTATTCATAAAAAGTAGCTGTAAGTATACTAGCTTACTAAGTATACAAAGTATACTAACAAGATACTCTGAATTAGAGAAGAGCACAAATGGCAACCATTATGGGTGAACAGAGAAATAATAATAGTTAAACCAGCTATAGCAAACAAAGCAGATTACTATTTTAAGTTCATACACATACTTTGAAGGGAACTTGAAACACCCATATGAAAAGAAGAGGTTACAAGAATCATTCATCCTTACCAGCTGTGCAGATATGACAAGAAGAGTGTGGTGCCCAAGCAATGCCATTGACACATGCTCTGTGGTTGTTCAGTCTGGCAACAGGTGTACAAGGAACTCTGACATCTAAAATTACCACCTTAGTGGAGAAAACAAATACAAAGAATAGTGAAGTTTTATACTACCTCTGATGAAGCCACAAAGACTTTTTATGAATGGTATTTCATTACCTACTATACTATCTTCAGAGCACAATACATATATGCTGTACCCCATCTCCTCAAGTAAGTACAGTGGTGCCTCGCAAGACGAAATTAATTCGTTCCGCGAGTTTTTTCGTCTTGCGGTTTTTTTCGTCTTGCGAAGCACGGTGTCGGGAAAGTTTTGGAAAAGCTTCAAAAATCACCAAAGTCTTCAAAAACCTCAAAAAAGGCTACCACACTGCGTGCTATGAGTTGCTCCTCGAAGTCAAGTCGCAACTGTATTAACGGTTTTAAGAAAAAGGAAACAAACTTGCAAGACGTTTCCGTCTTGCGAAGCAAGCCCATAGGGAAAATCGTCTTGCGAAGCAACTCAAAAAACCAAAAACCCTTTCATTTTGTGAGTTTTCCATCTTGCGAGGCAATTCGTCTTGCGAGGTACCACTGTATACCCTTTTCATTGCAAATGAATACAGTGTTTTTATACTCCTCTAATAGTGAAACATAATATTATATATATAGAGAGAGAGAGCATGCGCAGTAGTGCCTGATGAGCCACATGTTACAAAGGGGAACTGAGATCAATCAGCATTTTATGTCCAGTTCACATATTATAAATTTTTAAAAATTGAGAAACTAACACAAAAGCTATTTCCAATACAGACTCCTGTTTCTGAAGTACCTGCTCAGGACACTATGCCCCATTACTTTAGCTAAGTCTGCCTGTCCACCCCACAAAAGAATTGTGTGGCCAAGAGCAGGATATCTCATACCGACATGTCTACATGGGGATCATTACTTCTTCTAGACTCAAGTTGTTCATGGTAGCTACCAGCATCAGTATGGCTTCTATCTCCTTTTTAACATAAGGACACGTGCCTGACTGCTTTCCTCCATGCTACTGTGTGCCAAGGCTGCAAGGAATCCCAGAAACAAAAATGTCCCATGGCTTTATACAGGTATCCAGAAAACGTGCCTATCAAGACCAAGAGTCTAAGTAGTGTTGAGTGTCAATACCATCCACGTGCAATTCCAAGAAGTGTACTGGCCACCCTCACAGAACACTGGCTCACCTCCATGCCATCCATTGCCATTGTTGCAAGATAATTCGGGTCCTGTTTATTCCAGCAAAGGCGAAGCAAAGGATGGTGTTGAGGATCCTCATATATAATTGTACTATGTTCCAGGTGCCGCAGATCAAACATTCTCACTGAGCCATCAGCACCAACAGAAGCAAACATGTCTCTCCCGCCTCCTGCACGGCTGAATGCAATATCATAGACCTGCTCATAGACCAAAGGCAGAGGAAAATGACAAAATACAATGATATTGCCTCCAATACCAAAATTTTTGCTTCACACCGAACACAGTTTTATCATGCAAATCCAGATGTACAGCAGCCATGTCATAGAAATCCCTAAAAGTAGATAAAAAAGGGACTGAGAACACAATCAGAAGCTAGGGCACTGCCACCCCTCTCCCCGTGAAAGTGAGCTTTGTCTACTTATGCAAAATACTATTTTTTTTGTATACATCCCCTTGAACAGCTGAATTACAGTGGTACCTCTAGTTACAAACTTAATTCGTTCTGGAGGTCCGTTCTTAACCTGAAACTGTTCTTAACTAGAGGTGTGCTTTCACTAATGGGGCCTCCTGCTGCCACTGTGCCGCCGGCATACGATTTCTGTTCTCATCCTGGGGCAAAGTACTCAACTCAAAGTAACTCTTCCAGGTTAGTGGAGTTTGTAACCTGAAGCATTTGTAACTCGAGGTACCACTGTACTTTGAGGAAAAAAGAAGAATTTGGTTCTGGAGAACTAATAGCATACACACAGACACAAATACACTCACTTGCCAGGTAAGTCACTGTTCCCATTTTATAGACTGGAACAAATTTTTACTAATTACACAAATCTGAAATCCCACAATGGAGAAACCAAGAGAAAAAGTGCACCATCACCTCTTTATCATGGGCAATCAACTGGGTCTTGACATGGCCTGACACCAAATTCACTCTTCCCAAGACCTGGCCAGTCTCCAAACCCCAGATAGTGCAAGTTGTGTCAATACTAGAGGTACCTGGGGTGGGGAGGAAAAACACCAATGTTAATAACTCTTCTTTGGTGCAATGAATAAACAGCAATACACAACACCTTACGCTATTCATAATGCTTGACCTAAAAGATGACTTGCCTTCTCCATTCTCCTTTTATACACAAAGCAAACTACCGTATTTTTCGCCCCATAGGACGCACCGCCCCATAGGACGCACCTAGTTTTTTTTGGGGGGGGGGGAAATAAAGAAAAAAAATTTATTTCCCCCCTGGCGCGGGGGAAGCCTGAGCTTCCCCCGACCCCAGCCCTGAGAACAGCCTGCTATCCGCAAGCCTAGGGAGCCCGGCGGGAAGTCGCGCCGGTCTCCCCAGGCTTGCAGAGAGCTGCGCGAAGCCCGGGCGCACTCTTCAGCGCGCCCCAGGCTTCGGAATGCAGGCAGGGCTGCGCAGAGCTGCGCGAAGCCCGGGACTGCAGGCAGCTCTGCTGAAGCCTGGAGAGAAGTCGCGCCGGTCTCCCGAGGGTTGCGCAGAGCTTCCTGAAGCCTGCATTCACCCCATAGGACGCACACACATTTCCCCTTCATTTTTGGAGGGGAAAAAGTGCGTCCTATAGGGCGAAAAATACGGTAACTGGATGTGTTTGATATAGTTAATGTATTCCCTTTTAAGATACAGGTGTAATCTTCAGTCATTTTTCAAGTGTTAATTAAGAAATATGTTTTAAACTCAAATCATCCAGTGTTTAAATTGGAAATTAAATATTTCCCCAGGAAGCTTGGGACACGGTTCCAGTTTGTGAACTATTTTTGGAAGCCAAACCGTCCGATGGGGCTTCCGATTGGCTGCAGGAGCTTCCTGCAGCCAATCAGAATCTGTGTTTTAGTTTCCGGAACGGATTCCATTCGACTTCCAAGGTACAACTGTATGGTCTATTATAACAATATGTAAATTCAACATGAACAAAATTTACCAAAGTGAATAATTGTACTTTTACTCTAGACTCCAGGATAGTCAAAACTTACATTAAAAATGGATTGTGGGGGGAGATGAAAAATGCAGCTAAGAGATGCAGCAGATTTAACTGTGGTTATAGTGACAACAAGCAAGGGGTATTTTCTCCTAAACTGAGATTGTTGGGGGCTGGGCTGGGCTGCTGCAATTCATGAAAGGTTAAATAGTAAGAGGTCTTCACCACTTAAGCTATGAAATCAAACCATTATGGAAGTAAAAAAGAAAGCTGCCACCTATACAATGTTGTTGTTTTTTTATTTCAACGAATATCTCAATGGGGGAGGAGAAAAAAATGCCCCATCATTGTACCAGCTCTCTGACTGGTACAGTAAAGAGGCCTGGATTGGGCTCACTGTTGTCACATGCCAGCAGCAGGGCCAGCTTGAGATCCAGTGTTACCTGTGTGTAGACCCCACCCCGGGAGTTCCCTCCAGTGGAAATACTGCCAATGATAGCTTCCACCAGCCATTTTGACAAAGGCATATTGCAGCACTCCTTTGCAATGGTGTTCCTTTGCCAACAGAGGCTGTGGGTGCTGGAAAGGGTTGGGCCAGTGGGATGGGGAAGACACACAACCACTTGCCCCAAATCCCTTCCAGTACAGTGAACTGAGGGTTTTGATTGCTCTGCCCAACTCTTTATGTAACTGGGAGGTGCATTTATTAAATTTACTAATTATACTGCCCAATAACTGAAATTCCCTGTGTAGCTTACTATATACTGCCCATAAAACAGTATAATATGAATTAAATCACCCAGGGATAACAGCTGTGTAAAAGATTCAAAGAATGCTAGAACACTTTCTAAAAATTTTGGGAGAATATTTTTTTGGTGGTGAAGAGACCACTGAACAGGTACTAAGTGAGCTTCTCTGGACAGCGCATTCGACAACTGGAGCAACACCACTGAAAAGGCTCTTTAGGGAAGTATGGGATAGCCATTAAACACAAGGTAAGCCAACACAGAAGCTTGTCTTTTGGACAACATAGTTCATATAGAAAGCCTAACAGGTGAATGCTCCTAGTCTTTTGGTTTATAAATGTACCACAGCTTAGATCATCTGCACAATAGCAAAGACAATTCCTGGCTAATTCAACTAATATTAAAACTTATCTGATGTAGACTTTAACCCGACAACAGCCTTTCAAAAACTTTGGCATATATCGTAATCCCAAGCTATCTTCGTTAGATTAAAAACACTTATATCAGGAAGGAATGCTTCTGTGGAAAGCTTTGTTTACCTTCAAGGCCCATATAAAAATGAGCTTCCTGAAAAAGAGATCCACCAACAGCCATTACCCAAACTAAATCCTGTCTGGCAATGTTATCCATTTTACTACCAAAGCTCTGCCAAATTAAGCATTTCAGTCTTACCCAGCAGATAAGGATCCACTTCATTCCAATCAAAGGATGTCAATGGAGCACAGAAATCAGAATTCTTGTTGTTGTTCAGCAAACACTCTAGCCTGGTCTCTGTTTCACCCACCTGCAAAAAAATTACAAATATTGGTCATCATTCCAAATCTTCATAGTATTTCACTGCAGCAAAAGTGCAAGAGAAGAGACAGTGCAGCTAATCATTGTGATTTAAATAGGTTCTGCATTATGCTCAAATCATGGATTCTATTATTTTTGTTAAGACACGTGTAAATCAAATTAGGTTTGACCAAGACCCTACTTCTTGGCTACAGAACATTAAACCTAAAAGGGAAGCCTAGTTACTGTTTTGTTCTGAACTACAGTCAGCTCCCATTCCTTCTAAGTGTGATAAATACCACGGCTATATGCAAAAATTTTCAATGTTGGGACAATTTATAACTCATGCAACACACTGGCAATGCAAGATCACATGGCATCGTTTTAAAGTTCTATATCTCATAAAACATGGCAAACATAACAAGAACAATGTCAAACGTCATGTTTTCAAGGTCAAGGAAACCAACAGATGTGTTATCATGATTGTCAATTAGAATTAAGTCAGCAGGAATAGAGGTTCCTTCCAACTCTATAACTGTGTGATATGGAGCTTTATTTTTCATTTTCCATACACAAGGAGTGGGAAGACTGAGCTTGTGGAATCTACTTTGGGTGTTGTTGTTTTTAGTAACAGCAAAGTTCACCAATGACAGGTAGGTGAAAAACTGTAGCCAGGGGGCAGATATAAATTTAGAATTAAGCAAAAGTCTGTCTTCAAGCATATTCCCATGAATTGGTTTGTAGTACCAGAAATGAGCTTACAATCTTTTCACATAAAATACTACAATAAGGCTTCCCTCCTCAGTTTTCTTAATTCCAGCAGTCTAATTTAGGTCTGGGGTAGGAGAGGGCAAAGAGAAGAGAGAAAGCCTCATGGGTTTTGCTATTTTTAAAACAACTGAGTCAGACACTTTTGCCAATCTACAGCAAATCACCCAGCAATTTACCACTAGATCCCAATTTATTTTCTGCCCATCTACATAACACATTAGAGTAGACTGCAGCTCCAGTTGTAGAACACTGAATTTAGAAGTTATTAATAAACATTTACGAATAGAATAAAGCAAACCAAGTACTATGTTTGTCTACTACTTATAGCAGTTGGTCAGACTACTCACACAACATTCTCAGGGCCCACTGGTTATCCTAGCCCCAGGAAAACACCTTATAAAAACAAGTCAACTTACTCTCCAGACACGCAAGTAGTCACCACTTGTTGCCAAAAGGTCTGGATATACCCCTTTGGTATCTGGGATCCACATGAGCTTGGTAGTAGGATATGGGTGATCAAAGGTATTCCGGCAAATGAACTCAGAGCTTTCCTCATCCAACCCAACAAGTTGGACCTATAAGCAAAAATATTTCAAGCAAGTTATCAACCAAACTATAACATTAAGCTCAGAGTTGAGAACTAATGGCCTCTAGAAGTTATTAGACTACAAGTCTCATCAGCCCCAGCCTGCATGGTCAAGGATGATTTGGAGTTGCAGTTCAGAAATATCTAGAGGGCCACAGATGCCCAACCCTTCATACTCTGCTACAATATCTCAAGGACCACCTCGCCTTGTAGGTTCCTACAGGGAACCTACGGTCATCATCTGAGGCCCTTCTTTGTGTGCCTCCTCCATGAGTGGCCGAAAGGGTGGAAACATGAGAACGGGCCATTTCTGCGGTGGCTCCCCGCTTGTGGAATGCTCTCCCCGGCATATTCATTACCTATCTTTAGGTGTCAGGCAAAAGCTTTCCTCTATAACCAGGCCTTTCGCCTTTAACTGTAAGAAGGGGTTGGGATGTTTTAAACGTATTAATTCCCCCCTTGGTTTTAATGTATCTCTGTGGAAAGGGTTGTTGCTGTTTTTTTGGTCTGGTTTTTTTTTGGGGGGGGGGGTAAGTTGCTTTGAGTTGCCTTGGGAAAGATAAAGCCCGCCCCCATTTCAATAAACAGCAATAATTTGGAAGTGTCCATGCCTGCCTTGGATTTTTTCTCCCAGAGGGCAAAAGTAAAATAGCCAACTAAAGTGGTACCTCTGGATGCGAACAGGATCCGTTCCGGAGCCCCGTCCGCATCCTGAAGCGAATGCAACCCGCGTCTGCGCGTGTCACGATCTGCCACTTCTGCGCATGCACGTGACGTCATTTTGGGCATCTGTGCATGCGACGAAACCCAGAAGAAACATGTTCTGTTACTTCTGGGTCACCAAGGAGCGCAACCTGAAAAGGCTCAACCCGAAGGTATGACTGTATTGAGATGCAGGTGGCCTAACCTATTCTCTTTCCCGCCCCCAATTCTCCCACCTCCCCACAAGGTCAAGAGTCCCTACACCAAGCCTTTCACAGTGGGTTAGAGTGCGGTGCCGATGATGACACCAAGGTCTCAAAGCCTTTCACAGCTGGTTAGTGTGTGCACCGAGGCCGCAGGTTTGATCCCCCCATGGGGCAGCTGCAAATTGCTGCAATGCAGGGGTAGGACTAGATGACCCTCAGGTTCCCTTTCCAACTCTCCTATGAATTATATTTATGAACCTTGTAGTTCCTCGATGCTGCTGGGGTGCAACATTCACTCTCTTTAGCCAGCATGGCCAGTAGTCAGGGATGGGGAGGGAGGGGACTGTAGCTCAAGAACACAGAACCCTAGAACAGGCATGGGCAAACTCGGCCCTCCAGCTGTTTTGGGACTACAGTTCCCATCATCCCTGACCACTGGTCCTGTTAGCTAGGGATGGTGGGAGTTGTAGTCCCAAAACATCTGGAGCGCCAAGTTTGCCTATGCCTGTTCTAGGGTTCTGTGCTCTTGAGCTACAGTTTTGGGACTACAATTCCCATCATCCCTGACCACTGATCCTGTTAGCTAGGGATGGTGGGAGTTGTAGTCCCAAAAACAGGTGGAGGGCCAAGTTTGCCTATGCGTGTTCTAGGGTTCTGTGCTCTTGAGCTACAGTTTTGAGACTACAATTCCCATCATCCCTGACCACTGGTCCTGTTAGCTAGGGATGATGGGAGTTGTAGTCTCAAAAACATCTGGAGGGCCGAGTTTGCCTGCTCTAGAAGAACAGAGTCGGAAAGGACCCTGAGGCCCAACTCCCCCCCAACCCCAATACCTTCGGGGACCCCAAGGACGCTCTATACCTTCCTCGAAACATCTGCAGGTGAAGCAGAAGGCGCGCAGGTGCTGCTCCACCGCGCAACGCCTTCGGGGGACAACCAAACCCCCTCATGAGTTGCCAAAGCCGGCGCTTGGCAACGGAGAGCGCGGCCAAGCCTGCGAGGGAGGCCCGGCGCCCCTCGAAGCAAGACCCTTGCCGAGGGGGTGCGGGCAACTGCCCCAGGCGGCTCTTGGCCTCTTCGCAAGCCTGCGGCGGAGCAGGGAAGGGCCGCCGGGGTCCGACTGAGGCGCGAAGGCCCGAGGCGGCCCCGAACCCCCGACCACCCCAGGGCTGACGAGGCCTCCTCGGACCCCGCTCACCCGCCCACCTTGTTGTTGTATTCCTCCACGAAGCTGCCGAGCGCCAGCCTGAAGCGCTTGTCGGGCCTGACGCTCCAGTTCATGGCGTAGACGGTCCATGGCGCCTCGTACTTGTAGATCTCCTTGCGCTTCCCGTGCAGCGACATGGCGGGCGAGGCTCGCTCCGTCAGCCCCTCACGGCAACCAGCGACCTCCCCCCGCCGACCGTCGTTCTTCACCTCACACAAACGACTACGGCGAAGCCGCCCCCACCCCGCTCCTCCATCGGGGGTCGATTCAAACTCCGGGCTCTCGTTGGCTGCTCGCGACGCCACTCCGCCGGCTGCCCGCTCCTCATTGGCTTCCCGTAAGCGTCGGCTCGCTCAAACACCCTCCTCCCTTCCAAGCCCAGCGGCCCAATGAGATTTCTTTCCCCGCCCCGTACTGGCCACGATGAAAGATGGACATTAGCGAGGAGAGGTGTCGCTCTTTTCCTAAGCCCGCCTCTCCGGCAAAAATTTCAGCCTGTGCGAGGGGACGGTTTAGCAGCAGCCAGATCGGGAGGAAAGCAGTAGACGTGGAAATGTAGAGTCGCATCTCGGGTGTCTGGAATGGGAGCTTGCGGGTTTCGGCGTCGTTTTTGTTTCCCCAGCTGCCCATATGAAGAAACGGAGGAAATGTAGAATCTAGGAGTTTTGTAAACCTGTGATTCAGCAGGAGCCTATCCGGCAAAAACGAAAAGTAGCCTCAAAGGTGGAAGTTCAATGCTGTCTCTAAGTAATGCCTCGTTTCTTGTGGAAAATTGATTTTTATTTGAGAATTCTCTTGGTTTTTAAATATCTTTTTTTTTTAAAAAAAGTGCTTTGCATATGTAAATACGAATGCAGCTCATTGTCCGCATACTGCAGTTTAGGCGGCTGTGACTGAGAAAAGAGTCTTAACAATAGCACTGCAATGTTGCAACAGCCCTTGTCCCCACATTGCAAACTGAGGCTAGGAGTGATTTATGACAGCACTGAAATGCGGCCCACTATTAATTTTGCAAGTTAGAAGTAGGATCTGGGGCTGAGAAGTATAGTTCAGTAGTATTATTTAGTCTCTTGGTTGATTTTTTCTTTTTAATGTGAAATGCTGTTTAGGATAAGGTTACCAGATATTTTAAAATTAATCCAGGGACACTTTTCAACTTCAGTGGATTTTGTATGGGGACTGATTTGTAAATCCAGGGACTGTCCCCGGGAAACGGGGACATCTGATAACCTTAGTTTAGGAAGAGTATTGAATAGCTGATTGCAGCCTTTACCTTGCAGGGAGATTTCTCTCCATCTGCTTTCCCACCTATGGGATCTCTGCTTTCCACTTCTGAAAGAAATAGCTGTGAATCCATAAAAATGGTCCATCTGGAAAATGTTAATCACCCCCTTTCCCAGCACTACTGCTATAAAACTTATAGCCCTTCCCCCCACTCAGATACTCTACCCCACCTCCAAACATGTTTTATCATGTTGTTTTATTGTGTATTTAATATCCTATTGGGAGCTGCCCAGAGTGGCTGGGGAAACCCAGCCAGATGGGCGGGGTATACATTATAAACTATTATTAATATCATCATCATCATCACACAGCCATAGTTTGAGCCTTAATGGTTAACAGTGCTTTAAAATCCTGCAGAAAAAATTATAAAGCTTTCTGTTATAAACACCATTTCAGTTATAAACACCATTGACATCCTTTGACTGGAATGAAGTGGATCCTGATCTGGTGGGTAAGACTGAAATGCTTAATTTGGCAGAGCTTTGGTAGTAAAATGGATAACATTGCCAGACAGGATTTAGTTTGGGTAATGGCTGTTGGTTGATCTCTTTTTCAGGAAGCTCATTTTTATATGGGCCTTGAAGGTAAATAAAGGTTTCCACAGAAGCATTCCTTCCTGATATTCACAATAAAAGTAAAACTACAGTGGTACCTCGGTTTTTGAACGTCTCCATTGATGAACATTTTGGTTTTCGAATGCCGTAAATGCTTCGGTTTTCGAACATGCCCCAGAAGTCGAACATGCCACACAGCTTCTGTATTGAGTTTTCCGCATTCAGTTTTTGGTTTTCGAACATTTCAGAACTTGGAACGGTCTTCCGGAATGGATTACGTTTGAAAACCAAGGTACCACTATATTTAAATTGTCTGAACCAAAGCCCACCACTTGCAGAAGCATCATGCTCCACTAACGAGGGCTTTTAATGGTTGTGTTCTTCAGCATGTCACTGATGCAATAACAGCGCATCAGTGGTGGATTTATACTGGAGCACAACAAAAATGAGACAAAACCACCACCCTGGGATGTTTGTGGTGTGAAAAACTACAGGATTTCAGCAGGAAGCTACAGGACATGATTCTACTTTGGTCTTCCCCTTCTCTTAAGAAAAAACAACTCTTCTCATTGTTTGCCCCCACCCACAGAGCCCAGACGTAGGGAGCCATCAGGCCAGAGTAGGTGTCAAAATAATCTTTATTAACAAAGTGTACACTAACACTCCTGAGAAAAAAAAAGAAAATGCTCACAGTTATTATTTTTTTTCCTGCTACTCTCACTGGGAGATTAATATGTTATTTTGGATAGGTGGCCTAGGGCCATTGCAGCATCTAACTGAGGGGTGAAAATGAGGTGGGTTTGAGGGGTCAGTTACAATGATTCTATGCAATGCTATGGTATGGGGATTCAATTGGGAAAGGCGAATACACACATACAAAAAGTGATCTGTTTGGTTTGTTTCCTTCTTTCCAGGCTTTTCTGAAGTTGTACTTAAACCAGCCTTGCAGATCTGTACAAAAAAAAAATAACAGCTCACTTGCACATACCTGCATTTTGCATAGTGGCTCACGCAAAGAACGGCAAGGTACTGTCCAGAATAACCTTTTACGCTAAGTTGATGTGCTAACCACAAAACTGGCTGTTCCTGGAATGTTTTCCAAAGCCAGGTAAATCTGGAATGTTGCAAAAGTCTGGGAAATATATTTTCAGAACAGGTTCCCTCCACCCCAGTTTGTTAGAATAGTGTCACTCAGCCCTCCCTTACAAATTGGTAGGCAACACATGAGACAATTCACCCCGTTAACACAGACCCAAGTGTGTTTGTTGCGTTGCACTAGGGATTCTACACCTGACTTTACCAGCTCATTTCATACAATGAAGATGCAGTTGTATGCATGCTTTTCTGGGAGTAAGCCCCACCAGACTCTGCAAAACATAGCTCTGAGTAAACAAATACAATCAGGGCTACAGACAACATATTAATATGTTGGGGTTGGCTGTAGAATTTGGGGCAGGGCTCAGAGGGGCTGTCAGAAGGCCAGGGACTGCGTCCTTCAGAAGCGAGCCTGAGTACAAACAGCAAGCCCAAAATCTTGTTGGCAGCCCCGTATGAAATTGTGTTACACATTTTCCCCTTTTATCCTGCACTTCATCTGTCAAGGTGTACACTCTCTTTTTTTTCTCAACAGAGATTTATGTCCATGCAAGAAAAATGTAATATATGAAGTTGCCCTCAATATGCACTAGGGCAGATCATTAAATGGTTCGTTATATTCCCATGTACAAAGTTGCAGCATCGTTTTACTCTTCCTTCCTTACTTCACAGGGTCCTCCTGCACAATGACTAGAATCTTCAGACACGAGTTGTAAGTATCAAAGAAAGACACAATCATTCTTGGTCTCCTACAACCCAAGAGAAGGTTAAGTTCTTAGCAGTCTTCTCGTCTTCCTCCAGACAAAATTTCCTATTATTACTTTATTACATTATGGAAGTGCTCCAATGTCCCGCCATACTAGTTACCATTCAAACACTGACAGAGGCAGACCCCAACAGTTAACAGATGCAAGACTGGGGATGTGGAGGAAAAAGTCAACCAGCCATTCTTCTTGGAGTCGGGTGGGGTAAGAGAAATATGCACCTGAAGTCTACTCTATGGAGTACCATTTCTGAAATCAATCACCTTGGAAGCCAACCCACTATTAAACTGCCCCCGTTTCAGAGAGGACAGGGAATGGCAACAAGTCTCATCACCTTGAGCCATGAGTACTGTCCTCCAAGTGCAACAATTAAAAACAGCTAAAGCAACTTCTCAGTTCAGGGTCCTCTTGACTTGGCTTTGGGCTCAACTGGATTCCTAACTCCCAGGAAGCAAAGGGTCAGAGAGGTGTCTCTGAATGTCCAAGTGCTCGGAAGGTGCCTCAAGGTGCTCAGGAAGGGAAGGGAAACGGGATCCTTGGAAAAGTCCCTGGTTGCCCGGTGCCCTCCGGTGAGGCTCTAGGTTTGGCAGGGTCTGTGAGCAATGCTCTTGCTCAGAGCTGATTGTCATGGTCTCGTCAGAAGCCACAGTCAGGTGTACACCACTTGACAACGAGTCCCTGGATTTCAGCTGCAGCTTCTCGATTTCTGAGTCGCTCGGAGTCTGGTGAGGGAGGGGAAAGGGAACAAGGTTAAAACTCCTTCACCAGCTAGTGGCATGTGTTTGGGTTTGCTCAAAGTCCCCCTGTAGGAATATGAGAATTTCAAGTTGCAGTTGGAAAAAAAAAGGGGGGGTTACACGCCTCATGAGTGGCTTGGGAAGGGGGGAGAAAGTGGATTCAGTTCACATTTAGAGACAAATTTATCAAACACTGACTTTCCAAAACAATATGAGAACCAAAATATATCGCCACCCTTAAAAGTTCACACTCATCCAACTTATTCCAATGCAGTTTTCCCATCTGGTTTCAACAGAAATGCATATATTAGAGGAAAATGTGCCTTAAAATGCATATATTTGTGAGAATTATGTACAAAATGTATTAGGAGATACTGCTTGCAAAATGTGTACATTACTTAAAAAACTGCATACAAAAATGAGAGACATTTGCACTGAAATGCTTAAGAATTTCCATGAGAATTATTTGGGGGGGGGGGTTCGCAAATTGCCGCAGAAATGTGGTAATCTGAATTTAAGATTGGAAAAATGAGAAACTCTGAGAACCGAAACTGACAGATCTTTCCACCCTTACTCTTGACTGCAGAAATACGCATAGAAGCACGATACACAAGAAACACTACAGTGGTGCCCCGCAAGACGAATGCCTCGCAAGACGAAAAACTCGCTAGACGAAAGTTTTCCGTTTTTTGAGTCGTTCCGCAAGACGAATTTCCCTATGGGCTTGCTTCGCAAGACAAAACGTCTTGCGAGTTCTTGCGAGTTTGTTTCCTTTTACTTAAAGCCGCTAAGCCGTTAATAGCCGCTAAGCCGCTAATAGCCGCTAAGCCGCTAATAGCCGTGCTTCGCAAGACGAAAAAACTGCAAGACGAAGAGACTCGCAGAACGGATTAATTTCGTCTTGCGAGGCACCACTGTAGTTGCTTAGTAACAAGGAGGCAAGTTCAATACAAAACTTTCACTAGTCTATCAGATCTCCTTGTTTACACAGCAAGGGGTATATTTTGAAGAGCACAGTACAACATTTGTCTCTGTTTTCTGTAGATAACTGAACACACACACCTACTTTTCCACAAGTCCCACCCCCCTACGGAATTTAAAGTTCTTTGCTGCAGTATATGTAGTCCAGGGGTCCACAAACTTTTTCGGGGGGGGGGGGGGCTGGTCCACTGTCCCTCAGACCTTGTGGCTTCCTCCAGCTAATCCAAAGCTGTGCTAGCACCGCAGAAGTCAGTCCCCACATGCTGAGGCCTCTGTGCTGTACTGGTTTAGCTTGGGGACTGACCAAGCAGGCGGCAGGGTCCACGGGCCGGATTTACGAGCCTGGTGGGCCGCATCCGGACCCCGAGCCATAGTTTGCCGACCCCTGATGTAGTCCCTTAGTTCCATGCACATTGCTGTACTAGCTTGGTCCTTCCATCCCCCGTGATGTACCCCCAAATACAGAGATACCTCTGGTTACGTACTTAATTCGTTCTGGAGGTCCGTTCTTAACCTAAAACCGTTCTTAACCTGAGGTACCACTTTAGCTAATGGGGCCTCCCACTGCTACGCGATTTCTGTTCTCATCCTGAAGCAAAGTTCTTAACCCGAGGTACTCTTTCTGGGTTAGCGGAGTCTGTAACCTGAAGCGCCTGTAACCTGAGGTACCACTGTACTTTTCCGGCCTGGCTTTGAAGCCAGGCGCTTTCTCTCACCAGCCTCACTGCAAATGAAGGACTTTGATTCCTGCAACTCACCTCCTTTGTGGGAGTCAGTTCCTCTTCTCCTAGTGGAGTTTCAGGTTCTGTGCTCCTCATGCTCATGCTATACAAAGCCAAGTTGTGGGAGGATGGCGAGATAGTGCTATATGCAGGTGGCACTTGAGACAGCTGTCGCTGCAGCAGCTGCAGGATGAGGTTCAGGTCAGAAGACATCCTGGACTCCAGCCTACAAGAGAGATCATGACATTTTAGCCTGAAGCACACTGAGCGAGCGAGGAAGGTATGTGTGAGACTATCCCAAAGACTGCCTAAGTCTAGTCTGAGCAAGGTGTTAGTCCCTGACATAACCAGCAGGGTGAATCTGTGCGACACCGAGGGCTACTTTTTTAAAAAAGGGTTTTATTTCAGATTACCAGAAGCTGGTTCATCCAGTAACTTGGGCCACATACTGTCCATATAAGTAGAGTCAGCTTGGATGAGTAGCATATAACATGGGTGCCAGAAACTTGTAGCCTTTCTGAGATCCAGCACCGAGGGCCTTCTGGCGGTTCCCTCATTGCGAGAAGTGAGGTTACAGGGAACCAGACAGAGGGCCTTCTCGGTAGTGGCACCCACCCTGTGGAATGCCCTCCCTTCAGATGTGAAGGAAATATTCAGCTATCTTCTTTTTAAAAGACATCTGAAGGCAGCCCTGTTTAGGAAAGTTTTTAATATTTAATGCTGTATAGTTTTTAACACTTGGTTGGAAGCCGCCCAGAGTGGCTGGGGAAACTCAGGCAGATGGGCGGGGTATAAATAATAAATTATTATTATATTATTATTATTATTCTGAAGCAGCAAAGTGCACTTCCCTGATTCGAAAACCCCTCGCAGCTGCAGTTCACAAACTCATGTGCTATATATAGCTAACAAACTATACTTCCCAGGACCTTCTGGGGGAAGCCATGACTGCGATTCAGAATAAGTGACTCAGAAACAGAGTAAGATATCTAAGGAAACGTCCCTGCCTTTGAAGTTTGCAAGAAAAAGTAAATTTTATTCATTTGATATAATTTATATACAGTGGCACCTCCGGTTGTGCACAGGATCCATTCCGGAGCTCCGGTTGGATCCCAAGATGTGTGTATCCGGAGGTGCGGCTTCTGCGCATAGCGCACAGCAAAACCTGGAAAAATACTTCTGGGTTTGCCACGAACATATCCCGAAGGATACATATCCAGAGGTGAATGTAAGTAGAGGTACCACTGTACTGCTTGATTGTAAAAAATAAAATAAAAACAAAACTCAAAGCGGTCTGCAAAAGATAAAACGGTAAAATCTAGAAAAATCCACAACCCTACTTTAAAACATACAAAAGTTAAAAGACTAAAATATTTTTACAAGGTGCTGAACAAAGTGCAATGCAAGTGCCTGCTTGATCTCAATAAGCAGGGAGTTCCAAAGTGTAGGAGGCACTGCCACACTAAATGATCAAGTTCTTAAAAATGTAGAATGAGTAGTCCGTTGCACCTGGACCCAAGCTGGGCTTTATGTACTAACACTTTGAACGTGGCCCGGTAGCAGATTGGCAATCAGTGTAGATCTCTGAGTACAGGTGACTGTATCACGGATGCTTTAGGAACAGGTAATAATAATAATATTAATATAATAATAATTTTTATTTATACCCCGCCCTCCCCAGCCAAGACCAGGCTCAGGGCGGCTAACAAGCAATAATAAAAATAAGTTGAATGAATACAACTTAAAAACAAAATTAAAATACAAAATTTAAAATATTGAAACATTAAATGTTAAAATGTAGTCTCGCCGCAGGAGGAGAAAGGAAAAGAAAAAAGAAAGAGGGGGAGGGAATCAAATTGGCTCCAAGCCAAAGGCCAGGCGGAATAACTCTGTCTTACAGGCCCTGCAGAAAGAAATCAGATCCTGCAGGGCCCTGGTCTCATGAACACTGTGGTACAGTGGACACTCAGGTTGCGAACGTGATCCGTGTGGGAGACACGTTCGCAACCTGGAGTGCTGCGTCTGCGAGAGCACCTAAACCCGGAAGTAACCTGTTCTGGTATTTCCGGGTTTCAGCGCATCAATAACCCAAAAACGCGCAGCCTGAAGCGTCTGTAACCAGAGGTATGACTGTAATTGGTTTTAGATAGGAGGTTGGAACACACCATCTACCTTGCAGTTTTATTTAAGTTCCTGCAACTTGGGGTTCTTCATAGAATTCATGCCCTATTGGAACCTCCAAGCAATGGCGTTTACCTGCCAAGCTGTGCCTGCAGGCACTCCAGCTTGGATTCAATCTGCCGCGGTCTGTCATCAGAGTTGGGAGGCATGTCCAAAGGGCTGTGAACCAATGACATGTGCTGGAGGGGCTCCGTAAGGGAATTAGGCCTCTTGTCTTCCCAGAATGTGAACAGGTTGGAGACATCCAATGGCGTTGCTGAGGGACAGAAAAGGAGATGGATGAAATAAGCGCCTGTCTTAGTCAGCTGGGGTTTTCAGCCAACTACCATTATAACACCTGATAATAATGATTATTACTGTTTATTAAATTTATTTGTTTAATTTTTTTTTTAAAGCAACTTACAAGTTAAAATACAAAGATACCGTAAAACAGACAGAAGCAGTAAGACCATGCATTGCACATTATAAAACGTTATTGTAAAATCAAGACAGTGTCCTATTGGTATGAACCTGGCAAAG